CCGACCCGTCCGCGCCCAGCGCCCATCTCACACACACCAAACAACAAAGGGGGGGGGGCCCCCACCCCCGCGCGGGGGGGGGGGGGGGGGGGCGCCCCCCCCCCTGGTCCTCTCCCCCCCTCCTTCCGCCGCTGGTTACCCTATTGACATTTATACTGTAGCATCCTACTAGTAGAGAGTATCAAAGTAGGGAATTGTTAAAAAACATAATCAGGCTTACTATGTGAGATTCTGCAGCAATTAACCGTTACACGAACCTTAGAGCCCAACAAACGACTTCCTTGGCAGGTTTAGGCCGCGGTACTTGGAGGCAATCCTGTTGGTGTTCGAATACACTGACAAGGCTCTTTGCAAAACCTGGTTAGCTGATTGGTGTTGGCTGTATGACTCACCAATGCAGAAACCCTGCTTGCAGCGGATGGTCTTTCTTGAGGGCCCCCCAGATTGTGCCATCCTGTGGAGGCCATATCCAATGAACAGGTCTAGTAAGCTGCAAATGCAGGAGGCCACCCTTTCGGCAAACAGCACTTCTGTCGCTGGCCAATGGACTGACACATTATGATGCCGCGCGTGACGGATAACAAAGAGTGTACCTATTAACAAGGTGCGCGTCCATTTTGGGGTGGCCTCCATGGCCTTGTCTGGATGCCTTTCGCTCATATGTAGTTATATATTGGCTATGAGAGCCGTCCCTTGGCTGGCCGACATCCCACACCAAACTTCCCAGCCATTCTTATTATCAAAAAAAAAAACAGTGACAGCTAGTCTCTTACCGAATCATCCACGCTCGTGCAGCGCTCTTGCAGTTGATGGAAGAGACACGGCTCGAAGCCGACGCCGCCTCCCAAGGCGATGCTTCAGCCAACAATATCACCCAGGATGACGCACAAAAATCCCGAGATTCTTCCACTCAGTGGAATACCCATCTATCGCTGGCCATAACGCAGTATCTACTTGATAAAGTCCCAGAATTTCGGCGATTGACTGACCTCCGGCAGAAGGTAATTAGCAACCAAACAACTCTAGCTAGCTGACTGACTAGCTGATGCTGACATGCTGAGTGTAGGGATGGAAAAACCGAGAGGGCGATGAGTTTTTCCATAGACAGCGCGAAATTGCCAATAATCGAGACGCGAAGACGGCGAAAATATTCTACAAAGTGATGAAGCAGATCGGGAGGGAGATGCAACAGTCAACCGGAGTTTTCACACTCCCAGTAACTGGTTCTGAGCAGCCAACGGTACTGGACATTTGCATGGCTCCAGGTGGCTACACCAAGACAGCATTGGACGTCAACCCGCAAGCCCACGTTACAGCATTCAGCCTGCCCTTCTCCGACGGCGGATATAGGGTCCTCCTGCAAAAACACCCCAACAGAACGACCAAATTCCTCGACATCACCATGCTCGCCGCCGACATGGGAGTCACCGACATACCCGCCTCGCATCCGGACTCCGACAAATTCCTCCCGCGCCAGCTCAGCCCGGCGCAGCTCTTCGACCTCGTCATCTGCGACGGCAACGTCCGGCGTCAGGCGGTGGCGGCGGCGCTCCCCGCGCACCGGGAGAAGCGGGAGGCCTCTCGGCTGACGGCCGCGCAGCTTGCGCTGGGGCTCGAGCACGTCCGGCCGGGCGGCGCCATGGTGGTCCTCCTGCACAAGGTGGAGGCCTGGCAGACGGCGTGCCTGCTGCGGCGGTTCGGCGGGTTCGCCCAGGTGAGGCTGTTCAAGCCCGCGGTACACCACGCCAAGCGCTCGTCGTTCTACATGGTCGCCACCGACATCCAGAGCCGGCACCCCGAGGCAGTCTTGGCGGTGGAGTCATGGAAGGGGTGGTGGAAGGCGGCGACGTTTGGGTCGGATGAGGAGTATCAGGAGGCGCTTAGAGCTGGAGACCCGGACGTGGAGGAGATACTTGAAGGGTTCGGGCCGGAGCTTGTGAGGTTGGGGAAGAGTATATGGGACATACAGGTGACGGCGCTGGCGAAGGCGCCCTTTGTGAGAAATTGTTGAGCCTTCATTCGGTGGCTTGCTTTGACCGACCTGCAGTCACTAATCCAGTCATATTAGCTTGGCGCTATATCTCCTGCATTTGACCAGTCCATGTGATAATCATGGCTGTTCTGAAGACTAACTATTCGCAGTGATTTGAGGACAATACATGGCGCTACTGAAGCCGAGTACGATACCGTTTAAAGTCAATTTGAGAGAATACAATTCTAGCAGCCGTCAGTGAGTGAGTGGGTGGCTTATGCGTAATTCTCCTTGTTCTACCGATTTTAGCGTGGGGGCGGGGACTTCTGTTGGTTGGGCGGGTACCTAGTTTAGATTCAGGCAGCGTCCCCGGCTGCAGTATAACTTACGGCCAGTCCCTCCCCCCTGCCTTGGCCTAGTTCTGCGACAAAACAAAAAAAGCATCGTGGATAATTCTGTGGTCAGTTGGCTTTCTTCAGCCAACTAACAATATACAACTCCTCCATCTGCTTCAATCTCTCGGGCGATGCAGACTTTTGCAATTATAAACTTCTTCAGGGATTAATTAGCCAACTAATTAACGATGGAATCAATTGGTCTCCGCGAGCGCCCTGTTCGGAAATGCCGCCTACAGAACTCGAAAGTCAACACTAGTCGCGAGGAACTGATCCCCGATGCCCTCAGCAATCCGTCGGGCCCTGGCCATCAGCCGCCCAAATTCACAATCGATCTCTCTCTCCCGCCAGAGCAGAGGTACTCGCACGTCGTCCCCGAAATGCTGCCCGAGATCAACAATTCCCAACTGGAGAGTCTGTTCACCACCCTCGTCTCCGATATCGCTCCGCGGCCCATCGCCAAGCTAATCAACCTCCTCGCCCCCCGAATACTCCGGCGCGTCTACTCGGACGAGGAAAACGCCGAGCTGAGGGGCATCGCCCAGGCGACGAGGCTGCCGATGCACCTCCTCGTCGCCTTCAACGTCCTCCTCGACCTGCTGATGGGCTGCACCAGCGGCGGCGTGCGCGTCGAGGAGCGCGTTCCCGGCGCGTCCTGGGAGTCGCGCGTCCTGCACTTCCGCACCCTCGACTGGGCCATGGACCCGCTGCGCCACATCGTCGTCGAGCTCGACTTCGTCCGCCGCCCCGGCGGGCCCGTCGTCGCCACCTCGCTCACCTACCTCGGCTACGTCGGCGTCCTGACGGGCGTGCGCGAGGGCTTGAGTTTGAGCCTCAACTTCCGCCCTTATCACGACTCTACTACCTGGCGGAAGCGGCTCGCGTTTAAGAGGCACCAGCTTCTGGTCGTGCTCGGGCGCAGGCCGTCCATCTCCTCTGTGCTGAGATCGTACATCATCCCCCGGGTGGGATCCGAGGCTGCCGGGGGGCCAGGTGGGGGCGACAAGAGCCAGTTCGGGGGCTGGGGGAAGAAGGGTGGCAAGGCGAAGCGATCCGAGCCAGACGACTCCTCCGACTTCCCCAGCATCGAGCGCACCCTTGCGGAGCTCTCATCGGCGCCCTCGACGTCGGCGTACCTCGTTCTTTGCACGCCGCAAGCGGCGCACCTCGTCGAGCAGGACCACCGGACGGCGTCGGTGCGGGCGTCGGGCTCGCTGCTGGTGGGGTGCAACCACGACTGCACGGACGAAGACAACGCCGCCGCGCTCGAGGCCGCGGCGCGCGACCTCGCCGAGCACGAGACCGCCACGGGGATGGACGTCATCATCCAGTCGTCCATCGACCGCAAGTGTCGCGTCGACGAGATCGTGCGCGAGGCGCTGGCGAGGCGGAGGAGGGAGCTCCGCCGGCAGGAGTGGGCTGTCGCGGTCGAGGATGTGCTCGCTGTCTTGCAGGACCCTGAGGTGTCGAATAGTGACACTCATTACGCTGCCATCATGGACCCGCAGAATGGAAAGATCCTGTGGAGGAGGGTGTACATGCCTGGGGAGCTGGGGGAGTTGGAGGAGCCAGAGGAGCCGGAGGATTGGTCCATGGTTTTATAGATAATGTTAGGATTCTACACCTCGGCAGCGTCGATCTATTAACTCATGGGGCCATATACACCTATAAATAGCATCCCATTATGACCTGAAGCATGATAACGATTATAACCACATGTTCCACCTCGACTGAAGTGCCGAAGTGCAGTACAATACTAATCAAGTGCCAACCATTCGCCATCACCCACTCTTCGTCATCACCCACTCACCTACCCAAAACAAGTCTCTATTCCACAAAGCAAACGAGGGAGAGCTGTGGGAGAGCATAGGTATGGGACGGCTCGGAGAGGATTTTAATAAGGAGCAGGATGCGGTGCTAAGGGAGCTGATGGCCGTGGAGGAAACCAGTACAGATGAACAGGAAGCACAGCTGAGAAGGGTGTTGGGAATCCAGAATTTGTCAATGGCCAGAAAAAGACTGGACGCGGAAGGGAATGACGACTAGCAGAAAGCTGACAAATTCCGGTCTCAACCCTCAATCACATCCCAGCCGCTGTTGCTAGCTGTCACGGACCTGTCTTTGTGCTAGGTTCCCCTAAGAAGAACGCATGACCAAGGAGATGGGCTATCTGACTTCGTCTCCCTGGCTCTGTCTTAACCATTGCCCGAATGAGATCGAGGAAGACCTCGCTCTTAGGGTCGCGTTGCGGTCTACGAGATTCCCAGGCTTGGTCCGTATCGAACGACAGCAACACTGGCTGACTCCAACCCCTGGTCCTCTCGCAGAGCTTTTCCAAGTCCCAAACCTCGAGCCACTCCTTCGGTGGCGACCCGCCGAGCTGCAAAGCCTGGTAAAGCTGGTACTCGGAATCGCCTTCCGGTGAGAGGAGTTCGCCTCCTGTCTTGATTGGTATGCCTGTTCAATACATCCATCTATACATGGGGATGAAGATTTTGGTAGGAATGACTTACGATACACCCGATTGCCCAGATGTCTGCTTCTTTGCTCCAGATGGATCCGACTTTTCCGTCGGACAAACTGTAAATGTAGACCTCGGGCGGCCGAACCATGGGAGGGGCAGCGCCTGGTAATTCCGTGATCTCTTTATCTGTCCAGTAGGCTAATGGGATACAGACCGTTAGCAAGGCCGCCCAGAGCGTCTAGGGGCAGTCGACGCCCTAGAGAGTTGTAATCAGAGCATACAGAAGATGCTACCTTACCCCTTCCAAAGTCTAAGGTCTTGAGACGGAACTCCTCGCTTGGAGGAAAACAGTGGTTATCCGCGAGGAAAGACCCCAGGGAGACACACTCAGTGATGTAAGTCGGTATCGAGTCTCTTGGGGACGACGGATCACGCGGTATCACCGGGATAACGACAGGGTTTGCGAAGTGATCTGCTATCGCCTCTTCATCGAAATCTTGCAGTTGTGGTATTGCGATACCGAAGTTGGCATAGTTGGGGCCTAATTATAGGCACATTGTTAGTCGCTGAGCCTTCATACCAACTGACCCTTGGGATGCGGTCATTGGTTTTAGTCAATAATTAGTACCTCCATGTACCAGCCCCTCCTGGTGCAGAAATGCAAATCCACTCATCAACTGCTCAATCGCTTTCTGAGACGAGCATCTCTGTCGAATACCTAGCTCGTTGAGAGGCACGACGACTTCAGTTACCAGACATTCGTGGAACCCATTAGGGCCCCGTATGGCAAACACATCATATACTTGAATGATGGTGTCGTAACCTGGCTCTCCTCGCCCGTTCTGCTGAATTTATGTGAGGATTTTCGCTTCGCTGCTCCGAACCAGTTGTCCGGATCCACGACAGATTTTCACAGCAACATATCTTCTAGGTATATTGTTAGCCAGCGTTGACTAGTCGTAATTCGCCCAAGCCTGCGGGCGCTAACTTACTCCTCGGCGAGGTCACGAGCTAGCCAGACTGTCGAGAATGCCCCAAACGCCAGTTTCTGGGAGATATGATATCTCGGTTGCTTGGCTTCGTCGCTGGCACAGGTGCTGGGCTTTGGGAGGATATTACCGGATGGTGGGGTGTAGTCCGCCCGGCTTGTAATTGGTAAGGTCTTCGAACCCCAAGTCGTCGCCGTTGTAGAAGAATAGCTCTTGCTGGGTAGATGGCATAGTGGCGGAGACACACGGCTCTCCGGCGGATGACCTTTGTAGTGTGGGAGTCCTTATTTGAGGAACATGTGAGCAATGTAAGTGGTGGGGACCAGCCTGGAATGGCACAGCCACTCCCCGGCGCTTGGGGGGCTTTGTCATCATTGTGCATTCAGGAGGGGGGTCTCATCGCTCACAATAGAGAGATATGATCCGACTTTGGCTGCTTTGGAAGCCCAAAACGACAACATTTTGTAACAGTCAAGTATGACACAGCAATCTAGGCTTGGAGAGTTTCAGCTGTTGTCCAAGACTCTAAGTTGTTGCTGCTTTAATCCAAGTTGTAGTTGTTCTTCAATCACAAGGCGCCCCATGTTTGAATGCTTAGATTTGTTGCCAGGCTGCACTGTAAACTCATTTCTTTCTCATTTATCAGCTTCAAGTGCAGATGCAGAGGTCAAAAGTGAAGGAATCAAAAGTGAAGGAATTGGCAGCTGAGAGAAAATGATTTCAGATTACTGGTTAATGTGAGATTTTAACAAAAAAAAAATGGATACATCCGGATTCGAACCGGAGACCTTTCCCAGTACACATGTAAATGCGAAGGGAAAATCATACCCCTAGACCATGCACCCAGCTATACTGTATTTGGCTACTAGGATAGCTACTTATACCTTTGATCGCTAGCAGGTCCCGCCGCTTGCCCCAAGATGGAAAGTGGCCTGTGCGCCGACCTCATGCTCCATACACCCACCTAACGTCTGCCTCCTTGTGAGGGGAGACGTAATCGGCGATGCTCAAGGAGAAACGCTGAGATGTTAGTCTTGATGCAGGGAATTACGTCTACTGAGATAAGTAACTAGCACAACAGCTGAGCACTAATTGAGACATAGACGTTTACCGGATGCAAGATAGATTAAACGGAGTGCCTGCAAGTCTGTCAGGAGAAATGAGGATGATTTCTACAGAAGGCATAATGCCCCCAAGAAAAAGGGGGAAAAAAAGAGGGAATCTTTTTTTAAAGAGGAACATTACAACGCAAGCCAATTTATTAATAGGAAAGTCCGAGCCATAGCCACTAGGGTTAGTAGTGGTAGCAGCAGTGATAGTGGTGGCAATACTAGTAGCGAGACACTACCGCTGCTCAAAGGAGGGCGCATCAGCGAATATACCCACTTCCGGAACCGCCCAGAGGAAGGGTATTCGGCAGCATGGCTTGCGGAGCGCCTTGCTGCTGTGGAGGCTGAGCCAGGCTCTGTGCACCCGCCGACCCCTGGGTGCCGGTACCTGCAGCGCCGATGCCCCCCGCGCCGGGATTATTCGGGTTCCCGGGCTGGTCGGCTGCGGGGAACTGCTGCTGCTCCGGCGGCTTGGCAAGTTCCGGCGGCATTTGGTTGCCTATATTTGCGAGTTGGTAATACTGTTGCTGTTGATGTTGCTGCTGCTGGAAGCCTTTGCTGCGGCGCATAGCTCTGCTGCTGTCCGTAACCCTGCTGATACCCGTAACCCTGCTGCTGCCCGTAGCCTTGGTTCTGCCCGTAAACCGACGGCTGTCCGTACCCCTGCTGCTGTTGGTAGCCTTGGTGTAGCTGTGGCAGACCTTGATTCTGAAGCCCCTGTGCTATGGGCTGTTGCTGCTGATGACCTCCCAGAGAGTGTCCCCGTGACGCAAGGAGAAAGGCTGCGTATTATCAAGGGCAGGACCGCCGCCCAAGCCGCTGACGATACGGTTGTAACGACTTCGGATAATAACGGTTTACCTCCGCGGCCAGTCTAGGCCGTGTGCATCGTCGATGGCGTCGCGTTGTGCGAGCGCCAGGAGCCCCGGGAGGAGGTGCTGCCGGTGCTCGCGGGCCTACTCGCCCTGACGGCGATCCGACTGTGGAGGCGGCAGTCAAAGTGCTATTCAGAGCACGCCTAGCCCGGTGATTGTGAAGGCGCCGTTCAAGATGGACGGCGGCAGGGAGAACCTGATCGTCGATGTCAAGCAACTACAGCCCATGCCGTGGGCTGTGAGCGATGAACGGATGGCCAGAGAGTTAGAGAGGGGACTTGGAACAGCGTTGGTAGAACGTCAGGGTGAAGAAATGAAGATTAGCAACTCAACCGCCCTCACGCGCGCAGAAGGTTCGATGCGTCAAAAGAAAGGCCTATTTTCTTCGCCAGAATCTTGATTTGTTATATAGGAATCAATCTATCCACAGATTTGATATTTTGATTCGTTACTGGTTAAGCCCTGAGGAAGGCCTAGTTCATCCATTTACCACATGTCACAAAACCCCCCAGGAACTAGACGAACCCTACCTACCCTATCATCACTATATTACTAGCTTCGATACCAAGGCGGCTGGTTGAAACTCTATGTAGCTTGGCTTGCTCACATGGTAGTAAATACAGGATTCTTGCTAATCATTTTCTGTCGTTCCTCCCTCTTTATCCTTTACATGCTCAACTCCATAGGGGGTGTGGTGTCTTGTAATGTCCCCGGACAAGAACTTAGTAAGGGTGGAAAATGAAGTTCCTAGGATGGTGCCTGGTAGCTAGTTGAAATAAAACCGATTTGGAAGAATCGAGTTTCCCTAGCCAATTTAATACTGCCAAAGGACTAGTACATGCCAACAGACCCCATATATAATCCCGTCATAACCCTTACGTCTCTCTCTGATTCTCAACCAATCCCTTCAGCACGGGTGTCGCTCCTCATCGACGCATCGAGCCATCTCCCGCAGCGTACTAGCCCCGTAGAGGGCCCGCGTCGCCACCGCCACACCCACAGACTCCCTGATGGCGGCCTGCAGCTGCATCAGCAGCAGTGAATTGCCGCCGGACAAGAAGAAGTCGGCGGACGGGGCGATGATGCGCGTCTCGCTCTCGGGAAGGACGCGTTCCCACAGGAGCCGCAGCTCACCCTCGCCCACGGTCATCTCGTCATCGGCGGCTTCTATCTCTCTCTGCGGCGGGTGGGTCGTATCGACAGGCTCCCGGCCATCGAGTCTTCCGCCGGTGGCAGTGGCGGTGGATACCGTGGATGGGATATCGTGATTCCAAATCCCGCACTGATCCACCCGCACTTCAGGATCCATCAGAACCCTCTCCAGCAGACCCAAATACTCGTCCAGCATGGCCTCACAGGCCTCACGGCTGTACAACGCCGCCTGGCAGTGCATTTGCACGGCACACCTCGCACCCCCCTCGATAAAGCCCCAGCTAATATCGTACGGGTCTTCGGCGTCCTTCCCCCCCGCCAACCTCATCCGGCACTCATCGCCCAGCGGCAGGTCGTCGATCGAGCCCGTGCGATAATTGACGGCCACCTGGAACAGGGGAGTGCAGTCCGGCGACCGGGGCGCCCTCACCCTATCCAGGACCATTTCCAGCGGGACTGCGGCGTGGGAAAACGCCGCGAGGGCCTTCCCGGAGGCGGCGCGGGCGACGTCGGAGAAGGCGGCGTGGCGCGGCACGCGGAAGCGGACGGGGAGCATGTTGATGAGACAGCCAACCGTCTGGGCGAAGCGCGCGTCGCCGCTGCGGTTTGCGTCGACGACGCCGAGACAGACGTCTTCGGAGCCGGCGTGGCGGGCGAGCAGGACTTGCAGGACGGCCAGGTGGAGGTGGAACGGGTTGATGTTGAGACCCTGGCATGTCTCCTTGATGGCCGCGAACTGCGCCGGCTGGAGCTCCCGCATTTGGTGATGGCTGCCCTCGCCGGTCGGGTCTGCGGGGCGGGCGGGTAGGCGGGCGAAGGCGGGTAGTAGGGGCAGGGGCTCGGGTAGGGTCTCGAATTCGGCCTGCCAGAAGGAGAGGTGCTCGTCGAACGCGCCCGACTTCTCCTGCTCCTGCAGCAGCGCGGAGTACTCAAGGTGGGAGCCTGCCGCGGTCTTGTCTAGCAGACGCATGCGGTACGCCCTGTCCAGGTCACGGATGAACACGTGCCAGCCCGTGGCATCCATGACGATGTGGTGGTAGCTGAAGACGATGTCGTGCTGCTCTTCCGCGTCGCCCCGGCTGAGCACCGTCACCCCAAACGTGTCCCCGTTCTCGAGATCCCACGCCCTCGACTTGAGCCGGCCCACTTCCCTGTGCACGTCGCTCTCGTCCGCCCCGCGCACATGCTTCAGGTCGTAGGCGGGCGCAGCTATGACGCCCTGCATGGGAACCCCGTCCCCCGGGCGCGCATAGAAGCGCATCCGGAGGCAGTCGTGGTGGTGCGTTGTCGCGTGGAGCGCATGTCGAAGTCGGGCCATGCTGAGGGGGCCTTGGACGTGGTAATGAAAAACCATGTTGTAGGCCGCCGGGTCTGCTAAGAAGTGCTTGGACATGAACCAGATGCGGGCCTGGGCTGGTGACATTTGCTGGTGGTGCGTCGTCTCGTGAGGCGGTTTGACTGCGCCCACGGCTGCGGGGGAGCTACTGGAGCGCTCCGAGGCGGCATCGGCGTCGCTGAGCTCCGTCTTGGTGCTAGACGACGCTTCCGTTTCGCTGGAATTGTTTCCTCTGCTGGAAACTGCAGAATCCGCAGGCGTAGTATTTTCTGTCTCGGAGACGTCTTGCTGCACCACCACCTCCTGAGCCTTCTTCTTCATATTCTTGGCCATCATTTTCTTAGCCGCCAATGTACACAGCTGCAAGACAGTGTCACCTCCAAGGATCTTAACCACAGGCACGTCGGCCCCCAGTTCCTTGAGGAACCAAGTCCGCAGCTCGACCGCCACCAACGAGTCGATTCCCAACCCAATGACGGCTTGCCGAACATTCTCCTTGACACTGCCATCCGGCAGCTGCAGGATCGACTCCAGTCTGCTGCAGAAAGCCTCCAGCACCGCAGCCACCGCCTCGTCCTCGGACCGGGCCTCCTCGACCCGCCGTCGGACGCCGCCCATGTTCGTCGCCGCGCGATCCTGCTGCTCCGTCTGCAGCGCGCTGAACGGCACAAAGTGTCCCAGGCGCGGGTTGGACAGCCAGACACACGTCTTCCCGGGTGCGGGCGGCTCGGTGGGCGGATCGAGGCCCATGATGATATCGTGCGATCCTCCCCCGCCGCCAGGCCTCCCACCCCTGACGGCCTCGGCAAAGGCGTGATGCACCTCCGTCTCGGACAGCGGCATCAGGCGTATGTCGCGGAAGTGCTGCTCGAGCCCGCGCCCGCGGTCCTGGCGCATCACGTAGCCGACGTCAGCGACGTGGCCGACGTGGACGACGGAGCCGGCGCGGCCGCGGGCGCGCCGCGCCGCCACGAGGCCCGCCATGAAGAGGTTGGCCACGTGGTAGTTGGCCTGCCCGACGTTGCCGATGACGGCGGCCGTCGACGAGAGCACGACGAAGAAGTCGAGCGGCACTTCGGCGAAGGCGGCGTCCAGGTGCGACGTGCCGCATACCTTGGGCGCTAGCGTGCTGTTGAGCTGGTCGACATCCATGTCTACGAAGAGCTTGTCTGCAAGGACCATGGCGGCGTTGCATATGCCTGCGACTGGGGGCATGTTGGCATCCTGCGCCAGCTGGGCGACGACTTGCTGGACCGAGTCCTTGTTGGACACGTCCATGGCAATGACAGTGACTCGTAGCGATGCACCGTGAAGTCGGCGTGCGTCTTCAAGAAGTCTCGCGTCTACCTGCGGGTTCCTACTCGTGATGACGATGTGTTTAGCGCCATTGCGCATCATCCACCAGCATATAGACAGACCCAGGCCCCCCGCGCATCCGACCATCAGATACGTCTTATCTGGCTTGAACAGACCTCGTGGATCGAGAGGCCGGGTGGTCAGGAGTAGTGACTCTCGCTCCTGCCAGTCGGTTATGAACCTCGTGTGCATAAGCGGTGACACAGAGGCGCCTGCGAGCTCGGCAGCCTTGAACAGCTTGCAGTCGCAGATGTTGACATCAGCGCCGGAAGAAAATCCTTTGACCTGCAAATATGATCCCTCAAGCAGTGCCGCTGCCTGGCCAGAGATAAGGGCTGCTTCCTGTATAAGACGTGCGTCGAGCTGCCTCGCCACGCAGCCAGGCGGCAGACAGGCTCGAAGCGTATCGCCCATAGGGTTCTCTGCAGCGGACGAATAGTATCCGACGCAGTCAACATAGAGCTGGACATGACGGGGCATTGCCATTAGCGCAGCTCGTTTCAAGGCGCGTGGATGCATCTTGATCCATGCGTCGGGGGTGTCTGGGCTACAAGACGCAAAATAGGCGTGCTGGAACTGGCCGCCACCTTCGCCACCTCCCTTGAGCGCGAGCTCGAGCTCGGCGGCGACCATGGTAGCCAGTGATTCCTCAGGCGCGTACAGGAACACCGGGCGAGGGGGGGCTTGTTGGCTTGCCAAAATGGCGATGGCTCGCGCGAGCATGCGGCTGGCGGTGGAGACGAGAACGGCTGGCGTGCAGTCATGGTCGGCGATGGCGACCAGGGGCACCCCCGGCTTCACGTCGACGACGGAGGCGTTGGTGTTGGATATTGCCATGACCGGAGAGGATGACACCGTGTCACTCTCTTGATGGTGCCCACAGACGAGATAGACACCCTTTCCGTTCTCGGAGGGGATATGTAGGGAGTACTTGACTTGGATACGAGTGCGGTTGGGACCAACCGGCAACTCTTGATCTTCGTCGTCATCAGCGGGCTGCATGTCCATGTCTGCAGCGTCTTGCAGCACCATCTTGTTGGCAGGTCCCGCAACAGCTCGGACGGCAACATCAGTCGCGTCCACAGTCTTGGTGACGGCCCGCCTCGAGGAATTGTACCGCTCGTTCAGGGCCTTGTCTGGCACCTCGCGCGGGATCATGAAAATCCCGTCTGCTAGAACCTCGACTTCAGGTTCATGCGACCACAAAACCCGAGGCTTGTCACCGTCGTCGTCGTCATTCTCCGACTCTCTTAGCCGGAGGAATGCTTCGAGGCACTGCTTGCCAGCCACTGCGGCCGGTGCTGCTCCGATATCAAGGCCGAGAACCTGCACTTGTAGGTGCGGCAGCTCCGTGGGGGCCACGCGTGCGATGCCGTGAAACATGGCCGCCCGCGGATCCATTATCTGGGATGGGGACCCGGATCCGGACCTGCCTGCACCGGTGACCCACAGCATAACTCTCGTGTTTATCAAGAGGCTCTGCAGAATGGACATTCGATCTGCCGTCATGGGCGTGGCGAACAAGGGATCGTCAGCCTCGTGCAGGCAAATCACGCCGACTCCCGGGGTCAGCCCGGCCGGATCGATGTCATCGATGCTGCCGGCCACCCGCACGTGACGTCCCCACGGCCCCGGAAGTAGTCTCAGGATCTCCCCCATCACCTGGGACGTCCAGGGCTTGTTCCCGCCGACGAGCAGCAGCGGCTCAGCGGTACTAGGGGGCCGAAGCTCGCCTATCCAGGACAGCGGATCGCGCAGGCGCAGCCAGGCATCGTCCACGGCCTGGCTGACGATGAGCGAGGTGGTGTGCTTGCTAGCGTCAGCCAGGTCGTGCATGACGGTGCCGGCCCCTGAGAAGCCCGTCTCGCGCAGGATCACGTCCCAGTCGGCGGCGGGCACCACCGGCCCTAGTCGCCGGCCAGCTTCCTCGCTCAGCCACCACCCGGGGAGGCCGCCGAAGACGAGATGGCCGCGGATGCTCTGCAGGCCCGTGGTCTCCATCATGACCAGGTAGCCGCCCGGGCGGAGCAGCGAGCGGACGTTTCGCATCGTCGTGTGCAGGGAGCGGGTGACGTGGAGCACGTTTGCTGCGATGATGACGTCGTACGCTTGCTCGCTGAAGCCCTGCGCCGAGGGTGGTTTCTCCACGTCTAGCGTTTTGAAGACCATCTTGTCTGCGAATCCCGAGAACTTGCTGGTCGCCTTCTGGAAGAAGCCGGACGAGATGTCGGTGTAGGTGTACGAGTCGTACGCGTCGTCAATTGTGTTCAGAACGCTCCACGTCTAATACCAGGTCATCTCACGTTAGCAAGGCAAGTTTGACCCTGACTCGAAGAGGAAAACAAAGAGAAAATGAAAGTGAAAAGAAAGCCAGAATTCATACCGTGCCCCCCGTACCGGCACCGACCTCGAGGATGTTGCAGCGCGGGAACTTGAAAGTGATCTGCCTCAAGACACCGGCAATGGCATCGTTGATGAGAAACGTCTCGCTATCCATGTACACGCGATTCAGCATGTCATCCCTATTCATGACCTCCAGCAACTGCGTCTCCCCCCTGACGACGCCCGCGAGGTTCTCACCCACGGCACGAATCAGCTGCAGATCGACCCACTCGGGATTCGCGGCGTATATATCTTCAATGACAGACACCTCGTCTGCCAGCCAGCTGCTCGGCAGCAGGCTATTCTGCCCCTCCCGGATCGCGTCCAGGCGCTGCTCAAACGCCTCGAACATACGCTGGTGGTACCACTGGAACGCGGTCCTTTCCGGCGCGCCGATCTGCTCCACGACGCGCCTCATGTAGAAAAGCGCGAACCGCTCCGTGGCCTCGGTCTTGCGCAGGGCCTCGACTTCCTTGACGGGGTCGCGCACGGGGTCGGCCAGGCCGAGCGAGGCGTCGCGCGCCCACGCCGTCTTGGAGAAGACGTGTCTGTCCTGCGCGGCGTCCGGCTCGCCGATCAGCTTGACGACGAGGCCCTCGACCTGCAGGAACGTCTGGCCGGTCCCGGCGTCGTACACGTTTAGGTCTCCGGTGAGCGAGGATGCCGTCTGCGCGACGATCCAGGCTTCGAACTCGGCGGCGACGTTGCCGCCACCGTCCGAGAGAGATGATGGTGGTAGGATTTCAACCGAGGGACTAACTCGGACTCGGTCGATGTGTGCCGGTAGAAAGGCCGAGGTGATCTGGCGGCTGGCCGGGTGTGCACGGGCGACAAAGACGGTCTGAAAGGCCACGTCCAGCAGGGCCGGGTGGACGACGTAGTGGTGGCTCAAGAATCCCTCGGGCCAGCTGCCCCTTGCCGTGGCATAATTGAGGCAGCGACTGCTGTCTGTGATAGCGCGGAAAGCCCCGGAGTATTTGAGGCCGAGCTCTCCAAACATGGAGTAGACCTGCCCGCCGTCGACACTGCCGAGGTTTGGGGGCACCGCATCTCTGGGCGGCAAGCATTCCGCCTGCTCCTCCCCGGACCTGGAATGCGTGGCGTCGTCATGGCCGAGGTGGACAGAGAGACTGCCGCTGCAGGTGTGGATCATGGACTCGATGGATTCGTCCTTGCAGACGTAGTACTCAAACCGGGCCCGCAAGACGTCGCTGGCGGCTGGGGAGGAAGAAGGAGAAGCAGAAGCAGAGTCATTATCCAGTAAGCACATGGTGAACAAGGTCTCGACACCGTCCTTATCATCAGGTACAACCACGGGGCGGCGGATATCCACATTCTCGACCTCGAGCAGCCGGACGCGCTTCGCACCGCCCCCGACCGCCACCGCCAGGCGCTTTCCCGCCTCGAGCGCGACGGACACGTACGCGGCGGCGGGCAGCAACACCTCGCCGAGGACCTCGTGCCCGCGCAGCCACGGCATCTCGGGCAGCCGGAGCACGTTGCGCCAGCGCAGCTCTCGGTCGTTATCGTCGGGGGCCCGGCGGCCCAGGAGCTCGTGGCCGCCGTCCCTGCCGGTGCGGTATCGCCGCGAGATGCGCGACTCGCGCCAGTAGACCTTGTTGTCGTGGTGGTCCCATGAGTAGGGGGGCAGGTCCTTGACCAGCCTCGGGGCCGGCGGTGGTGGTTGGGACTCATAGAAGGCCCCGCGATAGCCGTCAAAGTCGACGAACGACGGGCCCAGCTGCGCCCACGTGGCGCCCACGGCGGCTGAGAATGCCGCGACGTCGCTGTTGTTGCGACTCAGCGTGCCCGTGTATAGCGGAACGGAGTTGAATACGGCCTTGATGGTCTGCTCGACGGGGCCCCTGAGTGCGGGATGGGGGCCTACCTCGATGGCCAGGTCCCACGGACCGCCGTGCCAGATGGACGACTCGACGGCCTTGGAGAAGAGCACCGTCTGCACCATGTTGGCCACCCAATATGGGCCCTTCAGGGCCGAGAGGTCACCCCTCCTGAGGAGCTCCGTGTCGCCTCGCACACTCGAGTTCCAGACACACGCGCCGGGGCTCGGTAGGCGAACCTCGATGTCGCAGGCGAGCAGCGACCGCAAGTAAGGTTCGGCACACGGCTCCATGTGATGCGAGTGGTACGCCGTGTCCACCTTGAGCTGGCGGACAAAGACATTATCAGCGTCGAGCTGCCGCTTCGCTTCATGGATGGCGTCCACGTCCCCCGAGAGGGTCACGCTCTGGGGCGCGTTGCTGGCGGCAACCTGGATGCGACCCTGGAACTCTGGACGGCGGCAGAATTGGAGAGCCTTGTCGAGCGACAGCCCGGCCGCCAGCATGCCCCCGCGTTCGCCATTGGCACCTACAGCAAGCCCGGCGTAGAGACCCCGGTAATACGCAATCTGCATCGCGCCCCTGAGCGTGATGATCCCGGCCGCGTACGTGGCGGCAATCTCGCCCGATGAGTGTCCCACCACCGCATGGAAGGTGATGCCGGCGGCCGCCAGCAGATCCACCAGCGCGATCTGCACGGCCGTGCACAGTGGCTGGGCGATTTCCGCCTCGGACACCCGCGAGGACGGGCCGTCTGCCATCAGCTCCTGCGCCAGCGACCACTCGGGCGCGTCGGCGGCGACGGGCAGATCCCCCAAGGTGGCCTCGCACTCCCGGACCGTCCTGCGGAACAGGGGCGACTTCTTCATCAGCTCCCGCCCCATGGCCGGCCACTGCGCGCCCTGCCCGGTGAAGATGCCGAGGATCCCCGGGACCTCGCTCGGGTTGATCAGCTGCGGCTGGTACCCGACCTGGGAACTCGCGGCTTTGTCGTGGTCCGTGACCCATCCGGCCATGCTTTCCAAGATGGAATCCCGAGATGCACCGGAGAAATGGGCCCGGACTCGGTGAGTGGACCGCCTTGTTTGAAGCGTCCAGCTCAGATCCCGCAGATCGAGCGAGGAGTGATGCCTCAGATGTTGCAGGTGGGCGCGGACTGTTGCCAACAGCGATGCTCCCGATGCAGCCGAGAACAAGAGAGGGCCCAGAATACCCTCTTCGTGATCCGAGTCTTGGTCGTCTTCGACGTGATCGTGTCGCTGTCCCCAGGAGCTTCCGTTTACATTGGCATTGTCGTTATCGAAGCTTTCGATAATGGCATGGGCATTCGTGCCTCCGAATCCAAAACTATTGACGCTGGCGCGGGCGGGGGTCCCGGCGGGCAGCTCTGGCCATGGGAGTGCCGCCGTGGCGATTTGGAGAGGCCCGTAGTACGGCGCGATGGCCGGATTGAGTTTGTTGAAGAAGAGGTTGGGGGGGATGGTCCGATTCTTGAGGGCAAGGAGTGCCTTGATGACACCAGCGACGCCCGCGCAACCTTCCAGATGCCCGATGACGGTCTTGATCGATCCCACATAGATGATGGGCTCCTCGGTGGCTAGATTGTGGCCATGGCCGGCCAACAGAGACTCGCTGATTGCCTGCGCTTCCACGGGATCGCCGGCAGGGGTCCCCGTCCCGTGGCACTCAAAGAACTGAGGCCGGTCCTTGACCAGGTCCAGACCAGCCCGGCGATAGGTCTGGCGGATGAGCGCTGCCTGTGCAGGGGCGAAAGGCATCGTGATACCGGGGCTCTGGCCATCCGAGTTGACGCCGGTGCCGCGGAGAAGGCCCTCGACGTGGTCGCCATCTTTCAGAGCCCGGCTGAGGGGCTTAAGGAGCAGGGCGGCCGCGCCCTCGCCGCGGGCATAGCCGTTTGCGGACTCGTCCCACATGCGGGACCGCGAGTCGGGAGACAGCATGTGGAGCTTGGACTCGGTGATGTAGCTGGCAGGGTCAAAAATCAGGTTGACGCCTGCGACGACGGCCGCTTCGCTGTCGCCGCTGAGCAATCCCCGGGCCGCGTGGTGCAGGGCAACGAGAGAACTGGAACATGCCGTATCGATGGTCTCAGAGGGGCCCTTAAGATCGAAGGTGTATGAGATGCGGTTCGAGAGAATACTGTTGCCCGTCCCCGTCGCGGCATACTTGGAGATTGTTTCTAGATCGCGCAACTGGATGTTGGCGTAGTCGGCAGTCATCACCCCGACATGGACCGAGGTCAACGAGCCCCTGAGCTGATCAAGCGTGACGCCAGCCGATTCGAGGGCTTCATAAACTACCTCGAGAAGCACACGCTGCTGTGGATCCATGCCCGATGCCTCCAAGGGGCTGATGCCGAAGAACGGGGCATCGAACAACCGATTATCCTCCTCGAGAAGATACGACTTATTTTGGACATCTGTGGATCCGTGTACATCACCGTCGGGGTGGTAGAAACGCTGCAGGTTAAGGCGATCCGGATCAAATTCTTTCAAGACGTCACGAGGCTGTCGCAGCAGGTCCCACAGTTTAGAAGGCGAGTTAGACGCGCCCGGGAACCTGCATGCCGACCCAACAATGGCTATGGGCTCCTCGGCAAACTCATGTTGGGTAGTCATTGTAGAAGAGGGGATGGATAATTACCCCACAATAAGCAAGTGAGGAAGCTGGGTATACGATCGTTTCAAAACAGAAACAACGAAAAGTCCTTGCGCAAGAAGAGGAAGGAGAGATAGAGACAGAGAGAGACAGAGATAGATGCACATGCACACGCATACACACACATATGTGTCTTTGGTCTCATTGTGACCTGTGAGTATCTGTGCGTGCGGATTATTTACAAACACTTCCATTGTGCCAGAGACTGTAGCATGTGCGTGGGTCTCCCAAGACACCACCTGTGGCGTGGCAGGAGGCTCCGCAAGAGTGACAGCCCCGGTCCCAGAAGTGAGGGTTTCCGGGGAATATTCCGTTCAGAGGATAGACATCCGGGTCAGCAAGTACCGTTGCTCACATCCGAGGTAGGCACATGTATGTACATTCTGGAAATTCTCCGTGCCGCCTTGGTAATATTCCGTGCAGTGGCTGACGAATAACCCGAGCAGGATTTCCCGTGCTGACCGGATACCCGACATTCACGAAGAATTCTGGCAGTACAGACTGGTAATACGGAGTAATAGCGACGACAATGAGGGCCTGCACATTGCTTCGATGCTGGGACAGCGCCACACCTTAGCGTCATGGAATGCCATCTCACAGTCCCGTACGGTTGGGGCGGACCTTAGTAAAGGATAGGTAGATAGGGTTTAGTTGAATTCCGGCTCCAAGGTGCAGGGAGTAGGCCGACACCCATCAACCCCATCTCTTAATAGCCCCCCGAGCAACTTTCGAACAGAGAGCAGCTCCGCTGAAAACTTGGGAATACTCATTTGGACAATGGCAACCTCGTCTCCTCTCCCAGCCGTGCAAACGGCAGTCAAAATTACGGGCCCCGGCACCGTCGCCCTGAACAAGGCAGCACCACTGCCCGTCCTCGACCCATCCGAGATCCTCGTGCGCGTCGCCTGCGTCTCCATCAACCCCGTCGACGGCAAGTCCGCCGAGATGGCCCCATCGCCCGGCGCGACCAGCGGGGTCGACTTCTCCGGCATCGTCGTCGCCCTGGGCGCCGACGTAGGCACGGACGAGTTCCGCGCCGCCACCAAGATCAGGCCCCCGTCGATCGGCGACCGCGTCTTCAGCTGCGCCTTCGGCAACAACCCGCTGCGCCGCGACAACGGCGCCTTCGCCGAGTACGTCGCCGCGCCCGCGCGCCTCGTCTGGCACGTGCCCGAGGCCATGGACCTGGTGACGGCCGCCACGCTGGGCACCGCCGTGGCCACGGCCGGGCTGGCGCTTTTCCAATATCTGCAGCTGCCCATGCCGTCAAACACCAGCGCCGGCTCCGCCAACCCCGCGGGTTCGGACTCGGATCCGGTCTTGTCCCACGCCAAGGGCAATAATACCGTGGAAGGCCCCTTCGTGCTGGTATACGGCGGCGGCACCTCAACCGGTGCCACAGCAATCCAAGTCCTCAAACTAGCAGGCTTCACCCCAATAACAACCTGCTCCCCAGCCTCCGCAGCGCGCGCCACCCGTCTGGGAGCAGCCGCAACCTTCGACTACCGCTCGCCGACCTGCGGCGCCGACGTGCGCTCGCACACGTCCTCGAGCCTAACCCTGGCGCTGGACTGCATCACGGACACGACGTCGACCAGCACGTGCTACGAGGCGCTCGGGGCGGCGGGCGGGCGGTACCTGGCGCTGGACCCGTTCGCGGTGCGGTGCCACACGCGGCGCAGCGTGGCGCCGGACTGGATGTTCGTGTGCAGCATGTTCGGGCAGGCGATACCGTGGGCGTCGCCGTTCGACTGGGACGCGCGGCTGCGGGATCGGGAGTTCGCCGAGGTCTGGTTCACGGTCGCGCAGGGGCTGCTTGATGCGGGGGAGATTGAGGCGCATCCGAGGGAGGTTAGGAGGGGGGGGTTGGCGAGGGTGGGGGAGGGGATGGAGGAGGTGCGGAGGGGGAAGGTGCCGGGGCGGAAGTTGGCTTATCCTGTTGTTGAGGAGTGGTGCGTGATGGGGTAGATAGATAGACAGCTAGGTACGCACTAATTGATTATTAGATTCTAAGTACGATTTATGTCGTGTCCTAATTATTGTCAAAGTAAAGCCCGCTCTAGAGGTTGGTTGCGAGGCCGCCAAGTGGTTTGCACAGTAGACCGATCAATGTTCGCATACCCGACATAGCACGAAGCGGCTGTCAGGGGGCGAGATAGGTATGAAGACAGAGAGCGTGAAGAGGTTTCTCCTTGAGCGGCTAAGACTGCCTACGACTACTCTGACTTGCACCATTATTGCCTTTTTCGTCCATTCCAACTTGTTCATCCTCCGAGTCGCCACTCACTTCAGCCATTTACACCACTATATAGGCCCCTTGGTATCCCCCTTCTCCGCGCTTGGGGCCTTGTTCTCCAGGTTATTTAGGCTGAAATGGCCAGAGTCGGGGTCCAAGAAGGACATGTTATACAAGTCTGCTTTAGTCGCCTTCCTCGTGTTCGGCCTCACGAGACCAAGCCTCCCCCGTTCCATGTTGGGTGCTAGTCCATCAATGACATCAAGAGTGAAGTTATCGAGAGTGTGGACATCCTCTGTTCGCAGCATTCGCCTGGCTCGAAGAGTATCCAAGATCTGCGACTCGTCCGGTGTGAGACTCTTCTGGATCCTCTCAATGTCCTCGAGGGTCTGGGTTTGATCACTAGTGCCGTCTACTCCGAGGCTCTTGAGTTTTTGAACAAGCGCCTCCTTTTGCTCTGGAGTGAATTGAATCATGGCGCGGAAGCCGAACTCGACCGTCTTGGAGATTTCTGCCTGGGTGAGGGCAGGATTGGGGCCGGCATCGACGGTGCCTTGGATGACTGTAGAGATTGATGCGAGTTATTACATGGTTACTTTCCAAGTCGATAGGGCTCACTTACCTGGTCTGAACAATTCGAAAGCTCGCGCGTAGCTTTCCTCATCAAAGTCATACAGGACAGGCTCGTCCTGCCATCGGATCTGCTTCTGGGCACCGACAACCACCAATAAGAACCGAGTGTAACTCTCGGCCACTCTCTTGGAGTGCCAGCTTGCAGCAGTGCTCTCACTTCAGGGAGCCCAACGTTAGCAAGGTCATGCGGCAGTTGTTGTAGGGTTCAAACTCACTCGCAGTCACCACGCATGGCCGCAGAAATGGTCACCGCTGCCGACATTGCTCCAGTCAGGGCCAGATGCACCCCGGAGGAGAAGAATGGATCGATAAAGCAGCTCGCATCCCCGACTAGACGCAGATATGGGCTGGCATAGGTCGAAGCCGTATATGACCAATCCGAGGCTGACTTGATGTCCGAGATCAGTTCGGCCTTGGACAGCAGCTCCTTGACACTCGGAGCCATGTCAACCATCTTGGCATAGAATTCTGCAGCAGAAGGGGAGCCCAGCTCCTTCTTCTTGGCCGTCGCCAGCTCCTGGTTTAGCACGACGCCCACGGATTGAGTTCCGTCGTGCAAGGGAATGATCCAACACCAGCCACTGGCGTCTAGAGTGTCTCGTTAGTCAATGGCTGCCAACAGCTTCACCCCCTCCACCCCCTTTTTTCTCTTTTTTTCTCTTTTTTCTTCTTTTCGCACCTGGACAGGCTTACCACTCAGCGCCTCGAAATACGGCGATCCCTCCATGTGAGTGCCCGGGGAGTAGATGCCACCGCCTCTCCAATAGCCCCAGCTGGCGATGTTCTTCAATCCCTGGTTGAACTTCCGGTTCTTCAGGTACCTGGTGCTGACAATGCCATTTCGTCCGCTAGCATCGATAAGATACTCAAAGGTGATTTTGCCAGAGGTACCGTCATTTCGAGTCCACGTCGCAGAGACTGGGCGTCCCAGTGTCGAGGTCTCCGGCTCCGAAGTACCGTTAGTGCCGCTGGTACTGTTGGTGCCATTGTGGGCGTGCGGCTCGAACTCGATGGCTGCCACTTTGGTAGCATCGAAGGTCTTGACACCGCATTCTCCAGCATGCTTGAAGAGCAGCTCGTCTGCCTCAGAGCGCACCACGTTCCAGGCGTATCCGTTGGGCCCACCAGCAGCGATGAAGTCGGTGTCTTTCATTGCGAGGTTAGCACCTGAAACCTGAAAGACATCTTCCAGCAATGACCGAGTGGGCAATTAGATCTTACAATGTCCGGGTCTGGACCAGTTGAGCTTGAAGGCGGCACCGTTCTTCTGCCGGAATCCGTAGGTATCCCATTTATCGTAGGCGTCGATGAACTTGAGGAAATAGCGCATAGACGGAAGCATGCTTTCACCAATGTGATACCTTCCGTGGACAAGCTCAGTCAGAACGAACTTTGTAGCATTCTATGAGAGAATCAAGGAGTATGCTATTACCGTGGGAATTTCTCTGCTTCCAAGCAGACGACGTCGATCCCCTCGCGGGCGAGAACTGCGGAGGCATAGGAGCCCGCGGGGCCGCCACCTACAACAAGGACGGTGCAGCTTTGTGGAACAGACATGATGGGAGAGAGCAATTCCAAGCTTTCAGTTGAGAGCCTCGCGAGGTGGGTAGTAATTATTAGACAGCACTTTGGCTGTCTAGCTTCGGGCGTTTGATTGAGGATATTTGAATCTTAACCCAAAGATAGATAGTATAAATACCGAGATACCTAGATACCACCTCACTTGGCACACAGAGAAAGCTGTCTTTGCGGGTGTATGGCTCTCTCGATGCGAGACCGGCACATCAGACATCTCGAAGCACAATTCCCGTGGGATTCTCCGTGGGATTCCCCGTCGGAGTCCCCATCGAATTCCCCGTCGAATTTCCCGTCCCATTTCCTCCTAGATTCCCTGAGGATGGTGGGGCGAGAATAAGGCAATTACTTACTACTCAAAGGGGTTTATCCCTTACCTCATGGCCGTCATCCGCGAGGCACTGGGTCTGTACCCCGGGAACTGCTTCTCGCAGGAGAGGTACATCCCCGCGGACGGGCCGAGGTTGCCGGACGAGTCGCTCGTGGCAGAAACTCGTCAAGTCAAAGTGCCACTCTACACAACTGCAATGACATTCCATTGGTGCCCGTGACCATGTAGCTGTCCCCAATATTTGACTTCAAGCGCTACCACAGTACATACTTGCCCGTCAGATTGGATTTCGCTTCTTCCGAGAGGAGAGAATGCCTTGCCGATAAGAGAGGAGTTGCCCGCCAAGCGCCAAGCTCAAGGGACAACCAGACTCGGTCCTGCACCGGGCTGACACCCGGAGCTGACCACCACCATGGGGGCCGTGAGGCTTTGCTGAGGAGGTCCAATCATGAGCATTTAGGGTGCCAACTGCAGATTACTTGCATTTGCTTACCCTACGCAGTAGGAGAGAGGACAGATCCGGGTTGTATTGTGATGCGGGAAAAGGTGGAGCAATACAGCCCGTGAGCGACTCTTTCGTCAGATCTCACGCCATGCACAGAGAGAGAGAGTTCCCCAGTACGTACGAGAAAGAGCCGAGCTCTTGCACCACTGAACGGCACCTGAGGTAATTACGTGCCAGTTTTTAACGCTTGAACGGGTTGACCCAATACTCATGTGCATCTGGTTTCCAATTCCAATCTGCGTCTGGTTCCACTGGTTCCACTGGTTCCTACTCTTTGGGAGGACCCGAAGAGTCGTAATTGCTACACACCCTACATATATTTACCAGCAAGGCAACCAACTCAGTCATCGTGTCGTCGTACGGCATATGTCCTCATGTGAGTCTGGCTCATTTTATTGGGTTCGTTTTCGACTCATAGGGCGGGCACGAGTACCCAGCCATCTGAGGGGCCTTGATTTTGATGTACGTATTTTACCACGTCTAGGATGATCCCCACATTATCCCCACATCATAGGTACGGAAGAGAGACGGAACACATGAATTTACCGTTTTTCTTGCATTGCTTTCAACAACAGCCTCCCTCCTGCCGCAGGTTCGCTGCAGGTTCACTGCACTCACATCGGCTAGAATAGTGCCGTGGCACAGGTGGCACAGGTGGCACAGCTTGTGAAAAGGGGGGCGCGGAAAGGAGGGATTGGTTCGGGGCGGTTTGTTGGTGGGTGGTGCCACAACTCTGACATGCATCAGCCGATTCCGACATCGAGCGGGTCCCGGAGGAGGAGGCGGCGGCGGCGGCACGCAGCCGAAAGGATTTACAGCTTTTGCAGCTGCACAACAGGGGTTTAACTTGTGATAGATAGCGTGTCAAAATGTAAATAGATATGCAAGTATCGTTTAGTTAGGGGTGTGAAATTGGTTAAATTCGCCAAGCCTTATATCTTACTTGGCAACGAGCAAAAGCTACCTACTGCTACCTACTCTATAAGACTTATGTATTGAAAGCTTTCTATTAATATCTGCTGTTCTTTTGGGATTTTATACGTCCGTAAAGCTGGACTGAATCCGTACCCCCCACTTATAAGAGACGCGTGTGCGATATGTGGACCTTGGACCTGTGCATAAGGTAAGACAGGTAAGCCTCTGCATGCGGGTTGGGTAGGTAGGTACGTAGGTAGGTATGTATGTAGGTAAGTACAGGTATGTATGTATGTACATACAGTAGTACCCTTCAGAGCTTCTCACAGCTTTATCCGTAGGAATCACTTCCTGGTGTAAGACGATAGGAGTGATACCATTGTTAGTTTGTCCTTCTGGCCTGTTCTTCCCATTGGCCCACCTTCTGTCTGGATTGTCTGAGCTGTGGGAGGATTCCAGGTCATGGCAGTCGTGCATGTGTTGCAGGAGAATTTGGGGTGGTGCTGGGGCGCTTGGAGGGCATTCTGGTGCCGATCTCAGCTGAGAAGGATAAATTGGCATTGGTGTTGCCACGTTGGGGTCTGTGTTTAGCTGTCGATGCTCACGCGGCAGTACGATATGATATCCACCATCGCTGAGACTTAGAGCGAATACTCCCCGTTAATTAATCGGTACTATCCGCGGAGCTGCCTCGTCGAACCGAGTACAGCCGACGTACTGGACCCTGGATTTTCGTTGGAGGATTGGAAGGCCTGACACCAATCTATCCAGGCTGTCGGTTCTCGGGAGCATGAACCCCGGTCCGGCACACAAGCGACGGCGGCCTGCCGTGGCATGTACGGAGTGTCGTCGGCGAAAGATCCGGTGCGACCTTGTTCGTCCCTGCGGACCCTGCAGTAGGTCACAGACGCCCCTGCGATGCGTGTACAATAACGGCGACAACGACAATGACGCCGACAATAACAACCCGAACCCGAGTCCGGTCTACGACGGCCACCTCGATGACCCCATGGAGTACGGAGTACGCGGTCAGGTAGGCTACTGTCGGTCGATCCTGGACTTAAGTCATGAAGTCTCCGGTCTTGAAAGACACGCTCCAGATCTGGGATTGTTTCCCTTTAACATGATGACGCCTCTACACCAGGATGACGCCGAAGCAGGCTTCATCGACATCGACATCGACCAGGACTTGGACCACTTTGGTTTTGGCTGTTCTCGTGCCAAACGCAGGTCCGGGGACTCGCCTACGACGAGCCCGTCCTTTTTCGGCAAATCACCTACCTGGACAAGCATGAGCTCCCGGTCTGCCAGGACGTCAAACCAGCACCGGAAGTTATCGTTGAGTTTGGACTCAGGCTCAGGCTCGGGCTCAGGTCCAGGCTCGGAGCCTCGAGTTGCCGTTGAGTCCAGCGGGAGCGAGTGTGAGAATCATTGGTACGACGTATTTGCACGATGTAAAAAGCTGCAGTTTCTTGTCCACGGCATTGCAAGCCGTTCACTTCATGACAGCTTCGTGCCCCTGCAGCCCCAGCAGAAATCGGTGCAGCCTCTAATGGAGAGATTCACAAGGTTGGAGCGCGTCAACCAGCATGAGCGCGAGTGCAGAGCTCTCACCAGAACATCGGGCTGGCCTCCAACTGCGCCTTCAACCCCTTGCGCAGTACGAGACTTGTTGCCGTCGCGCCCGATATGCGACGTCCTCCTCAATGCATATATCAATACTTTCGAGTCGGTGCTGCGCATCCTCCACGTGCCATCGTTTCTGCGCGACCATGAACGCTTCTGGACAAGCTCCACGTCGCGGTCCGAGGATCCGGACGAGCCGTTCCAATGCAAGCTCCTTGTTGCCATTGCTATTGGATCTTGCACATGTGCCAATCTCGACGTTTCCCTCCGCAAGCAGGCGGGCAGCTGGATTTCCCATGGTAAGCAGTGGCTCACATGGAAGATGGGTCAAGGCTCGCGTCCAGATTTGGACATGGCCCAGATCGCGTGTCTCCTTGCTCTAGCGCGCCATACGCACCACCATCATCATGATGCATTTTTGAGCGACACCGAATGGTTCCCAAGAGGGCATGATCTGACGCGCATGGCGATCCAGATGGGCCTGCACCGAGAACCGCGCATCCGCTCCCCCGGCATGTCCGCAAGAGAAGCCGAGATTCGGCGGCGGCTGTGGGCAACCATGCTTGAGCTGTCCCTGCAGCTATGTTTTGATCAAGGACTGCCGGCCCCTCTCGCGCCCGAGAGCTATGACTGCGAGGCGCCGTCCAACATCCCGGACGAGGACATTGCATTGGGCCTGGAATTGTCCGACTGCCCCGTGAAATCCACGTCATCAACGCTCCTCGTGCTTCTGGCCCGGACGCAGCGACTCCGTCTCCAAATCCTGCACCTCGTCAACGCCACCGGTGCCACCAGGACGTATGACGACAGCCACCAGCTCGCAGCCGAGATGAACGACGCCTGTTGCGCCGACCTGGACACGTTGCGCCTCGCGTCGACGCCCAAGCCCACCAATTTCCAGATCAAGCTTCTGGACATGTTCACCCGCCCGTTTGTGCTTGCGCTCCACGGGCCGTTCGCCGACCAGGCCACGGGCAAACCGGCATACTACTACTCGCGCAGGGCACGCCTCGAGGTGTCTACGCTGCTCCTAGCATACCCGCCGCTGCCAGCATCCACATCCGCCGAGGCGGATCCGGGCGCCACGGCGACAACAACCAACCAGCCCAAGGCCACGACACCATCGACATCCGAATCCACCAGCACCGAGCCGGACCAGGACGCCTACGCGGCACTCCGCATCCACGGGCACGGGCACTTCGCGCTGGTGCAGCGCCAGGCCACGGCGGCCCTGTGCGTGGATCTGATGGGCGAGCTAGAGGAGAACGCGTTCCCGACGCTGGACGGCGGGGCGTCGCGGCAGCAGCTGCGCGACGTGCTGCGGGGCGCGGTGGGGACGTTCGAGCGGCGGGTGCGGGCGTCGGGAGGGGCGCACTCGGCGCGCGAATTCGTCTTCTTCTCGTGCGCCGAGGCGTTCATTGGGGCCATGGTACAGCAGCAGGGGCATCGCGGTGACGGGTCGAGATCATCCCGCGACGCCGACTGGGCGATCGCTGGGGCGGCGCGCACCGCCTTGGCCATATGCTGCGAGGTGATGGAGCTTCACCGGCGCGAGGCTTGTGCATGTGCATGTGCCGGCGACGGCGGGCGTGGAACTGTGACGGAAACTGCGAGGCGAGGGAAAGGGCACGGTGAGGAGGATATGAGCACGTGGCTGCGTGATGATGATGGTCTAAATGGCGACTTTCAACTAGACTTCTACAGCCTGGGGCTTCCTAGATCGTAAGCCGGCAATCAGCATGATTAAGCTTGAAATGAGGCTTGCCTACAAAGTTGGTTGAGGTATTTAATATATGTTGATAAATAAAACTTCGAGTTTAGCTGTAGGCGTTCAGCATAACTGATTTATGGGGGGCAGACAGGCCCCCCTGACACCTCGGTTCCGCTTGCTCCTCGGAGGGATATTTCGCCCGCTCTGCCCCCCATCGGAGGAATGCATGTTTCCACCTGGGCCGTGCAGGAGTTGCACAGAGCCCGTGCTTTGAGTTACCTACGTCCGTACGAGTAGGCATCAGTTGGTTCCTCCTACATTTTTCTCTTTCCCTCATGATGCAATCTTCGGGTGTGGTTTGGATACCCAACGGTCTTCTACCTTCTTCTCCTTGCGGCCCAACGTGCTGAGGGCCCTTATTGAGCCTGGACCTGCCGAATTTTCAGAATGTCTTCTACAACGGAACCCAAGGACAGGGGCAATGAGTCTGACAGGGGCATGTCCACCACGCAAGAGGAGCCTCTCACGCCGGAGGAGGATCTCCTCTCTACCGTCGCCAATGTTGGCACGGTCGAAATCGTCAACGACAAGCAGGTCTTCAGGCCTACAAGAGAGTTTTTGCTGGCTTTTCTGGCCCTTTGCACCGTGGCCCTCGCCATCGCCTTCGATGCCACGTCTATCTCCGTTGCCCTTCCGACCATAAGCTCAGCCCTTGGCGGAACAGCTCTGGAAGCCTTCTGGTCCGGGACGAGTTTCTTGCTTGCAAGCACCGTCTTGCAACCGACTGTCGCCTCGCTAAGTAGCATCTTCGGCCGAAAATACGTAAGTCTCCTTTCCCGCATGACGGGACCGAAGACTGAGCAAGCTTGGTCCCTTTGGGCTGTCAGATGATCTACGTCACAGCCGCCCTTTTCGCTGCGGGCTCTCTTATTGCAGCTCTTGCGAACAACTTTACGGTCATATTAGTTGGCCGCACTATCCAGGGCGTCGGTGGTGGTGGTCTGCTTGCCCTCACAGAGGTACGACGTCCCAACACCTTCGGCTGGTCCTGAGCGCTGACTGTCGCGGCCACAGGTTGTTGTCACCGATCTTGTCCCCCTCGCCTTCCGCGGGAACTGGCTCAGCTTGCTCTCGGCCATGTGGAGCGTCGGGACTGTTACAGGACCGTTGATCGGGGCCGGATTCGCCCAGAACGTCACCTGGAGATGGATATTTTACATCAACCTACCTGTCATTGCGCTAGGCATCTTCTTCGTTGTCCTCTTTCTTCACCAGGCCAAGATCCCCGGCCACATCTTGCAGAAGCTCGGCCGATTCGACTGGATTGGCTGCATCTTGTTCACGGCCACCTCGACCGGCTTTCTGTTCGGCTTAACGACCGGTGGCGTCATGTACGAATGGAGCTCGTGGAGAGTACTCCTACCGCTTCTGATTGGGCCTGCAGGCCTTGTTGTCTTTGGATGGTACGAGGCGAGAATCGCAAGGGAGCCCATAATTCACAGGGGCCTGTTCAACAACTGGGACATGATTGTGACCTATATCATGACTATCCTCCACGGCATGCTCCTGTGGTCGCTCCTTTACTTTATGCGTAAGTTGTGGATCCATCCTAAGACGTGCAGCATCTAATTTACGAATTTCTTTTCCCAGCCCTGTACTACCAAGGCGTCAAGTTCTACTCGCCCATCACGTCGGCCGTCGCCCTGCTCCCCGAGACTCTGACCGTGGCCCCAGGCGGCATGGTGGTTGGCATCGTAGCAAGCCTCACGGGCCATTACCGGTGGTCGGTCTGGATCGGATGGATCCTGACGACCCTCGGCTGCGGCCTCCTCCTCCTGCTCAAGCCCGAGACCAGTGTCGCGGCCTGGATCTGGCTGAACGTGCCTGTCGGAATGGGCACGGGGATGCTCTTCCCCGCCATGGCACTGTCCATCCAGGCGGCGTGCGAGCCGGCCCTGAACGGCCAGGCGGCCGCCTTCTTCAGCTTCCTGCGCACCGTCGGGCAATCGATCGGCGTCGCCATCTCGGGCGTCATCTTCCAGAACGTGTTCAAGCGCAAGCTCGCCGGCATTGCGGCCTTCGCGTCCCGGGCCGACCAGTTCAGCCGCGACGCGACCATCGTCGTCGAGATCATCAAGCAGATGCCGGCAGGGCCGGACCGCCACGACCTCGTCGTTGCGTACAACGACGCCCTACGGACGATCTGGGTCAGCATGCTGGCGTTTGCGGCCTTCTCGACGGTCCTCAGCGTGACGATCAAGGGGTATACACTTAACCAGGAGCATGTCACGCAACAGGGTCTCGTGCAGCAGGACCGACGGGGCGAGAGTCCGACCGTGGATGAGCGAGAGAAGCAGGATGAGGGCGTTAAGGCTGTGAGGGCACAGAGGTGAGAGGGGGTCGCGGGGTGCAGTTGATCGATTCTATGTACTTCCAGTTTAATAGTGCTTTGGCTACGCATTGGCAGCGATGGTGGTGTCTCCATGCATTGACGTTGATTTCTTGTCGGCTGATGGCGTCGCAGGGTGGATTTCGGTTTCGAACGTGGGATACCTAATTAGAAAGGGCTTCAATGTAAGAGACTAGCTGAGATAAAATAGATTCAAAGCAAAGCACAATACACGCATATATACGCATGTAATGACTGACCCTTGAGGAGGAAACTTAGCTCGCCGCGAACTGATGGATCTAATCAGTCTAAGTGGATGGGAGAAGGAAGCTAGCACGGCTAGTTATTTCTGGTATCCTGGACCCCTGCAACCCACCTAAGGCCCTAAGCTACATAAGCCATCTTAGATTGTTCAGGGACCGAAATGGTCCTTCGACGGGTTGAAGTAGGCCTGCTTTTTTTGGCTGCCCAAAACTTGGTTCCAAAATCTTGGTTGCAAGAATTCATGCCTGTGGTCAGGTTGTTGGTGGGAGATTAGCTAAGCAACGGGAAATTCGCGGCAAAAGGACGTGGTTCTTTGCTGCCGCATCGCCATTTTCCCGTCTCTGGTGACATGGCCTTTGTTGATAGAACCGCAATTCCATTCCTTAACGCGACACCTCCTTTCATATCCCCCCCCCCAAACAACCGCCGCCGATACTCCTCCGTAATTCCCGTGTTACGCGACCTGTTCAACCGCCACAGATACCGGCTCGAGCCTCGTCCACGCGCCTGGGCTCCGCGACACGCCAGGGAACCTTTTCATTCGCACCCGCCGACGCGTCTTCGCTTTCGTCGACTCAATCCTCGCAGACGGTTGGAAGCATGTTATCGCGAGGAGGACATTGGAATAATAGTAGCCTCTGAGAAATCCGCAGCGCCGAGTCAAGGCTAGGCACGACGCCACCATGGCCTTAAACGACGGGGCCGCGCGGCCCGGTCCGCGGGGCGAGGACGATGACACTTTTCCCCAGTTTCCAAGAACCACTAGCGGTCCCCCCAGCATAATATCCTCGCGAATGACAGACGTCGGGTCTGACGATGGGAGAGATGGCAATGCGCAGAACAACAGCACGACAAGTGCCAGGAGGAGCGCTTTACCTTCCGAAACCGTTTCTCGACCCGGATCCGCCAGAACAGGCATCTCCTCAAGCAGGGGTCCAGGAGGGGTGTTGTCCCACATCCAACCATTAAAGAGAGGCCTGTCGGCCTCGAAGCGAGGGACCGGTGTCGCGAGCAGCGGCGACACGGTTTCTGGGCGACCCGCCAGCCCTACTACAAGCAGGAGTCATGTGCCCTCTCTCACCTCTCACGCCTTCTTTCACCCGATGAGCTCGCAGAAGTTGCAGGCGCAGCGAGGAGGTGTGCGGCCGCCTACTATTATAGGTCGTAAGAAGGGAGCCACAGAGGATTCAGGAGTGGAAGCGAGCGGTGGTGCCACGCGACAGAGCGTCATATCCATCCAAGGTCTGGCGCGGCAGCTTGACGACGTCGAGGACCTGCGTCCTCCCTCGCACGGAACCGAGGTAACCGAACAGAATACTCTGGATCGCATCGCAAAGACCAATCCGACTCGGAGCCACTATCCCACAGCTAGTCTGTCCGAAAGTGTCCGACCCCTTCAGAAGAAGACTGTTGAGAGCAGAGGTCTGAGTCTCAATATAGACAAGAGCTATAAAAACTCAGGCAGGTTGCCCAGTCCTATCAAGTCACCCCGCTCTTTCAGGTCAAGTTTTCTTCCTAGCAAGAGCAACCGGGGCAGCAAGCCCGGCCGCGAGAAATTGGAGTCGGCTGCATCATCGCCTCGACTCACTCCAACCAATTCTGCTGCTCCACAGACCGAGACCAAGACGAAGCTTACGAAACCTGACCGACATAGTCTTGGCAATAACTTTGAGTACTTCGAAGGAAACACTGCCTTCTGCCTAGGCGGCAGGCTGCAGAACGCCAGACACCGTCCAGTCAACATTGCTACGGGCTTCGTTGTTGTTCTTCCCGCGGTGCTATTCTTCGTCTTTGTAGCACCTTGGCTCTGGCACAACATCTCGCCAGCGATTCCGGTCATTTTCGCGTACTTGTTTTATATATGTCTGTCATCATTCCTCCACGCCTCTGGATCTGATCCTGGAGTAAGTCACCCGATAGTTTCTCAGAGAAGCATATTGACCATTGCCTAGATCTTGCCCCGAAGTCTTCACAAGAACCCTCAACCTGATGAGAACGAGGACCCCCTTCGGTTGGCGCCACCTAATACAGAGTGGACCCTCGTCAAGTCGGCAGGGTCTTCGGCGGCAGCCATGGAAGTGCCGACAAAGTACTGCAGAACATGCCACATCTGGCGGCCTCCGCGAGCTCACCACTGTCGTCTGTGTGACAACTGCATCGAGACAGCCGACCACCATTGTGTTTGGATAAACAATTGCGTCGGCCGCCGGAACTACCGCTATTTCTTCACCTTTCTCGTCTCAGCGGCACTTGGTTCCGCTTACCTCCTCGGCGCGTCTTTAGCCCAGATACTGGTCTCCATGGACAGGGAAGGCGTATCATTTGGCCGTGCCATCAATGATTTCCCCATCGCTTTCGCCATGGTCATTTACGGATTTCTCGGGTTCCTTTACCCTGCAGCCCTCACAGGGTATCACGTCTTCTTGATGTCCCGAGGCGAGACGACCAGAGAGTATTTGGCCTCTCGCAAGTTCTCTAAAAAGGATCGATACCGGGCTTTTACCCAGGGAAACTGGGTGAGCAATTGGATTGCAGTCTTGTGCAGGCCCAGGCCGCCGACCTACTATCATTTCAAGAAGAAGTATGTGCATGGAGATCAGCGTCTCGGTATCGGACGAGGTCGACTCGGGGCAGACTCCAACGACGATCAGCAGGGAATGGAAATGCAACATGTCACTCCGGCGCAATGAGGATATCAGGGACTGGTCTCCTTGCGTACGACTTCACCGCGTACGTACTTCAGCGTGCAACAGAATGTGGAGTCTCCTAGGCATCCACTTTTGCTCACGCACGACCGACCGCCCTACCACAGCTGCGCGCACCGCCACCTCACAAGCTAGGAATGACGACCCTTCCCCGACGGCCGCCTCCTCGGAACCTCGGCCGTGGCTGCCCACGCCGCCGACACGATGCATCCTCGTCAAGCTGCTCGATGTCGGGGCAGCGTCTGCCCCGTGCACGCGCACCCGGGCCGAGATTGGGCTGGGCGACATGTTGACGGCGCGAGGCACGGGAAGGCCGAAGCGTGGTATGTGCTTGCGCCGGGGGAGGTGTATCTTGGGCTGAGGGAGGATGTGGGGGCGGAGGAGCTGATGGAGGTGGTGCGTTTGCAGGAGGCTGGGTCGCTGTTGGGGAGGATGCATTGGTTTGATGTGCTGCCGCATCAGACTGTTTATGTCCCGCCCGGGATGCTGCATGCCATTGGTGAGGCTCGCCTGGTTTTGCCATCTTGGTGGCCCTGGAAGGGGAAATAAAATTGAGAACTGGCGCCGGGGAGAAGCTGGCGTTGCGGAAGGGGAGCACGCTGGCCATCCCTGACGGTGATGGTATTTTCATCCTCGACGGTTCTGGGGACGTCCTGATTGCGAGACTGCCTTATGCGCCACCTCAATAATTTATATGCGGCTGATTGAGCTTGCAAGGGACTCGATAATTGCCGGCTTGGCCGCCTGGGCAGGCAGGCGAAGACATTCCAGTACTTTTGTGATGACGGGGTTCGACTCATCGAACTAATTAACTCTGGCTCTTTCTAGTCATCGTGGTCTTATAAAAGTCAGTGCCAATGGAACAATGGGGTAGATCTCTAGCTAGCTTGAACTGTGTGTTGTGGTTCTCATTAACCGAAAACTGCACAAGTCATGACACGGGACAGAGAAGCGACAAAACTTGGGCAAGATCGGCCGCAATCCTTCAACCTTAATCAGTCTCCACGTCAGCATTTTTCCTATGCCAAGGGAAACAAGGAAGCCAAGGAAGCCAAGGAAGCCAAGGAAACCAAGGAAACCAAGGAAACCAAGGAAACCAAGGAAACGAAATTGGAGTTTGGTGGTAGATTGACATTTCAGTGCCCAGGCAGAACAATATTCCGCAAGTACAGGATAGGCTCCAGCGCAAATCGGATACAAAGGACATGCAGGTTTCCATAGCTGCCGGGCTAGACTTTCCAGTCCCTGCCCTAGGAGACGAGGCGAAAGATCGGGCCACAGCATCCACGATAAACCCCAAGCCTGATCTGGAAGATCCAGTTAGACCTGAGGCCGAGACTGAAAAGCCAAAAACAGTAGCCAGCCATCCACAACGCTCGCTCGGATGGCGGCACCTGATATCCGAAATGACGACTCGAGAATGCGCCCCTTGAATCCTTCACAGTCCTTGGCGAAATGAGGACGGAGATCTGACCAATCAGCCCACTCACACTCACACTGCCCCGGTCGCTTCTTGGCGTCAGGCGGCCATACTACAAATATGTAATTACAGTATTCCCGTGGTTCTCATTTTAGCACCATCGGCTGCTGTCCAAAGCAAAGAGATAGTAGGATGACGGCGATGTCATGGAAACGGCCACTATTATGGCTGACTATTCCGCTGTCCCTGTTTGCCGTGGCCGCAAACGCCCAAGCCTGCCGTCTTCGCAGCCCATTCACCGTCAATTCACAGGCGGACGCCGACGAGTTGACCAAATGCGAGCAGTTCAATGGCGACGTCAACATATCCCCATCAGCATCAAGCAACATTACCTTGGACGGTCTCCTGCAAGTCTTTGGGTCGCTACGGGCCACTCTTCCCGGCCACTCCGACACCGCGGATGCGACGACCCTAATTAGCATCTCTAGCAAGACGCTTAGTTTCGTTGGTGGTAGCCTTGTCATTAGCTCCGTATCCAGCCTGCAGTCCATCGCGCTGCCAAAGCTGAAGATCGTTGTCGGTGCCCTCGAGATGTCTGATCTGCCGTCCCTCGTCGACCTGCACCTCGAAGGCATTAACTCGGTCGGCAACTTCAGTCTCGTTTCCGCCCCACGCCTGCTCGAGGCGTCTATTGGCGCGGACAGCACAGATAAGGATCGTGACATCGGCCTGAAGTACCTCACAGACACGACCGATCCCGCCGTTGTGGTCAGGGATGTCGGCCTCGCAAGCCTCTCCGGGTTGGTGGACCTCTACGATGCGTCGCTGATCGAGCTCGCCGAGCTCCCCAACCTCAACGACGTACTCCTTAACACCGGCCACGTGGGGGAGGTGCGCATCCATGGCAACGGCAACCTGACGCTGTCCACATGGGGGGGACCAGGGATCGGCACGACAGAGCAGGTCGTGGGGAAGCTCAGCATCACGGGCGTCAAGCACGTGTCGCCATGCCGATCTTTCGACGTGCACGAGTTCATTGCCGTCAATAACTCGGTCGAGTACCTGCACTTCAGCTTCACGGCCGTGCAGCGCCTCGAGGTTCGCGACAATGCGCGGTTGAAGACCCTTGTGCCCTGGAACGGGCACAATATTTGGGAGTGGGATCTCGCCGATGTCTTGATCAGGGACAACCCGCTGCTTGTATTAAGTCAGTTCCCCGTGCGAAGCGCCAACGACACCCTCACACTACTCGAGTGTCCCGGCTCGTTCAACAACAGCGTAGATCAGTGGCAGTGGTATCCCTTCCACATGGAAACCCTGGCTATCGACGCCGCTATTAACGACACCTTCTTGTAAGTACCACGTACCTGGTTTTGGAGAGATGGCTAACAACCTTGACAGCAAAAGCTTCACCGACCTTTGGGCTGAGGAGGAAGACCCAGAAGCACATCTCCGATCGCTACCCATAGTCCTGCAGAATTTCACTGTCAGGTCAACAGACCCGTCTTTCGACTGCTCCCGGCTCGATGCTCTGAGGTCCGAGACGGTGGCGTTCCCCGGGGCGTACAGCTGCCAGGGCCATACGCTCAATCCCCCGAAGGACGCGGCGTCGGCCCTACTACTTGTGTCATGGAACCTACCGCTTGTTGTTGCTGTCACGATGATGGCATTTTATGTGTAACATATCTATATGCCCTATGCACATTTAGAGAGCTAAGAGCCAGTTGAAGAAGTCACTGTGTAATGACTACCCATCTGTTTTACCCTGAGAGCCTCCTCAGTTTAAAAAGCATATATTCAGCTACCTGACTGATACCGATGTGAACAAAGCACTCGAGATCTGCCACCTCTTTGCTTTTGATATAACGCCAACCTCACTGTGTTACCTCAGCTCTCCTCCTCCTCCTCCTCCTCCTCCTCCTCCTCCTCCTCCTCCGTCACACCCGGGACACCCAAATTCTGCACCCCTCCCAGCCTACCCCTGCAGGACGCAACTGTGTTCCCCACATAGCCATGGAAAACGACCAAAACTGGCTGCGTATTCAACCCTACCCACTCGCGCCACTGGTAGAACCACGGCACCGAACCGAGAATTGTTATCAGCCGGAGCACCCGGTACCAGTTGACGGGCGGCCGGCAGAGAAGGGCGTCGCAGACGGCCAGCGCGACGCCGCACAGCGCTGCGGCCTGGATGTAGGCGACGGCGACGAGGAGCCCGAGGCACAGGAAGAAGCGGCACAGCATGGCCGCGAAGGTGGGGGGAGGGTCTGGCTTGGATGCTTTCCAGGTGTATGTGGTTATCACAAGTTCGATGTCAATGCCGGGGTTCCAGATGCTGATCGTGCAGGTCATTATTGCGGGTTGGTTATGGAGGATTTGTTCCTGAGTGTCGTGGTGGGTTGTGGGGGTGTAACTGAGATCGAAGTCGGGGTTTGGTTCTTTTATATGCAACAAACCCAAAATGCTCCAGTGTGTCGGGGTTTCTCGAGTCCTTTGTGGCTGTAAGCAAGTATCATCCAACAATCACTGGTCATTGATAAGAGGGTGACTGAGGAAACAGATGACAAAGAAGTACAGAATTCTTCAATGCGTTTTGTATGTATCTTCTCCTTTAGCTGTAGATATGCGCTAGGTGTGCGCTAGATGCTTGGCGCTAGTTCAGGTCATGTGGTCTAAGCCAATGTGAGCTGTCTAGATTAACCACAATGTATACGCTGGCTGGTTTCATTTCCATCTTGGCTTGAAAGCTAAAATTGACGACAAAACAACCACAACCTCTATCATCTCTGCTTCTGCAATCTCGCGATAATGGCCAGAAGCCAGAACATCGTGGCATCCGTGCTTATTTTTCTCACGCTCTTTTTAATTGCAAGCCTATCCACATCCAATGATTATGTTTCCTTCCGCGCCGCCCCGACGACAACCACGACTGTCACCCACACTGTCCTCTTCCAGTTCAAAGCAGATGCAAACCCTGAGCATGTCCACGCTGTGCGTATCCAGAAAGCCATATTGCTTCCGGAAGATATCTAATTATGCAGGCATGTGCGCGTTTCCTTTCGCTGAAGGACGCTTGCATCCATCCAACCACCCAGACTCCCTACATCACGTCCTTGCAAGGTGGGAAGGACAACTCGGCTGAAGGACGGCAGGTAAGATATCATCGTTTATACATGCTATGCTATCTTCCTCTTCTGTTTTCTAATGACAAGCAAGAATGGAATAACCCATGGGTTCATCGTCGAGTTTGCCTCGGCTGAGGACAGGGACTACTACGTCGGGACGGATCCGATCCACCAGGCTTTCGTCAAGAGCCTTGACGGGTTGGTTGAGAAGGCTATCGTTATCGACTTCAGGAATGGCGTCTATTAGCTGGCTGCATCTTGTCAGACCTTGCAACTTTTCTTGGTCTTGGTTGCGAAGATCTTAAACGAACCTCATAAAATAAGGGGAGGGGGGATAAGGGGGGGAATCCGTCTAACATCCCCTTGGGGGTGAATGGTGGAGTAAAATCTCCCAGGCACACACCCATTGGTTGTCAAAGTCTCTGCTTAATATCTGCCACTTTCTTATGTGTACTCTCTATGGCTGGAGGCACACCATCAAGAATGTGGCTTGCAGGTTGCATGTGGACTCTTCAGGGCCAATGAACATACCCTGGCCGGAAGAACAACTGCATCAGGTCCTCGGAATCCCGGAGTATTTGACCTCCCACTCCAGTTTCCACGCATCTCTGCTCTCTCAATTTCTGTCCATGTGTCAGGGACACCATTTTCGCGTTCCCAATCCTGCATTGGCTACTATTCCGTTGTGTCCGCCAGCAGTTTCTAACCATGCACCGCCATTTGGGGCGGTGGTTATCCAGAAAAGCCGGTCAAACGGACAAAGAGCCGCCCTCTCCGGGCGGGCGTTCGAGGCTTGATCCGGCTGAGAATGCCCAAGACAGCGTCCAAGGCGTCGCACCTGATGATCACAAGCCAACACAATCTCCAGCCTCCTCGCCACAGAATGCCGGCCGTGAGAGCTTGAATCCGTCCCCGCAAACAATTCACGAGTCCCCTTACGGCTTGAAGGAGCTCATCAGCCAACCGGCTGAGAAGGAGAACGCGGTGGACATTATCGCCATTCATGGGCTCAACGGCCATCGTGAGAAGACATGGACCAGCAAGACGACAGGCCTCAACTGGCTATGTGACGCGTCCTGCCTCCCGAAAGACATTCCAAATGCTCGGGTTTCCAGCTTTGGATATAACTCGGCCTCTTATTTCAGTCGAGGTGACTCGGACGTCCGCGACTTCGCGTCGGAGCTCCTTGCCGCCGTCAGAGCGAGCAGGAAGTGTCAAGTAGACAGGCGGAGATATCATTGTCGTGTGCCATAGTCTCGGTGGTTTAGTTTTCAAACAGGTACTTGTTCATCCTTGTTTTGTTTTTATTTTTGGAAAATGTTCTGACAAATTCAGGCCGTCATTAAGGCCCATGAGCAAGATCACTTCTATGCAACTTTGCTAGAGAGCATACAAGGTGTGGTATTCTTTGCCACCCCCCACAGAGGCTCGGATCTGGCCTTCTGGGACAGCATTGGAACTCGCCTTGCGAAGGCCGCAACGCTCGGCTTCACGACCAATACAAAACTGTCAAAAGACCTCAAAGTCGATTCGGAGATGCTGAAACGCATCTCCGATTCCTTCGCCTATCGAGGAGGGGGCTTCAAGATTCGGAGCTTTTATGAGACGGAACTTATGCCTGGCCTCAACTGTCGCGTGAGTTGAGAGACCCAACACTCTTGATCGCTTCAGTCACCTAACACGAGACCTAACGCCATCTGCCGTCTTCTTTCTAGGTCGTCGACAGAGACTCGGCCAGGCTGGGCTGGAGCAACGAACTTGACATCGCATCACCGGCAAATCATTCCAGTGTCTGCAAGTTCCCTTCACCAGCCGACCAACGGTACCAGACAGCTGTCTTCGCTATACTTGACATGATTGGCATGCCGGATGAGAGCGTTGACCTTCGTGAGTGCCGATTGCGCGGCTACATGTGCATTGCAAGAGTCCTGACCATCAATATTCAGCGTTCACCAATCGTGAAGAGAGCTGTATGGACCAACTGAACGCAGACTACCAGCACCACCTAGGCCAGATAGATGACCCAGTCCCAGGGACGTGCGAATGGATTCTCCCGCATGAAAAGTGGCAGCAATGGCAGTCCTGGCCGGGCTCGTCCTTGCTCTGGTTCACTTCAAGCGCCGGCTGTGGGAAATCTGTCATGGCCAAGTTTCTCGTCGACTACTTCCAGGCCAAGCGAGGAGGAGCAAGGCCAGTCCAAATCTTTGGATACTTCTTCTTCATGGATGGTATCGGTCGCCAGGACAACGCATCGGCTGCGGTATCTGCTCTTCTACACCAGATGTATTGTTCGCAGCATGGCTTGATCAAGTACGCCATGAGGAAATTCCAAGGCACCCCGACCCACGTCAGCAACAGGTTCTCAACGCTGTGGTCCATTCTCATTGATAGTATCAGCAATTCCGGGCGGAGGATGTTCTCTGGGTCCTGGATGGACTGGATGAATGTGAAGAGCAGTCGCTTCGCCGATTCATTCGGGCCCTCTCGTCCTTCTTCGACTCGCATACCGCCACCGACAGCCGGGTCTCTAGGTGCAGTCTCAAGATTATTATTCTTAGCCGTCCAAGCAGCCTGATACAGCAATTTTTGGGCCTGTTCACTGATAAGGACTTGCTCCACGTCAACCGCGACAACCGCAGAAACAGATTCAGGCTTGCAGGCGAAGACGAAAACCAGGCAATCACGACCGACATTGTTCTATTCGCCCAGTGGAAGGTCGGCGAGCTTGCGTCGGCTTCTGCGCTTCCGAGGAACGTATTGGAGCGTCTGCACAAGAGATTAGTCGCCGGAGCCGACTTTACGTACCTCTGGATATCCCTGGTTATCAAGATGGTCGAAGACTCGACCGTGAACGGCATCTCCGTGGCACAGCTGGAGAAGATTCTCAATACAACTAGTCTGAATGATGTGTATCGGCACCTCCTCGAGGGGGCATCTAGGGTATATCCTGAAAAGACAAGGAAGCTCTTACCAATTGTTCTGGCTGCATTCCGACCATTAACTGTCGAGGAGATGTGTGTCGCAGTGGAAGTGGTGGAAGACTACAAGGCAAAGGACAAGGAGTCCACCAGTCATCCACTGGAACAAGAATGGTCTGTAAGGGAAAGTACTCTCGGGGTTACCAACCTTCCGGAAAACTGGGATGAAGAGGTCCCTTTGTCGGTTCAACCGAGGACACAATCACTCGAGACGCTTGGTCAACAGCTTCACCGGCCCTTTGACAACCACATCCGCCAGCTTTGTGGTCATTTTATCAGGATATGGCGCCGCAAACTATACTTTGTTCACCAAACGGCACGGTCCTTCTTGATCAACGTGTCCTTCGAATTGGACTGCAGCCCGGCGCGAACTCTGACCCCTGGCAACATATTAGCAGACCATGTTCTAGCAGGTGATCCTAGTGGAACTTGGCGGCCTATCAAACCGGACCAAGCAAACCAAACTCTTCTCAACGTTTGCGTCAGCTATATTAAAATGTTTAACCCTGAGAAGGACGGTGAGGACTCTCCAACATGGGATGATGGGCAGTTGGCAGAGTATCTGGAGCAGTGTAGGACGGATCCACCACGAGCCTTCTTCCCATACGCAGCACTCCATTGGATTCAACACTATCGACCTGTCCGGAAGGCCCTCAACTTTCAGTACGATGAGCTGCCCCGGCTCGGCACTAACCATTTCAAGGCGTGGATCAGAGTTCACAGTACCTGGACGTCAGACCACGAAGAATCTCCTGGGGCGGTTTGGCTGAATGATGGAGTATCTCGGCGCGAGCAATCGTTTGAGCTGGCGGATACTTTGAGGCAGGATAACTTCCAGAAAATTTACAATGGAAGCCTCGAGGACCTCGAGAGGCGCTATAAGGGTCTCCGTGTGTGGGTTCATAATGCATGGTGCGCCAAGAAATTACGTTACTCGGCGGTTGTCGATAAACTTGGGAGGTTAGGTCAAGGCCTCGAAAAACAGTGGATAGGGGAGAGAGAAGGGTTATACTGCTTGGTTCACGATTCACGACATTCGAGACAGCCGAACGGAAGGACAGTGGCCCCGAGACATGCAGCTTCAAGAAGATCGTCTCAGACTATTACAACATCTCACTAACGAACTTGAGGAAGAGCGGCGCCGAGCCTTCGGAAAATATCCCGAGTTTGAAGCCGTGGTAACCGAGCAAGAGGGCCATATAGGCTCGGCTTTAACAAACATCTTCAAGATGTGCTTGCAACAGCCAAGCAGGAAGAGGACTTCTATGAGGTGCTTATGCACTTTGATCTTCTTAGTTTGGAGGAGGCAGGACTCGAGGAGGATGAGTTTTGAGTGAATACTGGGAATCAAGAGTCAACGATCAGAGATACAACGGCCGGCTGACGATAAGGAGGGTTGCTAGAATGACGAAGAGATAGATAGAAGGTAATATCCCTAACCGGATCAAACACTACATTCGGGAACGGACGAAACTGGCAACAGCAGGGTCTAGGGTAATACGCACTCCGGGCGCACAGGTGCCGGAGCTGTCGAACCCCGAGACTCGGTTCTTCGATGACAGCGTGGGACTGCCGAGGATAGTCACTCATAGGCGGAGCGGATCAAGACGAAGCTAGCTGGCCGTGATGTATATTTAGCTGAAGGGGCTCTAGCAGGTAAGCACTTACACTGGCACAGATTCTGGGAAACCTGCCGGTGCATATATGAGGTCTAATTTAGAGGGCTTTCTTCCACTATTGTCGTGTTAAGAGGCCTTAACTTGGATGAATTGGTGCTACTTTGCAACCGTTTTGCATGCGAACTAGCAGACATATTTCTACCTTTCTAGACTCTCTAGATGACGAACCCATTTACTCCCTCAGACACTACTCGACATCTGGACTTGGGGGAAGTTCCGGTTCCTCGCTTCGCTCCGGGTCTCCTTTTTCCTGAGACTTGTGCGGCACCCCATTCGGCTCCTTTCCCCAATCCCCCTCGCCCTTCCCCTCCTGTGACTGAGGTGCCGCCTCGGGCTTGCTCGCCCTGATCTCCTTCCGTATGAGCTCAATCTCGATCACGGGAGTCCCATCCTTGATCTTGGACCTCAGCTTGTCGCTGTCGCGGTCAAAATACACGGCCCAGAAACTCCCCTCCTTGACGGCGCAGAAGCCCTCCCAGCCACCAAAGGTCAGCCTCCTGTCCTGCCGGGTGCAATCAAAGGGCCCCGTGAAGTTGCCCTCGGAGAACTGCCGCGTCCCGAACTTCAGCTCGTAGGTCTCGCGGTGGACGAAGACCCAGTTCATGATGGGCGCCTCGTCCGTGATCGTGGAGACAAGGCCGACGTAGTTGGTGTCGGGGTACGCGAGATAGTAGCCGGCGAATGGGTGGCCGAACGGCATGTCGTGGTCCTTGCCCGTGTCGATGTAGATCTGTAGTCCGGATCAGTCTGCGGGCCTGTCTCATGACATTCAGGACGGTGTCGTCGATGCGCATCTTTGTACGAACCTTGTCCCCAGAGAGAACAACCCGGCGACCCTCGAGGACCATGCTATGCTCGGATGACTTGGGGCAGTGCACAATGAGGTTGTTCTTTCGGCTGCGGTGTTCTTCTCGCCTGGATTTTCTCTGGGATGCTTTTATACCCTCTGAGGCGCCGGCGATGGCGCCGAAGCCGATAAGGAGGGTGAGCATAATCAACGGGGTTGTTTATTTACTTGCGTTTGGATCTTAGCAATAATCATTCCTGCAGTTTTATGGGATGACTGTGGAGTTGAAGCATCCGGAGTTCGTCAGACGTAACTATAAAAACCGGTCGACCTCAAGCATATGGATCCAGTGAGACGCAGTCAGAGAGTCTCCTGCTTTCAGTGGGACCAGAGGTGCGTGCTTCGTGTTTGATATTCGCTAACGGTGAGGGGTTCGCGGCAGGAAACCAGATCATCTGCTGATATGTGCGAATTCCCCAACTGAACGCATTTCAGCACTGACTTGGCGCGTTCGAGGAAAGCTTCCATTCTTCCCCTATCATGTCATCCCAGGGAAGACGTCGGGGTGGTGAGCTTATTCTTGCTTCAAGTCTGCAAAAACGGATTGATCTGCGGTGCAGCGAATGATCGTCGTGACAGGGGCCCTGGCTGGTATAATTGGCTGCTAATTCAACGACCCCAAGGGTTCTCCAGACCCCAAAACGAAGATCTTCCATAATGGTCCGAGGGACAAATGGAAAACATACGATTGGTTTCGCACGTTTTATAACAGAACCACCATCGCACGATTTGACTTCGCGACGCCAGGCAAGAGCTCCCTTGCGCTGCCACGCATGGACATCAAGCACAACTGGCTTACAACCGTAGAGGCTTCGTAATGATTGATAGCCAGGTCAATGGGAAGCATAAGAGGGGCCGGATATCCGTCCGAGTTCCGAGCATCTGGACCGCTCTGAAGACATCTCAACCCTGTTTGCCCCTATTCCCACCTCCCAGCCTCAGCCCTCTCCGCAGGACGTCCAAGGTCTACTGCAGGGACGTCGCCCTGTCTCTTTAAGCACGTCTTCCCGGCGCTTCTCAACCGCATCTTCCTCTGGAAGCTTGCGCACAGAGACAGTCGAATCACCGCCCGCGGACATCCCATCGCCTCAATTAAAACGGTCCTCGACCTTCAAAATCCCCCTCAAGGTTAACACCGACCCCTCCCTCTCGACCTTTAACAACCGGTCTCGGGCCTCGTCGCTCGAACAGTCTCCCCCGGAGAAGCGCCACGCGTACAAGTCGTCCCTCGGAAGCATACCGTCGGCCACGAAGCCCCCGGAGAACCCCCAGCCGCGCGTCGATCCTCCCCGTCCAACCCGGCAATCATCCTCGGACCAGTTCTCAGCGGCGACGAAGGAGCCTCTCACATACACTCCCGTCAACGAGGAGTCGCCAACAGCATCCACCCCGCCCCGGCCTCTGCAGGACAGACCAAGCCCCGATTCCACCATGTCTTCCCAGTAAGTGGGAGCCTCCCAAGAATTTGACTGACGGCGAAGACCGACTGACTGGCACTCCCCCAGACCAACAAAAGTCGATACTCAGGCCTATGCGGCCCCACCGAATGCGAACTCGGCGACAACCCGGGTCAACCTCCCCGGCCTCCCCGGCCCCAACATCCCACTGCCCAACATATCGGGGCAGGCGAACGGCGTAATCGGTAAGTCCAGACCTATTCCTCCACCACCACCACCACCACTACTACTACTCCTTCCAATATTGCCTATCCACGTGGCTGATCCCCCTGGCTAACAATAAAAAAGGAAACCTACTCAAGGGACCCGTCACCGCCGATGGCAAGCTAAAGGAAGCGGCTCTGATGGTAGGAATCAAGCTTGATCTCGAGGCTGAGGTGCACATCACGGCGCGGGTTAGGGGTGATATATTGGTGGGGCTGTACTGAGGGGTCGGCCGGGGAAATTGGGTTGAGATGTTTATAGAAGTTGGAAGAATGTTATTCTGATCCTGGTGATCTTGGCTTGACTCGGTTGTCGTTTCCTCTGCTCTCTGCGTTGATCTGGCCTTACTCCTCTAACCATCGTCCCGAGACAGTGAGAGAGGGAAACGCGTGGGCGGCAGGAATTAGCAATGGAGGTCTTGGTTTACCAAATCCCGCCAGGACCATTGGTGAGTTTCTTCACATCCAGAGGGGAGAGGTCACACCTTCTAGAGGGGTACAGGGGTGTGGTTCGAAACGACTGGCAAAAGGAGAATATTAGAGGGTAGGGAAGCTTGGGAAAATATGGGCATAGAAATATTTGGCTAGAGGAGGTGCATGCATGGCTACTAAGGAGTGAAAGGCGAAGCATCAAAAAGAAACAAAAAAAGGGATGGTTGGGTGGTTCGAATACTTGCATCTAGGTGACACCCGGAGGTGGCTGTCATAGGTGTCTGTATCAACATCGTTCGGTAGGGACAGCACAGATATCACCCACAAAAGAGAAGGAATCCCGCACAGAACGTAGAGACAAAACCGAGCCACAAACACCATCAACCATCCCGCGTCAAACCAACACAACCCACGCCTACTCCCCCTCCCGCCCACCCCCCCACCGCAACGCAACAGCCGCTCCAACAACAGGCAACACACTAACCAGCTCCCCCAGCCCCGCCAGCCCAGGCGGAATCCGGGCCCCGACGCGAGCCAGCGCGCCCGACCCGATCAACACGGCAGCGACGTTGTACACGAAGGCCCAGCAGAAGTTGAAGGCAATCCGGCGCGCCGACCGCCGGCTCACGGCCATGGCGGTGCGGACGCCCGACGCCGCGGGCCGCAGCAGGACCACGTCGGCCGCGGAGCCGGCCACGTCGGTGCCGCCGGCAGCGGCGTGCATGTGCATCCCCACCGTGGCCTGGGCTAGCGCGGGGGCGTCGTTGGTGCCGTCGCCGCAGAAGATGATGACGGGTGGGTTGGGGGTGGTGGTGGACTGGAGGTGTTGGATGTACGCTCGCTTGTCGGCCGGGGTGCAGCGGGAGCGGACGTTGGTGGCGGGGATGCCGAGGCGGGATGCCACTGCCCGGACCGCTCCGTCGTCGTCGCCGGAGAGGATGTGGACGGCGATGCCGGAGGCGCGCAGCTTCGAGACGGTGGCGAGTGCGTCGGGGCGCAGGGAGTCCTCAAGACCGAACACGGCGGCGAGGGAGCTGTCCACGGTGAAGCAGAAGGCGGTGTAGCCCAGTGACAGGATGGGCTGGACGCGGGGGTCGGAGGAGAGGTCGAGCCATCGAGAATTGCCCGCGCGAAGTGCATAACCTGGGGCGATGCCCTCCACACCTTTGCCGGCCAGGGCTTTGGGTTCCATCACTGCCGCTGCCGACACGCCCGTTGCCTCGAGATGGTGCGCAACGGCCAACGACACCGGGTGCTTGATGCCACCAACTAGACCAAACAGGAGCGACTTTGTGGTGGCCGGATCATGACCGAAATACTCCTCCCGGGCAACAGTAAGCTTGCCTTGCGTGATTGTTCCGGTCTTGTCGAATACAACATGGGTGGCCTTGTATGCGACCTCGAGACTGTCGGCAGATTTGAAGATGACGCCTCGTTCAGCTGCCACCCCGGTAGCAATGACAATAACCATGGGGACGGCGAGACCGATGGCGCAAGGGCACGACACGATCAGGACAGTAATCGCGTATGTCACCGCCTGAATTGTTGCATCAGAACCAGACTGTTTCTGGACACCGACACCGACAGCTATCCAAACGACAAAGGTGATAGTCGCCAGCATGACGATGACAGGGACAAAGTAGGACGCAACCCGGTCGGCAATATCTTGGATCCTTGGCTTCGACAGTTTCGCCTCGTCGACCATGCCGGCGATTGTGCTGATCGTGTTATCCCCGGGCAGTCGGGCCAGCTGAACGGTGAGGGCCCCTGAGCCATTGACCGACCCCGCAATGACCGCGGAGCCGGGGTGCTTCTCGACGACCATAGACTCCCCAGTGATCATCGACTCGTCGAGTTCCGAGGATCCCGATACAACCGTCCCGTCAGTCGGAACCCTGCAATCCGGCATGACCCTGAAAACGTCGCCATACTGCAGCAGCCTGGCGTCGATCTCTCTCTCGCCGCGGGGCCCCTCGCCCAAGATCACGACGGTGGGCGTCTGTAGCGAACGCACCGATATCGACTCGACGGCCTTCTGGCGGGCGAGCGCGCTGACGTAGCGGCCGACCATGATGAGGGTGACGAGAAGGGTGCTCGTCTCGAAGAACTGACCCGTCGATAGCGGCTGTCCCATGAGGAGGAAGGCGAACGACACGACGGAAAAGACGTAGGCCGCGCTCGTGCTCAGGACGATGAGCAGGTCCATCTCAACCATCCTGGAGAATACCAGCGCCTTCAGGGCCTTTGGGTAGAACGGACCGGCGACGACGACCTGGACCATGGTCGCGAGGGCGAGCGAGGCAGAGCTGTACGCGATCTCCCTCTTGGGCAGGGGAGCCCAGGCCATCACCAGGACTGGGATGGTGAGGACCGCAGACAGCAGGGTCATGTATCCGACATGGCGAACGTGTTTGCCGCCGGCCTCGAGAGCCGGGTCTGCACGAGGCGGGGCGAGCTTCATGGGCGTATCCCAGCCCTTCTCGACGAGGTCTCGCGCCCCGACTTTCTGGGCGTCAAACTCGACGTGGACGATTGTCTTCCCAACGACGCTCATCTCCGTGACGCCGTCCGGCCACGCGCGGTTGATAACTTCCGTTGGGTCGCCGGGAGTGATGAGGTCGATGCTGGATCCCTGATTCGTGATCCTCTCATACTTGAACTCGGTGGTTCGTTGGAGGTGGTTCATGACCTCGGCCAGAGATTCAGCGCCGACGTCCAGGTCAAACTCGGCCCGCGCAAGTACAAGGCTTGTCTTCAGGTTCCGGACCGAGTCAAGCTTGGTAATTGTCCGATGGAGTTTCGTCTCGCAGCCTGTGCAGGTCATCCCCGAGACACTGAGGACGACGTGCTCGAAGTCTGAGACCCCCCTCTCAAGGTCAGTGGCTCGAGCTTCGTTGGCGGGAATTTCCTTGGTCTTCTCGGTCACCTCATGGGATTTCTCCCCACCGCAGCAAGCATCGGCGCAAGAACTAGCAACGCGAGGCGCCGGAGCCTTGGCACAACAGCCCTGCGAGCAAGAATCACCGGCCGATCCAGGCCGGCTAGCGCGGGAGCGTCTCTTAGATTTCGGCCAGGGGCCCTCAACGGTGACACTTGCGCACGCTCCGGTTGCGCAGCACGAGTCGGCTGAAATGCGAGGGTGGGACGGCGGTTGCGAGCGCTTCCTCTCCACAGACCGTCGTTCCCGCGGGGCACAGCACGATTCCTGTCCCAGGGCCAGTAGAGCACGGCAGATGCATCCCAGCGCTTCCAAGGTGGATTGGTAGCGCTCGCGAGCAGCACTGGAATGGCGACGGCAGGGCTTCCCGTCCTCGGCACCGTTGCAGGCCGTGCTGGCATCGGAGCTGGTGTCGACTAGGTTGTCCGTCTCGGCGTCAGTACCGGCACGGAGAATGGCAGACAACAGCATGCGATAGCGGGCCAGACTTACCTTTCTCGCATTCACGCAGGGCAAGACGGTCGATGCAGGTCGAGTCACAGCAGGGGGATGCCTTGCCCTTACAGCAGTCGGGCTTGGTCTCAAGTTCCGTTTGTTGGCGCGTTACTGCCGGGCAGCAGCTCTCCACACAGTCAATATCCTCAATCGCCGTTCTGCAGCCGTCATCTTCTTTGGCAGTGGCTATATTCGCCAGTGGCTTGCAGCAGCTTTCTTGCGCTCCAGAGTCTGCCCCGCAGCAACCATCGTCCTCGGGGCAGGCGCGATTATCACTGTCAGGATTGGCGACGTTGGCGAGATTGCCATCTTCAACCAGAGAGGGGCATCCGCAAGCCATAGTATATGGTGGCGAGGTGCCTACCGATTACCTGGAGATTCGGGAAATGAAGTGAGAGAGGCACGATGTACGGATTACAGCACACGAGAATGTGGTTGGGCTGCGCTGTGCAGCACAGACCACATTTTCCTTCCATGACTTCGCTGCCGTCCAATCCCGGCATCGGCCTCGAAGCCGATGGTCAGGAGATCCATCATTCCACGGCCGCCGTTCTCATCGAGCGACAGACCACAGTTCGCTGACTATCGTGGTCACTATGCATTCTGCAGGAACGCCTCCATGCAGAAGCTGGAAGTGTGGAGGAGGTTGGGAAGTGTCCGAGTGTGCCTTCGTCCGAACTTTCTCCTCTGCTTTGACTTAGAGCTAGTTCCATCTAGCTTGGTAAACTTCTGCTATTGTCAGTATGTTGCTGCCCCAGGCGCACACCCCATGTACCTAATTGTACTTGTGAAGGCAGGACCGGGCGGCAGCATGACCTGTCCACATCGCCTGCTTGGCATGTAGCATGCGGCATGCGGCTGGCTCAAATGTTCAAGGAGCACAACATCTGCTAGCCTCAGCGTCTAACATCCCCAAAAGGATCCCGAGCCATGCCTCGCCACTGTTGAGGCATGGGTTGATCTCTCCCCGGGCAAAGGCCTGTGGTGTCGCAGGCACCGGGACTTCTTCGAAGTCATGGCCCCTCGGCTTCTCTCCCGCCCCGACACTGGTTGGCTGGTAGGTCTTGGGGAGAGACACAGTGGAGGAAGCGAAAGCGAGGTGCTTGAAGGGCCGTTAAGCTGGAGATGGTTCTCGACCTTTGCTCAGCAAGACAAGACAGGGAGTCCTCGATATAAGAGTTCGTCAATTTGGCGATAATTTATGGCAAACTTCTCAGCTACAAATCTCGGAGAGAACGACCACCATTCCACCACGAGCTCACGTGTCAATTAGGTACCAAGGTAGCTCCCCCACCTCAGCTCTGCTCACCAGGATTGCTTTGCCAAGGTCAACCTTCCATCCTATCCTGCTGTCTCTATCAATTGTGTTTCACCATGCTATTGGTTGCGCGCATCGCATGATAATAACAAGTTTGGAGTAGGTATCGGCGCCGCCTCCTGGAAAAGTTCAGAAACGAGACACTAGGCAGTTAAGGTTTGGGATCTGCTCGGGAGCGGAGCGAAACCTGGGGCGCATACGGACGTACAGATTTGTCGAAGGCCTTGGGGATCACCAACCACCGACACCATCTGATGTGTGGTACCTATGGTAATGTGTGCATGTGCAATACGTGTGCGAGGATGTTACCGTGCCAGTGACTCCTGCATCGCTTTGCAGTTTGCATGCGCTGTGGCGTCGACAACTTTGGGTTCTCAACGCCAGAACGCCGAAGAAGGCAAGGAGCTACCCCTCACCGTGAGTACCTACGGCCCGCCTACCTTAAGTTACAGCCACGGTGGTCAAACCCGGCTACACTCGAACAGTTGTGGTTGGTGAGACATGCCGCAGTGGGGTTGTCGCACACCGACTGGTAAAGACCGGGTTTAAGAAGAAAAAAAAAGAGTAAATAACGCCCTGGGCGCAAGAGCTGATGGGTGTTCGCAAGACAGCTAGCCACAGGGGATGGAGGAGGTCGTTGCGCAGGACAACCAGAAGCGATTTCTCGTGGTTCTGGGTCTGCCGATGTTCTACGCCTACTCTCTCTGCTGATTCGTTCGTTAAGAAACCAAGTGGGCTTGCAATTGTTCGCATAGCGTAAAGGACACGGGAGGAAAAGAAAAAGGTGTGACACACAGACAAGCGGAGAGAGGAAAGAGGTCGCTGTGATCTGGAGGCGTCGATCCGATGTTGGTACAGCCCTCGAAATATGTTAGCACAGGACCAAGTCCCACATCAAATCAAACTTCCACCAGCCACAATCGGGCTGTTATCGTTGTATCGCACTAACATGGAGCTGGGAAAAGGGAGTTATACGTGCACTGCAGCACGGACGCCCGCTTCCACTGCATGCTGATCCGTTTCCCAGCGCGAAAACTGGGAATGGTGCTTTGCAGAGTAGGTACAGACAAGGCGAGTCATCTCCAGCGTCGAATCTTTGGACGGAAAGAAGGATGCAAGTGACGACGCAAGGGAGGAGGCCCGTGTGTCCTTATCACCGACCAACTCTCAAAAGTTCTCCCGTTTCTCCCTGGCTTTTAGCTCTGTTTGTCAGCGGTTACCATGGTCCGTCCCTGTTGACTATTGACCGTCTATACGCCACAGGTTCTCTTGGTTTCACTAGACGGGGCGGATGGCTATTTATCCCAATCAATCGCACTTGTAGGAAAGGCGCTGATCTGAATCTCTCAAGCGTTTGTTAGGCGTAAAGCAACCAGAACCAACCTCTTCTGGGACTGGGGCGCGCCATGGGTGGACCGACCTGGTCTTTGTCGACGCGGTCGCATGTTCCCGTATCCGGCGGGCACCTGCCTGCGGGCACCTGCGGCAGCCGCAGCCGCAGAGGCAAGACAAAGCCCGGGAGGGAGACAAAAGCGCTGCACGGCGGCGAGCCTCAGATGCGCAACACCCAGTGCTTCAGCCAGGTGAGGAATAGAGTGGTCTTCGGCCGCGCCGCCCAACCAAGCCACTACTGTGGTAGTGCGGAAACAAGGGCCAAATAGGAAGAACCGGGTATCCCGATCCGTCCATGTCTCAGGTGTCCGTTCACCTCCACGCTGGGTAAATGGGGGTTGGGTTTAGGTTGCTCGGTTGTCTGAGCGGCGGACCTGCGTGGAATCGTCTCAATAGCGCTGCGAGGTTATTCCTTGTGACTGTTGATCTCAACTCACAAGCCCAAGGTCATAGCGATCGTCGGCCAGGAGCTGGAGCTAGCAGTGGCTTTTCTCTGAATTAGGCCCATCTCCTCCTTGCCAGATCCTTGCGCAGCTCGGTGGGAAATTCATAGGGCAAGTTCCGGTGTATGTACACTAATTTTGCAGCACGAGCCCGTCCGTGCGAGCTACCTACCTAAATAAGGACTGACGTAACCATCTCCCGTCGCTATCTCCGGTCAGGTACCATCCACTCCATACGTGGGTACCTAACTCGGTACCTGACATTGGGGTAGGCAGCTATGAACTTGCTTCTTTTCTTTGCAGACACCAGCTAGGCTAGCTTAAAGAATGGTGATGGTGCTAGATGAACTGTAAATAGGCAGATGCATAATGTGTGTCAAGTTGGCTGCCAGAGAATGCCCGGCATTTGTGCAGCAAAATTACTATCCGTACACGTGTACTGTACATACATACATACAAACCGGGGGTCCAAATTACTACGCAGTGTAATGAATCGGCGGCTGACATCCTGGATTTTCGTGACATCCCAGATGTCGCGCATCGACAGATCTTCGATTCCTTTGGCGGTAGGCTGGTAATTTCCTAGAACTTATTAGCTCCTCGTTTAGCTCCAGACGGCCTGGAGATCCCCGGCTGCTGCACAGGGGTTATATGCAAGTGCAGGCGGTACAAGTAGGTAGCTTGTACCCTATCCAACTTGCCGAATGGGATTTCGGACCTTCAACCAATTCACATGACTGAGTCCTGTTTCTCCCTTTATCCCCCGACCTACTCCCTCCAACTTTCTCGCTTCTCGACATTCGCTCTCTGCAACGTCCCTTTCCTGTGACATATGACTGCTCACCCAATCCCTGGCCAATTCCGGGACGCCTGTTGCGGCTGAGCGAGTCTCTTATGTCTACACCCGTTTCACCGCCTTGATCCGCAATTTCCTTGCACTGGGAGGAAAAGGGACACACCGCCGCCCTCTGGATTCTCTGGACGACCCATTAATACCGACTCGCACCGCCACACCCTTCTCAGACAACCATACACGACCGGATTGGGTCCTCCCATGAAGTCGCAACCCTGAGATTCGCCGGCCCCGAAGGTGCTTTTAGCGTTTCCCGTGACCATTGGGAACGAGGAAAGGCAACACCGACGTCGCCATGGGTCGCTCTTCGAGATTCACCTTCCCCTTACCTAGACGAAAGTCAAAGCCGGCTCCCGAACCGTCGATCTCAGGGCCGTTGAGCAAGGCACAGAGGACCCTCGGCACCGCAGACATCAATATAGACGCACTATCCAGAGATAGCGGGAGACAATGGGACACCACATCGAACTCGGGCATCAGCATTAGTATATCCGAGAGTACCGCTAGTCATGCGGCTCACACAGCTAGACGAGGAGATACGCAGGGACGCTGGGAGGACGAGTCGGCGATAATACCGAGGACCCTCGGAGCTGGAGGGCAAGGAGGCTCAGTTGCCGGATTTGGCACAAACGACATGATGACCGACGCCTCGAGTCTCCGTCGTCGAGAGTCGAGCTCCACGATTGTGTCGTTCTACGACAAATCCAAGCTTCCCTTGTCGATATCCCAGCAGACATCTGCCTCCGCCATAGCTCGGGGCTTGCCGCCGAAGGCGAGCTCTATTCTCGACGTTGATGGGACCCTATCGTCGCCAAAGAAGATCAAGAAGAAGCCAAGCAGGTTGGATCTCTCGTATTTGCTGCCGAAGTCGCGATCTGCCAAGCACCAAACGCCCCGTCCCGACTCCTCGAACGGTCGTGTCCTTGGACATGATATCGTGGCACTGTCTCCATCGGTCCTCTCTGTCTCGCAAGGTATCGACCCGCGGTCCATCCGCCAGCTATCAGGTAATAGCACCACTGTGCAATCATCGGAGCTGGCAAAAGCCAGGGCAGCAGCTTCGACGGCAAATCTACCCAACCTGTACGACCATTATGAGCAACGGTCATTCCAAACCATTGCAAAAAAGGAGCTGGACATGACAACCGATGAGTCCCGCAGCTCGTCCCGCAGCCCATCCCACGCATTGCCCCTTCAAAGCACGTCGACGAACGATTACCTCTCTCCCTCCTCCAAGTCGCCCCGCCGAGCTCCGTTCTCCGGGAATAGCACACCCGCAATGCCGTTGAGCGGGCCAGATACGCCTGTTCCCTCACTCGCGACTCCCTCGAGCCTCGTTTCGCCTCCTGCTGACTACGCAGCGAGCGTGTCCAGCCGGCATACGCGCACCTCGAAGGCCTCGAAGCGAACGGACCGCAGCCTAGTGGACTTTGATCTCCACCAGAGTAGCGTGCTCTCGTTGTCGTCAGACTCGGAAGATGATTACACGGACGCTCCCAAGCCGTTCATTTCCACAACGAGACGTCCGTCTGCGGATTCGTCGCAGAGCCCAACTAGTGTCGGCTCAATGAGCCTTCCCAAAGCATCTCGGTCCCCTCCTTCGGATGCAACCCGTGCCAGGCCTCCACGGCCTGACAGGCTAACCCCCGGCAATAATAACCATCTCTCCAGGGTTGAGAGCGTCCCAGACATCGCCGTCAGCAGCAGCCAACCAAGGATCAGCGAGCGCACGAGCTCGCTGTCCATCTCGTCTGCGACAACCAAAACATCGCACTCGATGAGATCTCTCTCCCGTTTGTCACTTGCCTCGACCGTCACTGCGAGGTCTGCTACAGCTGGATCGAAGTTGAGTCCCAGCCCTCGCAGCAGTTCCGGAGTTTCCGGAGTCCACGAGGCGCGTGCGATTACCATGACGCCGGCGCAAACGCCACACTACCACAGCAACTATTATCACAACCAGCAGGCCGCGCCTCGCCGGTCATCGCAATCTTCGACCGCGTCGGACCTCGGTCGGGGCTCTCTGTCACCGACTTCGATAGACCACTATCTCCAGTCGCCGAACAAGCCCCTATCTCTAGATGAGATGTCAATTCGCAGTGGCAAGAGCATGGCATCTGTGGCCAGCAGTGTCGGTAGCCCGGGATTAAGCAGCCCGCTGGGCAACACCAGCCACAACGGTCGATTGATGACGGTGACGCGACAGGAGGAGATGCTCCTGGCAGCGCTTCGGCTGAAGCGGGCCCGGATGCGTGAAAACATCATCGCCGAACTGGAGGCGGAAAATGATAGCGCGTCCGAGGAAGTGCTCTTCCAGCATCTCCAGCCCCAACCCCAACCCTACCAGTACCTCCGTGGCCGTGAAAACCCCCACCAAGCTCCAAACCAACCCCTGCCACCACCACCCAAGAACCGATCATCACTGGACCGTAGGAGCTCCTCAAGCCGGCAGGGATCACGGCGTGCCTCATCCAACCCCGGCGGATTGGCGCCGTTACATGAGGCGCCCGGGGCACCTGCGTTGGGGCACCAACAACAGCAGCAGCTGACACTGGTGTCTCCGCGAGCCGGCGCCATCGCATTCGAGACCAGCGACGAGTCGAGCCTGAGCGACGCCGAACGCGGACGCATTCTTCTCTACTATGACCGGCCGATGGAGAAGATCGACGACACCTTTGACACGGCAGAACCAAGCCCGGATCTCAGCGATTTCATGGATTACGACGACGGGAACAGCGAGGACCTACCCCTTCACACCCCATCGGACCTGGGAGCCGGCTCCGGCTCCGGCGCCGGCTTTCGAAACCTTCGCAAGCCGCCCCGCCTGTCGCTCCCGGTCCCGGCGATGGCCCACGGAAACACGGCCGCACAGGGGAGATATGTCGGCGAGTCGGTCAGCGCCAGGAGGGGCACGCCCAACAAGCAGAACCACGGCGAGGACTTGCACGTGCGCATCGTCGGCGACGCTAACGACGGCGGCGGCATCCCCGAGGACGACGTGTCGGCGGGCATCCCGCGGCCCGACTCGCCCATCTCGCCGGCGGAGACCTCGCTCCCGATGGCGACGGCGCTGTCGCGGAAGAAACAGGTCCGGTTGAGTGCCGTGGGATACGTGCCCGGGATCGAAGTCGGGCTGTGGGCTGATGATGGTTGAGTTGCTGCTACCGGCGACAGGACAAGAGAGGGAGGAAGGAACCCCCTCATGACGGGGGTGTGATTATTTCTTTTGTCAAGGCACGATATATACGATATATCTGAGAGGGCGGCGGCGCACGGAAGCAGAGGGGAATACCATTCATTCCTTGCATATGGTCACTGCCAACAACAACCACGATTTCCTTTGTCATGGGCTAGCCCTCTCTACTGGACGGGACACTGGATAAAACGATCTTCACGACATGATCATCATCTTCTCGGCTCGTGGGCAGGCGGGGCCTGACCACGGAGGGACTTTGGACATATTACTCCCCCTTTTTAATCATCTATTTCTAGACATGGTACATACATATATACCCACACATCTGGCGTGATACCCGCTGCCAGTTCGACCTCAGCAACCGGAATAAACTCAGTTTAAGGTTGCTGAGATCTGGCTGGTAGCGGGTATCACGCCAGATTGTGTATTTTTACTGAGTATTGCTTGGACGCCGTCCAAGCATATTCAATGTATACCCACACTAATCGCTGCCCATATCCCATGACGGTCCAGGCCGGGCTGTGTTCCTGAAGAACCTCACGCGACAGTTGAAGACGGGGAATGCCCAACGACGTCAAGGACCCGTTGGTATGCTTAGACCTTTCCAACTCGCATCATTCCGTAAGGCTCGTCAGACGTCTTGTTTCATCCTGCATCGCGCCGTGGGATGTGGCTGGCGTTCTCGGGGTTGGCAAGGAGTATTTATCCTTGCTTCCCAAAAACGAGGAGATTTCCGAGCTGCATCTTGACAGGGAGGAGCCCTGTGATCTTGCATATATGTCTTCTTTTTTTTCTTGAGACGCGACGCACGAGGCCCCCCGGTGTGGCGCGGTTCCCGTCCTGACGATGGTGCAAGGTCGCTGGCGTCGGGGCTGCCGGGCTCGGCGGGGCGTGCTGTCGCGCCACCGTGGCAGCGAGCGGATGTTGAGTGGAGTGGTGTCACTGGCCTCTGGGCAGGAGATGGAGTTGGTGTTAGGCGACCGGGGTATTTATCAGGTATGGAGGCTCGGTGGGTCGTCGATACTGTCTCACTGGTATTGGGACTAGATCCAAAGAAGCCAGCTACATGCCTCGTTCATTCTATAGTGCCTTTTGGAGATTCTAGCTGCGGGTCTCCTCTCTCCCTTTTCGTCTCCACCCCTTTTCCTTCTTCCATGCTAAGCATTCGAAGAAGCAAGGCCACCTGTCTTTCCTACCAAGTCATCTTGGCACTTCCTACGGATCCGTACCTCGACTGGATTTCAATACCCTGCGGTTTCCACCTCCGTTCCCTTCCGAGTCTTCCATGTATTCCAGGCCGGTGTAGTCCAGTGGACCTGGGGCTTGCCACGAGGCGAGCTCAGGGGAGACGATTGGAGGCTTGGCGAGCTGGACTGTACCCAACCTTGGTGTGGTCCACAGAGCCGCATCTCCCATTTGTCACTAGGAAATCTCCGACCGACATGTTGGCGCATCTTGGTGGTACAGAACTGACAGAGTAGACTCCGGACGACCACACTATTTGCGTGGCACAGCATAGTGCAAGGTACCATAGCTCGACCTGGCGGTGAGAAAGGGGTGAGCCGCAATTTCCCGAGGAACAAGTGGTGGAAATTTTAGGGGAAAAGTAGAATCCCAGATGGCTTCACTAGCCCAAAGCCGGACCCGTCCCAGTGAGGGTCCTATGGGTTTAATGGACCTACTACGTAGTGTAGTCCCATGCAAGCAAGCCATTCCACGCCGTCTCCAAAATCTGCGCTAAACAAAGCCGAGATCGCTCTTTCCCAGAGGCGTGGGCCCGAGCAAGAGAGACCCCTCAGCCCAGCCCCCGTGCCCCACACCCCAGCCACTCCCTCGCAGTACTCACTACCTAACTATCAGAGCAGACAGGCCGTCACCGGCCCCGATCTTGCTGCCTCTCCATCTCCTCCCGGAAGACGTTACGGCCCCGCCCGTCCGCCGCCCCCGTAGGCGACCAGCTATCCCGATCCGTCAACTGAATCCCGCCCGCGTTCCCCGCTGCCCCCCTGTTCTTATCGTCCACACCCACACCACCGGCCCCGATCCCGACCCCGCCATCGCCGCCGCCGACGCGCTGCGACCTGCTCTGCCGGATGCCGTAGCCCTGGCTGCCGGAGCGCCGGCGCGCCGACCCGATGGCGCCCACCAGCGGAAGTGTGCCGTGCCGTCTCCACGACATGAAGCACACGGCCCCGAGGATGGCGAGGACGACGACGACGATGATCGGGACGGCGATGGCGGCGGGGGAGACGCTTTTGCTGCCCCCGCCGCCGGTGTCGCTGCCCTTCTCGGCATTGGTGATGACGATGGACGGGCCGGCGACGCGGTCCTGGAGGTCGGCGGCGTTGTCGTCCGAGTAGGCGAGGAAGAGGGACACGTCGAGGGAGGGGTGGCCCTGCTTGGTCAGGAAGTCGGGCGCGATGGTCCACACGAAGTAGCCCTGGCTGGCGGGGATGCGGTCGGATGTGAAGCCGTCGCTGTCGCCATCTTTGTAGTCGGCTTGGAACTGGACCATGCTGTCGGGGTCGGCGAAGTAGGAGGGTGTCCATGTGACTGTTTTGGGGGAGAAAGAGGGTTAGTCGGGCTGCTCAGATTGACCCTAGTGGATCGAGCAGGGTGCCCAAGTTGGCGTGCTGGTGAGCTTACTATAGTATGACTTCCCCGGGTTCAACAGACTGCCTCCCTTTGGTTGGCAGAATGGAGCTCCGGCGCCTTGGTAGACCTCGCAGGCCAGGAAGAGTCCCTCTCCGTTGCTGTCCTTCGCGGTCGCCACCGGCGCAACCCCGGTAACCGTCGATGGCTGGCCGCTGGGAGACAGCGTGTAGGTCGCCGTCTTGGTCAGGCTGGAGGGCGGCGCGGAGATGGTCGTCGTCTTGCCGCCGACCTCGGTCACGACTGGCGAGAAGGTGTGGGGGCTGCCCTTTGGATCAACGCTCACCCAGACGCTCGGCGCGGGATCGGCCACTTCCTGCTTCCGGGCCATCACGGCGGCTTCGTTGGGGAGAGCGGAGGCCGGCTGGAGCAGCAGGAGCGTCGCTGCTATCGTCGCCGCCGCGATTTGCAGTGCCCGGAGACGTTGCCCCACCATTTTGCTGCTGCTTCTCTCTTCTGGCTCGCTTTTCTCAATATGTGGTGAGGGTCGCTTTGCGCGCGGCGTTGCCCGGATTATTCGAGTGGGAGCCCGAGTGAAGGAGTTGTTGAAAAAGGAGTACGTCTTTTGAAGGCGAGGCTCTACGCAGTAGGAACGGGTTTAGAATCGATGCATGAAGGAGCAAATGAGACCACCCATCAGATCAGCCTGCAGGATAAACCAGGTTGGTGGTGGGGAAGAGAGAGGGAAACAGCGGGACAAAAAGGCTGGTCAAAACTCGGTGCTCCTCTGCCTGCAGGTTGTATCCGTAAGTGACCCCGGATCGAGTCGATATAGTGGAACGGGGCACCCAGCCAGAATTAGCTGCGCGATGCAGCACTATTTTGAATGCTTAGCCGGGCTAGACGACGATGTAACCAGCAATGCCGTCTTGTCTCTGCATTTTCGCCGCGCTGGACTGAGTCGGTAGCGCTGAAGCGGGAGGCTGGTCTCACTCGGTCTTGTTTCTTCCATTCTCGCTCTCCCCACTTCCTCTCTCCCCCTCCCACGTGCTCGAACTGGTCCCCTGCCCCTCCACGAGCAAGTTTATCTGTACTATAGTACATAGTACAGGTACCAACTTTAGCCTACGTCGCTAAGCGTGGTCCAACCCCCACTTCTCAACCATTCTTTTTGAAAAGGGCGCCAAGCACTTGGCCCTGTCATTTTGTGTGGTCGGGTGTGTGCGGTTTATGGTTCGAAGGCGGGGCAACCAGCGGCCGGACCATGCTTTCGCCGTCTGCGCATTCAAGGAAGCCCCAGCTCAGGGATCCAGGGCTGAGGGGTGCGTGATTGGTCCGATCGCGGAGCTCCGTGGAGTTGCGCGGGCTGGAAGCCCTACTGCGCGAAGTACAGATTATCGATTTTCTGCGGATTGAGTAATCAATTGCTCTGCAGCCAATGCAAAGTTGGATGGCTACCATGAGCTTGCCGTGCATCTGTTCGCGGCCCCCGTGCCGTGTGCCGTGTGGGCTGTGGATGGCCACCCTCATGGATGGCTCGACTCGACATCTCGAGGATGCGGTCGTTGGATGAACCCCGCCGTCCCACCTTACTCGTGGTCTAGGCTATCTACTATCTAATCTGTTGTGCCGGGGGCCACCTTAAGACATTTGACATCCTCCCCACAAAGGCTACCCGTCCATCCAGACTCTCGGGCCACCCTGCTGCTGCTTCCTGGGACCAAGCGAACGACTGCTCTACTCGCCTCGCCCCTCCGCGCAACCTCGAACTCGAAGTCGGGTAGACAGACAGACATCATGAAGACGAACCATGTTGCTAAGGCGGCTCTCGCTGCTGGGCTCTGCTCCACTGCCGTGCTCGCGCAGTCTTGCTCGTCCGTCCTTGTCCCCGCCTACAAGGCACCCTCGGTCGCAAGCGGATGGCAGGCACAGCTTGTCGCTGACGGGCTCAAGAAGCCTCGGAGCCTGCAGTTTGACAGCACCGGAGCCCTGCTCCTGGTCGAGAGCGGCAAGGGCCTCTCGCGGATAACCTTCAAGGACAACGGCGGAACCTGTCTCCAGGTCGACAAATCGACCTTGCTCGTCGACAACACAGGGGTAAGGATTTCGCGATAGTTCGCGGCTAGAGAGAGGCGCATTCAGAGTGCGCATTGCTGACGTCTCTCCCCCGGCAGTTGAACCACGGCCTTGCCCTCTCAAACGACGGAAAGACCATCTACGCCTCTACCGTGAAGTCAGTCTTTGCCTTTGAGTACGATCAGAAGACCGGCACAGTTAGCGACAACCCGCGGGTTATCATTGACAACATGAGCAACAACGACCTCGTCACTCGCACGCTCCTCGTCTCGAAGAAGAAGGATGGCTACATCGTTGTCTCCCGCGGCGGCACCGACGACCTGGCCGGGGCGACGGTCCTCTCGTCCGGTCTCTCGCAGATCCGCGCCTTCGACCTCTCCAACTTCACCTCGGACTCCAAGCCCTACAACTTCGACAGCTCGGGCCGCGTGCTGGGCTGGGGCCTCCGCAACTCGGTCGGCGTCGCCGAGCACCCGACTTCGGGAGGCATCTACAGCGTCGAGAACTCGATCGACGACGTGACGCGCGACGGCGTCGACATCCACGAGAACAACCCGGGCGAGGAGCTCAACTTCCACGGCCTCCTCAGCGACCCGGTCGAGGGCCAGCCCAAGAACTACGGCCACCCCAACTGCTTCGCCGTCTGGGACACGGCCGAGATCGGCGACAACGACGGCCTGGCCGTCGGCAAGCAGTTCGCCATGACCGAGAACAGCACCATGACCGACGAGATCTGTGCAAAGGACTTCGTCCCACCCCGCCTGACCTTCCCTCCCCACCAGGCGCCGCTGGACATCAAGTTCAACACCGATGGGAGCGTCGCATACGTCTCCTTCCACGGCAGCTGTACGTGCAACTTCAGCCCCAAACTGACCAATTAGTTCACCGCGCTAACCAAACCACAACGCAGTCAACAAGAAGAACCCCGTCGGCTACCGCATCTCCTCCCTGACCTTCGACCCCAAGACAGGCGAGCCGACCGCGCCCATCACCAGCACCGACGCCCTCTCCGACATCATGAGCAACCCGGACGACAACGAGTGCCCGGAGAACTGCTTCCGGCCCGCCGGCCTCACCTTCGACAGCGCTGGACGCCTGTGGCTGACGTCGGACACCACCGGCGAGATCTACGTGCTCCAGCAGGTCACCTCCAAGGGCTCGCCCACCGCCACCGCCAGCGGCACCATCGTCACGTCCACAAAGGGGCCCAATAGCGCCGGCGTGAGGTCGACTGCTGCGTTGGGGTATGCTGCTGCTGTCGCGGTTGTTGGTGCGCTGTTCGCGGTTATGTAAAGAGGAGTCGGAGGTTGCTACGTATAATGCGAGTTTGTAATTGGTGTTGAGATTGAGACGAAGCCTTTTTGGGGCCGTTAAAGGGGGTTAGTTCGCTGAACTTTGGAATCACTTCGAGGCCCAAGCCTGTCTTTGACTGTATTAGGACGAACATCCAAACGGTGCGTCGCGTGCGTCTGAGCAAAAATGTCATTTTGAAGCGTATTGCTGTTCTTTTACCTTACCTACCTTGCCTTGTCATGGGGACGGTTCAAGCGTTGGCGTCTAGGCGTTCAGATGTGGCGGCATCATCGTCAGCGCAGTTTGCCCCGGTCGGGGCATTCTTCCTCGGCGGGAAGTCTATCTGATCTTTTCACCCACTTGTGTCCTACCTCCCTAGCCTCACTCGTACAGTCTCCCGACTACTCCTCATCTTCATAACACCGAATCCCTCCACCGCATGCCCCTTTTCCTGCTCGTCTGCAACCTCGTCGTCCCGGCCTGCCACCGGTGGCGGGAAGGGGGCCACAGGTTGCGCAAACAAGCAATTGCCTTCCCTGTTTGGGGAGCACATCGTGGGGGTTCCGAGTCGGTGCGTTTGCTTGGCGAGGCAAGGCGGAATTGGGGGTGGGCTCGAGATGTGGGTGGGTGTGATGGATATGAGGGGGTCGTCTTCGCTTCCGCTTTTTGTTCTTCTGTTCTTCCCTTTCATTCGCTGTGGAGTTACCTCGTTGGGAGGAGGGCACGGCTGGGGAAGACTGGGACGGGCTGAGATGGAGAAGTGGTTGGGTGGAAGGATGGAAAGGTCCAAGGGCTGTGCTGGGCGGACGTCGGCAGTTGCGACAAGTCTGGTCGGGCTGGGGGAATATTCTCCGCGAAACGCGGCAATGGGCTGCTTTGACAGGGTATGGTGAGGTGATCAAGGTAGCATCGCTTGGCCCGGGTTGTGGTCTTTCACGCCTTTGCTTTTCGCACCCAAATTTCCAGAGGCAATACGGACCAATACCAATGATATCATCGCCATATTAATGCATGCAACCTGGTGTGGCCAAATCCAATACAGGTCCCGGAGCTCAGGAGGCCATTCAGGTGACAGTACCCTAATTAATACAAAGTAGTGTACGTGCACTTGGGACGCAGGGTTGGCATTAATCATCAGCTTTGTTTGGGATTGGGGATTTTAATCCCCGACAACGGCTTGATTACGTTATGTTGGTTGCTTGCACGCGATTCAGCGAGATCTGTCAGGGTTGCGAGTCGCCGGCTCCAATGAGCTTTCCAATCCGTCGCGAGTGGTCTATCGTCGACATCCCGGCACCTGAGCCCGTTACATCAATCATGCCGAGAAGAATTCCGCTGGTTTTCGGGCCCGAAACTTTGTCAAACCTTGGAAATGAGCGGGGCTAATTGAAAACTTCAACTCCGATCTGCCGAGTCCGGTGCCGGAGCATTCTCGGGGAAGCACGGGGCTCCACCACTAACTTGGAGTCAAGTCGTAAAATCTCCCTCCATGGGACTGACCTGGATTCTACCTTTGTCCAATCTAATCAAATCTCCTAGGTATCCAATCCTCCGCCTTCGGGGTGCATCCGACCATGTACACAGAAGCCCAACTCGACCAGTATTTCCGCCACATCGGCTTCCCCGGTCGCCCAGCCGGGACGACCCTGGAGCAGCTCGGTGACCTGCAGAAGTGCCATCTCGCCCGCGTGCCCTTTGAAGATGTCACAATCCACTACTCCACCCACCGCACTCTCTCCCTAGACCAGGACGACCTGTTCCGGAAGATCGTCCTCAACAGCCGCGGCGGCTACTGCATGGAGGTGAACACCTTCTTCGCCATCGTCCTGCGCAGCCTAGGGTACACCGTCTTCAGCGCCGGTGGGAGGGTCAGGGAGCCGGATGGGGGGCTCACGGGTTTGTACGAGCCCCGCCACGCAAGCTAGTCAGGTTTCGTTGTTGTTTACAGTCTCCCAAGGTCCCACATGGTCAATATCGTGACGATCGAGGGTCAGCGATACGCGGTGGACGTCGGGTTCGGGTCCAACTGCTCGATACAGCCAATACCCCTGCAATCGGGGGTCGAGTTCGACGGCGTGCTCCCCGTGCGCGGGAAGCTGGAGCACAGGAGCCTCGCCGAGCACAGCGACCCGAGCCAGCGGGTGTGGGTCTACTCGGCCCAGGAAGACGCCAATGCCCCCTGGAAGGAGATGTACTCGTTCCTACCCGTCGAGTTCTTCCCAGCGGATTTCGAGGTCATGAACCTGAGGACAATGACCTCGCCGCGGAGCTACTTCGTCAAGACAGTCTTGGCGATGAGGATGATCCGCGACGAGGCGAGCGGCGACCTCACGGGGCTGCTGATCCTGCATAAGGACTATGTGAAGAGGCGGGTGGGGGACAAGTCCGAGACCCTGGAGGAGTTGAAGACTGAGGAGGAGAGAGTGCGCGCTCTGGAGAAGTACTTCTGGATCGTGCTGAGCCCCGTTGAGCAGAGAGCTATCCGCGACCTTCCGACTGAGTTGAGGGGTTAACTAGGTCGGAGATGCAGGATACGCTGGCTGGTAGTGAGGACGTGGGACTCTGGAAGGTGCGTTTAGAGGGTTGGGGGTCCAACTGGTGCGGCCGCTTGATACCAAAGCATTCTGTTGGTTATGAGGCGCATAATCAGAGTTGGCTGAATATTATTACCTTTATCCCGATCTTCAGGAAGTATCTCCCGACGAAACCCTACCACGTCAAACTTTCTCTTCATGTCCTTGATTCGTTACCGATCTGTTGGGCCACTGTGCCCCAGCTGCTGCCGATCTCTCTGCCCCCAGGCGAGGTATCATCCCAAGAAGGATGTCGAACGATCGAAGACCCGCGAATCCGATTCTTCACTTGAGACCCCGAGAGCTGACTGGACTGATTATACGCATCTTGTGGTCGCCATCACTAGATGGGGTGGGTGGATTAGAATCATTGCACAGAAGAGAGGTCGGATCAGAGCCAGGACATACTCGAAGCATGTTCAGAATTACCCCTTGGTGTGACGAACAGGAGCAACCGGCCATTCTCTACCAGCCTGGGGCTAGCAGCCTGGGGTGGGAGGGCCGACGACTACAATGACAACGACGACAACCAGACGATATGAGTGACGGTATAAGTGCTTGTAAGAGAAAAAAGTGCTAGTTCAGTACGTAACCCCAACCCCTATTTGCCCTCTGCCTTCTTTGCCTCAGCATGTGCTCTCAACCGTCCCGCCATCTCCTGACCCCCCTCTGCACTAAAATGCAGCCCCAGATTCTTTCTCGTCTTCTCGGCATTCATCCTCCCCCGCTCAAACATCTCCTTCTCATATTCCTCCACGGCGACCCCAATATTATACGCATCACTCCTGACCTTGGCCACCACACTCTCCTTCCTCTTCACAATCGCCCTCGCGAGCTCCATCGCATCCGCCAACGCCACATTCACCCCGACCCCGGCAAACGGCGTCATCAGATGCGCCGCATCGCCCATCAGCGTAACACCCGGCTTGGACTCCCACTTGACTCCGACGGGGAGCATGTACATCTTGCGCGGGATGAGCTCGTCCTTGGCAGAGAGGATGACCCGCTTCACGTCCTCGGCACAGTCGGCCCAGTACCTGTCCACCAGCTCCTGGCGGGCCGTAACCGGGTTCGCGAAATCGATCCCGCACTCCTCGATCCAGGTCTCGGGGACGCGGAGCGAGGCGTACGCGCGGATGGATCCGTTCCCATTCCGCTGACACTGCATGGCCCTGCCCTCGTCGAACAGGAAGCACGATCCCTTGCCAATATAGGAGCTCAACCACGGGTCCTTGGCGTCGACATCCAGTGCCCAGAGCTCGATGCTCGAGATGCCGGAGTAGAAGGGCTTCTCGTCAGTCACGAGAGGGCGGACCTTGGACCAGGCTCCGTCGGCGCCGACGAGGAGATCAATACCGGTCTCGGATGTATAGTCGGAGAAAACGATATTATGCTTGCCAGGGGATGATGCATCTGGTTCCGTGCGCATGACCTTCTTGCCCCATTTAATGGTCCCCTCCTCCAGGGAATCCAGCAAGATATCCCGGAGCTTGACGCGGTCGATCTCGGGCCGGTCACGTCCTCCCGCCTCGGCCTGGCCAGTGCCATTGTCGTCCCAGAGCACCGAGCCGTCGGGCCTGATGAGCTTCATGGCCTCGCCCTCGGGACGGGAGTGTTTCTGGAACTCGGAGAAGAGGCCGGCCTCTTTGAGCGCGAGCTGCCCGGCTCGCGGGTGCAGATCAAGGGTCCCGCCCTGGTTCCGCACGTCTCGCGAGGCTTCGGCTTCGTAGATGGTGCAGGGCAGGGAGTGGACTTGCAGGAGGCGGGCGAGGAGGAGGCCGGACGGACCGGCGCCGATGATTGCGATTTTGGGGGAAGGCATGCTTGGTGGATGTGGGATGTGATGGGATGTGCAAACAACTTGGGTGGATGGAAGTGGGCTTTTGGAAATTGCGAAGATGTGAAATAGAAGAAGGATCTTGATGGGGAGATTGGTCGTCGTCAGCACAAGATATATAACAGTGTCAGCCCGGATATAGCTGAGTAAGGGCCGTAAGCCCGGGACCGAGAATGTATGGACCGAAGGCCGATGATTCGACGGTGCCGACTTTGTCTGTGCGCCACAGCCAGATTAGTATGGAGGTGGTGCTGAATACGGTCTTCGGCTTTTCGGAGATCGACATCTGGAGGTTCGTCCGGGCTTACGTCACTGCCAGCATTCCTAGTCAAAACCGTGTCTAGCAGCCACGCGGTCCATCGCCGCGCCGCCTTGGACCAGGCGCTTACTCAGGACCTGCCCGTTGCAGTGAGAGCGTCTCGGTTCTCTGCCTGGGCAGGAATGCTCTGCTAATTGTCAAGCGTGTTGTCACTTGGTTGGAAATAGCGCTAAGGTTAGGGATGAAGACCTGCTCTTTAGCATCATCAACGTCTCCCTGATCCTGTCTATGCACTTGCAACTCAACTAGAACTCTAGAAATGTCTACTATAATCTGTCAAGCCTGTGAGCTAGCAATCAAATTCCCTCCAAGCTTTATATTGCCGTCTCCTAGTTCATCGCTGAGCACCTTGATTTTGATCAGGAGCAACCCGAGAGTCACGGTGATAATGGGATAGCCTCACGACAAGTTAGTCGGGCCCTGTCATGATGGCAAGGAGCCATAGTTTTCTCCGACTCCCAACGGAATAGCTAAACCCACTGGTCGTCTTGGCCCGAGACTGTCCAGGATTGGGGCCGGATAAATCTGGTCACTGTAACATCGGTGCCGATCTCGCCTCCGATCCCTCCCTCTTGCGCCCCAATAACCACCCTCACCAACCTCTGCTCGGTAGAGATTGTCCCGCATCTCCAAATCCCCCGCTCCGGGGATGTCTGGCTGGCAGACTTTATGGTGCGATTAGATCAAGTGAATAAAAGCCCAGATCCCTTGATTTCTTGAATACCGTGCTCCGGAATGGCTGTTCGCCTTTAGCCCTTCTCCCATCATTGTACGTCAAGTGTGAAATCCAAAATGCCAGCCCTCTCGCGATTGTTCGGGTTGGCATTGTGGGCCTTGTTAGCCTTAAACGCGACCCTCGCCCAAGGTGAAGAATGGCCCCGACACAACAACGGGTTGACGACGTCTGTGGAATGGTAGGTTAACATGCATCGCCATCAAGAGACGTGGAGGCACTAAAGTCTCTCTCAGGGACCATTACAGCTACATCATCAATGGCCAGCGTCTTTTTGTCTTCTCTGGGGAGGTAATTAGTGCCCGTTTAACACCTTGAAGTCAATTGCTTGGAGTCAGTTTCTAATGTCGTGCAGTTTCACTACTGGAGGTTGCCTGTGTGAGTTGATCGGTGTGTGTGCGCGACTGTAGAGTCAAACTGACACAAATAAAGACCCGAGCTCTGGAGAGACCTGTTGGAGAAGATTAGAGCTGCTGGGTAAGCTTTTGATATCCGACACCCCGGATTGGAAGAGCCAACTTACACGTCTCTAGCTTCAACACTTTCTCCATCTACAACCACTGGGGGTACCATGAGTCGTCACCAGGCTCTCTTGACTTTGAGAGTGGAGCACACAACTTCACCTCCATTATGAAGTTAGCAAAGGAGCTCGGCATGTACATGATCATTCGGCCAGGCCCGTATGTCAATGCCGAGGCGAATGCTGGCGGATACCCCCTATGGCTCACCACTGGTGAATACGGTGTCCTGAGGACCAACGATACAAAGTATACTGATGCATGGATGTCATATTGGTCAACGGTATCCCAGATAGTCAAACCGCATCTGATCACCAATGGCGGCAACGTCATCATGTTCCAGGTTGGCCCCTGTAACCCACCTGCCCTTGTCGCATGACTCACAGTATATACAGATCGAGAACGAGCTGGACGGGCAGTGGAAGAGCATCCCGGACAAGATTCTAAACCCCCCCGTGGCCGGATACATGCAGGCACTCGAGGACGTTGCTAGAGATAACGGCATCGATGTTCCTCTTAGCCACAATTCGCCAAACATGGTAAGCTAAGGCAGCTCTGGAGTAGCTGCCTTGCAATGCTGATCGCCGTTAAAGGGCGGATACTCCTGGTCGAAAGACTTCTCGAACATGACTGGCAATGTCGATGTTGTAGGACTCGACAGTTACCCGTCCTGTTGGAGCTGCAACCTGAGCGAGTGTACCGGCACGAATGGGGAATACGTCGCTTATGTGAGTCGCTGGAGCCCCTGAAAACCATCCATTTGCATACTCATTCTTCTGCAGCAAGTGGTGGACTATTATACGTAAGTCCCATTTGCACATGATCATATTCGTGGCGGTTACATGCTTACACGCCTCTAGATACTTCACTAAGCAATCTCCGTATGTTTCGTACGGGACTCAGACCCATACACGGTATAATTACTGACCTGCTTATAATTAGAACTCAGCCCAACTCCATGCCCGAGTTCCAGGGTGGATCGTATAATCCATGGGGCGGGCCACAGGGCGGTTGTCCCAGTGACATCGGGGTCGACTTTGCCAACATGTTCTACCGCAACCTCATCTACCAGCGAGTGACGGCAATCTCTCTGTATATGCTATATGGAGGGACCAACTGGGGCTGGCTTGCCTGCCCTGTCGTCGGTAAGTAGCACCGGCCCCCCGTCTCGATTTGCTGGATTCGCTAACTCTCGAAGCCTCGAGTTATGACTACTCGTCGCCAATATCGGAAAATAGGGCGATTGGAGACAAGTACCACGAGACGAAGCTCCTCACTCTTTTTACCAGAGGTAAGCTCTGGCCAACAATTCGAACAAACAAGAAGAAGTCTAGCAACTCATACGGTTTGCAGTGGCCAAAGATCTCGCCAAAACAGATCGTCTTGGCAATGTGAGTCACAGCCAACTCCCTCTACCTGAGGTTGTCTGACGAGTCTACGGCTCTAGAACACGGAATACTCGAGCAACTCGGCAATCACCACTGCTGAGTTACGGAACCCTGACACCAATGCGGCATTCTATGTTACCATGCACGAATCATCTCCGTCCGGCACGCTAGAAACGTTCAAATTGAAAGTGAATACGTCAGAGGGAACATGTAAGTCTAAAGTACTCCGATATGTGGAAGCCGAGGGTCTGACTATGTGCTCGTCTAGTCTGGATCCCACAACACGGAGGAACAATTACCATAAATGGCCACCAATCCAAGATCATCGTGACCGACTTCAATTTTGGCTCCAAGACACTCCTCTACTCCACTGCCGAGGTCCTTACATATGCCATCATCGACAACAAAGAGGTCCTTGTGCTTTGGCTTCCGACAGGGGAGTCGGGGGAGTTTGCCATCAATGGAGTGGCCTCTGCGAAGATCTCATCGCCGGACGGGTCGGCAAGAGAGGATTCAACAAATCTGAAGCTCCACAGCGGGGAGGAAAATATCACAGTTTCATACACACAAGGGCCGGGGATGACACTGGTCGATCTTGCAGATGGGTCCAGCGTGGTTCTCCTGGATCGAAGTGCTGCGTATAACTTCTGGGTCCCGTCCTTGGGCAGCGATCCGTTGACACCGGAAAACAATACTGGTAAGTAAAAATAATCTGGGTTGTGGTAGGTTGTTTGTTTGACGAATACTTGTCGCAGTCCTGGTCCAGGGGCCATACCTGGTTCGCTCGGCCAAGTTGAACGCCGAAACGAGGACTCTTGAACTAACAGGAGACCTTGACCTTGACACCACGATTATCTACGTATTTGCTCCGAGAGCAGCCTGTTCGATATCCTGGAATGGTCAAAAGTTGGAAATTATTTCCAAGAATGGACAGTTGGTGAAGGCGACCCTGGAGGGTCCAGCCTCCTTTAAACTACCAAGCCTCGGTCCATGGAAATCACTCGACAGCCTGCCCGAAATTAAGACTAGCTACTCCGCCTCATCTGACGCCTGGGTTGGTAAGTGGAAACCATTCCAGTAGCCCAGGACCTTACCTCCCTCACCTTTTATACTGATTGTCTCTAGACGCAAACAAGACCACCACCTTCAACCCAACCAAGCCCGACGCCCACAACCCCGTCCTCTACGTCGACGACTACGGCATCCACACAGGCAACCACATCTACAGGGCGACATTCCCCAGCACCCCCGAACCACCCACAGGCATCTTCCTCGACATAACAGGTGGCCTAGCCTTCGGCTTCTCCGCCTGGCTCAACTCCCGCCTCATCGGCTCCTATCTCGGCCTCTCCTACGCGGGCCAGGGCCAACTCACCCTCGCCTTCGACAACGCGACCCTCCACGCCGACAGCGACAACGTCCTCGTCATCGTCATGGACAATTCCGGCCACGACCTCCGCGAGGCCGCCGTCCAGCCCCGCGGCATATCCAACGCCACCCTCCTGGGACCCGCCGCTGACCGCGCATCCGGGGGGCCGGGGTACCGATTCGGCGGGTGGAAGATCGCCGGCGGCGGCGGCGGGGCGGAAGCCGCCTTGGACCGCGTCCGCGGACCCCTCAACGAGGGAGGCCTGTTCGCCGAGCGCGTCGGTGCGCACCTGCCCGGGTTCCCCGAAACCGGCACGGAGTGGGAATGGGCGGACGTCGGTGGCGACGGCGACGCGAGGCTACGCGTGGAGGGAGCCGGGATAAGGGTGTTTCGGACGGTGGTGCCGCTGCGGGTTCCGCGGGGGCTGGATGTTGCGGTGACGTTCCGGCTGACGGTCCCCGGCGGCAGTAGCAACCGGTTGCGGGCGCTGCTTTTCGTCAATGGGTACCAGTATGGGCGATTTAGTCCGTATATCGGTAACCAGGTCGACTTTCCGGTCCCGCCTGGGGTCCTTGACTATGATGGGGATAACACTGTTGCTGTGACGGTGTGGAGCCAGAGTGCCGAGGGGGCGGAGGTCGGGGTTGAATGGAATTTGGATTACGTCCATTCGAGCAGCTTCGATATGGGCTTTGACGGGGCGCACTTGAGGCCGGGATGGACGGAGGATAGGCTGAAGTATGCTTGACCGGAAGTCTTAGTACAGAGACGTCATCTTCAGCACCTAGGTCTGATTAATTGCCAATATTTCAATATTTCAACGGGGGAGGTGGCTCTGGTCGGGGGCTCGAGATTGAGGACCGCTGCGGTCAGGTAGATGGACCATGCTGTGGTTGTGGATGAGGTCTTTGCAGCGCTTGACTGCCTGGGCTTCGATCTTCTTCCGGTCCTCGATGTCGGCTGTTTTCTTATCCTCTATCTCTGCTCGCCGCATCAACGTCGACCCACGTGGTAGATGGGGTCGGGTTTGCTTTGACTACCTCTATCACATGTGCAAGACGCGTTGTAAACTGATTGCGAGCGCAAATTGCTATCGCATGTGCAACCGCAACTCCCTGCTGTTTGGTCCAACTAGTTCTAGTTTAGCATCGAAATACTGCTGAGTATTTTCGGGTCCGTGATGCTGCCGATGCACACCTCGGCAGGGACAGGTGTGGCGTACAGCCTGTCTCCGCGGATAATTGGCTTGGTCAGCACGACGTTGCCTTCGCCGCAACTGGCGATCATGGAACCGATGTCGACAGTGACGTCGTTGATGTGTGGATGCTTCAGAGTCTTGAGGATCTCATCGAGTTTGCTCTGGGCCTTGTCCGCTTTGTTGGCGATAGTGACCAACATGATCGAGTTCTGGTCTCGCTCTTCATCCGAGTCGAATGCGTTGGCTGGTCCCAGCTCGAATCCGTTGTTCTGGGGCACTGGTTGCGGTTCGGGTTCGGGTTGGGGAATCGGTGGTGGAGTGGCAGCGTAAGGGAGGTGGTTCCACGTGGGAAGTCCCGGTCGAGAATATTAGGTCTCATTTCTAAAATATTGAAATAGGGAGTTTCTCTGCGGGCATGCGCCATTTGCTCTGCGGGCAGGTGGTAAGTTGGCAACAGCAATAGCAATGGACAGCAACGGCAATAGCAATGGACAGCAACGGCAATAGCAATGGACAGCAACGGCAATAGCAATGGACAGCAACGGCAAGAGTGACAGGAGTGATAGCAGGAGCGATAGACAGCAATAGCAATTGCGATAGACAGTACGGATGTAACGGTAATAGCAACAGACAGCAACAGCAAGAGCGATAGACAGCGACAGCAATAGGCAACAACAAAAGCAACTGCCACCTGTGATGCACTAACCGCCTCAGTCTAGATTCAGAAACATCCTGACTTACCACTGTCTGCCTACAAAATCAGGCCTTACCTACAATCCTACCTCCCTACCACCTTCCTCTTCCCTCTTCTCACCCTCCTCTTCCTTCTTCTCACCTTCCCCTTCCTCCTGTCGTCCCACGGCGCTTCTCTCTTTCTGCTGCTTGTTCGAATAGGAATGGTTGCTTGGATTGAAGAGCGTCTCTCTGGAATATCCAACTCCACTTTATCTGCGGCGCCGCTATCCTTCCTTCTCACCTACAACCCTCATAGATTTCTACGCGCTTGCCACCCCTTAACGGCCAACCTTGCATCATGTGGCACAGAAACACGTGGATTAACAGCATCAAGTCCAAGATACCGGACTGGGACGAACGCGAGTCAATGATCTACAGCAAGCTGTATTCGACCGGCTTCTTTGTGCACGGCACCCAAAGGCAAGGACCGCCATTCCTCCGGTTTGTCAAGTACGTGATACCCGCACTTGTAGAGGCAGACACGTCCGACACCGAGACAATGGACCGGATCGAGGCTATGGTGGCCTTCATGGACCGCGCCAAAGAGTTTAACAAGCAACGAGCTCTCGAGCAGCCCAAGGTGTGCAGTCACTTGCAGGCCTGGCTGAAGTCTCTTGGGAGACGGATCCGCGAGTCTCTCCCGCTCAAGAAGCGCTGAGAAGGCAGTCAAGGAGCATGGCAAGAAATTCGACAAACTTGACGAGCTGCACACGGGGGACTTGGGCAAGATTAACATTGAGATTGCCAAACCCAAGGCTAACATGTCTTTTCGAGGGACCTTGAACTAACACAGCCTTAGCGCCTGTTGGCACTATGAAACGGCTTAGGAGAAGATGAATGTAGGCCTAGTCGAAGGGTTCGACACCCTGGACGAACTGCTGGAGGGCAATATCCTGCCTCTGGACAAGATCCAAAAGCCGACGCCCATCCACACCAATGCTCACTACGCTAGAACAATATGCAAGGATAGAAAGAACGATAGACAGCGAGGGAAAGAGCGATAGACAGCGAGGGAAGGAGCGATAGACAGCGAGGGAAAGAGCGGTAGACAGCGAGGGAAAGAGCGATAGACAGTGAAGGTAAGCGTGATAGACAGCAATAGCAAGAGCAATACATAGAAATGGAAAGAGCAATACACAGCAATAGCAAGAGCGATAGACAGTGACAGAAAGAGGGATAGATAGCGATGGAAAGAGCGATAGACAGCGACAGCAATAACAGCTGTTGCTAATTTTCCAGCACCTGGTTAATATTTTGGCAGGCCGCTGCCATCTGGGATGCCTATCCAGGCCTCCACCACAGCCACCGAGGTCGCCATCATGGAGGCCACCACGGTCACCCAGGCCACCATCAGGGAGGCCACCAATGCCGCCTCTGCTGCTGCAGCCACCGCCGCTACTAATGCCGTCACTAACGAGGCTACCATTGCTGCTGCCACTGCTGCGGCTAACGCCATCATTGCTGCCGAGAGCTCTGACACCTGGAATGCATAGATCACCTGCCTCCAGAACAAATGGTGCATGCCCTCAGAATCCTAGTAACCGGCCAGGTGTCATTTTCACCGTTGACCCTCTCATCACCGCTACTATTCCCGCCAACCATGCCGTGCAATTACGTAGTTAGGTCCTCGATCTGGGCAAGGTCTTCGGGCTGGACTAGCTTGCCTAGCTTGTTTGCGATGCTTACAAGCATGATTGCGTTGTGTCCTGTTCTTCGTCTGAGGTTCGGCCAAAATTCGTTGCCAATCAATCCTCGGGGGTCTTCGCGGTGGGGTGCCAAATGAGGATGTGCTGGAAACGGAATCCGGGGTATTCACGTTGTCCATCGATTTTGAGGATGTTTTGCAATCCGGAGATTCATAGGATGTCAAACGGGTACATATCTCGATCGGAAAGAAGATGCGGGTGACAAACGCCTTGTCCTCCGCAAAAGGTGGATCATCCCCGCAAGCTGGAAGTCGAGAACATAAGAACATCAACCATTCAGGAACCATCTCATCCAACCCTCAAAGTATCACAAGACCACACGAAATCGCTGTCTGCGCACCAATTTTTCGGAGGAGCACCATGGACCAGATTAAAACACTCCTCAACATGGCCCTGTCCCCATTCCAACGCACCTCACAACCAGCCCCTCCAGACCTACCCCTCCGCATAGTCACCCACAACATCCGCTACGCAACCACCTCCCCAGCAAGAGGCGAAAAGCCCTGGCCAACCCGCCGTCCGCTCCTCACCACCCAGCTAGCCCAGCTAGCCTCCACCGCGCCCGCCGGTGCCATCGTCCTCCTCAACATGCAAGAGGTCCTCGACCGCCAGCTCGGCGACATCAGGGAGGACCTCGGCGCCGACTGGGCGCACGTGGGCGTCGGGCGCGACGACGGCGCCGCCGCCGGCGAGTACAACCCGATCCTGTACCGGCCGGCGCAGGCGCGCCTGCTGCACTCCCAGACCGCGTGGTTGTCGCCGACGCCGGCGGTGCCGTCGTTTGGGTGGGGGGCCGGGAGCAGGCGGGTCGTCACGGCGGCGGTGTTTGAGCAGGTCGGCGGTGATGGGCGCCGGTTCATTGCTGCCAATACGCACCTTGATAATGTCAGCTCTGAGGCGAGGGAGAAGGGCGTTGGGGTCGTGCTTGAGACGATTGAGGCGCTGAGGGAGGCGTGGGGACCGCTTGCGGTGGTGCTGACGGGGGACTTCAATTCGTCGCCGGGGGAGGATGCTTATCGGGCGATGGAGGGAAGCGGGCGCGCGGAGGACTTGTACACTGCGGCTGGCTCGGAAAGGCGGTTTGGTCCGTATGAGACGTATACGGGTTTCTCCCCGGACGATACGCCGACACGGATCGACTTTATATGGTTGGGTCCGCCGGCAGAGAAATTGTGGGTGGTAGACAGATATGAGGTGCTTTCGAATACCCGGGATGACGTCTTCCTGAGCGACCATAGGGCAGTTGTCGGGGATCTCCGGATTGTGGCATGAATGGTTTGTAAGTCCTATCTGAAGTTTGGTGTATCGGAATTGGAGAGAGTTGATCACGAGTATGCTAACAGAAAGACAAACAGTCTCACCAGTTATACATCACCCCGTCACTTAGATATTATGAGATGTGTTCAATATTCGAATTAGAAACATCGTCTGCTTAGCTATCTGAACTGAGAGCATCTTTGGAGTCGGGCGTTTAGTGCTCTCGCGGCTCTGCCACAGCTCTCCAAGATAGCGAACCTAGCTATGTTGACTGACTACAAGACATACAAGACATACAAGACGCATCGTTAATCTCTTTCTTCAGCATTCATGGAAAGTGGCAGATGCATGGAGGCAAAATGTTAGAGGGTTGGGGTCAAGGAAGGAATCGAGATGGGAATAGCGAGACATCAAATTCCTGTGAATAGACGCTCTTGAGCCGGACCGGTTGGGGAGAGCCTTGGATGCTGCCTGTACAGCCGCGTTCGTAAAAGAAGGTATGACTCGCTCTCCTACAAATGCCCCAAGTCTTCCAGAATTCCCTATCCAAATGCATCATCAAGCCAATGTGGATATCCAATCTCGCCCCCCATCCAGCCTCGAGGAAGGCAGATATATGTAGATAATTTGAGTATATAGCGGTTGAGAACCGTCAAGTTACCTACAGTTGATGTCAAGGCTGGTATGTGCGGTGAGAGAAAACTGTCGTCGCTTCATAGGCCGTTGACGGGTAAGAAATAGGAAGTTATGCAAAGGGAGGGCCAATTTGAAAGGCGCTGGCTGACCAGCGGGAAATGATCATTTAGGCCGCCACTTCACTTCGCTTGTAAGCTCTGATCCAGTTCTCGGATTGCAGGAAGATGCCACAGTTGATGGAGTGCCAGGGATTCGTAGGGTCGACAAGGACAAAGTCGAACCTCCTCAGAAGCTGTTGTTACGTGAACAAGTCGGTCAGCCAGCAATTAGATACGCAGCCCCATCTCGAGGGTCAAAGACTTCGGACCAAACGACAAGGACTAACCTCAACAAATACCTTATTCAGCTCCATGAGCGCCACATTCTTCCCCAGACACTGCCACCTGCCGTAGCCAAACACCAGTTCCAGCGTGTCCTCCATCTGGCGCAGCTTCTCGGGTGACGCGTCCAGCCACCTCTCGGGCCGGAATTCGTGCGAGTCCTCGCCCCAGACATCGGCCCGCCGGAAGATGCCCCACGCGCAGTAGCCGATCTTGGTGCCGCCCGGCAGGAAGACGCCCTTGAACGTGTCGCCGCCGGGGGGCACCTCCTTGGCCATGAGGCCGGTGACGGGCGGGTAGATGCGCAGGCCCTCCTTGATCACGGCCTGCAGGTAGGGCATGTCGCGCGCCTCGGCGTCGGCGATGACGGGCCACGAGAGCCGGGCGGCGTCGATCTCGGCGCGCAGGGCGTGGACGACGCGCGGGTTGGTGGTGATGTACAGCATCGTCGCGCGGATGGCTGTTGCGGTCGTGTCGGATCCCGCCAAGCTGGGTGCAGTTATGAGCCGACGAACGAAATCGGGGCTTTCTGTGTGCCACCGCGGTGTAGGGAGGGAGGAGGGGTCACTTACATTTGCATCAGGATCTCGGACTCGCACTCGGACTGGGTGAGTCCACGAGCCACAAACGAGCCTAGCATGTCTTTCTGGGTCTTCCTGTCCGGCCCGAATCGCTCGGCGGCAACTTGTTTGGCAATCCTAGTTCGAAGGCCTTCATCAGTAACCGAATGATAAAATAAGGGGGCCAAAGGTGGGAGACGACATACGCCATTATCTTTCCAAGGCCGATCGAGTCCTTATCGGACGGAACCATGCTCTTGAAAAGCGGGGACTGCATCATGGCGATGATCCACGGTAGGACCGTAGTCACGATGATGGTGGGCATGCTGCTCTCCATCGTCGACACGTATTCGTAGACATCCGAATCGGTGGCGACGTCACCAAACGGCTTCCCAAAGGCAATGTCGGAGATGACGTCGAGGGTGAAGTACTGCGTCTTTCGGGCAAAGTCGAATGGCTTGTCGGCGGATACGTATTTGGTGTCGAGGAGGTTGATCAGGCGAAGCAGGTTCTCGTCGATCTTTGCCTCGAGGTTTTCGACCTCCTTGCCCGAGTACTGGGTGCGCCAAAGTGTCAGTCAGAAGTTTCTGGCCGCCTGTCGTTTCTGGCCATAGCTTGCTTACCCCCGCGGCCATCTTCAAACGCAGCTTTCCGTGCAGCTCGTCATTTCTCATGGATAGGACGTTGTCCTTGTTCGGATCGAGTCTCATACCATCGTACCAGTTCGATCGCTTGTAGGGGGTGCGCACATTCAGCATGTGCTTCATGAGGTCGGGATCGCTGGTGATCAGATATTCGGGCCCGACACGGGCGGTCGAACCTGCCAAGATCAGTCAGTCAGTCGGTGAGCATAGCCAATCTCTGCGACTGCGAGCATACCGTATTTCTCGCAGACCTCATACATGTCCAGATGGGTCCTTCCACCGCCGACAGACCGGATAAGCCACCATTTCGAGATTCCCGTGCCGGCTGGTCCCTTGATGTGCCGCAGCCGGAAATACTGGCGGACGGTGGAAAAGATGGTCCAGACGACGAGGAGCAGCGCCACGGCAGCAAGAGAAGCAACAACAGGACTTAGAGGGCGCGCCATTGTAACACCAGATCCGTCGTGTAACCGTGGACGTTTTGGAACGAGCAGGCGTGTTGCACAAGCCTGGCCGCCACGAGGGGGCCCGTCTGCTATGGTAATGACATTGCCTGTGGGTGACAGGGTGTGGGATTGATGACCTCGTCCACAATCCACTACCCGAGCGGTCCGCCAGTCGTGCAACCCTGCAGTCGACGATCAGTCCCAGAAACAGGGCCACTCTACGGATAATGTGCATCTATTTAAAAATCCATCATCGCAATTGGCTGGGCGCACTAAAATATCCCGGTCGCCACCGCCGGGGACGGTGCCGGTGCAGCAGCCACGGAGTGGGGGTGGCCCAAGCGGCAGTGGGCGGATCCATGGCGGTGTGGGGCCAGTCATGCAACGGTTCGGGATGGTCCTCAATGCTTGATTGCAAGCGTGGGGCGGGGGATTTGCCAGTTTTGTGAGCTCAGCATCACGCACAAAACCCCAAAAAGAACCTCAGGAAAGGAAGAGAGGGATTCTAGGATTCTACTCTTGGCCACGCGACTAATTACAAAATCACCACCACGCAAATCTCCGACGTCAAATCGGCCCACTCCTCCGCTTCCAGGTGCTCCCTCCTTCGCGTCAAATATGACCGGTCGGGCACATCTGACCGCCATCAATTCCGATGTTGAACCACTCGTGGCATCCGCGGTTCGTTCACGTTCTCTCCAATAACATCATCTGAGCCCACCAGACCACTGAAAGGCTCCCCCTAGGACGATGAGGGTGATGAGGGCATCGATCCCGGCGTAGACCTGGTAAGCTCCCATCTTTGCAGCAATCACCTCGGAACGTGGAGCTCTGTCTAACGTGGGGTGACACGGAAAGTCCGCTTGCAGCTCGTCGACCTCGATAACATCCAGCATCATGCGCTATCGCGAAGAGAATGGAAGGAGATACCATGCGTTTAGGGCAGGACGTACGCACTTTTGAGCTTTGCCCCTCCCCCCAACCCCAATCGTCCTTCTTGTCCATTTGCCGTGCCAAAAATGCTAACACAGCAAACCCCTTTTTAAGGTTACGTCTTGCCGAATGACGAGGTGAGATGCAGCGTGCCGCCGAGCCGCGATCAGATAAGCTTGCAGCAGCAACAAGCTGATCAAGAAGTGCCTTCCAGTCCGAGAATGAACGCCTGGGTGAGAACTCTAATCAGTGGATTCCCAATTGAGCCAGAAGATTGATCGTTTCGATTTGTGAAACAGATCTGCAGCATCACCTCTATCTCCTGACCTTCGACAAGAGGCTGTACACGTGCCCCGCTGGCGGGGATAAACCTCTTCAGCGAGTCCTCGATGCCGGCACCGGCACCGGTATCTGGGCCATAGATTTCGGTATGTCAAGAGAGCTCTAACCCGCACATGGGTGAGCTCTGCTAACCCCTTCGCAGCCGATGAACATCCAGAAACACATGTAAGTCTTGGTCGCGCTGAGAATGTCACCCTCCACGGCGACGTAGCTCAAACACCAATCAGGTCACCGGAGTCGACCTCAGCCCCATACAACCGGACTTGTACGTGACGGAACCCCTTCGGGACGGCTTGTTTGGTCGCCAATAGAAACTATCGATCTGCTCACACCTCCCCACCCCTATAGCATTCCACCCAACGTATCCTTCTTTGTCGACGATCTGGAGGATACCTGGACCTTCTCCAGCAAATTCGACCTCATCTACGCGCGAATGCTGACCGGTTCTCTGGCCGACTGGCCGAAATTCATTCAGCAAAGCTACGAGTAACCAGATCCCCACCCCCTCCCCTCCCTCAACATCGCACTGCACTGTGTGAGAACGAATCAAGGGAACTCCCATTGACTCTCAAGCAGCAACCTCGCACCCGGAGGCTGGCTCGAGATCTCGGACATTCTCCTCGAACTCAAGAGCGACGACGGAACGGTGCCCCAGGGATGCGCCGCCGCCAAGTGGGGAAACCTGATGCTCGAGGCCGCCGCCAAGTGGAACCGGCCCCTCGATAGCCCCAAGTTCTACAAGGAGCAGCTGGCCGCCGCGGGCTTCACCAACGTCCACCAGACGATATACAAGTGGCCGTCGAGCCCCTGGCCGAAGGACCCTAAGTTCAAGGAGCTAGGTAAGCAGGATTGAGGATTCGGGCCCGGGCCCCGGATGGAGAAACGGAAGAGGGGGGATGACAGGATTGGATTGGGGCTAACTGGAGACAAACAGGGATGTGGACCTACGAGGATCTCGGCAAGGGGGCTTCGGGCCTCAGCATGGCGCTGTTTACCCGCGCCCTCGGCTGGTCCGCGGAGGAGGTGGAGGTGTTCTTGGTCGATGTGAGGAAGGACATGAAAAACAAATCCATCCACAGTTACTGGCCAGTGTGAGTCTTCTCCTCTTCTTTCCCCGCCCCACACGTCACGACATCGAGCTGACCCGCTGTCCAGGTACGCGGTGTATGCGCAAAAGCCTGAGTCGACGGCCGGAAGTTAGCACTGGGCCATTGGTTGGGGGTTACGGGACACGACACGACTTGGAGATTATGAGATCATGACCGGGGTTATTTGAAAAAGAAAGGGAAAAATACAAAGATGCCAAGTTGGAAGTCTGGTGTTCACTGGAGGGCTGAAAATTGGACAAAGGGAAAACGTGCATCAAAGCTACACTGCAATACCTATCATCTATCATAGAGTCCTTCCCTATTGCAGAATTTACATCAGACCCGTCCAACCGTGTAGGACTGTATTCAGAAATGGAGGCTAGATAAGGAAAATCGTCGCAGACCTGACCGTGCTGACTTACCCGTTACCATGCCAGTCTCTCTCAAAGCTTTGGAATGTCAAGAAGGAAATTTAAAACTCAGTCCCCCATACTACCAGTCATACCCAAAAGCTCGCAAGCAAATACCATGAGGTTCCGGTTCCAGCAACCGGGGACTAAACAACTTCGTATCGATGAGGCGACCAGGCATCAACCCCCGCTGCGACGTATACGCGAGGAAGCGCTCGGGCACCGGCCTGTACGCGACAGCCCGGAGGATCCGCAACAGCTCCTCGTCCTCCACGTGGACGCCCGGATCGACGACCTGGAAGAAGGCCCGTTGCGACACCCGCCGAGGGTGGTCGTCTTGCACCGGCGCCAGCTCCTGCCTCCACTTGCGCATGAGGACAGCTCCGTGCGTGCGGAGGAGCCGGCCCACCGCCGCCGCGTCGCCGGGGACCAGGTCTGCGCCCTCGACCACCGCGGCCGAGAGGTGCGACGCCATGCGGATCTCTGTCGTCGGCGGGCCCTCGACGACGGCCCCCCACCCCAGCGCCGGCCGGGTCCAGAACGAGCACGTCTCCAGCCGTCTGCCAGGGTCGTCCCAGTGCTTGAACAGACAGAACAAGAACTGGTAGTTGTCGGCATAGCTACCGTGGCAAGGCCGGGGGGTCCCACCAGGCCCCTCGGAGAGGACCCCCCAGTCCCACCCGATATGCCGGATAGACAGCACATTAGACACGCTGCTATGGACATGCCTAGGCTGCGCCCCCGGCCCGAGATCAACGCACTCGAGCATCGACCCTGTCAGCGCCGTGTTCCAGAATCCCCAGTGCCGTCCGGCCCCGCACTCCCGCCTGCGCCCGCTCTCGGGGTGCCGCAGGGCCACCAGCTCGAGCACGTTCCGCGGCACCGGCTCCTCCCCGTCCCCGTCACCCGTCGGCCCCTGCGCCAGGTGCAGCACGTCCCTGTCCAGGTGGAAGCGCACCGCCGGGGCCGCGTTGAGGGTGTCGAGGGCGCCGCCGGCGGAGACATCCAGCAGCGGGTACTGCGCCAGCGTCGCGGCGCGGGACTCCCGGCTGGCCGATAGCGTCGGCGGGTATCGGTGCTGGTCGGCGACGTCCCAGCGCAGAGTCCAGCCGCCGGTCGGGGTGCGGGCTGGGCGGATGCTGACGCGGCGGGGGGCCGGGGAAAGGGCCCAGATCTGCTGGCGGAGCTCGGGGGGGAGGAGGGGGAGCTGGGGAATGTTGGGGTGGGATTGTTCATTGTTGGGGAGGCTGTTGTTTCTTGTTTCGGGGGTGCTTTATTCTCTGTACCAGTACTTTGAGGGTCTAAGAGAAGTCAGCCATGAGATTGCACGTCTTGAGGTTGGGTTTTACAAGGTTTGTTTGCTTTGTGGAATCTTTTGCTCTGTCTGCTGTATGTTTGCGGACATTAGTGCCTCCTGCGAAACAAAAAAAGCAATGAGTGGTAGTCAAACTAGTTTACATTCCATCCATCAACGCCCATGCCATTTGTCTACTCTCTGGCAAAGTGGCTGGCTGGCTGCTGTAATACTTCTGCAAGCACTGGACGAAAGAGAAGTTTTGGTGGCGTCCTTATGCACAGTACATACCTATTTTGCAAGAGACAATGACTTGCTGAATTGTCTGGCAAGGGATACCGGAAGGAAGCTGTGCCTTGCATGGATATCAGCATGTATCTGTGGCAAGGTAAATAAAGAGGGACGCAGTTGGGCAGCGCAGACGGACCAAAAGAGCCTGTCTCTTGAGCCAAAGGGTTAGAAATCGGGCCTGTTGACAATGAAATATCTTGACTCTGAGGTTTGTTGCAGCACTCCAGGGAACACAGACTGGCTATGCCTTGAGTTGATATCTGAGACATGGCCATCAGGCAGGATGAAGCCGGTAAAGGGCATTGGCTTTATGCAGGAGGGCCTTGGATATCAAGGAAGGCAGAGATTTCAGGTACATGTATATGAGCACTCATGGCCCTGCTTGATAGGCCAATGTGCTTGGGGTCTTGGTTTCCCAGTGAACACCTATCTCACCTTGTACCCACTCACTTTGTATTCCTTAGAGTTGTAAGGCGTGACGCGTGACGCGTAAGGTGTCCAGAGGAGGTTGAGAGGTAGTTCTTATTCACGTGTTTACGTAGGTACCACCACTCTCACCACAACCACACCTCAGATCACCGGGCATCCAACCCACACTCCGAAAATCCAACAACCCAACCTTTGGTGCCGGTATCACAATTCATCATCGGCACCATCTAGATCCCGCCTTCATCGAGGAATATTGTGCAACTTCATCAAAGCTTCCGTTCAAGGTGCAAAATACACTAGGTAAGTCGATGATCCGCTTCTCCTCTCCCTGAGGTTAGGGGTATTCCTTGCCGACCACACTTGCGACAGTTTCTCTCAGGAGGAGTCGCAGGTGGAAGTTCTTGACCATATATCTACAGCTTCCTGGCTTGGAAATATTCCACATCATTATCTTGACCCCTTCTCAAACCTGCCCTTAAAATCCCCCTTACCCCTTACGACGGGCTACATACTCTGCCCACTCAGTATGCTAACCCATAATCCGTCACAGACATGGCTCCGGTTATTCACCCAAAGGCGGAGCTCTTGACCGGTACCGCCATCCAGGAAGCTTCCAAGTCCATCCGCGCCGATCTACGGGCCCATATCTCTGCAGTTGAGACCGAGCTCAGCCGCGTGTCCTCGGCCATCCGCACCGCCGAGTACGCGGTACACGCCCGCAAAGACGAGCTGGCCGACATGTACAGGAAGGTCGAGGCCGCCTCCCGCATCGACAAGGCGCTGGGGACCCGCACCAAGATGGTGCCCTTCCAGCTCCTCTCGGCCGCTGCCGACAGTGCGTCGCTCGAGCGCAAGCGCGTCAACCAGGCAAAGTACAACCTCAGGGACCTCCAGGACCGCGTAATCCGCGCGCAGTGGTGGGCTGAGAGCATCCGACGCGACTTGCTGCAGCTGGAGCAAATCGCCGGGCAGGCTGGGCTGGATGAGTGCACTATCGACATGCTCTCGCATGAGGTTTCCCTGCAGCAGATTGTGAGTTTCCTGCTTTTTTCTCGTACTCCCAATTGGTCGATACAGAGCTAACCTTTTCGCCCTTTAGCAAGCCGATATGGTCATGGGCGCTGCCGCTTCCACCACGATGGACATTCGCAAGTTCGAGTTTTAGATTCTACGTCGGTATGGGACTTGGGATTGACAGTCGGTACGGGTTTGGATGATGTGGAGGATTCTTTACGGTCGTACAACTCAACACAACTGGTCCATGTCCATTCAGGCACTTCTGTTCTGCCTCATGGAGACTGCTGGAGTAGCTAGACGAGAACCATGAACAATTATCAACCCTTCGTCCTGTATTATCAGGAGGTGACACTGGGAATATTCTTTCTGCCGTAAGCTCTGCTGGGGAGCAAATCGCCTTCGTAATTTTTCTGTTCCACGAGAAATCATGATGTAAGGGGTCAACGTCGTGGACCTAGGCGCCACCGCCTTGTCTTCCTCGTTTCCCCTTCCATTTAATTCACTTTCGTTTCTTTGTTTGCTAGTATCCCGTCTGCCTACCGTCACCTCCCTTCTTTTTACTACCTTACTCTTGCCCTTACCACCGTTACTGGGAGAACACACAAACTTGACGACAGTCGGAAAATCTCAGTTCGTCACGGGAAAAAGCTCTCTTCCAACGAAACCATCATTTCCTTTGCCCTTACATCACCTTTTTAACGCATTACACTCTCCCACCACTCGCAAGCTCTCCCACCACTCGCAAGCTCTCCCACCACTCGCAAGCTCTCCCACCACTCGCAAGCTCTCCCACCACTCGCCATCTCACCATGGCCAGCCAGCAGGTCCTCCTCGTGGCCCTGATCGAGCGGATCTCCGATTTGGAGAAACGGACCTCCGAGGCCGAGAACCGGGCCACCGCGGCCGAGAACCGGGCCCTCGAGGCCGGGGAGCGAGTCTCCCGCCTGGAGCGCTGCCTCAAGGCGATGGAGGACGAGACATTGCAGATGAGGGGGAGCACCCTGGCACTGCACCGCAAGATCCGGTCCGTCTCGCTGGGTGTTACCAATAATTTTCGGGCGGTCGAGGTTCTCGCTGTGCGCCTGGGCAACGAGCAGAAGTCGGTGAGGGACAGCAACGTAGCCCAAAACAAGCGACTCAATAACGTGAGACGGGCCATGGCAGCCGGAAATTGGGGGTTTTACAGGCGGGCGGACGAGTTGGAGGAGAGGTTGGATCTGGTGGATGGCCAGATCAAGGCACTCAGCAGGCTCCTTCTCGAGGAGAAGGAGAACGCGAAGAAAGGGGAGATGAGCCGCAATAAGATCATGACATCCTGTGTCTGATCTCAAAGGGCATTGTTAATTGAGCGTTTTAACTGATGAAAAATAAATCTGTCAGAGCCCAAATGCCTTCCAACTTTCCGTGTCGGACACCACAAAAACACCACCCATGTTGCGTGCCTATGTAATCCAACGTCAAGGGTAGCATTTGTATTCGCCAACGCCATCCTCAACCGAGCCATCGGATATTCCCAGTTTACTTAAGTCATATATCACTCGTAAGAAGCGTCTCCAAATTTCTTAGGCATCTAGATACGGAACAAGCCCTCCCGAGGCAGCCTTGGGTGTCGATATTGAGCCTCAATCTCGCACCACCAGACCTCATAACCGCCTACCTAATCATTGGACCACCTTGACATTACCACTAATTCGAAATACCGACCACCCTCTTTCCCATATCGTGGCCTCTCAGCCACGAAAGAATCTCTCACCCAGGTATCTTGTGGCCTACCAGGATCTGGGCCCAGAATACAACGAGTGGTTGACAACGGAACGGATACCACCAGGCCCAACATCTCGACGAGGCTGTCAGCTATCAGTGCCAACTCCCACCGGAATTGGATAGTGGCAACGACGTCTAGACCCCAATCGATATAAACCGCCTCGCCTGCAGCATAGCATCGAAGGACGGATCCTAGCCTGACTTCTTGGCCTGAGGACCAGTCGCCTGGGCAGATGTGGAGGAAGAGTCATGCATCTTTCTCGTGGCAATGCCTACCTTGAGGACAAAGCCAACCACGGAGAGGTACCAGGGCCGTATTCACTTCCATCACCACCAGCAACCGGCATTCCATATTCACCTTTTCCGTCATTGTGGGTAGGTACGTACCTTAGGTACCTGCCTATTGTTTGCTGATTCCATTCACTCTTCGATCCTAGGTACGTACTTTCGGCCGTCCTACCTACCTATATAAGGCACCTCTCTCTTCCCTCCGTCCAACCTTTTTTTACTTTCCACAACCACCCAACTCTCGGAAAAGGTAAGAATCGCCATCTACCCAGCACCATCTCCTCCCAGCTCTCCTATCTCCTCTCCTCTCCATCATCACCACTTGCACTTGTTTTTCTTCTTCTCCGCACATATCGGCCTACAGGTAAGGACAGGTAAGTATATGCCACACGCCGCGCGAGGTATTGAGCAATCCCGCCCAGCCCATCTTCGTCCAGCTCATCTTCCCACGGCACTTATTTTCCTACCTACCACCCACCCCAACTACTTGCCTCGTTGCCCATTTTCCCTTCGCGCAGTGTGTGCGGACTCGAATTTCCACCAAGTCCCCGTCCTCTGCCACCACCGCGGCTTGCTCCATCACCCTCCCTCCCAGCCTCATACCCTCAAATTCACACAAGGTAAAATGACATCGCCGGCCTGGGTGAAAAGTCAGGGCGATTCTTTTTCCGGAGCCGGTTATCTTCCAGCTCACTTTACTCACTGATGAGATCTTTTCCCCATGCACTGTACCCTTCCTTTCACGCGTCCATTCACCTCACGCGGCGCTCACCACCCATCGAGCAAACTTTTCTGACTGCCCAGGCTCTGGACAGAATTCCATCAACTTTGATCTCGTACAAGTACGAACATGCCGAAGAAAAGGGCTGAGTGGGATACCAATGGCATCTACCCTGAGATTATGGAGGTAAGCACCCACTGCCCACTGGTGACATTCTTTTCGCCTGCTGACAGCATCACTCCTAGGGCATTAGCCTCACCGACGACACCATTCCCTCTGCTACAGTAAGTCCAGGATTTCATCCTCTACCCCCAGCCTCGATTTACATTTTCTCTCCACTATTCCGAAGAAAGCAAACTTCCCCTAGGATCTGCGGCCAGTCTCAAGTTGGATGGGGCTGGTTAGACCCGCTGGTGGGCTGGCACGATGCATTTCACTCTTCGCAAGCACTCGTCGCCGGTCCAGTAAAAGCAGTCGGGGTTCCAAATAGGGAGTCTTGCGTCCGTGGTCGCCGAGGTAGCTATCCCTGCCGCACGACCAGTCCTAACGGCCTCGGGGCGAGGGTCTACCCCCGCCATCATCCATCTGGACGAGGTACGCGGACGAGCGGATCACATCTTTTGTTCAGGAGGACAGCCTCGCCATAACGTATCACCTTTCCACGGGTATACAACGGTCTGAAGGACTGCATTATGCTTGGGGTACGGTGTCTCTGGACACCGTGCCTCTATGCGCGGTCCATGCGGGGGATGCCAGCGCTTAAGGGGGTACTGATCCTGGGGCACAAGCGTGTCACTGTTCCATAAGTTATTGAACAAAATTTGCGGAAGTTGTGAGATCTTCCTCTGGAAGTGACGTGGAATATCGGGTGCGGACTTACCAGCGAGACATTGTTTCTGCTGACTGGGTGGTAGATGGCAGACAGCACTCAGCGGGCCGAGCTCACGAGGGAAGTCGAGCGGATGAAGGACAGTCTTTTCCACACCGTTCTGGAAATGCACAACCAACTCATCGAGCTGAGGCGCAGCTTCGCCAAGGTCCAAAATCGGCTCGTCGAATCCGAAGAAAAGAGGGACAAGGCCGAGACCGAGCTCCAGTCCATGAAGGAGGTACTTGAGGCTCAGCGCAAGGCCGCCCAAAATCAAGACCAACGTGTCAGCGAGGTCAGTGACTCCTCCCAACTCCATCAAGACGCATTGTTAACTTGTCTATTTTCTTTTGAACAGCTTGAGCGTTCGTTCGAAGCCATGAGGATGGAGTTGAGCAAGCAATCATGAATCGACCCACGCCATCTCTGCCTCCAGACCACGATCGCCGACTCCCATGCTATCTGAACACTGCAGGATGAAGGTTATCTCCCCAAAAAATATGCTTCTGGGGAATGCCCTCCGCGAGTGTATATAACACTGTGGTTATGCGCGACGAATCTCGACGCCACCCATTTTCCTTGTCGGCGAGAATCCCAAGCGACCGCTACTTCAACCCGAGTCGGGTGAGCCTTGTGTGTCCGCAACACATATTGTTTGGCTCGTTTTCAATGTTACTATTTTTTTTACCACACACAGAGATAAGTCATGTCGCACGCAAGATGGACTAGAATAGCTATCGCAGCCAGTCGAGTCCGTTCCAGCCTATGCCACCGCAGACATGAAACTGATTTGCATGTTCTGCATGCCTTCTTCGACAATGCATAGCATGAGATGGGGTAACGAAGACCGCTACATAATTACACATGAAGTACTTCGCTCCTTTTTTTCCAGCATGGTCGGACGCTCTTTGGCCATCCTTTTTTTTTTATACCCTAATTACCAGCAGTTGATGGAGCGACAGGGATCTCAGGATCAACAGTGAACGAAAAGTCAAGCTCTCCCACAAGTTCCCTCACCAACCTGCCCGAACAAACGCATGTCAATACAAGAACTGAGTGCAGCACTGCGGGAAGGGCTGCCAGCGGTATACAAGAACATGCAGTAACAATGAACGCATCAGGTTCTTCACTTACTGCGTCAGCCGATTCGCATCGCGAATGATATACCAATTAACGCTGTGGATCAGTGCCGCGCTCGCAAACCCTTCTTCCGCAGGTACACCCCTGCTCAGGAATTCACTCAGGTCCGGTATTTTCAACTCCCTCAGCTTCGGCGGCAGTGGATGCGCCCGACTCAGAGCAGAATGCAATATGATCATTCTCGTCGTGACACCTTCGGGGGTAAGATGAGTCTGGACCGTGCCAGTCCCGTCGTGGACCCACCAAGAAGACGTGGCAGGGGATCGTTTGAGTGCCCGGGACACATAGCTCGTAAGAGTCATGTAGCTGCTGAGGCGCTCGAGGATGGAGAGGATCTCGCGGTAGGTTTGTTTGGGAAAGCGGCCGCCGAGAGTGACTTCCCAGTCGAGGAACTGGAAGTATGTCTTGGCGCTGGTGGTTAGGGTTTGGTATTTGCGGAAAATGCGACGGCGCGCGGTTTGGAGGTGGGCGCCGTGGCTGGTCTTGTCACTGAGGTCGCCAAAGGTGCCGTGAAGACGGGTGAGGAGTGTTTGTTGGATGCACATGTAGTAGTTGGCTAGCATGTACATGGATCTGGCTACGTCTTCGCGGAGTTCGGAATGTTCGGAGAGGGGGTAGGGGAAGAGTGTCCAGAAGTAGCCGGTGACGACGCCGAGGGTGACGACAGCAAGTCGATAGGGGAAGATTACGTATGGCGGGTAAACCGCTTGTCCGGCTTTCGAGACGGCTTCAATACCCAGCTGGCGGATCTGAAGTGCATCTGCTATCATGACGATCGCGGACACGAGAGCAACGAACCATATACTGAAGAATTTAGGAAATTTGACGACTACACAATGTAGGTCATTAGTTTTGAGAATACCTAACCTGCCATCGGGGCGCAGATAACGGAAGGTGCAAGCTTACATAGATAGCCAATGACAACGAACCACAACCAGAGGAAGACCAAAATACCAGGGGTCTTTTTGTCGGCAATATACCAGATGATGTAGCTCGTTATCATGGAGGCCATTGTACCAAGTACGCGGCCCAGTAAAAGGAAAGTCGACGACCCGGCAGTGCGGCCCATGGAAAGCAAGATGGCAAACAATGCCCAGAGAAATCGTTCTCTGAAATAAAAGTTCTGCGAATCTCGAAGGAACCCAATAATGGCTATGGTCATGATGGCACAGGCACCTCGGAGTCCGTATGCGGCATGATCGGTGCGAAAGACGGAGCTGATCTTGCGAATGTTGTCTCCAATAGTCTCCATGAAGTTGGCAGGTGGGAGATGGTCAGGATTCTTTCGGTGGTAGAATGCGGATCCAAGTTCGATGTTTGTTTGAGAGTCCATATTCTGGCTGACACTGTCTTGTCGGATGCGTCGTAGACGAACAAATACTTTGAGCAAGTTGTCGAGGGAACTTGATCGTGGAATGAGCAGGCGCTTCGGACGTGCATAGCATTCCTCGATGAAAAGGAGGAGCTTGAGGAGTCCGTCTCCTAAGCACGACATGAGGGTTTGGGACTGTGACAGTCAGTTGTCGATGGCGCAGGCGGCACACGTGGTGTCCTACCACTTACATGGAGCAATAGAAAATAGCGTAGCGTGTCAGTATGCGTCTCAGCCGTGAGTTGATCCAGGTCTGCAACTTGCGGTCTGTGTCGGATGTAATGGTCGAGCAGCTTTTCTTCACCCGTGCCATCCTTCTCTTGGCCTAGAACACAACAACTATCGAAGACGTCTCGATATGACTCGAGAAAACTCGCTTCTCCTGGACGCATAGAAAACGCCTGGTTCTCCTCGTCTATATTTCTCGCGTGAACTCTGCCAAAGAGAGATCGGCCCTTTGTCAACTTCAATCGAAGTTTGGCGTGCTCCACTCCTTCAATCATTGCCGCGGATATTCTAAGTGAATGCTGGCGCATTTTTGCCTCGAGACGATGCCAGTCTTCTTCATCTTTCAAATTATTGACATCCTCATCATGACCGTCCATCCCATCGGCGTCGTTAGAAGGATAGTGTCCATCGATTGCCTGCTGCAGCATGTCTGCCGCCGAGCTTAGGCCAGATGCCGGTGGGATAAGGTCAACCAATAATGAGGCAATATGCTCGAGCTGTGAGCGATCGAGGCGACCCCAAGATACCTCACTCCCCGCATACTCGACATCGTCAGGAGCCTTGGCGACGCTATTGATAAAATGTTGCAGAGCACCCTGAAGTTGACTGACAGACGAGCCTTGTCCGTCTTCTCCTTCGGTAGAGATCTTCCTTAATCTTAGATCGTCTATGCATCTCCTCTGAGCCCGCATAACAGCCACCAATCCGTCAAGACACGCTTTCATATCGCTCTTGAAGACCCCTCTGCAGCTTTGTGGAAATATTATGAGGCCATTGACAAATCCGACAGCCTGCCCCGCCAGAAAGGACTCCAAGACATTGCTAGTCTCCTCAAGGACTTCTGGCATACCGGGAGCTTGAGCAACACTGGGGAGTGTCGCGACTGCAAAGATGCCAGCCAAGGTGCATTGTAGGCCCCAAGTAGGAAATGCTGACTTCAGCGTGAACGCACACCATATCCCAAATATTAAGAAAATGGCGACGACGGCTTCTGCAGATGAATTATAGGCTTTCAGCTCCTCAAGGTCGTGTACGGTGTGTTTTCTAGCTTGTAGACCAGACCAGCCCGCGAGTAGGACCCAGCAGTATGACAGGGCGAATGTAAAGGCGAGTTGGACATTGTGCTCAATCAGCTTTGCCCGGGGAAGACCTGACAGAGCACAAGTGGATATGATCGGAGCTAAATAGGCATTGGTCTTGAAGTGGTTGATCCATGTATTTGATTGAATGGCGCATACAAGGACAGCTGGTGGTATCGACGTTTTGATAGCCATTGTCGCAGTGTGCCGATCCAAAACCAGCTGGGCGAAGACCGACTTGAGTTGTAGCCGCCTCGTAGTAGCTTGAAAGACATTATCCAGGGGTCTAGGTAAGGCTCTAGATCTTGATGGCGGTGTTGCGTCCGGGGGAGGTCGATTCCAGTTGCCCGGGCGCATTGTTGGTGTCTCAACTGCCATGATTGCATTTGGCCTCGAATAAACGAGAGAGCCTGAGAATGCGAACGCAGACCTCGCGAAATGGCGGATAGTGTTGACGTGGCTGTGATGTAGAAGTGATGTCACCGTATAAGTGGTGCAAATTTAATTAGAAACAGCAATTTGGTACAAGGCGCAGTGGGACAGTCATCATTGACCGAATTCACGTAGACTCAGGTTTCCCTCCATGGAAAATTATCACGACGCATTCACCTCCATTTATCTCTACTAGACTTGCGAGTAGCTAAGGCATCGAAAGCACCTGGAGTACATGGAGACAGAGTCAATTGACCCAAAGAGTCCAGAGCCAGCTAGGTCGGGTATCATGATGCAATTGCGCATCGAACATTGCCATCGGCCAATGCTAAACCCAAGAGCCGCCCAATCACCGCTCAACACTTTACTGCTGAACGTCCTTAAGATCCGTTTTTTGGCACTTTGAATGGCAATGGTCCATTCTCTCGCACGGCACGCAATTGCTCAAATGCGTATGCCACCTGGAGCAAAACCCCGTCGGAGAAGGCTTTGGAGATGAAGGTCAGTGAACACCTAGACAACCGAGTCAGTATCGCGTTTCGGGACATGAATGGTAGAGGGGTTAAACGAACAGCATCCCAGGCGCCACTCTGACCAGATTTGGCTTGCAGTGGTCAAGTTCGATGGGTATATCCTCGGGGTAGAACCCCAAGGGGACGCCGAGCACTGGGAATCCCATCTTTGCAGCAAGGTCGTTTCCAATACCCAAAGAGGATGGCACGATGAGAAAATCAAGCTTGTACTTGTCGATCGCCCCGAGGATGCCTCCTTCGCCTCCGTAGAAACGCTCTTGTTCCACCATGGTCTTGTACTTATCGCTATTCACGTCGATTCCTTCGGCTTGGGTCCACAAGAATTTCCCGATGTCTCTTTCCGGATATTCCTCGGCAGGAGAGGCTTTTGTGAACTCGATGATATCTTCCGCAGAGGAAATATTGTTTGGATTCGTCTCCAGTGTCTGGAGATACTGAACAATGTCCCTCCTGAGCTCCGATGAGCGTACGATGCCCTTGTCTTGCTGGTTGAGCTTCTTGAAGCCGTCGGCTTCAGAGAAATTGGCATTGTCAACCACTTTGGCTCCGGCAGAGCTCAGCGTCTTCAAGGCTGACTTAAAGGACACCATGATCGGCGACGTCGGATCGGCAGTGAAAGTGTTCCGCGGGACTCCGATTGTAATGCCGCTCAGGTCGGTCCCTTTGCAGAACGACGTGAAATCGGGAATCCGTTTGAATGGGATGTTCCAGGTTTACTCGTCCCGATCACTGCGTCCAGCCATGCCATTGAGCATGTATGCGGCGTCCTTGACGGTTCTTGTGAGCGGGCCGAGGACATCCTGCCGACCCGAAATGGGAATGGCACCATCGTTTCCGATGAGGCCACGAGTAGGTTTCAGTCCTACGACGCTGTTGAGCTCGGCTGGTTCCAAGATGCTGCCAAACGTCTTGTGGCAATGTTAGCATCCTCCAGAACACCTGAGGAGTTGAGTCTTCACCTCTGTGCCGATGGCAGCAGTGGACAATCCAAGAGCTGTGGCGACCGCAGAACCAGCACTACTCCCCTCGGGTGTAGAGCCAGGGTAGTAGGTGCCCATTGTTTGGCCGCCTCTAGGGCTCCATCCGAAACTGACATTCAGGCCTCTGAAGTTGGCCCACTCAGACATATTCGTCTTTCCCAGAATAAAGACGCCAGCGTCCCGGAGTTTGGAGATCACCGAAGCCTCGGTCGCCGGCTTGGCTCCAAGGAGCGCATACGAATTGGCAGATACATCCAGTTTGTCCTTCGTTGCAATATTGTCTTTGACGAGAATTGGAATGCCGTGAGAGGACTGCCATTTGAGTTAGTGAATGAGACGAGGAGAAAAGGCATGCTAAGCATTCACCTCCGGATTCCAGAACGGACTCGCTCCTCATCTAGCTGCCGCGCGGCTGAGAGAACATCGGGATTGACTTGCAACACTGCGTTGAAGTCGGAAACCTCGTTGATTCTGGCAAGATACGCCTTGGCAAGATCAACGGACGTGAAATGACCGGACTGGAGACCTTCGGCAGCCTCCTCGATTGTGAGACGCAGAAGGGAGGGAACCTCGGAGGAGCCTAATTTGGCGCGTCAGCAGGGTGAGCATGCCTGCGAGTAAGTCGACGAAGAAACTGATCGTAGAATCGAGAAGCAAGTCATAAACGGTAGTGGTGTGTGCTATGTATGTAATTACCTATGTACATGCCTTCCGTAGTGGCATGCCCTATCTCTCATGCCCCACCTTTGCCCGGTCACTTCTCACCCTGCCAACGCCTAACCCTCTGTTTGCTGAAGTCCAGCAGATTTTAGGCCATCTCCTGTCAGTCACGTAGGTTGGCTAAAGATTCTGGTGGGCGCTGTATACACGAGCCAGCCAAGTCCTCTCAAAATGGAGGTATTAGAAATGTGAGACCTCCATCACATGCTGCCTTGCTTGGGTACTTACGAGCCGTGCAATGGCGAGCTGCTGCTGTCGGAGCAATGGAGATCCGCCGTTAGCACTTGCCGCGGGTAGCTAGAACGAGATGATCTCTAATAGGTTCTGGATTACGACTCTTGGGACGATATGCAGGACCAGATCGCGAAGGCCCGCAGCGACAAGCTAACCCACAGAGAATTCGCAATGCTCGCGCCAGGATGGATGAAATTGAAGACTTTCACCGACTTGTGGATTCCGAAAGTTGGCCCAAGGGTAGACAGGTCAGCGATCTTGTTGTTCACCAGACTCATCATCAAGGTATGTAACCGATTGCCATGCCTCCTCTCCAGCAGATGAGCTAAAGATTGACATGGTCAGCTTCTTCAAGAAGAAAAGGCTGCCATTCCGCATGTCCTTCGAATGCTCTGTGAAGTGTGCCATAAAGTCGGGATTCTAAATAGCTACTTCGCTGAGGCCGAAACATTCACGTTGGAGCTGAAAGAATCCTTGTGTTGAGTCTGCTATCTCCGTTCTGTTTTTATTCTCTCACGTTGTTAAGTTCCTACGCAATGACATGCTAGTGGCGGCATACTCAAGCACTAGTAAGTGGTACACTACTCGCTTTGCGTTGGGGACTCCCTCTGATTTTCCTATTTCTAGGGCAGTCTCATGGCCTCGAGTGGCGTCCGTTGGAAGACCAGTTCTCGTCTACCACCCGACAAATGGATGAGATGATGACTCGCTCGGAGAAGCTCTCAAAACTGGCTGGGCGATCTGGCCGTTCGGACGATGGCGCTGGCAAACAAAAAGAACTACTCGCTCTACCAGGTCTTTCGAAGCAGCTGGCGCATATCTCATTTGCAGATGAACAAGCCAAATTGCCCTGCGTGGTTCTTCCATCTATCAGAACATCTCGCTTTTTCAATCGCAACCACTTCAACAAGATTGATGCTGGGTCATCGTTCCGATCACTGGCGCTCCACAGCCTCGGTAGAGTCGGCAAGAGCACCGTGGCTTTGAGATATGCTGAAAATAAGCTTCAACGGGATGAGCTTGACGCGCTCTTCTGGGTATACACCGAGAAGCTTGTCTCGATCAGGCAGAGCTTTACAGACGTTGCTCTGCGTCTGAAGCTACCGGATGCGCGGCCAGGAGACCAGGACGAGAATTGTGCTGTCGTTTTGAATTGGCTTCAACACACGCGTAAGGCCGAAATTTCCAGATTCTTTTTTGCCTCCAGGACTGATTGCTCCAACAGAATGCCGCTGGCTGATCGTATACGACAATGCCGAAGACCCAGATTTGATCCGCCACTATTGGCCTCTTGCCAACCGTTGTCAAGCTCTCATCACCCGCAATCCTGCATTCTCGTTTGAATTAGCGGACGGCGGTATGGATATCACCAACTGGGACAATGACACTGGGCTGAGATTTCTTCTCTACCTCCTTTCAACGGACATCAGCACAGACCTTGAAGAGGACGAGGTCACCTCGGCACACCAGCTGTCTGAGGTGCTGCGTGGCCATGCTTTAGCCATCTCCACCACGGCTGGATTGATGCACAGACGGGCGTTGTCCATTACCGAATTCATGAAATTCTACAACCAGCATCGGAGTGAGGTCCTTGGAATTTCTGGAAACCGGTCCATTAACGCTCTCTGGGAGATTTCTTTCAAGTCTCTCGATCCTCAGACTCATGCTATCCTGGGGGTCATGTCATTCATCGAACCTGATAGCATTCCGCAGACACTCTTCGAAACAGACTCGCCCGCATCTCTGCCCGCATCGCTCAGCTTCTGCTCGGATCCATTTCGGTGAGTTTCCAAGTTCGTACAGAGTCCCGGACGTATATTTAACAGCATCTCCCCCCCCCCCCCCAAAAAAAAAAAAAAACAGTTTCTCGGAAGCGATGGAGAGTCTGCTTACCCTTGCTCTTATCAAGAGGGACAAGATATCAAGAACATTCTCTCTCCCACCGGCTTATTCAGACATCCTTCAAGAACTTTCATGACTCCTGAGCAGAGACAGCAAGCCTTCAACGACGCAACCATTCTAGTATCCAAGGCTTTTCCTCGTCGCGACTCAAATGTGGTGCAACTGTATCTCATGTGGGATCGTTGTGCCATGTACTTGCAATATTTGATCAGCCTGAAAGACTGCTTCCGCGAGGAGAAGGAGTCCAACCCAAACTTCGCTGCGTTGCAAACCTACTGCGACCTTAACAACGCATATCAGAGGTAGGTATGCCGCTTGTTCGAAGCCTACATCTGAAGGGGATGTGCTGAGATGTAGCAGGTATCTGTTGGAACTCAACTCCTACGAGGAACTGGCGGATCTCATCGAGATCAACACAATGGCTCTGAGCACATTGCCTGAACAACAGCAGACCATCGGCCTTCAAGGCTCTTTGACCTCCCACAGGGGGCCAGTTGCTCATCCGCCTCGGTTTGGGGAAATGTTAGTCCGAGTTGAGGTGTAAGTCTCCCTCACCGCTTAGGTTCGTACGCGGCCGAGGGTCACCGAGGCTCCCATTAGAGCGTAGCCCGTTACAGAACTGGTAAAGAGTCGTCTAATCAGACTGAAAAGAATACTTTAGAAAGGATAGAATGTATGTATGAAGAAGAGTGGTCAATTGAACTATCTTGCCAATGGGCTAAGCCTACATGTTGATCTTGGACATCTTGTTAATCTTATTGTTCTTGTTGATAATCTTGAACAAGTTAAGTCCCCTGATTCGAAGCGACGTAAGCAGGCAAGCGAGGGTGGGTGGTGACGGAGTGGGGCGAGACGAACGAGGGAGAGAGTGTGTGTGGTGTGTTGGTTGGCAGCACGCAAAACGAGACACGGAAACGGGAGAGGGCAGGGAGGCCAGCAGGCCCAGGACAGGGAAGATGCGCATGGCCGGGCAGGTCCCCTCCGCCCATCGCTCCCGCTAGGGCGAATGAGGCAGGTCCAGGCCAATCTCGCTCTTGCAATCGACAAATCAACTTTTTTCTTCTCGATGAAACCAGAAAGTGAAGTACCACTGTCTATTTATATTCACTTCCTGGCAATAGCCTAGGAGCCTGGGCTCTTTAGTAACAGTGTTTTTTGTACCTATTTTGGCAGTAGATTTGCCGGGCTTATAACCTGATGAAACCAAAAAGTGAAGTACTACTGTTACTTTATTAAGCCTTATATTCACCACTTCTCAAGGCGAGGCACGCACGCTCGTCTTTCAGTAGTACCCCAAAAGTTCCACTGTTTGGTCCGTTGGTCCTCAAGCATGTAGGTCGAACAACCAACAACAACGCCAGAGACGATTCGGAATCGTCCCACTAATGTGACTGGTAGAAGGAAACCATGAATCACGGGGATCGTTGCGCTGTTCCGTACGAGACGCAGCCACTCTGACCAACATGCAGTTGCTTTAGAGTCTTGTTCCTACACAGCCCTTGGGTCGAGAAACTGCCTGCGTAGATTGTCTAACGATTGCTAGCACACCTGGACCACAACTGTGTAACCATGATGTGTTGTGAGCATCGTGAGCATCGTGAGCATCAAGCCTGCTTCTCGGCGGTCAGGTCGACCTGGCGAGGTCTCTGTGGGATGCTGCCTTGCCCTCGACCACAGATAGACTTGAGCTTGGAGAGGGGGTTGGCGTCCTTGGACTCCCCGGTCTTGTACCAGGCCTTCCAGGGTTGCTTGAGGGACGAGTTTGGCTCCATGCTGTTATTGTTGGTCTCGAAGTGACTTGAGTGGTCTAGATGCCTGTTCCTGAGATGCCTCATTTTATGCCGGTGGATCTAATTTCAAAGATCATTGCCTTCTTGACTTTCTCCTTGCTTCGCCACCTCTGCTTAGGCATTCCTCTCTTGGCATCATTTATGCGTGTCAAGACATCTAGGGTTGGGCGGCCTTTTCAACTTGTTTGACCGGCATTCCTTGCTCCCTCCATCGCCATGTGAACTTGGATGGGTTTCTCGGATCCGTCTTTTGTAAGACCTCTCCGTTCGGCCCTCTCCATCACAGCATCGGCATGTACCAGCATCTTAGTCATTAACATGCGTGATGACACGGAATAAAAAATGGACGGTGCGTCCTTGAACGCATCTATCACAACCGTCGTTACTTCCCAGCGATTCGAAGCTATTGAAGGGAAGGTTGTCACTGATTAAAAAGCCATCTACAGTAGCATCTAAAGTAGTTTATCTAGCTGTTTTGTTCGGCCTAACCTAGCATGTACACTCTGTACCGCACACAAACTGTCCATTGGCAAACACACGATTCCCGTTCCTCAGCCTGTTTTGTGCAGGACGTTCCCAATTCAAGACCGCAATACCTTTCTCTCGCTCGTCGCGACGTATGTCATACATAACGACCCCTTTTACAATAGTGGGGTTCCCCCAGCCATCTGAGAATATCTTTTCCTTCGGGGGTGGTGTTGGAAAATCTGGCCAGTCAATATACTCGGGCGCTTCTGTATAAATAGCAATCTGCCTTCCCTTCCCGTCTCTTCTTCACCCACTCGTTTAATACCAAGCGGTATTCCGAAACAGAATGGTCAAGCTTAACATCCGGATGCTGCATCCACTCTTCTAGCCGTTCTACATCGGCTGGATTTTGTTGATCATAAGGAATATCCCGGAAATGGATGTCGCGGGTGATGATTTCGTAAAGGGTAAATATGACGCCTTTCACGTCATCTCGGTCCTCTGCGTGTCCAATGCCACCGATCCGGCCGCTATAGTTGAAGTCGAACAGCATAAGGCGTCTGTCTTAGGGTTGATAAGAAGATTCCGCGCAGCAACATCCTGGTGAACAATGCCGTACTTGAGATTCAAGTCGTCGATGACGCAAGTCAACTGCCGGAGCCACTCTAGCTTAAACAAACGTGACTTGTTCTCGCTTATCGTGCCGCCAGGGATGTAAAGGCTTGTAAAGCCGACGACATGGCCATATAGCTTGTCAAGCACAAGTCGGTCGAACGGTACAAGGTTTGGATGCGAGGGGAGGCGCATCCACAAGTTAATCTCATGCCACAGCTTGTGAAGGAACTGGAAGAGGAAGTAGTACTTAAAGACTGCTTTTCTTGTTTCTGTGGCGTTGGCGCATGGCGTATACGAAACAAGGTCGACATTTGGAGAAAGTCGATCCAGCTCGAGTAGATCCAAACGGAGCACAGTCTTGACATGGTCGGGTCGCAGAATCGCCTGTAGCGGAGGATAGTACACGCAGGTCGCTTCGTCATCTTCGGGGTTGGTAGAGACCGAGACTAATTCGCTATCCTGCGATAGATGGATGGCGTATACGTCAGGTCCAAGAGCATCGATATGCTTCTTGAGGTGTCCGATGGCCACATCTTCGCTCTCTTGTTCCTCGTCCATAGTGACAGCAATAATACGTCTATGATCCCAGTCAAGGATATACCATGTGCTTGGCCCTCCAGGCATAAGAGCGCCGCCGGGGGCGAAATACCTCCACTCCTCGTCGATTATGCCCCTTCCGTTGCTTGGAATACGGGAAGGTATAAAATGGGGGAGAGTTCGAATGGAAGTGACGCAGCAAGGAAGGGCTGCAATAGGCAACAACAGCAGCAAGAATGACGCTCGGGACGGCAAATGGCAGAGAGTGATGATAAAGCGGTCGGTTTGTTTGGGAAGCTAAGGTGGGGAAAGTGCTTTCCGTTGTGGATGGTGAACGTCCATTGACCAATCAGCATCAGCGTTGCTCAGCGAGTGGTACGTATGTCTTCGGTTCACATGAAAACCAACATTTCCCTCCATTCTGTCAATCTACCAACATCATCCTCTCGGCTCTCATCACTGAGGACATCAATCATGTCGTGCCCAGATTGTTACCAGGGCCATGCTCACCAGGGCACTCCCCGAGGCAAGGTCGTCACTCTACACGGCCTCGAAACCTACGTCACCGAGCCAAGGGATGGGCGTCAAGTGAAGGGCATCATCGTCGTTATCCCAGATGCATTCGGGTGGGAGTTTGTCAACAACAGGATCTTGGCCGACAACTACGCAGATAAGGGCGACTATCGTGTCTACCTGCCCGACTTTATGAACGGTCAGCTGCCGCCCAATCTCTTGTCCTGCTCTCTTATCATCACTGACTGACTGAATCGTCTCCCTAGGCCGGTACGCACCATTGTGGATGCTCGACAAAATGAAGACCATTACCAGTCCAGGGAACTACTTAGCCACGCTGTCAGTTGCCCCCCCTCCAAATCCCCCCTCACAGAATAACAAGCAACCCCATTCTCACCAACCCAACAGATACAACATCCCCTGGGTCCTCTACGCCATCCTCCCCTTCATGGCCTTCAACCGCCCGGGCCGCTCATACCCCACCGTGCGCGCCTTCTTCGCCGCCCTGCGCCAAAACGAGGCGTCCGCCCTCCCCGTCGGCGCGGCCGGCTTCTGCTGGGGAGGCAAGCACGCCGTCCTCCTGGCCGGCGACGACGCCGACGACTCTGGTCCTCCGGGGAAGCTGAAGCCGCTCGTCGACGCCGCCTTCACGGGCCACCCCAGCCTGCTGAGCATCCCGTCCGACGTCGAGCGCCTGCGCCGGCCCGTGGCATTTGCGCTTGGGGACGAGGATTCCGCTCTGCCGCTCGGGAAGGTGGAGGAGATTAGAAAGGTTGTGAAGGCGTTGCCTGAGGAGAGTAGGGGGGAGGTTGTTGTGTATCCTGGGTGCGGGCATGGGTTTTGTGTCAGGGCGGATCTGGGGAGGGAGGATGTTGTGAGGCAGGCGGGGGAGGCCGAGGATCAGTGCATGAGGTGGTTTGGGGAGAAGTTTGGGACGTACACGTCATAATTCGAGGGAATTAAGTTTGGAAATGCCTTATTGAATACCCTAGGTAGTTTTAGGTGGTAGAGGTGCTTGGATATGAGAGAGTTGGGAAACTGTTCGTCTTTCGGACTTGCTATTTCTGCCGAGAGCTGTCTGAACCTAGTGACTTGCAGCGGCTTCGCACACCCAATGCTTACCCGAGTAAGTGGGTGCTCGCAGTATTTACAAGAACTTATCAAGGGGGTGATGGTCTCTGGGCTGACATATCCATGAGCGGGGTGATGAGGAGTGACTCCTTCGCAAGGACTACTTCATCATGGGATACGGATACCACACGAGGGATAAAGACGGAAGTGAAATAAAGAAGCTTGCTACATCGAAATTTGTGCACTTTGGCAGGCCAAGTCGGAGATATCCTCTTCTGCCAAGCTCACCCCAAATTGCAGCAGGATCGACCACACAGCAATGCAGGCACATTCCCCACCCTCAAACCAATACCTGCCACCCTCCGGCATGATGGGCACTGGAGGCGGTCTTGACGACTGGTGCGATGTCACCACCGAGCTTGACGGCATACGGAGTGCACACAGCCCGGGCGAACCACTCTCTCGGATCTCCGCCGAGGAGAGCATGCGGGAGCGCATCATCCAGATCACTGCAGATGAGAAGGACCTGTTAGCATTCTACAACATCTCGCTGTCGAAAACCCGCCAAGCCGCTCTCCGTGGTTTCTACTCGGACGAACTGGCCGGCCTCGAGACCCTCTCCTTTGAGCAGTTCAGCCAAGAGGACAATGTCGACTACCTACTTCTGAAGAACTACCTCGGCAGGAACATTCGCCGGCTGGAGCTGGAGGCCCGCCGTTATGCCGGCATCTCTCCCTTTTTCCCCTTTGCGGAGGCCATTATCGCTCTCTGCGAAGCGCACCAGCAGGTCCTGATACCGGATCTCGAGCCTAAGGACGTGGCACAGAAACTGCACGACTCGACCAGACAAGTTCAAGCTGGGTGTTGGTCGAGAGAGCTAAGCTCCGACAGACCAGGATGTCGGCATTCCGTGCAGTATGCGCCATAAAGGAGCTCGGCAAGCATCTCGACGAGTTCTCCGGGTTCTTCAAGGGATATGATCCCCTCTTCGATTGGTGGGTCACCTCGCCTTTCGAAGAGTTCCAACAGGCCGCAAGCAAGCTCGCATCCGGCATCCAAACCAAACTACTCAGCGGCGACGGGGACGACGACGCCATCGGCAGGGAGGGCCACCTAGCCGAGCTAGAAGCCCAGCTGATCCCCTACACCCCCGAGAAGCTGCTCGCCATCGCTCGCCGAGAGTACGCCTGGTGCGAAACCGAAATGAAGAAAGCCTCCCGCGAACTCGGCTTCGACGACAACTGGCGCGCAGCCCTCGAGCACATCAAGACCCTCCACACCCCACCCGGGGCCCAAGCGTGCCTAGTCAAGCACCTCATCGACGAAAGCGCCTCACACGTCAAGCACGCCAGCCTGGTGACCGTCCCGCCGACCAGCGCACCAACCAGCCCCTTCTTCCTCGGCGGCCCGACAATCCACGTGGCCTACCCGACGTCCTCCACGGCCCACGCGGCCAAGACGTCCAGCATGCGGACACCCAACAACCGCGCCTTCGCCCGCGCGACCGCCCCTCCACGAGATGGTCCCGGGCCATCACTGCCTGCAGCAGCTGTTCGCCGGCGGCGCGGCACGCCACCGCACCGCCGGGCGCGCTCGGGACGGCCGTTCTACGTCCAGGGAGAGCTGGGCCCTGTACGTACCGGGAGGTGGGTGCTGTGGGGGCGGCGGGGCGACTTCTTCGTGTCGGCGGCGGACTGCGTCGGGACACTCGCTGTTCTGGCGCATGCACCGGTATGCGCGCGCGCGCGTCGGCTTTTAGCTGCGCTTCCACCTCGGCGAGATGGCGGCGCGGGAGTGCGTCGACCTGCTCGTGGATATGGTTGGGCACGAGCGCGCCACGGCCGAGGGGGGAGGTGCGGAGGTCGCTAGGCGGAGACTATGGCCCGCTGTATCAGGCTGCGTACTTGCTTGGGGCGCTGCAGCTGCGGCGCTGCGGTCTTAGGTGCTGCGGGGAGGGGTGTGCGGTGAGGAGGAGTTCCATGATCGGGTCTTGAGGGTCAATGGGCTGCTTATTGAGTTGCTGAGGGCTCTGCTGCTTGATAAGGATTTAGAGAGGGACTACAAGGCGCGGTGGAAGTTCGAGGGAGAGATCAAGGCGCCCTGAGGAATCTCGGATATCTGGGATGTCCACATGTAAATCTTGATCTATCGCGTTTGCTATCCAGCCGTCTGTAGGTTGGTAGGAAATACAGGACTTTTGACTGTATCGCCACAGATTGTGAGTTCTTCACAAGATCACGATAGGCCTTCCACCAGTTAACCTACCTATACCCCCTACTCTTGTTTCTTGTTAACCCTCGGTAAGCCAAGCCAGAGCAGCAGAATCGTGCCGAGAAGAGCAAGGATGATAGGCTGTAGGACCTGGACACCCTTGGCCTGCGCGATGGCCCCGACAGCGAATGGCAGGATGGCCGCGCCGCTGCCCCCGAACGCGGCCGCAAACCCGATGGCGCCGACGTGCAGATGGCGGGGCAGGAGCTTCGTCGCCACCACGACGGCAGCCGGAAACAAGGGCCCCAGGAAGAATCCCAGGAGTCCTACCGCGACTGCGGAGACGTAGAACTGCGGGACTAGCCAAAACAGGAGCTCGAGGCCCATCGATAGCGGGAGGTAGATCTGGCGAGGATTGTCAGCACGGCAGCAGCCCCTGCATCACTGGTCCGTGACTCGACATGGATAGAATAAACTCACCGCAATGGCCGTCTTCTCGCCCAGTCTCGGCGTGACGAACCCCAAGACCACCCGCCCCACTGTGACGCCCAGCCAGAAGCCCATGGCGGTCATGCCGCTGGCGAAGGCGCCGCCCTGGCGCACGCGGATCATGAAGGTGACGATCCAGCCGCCGAGAGCGACCTCGATGCCGACGTAGCCGAGCAGGAACACGGAGCACAGCCAGGTGGTGCGGGCCCAGGGCCGCGAGAAGAGCGCCTGCCGGAGGCTGTTCTTCTGCCCGCCGCCGCCGTCGTGCTGGGCCACCGACTCGCGGTATTCCCTCGCCGTGGCACCCCAGAAGGTGTACAGCGAGGAGGTGAGCTCCACGACGCCGAGGCCGACCTTGATAAAGTGGAGGGGGAAGTCAGCTGTGCAGGGTCAAGACTAGAAGGGGGTTGGGGGAGCAAGAAAACACACCATGATGTAGTAGAAGGAATACCACGGCAAATGCCCCTTGGTGATCATGGTCGTGGCCACGAGGGGGCTGATGACGGCGCCGAGGCCGTAGACGCCGTGCAGGAAGCCGAGCAGCTCGTTGGCGCGCTCCATGTTGCCGATCCAGGCGTTCCAGGCCGCGTCGGCGAGGCCGTTGCCGAAGCCGGCGATCATGAAGGCGATCACCAGCACCGGGTACGGCGGGTGCACAGCGATGAGCACGTAGGCGATGATGTGGCACAGCGGCGAGATGAAGGCGACGCCGCGCTGGCCGAGGTGCTGGTGGATGTGGTTGTTCAGGATGGCTGATAGGGTGTACCCGGCGAAGGGGGAGAGGAAGATGAGCGACACGATGGTGTAGGTGAGGTTGTAGAAGGTTTCCAGCTGTGGAGATTTTGGTTAGCATCTACACCTAGGCTGGCGACGAACAAGCGGCCTGTGGTATCGCATACATAGGGGATGATAGCCTTGGGACAAGTTAGCATTGGTTTCGCCAGCAGCCCCCCACCCAGGGAAAGGACAGGACTCAGAGCCATACTCCATAAGCGGCGTCATTAGCACCCATGACAAGGAAGGCCCAGAAGGTGGCCGCTATACGAGCTGTGTTCTTCCTGGGATAATTCCATCGTTGCAGCGACTCTGTGGCGGTGGTTGGTGCTGGGAGCGACCCCGGGAGTGACAGCTCGTCGCTCTGGCAAACATGGCTTTCCTGCCGTAGGCCTGAAGAAGTGTGACGGGGACTGTTATCGGGTTGTGGCTGCTTGTTCGACCCGAGATCGGCGTACTGGACGGCCTCAAGCTCCATGACCGACGTGGAGTTGCTACTGTTCTGCTGCACCTGCGCTGCCATGTCGGCGTTGCGGGGTGTGTTTGTTACTTGCGAGGGGCAGAGTTGTGGCGAAAGGCCAGATAGGATTGTCTACAGATTTTATATATGAGTCTCGGCCATCGCCTGCACCCCAAAAAGTTTGGAGAATCTTGAATATGTCAACCCGTTGATTGGGGCTGCCAAGCAACTAAAGCACAAGAGGGAATCTGGTTGACGGCGGGATTGGCTTGGAACGGCGACTTGCCGGCAATTCAGCGGCAAAACCCTGGGATACGGAAGGCCTAGCGGAGTTGCACTCCGTCATGCCGGGTCGCGAAGAAGACAGATGGCAACGCTCCACCCGCGCCTGCTCGTGTGGGGTAGGGAACATAATATTGGAATGCACTCGGGTTTAGACATGACTTTGACCTCGTGCGAGGGGATATGGGGGGCTCGGGGGGTTAGATGAGCGCGGTCGTGATGGTTGAGATGCTTACCGTCTCCGACTTCCCTTGTTCCAACTAATGCCCAGGCACTATTCCGTAAACACCGGACCAATGCCGAATACAACTGAATTCACCGCCCGGCAACAAGTGTATTCTCCATCTCGATCGGGTAGTATTGAACGGTGTTGACCGCTCACGATGCGCGCTCCCAGGCTCGCTTAGGCAGGTACTTTAGGTGTGCCCCTCATCAAGCCCCACATAACGAACTCCCCCAACTGGCCGGAAACGATAAGATAAAGCAAGCCGATCACGCAATATATCCATCGTGAACAGGAAACCTCTTGGGCAACGCAGCCAGGAAGAGCATCCCGGAGTCCAGATCTTTGGGAGCAGACCCGTAGCCATGGAATACAAGCAGCAGCAGCCCTCGCAACCAAAGGTCACCCCGCGGATCATCATCCATGGCGGCGCGGGCAACCTCCGGCCGAGCACCATCCCCCCTGAGAAACGCAGGGCATACAGGGAGGCACTGTTCACGATCGTAAGATTCCTCTTCCCCAGCAGAACGGCTCAGCCCCATACACGCACCCAACTAGCTAACCCGGCCCACAGATAACCAAAACCGACTCCCACATGCGCCGCCGCCCAGGGCCCAAAACCGGCCCCGCTCCCACGGCCCTCGACGCGGCGACCTTCGCAGTGACGCTTCTCGAGGACGACCCGCTCTTCAACAGCGGCCACGGGGCCGTGTTCACGCGCGACGGCGTCAACGAGCTCGAGGCCAGCGTCATGGTGTCGCGGGGCCACGCCAAGCGCGGCGTCGGCGTCGCGGGCCTGCGCCGCGTCAGGAACCCGGTCCTGCTGGCGCGCGGGGTGCTCGAGCGCGGCGACGCCGACCTCTCCGGCTTGCCGGGGAGGGCGGCGGGTGCGCACGGCGGCGGGGGCCCCGACGTCCCGTCTGCGCAGGGCCACACGCAGATCTTTGGCGAGACGGCCGAGGCGCTGGCCCGGATGTATGGGCTGGAGATGGTTGAGCCCGAGTATTTCTTCACGCAGAGGAGTTGGGATGAGCACGTCCGCGGGCTCGAGAGGGAGCGGCAGGGCAAGGGCGTCGGGTCGTGGAGTGCGGACGAATATCTGCCGCAGGGCACCGTCGGGGCTATTGCGCTGGACGAGGACGGGGTCGTCTGCTGTGCCACGAGTACCGGCGGCATGACGAACAAGCTTACGGGGCGCATCGGCGACACACCGGTTGTCGGGGCGGGTTTCTGGGCCGAGGAGTGGGACGAAGATGGTGACCCGACGGGCACTTCGAGGAGGGGGTGTGGCGCCGGGAGCACCGCGTGGGACAGGATTGAGCAGGTCGCCAGGCGGGCGGGACCGGTCGTCGCGCTCTCGGAGAGTCTGAAAGGCCTCATGACAGATTGCTGGCCCACGCCCTTCGCCTACGCACCAATGCTCGAGCAGCCAAGGCCGGATCTGGTGGCGACGAGATCGTTGGCGGTTTCGGGGACCGGTAATGGCGACTCCTTCCTACGGATCGCAGCGGCCCGTACGGTGGGCTCAATCGCACGTTTTGCCACTGTTCCCAGTGGAGTCGCGCTGTCAAGGGTTGCCGGTCCTTCTGGCGACCTCCAGAAGAGTGCGGGGGATCGATGGGGCAGGACGGGGGAGGGCGAGGGCGGCATGATCGGGATTGAATGCGCCGTTGTGAGAGACGGCAACGGGCATTGGGTCGAGACCAGAAGCGAGATCCTCCAGGACTTCAACTGCGGGGGAATGTTTCGAGCCTGGATTGATGACGAAGGCGAGCCCCATGTTAGGATATGGCGGGAGGAGTGATGTCTGTAGGCGTGATGAGGTTCAGCCATTTCTTTGCAGTGCCTGCAAGAGTTAGACATAGACAAGCCGAAAAGCGACATGCAAAGCCTCGAGATCATCACGATCATGTGTCCAAGTAGAAGTATTATTGTCTTGTTGTCTTGTACGTCAGGTGGGTATCTTCGACGACTCTTGGACCCCTGGCTAGCAGTATCGACCACGTCTAGGTATGTTTACATCCAAACAAACACCAATTCCCGGGAGTTATGATCGTGTCCGCAAAGATTGAAATACATACCGGGCCGAGGTGGCGTGAGTGATCGAGAAAAGGAGGATTAGGGAGGTGCATCGTCCTTGTCTTCAGTCGAGATTATCCCCCCGCCGCCAAAGATATTGAAGTTTTGCTTCCAAGCCAGCGCCTCTTGTTGGAAGGATCCACCAGTCCACCGGCGGGCCTACACGCCGAGTGCACGGACCTAGGTTAACGTTTAAGGTGAGCAGCCCATTGGGCACCATCCTTCACGCCGGTCAGAGCTGAAGCCCCTTGGCGGTTCTCTCCAGCATGCAAGTGTATCAATGTTTCGACCATTGGCTGCAACTGGGCAAGTTAGTACAGAACTAATACCAGTCTCACTAGGTATTCTGTGGACACGAAGGAACCCGCGCGTGATATCAATAATTTCAGGGGCTCGTTGCTGTTGTCTTGGCTGCCAGCTGTCCTTCCTCGTGTACCGCGTATGCGGCAGTGTCGCCCACTGAGTGGGATCAAGGTTCGCACGTCTGCCAATCATGGAACACATCTCCGACTTCGGTGCAGCTATCCGCGCCACTGGGCAGGGGAAGACTTTCCACTGTTCCAGTCGCGTGCTGCACATCAGGATCAGGATTTGCGGTGAGTGGACATCTGTGCTCGAGGCTAAATGCGAGACGGCTAGTGGGACCATGAACTTGGTGGACGGGAGAAGAGTGTTTAGGATAACAGGCCAGGAAATGAGGCAAGGCAAGTCCCATGCCGTGTCGGATCAGGGATTTGGAAAGACAAACATCATCAGATAGGTAAGTCAGGTGCCGCCCGATCAACAGGCTAGGTGCAGGACACCAAAGGGGTTGTGGCTTGTGGCACTGCGACTCCCTGTGGAATGTGAAATGCAGGTTGCACAACCCAGGCACACAAGTTCGGGCGACAGCAGTAGCAGCAACAGGAGCCACGTCTGTCCATCTCTCCGCCGGTCCCCAAAGCTTCTCTCAAGATCAAACTTAGATAAGAGAACGGCGGTGAGAATGCCTCCGAATTCCTTCTTCAGACCGGTACGTGCTGGTTTATGAGACAGATTCCATTCCTTATTCCATGGTGTCGCCAACCCCTGCTCTCGCGTCATTCGTAATCGCCGCCGTGCCGGGCGAGTCAGGGAGTATGAAGGAGGAAGCCGGAGACGAGAGACTACAAAAGGCCGATACCATCCGTCCGTGGCCTCCGCCGACCAACTTTATCTGGAGATTCCGTGGTGGCCGAAGCAACGACCCAACCAGCGAGAACCCCACTGGGTCGCAGGATTCACAGGAGATGGCCGTCGGGCCTCCAGTTCTGTGGAATCTGTCCGATGCATGGCGTTTGCCCAGGCATGGCGACGGCGAGCAGGCCAACGGAGGCGGCTGTTGTGGTTGTAACAAAATCTTGAGAGATGAAGGAAGGTTACTTGAGGCTGAGAGCTTTGAGCCACCGGGTGCGGTGCCGGTGGTGGCCTCCTCAGAATGTGAGTCTAGCCGGCAGCTTCCGTTCCTTCTTTCCTCCTCCCCCACTCCGTTCTTCTTTGGCTCCTTGGCCCGCCTTCGAAGGTGCCCACTCCCGAGTCCCGAGTCCCCATCGCATTCCCCATTGCTGTTGAATCCCATCTCTAGGGCTGGCCTGTTTTAGGCTCGGCCGGTAGATTGAATGCTTGTTTTAGTGCCTATCTTACTCCTAGTCTCGCGCTTGAGCATGGTGGTGGCCAATTTGACTGCCACGTGCAATTGAGGAACAAGGGTAAAAAGAGCACGCCATCTGCCAGCTGCAACCATTCAGCAACAGAGCTTCAACCAAAAACCAACCCCATCCATTATCCAACCCAATACTCCACAATCCCACGACTGATTACGTCTCTATTCAAATGGCCCGAACCCTACATTTACCCCTTCGCTAATTATTTTCTCGAATTGGCAGCGACGACCTCCAGAGGTCCCATCATGAGCTTACGGTCGACCTCACCACCGCCCCGCGGTGGACGCGAAGACTGCCCCGACGCGAAGCCCGACCTCATCCACGAGCTCAAGCACGACACTTCGGTCCTCGCACTAGCCGTCAGCGACGAGTACATATTTGCCGGCACCCACAACGGAGAGATCGTCGTCTGGTCGCTTGGCTCCTACCAGCTCGTCCAGACAATCCAAGCCCACAAGCGGACCGTCCTCTGCCTCGTCCTCTCCACCGCAGGCGAGAGACCTCTCCTCTTCTCCAGTGCCGGCGATGCAGTCATCAGCGTCTGGTGCCCCAAGTCCTTCAAGCGTCTCTACGAGATATACAGTACCTACGATGTCGGCGACATCTTCAGCCTCGCGTACTCGGTGCAGCATGACATGGTGTTCATGGGGGCACAGAATACCACAATACAATGGGTGAATCTCAAGGATCCAAAGAGGAGGGTTACACAGGACGCGGAGAGACACCCGGACAGGAGACACCACAGGTTCTTTGACTCGAAAGCTATTGGGGGGACAAGCACTCCTAGGAGGAACGATGATCGCTGGAGCCTAATCCCCCGCTCCCAGGCCGTCTTGGAAGTTGAGACTGGCGCTATCGAGCAGTTTGCCCACTACGGCTACGTCTACTGCATGCTGGTGGCCAAGGGGCCGACCGTGCTTGTTGATCCGGAGGAGGAGGTCCTGGTCTCGGGCGGCGGCGATGGGACGATCAAGCTGTGGAGGCTATCGGGTGATCTCGAAGAGTATGACGACGGCGAGACCACCGATGGCAGCATCCAGGAGATCATGGTCCTCGGAGAGGATGACGCGGAGTCCGTCATGTCTCTCGCCATTGACGGGTCCTTTCTATATGCAGGGAAGCTGCACGGTGTCATTGAGCTGTGGGATCTGGACACCAAGCAGAAGCTAAGGGTCATAAAGTCCCATATCGGAGATGTCACAACGGTCCAGATGAGCTGGGGCCTTCTATGGAGCGCCGCTTCCCGGGGCTCAGCTTGCGTAAGTCCAGATTCCAATTTCCCTGTCTCCGTGCCTTCTCACTGACCTTCCCAAAGAAACACAGCACGGTTCACTACGGCAGAGATGCCAATGGGGTCTCGGAGAACGTAAGCCAAAGATATCAGTGTCTGAGCAGGTGGAAAGCGCACAACGGCAAGATACTTGCCTCAGCAGTCACCACCTACCACGGTGATCATCTGTTCATAACCGGCGCAAACGACGACAACGTCTGTATCTGGCGTGTTAATGGCAAGCCAGCAGACGAGGAAGACGGCGCCGAAGTGTCTGAGGATATGATGATCACCACCCTCCGCGAGTTCGTCTCATACAAGACGGTCTCCTCCCGCCCCGAGTTCGCCGAAGACTGCCGGAGAGGTGCCACATTTCTCGGGTCGCTGTTCAAGCGCATGGGTGGGCAGGTTGAGATGCTCAGCACCGACAAGCCGCACAATCCCGTAGTCTATGCAAAATTCGCCGGTAAACTCGAACCGGCTGGGAAGCGGAAGCGGATCCTTTTCTACGGACATTATGACGTTGTCCCGGCGAACACCCAGAAGGGCAAGTGGCTCACCGACCCATTCAAGCTAACGGGGTTGAATGGTTACCTTTACGGCCGCGGAGTCAGCGATAACAAGGGGCCCATCATCGCGGCGTTGTATGCCGTCACCGACCTTATGCAGGCGAAGGCGCTTGACTCGGACATCATCTTCCTCATCGAGGGAGAGGAGGAAGCCGGCAGCCGCGGGTTCCGGGAGACGGTTTGGAAGCACAAGGAGCTGATTGGTGACGTTGATTACATCCTCCTGGCCAACAGCTACTGGCTTGATGACGAGGTCCCATGCCTCACTTACGGCCTCCGTGGCGTCCTGCACGCCACTGTCTGCGTCGACTCCAGGCACCCCGACTTGCACTCGGGCGTGGATGGCAGTTACATGATGTCGGAGCCGCTGTCAGATCTGACATTCCTCCTCTCAAAACTGAAGGGTCCCAGGAATCGCATTATGATCCCCAATTTCTACGACGGCATTCTACCCCTCACGCACGAGGAGGAATCGCGATACGACGACATCACGAGCATTCTCATACGGCGCAACCCCGAGAATGGCCCCGCCGACGTTCTCAAGCAGAGCCTGATGGCCCGATGGCGGGAGCCCAACCTCACGATCCACCGGTACAAGGTGTCGGGCCCCGACGGCAGCCTCGTCAGCAGCCACGCCAGCTCGCACATCAGCCTGCGCCTGGTCCCCGGCCAGGAGGTCGACGAGGTCATCCAGTCGCTAATCGACTTCCTACACGCCGAGTTCAAGACGTCGGAGAGCGTCAATGCCCTGACCGTCACCATCGACAACAAGGCCGAGCCCTGGCTCGGCGTCCCGGGTAACTACATCTTCCGGACGCTCGAGGAGGCGGTGATGAGGGTCTGGGGGCCCGCCTCGGGGGCCGACGGCGACGGGAGCAACAGCACCGAGAGCAACGGCGCCGACGGAAATGCCGATGAGGAGAATAATCCTGGGGCGAAGTGCGAGGACGCCCCCGCCAAGAGCCGTAAGCCCCTGTATATCCGTGAGGGCGGGTCGATCCCCGCCATCAGGTTCCTGGAGAAAGAGTTTGGCGCCCCCGCGGCGCACTTGCCGTGCGGCCAGGCAAGCGACGCGGCGCATCTGGACAATGAGCGCTTGAGGGTTACGAACCTGTTGAAGAGCAGGGAGATCTTCGAGCTGGTGTTTAGAAAGCTCTGAGTATTTTTTTTCCCCTGTGAGTTTCTCCTGGGGAGCGGGCGTTGGGTGAGTAGCGTTTAGTAGGTTCTTCGGATAAAATGAAATCAAGGTTTACCGCGTCGTTGAGACTGGGCAGTCCGTGAGGGCGTGCTCCCCACCCTGTGACGACAGGTGTACCGAGGTGAGCTGTCAATACCCAACCTTGCCGCCTGAAGATCAGGCTTGCAAGCCAAATTTACTTCCAACGAGATCGTACCATAATTGAGCACGCCTAGTCTATACTATTGACTGCAAAATAAGCATGCACAATAACCGCATCACAATTCGGCGTCTTTACTTCTTCGCCGTGACGTCATCGTGGACGTCAACCAAATTTCCAATGGAGAGTTCAGACATTGCGAGGTCAACATTTTTGCAACCACCAACGCCATTTCTAGCCCTTCTACGCGCCAGACAGATTGGTACTCCACCCTGTCAGTCCCACCGCATGTCAGCCCTATGGGGATACAGGAGTATGTACCATGGTTGAAGGCGAGCTATGGGAGTGTGGGAGTCAATTTCCAACCGCAACTCTAGCGCACACTAAATTTAAGCTTACATTGGGGGCATCTAATTGGTTGGGCCCCTGACCGGGAATGTAACCGAGTCCTTCCAACTTCCATCCATCCCGAACGTCAAAATCACAAGAGATGTACCCCAGGTTTGTGTACTGCCGAGACATGTCCCTCAAGGCATGCAGGCGTATGCTTTGAGCATTACCGACGCGGCCATATTCCACCACAGCTTGGTAAATAAATGGGGTTTTATCTTCGACGTGGCTCGACGTACTTGTCTCGCGTTGCATCGCCATGGCCTCTTCTCCAATACAACCTCTAAGTACCATCAAACTTCGTGGCCACCGTAGACGCCGGATTGCCCAGGCACTTTTACAGCTGCATCGTAAATTCCTATCGCTGCCACCCCCTTGGCCAAAATCAGATCCTATCAGAGTCATCTGCATTTCCGACACCCACAACAAGCGTCCCGAGCTGCCTCCGGGGGACCTCCTCATCCACGCCGGAGACCTTACCGAGAACGGATCCTTTGACGAGGTGCAAGCCAACCTAACATGGCTGTCATCACAACCACACCAGTACAAGGTCCTGGTTGCCGGGAACCACGACGTCCTGCTCGACGAGGCGTTCCTCTCCAAATACCCCGAGCGCCGCTACGGCCAGACGAGGACGAAGGACGACCTGGACTGGGGCGGCGTCATCTACCTGGAGGACTCCTCCATCACGCTGAAGTTTGCGCCACACCAGCCACAAACCAGACAGAACGGTCTACGGCCCAAGGACCGGGAATTAACCATCTTCGGCAGCCCGTGGACGCCCCAGTACGGCGTCTCGGCGTTCCAGTACCGGTCGGACTCCCAAGACCACTGGGCCGAGAGGTTCGCAGCTGTCGGCGCCAAGCCCGATATCGTGGTCACGCATGGGCCGCCGCGCCTCCACCTGGACGCCCGCGACTTCCACAGGGCGGGGTGTCCGTACCTGGCCGGGGAGGTGGCGAGGGTGCGGCCGATGCTCCATGTCTTTGGGCATATCCATGCGTCGTATGGACGCGAGGACGTCGTCTTGGATGGCGTGCAGAGGGGTTATGAGGAGGTGGTCACGGGGTGGGCGGGCTGGGGGACGGTGGTTTGGATGGCGGTGTTGATGGTGGGGGCGGTGGTTAGGTGGTTGGTTTGCGGGATGGGGGAGGTCGGTGTTACTACCTTTGTGAATGCCTCTTTCGTGGGGGGGCGAGAGAATGAGCCAAGGAATGCGCCGATTGTGGTGGAGTTGTGATGACGCAAGGCTGGATGCTTGGATGTGGGACAAACTTACTCGAAGGGCTTGGGCTAGCCACTCATATCAAAGGGTTTTTACAGTTGGAAAGTGAGTGATGTGGGAGAGCGGGGGGGGAGAGTTGGTTGACTTCAAGGCGCCTGTCGCTCTTTTGTTCTCGACTTTTCGTTCGACCACATAGTGCATATGCAGGTAGGCAGTTGGGTCATTACGGATTACCAGTCCTCCCAATAACGAAGAGGAGAGCAGGAAGGATTTGGTTCTATTCGCCCTGATTGTTTGTCTCAACCAACCCCTTGGCAGCGATGTATGGCTTCGATTCTATTCCCTCCGTTTCCCACTACTTCCAGGCAGAGTCCAGAACATTGGTCTGTTTCAATTGGTAGGCACCTACCTCCTGTCCCTTCCTAAACAGTCATCTTGCCCCTTCCAAAACAACCCGCAGACCAATGGCTAGATTTAGGCATCCATGGTTCATTCTGGATGGTACGATCCTGTATTTCAGCTTGCCCCCAACTTGCAACTTCGAGCCAGTGGACCGGTGTGCATATGCAGAGTACTGCCGAATTGACATCATTGACTAGCAACCCATGCACTTCTCACCACTGTTGGTTATCTCATGCCTCATCCCTCGCAACCCCACATGCATTTCTGCCTTACAGTGGAGCATCGCCACGAGATCATTGGTGGTTATGGTTACACAACGAGGGGATATGTGAGGCTTCCCAGTGGGCCTCCAGGGGGCCTCTCACTTGCCGCTTGGTCATTCAAATGGATGAATACGCAGTAGACAACTAGATAGGTGACCTCGTTCTCTGTTTTCGTCCGCTTCTCCTTGTTTCCTCACCCGCGCAACCTGGCCATACTGCTCAAAATGACTTCAGTGGAGCTTCAGTCCGAGGACCACCGAGATCTACTCGACAGCATTGACAAACTTCGGTCTCAAGGAATCAGCAGATATGTTGACCTCCCAGAGATTATTGTCTGCGGTGATCAGTCAGCTGGGAAGAGCTCTGTACTCGAAGCCATCTCGGGCATGTCCTTTCCCACGAAGGACAACCTCTGTACCCGATTCGCAACGGAGCTGATCCTTCGCCGAGACCCCACTGTTGCAGTTAAGGCTTCCATAAATCCTGGTCCAGAGAGATCAGCTGAAGAAAGAGAGACGCTCCTTGGCTTCAGCCCTGCAGTCGACATTGATAATCTGGGACTGGGTGCAGTCATCGAGAGCGCGAAGGAGATGATGGGCTTGTCCGAGACCAAAGTTTTCAGCACCGACACCCTCCGAGTCGAACTTTCGGGGCCAACCCAGCCACACCTCACAATGGTTGATCTTCCAGGCCTCTTCAGAGCCAGTAATAGAGATCAATCAGTCAACGATGCCGAGATAGTCAAGAAAATGGTTCGGGGTTACATGAAGAGACCACGAAGCATCATCCTGGCAGTCGTTTCTGCAAAGAGCGATTTTGCTCTCCAGGAAGTGACTGAGCTCGCTCGAGAATTGGATCCGGCTGGGGTCCGCACCTTGGGGCTGATTACGAAGCCCGATACCCTCGACGCCGGATCAGACAGCGAGCGTGCCTATCTCACACTGGCTGCAAACAAGGATGTAGTATTCAAACTCGGCTGGCACGTCCTCAAAAACCGAAGCTACGAGATGAGGAACGCATCCTCAGCAGAGCGCGACGAAGCCGAGGACGAATTCTTCTCACAGGGTGTCTGGACATCCATAGATCCCGCCCATCTTGGGGTCAGATCCCTGAAGCCCCGACTCAGCAACATCCTCAAAGACCAGATCCTGAAAAAGCTGCCAGGCCTCCTTCGAGACGTCGAATCTGGCATTTCGGATTGTCAGGCGAGGCTCAAGCAGCTGGGCTCTCCTCGCACCACAATTGCCGAGCAGCGCCGCTATCTGTCACGAGTCAGCCAGGAGTTCTCGAACCTAATGAAAGAAGCAGTGGACGGGTTATACACTAACCCATTCTTTGGGAGCTCCAAGACGGAGGACGGATACGAGAAGCGCCTGCGAGCTGTCGTCCAGAACACTTTGACGGACTTCGCAGAGGAGATGCGTCTCGGGGGCCACACTCGGACGATCGCCGAGTCTGGCGAAGGTTTCGGACGACCCCAGATATGGCGGTCTGACTACATCGACGAGGTCAATGATCTGATGAAGAAGAGTAGAGGCCGTGAGCTTCCGGGGACATTCAACCCTCTCGTCATTGGCGAGCTATTCTCGGAACAGTGCCGTCCGTGGCGAGAAATTTCCAATGCCTTCAAAGACGATATCCTCGCGGCTGTATATCGAACAACGCGAGCCATACTTGACCATGTTGCTGCCGAAGAGACGGCAGACGGGATCTTCCGGACCATCAACGAAGGCATCGAGAAATTGAAGAGCAGCCTCGACGACAAGGTGGTTGAGCTATTGGACCCCCATGAAATCGGCCATCCCATTACGTACAACCACTACTTTACAACCAACATACAGAAAATCCAGTCTGACCGCCGAAGGTGTGCCATTGAAACGACTCTGAAAGAAACCTTTGGGCTGTCCGAGATCACCCCCGGGAAGTCCTTCGGCCGCCGCGACGTGGACTTCTCCCAGCTCATGGCCACCCTGGTGGTTCACACAGAAGTAGACATGGAACGGTATGCAAGCTCTCTAGCCGTCGACTATATGGAGGCGTACTATCAGGTGAGCGGCGACGCTACCCCTTCCCGACCGGCTCCTCTGCCGGATCTTATGCTCAAGTATCTCCGCCGCTGCCCTCATGATTAGGTACTGACTTAACTTGTAATTGCTAGGTTGCTCTGAAGAGATTCGTCGACGACATCAGTGTCCTCGCCATCGAATACTGCCTCATCAGCAAATTGCCATCTTTATTCGGCCCAGAGATGGTGTATGATTTGGACGACGAGGACATAAATCGACTTGCGGCCGAGAGCGATGGCACACGTTCCGAGAGGACTCGGTGTACTGAGAAGCTAAGCATCCTCGAGATCGGACTGCATGATCTGAAACGCCTGGACAAACACCGGGCAATCACACCAGGTGAGGGCACATTTTCCCTTTCCCATTATATAGATAGTCCCCCACGGAATAAGCACATGTCTCCGTTGCTAATTTTTGGCACATTCCACAGACATCAAAGCTATCAATAATGAAGCCATAGAGAGCGACGGTGATGAAGGTATTCCCTCCGCTGTCAGCGCTAGGACTGAGACTCCGCCTCCCGCACCGTCATCAGGTGAGGTAGTAGTTGATCGCTGGGGCCCGGAAGAGGTGTTACTATGGAAGACGAAGAAGTTGAAGAAGAAGAGGGCCGTGCGGAATGACGAGTAACAGGATCGATAGTATTCGGGGTATATCAGATTGCTTGATGTGTAAATGGAAGCGAGAGATCTAGATACAGAGGTAAAAGCGGTGTGGACATTGCAGTGCTCACGCTTTGATTGGGCGCTCCGCAGCCACCAGGGCGACTTTTTCGGTGATCACTTAAAAACCTGTTGGGTTGATGGCGCAGTCTCCGAACTCTCTCGGACGGCGATGTCCTTTTTACATCTTTTTTTTCCGAACCGAAGTCTTCGTGGATAAAGCAGCTCCAAGCTGGAACATGATATTGCCATTTGTCTCGAACGAGCCACACGGGGGCGATCCGCCGTGGCGCTGGGAAGACTTCACACAGCCCAAACTTCGCAAGTACCCTAACTCGCCAGTAGGCTTTCACTGGGAGAATTTTCTGGGCAAGAGGGAAGATGGCTTCGTTCTTTCAGCTCGGACTACTGAGGAGATTTCAGTTGCTATCAAATTTGTAGGTGTCATGCGGAATCCAATCTTAAGTCCTTTGCTAAGTGGCGGACAGTTCCACTACAACAGAAAGCCAGAGCGTATAAACGGAGTGAAGCGCTATTGGGCCTTTGAGAGAGAGTGTCGCAATATCGCGCTCCTAGAGATGATCCAGACAAGCCAAGAGCATGCGACCGCATGTGGGCGGCGAATATACGCAAACCCGGAGCCCTCTTCGAGGCAGGATGCGATCCAAAACCTCAAGGCTTTCTTGCTTGAACGCCAGGCAGAGGATTCCGAACCCCCTGAGCATTGGGAACCAATCGCCTCTGAAACGCATATAAATACCTGTTTTGGGTGGATCGCAATGAGCGGTGGTGCCATCCGCAAGGCTCTGGGCAACCTGGTGGTGGCCCAGGGCCGCCACGACGACGACGCAGCGTTGCGTTGTGCGCGTGCTGACTTGGAAGAGGAGGAGTCATACTTTGCGATTATCTATTCGTTCGTCCCCCAGGAAGTCCTGGATGTGAATACCGTCCAGTCGCAGCTCGATTTCTTCCACCGGACTGGGTTTATGGTGACGCTCTCTAGAGAGGAAAACTGGCGTGGCCAGGGTGTGCTTGTCGATTTCTCCGCAATCGTTTCTCCCCATGGCGAATGGCATGAGATTTATTACAGGAGGATGCAGATAGAGTCCTATTTCACCAGGTTCATACATAAGAAAGGGGCATACAATAGCTAAACATGGCCCTCCGCATTTCTTGCCTGCTTCGGATTATTTTGAAAGGCAGTGTGATCCGGCTGGTCCATGGTGGAGCACCTCCTAATTATTTATGCCTGCCTGCACATGCTCCAGTAGTTCTCCTGTGGAAATGGCAGAAAGTGAGGTGGTTATCAACATCATGGAAGTTGAAACTTGAAGGCCAACGAATCAAAAGGAAGTACCTCTCCAGGTACCTGGTGCCCCATCCCACGGCCCGTTCCTGCCAGTTCAATCCTGGGGGGTACCCGCTAGAAACCTCGGCGTCCGGAAAATCATTATCCCGGTATCCTTCACAGCCCCACCTCCATCCATCTCCTTACTAGAGCTCAAAGGCTATATTCTTGACTTGCGCCGGCCTTCTTTCTGGCTTCAATCACCTCGCGTTTTAGCTAACCAGGTTCTGAGCTTGGTGCTACCGTCAACGCCGACTAATTCTGCTGAGGTTGCTTTCCGAAATACCTGAATCATGGATGACCAATTCAACGGACGGACAGACGATGATCTGTTCGCCGATGACTTTGAACCGGTCATTGCTGAACAACCGGCACCTTCAGAGAGTCTGACTGCGCAGAAAGTGCAAGAGGCACCGAGTCTGCCAGTTGCAGCTACCAAGTCTCCGATAGAGACGCCATCGCAAACACAAAGTCAAGTAACAGCCACGGAGTCGACAGCTTCAACACCTCCTTCAGCACCTCCCTCAGCGCCGAGATCGCTCGCCCAATCACGACATAATAAACCTGCACCACCCCCCCGATCACCACGGCAGCCTTCCGCTCCAAGCAGCAGCAACGATACAGCTCCACCCCCCACCCCCCAGGCACCTCCCAACGCGACCACCGGCGAGGCCGCCACCGCGGCGGCCCCCTCGGAGAAGTACGACCCGACGACCCGGCTCCGCTCGGGCGCCAACCCGCGCACGAAGCCGACCGACGCGGAGCTGGCGGCCAAGATGGAGAAGATGCGGATCCTGTCTGCCGAGAAGACGCGGCGGTTCGAGCAGGCGCAGCGCGACGAGAGCGACCACGCGATCGCGTACGCGCGGGGCATGGAGGAGGCGCGCAAGCGGCGCGCCGCCGAGGAGGAGAGGCGGCGCCGCGGCGAGGAGGACCGCCGCAGGATGGAGGACGAGCGGGCCGCCAACCGCGAGCGCAAGCTGCGCGCCATGGGCCAGAAGGAGGGCGGCTGGGACGAGGGCAAGGAGGAGAGGCTGGCCGAGGAGGACCGCCGCGGGTTCAGGGGCGCCAACGGCGGGGTCCGGGGGGTCAGGCGCGCGGGCGGCGGCGGCGGCGGCCTCGCCGGGAGCAGGTATGCTACTGCGCCGGACGAGCCGGACAGCAGCGGCGGGAGGGATTTCGGCGGGGAGCGGGGGAACCGTGGCCGCGGCCGCGGAAGAGGAGGCCCCATCAGAGGCGGACGAGGGGGCCGGGGCGGCTTCCAAGACGAGCACGCTCAGAATGGTGCTGCGGGTCGGCCGAAGCCTGACCCGCCGGCCATGTCAAAGGATGACTTCCCCGCGTTGCCGCCGGCGGATAACACCAAGACCGAAGACGCCGTTGGGGCCACGGCCAAGCTTCCCCCCGCCATCCTGAATCCCATCTCGCCTCTGTCTCCAGGCATTGGGGGATGGGATGAAGAAATGGCCGCCATCGATGCCAAAAACCGCAAGTTATAGCGTAACGTTGCGTGGAAAGTCTACGAATGGCTCGATGAACAACAGGGGGTAGACGGACTCCTTTCCCAGCACCGAAACGGTACCTCTTTCAACCCTTGAATCACGACAGACACGTCGAGCGGTCCCCAATTTGGACGAAGGGGAGGCTGGGTGGCTAGATTCAAGATACCGACTAGCTAAAACACGCCCAAAAAAAACGGCTGGAGCCTGGCGGAGAAGGCTCCGTCTGAGAGAGACAGGGGAAGTAACCCGGGACACCGTATAGCACCCCTCAAACGATACTCATACTTGACTTTTTGTCTATATTACCGCACTAGGGGTTTTCGGTTGATATCACCGCGTTTTGCCATTAGACGATCAGCGAAGTGGAAGAAATAGCATGGATACGGCGCCTCGCCGGAGGAGCGAGTGCCCGGTCAGGTTCACTCGGAAGTCAAATACCAAGTTTGTAGAATAGCATTGTCTATGGATGTACCTCAAAGCCAACCTGCACAAATCCATCCATTCGCCCCTATTGGGAACTGTGAACGCCCCGTTACGCCTCCTAATGCCAGAGTACGCCCTCCTAATGCAGAGTGACCAAGTCGTCATGTGGGTATCACGATCGCGCATGCCATTCACCAACCACCGCGGTACCCACCCCTCCCACCGCGACCGCCTCTGAAGCCGCCGCCGCCACCGCCGCCGCCGCCGGAGCGCGGGCCCCGGGGACCGCGGCCCCATCCGCCATCGGCAGGGCGGCCACCGTCGTCGTCGCCGCCGGGGCCACCTCCCATGGACATGGGGGCCCTCTGGCGGCCCTTCATCTCCTTGGGGAAGGCGTCGTAGGTCTTGCGCATCTGGGCGTAGCCGAGGTGCATCTTGCCGTAGAAGTGGTCGGCGAGGCGGCGGTCGTTGTCGAGGCGGCTGAGGTAGGCGCCGCAGACGTCGCAGACCTGGAGCTTCTGGTGGCCGGACGGCCCCGACGTGTCCGACAGCTCCTTGAGCTCGCGCTCGCGCTCGGCCTTGGCCTGCGTCGCTTGGCGGACGCGGAAGAACTCGTCGTAGGCGCGCCCCACCTCGCCCATCTCGCCGAGGATCTCGACCTCGAAAAGACCGTTGCTGATGGAGGAGTTTAGGTCGGAGATAGATTTGAGCTGACGGATGGTTAGGAGGGCGTGAAAAAAAAAAAGTGACATGGGAGAAGGGTAGGATTGGGTGGTGGGTTCGCTCACCAGAACATTGGTCTGACGGATCTCATCCGGCGTCTTCTCAAGGCGCCGCTGAGCAGCATCGATACGACGGTTGCAATCGTCGATGTACTTCTGGAGGTCGCGCATGTAGTCGTACTCGAAGCCGTATTTCTTGCGCTCGTTCTCCGGCATGGCCTCGTACTCGTTCTTGAGGGGCTCGGGGTGGACTTTGGGGCAAGGACCGAGGTCTTGCTTGGTATTCGTAAAGAGATCATGGGGACAGGTTCCTGCAATATATGATCTGCAAACCTTGGGATCGGTGAGAGAAAGCTGAGCGCTGCGGGAGGTGGCACCGCCGCCCATAAGCTGCTCTGCAGAAGTCAGCATCGTTGCGGGGGGTTCAGACGTGGTGAGGAAGAGGGAGATAGAGGTTGGTCATTGAAAAATTAGTACTAACCAAGCAGCTTTCTTTGTTCGGCCGCCATTGTAATGCTTGGGCGACAAGTGTGGACTTGTATCGAACCCTCGCTCTGTGATGTCGCGGTTTAATGCCTAAGCTCGATGATGATGTCGTTGCCCGGGTGGACGTTGGAAATTCAAGAGATAGGTCCAGCCGCGTCGCAAGGCTAGAGCCAACAAACCGGAAACTAGAATTGCAGCCAATGATATAATTACCTAGGTTATGTAAGTGGGGCCGTGGCGCACCACAGACCCCTGTGGCGCGTTGAGCTTAAGAAAAGGTCCAGAATGACACGCTTTTGGGACAGAGGGAGAGCTCACTGAGATTGGTGGTCGCCAATGGACAGCCAGCGGCCAAAATGCGTCAACTTCTTTCTTTCTTGATCTCCTCTCTTTTCTTTTGTCTACAGGTGTTTGCGGCAGACTACCATGAACAACTAGTCCTCCGGCCGCTGCCACTCTCGGCCCTCCTTGCGAGCTTCAACTTCCGGTCGAATACCAGCCTCGCCGCATTTGAGGCGCACAACTTCCGCTTCTTCCCACGGTCTCTGGGGCAGATTCTTCAGCATGCCGGCACACGGGAACTGCATCTGAGGTTCAGTCTGGGCCGCTGGGATGCTGAGAGCTGGGGCGCTAGGCCTTGGGATGGCACGCGCGAAGGGGGGACAGGCGTGGAGCTATGGGCATGGTTGGAGGCGGAGACAGATCAGGAGTATGGCCCTTCAGCCACGGCCAATCCGGCCTTGTAAAAACGAGTGTATACTGACTGTCGATAAACAGAGCGGACCAGAAATGGTTGACCCTGACCAACGCGCTGTCTGGCCTCTTCTGTGCCTCCCTCAACTTCATCGACGGTACTCGAACAACCCGCCCTGTCATGTCTTTCCGGCCAGAGGGCGATCACCCGAACTCGACCGCTGCGGACATGCATCTTCTCTATGGGGTGCTGCCCCGAGAGGTGGTATGCACGGAGAATCTTACACCGTTCTTGAAGCTGTTGCCGTGCAAGGGAAAGGCAGGAATCGCAACCTTGTTGGATGGCCACAAGCTGTTTGATTCATCTTGGCAAAGCATGGCCATTGACGTCCGCCCGATCTGCCCGGAGGGAGGCGAGTGCGTCTTGGAGATGGAGCAGACCATTGACATGGTACTCGACATCGATAGGTCGAAGCGGCCAAGGGGTAAGTGGTCCGTTCCTAGACCGGAAGAGGACTGGAAGCTGACTTGCACCAAGATAACCCAATCCCCCGCCCACCTCCTGCCCACGAACTGAAGTGCGACACTTCCAAGCCCTACCACGCCGAAGACACGTGCTTCCCCGCCGATTACAGTGCAAATCAGGACTGGACTCTGTCGCAAATCTTCGGTCGAGCTATGAGGGGCACTTGCCCGTTAGCAGACGCTTCTGTGCCGCCTGTATGCTTGCAAGTCCCGAACTCGCGAAAAGTATATATCGCTGGTGATGCCAGAGAAGATAAAAACAAGGACGGGCTATCGCGATGCTTCCAGGTAGAGCCGGAGGCCCAGTTCGAGATCGTTCTTCCACAAATCGAGAAGGAGGGCGAGAATGCTCAGGCACAAGCAGCGGAGCTTCTAAGTCCTGAGACACCGTCCTTATATGCTGAACGCAGTTTCACTGGGCACGGGCAAGAACGTGGGGGTGTCCAGACCATTTTGACGAACCCTAGCCCGGACACCGAGGTCGAGTTCATTTACATGGAGTCCCTCCCGTGGTTCATGCGGATCTACCTCCATACCATCGAGGCTCGTATAGATGGCGCTTCCGGCAAGCATGACTCCCTCATCCAAGAGGTCTACTACCGCCCGGCCCTCGACCGAGCCCGGGGGACTCAGCTAGAGCTGCGAATGCGCGTCCCGGCCGCATCCACCGTCTTCCTCACTTACGACTTTGAGAAATCCATCTTGCGGTATACCGAGTACCCCCCCGACGCCAACCGCGGGTTCGATGTCGCAGCAGCTGTCATAACCATCCTGAACCCGGACAGTGCCCCGAGCACCTCAAGTTTGGCGTCCAGGGCCCGGTTCGCGACATCTAACCTGCGCACCACGTCGCTCCTCCTGAGCTTGCCGACTCCCGACTTCAGCATGCCGTACAACGTCATCATTTTCACATCAACGGCTATCGCGCTGGCGTTTGGGGGCATGTTCAATATCCTAATGCGGAGGTTCGTGGCGGCAGATGAGGGTCCCGAGCTCAGCCTAGCAAGCCTGAAGGCGAAGCTACGGGCCATGCTGGGGAAGCTGTCTGCGAAGCGCGGAAAGGCCAGCGTGGGGAAGGTGAGCTAGACGGTCTGTTTTTGCTCATGTATCTTTTAGCATCGTTTCGGAGTCAGTGGTAATGCTACTTGTCCCATCATTGCAAGGCGCATCATGTGCCTCTTCATACTCTCCGTGAAGGCTTCCTCCTTGTGCTCCCATCCTGTGCCCGAAACAACTGATTGCTCTCACTCATGACTCTCCCCCAGGACTGCCACGCCTTAGATCTAGAATCACCTATTCCCCTTTGCAACAAAATGCAGTCCTCGAAGATTGCAATAGTACAGTACTGTATATAGGCCCATCATGCACGTGACGAATCGACTCCATCGGGCCGCTTAAAACTTTTGCCGTCTTGCAGCTCTAGCCCCGATCGGACTTCCCGCTGACGTATCACGAATATTTCCGAGCCGTCAAGCTTCTCAAGCTTCACATCCCACATAGCACCACCGAGCAACAGAGCCGACCCGACATGGCCCTCGCATCGGCGCAGAAGGCTATCACGCCGGCCTTACGGCGTGGCCTTAGAGTCCCGCAATTGGCCAACAGCCGCTCCCTGGTTCCCGCCCTCACGACACTCCGAACCCTCCACCAGAGCTCCCGAGATGCGGCCCCGAACGGTGGGATGATGGGTCTCGGCGGCTCAGGAATCCCGCCGTCGTACTTCCAGAGGCAGTCGCTCCCGGCCAACACCATCGTCCGGTTCGTGCCACAGCAGACGGCGTGGATCGTCGAGCGCATGGGCAAGTTCAACCGCATCCTGCAGCCCGGCCTCGCTATCCTGGTGCCCTTCCTGGACCGCATCGCCTACGTCAAGTCGCTCAAGGAATCCGCAATCGAGATCCCCAGCCAGAGCGCCATTACAGCCGACAACGTAACCCTCGAGCTGGACGGCGTGTTGTACACGAGGGTGTTTGACGCGTACAAGGCGAGGTTCGTACCTTCTCCCCTCCCCCCCACCCTAAACCTCACTCTCTAGCCCGAGTGTTGCCCGAAAAAGAAGCTAACACACAAAACCCCAGCTACGGAGTCGAGGACGCCGAGTACGCCATCTCGCAGCTCGCCCAGACGACAATGCGCAGCGAGATCGGGCAGCTGACGCTCGACCACGTGCTCAAGGAGCGAGCGGCGCTCAACACCAACATCACGGCGGCGATCAACGAGGCGGCACAGGCATGGGGCGTGACATGCCTGCGGTACGAGATCCGGGACATACACGCGCCGAAGCCCGTCGTCGAGGCCATGCACCGGCAGGTGACGGCGGAGCGGTCCAAGCGCGCCGAGATCCTCGAGTCCGAGGGCCAGCGCCAGAGCGCCATCAACATCGCCGAGGGCCGCAAGCAGAGCGTGATCCTGGCGTCCGAGGCCCTGCGCGCCGAGAAGGTCAACCACGCCTCGGGCGAGGCCGAGGCCATCCTCCTCAAGGCCCGCGCCACCGCCTCGGGCATCGACGCCGTCGCCCGCAGCATCGCCGAGGGCAGGGGCGCCGCGCAGGGCGCCGTCAGCCTCAGCGTGGCGGAGAAGTACGTCGAGGCCTTTGGCCGGCTCGCCCGCGAGAGCACCGCCGTCGTCGTGCCCGGGAATGTCGGCGACATCGGGGGCATGATCGCCACCGCCCTCAGCGTCTACGGCAAGGTCGGCGACGCGCAGGCGAAGACTATGGCCAAGCAGCTCGTGGATAATAGGGGCGGCCGCGAGGCAGGCGAGGACGTTGGCGGTCTGGAGGGCGCCTACGAGGAGGACAGGGGAGCCGCGGCAAGGGACTCCATCGTTGCGGATTTTGATAGGGCTGCGGATAGGAGGTGAGACGGTGGCCGGTGATTACGACGAGGTTGGTAAGGCATTTTAATGTGGGCGGCCTGTACAAATTGTATCAGTACCTATGATATTACCACTTTGAGGGGGATGGAAAAGAGGGTGGGGATGAGACGAGTACGAGGCTCAGAGCACGGCGTTATCAAGAAGGACACACTCAGTTTTGTTGCAATGGAGGACAAAGCTCTCACTCAACTCCTCCAAGCTTTTTGGGCTATTATGCCTGATACCCCCGAAATAAAATAACAAGGTATTACGGGTATCGTCAAAAAGTCTAGTGAATATCTGTTGTACACGGGTGGGGGAGAAGCCTACGGAGAATCTCCCTAGATAGAGACATCATCACAATCGAACCCGCCAGCTCTCCCCGCCACATTTTCTAGACTCCCAGCTCCTGTCCAACAACTTCCAACGCCTCCTGGATGATGCCGAGCACCTTCTCGTCCCCGGACGACCCGGCCGTCCGCGCCGCCCCGACGAGCAGCGGGTACAGGCGCAGCAGGTGCTTCCCGGCCTCGCTGTCGACGTTGGGGGTGTCGGGTATGGCGTCGGGCTCGGACCGGAGGGCGACCAGGCTCCGGAGGATGCGGACCAGCTCGCCGCGCTGCGACAGCGGCTGCGGCATCCGGCCCCGCAGCGGCTGGTCGGCGATGTACGCACGCATCGAGAGCGCGCACCGGAGGATCAGGTAGGGAGCCGCGGTGCGTGCGAGGCGGACGTGAAGACCGTGCGCGGTCTCGGCGGTGGCCGGTTCGCCCTGGGAGTCGGGGCCGGGCCCGGCTGGTGGAAGGACCATGGGCTGGGGCGGCTGCCGGGGCGTCGGCGGTTGGACGAGAATCGTGGGTGCGGCGGTGGTTTCGTCGTGGACGGCGACGAGGGAGAAAAGTTCGTCGAGGCAGACATAGCCCATCTTGCTACGCCTCATGGGCGGGGGATCTATCGTCCGCCCTCTGCGCTGTTTGAAGAGTGCGCTTAGGCCGACCGCATCCCCGCTGCCACCGTAGATGATCGAGGCCTCAGCAGGGGCAGGGGCGTGGATGATGGATGTCCGGAAGAGCCCCTCGGCGTAGAGCTTCCTGGTCTTGTCGGGAATGGATTCTGCGCCGAGAGAAGGGATTATCAGTTCTCGCAGCTTGTGGAACGAGTCGATGTCAAAGTCTTGGTCCTCCCTTAGGTCCCTGTTTGGCGGGGCACTGTCACATTCTGCACTGATGATGCCATTCGCAACTGACACGATCATGTGCCAGATATCGTGAAAGACTGCTCGCGGGATGCTAACCGCCCGGGCATGAGGCAACGCCGCCTCGAGAATTGCCAGGAAGGAAGTGGTTGCCTCTCTCCACGGCTGAGCTGACTTGGTAACGATGGGGAATCCGTATTTCAGCACGACTGGCTTTGCCAGAGCAGACAGAGCCGTAGCAAATGCCCCAGTGGTGTAGATGTCGAGCTCGGTGGCGTTCCTGATGATGAGGGATTGGAGTATGGACATGCTTTCCTTCGACATGGCGACATACGTGCGTGTCTGTGTCGGCGCCTGCTGCGGATTCTCCCGAACAAATGCAAGAGAGACAAACTCAGCAACCTGGGTGATCATTGCTGACGGAGCACCGGGTAGGTCGGTGCGGACCGTTCGAAAGACCTCGAGGATTCGCCCTTGCAATGGAGTTACGTAGTCGATGTCGCTCGCATACGCCCCTGGTGTTGCTTGTTGCATCGCTTCCCGAAGCAGGATGAGCATCCGGCGGACTCTCTCAACATCCAGATCCTGCTCGATGAGCCGATACAACTCAAGCAAGGCTTCCACCCAGACGAGAAGACATCTCTGATTATCCCCGGAATTGTCTTGTTTCCCATCCTTAGCAACAGGCGTGCGTCGAGACCAAAGGTCCCAGGCAAGATCGATGGTGTCCTTGCCGAATCTGCGCTGCTCGCCATCGTTGCATCTGTGCAGGATGTCTCGGACGGCGCTGAAGGTGGCAGCGCTGACATCGAGTATTTGGAAATCTAGTAGGGTCGTGAAATGTACGATCAGTTCCTGCCAGACCGACGCAAACGTCGGATGCGCAGTCAGAACGCTGAGGTAGGAGCCGAAGAGCCCAGAAACTCCTTGGATGACAACGATTGCCGTGTCTTTCCAGTTGTCTTTCTCCTTATCTCGGATCGAGGCCCCGCTAACAAGTCGCAGCTCGCTCTCAATCGAGGCCAGCAACTTGAAGATGACAGATCTAATGGTGATGAGCCATGCTTCTGGGCTTAGACTATCTCCATACGCTGAGATTATTCGCATCAGGGTCTGAATAGCACCTGATTTGAGTTAGTAAAGATAATAAATCTCGAAAAGGAGCCCGGCACTTACTGTTCCGTAGCTCCAACCGCTCGTCCGTTGCAACCGAGGTCAATCTCAGGAGCAGAAGCATCCACAAGGCTGCGCCTGATCCGGGGTGGCTCGGATCAGCGGCGAGCTGAAGAAGAGCTTCGTCTCCAGGACCCTGGACCATGCCCTCTGCGACTGACATGGATTTGCTCTTGCCGGATAGGAAGTCTGAGATTGCCCAGAAGAAGGTCACAGTCTGGCAAGAATTAGTTGTGTTCTCGTCAAGCAGGAGAGGGAACGTACCGTAAGTGCGACGTTGAGATCGTCGTCTTGAGAGCAGAACTTGTACAATGTGTCGACAAGATTGAGGAAGCAAGAATTGGGTAACGATGGCAGGAAGTCGGAGCAGATGAGCTGAAGAGAGGCAAAAGAAGGCCGGATAAGCTTGAGAGACCGTGTCATCAACACCTTGTCATGTCTCTCTGTGTCCTTCTCCTCGTCCGGGACAAATTTCCTGTCGACGAAGATTGTATCCACGATCTCGAACGTGATCTGCCAGCCACTCACGAGTGATTCTCCGCAGTTCTCCAGAACGCCCCTGAGACCTTCCAATATGACCTTGTGAATGTCGATGTCTGCAGCGTGATTTGTCACAGTCACTCGACGGTCTTCCATTTGGAGGGGGAGTATGGCATTGCGGAACGCTTCCAACAACCGGTCTTGGACCTTCCCCCGAGCGTCCTCCGGTTGCGCGGCGACGGCCTTCGACGCCTCCATCACAAATCGCACCAAGGTCTCGGCGGCACGCAGTCGAACAGGAGCCGTGTTTCGCATGGAGCCCAGGGTGCTGATCAGCTCGGATATCATGGGCGTCCATCCAGACACATCCGGGGGATATGTTAGGAGCCGCTCAAGGTTAATAGACGCAATGTCTCCCAGTTTTGCCAGGGCAAACTGGTCTTCTTGGTTTGGGCCTGACAGCGCAGATGTGGATATGCTCAGGACCCGACGGTGAGAAACCGTTGGTGCTTTAAGCGACGGCGCTGTAGAAGGTGGAGACTGGGGTCTGCTGCTAGGCTCCGATGGAGGCTCGCCGGGCTTGTCCAGCAAGTTACACACCGCGGTGACAACATCGACGAATGCTGGATTCGGGAAGTCGATGGTGCTCTCAAACAACCTGGCCGCAGCTGTCTCAACAGCTCTGATCTCCGAGCTGAAGTTGGATAACAGAACGCTTGCCTCCTGCTCGGCTTGTTGGTCCGAGCCTCTCGTGACAGTTGACATCCTACCGGCGGTTTTGCCTGTGGAAAACAAGACGAAGTCGGCCTGTTGAAGGGTTTCGAGAATGATGCTCCACGATGCGGAAAGAGTGGGCCCAAGGGCAATTCCGAGGTTCAGGAGAGCTCTAAGACAAAGAAGGTTCCGCGTGTTCAGCGTCGAAGGTCCGCCATCCACTGACTGCTGACGCGGTTTCTCGGTAGGCTGTGATGCTTGGCTGACCAGGCTATCGACGCTGAGAAGTCCACGAGCGTTGTTAAATATGCTATTCGCGGCTTCCGCTTGCGCAGGCGAAGCTGCGGTTCGCGGGGTACCGGCATTCAAGCAGGCGGTGAAGACGTTTGGTGGAACGGCAGCCTTACCAAGGGTCGTAAGAAAGGCATCGCGCGGGATGTTGAGCTGCAAAAGACCGGCAACGTGGGCGAACTTTTGGAAGGCTCGCACCAACCCGTGGTAGTACTCCGAGTCCAAGGCTGCATACAGGAAGGTGGAGCAAGTGGCCAGAATTGCAGGCCAACACTCGTCAATGAACTCGGCACAGATCTTGACCTCGGCGTGCAGGGGGTGATCTTCCAGCATAAGAGGATTGATGGGAACGGGGTTCTTTTTGAAAGAGGCAGACCGGTCTAGTGGGACGCGAGTAGACGGCGAGTTGGACCCATCATCCCCTGGTGCTGGCGAGGAACGTCCTACCTCCTGTTTCGCGTTTCGTTTTCTATTCCGATTATCGCCGGGAACTGTAAGCGGGAGGATAAACTTGGCGAGGCCCTCTGAAAGCGACGTTATGCAGGCCAACGTGAGACTATAGATATAGGACTCGGGGATCGTGGGGGGCTCCGTCTTATCCAGTTGGTCGATGCAAGGGAAGCGCATCGAGCTCCACTTCGTGCTGATGCCAGTATTATGAGCATCCGACCCGACAGAGCCGGATATAATCCCCGTAACGCCGCTTGCCTCGAGCATTGCCTGCTCGGTCGAGGCGCTAATACCGGCAAACGGACTCGCAACCGGTATGGTCGACTGATGACCGAGCCCGATTATCGACGGCTTCTCTGTACTGACTCGAACGAAGGTCGCCGTCAGGTTCTTCAGAATGTCCTTCTCCCCGTCCTTGGCATCATAGAGCATGTATATCCGTCGCACCAGACCAGGCTCGGCAAATATACCCCTAAATACCTCCATACACAACGACCTTTTCCACAACGCAGTGTCCTGGTCTAGAAGAAGAGTCAAAACATCCATTGCGTCTCCACTCTCCACCGGGAGTATCGCAATGTGTCTGCGCAACAGGGTGTAGAGAATCCGAACCAGTCGAACTCCGGTTGCGAAATTCGGCTTCCCCCGGAGCGAGCTAAGAATAAACGGCATCACCCTGGTACGCAGCACATAGGCCTGCTCCGGATGTGTTGAGAAGATGCCAGCATGGTTGGTCAGGACTGATTCTATCAACTCGAGGCCAAAGGTCTGGGTGAGGCCAGAGAACCTGAGATACTCAGGCCGTTGAGACTCTGTCAGGAGACACAAGTCATTGAAGACCTGTTATCTTTGGTCAATATCTCGCCTGCCAATAAAGCTCTCGTCACACTCACACGATAGGCGTCAAGAGCAGCAGCTTTGAGAGGGACGGCCCCACCTTCGGTTGGCGCCTCCCCAACCGACGGCGCATCGGAACCCGACTCTGGCATTAGGTCAGCATCAATCTAAGAAGTCGAGAGCGATCCGACGTACTATCTTCGGTCACCACCTTATCAAATACCGAGACGACCAGCTGCTGGAGGGTGGCAGCGGAGGTGTTATTGATAATGGCATTCTTGCTTGACTGAAGAATAAAGGTGATGTTGAGAGCTGTCACTAGGAGCTCGCCCCTGATATCGGTGGCATAGTTAGAGAGCAGAGATGGCAAGGCTTGAAGAATCTTGAGCTGGACATCGAGGCCAGCAGATGTGGCTTGCTGCAGGGCTTCAAGGACTTGGTTCAGCCTTGACCTTGGCAGGGCTCGCGACACGATCAGCCGTTGCAGGCAGACAATGGCTATCCCGGTGAACTTGGCATTCTTTGTGCCACAAGCGATGATGAAGGGATTCACAAAGCTGACTTTCTGGGCAAGTTCTAGAAAGGGAGGTCAAATAAGCTAGGTAGTTCTGATATTGGACGGGTGTTAGGACGAACCAGGTCCAACCTGAGCTTCGGAGTTTGCTCTCAAGCTCTTCAACTCCTCCAGGGACTTCTCGGCTGCCTAAGATAATCATCAGGATGCGGGACGTTGAGATGGGTCTAAAGAGGCGGTACCTGACGGAGATCATTGTGTTTCCGTTTGCTCTCCTGGATGAGGTTGTTTAGCTCGGAAGCCAGCAGCTGAGCGGTCATGTTCTCATTTCACGATCGCCACTTCGCACTATGGGCATTGTCAAAGTAGAAGGGTATGTTTTAGCTTGTCAAACAGGGGTGTCAAGGCCGTGTATTGTCGCTTAGATTGTCACTCCGACGGAGCTTATGACGCCTGAAAGGACAGGTTGGTTTGGGTGGTCGGCATGATCCGACAAACAGCTGACTAAACATGGCAGAACAACGGCGCTAGGTTGCTCACCGCCCTGATGCCCCTCCATTCAGCCAAACTCCCAAACTCCCCCACCCTTGCCCCGAATTGTACTATCAGTGTCAGGTCAGCCGCCCTGTCGAACCCAACCTGGATTCTCTTGGCATCACTGCGCAAAGGACGGGTTTACTCTCTTAATTACTGCCAGTTTCGCCACAAGGTCTGAAATTGACATCATGGCGGTTGCGCAAGTTCCCCGGAATTTCAAGCTCCTTGCCGAGCTGGAGAAGGGCGAGAAAGGCATGGGTGCAGGTATGATGCATCTGCCCCTTGATCGCCGAGCCGGAGCCGTGGCCTGTAGGAGGATTCCAAGCTGACCGCCCATACCCAACACCAGGTGCCTGCTCATATGGTCTCGAAGACCCCGAAGACATCTACATGTCCAACTGGAGAGGAACCATCTGGGGTCCACCACATGTAAATTGTCCCGCGATATCCCTGCGGAGGATGCCGAGACAAGAAGGCTAACCGCCGCCACAGGGCCACCATGAGAACCGAATCTACGAGCTGAAGATGGAGTGCGGCCCCAACTATCCCTCAGAGCCACCCGTCATCTATTTTGTCAGCCAGATCAACCTCCCCGGCGTCAACCAGACGGACGGAAGGGTGGACAAGAATTCCGTGGCGATACTGCGAGACTGGGAGAGGATTTCCAATGAACTGTCGAAGAACCCTCGGCCGAAGGAGGACCCGCTGAGCCTGGAGGCTGCTCTGATTGCGATAAGGAAGTACGTTCACCGCTCGGATCACGTTGCTGGGGTGTCCGGAACACTGCTGACTCTGGCCTCAGATACATGGACGAGCACAAGAAACTCCCCCAGCCTCCGGAGGGATCCAAGTTTGCCATATACAAGGATCGTATATGATTACAGAAGATGCGTGCGTCTATCTAAGACAGTCACAGTTGGTACTGCCGACAGAGTTTGGTCGATTGGTTGATGCAGGACGACGATAGATGAGGCAATGAGAAATGGCAAATGGGCGGGTGCACTTGTTGAATTTGCATTTCGGGAGGTCTGGTTGGCGTGCAAATGGGGTTTCATCGATATGCCATACCTCATCGCTTACTTTTGGAATTCTCCTATGTTGCATTCTCCCTGCCTTCGGCGGCTTTGATGAACGAAGGGTGCACGTGACCTCGCCCCAGATTTGCCCGAATCCGCGCCCCCATGCAACACATTTTCCATTTTCCATCTGAGTCGTCTCAGCCATGGCGCGCTTCAACACTTGCAAATAACCCGTCAGGATAGCCCTTGCTACCAGATGAATGCCTGCATTCTTCGTCCCAGCCCGTAATTCACGGCATCGTACAGCATGTAAGTCCGCTCAGGTAAGCTCTGTTAGGAGCTCTAGATCCTCATTAAGGCAGGTTTTGCTCTGTACAAGGCCCTCCTTCGCCAGGGGGCCCGGGTCCCTCTACCCGATGACGTCGCGACTCATTCTGGGCCTGTGAACCCCATCAAGCACCTCGTTCGGAAGGGCTTCCGCCGAAACAAGAATGACACCAGTCCGCGGCTCGTCGTGTGTGCTCTACAGACTGGCTACAAGGTTGGTTGGACCCTCCGTCAGGTTTTCTGCCCACCACACGCACCGCCGTTACTAACAGCTCGCGCTCACCTCCCAGTTCCTCGACCTTCTAACCGCTGCACAAACCCCCTCCACCACGCAACACGCCTCCATCCTCTCCTTCCTACGCACTCGCCTCGCAGCCCGCCAAGCAGCTGCGACACGGCACCACAAGCCAGTGACAGCACCGAGCGACGGCCCCCCGGCGAGGAATCCCAAGCCAACGTCGGCGCTCCACCCGGACAGGGTACCGCTCCTGACGCGCGTATCACCGGCGACGCGGCAGTCGCCGCCGGTGTACGCGTCGACGCAGCGGCCGCTGGCGCTGGCGCGCCTGTCGGGCGGGGTGCGACGCCTGCCGACGCTGGACGAGTGCAACGGCGTGCCGTTCCTGCGGCTGCGCAGGCCGCAGCCGCCGGGACTGAGCCGGGTGCTGCGGCAGAAGGCGATGAAGCGGCAGGCGCGCACGACCAAGGTCATCCGGCTGATGGAGGTGGATGCGCGGGAGGCGAAGTGGGAGGACGGGTGGGAGCGGAGTGTCGGGGGCCTGTTGGGCGGCGGGGGGGAGGGAGAGGTGGACAAGAAGGGGGGACGTGGGGATCGTGAGGGGACGTTTGGCGAGTCGGTGCAGAGGAGCGTCACGTATGTTTCTGGAGCGCTGGATGCGGAGCGCGTGGATATGATTGCCCGCGGCAAGGCGATGTGGAAGATTGTGGAGGCGGAGCGGGCATTGGCTAAGGAGGAGAGGCGGCAGTTAAGGGAGGCCAAGAGGAGAGCCAAGGAAGCGCAAGCTGAGGGCTCTGAAGACGTCTAGAAGAATACCCAATGACAGCTAAAAGGCTGAATATTCGAGGCCACATGATAGACTTGACATATTGTACACGTCTCCTGCTCATGATGTCGCCCCTGGGTATCTTGGAGTCTGCTATACTGCACCACCAGGAAGCTCAAGGGCTGGAATGAACGAAACCCGACAATTTGTTCGGGAGTAACTAGTTTCGAGGCGACAATCCTCGGGTTAGAATCGGTCTGGACATCACACGACATCGGCTCTAGCAACTTCCTAAATAACCTCTTCTAGCTACATGGCACTCGGGCAATCACCTTGAAAACGGCCACTGCCAGAGAGCAGCAGAGCAAGTAGTCAAAAGTACGATCCTTTGAGATGTTGGCCTTTGTGGGCCCACGATCAGCCCTGCAACATGGACTGGCGCATAAACCGGCCTCCACGTGGATGGAGGTTGAGCCAGCAAATGATGAGATAGAGCTAGCCCTGAATATGCAGCCCCCTTTTTGCCCCTGTGTTCGCCCCAAAGGGGAGCAGCTCCGAAGGCGATCGATTCGATGGTGGAACTTGGTTAGCAAATCGCTGACAGACAAAATACTATTCCGGTTGCAACATTCTGTTTCGATTTCGTCCCGCATGGTAGGTACTCAACAAACACCTCAAGTCTCTGTGATACAAGCCTCCCAGTTAGGGTTGCACTTCGTCCAGATTAGTGCCCAACGCCTTCTTTTGAGAGGTACTCATATCCCCGTCGCCCGTTACGAGATGAAATCCCCCAGTTTCTTCTTCTCTTAGTAATTTTTAGGCCTCGGAAAATGTCAGGCGAACACCTCCTTCTCGGAAGCTCATTGCAGAGATGAACGAAACCCACACGTTCGACCTCCTTTCGGGCGTCTTCGAGCTCTCTCAGCTCTGAAAACAAGACCGACACTACAAACAAGTTCCCACTCCCCGGGATTTCCATTCGCAGTGAGCATTGGCGATGTGGCGAACAGTTAACATGGGTGCTATAGTGCTATACCAGAAACATTCGGAGGCCTCAGGCGAAGCAACGCCGTGCTGGGTTGCCAGTTACCTACACACGACAGCATAGCTAGAACAAAATGGCCGGCCTAGATATCCTTTCTATTCCCTCTCAAATCGCCTCCAGACTCTTGTTGTATCCAAAGTTTTATTGTCCAGCTACTCCCGAAGCGCTCTGCCTTTGTAATATGTGATATGAACGCTGAACATAAGATATGGATGTGTGCATGTGCAGTGGACTTTGGGGGCTTGTGCCTCCTATCTGCCCCGCCCGAGATGTACGTACCTAACTTATTGAGGCTGCCAATCAAGCGGTGTAGGATGCTTGCAACCAAGACAGCAACACATGCTGAAACACGTTGCAGCAACTGGATCTTTGCGAGCAACGTAAGACGGGTTTTCAAGCCCAGTAATAAAAGCTCCATCTTTTACTTTCTCCTGTGCTCGGAACTTGAACATAAACATTCAATCTGGCCGATGCTGCGGTCCGCCCCGCCCCGCCCCGGAAACCGCTTTCGCTTGCATATGTGACATTGAGAGCAGCTCGTTCCTGCCCGAACTCTGCCCTGTCGACGGCAATCGAATCAAGATGATCACGGAGACCGTAACCATTATCAATAACTCTGGCAAGGTTATTAGCACGGTTAGTGTGCTTCCCGGCGAGCCCCCGCTAATTGTCATGCCTCAATATCTTCTTCAAGCTTCGTCCAGAAGCTGACGACTCCACAATAGGGAAAGCACCTCGTCAGCATATTTAAAGAGGCCAAGGCAGCGTACAAGGACAAGAAGGAGGCCCTGAAGGCCCAGCGGGCCCCTGTGCCCGGTATTCAACGTGCCCAGACCTTTGACGTTGCTCGTGCCGCCCCCAGCCGGTACTACGACTATGGCGACGGCGACTACGAATATGACGGCTACGATCGAGCCTATGATTCCGGCCGGCGTCGCTCACACGACGGCGAACACTCCGTCACCTCGTCCCATCGGAGCCACCGCTCCCGGCGGTCACACCGCCATCGTTCTCGGTCGCGATCTCGGACGGCCCTAACCGAGTCTAACCTCCGGACCCTCTCCGAAGTCTCGGCAACAACGCCGTCCGTAGCCCCACGGGCATACCGGTCGCCATATGCCGAGACGGCTCCTCGGGATATGGCCCTATCTCGGCCGACGCTTGTCCACGCCGCCACCATGCCAATCCCTTCACCGGCAGCAGGATGCAGCTATGCCCCCACCGTGACAGACACCGCATCCCCCGTCTCCACACCCCGGCAGAGCATGCTCGTCCACCGTCCCCGGTCTGGGACCCACCTCCGCTCGACTTCGAGAGAGATAGACACCCACCTCGCCTACGGCAGCATCCCACCAGACCTCGAGTCGCGCACCGACCTCGAGCTCTCCCGCCCCGGCCCACCAGACCTCACCACCGCCATCCCGCGCGGCCTCGCCCCGGACCAGCTCTCCCCGGCAGCGCCACACCACGAGCAGGAAGCGCGCACGCTGATGCAGCGCATCGAGGGCTTCCTGGACGAGGCGCACTGCCTGCAGCACAGCGCGGGCGCCATGATCGCGCACCTGCAGGCCCGGCCCGAGGCCGCCGCCGCCGTGGCGCTGACGCTGGCCGAGCTCTCGGCCCTGCTGGGCAAGATGAGCCCGGCCTTTCTCGGCGTCGTCAAGGGCGGCAGCCCGGCCGTCTTCGCGCTGCTCGCTAGCCCGCAGTTCCTCATCGGCGCGGGAGTCGCCGTGGGCGTCACCGTCGTCATGTTCGGCGGGTGGAAGATCGTCAAGCGCATCCAGCAGGCCAAGAAGGAGATGGAGAACCCCGCCGCCTTCGAGATGCAGCCGCAGGCGCACCCGTCCCCCGGCGACTTCGGGTTCGCCCAGGGAGCCGCGTTCGGCGGTGGTGGTGGTGGGGGTCCCGGGTTCGACGAGGCGCTTGTGATCGAGGAGGAGCTCAGCACGATCGAGAGCTGGGTGAGGGGCATCGCGGCGGCGGGCGAGGACGGGCCCGCCGACTTGGAGCTGATCAGCCCCGAGGCGGAGCGGGCGATGCGCGAGCGCCACAGGGAGGGGAGGAGCGACGACATCGCGCCCGACGACTCGGCTTCGGGCGTCGGGTCCCGGACGCGGACGCGGCCACGCAGCAGGTCGGAGAAGACGTCGCACCGGAGCCACCGGAGCCGGAGGGGTGATGACGCCGAGGTCCCCGAGCGGAAGAGCAGCAAGGGGTTCAAGCGGCGGGATGGCGAGGACGAGGACCGGGATGGGGATCGGGAAAGCGAGAGGAGTGGGAGGAGTGAGAGGAGCCACAGGAGCTCTCGATCGAAGCGGACCGATCGGACTGGGGTGAAGGCTATTGAGGACGGCAGTAAGGACTCGCAGAACGGCCTCGATGCGGTGCTGCGGAAGGAGAAGAAGCCCAATATGCTGAAGACTCTGTTTAAGAAGAAGAAGGACAAGGAAGAAAAGGATAGGACTGAGATATCGGTTCTTGTCTGATTGTCGTGCTATTATGGCGTTATCTTGGGCTAATTGTTTCTGGATCTGGTGTTGAAATTCAGGGGTTGAATGTGATACGAAGGACATGATTAGAAGATGGATACCACAACTCAATTCAGTATATATATAACGTTCCTTAAACCAACAAAGAAACCTCTTGCGGCAACTTCTGGATGACCTTTGTCATAGGCGGATGAAGCCGTAGGGCTCCAGGGACAACCGAGGAGGTTAACGTGTTCAGGCCTGTTTCCCAGTCCCCAAATCCCCCATGGCCTACTTCTGGCAGGTGTCGTCCGATTTACTAGAACTACCTATCTTCACGATGCCTCGCCGACCGCCTAACGGGTATTTATGGCTTGATTTCGACTACCATCTCCCCGTGCCGTGCTGCCACGGAGTGCAAGAGAATTAGAAGCTCACCAGCTATAGCGATATCTTGCAGGACAGTTGGATATGGGATAGCTGGATATGATGGCAGAGTAGACTCGTTGCATCGTGGCCATACCACATAGAAGTTACCGCATGAGTTACGTGGGTTGCACCCTCTCGGTATGGACACCCAGCTGTGCATCAGCCACTTCGGTTCACTATGTTTCCAAGAGATGAATGACGGCAACAAGTCAAGCATTTGGCAGGACACAATGTCGGCAAACGCAAAAGTTAGAAACGAAGGCAATCTCTATTATGGGTAATTATGGTGCCTGCTAGTAACCCATCAAGAATATCCACATTCCCATACGGAAGGAAGGCAAGGCCCGGGAAGCCAGGGAGTCGCAAAAACTTTTTGTATCTCCGCTCACATGATGACCTCGTTGGCCACGTCCTAGAGTACACGATTAGCAGGGGCCCCGCGAACATGTCTCCCGAGGGAGGGAATAGGGGCCAACTTACTCTCTTCAACTCCTTGAACGGCAAGCACACGCAGTTCTGGACGCGCACCTCGTCGCCGACGGTGCACTCCTTGCCGAGGATGGTGATGGCCTGGACCTTGACGCCGTTCTTGATGATACTCGTCGTGTGGCTCGTCATGGGCATGGGCGTGCCCTCGACGCGGGCCCAGGCGCCCACACGGCTGTTCCAGCCGATGATGGAGTACAGCACGCAGGCGTCGTGCCTGATCTCCGAGTCCTCCAGCACGATGGACTCCTTGACGCGGGCGCCGGCCCCGACCGTGACGCGGGGCCCGATGGAGACGTTGGGGCCGAGTTTGGCGGTGGGGTCGACGTGGGCGGTCGGGTGGATGAAGACGGGCGGGAGGATATTGGCCGACGGGTGGGCGAGCTCCTTGGACTCGCACTGCCATGCCTGCTGCAGGTACAGCGCGTTGGCGGGCACGGCCGAGCCGGCCGTCTTGATCTGGCGCCAGAAGTCCTTGGTCTCGTAGACAAAGAACTGCTTGTTGTCGGCCATGTCGCTGAGGATGTCCTGCTCCAGCCGGATGACCTCGTTCTTCTCCTCGTCATCGTCGTCCATCATGAACGAGCTCTCGAGATTGTCCGACGACGGGTACGACGCCAGGCGCGACGGGCGGTCAGTGCGACGCTTGATGGCACTGCGGATGGAGGGGAAGATGGCGTCGGTGCTGAAGAGGTAGACGCCGCAGTTGATCAGGTTCGAGATGTAGCTCTCGGGCTTCTCGACGTAGTGCAGCACCCGGCGGGTGTGCGAGTCGCTGACGATGCAGCCAAAGTTGTTCGCTGCGTCCTCGCTGACCCTCGTGCCGAGAATGACAGCCTCGGCGTCCTTCTCGCGGAACAGCTTCAGCATCTCGTTGAGTGGGAAGCTGCAGCAGACGTCCGAGTTCAGAACGAAGATGTGGTCGGGCCGGCCCTTGAGGATGGCATCGCGGAAATGGTACAGGCCGCCAGCGGTGCCCAGGGCTTGGTATTCCCGAAGATACTTGATCGACAGGTTGGGGAACTCGACAGCGGCATCCTTAATAAAGTCGCGGAAGACGGATTCCTCGTAGTAGCCAATCAGATAGACCTCGTGGATCGAGGGGACCTTGTCAATGGCAGTCAAGCAATGCCAGATGATGGGGTGGCCGGCAACATCGAAGAGAGGCTATGCGGTTGAAAAAGGAGGTCAGCGGGGGAAGCTCAGATCACACAAAGAAGCCAACGAACTCGCAAGGGCATGGACTGGGAGTTAGGGGGAGGAGGGGTTTCGAACCTTGGGGACATCGAGGGAAAGCGGCCTGAAGCGAGTGCCTCGAGACGAGCCTCCAACCTTGGCAACAAGAAGTCAGTAACCGTCCTCAGTGTAGTCTCCGCTGGCCACGACTCACAAGGATCACAGCCTTGGTGACGGCGGAAACACCGTTTGGCTGCTTCTCGCGGTGGGGAATCTGGAGAGACATTGTTGATCTAGGCCGTGGCCTTGTTCGGTAAGTTGAAAGGGCGGCGTCGAAGGTTTAGAGGGTTCAGATGCAAGAAGCTAGACAGATTCTCCCTCTGGTCCTTCCCCAAATATTGCCAAATGACGGTTGCCATCCATGTGATTGAACGGAAGGCTGATGAATGGAAAGCTCCTGGTCCGTGCGGTTAGGGAGACAGGTGGGGCCATGCAAGCTGTAAAGTGTAAACCACTTCCCCTGCCAAGTCCTCCCAAGGACCACCAAGACAAGACTCGACAATATCAGCAACATGATCCCTTGTATGGATAAGAAATGCAAGGCCTCGGGGCCTGATTTTACTCCCTGATTCCTTTTATATGTCCGGCAGGGCTCCAGTTGAAGAAACACTCTGCAATAGGTTTCACAGTAATTCCCGCCCTTGTTAACTTGGGCTCCAAGGGGGCAGGATTGTACCATGACTACCTCTGAAGCGGGTTTATAAAACAGTAGCGTGGATAATGTCGATAATGTCTACCTGACCTTCACCCCCTTGAGCTACATCGTCCCCTTGACAATCCCTTGGTCTTGACTGTCGGGTAGTTCCCCCTTGACCCCCAAGATGCCCTTCTTTCTGGTGGAACACGAAGGCTATAAGTTCTCGCTCATTCCCTCTCTCTAAAGATTCAGGGGTTGCTCTCAGAATTATCATACCATTCCAAAGTCTCCAGGTGCAGTATCATCTGGCTCAAGCTCCCTCGAGAAGTCCTCGAGAATCCTGTTATCTCTATCCTGTTGTCTCCATTCCTCGTCGAAAGAATGCATTTACCTTCAAGTCTCGTCGCTGTTCTGCTCGGACTTGCGGCCCCCGCCCACGCCGCCTACAGTGCCGAAGAATTGCGCTACAGCAACTGCAGCTGCCCAGCCGTGACCCCGGCGGTGGCCGACACCGTCACACTCACCAAGACGGTGCTGGCACCAGCGAAGACGGAAACGAGATACGCCGAGGCGGCGGACCCGCCAGTCACGATCACAGTAACAGTCACCCGAACCCACGGAGGGTACCGCAGCAAGGCCACAGACGTCGTGACTGTCACCGACGCCCACGAACAATACGCCACCATCGCCCCGCCGCCGCCCACCACACCCACATACGATCCCCTCGACCAGGACCGGTATGCCACGACCCTGACAGTCACCTACACCACCTTCCAGACCCTCCAAAGGCCCACGAAGGCAGTAAAGACCGTGACCCGCTACCTCGTCCACGCAACGCCACCCCCTGACAACACAAACGACCCCCCGGTCTATCCCATGGACCCCCCTCCCTACCCCAACGACCCCGCCATCGACCCAGACACCATCACCACCACCCTCCTCACCACCAAATACGCCGCCATCCCCCCACCAAGCAGCACGCCCGACCCCAGCACCAGCACCAGCACCTACACCACCCCAACCGCCGCCACGCCCCCAGCGACCCATTACGGCCCCGGCTACGGTCCCGGTTACGGCTACGGCTACGGCCCGGCCCGTCCGTCGGCAGGCTGGGGCGGCGGCAGCGGCAACTGGACCGCTACCCCGACGGCGGGGGGTTCCTCCTCGTCCGGGCTTCCTGTTGCTCGGTGGGTTCGGCCGAGACCTGGGTTGGGGAGGAGGTTCGGGGGGTTCTGAATGAGGTGAAGGATGGGGCTTGGGAAAGAGATGGGGTGGGTTTTTGGCGTTTTGGGAAATCTTGGTTTTAGGTGGGGGAATGCTGATATTTATGGGAGGGAGAGGAGGGATGTAATTAGTTAGGGCTGTGTGTTGATAGCTGGTATCTTGACGGTGATCATTAGGTACAGCCAGATGTATAATCTAGTTTCTTAATCCAGTGTTTGTCATGGTTGCTCTCAGTAGAGGTGAGGCCACTGTCCCACCATCCCCTGTATCACGTTCCCCTGGCAGGTTTGTCTAGAGAATATGTCATTATTCATGGGCATAAGCTACCTAGGATGTATGATGGGTATTGCCAACAGGCAGCAAGGCGCAATATCTGCTATTCCTTGCCTATCAGTGCCTATAGAAAGCCATGCCCAAATCGTATCCCTTCATAACGGAAACCCGAAGCCCGAGAGCAGCTAGATAGACCTCGTGCCAGACGCCTATGCCCCAAAGCCCAGTCGGATGCAAGTGATAGACGGATAGTGTTGATAGCAAACGGAAAGAAATTAGCCATGAGCTAGAACATGCGGTAGAAGCTCAACCACGACCGATGCGACAACGATGCTCTTTAAAAAAAAAAAAAGAAAAAGAAAAAAGGGAGAAAATGTATAACTCCCCAAGGCCGGCCTTTGCCCCTTTTTGGGTTTCGGTCGTGTGCTGAAATACCCTATCCTATGCCTTCCATGTTCCATATGCCATGCCGGTGAGTCGTTGCCATGATAGTAAACTTAGGTTATGCAAGCCTATGTTCATTTTGGCCGTACTTCGTTGAAGGTGAAGCGGGTGCGGGTGTGGGTGCGGTGTCTGCAAATCAATCATGCTTCATCCGCCATCAGTTGCTGGACCTCGGATTCGTTCAGCAACTTTCGCTTTCCGAGTTCCTCGGGTGGTTTTCCGTCGCGGATTGCCCCAAAGTCGAGGATCTGTGAGGTAACAGTTAGCCAGGTCTCTAGAAGAAGGTTTGCATGGTCCTCCGGATGTACTCACCTCGACATAAGTAAGGTTGTCTCTCTGTACGGCTGCAACGCATCTGCGTCCGTCAAACTTGACTTGCCAGACACCATTGAGGCCCGTGAGGAGGTCCTGGATGCATTCGCCAGTATTGATGTCCCACATCTTAACCGTCTTCTCGCTCCCCGATATGACCTTCCGACCGTCGTGCTGGAAGCAGGTGATGGCGCCGGTATGGGCCATCAATTGGCTCTTGCACTTGCCGGTTTCCGGGTCCCAGATCCGCAGAGTGCTATCTGCGGCCGCAGAGACAAGCCTCTCGTCGCGCAGGTCCAAAAGACCAACCAGCAAGGTGTGGCCCTCGAGAGTGTACAGACATGATCCTGTATCCAAGTCCCAAATCTTGACCAACGAGTCCATAGACCCAGAGATGCAACGGTTGCGCTTGTGGTCCAGCACGACAGAGTATACCTTCTGGCTGTGCCCGTGTAGCACATGGAGAGCCTCGCCGGTGCTGATACGCCAGACGCGAACGGTGCTGTCATAGCTACCAGAGACAAGAATATCGCCGTGGGCCGAGATGGCCCGGACCGAGTGTGTGTGGCCGGACAAGATGCGGATGAAGTAAGGGCACTCGGCGTCGTTGGCCGGGGGCCCTGTCTGGATGTAACGACGCGATCCGGCTTCGGGCAAGCGCCATACACGTAACTGGTTGTCTCGAGATCCTGTGATGATCAGGGGCCGAGGTGGCGTCATGACGGACCTGCCGTTCTCAACTCTGCCCGTGTCCGTCGGCATAAGTATCTGTAGGCAGCGGACCGTAGACGTGTGCCCGTAGAAGACCTGCGTGCAGAGTCCCTTCTCGATATCCCAGACCCGCACAGAGCGGTCGGTACTTCCAGAAACGAGAGTGTTGCCCTCGTATTGCAGCGCCCAGACTCCGCCTTCGTGGCCCTCGAGCTTCTTGAGAAGTTTTCCGGTCTTAGTGTCATAGACGTGGATCAACGTGTCGTCACTGCCAGTGATAATCTTGTCGTCGTCGAACTGGAGACAGGTGATGACATGGCGAGGGTGCGCTGCAAATGCAACGTGTCCGGGTTTGACCTTCCCGCTCGTCCAGCTCTGCCGGATCATGTGGTGTCGGCGATAGAGCGACTTGAACAGATGGAGCTTCCGCAAGCTCGGTAGTCCGATTTGAGGCTCCGGCACAGCCACGGCCGCGGCGTTGGCCGCCGAGATAGGACCTTCGGACTTGTGGACCTTGGGGATGGAAGAAAGACGATCGTCTTTCGGCGCCTCCTGGGCGCTGGCCCGCCTCTTCGATCGCTCGGAGCTCAGGTTATGGTTCAAACCCCTCTTGCGCTTCGAACTCCGTAGTTTCGGCGCCTGTAGCTCAGCCTTCGGCACCGACCGAATGAGTTCGGCTTCGCTCGAGGTCAACCTGTTCTGTAGGCTAAGGTCAAGCTCGCAGCCCTCAACGCCGACAGGGTCTTGCCAACCCCAACCTTGTGTTATCGCCCTCTGAAGCTCGCTAGAAGGCAGCTTGAAGCCGTCCCGATCAAACAGCTCCTTCCAGCCAGTCTCATTGCTGTCGACAATGTTCCGCCAGTGCTTGGAAACTTGGGCGGCTCGGCAGAGATCGCGGTGGTTGAGGTAGGATAGAACGTGGAGGCCGAGTTCGATAGGAAGCTGCTTGATGAAGTCGCACTTCAGAGCAGGACTGACGACGTCTGCGACCATGCGCAGAGTCTTTCGCGGGCATCGTCGGAGAAACTGATACATCATGAATGACTTGAACTCTTTGGGCATGGCGTCGAAGGTTTCAATCATCGACCGGGACTCGGCAAGGCTCTGTCGAATAGGCTTGCCAGCCTCGGTATGCTCTCTATACTGCACCGGGGACGCGTCGACGATGCCATCCAACAGTGAAATGGTGCCGTCAGTAGTCTGGCTTTCGTCCAGCCACTGCCGTCGGTTTCCCCTTGTAAGCTGCCTTGAAAATAAAGACAAGGCATCCTCCTCCTCTTCCACCTCATCCCCAACCGGGCTATTATGGGCCGTGTGGAGTTGGGCTGCTGCCAGCGTAGGTGAGAGTCTGGGGCTAGGAAGACTCGCATCCTGGGCTACAACAGTGTTGAGACTGGGTCGAGGCGGAAACGCGGCAATGGGGTGCTGGATAGAGTCTTCGGCGTCACCGAATGGCTCCAAGTCGGCGTCAGTGATTGGGGGCGTTGCGACATTGTCGAAGGTCGTATGTAATTCGCTTGATGCCGGGCTGGCTGCGTCGTAGGTCGATGCAGATTGTGTGGCACTCGCATCGGTTATGCTGTCAGGATGGGGATCTCGTCGTGCCGGCCGATCTAGAAATCCTGGTGCGACCTCGGTTGTGTCCGGGGTAGCCAGATATGAGGCCGAGGCGGCTCTGCTTACCCTGCCGGCCTTGTCCGATCTGTTGGCTGCTACGCGGCGTAGTTTGTCGGGTAACGCATGATGTAGGCTAAGGCCGTGATCCCGGTGTTTCTGCGAACGCCGATTTGCGGCTACATTGTATGAAGGAGAGGCTGCTCTTGCGCTCGACCTCTGCGATCGCCGTATCTGGGTCTCAGCCAGGGGGTTAGGAAGTCTAAGGGGTTGGTCGGCGGTAACGGGGCTGTCGATTCCAGGCTCGCATTTGACAAGACTGGAATAATCGGTGCTTTGTGAACGGTGTACCTGTGCCAAACAATATTAGCAAGTCTGTTCGGAAAGGTAGTCAGAGAACCATGCATACCTGAGCTGCAGGGAGCTCGTCATCGAATGACCAAGGTTCTCCACCCAGATCACCGACATCAAAGGTGAACCGAGTCAACTCGGGCGGTGTAGGTCTCGAAGCCAGAGGGTACTCCTTTGAGTCGAGAGAGCTCAGCGGACGAGGTTCCTTGATGAATATAGGAGGATATGATCGCTTGGTGGTAGTCGTAGTGGTAACAGTCTTGGTCTCGACACATTCGGCCACCTCAAACTGCAACCGGGCTACGTGGCCAACCATGTTGCTCTCGTCATCCCATCGGACGGCTACTTGTTGGTTTGATCTACCACCATCCGAGGTCTTCTGGACCGCTGGCGGCGAACTCATGGCGAAAGCGGAGGAGCCAGTCCCGATGGCTGGGAGAGGCGGGTAGTGAGGGGGTTGATGAAGAGGAAGAGTGGCTGTTTTGAAGTAGACAACTCAAACGTCCTAGGAAGGCAGTCGAAAGAGATGCCAATATGAAAGTGTCGAAGAGAAACAAAGGGCGTCGTGTTGAGATGGGTAACTGTGGTCCGGGTTCGGGACTCGAGGGGCTTCTCGGGTCTGCCAAACGCGTACCGGGCGGGCAGGGGGGCAAAGAGATTAGCAGCGCGTCCGGCTTCCGGGTCCCCCACTGGTCCGAGCAGCAGGCGTTTTAGAGTCCAACCACCATGGTTTTTATATCGTCGACGCGAGATCTTCAGGTTTGCAAAACTCGAGGCGCGGAGGTTGGGAGGAGGATGTTGAGGGGGTAGGCGGTAGGTGTCACTGTGAGTTCAACAGAAACAGGGTTGACAAGTGACTAGCGTCGGCCAACAAGGCACGACAAGGAGCGAGTGAATTCAAGATTGAACCGTGGAAGAGGGAAAACCGAGAAGTCCGCTCGCGGGAATCCAAGGAGGGACAGGGTCGGAGTCCAAGATGTTATTTGCAGACTTTCCGAAAAGGTTGGTGATGTCGTCTTTTCTTTGCTGATGTGACGGATCGAGGATAGCCGAGTGCGAGCGAGTGTGATCCACGTGATCCCCCGCCAACCTTGGAGGCGAAAAGCAGAGGGTACCTAGGTACCTGCCCGGGGTGCCCGGTCGGAGACCCACTTCTTCCCAGCCCCTCACAGCCCCAATAGGAGTCGAGGCACGCCTTCATGCTGCACCTGCCCTTCTCCAGGCTTAGATAGTGGCTGTTATGGCCAGCCGCAGCGCTGTACCAAAATCACTATCAATCTTTATCATCGCCTGTGTGTGCCTGGGGTCACATTCACGCCTCACTTTCGAGGAGATTTCCTTGCCCCAGGCCATCTCCTAATCTTCTCCTTCTTATTACTTCTCTTCTCATTTCTCGTTCTCTCATCTTCTTCCCCCGACTCTCACCATTCTTCCCCATCCATCGTTGTCTGGTTCCCTTCTTGATGCCCTCGATACCCTCATCTCCGTTGTCTTCCCCTACTTACCAAGGTACCTCATCTTGGCCCCGACCTTCAGATTTTTACCAGACCACAGCCTCCCTCTATCATCAGATTTGTATACGCCATACCGGCACGTCACTGGAGCCAGTGTGGGAATTCTCTTATTTTCCTAGCCTCACTGCTCTACGCGAACCAGCAAAGCACCATTCCGCTGTCATATAAAGTTGGTCTTGCCCCTGCTACATTGCATCCTATTCTTCCTGGTGGCTTCTCCAAGTCCCCCCCTTTTCCCTCCCCCTGATGACAAGTTGCTGACGCTGACATCGCGGCTCAGACTCATTGCAGATGGCCCGCGGGTTTGTGAAAAAAGAGCCGGGCTCGGCCCTATCTTCAGGCCAAGTGTCGGCCAGGCGTACGGCCACGTTGCCTGGAAGCTTCTCGCCAACTATGGAACCAACGAACGAGGCCCTATCTCTGCGCCGAGGGCTGCGGTCAGCTGCACGTAAGTCTCCGGTTTTCAGGTTCTCTACTCCGGGTAGGTACTCATGGGATTTCAGCAAGCATTGATACTAGACTGCCGACAACTTTCCCTGACTCTCGCGAAGAAGTCGAGGAGCAGGACCATGAAGATGTCGTCTTTATGGAGGTTCGGCGTCGGGTCAAAACGCTCCCGGAGGAAGATCAGCAAAACATATCCCCTAATCACAATGCAAGCTTCATGTCGAACAACCATGCCTTCCTCGCCATCGGGCAGAAGCTCAAGGAGGTAAATGACACGCTCGGGACCCTCCAGTCACTCGGCATTCAACATGTCGCTCAGCTTCCCGAGCTTGTACTTGTGGGCGACCAGTCTGCGGGCAAGTCGAGCATCATGTCGGCCATCGCTGGGTTGAACTTACCGCACAACACGGGAGTGTGCACGAGATGCCCTATTCATATCAGATCATCCCGGTCCGCCAACACGGAGTGGTCCTGCAGGATTACACTGCAACAGGACTACGCCTTCGTCCCAGGGGACGAACCTATCACGCAAGATGATGTGACTCCTGCCAACCCCTTTCCGCCTTGGGTGAAGCAGAATCGGGTCGTCAAAGACTTCGTCACAATTCGGGACAAGGTCGACTCAATCGAGCGAGTTTTGCGCTGGGCCCAAGTCGCGATTCTGAATCATAATCAGAACCACGAGCTGTACATCCCGAGGGACGGGAATGATGAGGACGATGCCGAGCTTCTCGAAAGAGAGGTAGAAAATACCGAGGCGAAGTTTTCGCCCAACACGGTTGCCCTCGAGATTAAAGGCCCTGACCTTCCTGATCTGAGCTTCTATGATCTGCCCGGCGTGTTCGTCAATGCACCTCAAGACAGCGACCAGTACCTTGTGCATGTCGTTGAGAATCTTACGAGGGAGTACATCTCCCATCCTGGTGCGATCATTTTGTGGGCGGTGCCCATGAACAACGATGCCATGGTCTCGTCAACCTTCAAAATCATCCGGCAGATGAAGGCTGAGAAGCGTTGTCTCGGTGTGATGACGAAGGCCGATCTTCTTCCCAAAGGAAACCACTCCCAGTGGATTTCCATGCTCCGAGGAGTCGACCACCCGACCGGATTAGGCTATTTCATCACCTCCCGGCCGGACACAGAGGACCTGGTTGGGCAGGCTGCATGGGAAGAGTCATTTTTCAACAGAAGGGCCGAGTCTTCGTCGCTCATGGAGACCCAACCCTGGCCGGCAGAGTTCGCCGATTTCGAAGAGAGGTGTGGCGTCGTCCGGCTCAAGGATTTTCTGTCTCATAAGCTGGCCGAAGAGTTTGCGAAGAGGTTTGTCCTGCATATCCTGCCGATATCCTTGGGTATTTATGAAGCTAAGCTAACATTATCTTCTAGTCTGCCGGTTATCAAGGGCATTCTTCATCAACGACTTCATAACGTCGTCAACCAGCTGAAGAAACTCCCCGAGCTCCCGCCAAATCCCGAGCTTGAGATCCGGAAGGGGCTTCTCGACTTCACCAACCTGGTCAACGCTCGTCTGAAGAGCCAGGAATTCTCCGCACAATGGGCCGTGAGTGCCGAAGATTTCAAGAACGCGGTTCTAGCAATGAAGCCCAAGGTTGTTGTTAAACCGGAGACTTCTGTCATTGATGTGGACTCGGAGAGTGTTGTCAGCAGTGGAAGTCCGCAACCGAAGCGTCGGTCCGCCACCGACCATTATTCGGACCTCCAGGCCACTCCTTCGAAGAGAAGGCCCAACATCGGCGTCTTCATGAGTGGCGCCAACGGCGCCGGCGCCGGCACTAGATTTAATAGTGTGAAGGCTGAAGATGCTCCTGCCAGCCCATACCAGGTATCACCACGCGGACCGCGGGCGCTCTCAGTTGTTACAGCTCCAACTTCCGGTCCCAACGGAACCTCGATCAACAAGACGCGCACCCTCCCCCAGATACGGGACATTCTCGTGTCGAAAAGGCGTCCCGGGATGCCGAACGCCATACCCCACGAGGTCTACGAGTTCCTCTGCATGGATGCAGTCAAACCATGGAACAAGCCCTTGGCCGCTTTCCTCAATGGGACGATCCAACTCCTCCAGAGGGAGATGATGAGCGCCCTCGACCGCGCATTCTCCGGCCTGAAGAAGCGATTTGTGTTCCGCGAGTCGAAGAAGCACCTCGTCGACTTCGTCAAGAGCCACCGTGAGGTACTTACCGGGCAGCTCATGCACGCCTACAAGACGGAGACGCACCGTCTCTACACGGTCAACAATACCTTCTTTAACCACAATCTGGAGGAGGAGAAGCGAATCCTGGCTCGCCATCGCCACCACTATCGGTGGGCGGCGCACTGTGGCCAGGCTCCCGAGTCGCTTAAGCCCGTGGAACAGCTCAGCGAGGAGGAGCGGCTGCAGGAGCAGTCGAGGATGCAGAAGGAGGCGGTCAAGATGGGCAAGGACCCATACGAGCAAGAAATCGACGTCGTAGCCTATGTCCGTGGCTATTACCTCACCGCCGCCTTCCGTTTCATCGATAATGTGAGCCTTCATATGACTTCGGGCCTGTTCCCGGTTGTCTCCGAGTCGGTCAACTTCCACTTGGACAAGAAACTCGGACTACTGGATAATGCTGGTATGTCTAGCCCCTCCCCCCGTTTTCCATTTTCTCTTCTTCTCTTCTGCTAACACCCCCATCTCACAGCCCAAGCCTTGTTCGACCTCCTCATGGAAGAGGAACCGAAGACGGCTGACCTGCGTAAGCAGCTTAAAGAAGACAAGAAGAAGTTCGACAAGGCCATGGACTGCATCCTCGCCCTGGAAAAGTCGGCGAGCGGGACAGCTGAAGAGAGCGAGACTGATGGGTTTGAAGACCAGGATGACGTTGAGCTTGACGTCGAGCTTGACGACGTCGAGCAGTCCAACGGTCAAGCCTCCGAACTCGGCGACCCATACCCTGCGTCCTCTCTGGCCCAAGAGGAAGAGTTCTGAGGCTCGAGCGGCCATGATTGCGCACTGCTTTCTCTCCCACGAGGTTGGGCTTACCATGCAGATGCGCGCCGATATTGTTATTTGTTGCGAGGCTTTGTGCCGGATTGCTTTCATCACGGATGTAAGAGTACCGGGGCGTAGGCGGTGTTTGGTATTTGATATTTGATTCCCAGATGTATGCCCATGCTTCGATGGCATCGGAAGCTCTGGATGATTTGCTTGCTGGCTGTTCTTGCCATCTATGGCAAGCTGTTGATTACATGTTATTAGGGGGCCTTTCCCTTACCGCACCAGACTTTGCTCAGAATTCTTGCTATCAGACATGGTAAGGGAGAGAGGACATCAGATTAAGGACCGGATTTTGCTCTAGGTCATCTGCTCGGATTAGCAGACCTCTGTAATAGATACAATGATGACACGATATCTCCCGAGACTGGCACACATTTGTTCTACTTGGTTCTCCTGCCATGGCATGCAAGGTCACTTGGCCTACTTTCCCAGGACTGACAACCTAGAAGCCCCAGTCCTCCCTCACCAACCACGTAATGTAGCCCGCAAAGAAGCCAAGGGCTCCAACAGTGCCGAAGAACCCAACCTGGCGGCCAGTCCCAGCCGCCCCCGGCCGCCTCAACCCAAACTCGGTATGCAAGACGCGGAAGGCAAGCAGAGACCCCAACCCCGCACCCAAGATGCGCTTGTCCCCGCCGTTCAGCTCCACGATCGTGGACAGGACGAACGCCCACGGCACATACTCGACGAAGTTGGCGTGGCTGCGGGCGGCGACGAGGAGACTTTCCGGTCCGTCGTCGTCTGCGCCGGTTCGTTTAGATGACGGTGCTCCGCCATGCCCCAAGAGGGTCTGGTCTCGGAGCCGGCATTGAACGACCCGCCCGGACAGGAGGAGGAAGTAGGCTGTGAAGGGGACGGCAAAGGCACCGGTCACCGCTGGTTCGAGATTCAGTTAGGTATCAGCATCGGGGGACAAGCTAGCCGAGATATTGGGCTGGCGATTCAGTTGCTTACAGAGAACGGGGCGTACACCGGAGAGACCGATGGAAACGGGCGAGGTAGACATGTTTAGCGCTCTAGAGACTGCAATTGTTTGGGTACTTGTTCAGCAAGCTGCACCGAGTTGTTAAGTGCTGTCAAGAGCAAAAGTTAGGTTGGGAGGGCAGGCTTGAGCCGCAGGGGTCAAGTTAGTTCGGAGGGATGAAGTCATGACTATGAACCCTTTCACATTGACATCACATTTCCACAATGGGGTCTATAGGTCTCCTCATCTCCTTTGGGGCTTATTTCTGGGTACGTTTCTGAGATTCAAGCTGCCGTGGAGCATTTTGAGTAAGGATTTGGATATGACGCGCATGATTGCTGGGGGCAATAAAACGCACATACCAGTAGGGAGACACGGGGGCCAATTAGGCTTGGCGAAGCTCCTTCAGGCGGCAACCAGGCACGTGCCAGGATACCCCTTACAAAAATGTACTGTACAGCGTGTACTCCGTACTGCGAATCCGTTACGCAGGGCTGATGGATATTGCTTGACACACTTGCGACAGCTCCTACCGCGCCTCTATATTCACTAACCACCAATTCAAATGTTTCGAAGCATATTCAAGGCCATAAGGCGGCGGTGACTGGTTGCAATGGCCAACCCCTTCGGATTGGGAGGGCTACCCTCAGGGGAAACCCGGGCCTCGTTCTCGAGATTCTGGCATGCAAGTCGAGAGTTGTTGTTCCCGTCCACCTAGCCAGACACTGATGAAGATGGCTAGAGGTCCTACGCATCGGATTACCTTGGCTTCACAGTCATCCTGACAGGCTATTTCCTCGTAAGTTTTCCCCAATGCCTTTTCCCAGGCCGAGAGACGCTGACCATTCCCGAGGTCCAATTCCTGGCCGAGCCGTTCCACCGCATGTTCGCGATTAATGACTTGCGTATATCTTTTCCCCATGCTGAGGTTGAAAGAGTACCGCTTGGTGAGTTCCTAATCCGAAACCTCTTGGAGCCGGCCGGGCTGTGGTGCCTCCGCTAAACCAGTACATCTTAACAGCGCTCGATTTCGTCTACGCCGTCTTCATCCCCCTCTTCCTCATCATAGCCTACAACTTGACGACGGGGGCGTCCCCCCATAAACACCACGTCACCTACCTCGGCCTGGTCATCGCCCTCGTCCTCACCGCCTTCCTGACCGACCTCGTCAAGAACCTCGTCGGCCGACCCCGCCCCGACCTCATAGCCCGCTGCAAGCCCGCGGCAGGCACGCCTCACGACGTCCTCGTCACCATCTCCGTCTGCACCGAGACGGCGCACCACACGCTGCACGACGGGTGGCGCTCCTTCCCGTCGGGCCACTCGTCCTTCGCCTTCGCCGGCCTGGGGCACATGACGCTGTTCCTGGTCGGGCAGACGCGCATCTTCGCCCACGCGCGCTCCGGCGCCGGCGCCGGGGCCGCCGAGAAGGTCGTCCGCGGCGACCTGGGCAGGGCCTTGCTGTGCCTGGCGCCGCTGCTGGTCGCCACGTGGATCGCCATCAGCCGGTGCCAGGACTACCGGCACGACGTGTACGACGTGTGCGTCGGCTCGCTGCTCGGCTGGACGGTCACGTACTGGAGCTACAGGCGGTACTGGCCGCGCGTCAGCAGCTCTCGATGCGACGAGCCGCACCCCGGGCCGCCGAGCGGCGACGATGATGCTGGTCGGTACGGTCGCCTGAGGGATGAGGAGGTGGGACTGGGTCAGAATGTAGGGCTTGAATTGCGTCCATTATCTCAACGTTGACGCGACAAGATACTGATCACTTGTGCTCTCTAGACGGACTAATAATTTTTCTCCAAATCATATCGTCAAGTTGACTATCATATACCATAATTATACGGCCGCAGAGCAGTGGTATCATGGATGTCTTCTCTTGGGAAATGGCATGCAGGCCTGATTGCCATATTTGGCCATTCATTGTATTAGTACACATGACACTCAAAGGTCATCGCCTTCGCCCCATCTATCTCTGCCTTCCCGATCTATTTATCCTCTGCGCTCTCTTCCTTGGCGAGGTCATGCTCCTTCAATAACGCCGTGATTTCGTCCGCGCTCCACAGCCTGTGATAGATCTTTCCGTCGCTCGTCTGGCCAACCGTGGCAAACTCAACTGTAGCATGGGTCAGCACTTGTCATAATGGTCGTGGGGTATGTGGTATGTGGTATGTGGGAATGGCCTACTCTTCTCAGCGCTCAGCTTCGTAGAGTCCATCGTCTTGCTCAAAACCTTGACCGCCACACCACAAGCCTCTTGGAGGGTGCAATCCTCCTTGTAGTCCTGCTTCAGAAGGCTCTGGGCGCTGGCATTGTTGGCGCCGGCGCTCGTCGCCTTCCAGCCGCCGTAGTTGCCAGACGGGTTGCTGAGGTAGAGCTGGAACTGTCGCTGCGGGTCCCAGCCGGCGTAGATGAAGGAGACGCCGAACGGCCGCAGACCACCGTGTTGTGTGTACCCCTGCTTCAGATCGCACAGCCGCCGCACGAGCTGCTCGCACGGGATGTCTTCGTTGTAGGTCAGGAGGTACCGCTGCGCGGCTTGCCGGGCGTAGTTGATCAGGATGTTGGCGTCAGCGGTCATGCCGGCGACGGCGCAGATCATGTTACTGTGAGAGGTGAAACCAATTAGCGATATTCAGGGCGGCACCGGGGGGTAGTTGCGGGATCCTTACTCATTGAGAATGTACAGCTTCTCCGCCGAGGTGTCCTGCTCTAGTAGCTTGGAGGTGACTTTCCGCTCGGCGGCGAGGACAATTCCGTCCTTGGCGAGAATTCCGATGGCAGTGCCGGCATGCGAAATGGCCTCTAGGGCATATTCGACCTGGTAGAGGCGACCTTCGGGGGAGAAGATGGTTGTCTATAAGAGGCTATAAGCTTGTGTTTTTGGGGATTCCGAAGCTTCGTTGGAGCAGTCAACTTACTCGGGAATCGTATCTCCGCGACATGGTTGCTTTGTTTGGCTAACCTTGGGAGAATCGAGGAAGTGAGGCTAGATGACGGTTGTTTGGGTTGGAAAGATTGGAGGTCGGTGGGCAAGCAATGGGAGCATGAGAAGGCTGACAGCATTCAGGCTGGTTGGAGCTCCAGGCAGAGCCCACAACGCGTAGCTGCATGGATGCCTGGGATTGGCGTGGTTCGAGTTAGGCCAACATATGCTTGCTCTTCAGACCGCCTTCCCACGTGATTTAGCCTGAGGTGCCGAACTTTGCCTAACAATATCACCCCTCGTCTCGCATCATAAACTCCGCTTTCCCTCTTCCAACCTCCGCTTTTCTGCCCATCCCAAGTGTCAACAACACGTTCTACCATCACGTTGAAGCCAGCGCTGTCACCAATTTTGCCCCAATTCCTGGTGTCGCGTGGCCGTTTTCTCAGACTTCAGGTCAGACATCAGACATCAGACATCAGACACCGACCAGCACGTCTTACCTTGTTTGCGCATTGAAGCATCAGTTCATCCGAGACCGCAAACTTTACCAGTCCGAACTCAACTCGCAAATTGCGTTTCGCGCGCAAACCTTCTAATACGCGCCGAGCTCCACAAGAACTCCAGGGGTCTTTCGGGGAGCTTCACTGCAAGAGGGGGACGCGGTTTACTTCTAGATCTACTGCGAAATAGGCTGGGGGGTCTCTCCGGTTGATGATCGTGTGCCTTCGGCGCAGTCAGATCCTTTTAGTTCTACATTTCTGCCCGTAAAAAGCCTTGCCAATGACTGCCTGAGCGCGTCATCTCGCACATGTCCTAGACTGCATACAGTAGAGAGAATCCAGCCGAAGGAGGACATCCGGCACAGTATCATACGCAAGCCACAATCCACCCGACTTGCGTCGAGGTCGATATCATATCATCGCCATGCCTGGTAAGCAGCGGTCTGACGCCCTGTCACATCCATCCCCCCTCGACTTCAGACACCAACTGCCCCCTCCCCTCATGTGTCAATTCAACAGTCCGTCACTTTCACACTAGGGAAACACAGCTAACCAAAGACCGTGGCCACAGTCGAACCAGAACCCCGCCGCTCGGTGCGTGCGACCAAAGGCCAACATAAGGCCTTGGAACAACTCGACAAAGCCATCGATGCCCCTAAGCGTCGTGGGAAGAAAGGGAAGAAAGCAGCCCCCGAACCCGAGGAGACCGAGGAAGAAGTCATCCGCTGTGTTTGCGGCGCCACAGAGCAAGATGAGGATTCAGGGGAGCCCTGGATTGCCTGCGACCAATGTGCCGCCTGGCAACATAATATCTGCATGGGCATGAGCCGATACTCGGAGGACATTCCCAGCACCTACTTCTGCGAGCTCTGCCGTCCCGAGAACCACAAAGAGCTCCTGGATGGCATTGCCCGCGGAGAGAAGCCTTGGGAAGCAAGACGCAAGGCCTATGAGGAAGAGGAAGAAGCCGACAAGAAAAAGAAGAAGGGCCCTAAGAAAGGTAAGGGCAAGCGGGTCAGCGAATCGAAGGAAGAGCTGAAGCAATCACCTGCTCCCGAGCCCAAGAAGGAGACGAAGGCTACTGCCGGCAAGCGCAAAACACGGGACGAGTCTCAAGACAAGGACGCAACGGTACGTTATGACTGACGGCCACTTAGAGAGATAGGGGACAAGGATGCTAACTCGCTGCTCTATCTAGCCATCGCAGAAACTGCGAAAGGTCTCTGAGACCCAGTCTGTCGCAATCCCGGCTTATGAACCTCCTTCAGACCTTCCCGCCAAGATAGCGGAGCTCCCGGATACCCGTCAGGGCCCAGCTAAGGCGCTTTTGAAGTCGTTGACTCATTCCATTGGTGCGGCGGAGAAGAAGGGGACCTTCGTCGCTTCAGATGGAATCTCGACGGCGGCGAGAGCTGAGCGATTTGCGCTGCAGATTGAGCGAGCGGTTCAGGATACCCATCCCAACGCTAGCGCCTATACAAGCCAAGTCCGGACCTTGACGTTCAATCTGAAGAGCAACCATGAGCTGGCCAACCGGCTCCTCAGCCGGACTCTGACCCCGACTATGCTGGCGGCCATGACCACCGAGGAACTTGCCTCCAAGGAGCTGCAGCGTGAGACTGCGGAGATGAAGGCTCGAGCAGAGAAGCAGGCAATCATGATCACAGAAGACCCGCCTCGTATACGTCACACACATAAAGGCGAGGAGATAATCGGCGATGACAACTTCGCCATTCCCAGCGATGAGACTCCGGGACCATCAGTAGCCCGCCGACACAGCACTCGCGAGTCGCGCTCGGAATCGTCGCAGCCGCAACCGCCGCTGCCGCCGCCGCAGGAGGAGGAGGATCGAGACCAAGTCGAACTGCCAGCGCATTTCGATCAGCCCCCGCCGCAGCCGCAGCCTTCGCCAAAAGACGGTCTTCGTATAGAAACGAAGCATTCCCCCAAGACGGACTTTGATATCAACAAGGTCTTCTCCAGTGTCAAGTCGCCAACCGGCAGCGCCAACCGACGACCTTCGAACTTGGCGGGTCCGGCTGGCGGCCCTGGCGTGGACCCGGAGATAGATCGGATGCTGCAGGACGATGGGAACGAATCTCCTCCCTATTCTCCCAGCGAAGAGACGGACCCCAACATCGTCTGGAGAGGCGACATCCTCATGAATACCATCTCGAACTTCCACGCCACGGCGAGGCATATCGGTGGTGCCAAGCTTAACGAATCCATTGGCCTCCCGTGGAACCAACTCATTCCCAGACGTCTCACCGTGGCCGGCCGGATCGACGAGCAGAAGGCCATCGAGTATCTCTGCAGCCTGAGATATAGCGTGCCAACTGACGTCGTGGTGGTGAGCCTGGAGCCTGCTTTGGAGGCATCCAAGCCTGATTTCCAGAGGCTCATCGACTACTTCATCTCCAAGAAGCGCTACGGGGTCATCGGCGACAAGGGGGTTGGGAATGTTCGTGACACATATCTCGTCCCCGTGGCTGCCGGTTCTGGAGACCAGCCTGAGTTCATGCTTAACCTCATGGACAACTTCATCCCCGAGAATAGAAGGGAGCCGATGCTGCTGGCTGTCTTTGTCTACCGGAATGACCCTTCGACGATGCAGCGACTTCACGGAACTAACAGTTCCGGCCAAAAAATGCCGCAGTCACCCGTCAACAACACCCCTGTTCCGGCACAGGGTGGATACTCTCAGCGGAACGCATCTATGTCAGCCCCGGCCATCTCACCCACGTCCCCTCAGGGCGCCTTCCCGACCTACCAGGCGGCGAGGCAGAGCCACACTCCGATCCAGCCCCCTCAGGTTCCCCACAGCTCGCAGCAACCGCATGGACCCACAGCCGGGCGACTTTCCAACCAGGAAACCGCGCAGCGTCAGGGCGAGCAGGTCGCTCGAGAGATCCTCGGCCCGTTCATCAGCAGCCCCACGGTGGCCTTCCTCATGCCGCAGGCTCACAGCATGTCGCGAAGGGAGTGGGAAGTGGTCCGCAGGATCTACGAGCGAGACCCGAAAACCAGGGAGGACCTTGCACACTTGAGCGCGGTCCTCGAGAAGGAGAACAGCAGCAACGGGGCCGCCGCTCCGCCTCCAGCTCCGGTTCCAGCGCCGGGCCCGCCGGCTACCCCCACCCCTGTGCACGCCCCGGCTTCGGCCCCGGCCCACTCCCTAGTCCAGACCCCGATCCCGCCCCCGCCCGTGCCGCCCCATCGCAACACCCCGATCCCGCCCCCTCCGATCCCACCTAGTGCGGCCGGCCCTCCGCGACAGACCCCGATTCCCCCGCCACCTATCCCACCACATGCCGCCGCGGCAGCTCCTCCGGCCTAGCAGACCGGTGCCGTGCGACGGACCCCGATCCCTCAGCCGGTTTTGCCGCCCTGGCGTGTGGCAGCTTCTCCATCCAAGGCGGCAGCTTCTCCGGCTAAGAGAAGATGGGTGGGCTAGGAGGGAAATGTGCTTCCTTTTTTTTTCACTTGCTTTGTTTCCGGCACGCACGCGACCTTTTCTACCCCTTGGGTTGGTGGCATACCTTGATACCTTCGTTTGCCATTACAAGGTCGGCCGGCGTTGGGCTTCTTTTCTTTTTACCATTCGTTTTTTGCTTTAGGGGATACAGCACCGTCTCAGGAATCACTGAGGGAGAGTCTTCCTGTTGCGTCGTTTTGAGGTTATACTTTTGGGGGAGGGAATCTGATGATTCGTGCAACAACCCAACCTTGCCGTGGGAAAAGGGGCGAATGGGCGGCGAGGAGGCGGGCTTGTGAGCCGGGCAGACTTGCTCTTTTTCATTAACACGCTTATCCCTTTTATTTCTTATTGTTTTGACTTTATCGCTTTCTTCCATTGTAGAGGGAATGATGATGGGAGGTATCCGAATGAAACGGCCGGACAATAATCGACAAATGCGGGAACGGCCACCATGGATGGTCATTGTGTGGCGTATGAGGCCGGCGAGTCCGATTTGTATTCCGTGAGCATAGGTAGTGGGGAGGGCGAGAGTCGTTCCCGATGAGTGTATGCTTCTCAATGTCATGACTTCCAAGACTGCCCTGCCCCTAGTTCTCAACCTTCTAGCTAGTTCACGCCCAAGAACTTGGTACCTGCATCCCTACCTGCTGCCTTCCTACCTGCCGCGTATTTGCACCCCGTCTTAGAGGTATGCGAGGCCCCGTGAAGCGATCCATATTGTAGGTAGCCAGTCATCTCCATCCACGACTTGGAGTGGTTTGAAACGGCTCCTTGCATGCTCATCCCCGCACCGCACCGCCACTCTTACATAGCCCCGCCAATGACGCAGCTGCAGCGGCAGTGACATGGATGGCATCCCGACAAGTAAAAACCACGGGTGAGGGCCACGCATTTCCAACTTCAATCAAGCACATCAGTCTTCAACTATTCAAAACCAACTCAATTCTGCTGATCATCACATCCCTGGCCACTGCCGTAAGTCATGAATACACATATCTTTTCTGATCTGAGGCCCCAGACTACAAGCCAAGCCTTAAAAATGCCACACCTTGCATCACCGCCTCTCCCTCCTCAACATTGGATCCTACCCCTACCTGCCCCTCCTTGCGCGCCTCTATTACCACGTAGCGAAGCTGACCAAGTTATCCACCAGACCGCCCACGTCTCTTAGCCACAAACCCAAGCCTCAACATTCCCCATCCACTGTTCTGCTGCTCTCCGAACAAACCCCACCCACAGATACCGAATCATAAGCAGCTAAAGCAGCTAAAAGATGGCCTGCTCATCTGCCCACGGGTCCCTCGTCAACCGCAACGGCCCCGGCAGCGCCGCCACGTCCGTCGCGGAGAGCATCGTCAAGCCGGCGACGGGCAAGACAAAGTGCTTCGAGTGTGACGGCTACGACTGCTGCTGCATCCCAATCCCGTGCACCGTGATGTGAAGGTGGGGGTAGGCCCTTGGCGCGGGAGCCAGTGATCTTTTGGTGGTGGGACAAGGGGGTAGGTCGAGACCTGGAGTAGGGTGGCTGCTATCTGCAGAGCAGCGTAGAAGCCTGATTGTGGTAGCGGGTATTGCTCTTCGTAGGTCCTTGTTGGAGGAAACCGGGGGCGGACGGACGTGTTTCTGCGGGACAAGGTAGCCGGAATCAAAGGAGCAGCCGTTATGCCCCCCTACCCCAACGCCCGCCATACCAGCTCGTATAGCCATCTGCCGTAGTGACGTAGTCCGGCCTCAAGCGAAATCCGAGTCCACCGCCTCCCAGCCGGCGTCCTCGCGCCCGCGCCGCGCGCCCTCGTGATCGGCCGCCGTCCTCCCGGCCTCCTTCGCCCCCCCCGTGTCGGCGGCGGAGGCGCCGTCCCGGGCGACCTCGATGCTGCCGAGGCCCTCGAGGACGCGCTTCGCCTTGTCGACGACGCTGCGGATGGCCGCGGTCTCGGCGCGCTTGTTGTCGAGCTGGCTCTGCATCATGGCGATGAGCTGCTCACGCGCCTGGTGCGGGCGGTACTCGTTGAGGATGTGGTGGAAGTTGAGGAGGAGCGTGCGGAGGTCGCTGACTTTCTCGGAGCCCTGCGGAGCGGGGGGAGGTTAGCGGTGCGCTGGGACGGATTGGGAGGCAAGATTGCATCGGCTGACCTGTTCTGGGGCTATGGCCATCACGCCCATCCATTCAAGGAAATTGAGCAGTAGCGACTTGGCCAGGCGCTTCAGCGCAAATGCGCGATCGATGTGTTTGCCGTCCTGGTCACTCTCCGAGGCAGGGACAAGGCGATCGATACCGGCAGTTTCGAGGCTCTGGAGCTCGTCGTCGAGCTGTGGGAGATTCACATGCATTAGTACACGGGGGCTTGAAAGTCAGAAAAGGGAGACGCGAGGACTCACCGTCTGGACCTCTCCAAAAAGCCTCCATTTCCTGTCGGCGGGTTCGGCTGGGGGCTGGAGATTGACAAGATCTTCGGGGACGTCTGGGACTCGAATAACGGCTGCAGCATCCAGGCCTTGCTGGTTTGCATACCGCGACTTTAGCGACTCGAAGCGCTCGATTTTCTCCGGCGTGAAATCTTGCCAGAAAGGGGGAGGATCAGGGAATGTCGAAGAGACTATGGAAGGCTCGTTAATTGGTTCAGCCATGATGATTGCGCGTGGGTGACGACGCAGTCAGCAGTTCAATGTAGCGAAAGCTGTCTAGGTGAATTTGTCCAACAAGGTTGCAAGCTGGCAGGCATCCTCTTGTAAAAGAAAAGTGACAATGCGAGGTGTGTTGGTCGAACTGTGAACCTAACTAAAGTCATTAGCACCTGGGTAGGATCCATTGTTAAGCTCGTGAGCGTGGCTGAAGCTGCCTCTGAATTGTGGCTTGTGGCCTGCTCCAGAGTGGCGTACCCTCCTCCACAATTGACGACGTGCAGGCGGTCTGCAGATCACCAAGCTTGCCATTGCAACAATGATAAGAATGATAGCCTCTTGCCCATGACACCCAAACATCATTGACCAAGCCAGCCGCCCATTTCTTTTACCATCTCATCGAAGCCAATTCCGAATTCCCCCCACCCACGCGCCCAACCCCTCCAAAACCCACAATGGCAGATGTTCGATCGCTCCTCCGGCAACAGCGCGCCGCCCGCAGGATAGAGCACCCGCACGCCGCCTACTCCGACGCGGGGAAGCTCCTCTGCACCGTCTGCCACGAACATGTCAAGACCGAATCGCTCTGGGACGGCCACGTCCGCGGCGCGGGCCACCAGCAGCGTCTGCAGAGCCGGCAAGCCGACGAGGCAGGCAAGGCCAACGGCGCGGGCGCAGCGACGCAGTCGTCGCACAAGAGGAAGCTCGACGTCGACGGTGGCGACGGCGACGGCGACCAAAACATGGGCGACGCGGTGGAGGAGGAATCGGTCCGCAAGAAGCGGAGCAGGCCGGACATGACCTCCTCGGACGCCGCCGGCGCGAAGGACCCGAGCACGCCCGCGCCGCCGCTCCTCCGTAGGGCGTCCGGCGCCCCGGTCCAGGGCGTGGAGATACAGATCCCGTCCCGGCCTGCCACGCCCGTCGCCACCAGGGACGGCAGCATCGGCAGCGGCACCGCGACGTCGGTCGCGTCGACACCCAAGTTCGCCCCCTCGGGCCGGTCGCCGCTCATACCGCAGGATCCGACGAACACCGCCACCACCACGGCTACCGTACCCCCCTCCTCAGCATCCACCCAGAAGCAGCAGCAGCAACGGCAGCCCACCACCACCGTCGACGAAGACGAATGGGCCGCCTTCGAGGCCGAGATGGTCGCGCCCGCGCCCGCACCCGACGCCGTGATATCTGCGCCGGCGATGACAGCCGCGGAGGCCGCCGCCAAGGAGGAGCAGGAGCGGCGGCGCGCGCAGGAGGAGGATGGCGCGGAGCTGGACGACGAGCGCGAGGAGGCGGCGCGAGCGCTAGAGGCCGAGTTCGAGGAGATGGAGGAGCTCGAAGGACGCGTGCGGAGGCTCAAGGAGAGGCGCGAGGCGCTGAGGCAGAGGGGCGGGCCGGCGCCGGCGCCGGCTGCTGGTGTCGCGGCGGTTGTGGGTGCCGGCGGTGGGAAGGGGCTGGCGGATGGGAAGGAGAATGCTAATGGGGGGGTTGTGGGGGGTGAGGAGGAGAGTGAGGACGATGAGGACGATGAGGACGATTGGGCTGGTTTTAGGTTCCGAGCCTGAGATGGGATGCGGAGACTGGACTGGTAGCAACTCCATGGCAGATGAGGGTGTTTAGGGGGTTTGGAGCGGCGTTGTGAATGCTGCCATGGTTGCAAGGGCGGGAAAACAGGCACGGGGTTGAACAACCACAGCCCGAGGAGTTACCTTTCTGTGTGAATAACTAGCCACTTGCTATTGGCATGTGCTGGGCATTACTTGTACGATATGTTATCTCACTGTACAACATCGTTGAAATAATGAATGACACCTTCCAGCCAAATGGCTGAACGGCGAGCAGATCTGCTAGAATCCGGTCCGTAATCCGTTGAACGCCTATCGTGGATCAAATACATGAATTCGTACAACACATGGTGCCAAATACCATGACTGCCTGCCCATGGTATAGAGGTAAAAATCTCAGACGCCCCCGGCAAAACCATCTTCGCGTCCTACGCTTTCCCAGAACCTCCTCAGCCTCCAAACCCTCCCAACTCCAACCCTCTCCTCCCACTTCTTAATCCCCTCGCTCCTCTCCCTAACCTCCCCAGTCCAGACCCTCTCAACCCACCTCCTCAACCTATCCTTCACCCTCTCCCTCTCAACGGCTCTCCTCCTCGCCACCAGCGCCGGCGCAACCGCGGCAACCCCAACGCCGCCCCGCCGCGGCCCAAAGCCGCCGCAGCCGCCGGGGACGCACTCGGGCGGCAGGACGCAGCGCTGGACGAGGGCCTCGGCGGACGGGCGGGCGGCCAGGCGGCGCGACAGGCGGATGCAGACGAGGGAGCGGGCGAGACGGCGCGACACGACGGTCGTGTGGGTCAGGAAGATGCAGCGGGCGATCAGGTCGGCCAGCGAGGGGCGCGACGGCGATTGCAGCATCGGGCTGAGGGACGCGCGGGCGCGCCGCAGCCGGAGGGAGTGCAGTATCGGCGCGACGGAGAGGTCGCGGAGGTGGTGCGTGGTCTGCGAGAAAGGCTCCCCCGCGGGGGGGGAGGGCATTAGTTAGTCTGCAAGGCCTTTGCGATATACTGACTAGCAAAGGGGGACATTTGAAGACGGGAGCAGACAGAGGCAGGACTACGTGTGGGGATAGGACATTTGCCAGGATAGCCGCGGAATCACTGCTCTCACGGGGAAGGGCAAGTTCAAGCACAGAAAAAGCAAAAAGAGACAAAGGGAACGAAAAAGCTATCGCGGGAGTGTGTACATCTCGTTGTCCATGCCTGAGAATGGCCGACCATAGTTCAGACAAGAAGGGGGTGTCACAGGGAGTACACATCTCCGGCTAGTTTAGCCAGCCGCCTCACTATGCGCTGGCTCGAGGCATAAACAGGGAGGGGCAAGACAGGGAGCGATCCGAATCGAGAAAGAGAGGGTGCTACGTGTCTTCGGACGTGGATCAGAAGGGGCGTGGGGCCTGACTCACCCTAGAAGTTGACAACAGATCGCAGACATCGAGGTAGCCAAGGATATGGAGGAGGATCTCGTTGGGCAAGTCTGACAGGTTGGGGGCAGGGTCTCGTCTACAGCCAAAGACAACCGCGGACTTCTCAGGCAGGCCGTTATCAGCGTCTGCAGCAGTCACCTGTTCCACACCCGAGGAGCCAGTCTCCATTGACATTGGCACGGCGGATGTTCCATAGGCTTTCCCGGACGTCGCCTGTTGTGCCGCCATACCAGTGCTGACAGCACTTCTTCCTGCGTATACCCCAGTCCCATCACCTGCTGCTACCCGGAGGTATAGTTGGGCATCATTTGCCAGGGCTACCGAGGTGATCAACCTGCGGCTTGGGCTTTGAGAGGTGGGGGAGCACGAGGAAAGGCTAGGTCCTCGTGCTTCGTCATCTTGTGACGAGACTGACAGTGTGAGATGGTTCGTCTGACGGACCAGTTGGACGGCAACTGCAGCCTCAATGTCTATGCGGGTCTCGGTGTTGCTCCTTTCGCCAGATGATGTCGCGAACGGCTGGGGGGGGTTGAATGGGTAAGCCGGTGACTCCATGATAGGCTCCCTCAATCGAACCAGCGGTGCCCTGGTCCAGGCCTGTTCTCCGCGGCCTTTCCTTCCTCAAAAAATGTAGCAGCACGTCAGTCGAGGCCGCCTATTCCCTCCCTGCTTGTTGAACCCCGTCCGTCACAGTCGCCAAGTGCGGGTGGCGCGGTATTTTGCCGACTGACCACGAAGGGATACAGAGACGTGCAGGAGCTGGGGTTGTTGGTCTTTGGGACTTGAGTGCGGCTAAAGTACAGTCACGCCAGCCAGGAGGATGGCCGACTGATCAGGCTAGGTAGAGGGAAGGAGGCGGTCGTCTGTAGTGGCCGGTGGCTGGATGGGTGGATCGGCGGATGGCAGGGAGGCCAAGGTCCAGGGCGGAGGGAGGGAGGTCTTGTCGTTTTGGATATCTATCTCGCCACAACGAGGATGTCAGTAGCATAGTCGAACCATGGAGCTGGCTCGTCTCGCTCGCTGATGGCCGAAGCGCCCGAGAAGCAAAGGGTCGGTAGGACACGAAGCGGCTCCAAGGGTGGTACGGTGTGTGGTGTGTGGTGTGTGGACTGTGGTGTGTGGTGTATGGTGCACTTTCTCGCGTAATCGAGGTATATCAGAATCGAGAGGCCGCGTTATTAGTCAGGGACGTAGGGGGGATGAGAGGGATAGGTGGTGGATTTGCAGGCGCCGGCGAACATTGGCAGCATCCGTACGAGGCCAGGTGAAGATCGAGGTGTGTTGTGGGGTGTGTGGGGTTGGTGTTTTGGGTGGAGGGGCTGAAGCCTGGAAACCTGACGTTGACGAGTTCGGATGGGGAGTGTGAGGTTGGGGTGAGACGGGAGTGCGTCACACCTATTCAGCAGGGGCAGGTATGTCTTAGTAGAATAATACCTGACTATAGCGGACATACCCACTACTTAGTGAAGTACTCTAGCAAATTTAGGTATTTCTCCCATAAATTACCTAGCGTAGTTTGCGACCGCCTGCGTCTGCCTGCAAATGCCTGCTTGCATCGACATGGATGCCGATCTTGCCAGGTTACCCCTACACGTACCTGGTAGGTGCTCTACAGCCTACCTACCAGGAATGCATGTTATCGTATTCCACGCATCACAAATGCCGGGCCCAAGATGGGATAGTATTCTCCCTCTCCTCAGTTCCATTTCCCGCCAGCAGGCGATGGAGGCCGATAGCCCGGTTATCGTGACAAGGCGACAAGGCGACAACGACAACAATGAACTTCCATCTACGTCGTAGGCAGGCCCTTGACGGACGGGGTCGATAACTCGGAATATTGGTGCCTGAAGCGCTCGGATCTTTTCTGGTCAATTCTCCTGTAGTGACGTGTTTTGTGGGGGTGACCGTTGTGACGGCCCGTCAACTGCTTATCGCGCCTCCCCTTGTACCATCCCAGGTCTACATGACGACGATGATGGTGGCGATGTTGCTACTCCTGGTCTTCTTCTGGGCAGCCTAAATACAGATTCCAGGGATGGCCCCCATATTGGGCTCCGATGGACTAAGGAAAAGAAGGAATTAAATGTAACAAGGCGTGTTTCCCCCCTTCTGAGCTTCTGCATTCACCGGATTCAGGGGTTTGGCTGATGTCAGGGCAGCGTCAAGTGCGGGGCCGCGGAAAGGGTCAGAGGGGCGGGGAAGGAGGAGGGAAAGCGAAGAGGGAAGAGGGGAAAAAGGAAGAAGTAAAAAAAGATGCCACGAGCCTGCCAATCCTCCCGATTGAGGCAAGACCATCGCCAGCTCATCGCACAGTCCAGGGATGAAGAATACGCAAATGTGATCGACCCTGCCTTAATCACCAGCATTATCATCATCACCATCATCGCCACCATGCACGTCCAAGTCGCAATCGGACAGTCGGCCGAGGCGAGCATCCGGACTCGATCAGCATCACACCTGTAAAGCTGAGGAGTGGCACAGTCTTGGCTTGCAGTGGAGTGGAAGCCTCACAAGTCACGGCTGAAGCCAGTGTGCTGCCTTCGCATATGTATGCGCGCTTCGTATGCAGGCCACGCCTGTTTCAGTCACCTTGCTTATCGTTGGCACCGGCCAACGTCGTACATACATGACTGTATGTATTGTTTCTCAGGCACCTCAATTGGAGTGAGAACAAGTCTTGTCTGGCGGTAGGTTGCCTCCTTGTTGTTGTTATTGTTGTTGTGGTTCTATTGGGGCGGCCGAGCGTTTGGGCCGGGCACTCCCGCAACCCGCAAAGTCTCTCCCTTCCAGCCAATAGCTGCCCGTGCAAGGTTCCCATGCGGCGAAATCCCAGACACGTTCTCGTCACCTGCCTTCCCGCAAGTGTGACTTCGTCTCATCCTTGTTCCCTGCTGCTACTCGACGACCTCGACTCCGCCCTATTACTTACAGGGACAGGGTCGCTTGTGTGCCTTGGACGATCCCTACCGCGTTACCTAGGTACTGTACAGTACATATGTACAGTACTATGAAGTACAATACGACAACACTTGCAGGCGCATTGTGGCGTGGGCGCAATTGTGAGCTGGCAAAGGCCGGGACGACTGACGCTGCGCACCCAACCTCGCCGTTCCGTAATGCCAACAATGAAGAGGGGAGAGAAGGGAGAGAGCGGGGGAAAGTGAGGGAAATGGGGGAAAGTCTGAGCAGCCATTGACCAATACCAACAGTCTTGCTCACTACCGAAACCAGCCCAGTTTCTTGCATTTCGCGGCATCTGATTAGCCACATTATCGGCCGTCTGATTCCGAGTATCCACCACTCAGATCGTCTCCACGGAATCTGCAGCACTTCTTTGCCACATGATTCGCAAGGGGCCCGAATATTCGAATTGGGTTCTGGAAAGATTTTCGATTCTGGAGGTCTCATTGGGTGAAAATGCCGTTTTCTCGCGAACTGCATTTGCAGTGGTTCAACAGTGCCCTGTCCCAGAAAAGCCTAGTCTAGAACTTCTTTAGTCCCGTCTAGAAGGCGGGAGCCAAACCGAGTCGGGTCGGCTCGAGCCTGAGACGAGACGAGACGAACCTTGAACTTCAGTTCGAACCAGTTTTTTTTCTTCTCCATCGGCAAAAAGAAAAACAAAGCGGCTCAGCCCTGCTTGGACCGCCAACGACCATCAAGGCCAGAATTACTTGAATGGGGACGGAGGCCTGCCGGGTATTAGGACATTCGTAGATAAACAACGCTGGGCCACCAAACATGGCCTTGTTTATCCTGTGGGAGCCGCCTCCCGCTCTTCCGAAATGGATATGGCAGACCAAGCCCAGTTTCAATAGTCTTCTCCCCTGGCCAAGCAAGCTGCCTAGTCGAGTGCTTATTTTATTGAGTGACAACGTCGTGCACACCCGCTGCTACTGCGTGGGTTTGTTTGTAGGGCATGCAACACACAAACATGGAACAAGCTTCCCAACGTGGGAACAGGTGGCCAACGCATGCATCATTTTACGGATAACTTTTTTTCCCACCCACTTTTTATTGCCATTTATTGCTACTATTATTTTGATTTGCTGTTCAGGCAGATGTGGGCTCTGCGCCTCGACCGACAGGGGTAAAATCGCGGCCGCGGTTTTCAAACATCCCCCCTAATCAACCCTTTCGTCAGAGAGTCGTAGGAAAAGCACTACCCCATGGTAACATGGCCCATTCTCGAGGCCATCCCCCCTTCCCCCAGAGTGCGGCTTGCTCGGAAGTAAGGCTGCCATGCCAGAACTGACGTGTGTAATCCATGAGTCAACGCCGTTCCTCTCTTTCCCCATCAGCTCACTTCTCTTTCCGCCTCCTCCCCACCCCCAACGGCCACGTCTAGAAATGATATCACCTACTGGCAAAAATATAATCGAGCTAGTCGCCCCACTGGCCACCCAAACAAACTTGCCGCTCTCCCCCGTCAACTGTGATGGAAGGGGGTTATCAGCCTGAACGCGCGCGCGCGCTGTGCTCACGGGCATCCCGCGGCCATGCAGGCCGCTGGCCCCATCTCCACACTTGCCGCTGCGCCTGATTTGCGCCAGCTTGCGTCGTCGATGAGGATGAAGGTGCCTGAAGACCGGGGGGGGTGGTGGTTTGCTCGGCAAACTCGTCTACCTAGTTTCCCAACTCATGCTCGTGCAGAAACGAGGTAGGGCAAAGTGCCACGAGGAATAAGGGGCAGAATACCTGGCTCTCGGTCGACGCTTGCTTTCCTCTCCTCGGTTATAGAAACCCCAATGCAGACACTTCCGCCCAATGCCTCTTACAGGCGCAGTGCAGGTAAATCATGGAGCTATAATTTTGTCACTTGCAGAACCGGGCTGGAGGGAGAGAGGATCGGCCGGGGAGACGAGCATGTTCCCGGATAGGAAGCACGGTTATATCACATTAGACTACATCTCACGCTGACTGGATCAAGCTACGTCCGTCCCGTCAGACGAGAGCACTTCGTCCCCCTCAAAAAAAAGGGGGCGAATACACAAGTAGCAAAGTGGACCAGGGCAACAACTACTCAACGCTCGCCACGTTGCTTTCCCCAGGGGGAGCAACTCCCGCACCCCCCCCCCCCTCTTTCGCAAAAAAGAACCCCCTCCCCCCCCAACCCCCTTTTCTGTTCCCGTCCAAACAGGGACCGAGTGGGCTGGGCTGGGCTGGGCAGGGATGGGCTCGGCTGCCGTCCGAGATCTATCTACTGCGGTGCCAGCCAGGCCAGCCAGCCAAGCGCTCGCTCTCGAACGCTCTCTCGCCAGCCCCATTGGGCGACCGTTAAACGCACCGTGATTCATGTGAGAGCGATGGCATGCGCGAACCTGCGGTGTTTTTATCGAGCGAGTAGGGGGGAAGGGGGAGGGGGGGCCGGACTGGTTAATCCCGGGCCCCCCATCATCTCATCGTTTTCTACACAGCTCTCCCACCAACGCAGTTGTTTTATTTATTTATTTTTATGTATATGGCCTGGCCAGGCCTTCCCCCCCCCCCCCCTCCCCCCCCCGGTCGCCAGAGAAAGGCGACAGCTACAAGTCTGTCCGCCATGCGGCTAAGTGGGACCTGGGCGAGATCTCATAAATGACGGGGACTCCTTGCTCACCTTGGGTGGAGGAAACCTAATGCACGCTGCCATGCGGGGGACCCCATGGGTTGGTGTCTTCCTTTTGTTTTTTGGTGACCCCCATGGGCTGCCGCCGGTGGAATGTCTCCGCCGCCCCCGGTCAGTCGCTGTCAACGGGTCTTAGGGGAGGGAGGGGGGAGAGAAGCGTAGCAGGGGGGGATGCCAAGCAGCTATGTATGTATCTACTTTGCCCCTGTCCCGTGTGGCGTAAAAAGGCCGCCGATGTCACGTCTCTCGAAACGCGTTTGGGGGATATGCAGAGAATAGAAACGACGGCGACGGTCTGCAGGAGCGCGGTGGACGCTTGCTGCAGTGTCAATTGGGGCGAAGGGGGGTTGTTGGTGGTGGGCTTCTACTTCTGCCGTAGCTGGCTATGCAAGAATACGGCCATGTCTACGATGGGGTGAGGTCATCGCCAACGGGAAAGGTCGAGGTGGGCATGTAGGGAGGTGTAGGGAGGTGACCGAGAAAAAGGGGGGGTTAGGAAGCGGGTGCAAGGATCAGGGTTGCATGCCTGAGTAATATCTGCTTGCTGAGGGATTGTAGATGACAAAACAAAATTGAGATAAATACAAAATGTAAAAACAGGAAAAAAGAGGGTAGTGTGGAAGGCGAGTAAAAAAAGGGAATAAAACCTTGTTGCTACGCGTGAGGTGGTCGTGGACGAGGCGGCCCACACTAGCCGAACATTTTGTTGCCGTGTGGGCCGGACCGCAAACAGGCCAAGATGGCCGCAGGGTTCACCTTGGGCGGGATGATCCCCCTCCTAGGTCAATTAGGTGCGAGATGCGGGAGACAGGGTCCCCGGGTCTTGCGCTGTCCGGCCAAGTTTGTTTATTTCCATAACACACAACCTGGCAAGGCAGGAGAAGGGTGGTGAAGAGCGGTTCTGGATACGGTTGGGGGAAGGGCCGGCGGCCGGGGCCGGGGCGGATGCGGGAGCAGGGGGATTGGGTGTGGGTGGAGGGGGTGGAGGGGGTGGACAAAGGAAAAGAGAAAGAGCTTGCTCCCCCTCGAGCAACGGGGTTGGAGAAGCTGGAGCTAGGGGATTATGTACAGGGGTGTGGAAGTAGAAGAAGAAGGGAAGGGAAGGGAAGGGGAACCTTGCCAATGGTGCTCTTGGGTCGCAACTGCAAGCTTTCCAAAGTCGAGGTACTGTACTCATGGCGTGGTGGGGACGTTTTGAAGCCGGTGGTAATTTGAGCCATGATCAACGTGGCTCCATCAAACTGCATCCGGTCTCTGCGTTGGGCGGGAAGAAATGGGCTAATTTGTCGGCAGGCCAAGGGTGGCACCGCCGGCCCAAGAAGGGGACAGGTACTTGTCGACGTGTGATCGTGATTAACGAGACGGACGGGGCAGGGGTGGGCGAGGGTGCGAGCGTATGGATGTTGTATGGATTGAGATCTTGCCCCCAACCTGCCAAGAGTTGCTACCTACCCTCGAGAGGACGAACATCAGTCAAAAGTATAAGTATTTCCGACCTTCCTCGATGCTGTCGGACGGGTTCGGTCCCCATTCTTTGTCTCTTCATTGACGGCGATCATCTGGCCACTGAACGGTCGAGAGCGTGTGCTACCTGCAAGAAACCAGACATCAGTCCACAGCCAGGGCCACCCCGTGGACAAGATACTACCGACGTCAGGGTCCAAGGAACATCTCCATCCTCTCCCGGTAAGTGAGGAAAGACATCGAGGATACCTTCAAAAGAACCCTCTCGCAGGTCCTTTGCCACCCCTTCCCCACCATCCCCCCCCCCCCTCTCTCCCTCGCCTCTGCCTCCGAATGCTAACTGGGCTAGGACTCGCCAGCTTCCCTCAGACGAACAGACGAACAGATCAACAGACGAACACCCCACCCCACAAGCTCTCTCCTCTCACCATGTGCTACTTCGAGCAAACCCGTTGGTCCTGCGGCTACTGGAAGTGGGGGAACTTCCGCCAGCAGTGCAACAAGGAATACCGTACGGGAGAGACCTGTGGCCTGAAGCTTGTCTACGACACGACGTACCAGCAGGGGAACTGCAGGCTCTGCGAGCAGATCCAGAAGAAGAATAGGCGAGTCAACAAGATGGCGCAGGACATCCAGCGCTGGCAGCGGGAGGGGAATCGCAGGGCGACCATTGAGAAGACGGAGGGCGACATCCAGGAAATCACGGCCCAGATCTCGGAAATATGGAGTCAACATCAGGATAGGCAGCGGACTATCAGTTAGGCGGGGTGCGAACAGGTATGTTGGACGTGCTGCCGAGTAGCAAACAAAAATGCCGGGGACGAGTACTGACAGTGGTGTTTCTTTTAGTATCTAGAGGTCTGAAGAACATGGGATGCTAGAGCAGCGCCCCCGCCCCCGGTGTGTGTTTCTGTGTGTGTCTCTCTGTGTGTGTGTGTGTGTGTGTGTGTGTGTCAGGCCCTGGGGGCGCAGAGAAAGGTAATGCCCACTAAGCGGGGGAAGCGAGAAACGGTGGTGACGGAGGATCGAAAAGGGCGGGTCATCGACTTTCTGTTTCTTTTTTTGTCGTTTCTGTTCGGTTAATCCACTGGGGACAATCCTGCAGGACAATCTCCCTGCGTTTTCGGGAGAAATTGGGTTTGGGTAAGGGATATCGGGTGTCGGGAGAAAAAGGGCCAAGGGCAGCTCCAGCGATGGACCAAAGGAAAACCTTTTTATCAGTAACGACTGGCTTTCTTTGAAGAGACGAGACGATCCAAAAAAAAAAAGCAAGACAGAAGAGTTTCAGGCTCCATGGCGATACCTGCGAGAACTGGCGCCGTTTTCCTTGGAAGTGATCCAGTGTGTATCCAGTGTCTCCTCACCCCGATGGAGCCACTGACAGAAGGAGCCGAGAGATGCGACAGGACACAGGGCTGCAAGACGGGGCCGGTTCTGCGACGTGACTGGGCTTCCACCCCACGCTCTCGGAAGCACGACGCAGAAAACTGGTTCTGAACAGTGGCAGCGACAGTGCTTATCTAGCATGTAGACCGTAGGCCGTAGGGGAGAGACGGCTCAGCTGACGAATGGGGAGGACGACAGGGCATGCGAGCCAGTTTCACAAGAACGCCCAGCAGAAGCAAATAAAATCGCTGGTTCCGGCAGGCGGTCGAGACTGGGCCTCTCAGGGATCACCGCTAAGTCCCACGAGAGAGAGAGAGAGAGAGCGGCGTCGCGGAATGAAGAGAACCCGAGCTTCAGCAGAGGCCGCCAGAGGAAACGAATGATGGGGCGACAGAATGGCCGAAGGGAATGTGTCAAGGGATGATGAGTTGGCTGGAGGCCCAGCTTTTAGCTCCTGGGGACGGTCCACTTCACTAGAAAGAGTGCTGGAGAGCGGCCTAAGACAAGGCCAGGCTCGCTGATCGGTTCGGCAGCCGTGGCCAATGTGCTTGGTAATTGCTGATCTGGGCCATGTGCTTGGTGTACACTGCCAAAGGATCCCCGATTACCGCCCCCCCCCATTCTCTCTTGACCTGGTCTGGCGGTCTCCTGGCTCGAAGGCATGCCATCCAATGAAAGGGGTATTGACGCACAGACTCCCGCATAAGCCCGTGTCTAGCAGATGCAGCCTCAGGGCCCACCCAAGATATGAGCCTCCAAGATCCTTCCCGATGCCACCGAAGCCGGAGAAAAATGGACTAAAACTGAACCCGACCCTGGAGAAACAGACGAGAAAACAAGCTAGAACTGCGACCTTTATACTAGAGTCCCCACTATGAAGCAACGCCAGCATGCCGTGTGCACGTGGCCGTTGCTTAATGGGCGTCCAAACTTTCTTCAACGCCCGCTCGGAGGATTCTCGACATGGCTGGCGTCTTGGATCGAGAGGCCGGCGGGCCTTCGGTTAGGGGCCTAATTGGGGAGAGACAAGAGTTCAACAAAAGGAAGCTCTTGATTGATTGAGTGCAAGTACTGGCACATCCCTCCACATTCTCGGTATTACCAGACACATGCTGCCGGAAGTAAAAGGTATAAAAAAAAAAGGACCCAAAAAAAAAAAGAACCCACTGCCACACAAAAAGCGGGAAGGAAAAAGTAAAGAAATAAAAAGAGGCTGCTCCCCACCTCCTTGGGTATCAACGGCTTCGCTCCAACCTTATATCGCCCCGCCACGTCGGCCCCCTGGCCGCACCCATGCCGGAGGCATGACACCGTGGCCCATGGCCGCTGCAGTGTCACACTATCGGTCCAAAGGATGGATCAAAAACGACACGACACCCGCAAAACACCATAGTTCGGTTCTGCGACAAGGGGAATGATGTTCACCCCTCCCCCGGTCGCGATGAAGATCCCTTCCCAAAAATCTAGCCAGCCTATCTCGCTGGCGCTCTCACCGCATCGCGGCTGCAGCGTCGGCGAAATCCCCAACAAGCGGTTCAGTGGCCTCGGCCTTGACCGGCAATGTATTCCCCTGCATCTCGATGTTGTCATCGTCGGCAGCCTCCCAATCAACTCTCGCGGCGGTGGCTAGTTCGTCGTGGGACAGCTTCGAGAGTAGGTTCTGGTATCGGGCCATGCGAGCCTCCTGGCCGGCGTACGCATAAGGCGCAGCAGCCGCGGCATGCATGGACTTGTCATGCGGCGCGATCTCGTAGACGTCGACCATGTTGCTGCAGGACCGTTAGCCATCGGCGTTACCAGGTCGTGGGGACCGAACGAGAGGGGTAGGGAGGTAGGGCAGGGTAGGGCGGAGGGGGAGGGGGAATATGTACTCGGAGGTGCGAGCCACCACGCGCTGCAGAGCCTCAATCTCTCTTTGGACCTCCTGTGGGTCCTCGTGCCCGTTCATCTGCTGCTCGCCGAAGCTGCCATAGTGTACCCCGTTGGGGTCGTCGAATAGAAGCCGCGACTCGTCATCCTGCATTGGCCCCGCGCGGGTTGATTAGCTCAGTGTCCTTGATCCCGGAGCTCGGAAACATGGCAAGATGGAAAGGGCGATGGACGGACTCACCTCCTCGTAGACGTCACGGCGGCGGTTGCCGAGACAGGAGGAGCAGTTTCCCATGCCGTTAGTAGTAGTTGTTCCCAACCTTGGGTAGAGTCCGTTCTGAAGGACCCGGTGCGGGTACCTACGTATGTTGAATCATAAGGAGCGTGCGGCTGCAACGGAGTAGAGTATCCGTCTGGAGTGCAGCCCGTATGCTGAGCTGGAAAAGAAAGGGAAAGGCTGATAGATCGCGAACTTCTTGGTCAAGTCATCGCCGCGGCTAAAAATTGCTAGTTCCGTGGCTTGTTCTATTGCGGAACAATTGAGTGGGTCTCGGTGGGGTTGGGACACTAGCCACGTTAAATCACGGGATCACAAACCGATGTCCTTCCACCCCCCTGCCGTCACTTTATTTACCCCTGCCCCTTTTCTGGGTTGCCATTCGTCGCCTGGGGAACGTCTCCTGAGCTTATGCTACCGTTTCCGTTGGGCATCACTCGGCAATGGCAGGGCATCAAAAAAACGGCAATCATACTTGGATGTAGTGTACAAACATGCATACATATGGTTGTATTGTGCCACAGAGCGGAATTCGTCGCCTTCTTGCCCGACTGACGTCTGTGAAAGACTGCTCAGATACAACAAGGTGGGCGAGTAACTGGTGAATTCCCCTTCGATGTTTTACGGATGCTAGGCTAAGCTGCCTGATACATCTAACCTCCCTAATCGCAGGTTATGAAGGCCTAAATGGCATATCTTCAAGTAGGATTATTCCTACTGGCTCGACTAGGCATATCGCAATGCGTCTTTGGTATCTCGCCTTCGCTTTCTAGTATCTTGTGATGTCCATCATTGAGCGGAAATTCTACGTCTTAGTATAGCTAGCCCCTCCGTCGTTGATTCGCTTGAAAAATTTGCGCACTTTCATGGAAGTGAGGCAACCACACTGGTGGGACGAGTTCACGAGGAGTGTGCCAATCTGCTCTTGAGAAACGGATGAGTTGATGCACTGACATGGTTTACGGCATTGGAAGTCTGCTTCGGTTCTCTCGCTTTTGGGTTGAGCCCAGCGCGGAGTTTTCCGACGCCATGGGTTACGCGAGAGATGGTTCACCGTCGCCAACGTGAACAAAAACCTGGTGGATACCGTCACACGGCATATGTGGGCTATCTCAAAGGTATCAGATCATGCCGTTTCACCCGAAATTCCATGGTTGTCGCAATCGATATGTTCAGAATGCCATAAAGTGTGAGCAGGGCCATGTTTCTCACAGAGAGAGTCCCTGATAAGCGAATCCCGGATCATTTTCCCTATCGCATCACTGGATTGACAGGACGTTTGAGAAGTCAGGTGTTGTCCACACTTCCAAGTGGCTGGCAACCATCCGATTAATTGGGTGTGTGACGCCTCCAAGATGAGACTCAACTCGAGGACTACGTTTTATTGCTCATGCAGTTTTTTGGCCCTTTGAGCTACGATGGAGCGAAGTGTTGAGAGCTGGTTATAAGGTGTCTAAAGGAAGAGTAAAACAAGTTAAAATATCCCGAAACAGAGAGTGGAAGAGAACAGTAAATGCGAAGATGAAAAGAAGAACGAAGGAGACACCTGAAAATCCTAAGCGGTGGCGCCCAGGTATGGCAACCAACAACTGTGTGCTCCGTTTCACCTGCCCCGCGACGCCCGATCCAATGTAACCTCCCCCCCTTCCCCCCCGGCGAGCTCCTGTAACAGCCCCCAGCAGGGATTGCTGTGTGTTTCCAGTCCGCTCCAAAGAGCTGCGCTTCGCACTTGTCAAGACCCCGCTTTGCACTGGCTGCCCATATGGTGCAGGCGTTCGTCAAGGTTGAGGGCCTTGACGGCGTTCCGGGTGGAGAGACGACAGGTCATTATACTTGTTGGCTGGGTAAGACAGGTGTCTCGGGCATTAGACAACTAACCAATCGCCATATGGATCGCCACTGTATTGACACGTCGGCTCACCGATTTGACTGCAGGGTTGCAGCAAATACTTTCTCCCTTTATTCGGGCTTCGTTAGTTACAAATGTCGGGTATGTGAAGGATTTCTTCATATTGACTGAGCAAAAGATATCGCTTACGCTTCCTCGTGCTTGTTGTATTTCCGGCCAAAACGGACGGCCTATTCTCTTCCGCTTTACGATCTTCCTTAAACTTGTGACTCGTGAGCTGCCACTGCAAGGCTAGACTGAAACTCGGCAAGCAGTACGGAGTAACTGATTTGCTATTGTCCATTGCCCCTGTCTACCAATAGGGTTAGGGTTGAAATCAGCATGGTTTGGGCGGGGGAAGTGAGGGAAGTGAGCATGGCCCTGAACAGTTTGTAGTATGAAACTGAGACTGAGATGATCTCTCAAGTCATTCACCAACTCAGGAGAAAGGCTGCAGATATTGAGTAGCTAGGGGTCCGCGAACATGCAACTTATAAGATATTCTGAGAGCGAACGGTATGTCTTCCGACATAGACGTGAAAATTAACAGACGTTTGATGAGCTATATGACACTGAGGCTAGCTAGCAACATTCCTACGTTCGATATCCGTCGAAGTTAGCCGCTACACCTATAGCTCGGCCTCCGGGCCGCAATCAAGGGATCACACCACATTCAAGCTTACACAACCCCCAACTGAACACCTTCACCGGCAAGTTCTTGGCCATCTTTGGTCCATGTGGGCGCAAAAAATTGGTCTCGAACCGCTCGTCGACCGGAGCCGACCTCTCCCGACAATCAGAGGATTCCACCCCTGATTATTGACCTGCACTTGCTTTAAGCTGGAACAGCGACCCTCTCACAGATAGATAATATTATTATTATGCTAAGGTCTCATATTATCGTCATACCACAGCCCGTCATGATAATCCCCCATCTCCCAACCTGAGAGGGCACTCTCTTCGGTTCCAGGTGGCGTTGCTTGCACGATATCACCACAAGCTCCAAAACCAAGTAATCAGGGTCAAGACACATTACCAAAGTCTTCGATTTTTCTTTTTTCGATTCGGTAGCCTATTATGAGTCTCATCTCGATCTCTCACACACGGCGTAACTGATAATCGAACGGTCCAAAAGAAGAACAGGCAATGTCGAACCCTTCCAATCGAAAAAGGGGGAGAGGTTGGAGAAGGTTAATCAAAAGCCGGACCACATAAAAAAGAACCCAAACCGAACATCCGTCGAGCGAGCGAAAAATATAGCGCCTCGGCCGATCCGTCCGTCCTTGGGGTGTGGGGGTATGTACAATACAATATTTTTCCAACTCCGTCGTAAAAACCCAAAGACGCCCCTTCGCTCGCTTCCCTTTTTACTCCCTTTGCCCCCAATTTGCCTCCGTTTCCCTTTGTTTTTCTTACAGACACTGCGAGTAGTAGTCGTTCTGGAACTGGCACGTCGTCCCCGCCGCGCACGACCTGCACCCGTTCCAGTTCTTGCCCGCGCATTGGTCGTAGTGCTTCGACTGGCACGCTCCGGGGGCCTGGCCGCCTTGGCCGCCTTGGCCTCCTTGGCCGCCCTGGCCGCCCTGGCCACCCTGGCCGCCTTGACCACCCTGGCCGCCTTGACCACCTTGGGTGCCTCCGCCGACTTGGCCTGTGGTTGGTGTTAATGGCAACTGAGAAATAAACCGCCGGGGGGGGGGGGGGAGGCAAAGTAGAAGTAGGTGTCGTGTACGTGTATGTGTGTACATGTGTGCATGGGAGGGGAGATTTGGGCTACTGTACGTACCTCTATTGGTCATCAGGACCGGGGTGCCGATCCTGGTGGTCTCGTCGATGCTGCAGACGTTGATGCACGAGCCCGTCTTGACGAGGAAGGGGTCGGTGCTGTTGTAGACGACCTCGATCCACTGGATCTGCATGTAGGCATGCGAGTTGTGCGTCATGTTCCCGCTCCAGCTGCCGCCGTCGCTCCACGTGTTGAACATGATCTGGGCCGGGTCTCGCGGCGCCTGGAAGGTGATGGCCGTGGCCAACTTGCCGTTGACGTACCACGTGCTGGAGCCCGGCGTCCAGTCGAGCCGGTAGTACGCCCAGTCGCTCCAGCGGTGACCCCCGGGCAGGCTGGCGTTGCGGGTGGCCTGGGGGATGTCCCCCGTCGCGTTCCACGACGGCTGGTTCGTGTACTGCACGAACAGCGGCGGGTCGCTGGTGCGGATCTCCAGGTCGGCCTCCTGCACCAGGGCGAGGCTGTTGTTCGGCCCCGCCCGGTACGTGAACATGGCCGTGATGGCCCCTTGCTCGCCGCGCGTGCGCGCCAGCATGCGCACCGATAGGAACTGGTAGCCCTGCGAGACGGACTCGACCTCGGCGGCCGACTGGAAGTCCCGCAGGCGCGTCGTCCGCATCGTCAGGTACGTCTGCGACGCCGCCGGGGTGTCGGCGTTGCGCTCGATGTAGACGTTGTTGTACGAGTTGACCATCAGCACCGTGGCGTCGGACGCGAGCGGGTCCGACTTGTTGGCCATGAGCGCCACGCTGTTGTTCCATCTCTGGATCGCCCAGTTGTCCGTCCAGGCCCGCGTCATGAAGTAGTTGCTCGCCGGCAGCGCATTCGCTGTCGCCTCGGGGTCGTCGAGCTGGTTTGGTACCTTGACGTACGGCGTGAGCTGGCGGAAATCGTGGAACTTGTGGTGTGCAAAGTAGTTGGACGACGTCGCGTTAGTCATGTAGCAGTGGCAGTTGGAGTCCGTCGTCAGCGGGTAGGCCGCGAGGGAGGGCGACACGAAGACCCCGGCGGCGAGGAGCAGAGAGAGCGGCCACATCGCTCGCTTGGCCGTCATGGCTGTGGCTGGCTAGCTGGCTAGCTGGCTGTAATAGCTGGTTGTCACGATACCTCGAACTCGAACTTGTGGGATGGGAAACACGGCGCAGCTCGCTTGTGTTGGCGTGGCTTGATCATGGAGGAGCAGTCACCGAGAGCAGTCAACCACGGCGCGGCAGAACTACATATTCGCTTGGGGGGGCGAAGGGGGACCACGTCTCTGGGTGCCATGGCAAGTAAATGAAGGCACAGAGCAGGGGCATTGGGACGAGACCAGGTGCGGAGTGCCGGCGTAACGCACGCTCATAATTTGCTCTCTTCCATAGTCCAGGGTAGAAGACTCTGGGCCGGGCAATATGACGGTATACCGTAGGTATTAAAAGGGCTGTCGTCATCAGCACCTTGGAGAGTGGAGAAGGAAAATTGAGAAGTCGCGAGGGTGGAGAGCCGAGACGGAAAATAGAGTCTCGGCAGTTAACGGCACGCCGCTCGCTTGTCTAGATGGTGGCTTCTGGTTTGTTGGGGCGCTCGGGGCGGGCGAAATTCATTCATTTTGGCATCTAAGATATTTATCCATGCATGCATCGCGACAGGACCCGACCTGGATTGGCGGAGTGCGTGGAGTTTGAAACGAGCGAAGGAGGGGGGGGAAGTCGTGGAAATGGGTGGAAATGGGTTGTGGAGATTCCTCAGCGGCTCAATGGCGATCAGAAACACTAACCGGACCAATCAAGTCCGGCAGCGCGTCTCTCTCCCGTCCAGATCGGACAGCTTTTTGTCACAGGGCTATATTAATATCCAGCATTATACCACCTGTTTCCTTGCTAAGCAGCACCAACCCACCCCTTGTCCAGCTCCATCTACCGAAAGGTCAGAACTCGGGGCTAGGAAACAGATCACCCGGATCTCCAGAGAGAGGGATGCACTGAGGCAGCGGGATGCTGGCGGGTCTAGCTGTGGTGGAATGGCGCGGGATGTGGGTATCGATTGTCGATCAACACTTCGAGAACAAATATCTCTCTAACTTCCATCGAAAGGGGTAATGGCACTTCTCTGTGGCGGCATGGTGAGGAAGTGGGGGTAAGTTGCTTCGCCACGGCCAACGACGCCTGTTGGATCGACAATAATGTCCTCCGGAAATTTTGAACCATAGTGCCCGGCAGTTGTCGCCAGACCCCGTCCATATTCTATCCCATGGTTGGAATATAAGACCGACAGACTTGCGGCCAGACCAACAGACCCGCGGCCAGACCTCGCTCGATTCTTCGTAGTAAATGAAGCCATATTGACCATCTGACCTCCCCTACCCCCATGTCTGGGAAAGCTGCATACTTGAGGTCTGGGAGGGCTTCGATCGCCTTCGGTCGGGTCTAAGCGAGCCAGTCAGACACTTCGCCAGGCACCCAGCATGTGCCGGCAGGGCTAATGTACGTGCGGGAGTAGGCAGTGGTGCATTGGCGTGGTCCAGATGGCGATCCGTTTTTCCTTTCCTGCGCCTCTCGGCGGTCACGAGCGTCATGGGCCATCAGGACCTCAGAACAGATACTCATCCCACCGGTCCTCGTAGTAGTAGGCATGGTATAGCTCGTCGACGTCGTGGCCGTGGTCGTCCCCCAGGAGCTGTAGGAACTCCTCAAACGAGGCCGGCCGGTTGGCGTCCCTCTCGGGGTCGGCCTCGTCGTCGCCGGAGAAGTAGTATTCCGAGTCTTCCTCTTCCTCCTCATACTCGCCCTCGTTGTCCCCGTCCTCGTCCTCCTCGTCCCCGTCCCCGTCGCCGTCCAGCTCGCCGGCCTCGTCCTCGTCCCGGTATGCCGGCGGGAGCTCGGGGGCCCTGAACCGGACTCCGGCCCCGTCGCACGTCGCCTTGACTTGTACCATGTTCCTCCGGTACTTGCTCCTGTACTTGCTCGTCTCGGGCCACGAGTGCATCATTAGCGTGATGCTGGATAATTTCTGTCTTCCGGAGCAGCACAGCAGCTTCACGCCGTCGAGCATGACTTCTAGGTCGGCAAGGTAACTCTGCTTGAAGTCCTTGTCGGCGCCCCACTCGCAGACCAGGGTGAAGTTGCGCAGCGATGCAGGCAGCAGCCCGGGCAACGCCTCCCCGTCCTCGTATTCGAGGGCGCCCAGCGTGCCGAAGAGGCCGCGGTAGTCGACGGAGAGGTTGCGGAGGTTGTGCAGCGCGGGGAAGCAGGTGAGGCGGTGGTTCTCGGGTTTGCGGGGCCGCTCCCTCCCGCGGGTCAGGTAGTGGCCGTCGGACACGGTCACCAGTTCGAGATGCCGCAGACTATCGGCCAGGCCGAGCAGGGCGTCGTTGAGCGTCCGCCCGCCGGGCAGCCTGGGGCGGTCGAACTCGTCGTCGCACTTGTCCTCGAAGTGCACGACCAGCGTCTCCAGGCCGGTGCAGGCCCCGCACAGCGCCACGAGCTCGGGCTCGCGGATCCGGCTCCCGTATAGTCGCACGTGCCGGATGTTGGGCAGGGCCGGGTAGGCCGGCGCGCGCAGCAGGCGCGACCACGCGGTCGCCGAGTCGCAGCAGAACTCGAGCGTGCTCAGGCCCGGCAGCTCCGGCAGGATGGAGACGACGTACCGGGCGAAGACCTGCGAGAACGTGTCGTCCCGCCCCGATCCCTCCCGGTTGCAATACAGTCGTAGAGAGGCCAGGCGCTGCATTGACGCCTTGGCAGGGAAGAGGAGGGGCTCACGAGGGTGGGCTGCGACCTTTGCAGTCGAGAGGCCGGGGATGTCGAACAGGAGGTCGATCAAGGCCGGGTGCACTACTGCCCGGCTCTGGTCGGGATGGGCCATCAGGAGATCGTCTAGCCTGTCTGCGTAGCCGACGACGAAGTTGAACAGCGCGAGCGCGATGCTGTTGTCGGGGCTCGGGACCGGGGCCGGGCGGGCCGGCGCCCCCTCCGCCGCCGTCGCGGGCCTCGACAGCAGTTCCGGCGGGACCCGGAAGCCATCTCCGATCAACAGGGCCAATTCGCGGCGGGCGTCGCTGACGACGCCCGAGTCAAGCAGGTTGACGAGGCACGAGAGCGAGCGGATGCAGCTCCTCGCGTCGGGGCGGTCGACGAGATGGCGGAACAGGCGCACCAGACCGACACCGCTGTGTACGACGATGGTGTGGTACTGGTGCGCGGCGGCGATGGCGGTCATGCGCTGGCTGGTGCAGGCCAGCGCCTGCAGGTCCCGGTGCCGGCTCTTCCACGCGGCCCACTGGGCGTCGGCGTCCCGGAACTCCCAGCTGAGGACTGGTCGCAGCGAGAAGCGGGTAGTCGCGGGTGGGTCGGGAATAAGCAACGAGGCGATGGTCTGGAGGAGCTCGTTGGGGAGGTCTTGCAGGCTCGACGGGGCCCTGGCCGGGCCGGGGTCGGCTGTCGGGGAGGTCATGGGTGTCGGGGATTGGGGATTGGGGATTGGGGGTCAGTCACTGATTCAGCCTGGCTCTGGATCCTTGGATCCGGGTTATGAGGGGTAATGACGGCGGCACCGAGTCTGAAGCTGGCGGCGTGATGGAAGGCGGGCAAGTAGCCATGGAGACTGAGGTTGATGGGGGTTTTGATCGCTGCCGCGCCGGGAGTACGGGAGGATCTGAGCAAGGAAGACTGCTGCCAAGGAGCTTGCTTGTTTCCTTAGATCCTCATCTGTTCGCATAGTCTGGCTTCGAGTCTTTTTTTGGGCCTTGAAATGTGACTCGAAGCGGGGGAAAATGTACCCAGTATAGTTGCGGTCCAATCAGGGGCCTGTGCTCTGAGCTGACATGCTCTGATGGTGGAGATCCGACCTCGGCCGGAATAAAGTTGGCTAGAATATTACCTACCTGCGGCAACGGGATTAGCTTCGCAGCAGGCGTGCAGCTGAATTTAGAGGTCCTGCTAGTACATCTGCTTTCAAATACTCTACAATAATTGGCTGGCTTTGCGATGACGAAGGGCGTGAGAAGATTTGATGTGATGCCGGAAATTGCACTGCATTTCTGGATTGAGCATTGCAGCGTGAGTCATCTACGGAAGGGAATGTGCCTGCAACCGAAATCACTGCGCGTCAGATGGGATGCACCCCGGCGCATCGTCGCATCGTCGCATCGATTAAGCCTCAACCGCGCATCGGCTCGCGTTGACCATGACTTGCATGAGTAGTAGGTCCGTGGGCCGTGCTCGACGAACCCGGCCCCGTACTGCAGTGCTTGTACAGGGAGCTGGGGAGGTAGGCGTCCGCCGCCCAGTTGCAGATGAAGCTGGCCCAGCTGTTCGGGGTTTCGTCCTCCAGGAGCAGGTGGGACACGTCTCAGGTTGAGTATACCAACGGGTAGACGGCTAGACCCAAGGATATACCATGGAGCCTTTTTTTGTTGCCGATACAACCCCGAAGCGAGCGATGGGGCTTCGCTTCGGGTGGTATTGGGAACCCCCCCGGGATATTGCCCACGTTTGTAATGATCTCCCGCCCGAGGGATCACCCGAGGGGTCTTCCGTGGGGGTGCCTGTGCCGTCATCGGACCGGAGCTCGATTCCCAATTCCTGTTGTTCGATCCAACCGGCCGGGTCAAGGGCGACACTGAAACAGGGAAGATGCCGGTGTCAGCGGGTCGCCCCGGTTGTTCGTCGTCACCCCTGTGCGTTGATGAGGCCTGGTGGCAAGTATGGATGGAATCGAAGCTGTTCGGTTAGGTGGATGCACACGCGGCGGCGTCGTCGACATGGAAGGGCACGTCAGCGGGCACTCTGGCTGGGCCGAATGCGACTCAGATCCTTGTCCGATGACCTGATAACCCGAGCCTCTGCGTGTAGTCCGTACTCTCCCTCTTCGTCTCCCCTCTCTTTCCCGTACACCTTTTAGCTCCGGCTCCTTCAGCGGCGAGGCGTGCATGCTGCTCGATATCGGCGTCGACCTCAACTGCCCGACAGACTAGCCAATATCTGACCCGTAACCCTCGTCGTATTCGGGCCCGTCATCGCCGTCGTTGTGTAGAGCGGTATCGGCTTCGGTCGTTGCTACTGCGTGCGTCTTTGTGCCCTGCCTGACGCGTGTCGTTGTTGTCCAGGTAGACTGCCGATGGCGGATAGATCGGAGCGCCTTGCCAAGGCTTTGGGGCTCAATTGGTCCGCTATTGGTAGTGCTTACTTACCCTCTTTTCGCTCAAGTTGAGGAAATGAATACCCGACTGGGGCTAGCATATTTTGGACGGAATACTAGGGAGTGGACAGGCCACCGAGGTCGCAATGACAGTTCATCAAGCTTCATGGAAACGCACTATTGCCCTCTATCCCAATTTGGCCAGCACAGCAGCTTTGAAGATGTCGGTAGATACCTACCTAGGCAAGTGCCAACCAGGTACAGAGAAATCCCGCTTTACAACCATGCATGTACGCCGTGATTGCGCTCACCAATAGCACACACACCTCACTTCCCCTTCCGCTCCGCCCACTCCGACCTAAGGAACTCGGCGCACCGCTCCGCGACCATCATGGTCGGCGCCATGGTGTGCGCGCTGGGGATCTTGGGGAAGACGCTCGCGTCGGCGATGCGCAGGCCCCGCAACCCGTGGACCCTCAGCCGCTGGTCGACGACGCCGTCCCGCGGGCCCAGCGACATGCCGCACGTGCCGCTGGGGTGCAGGCTCGTCACGCACACGCGCCGCGCGTACGCGTCGATGTCGCCGTCCGTCGCCGCCCGCCAGTTCAGCTCTGGCAGCTCGCCCTGCCGCTTGCGCACCTGGTCCCCAACGCCCTTCGGCCCGGGCGCGCCGCCCAGCCCGGGCACACCGTCCCTGTCGCCCGCATCTCGGGTGTCGTTCTCGTACAGCGCCTCCAGGTAGGCCAGGTCCATGCCGGGCCCGAACGTCAGCGGCGCGCGGTGCGGGTATCCCGAGGCGGCGAACCGCTCGGCGAGGTGCATGGCGAAGCGGGTGGCGCGGCGCAGGGCCACGGCGTCGCGCTCGTCGGCGAGCATCGGGTAGACAATGCGCGGGTGGGACTCGGCGTCGGTGGACGCCAGCTCGACGCGGCCGCGGGAGAAGGGCTGCGTCAGCGTGGCGTACAGCGTGCTGAGTGAGATGCCCGGCACCACCACGCCGAGGCAGTTGATGGGCATCACCATGATCTCGGCGTCGGGGATGTTGCGCGGGTCTCGGGCGTCCATGGTGCTGGCGCCTGAGCTGTCAGCTGCGCGCACTGTCATGGTCTCGTCGTCGAGCGCTGTGGTCCGGATGAAGGCCGTCGTCGTGGTTGATGACGTGGCGAGGAGGCCGGTGCCGAACAGGAGGTACAGAAGCATCTGCCACAGGATCCCCAGGAGAGACTCGATTTGATGAAGGGTGTCCTTGACGGGAACCTCCATCATGACGGGAACCGAGCAATGGTCGGCCAGGTTCCTCCCTACCGCGGGCAACTCGTGGACCAGCGGTATTCCGTTGCCTTCTATTTGGTCCCTTGGGCCGATGCCACTTCTGCAGTGTCAGTGGGGTGTGGCGATGACGGGTAAAGAGAACGGGGGGAAGAAGGGCTTCGTACCTGAGCATTAAGAGTTGCGGGCTGCAGAGACTCCCGCTGCAGATGATCACCTCCCTCCGTGCCTTGACAAAGAAGTCCTTCTTGTCGCGGCCCGGCCCGGCATGCCGGATGTAGACCCCGGTGACCTGTTTCCCCTTCTCGTCCACCTCGAGCTTGGACGCCACGACGCCCGTGCAAACGGTGAGGTGCTCCCGCCGCTCGTTGGCGATCCTGCGGTTGAGCCACGCGCGGTATGCGGACACCCTGTTCCCCCGCCCGTCAATGGCCATGTCGAGGTAGAAATAGCCTTGGGCCGGAGCAGCCGGGTCGTTCAAGTCCCTGTGGACGGGCAGCCCGACCGCCTCGGCCATCTTCTCGTAGTACGGATAGACGGCCAACTCGGGCGGCGGCTGGCAGTTTTCGACCGGCCCGCCGTGCCCGCGATGCTCGGCATCCGGGTGACCGACCGCGTTCTCGCTCTTCCGGAAGAACGGCTCGACCTTCTCCCAGCTCCAGTCGGCCAGCCCGAAGCGCTCGGCCCACTCGTTGAAGCCGGCCGGCACGCCGCGGGTGAGCAGCATGGCGTTGACCCGCGTGGCACCCCCGACGGCCTCGGCCGTCCAAATGCGGGCCCTGCGGCCGCCGACCTCGCGGATCGGCTCCGTCACACGGGCCACAGCCCCCAGATTGGGGAATCGGTAGTTCTGAGACAGCAGTGGGATCCGGCTGAGGAAGTTGTCGTTGACGCGACCCTTCTCCAGCACCAGGACTGACATGTCCGGGTCCTCGCTCAGGCGCGACGCCACCACGCATCCCGCGCAGCCGCCTGTGATTTGGAACTACGTCTTAGAGCCCGACACTGGATTTGACGGGAAGGGGGGGATGGTTGCAGGTCAAGAACTTGCCTCCCACGACGATGTAGTCAAAGGTCTTGCCATCAACCTCTTCTGCCCGGCGCTCCGGGTACGCTGAGGTGAAAGGCCACATTGCGGCTTACTTGGAGATGCGAGAATTAAGGTTGTGGAATGAGGTTGGAAGATGACAGACCCGGGGGAAGTCCGGTCAGCCTGAGATCCTTCGTCGCGTGAAGGTCTTACTAATCGTCGTAACCTCAACCCCAATAACAATAAAGAACAGGGGTTTGGTGTTTAGCGCTGAGTGGCTTACCAGCCCTGTCACCAAACACGGAAGCGCCCCCCCTGCTGATCATTTCCTGGGGTTCTTCGCCGCCGTGCTGTTCTCAGTATGGGCCAGTGCATGCCAGGTGCCAAAGAAATTTAGAGGTGGAGTTACGGTCTGCCAAGTCCAGAAACTCCAAACCATCGCCTTTGCCGTCGCCAGCGGCATTGATATTGCGAATAATGGCAGATAATTGCAGAATATGAGTAGAGTTGTTGTATCATTGATATTTCTGTCTTTTCTGCCATCGCTAAGACTAGTAACCATCGTCATCGCTGGTTAGGCCTAGGGGTACAAGACAACTGCCCACACGTTCAGAGAAACCCCCCGTCCTCCCCTCCTTTTCTTTTTTTAACAAGTATTTTTGATCAAATCCTCTATTATTATTTTTTGGACCTTTTCTTTCTTCAAATAATGCATGGTATCTGGAATTAGATCAAACCATGCTTCTGTGAGATCCAGTAATTTCAATCCTCTTCAATCCCAAGGGAGATAATGGTCAAACCTTGAATACATCTACGTAATTCGACTGCTTAGTGCTTATCATCACCACTTGTGCCTGATTACTTGCTCCTCCGTGGCATCTAGGTAAAGACTCGCAGGGTAGATTCCATGTGTGCACCTTTTACCCTTGAGTATAAAGGCAAGGGAATTAGTTGCCATGCTGTTTCTAACTAGATCAAGCATAAGACCATCGTCGTGGCTTTGAAGTGTTTGTTCACAGTGTTTTATGAATACAAGGCTGTTCAAGTAAAGGGTGCCTTGAATGCCACAGGCCTTTGTTCGACAGAGAAGAATCTTATCGAATCCCTCTTGTCAGAACAAGCTTATTGTTTGGCAGTGAATACGGCAGGATATAGATATTGTAAAGTGGGCATTGGGAACAGGGCTGGCAGCAAAGCAAGCCCTCAGTCTGGTATTACTATTCACTTTTCCTGGGATAAGGCGCAACAGGACTTCACCACAAAGATGGGATATTTTCATATAAAACATGACAGCCCGCAGCCGGAGATGCCTTCCCCAACTCTCCAGGCTCAGACATCTGATCGGCAGCAAAGACTTGAGTGCAACAGCAACACTCAACAGTATCAATCCCAACAGCTGATCGACAGTACTACCCTAGTCGAAGCCCTTCAGAGAAACACCCCCAACCAGACACCTCGCACCGGATACGAACAATGTCCGGTCACAACCCATTCCGACCATCACGGCCATACCCGGCGGCCCGCGAGCGGGAAGAAGACCTAGAGCGGCTCCGAAGGCTTACCAACTTCGAGAGCACCGAGGAACTCGAGGCCTGGCTCGAATCGGACGGCGTGGACCCGTTCTTCCGCGAGTTCAGGGCGGACTACCTGTCCGACTACACCTACGCGCCGGAAGCCGACTTCAACGAAGCCATGGGGGCCTTCAGCGCGAACGAGGGGAACCGATACGCCGAGGCCGATCCGGACAAGCGGGACTGGACACCGGTGGACCACTACGCCCGGTTCATGGTGCAGGTGGTGTGGTACGCCCTCTCGAACCCGTCTCCGTGGGACGGCGCCGGTGAGCCCGAGCTCGCCATGGTCGGGAACGTGCTGTATGAGGTGCTCAAGTATCTCACCAAGGTGTGGTGGGACGCCAACAGGAGTCCTCACGGCTACGACTCGGAGTAGGGCTCGCGCGCTTCCCGTAGTCGGCTTCCTCGTCTGATTCGAGTCACCTCCGCCAACACGCCGGGCTAGCGTCGACTGCCTCCGTTCCTCTCAACCCCGAAAGGAGAGAAGCGACGAAACAGGTAAGAATATCCCCACGATGAAAGTTGTTGTGTAACATAGGGACTAAGATCTTTGAAACCAGGTATATTTAGGGCTGGATAGAATGGTAAAGCTCGTTGGATAGAACGCTAGGCCAGAATTGGATAGAAGGGCAGAGCCAGGTTGGATAGAGTGGTAGAGCCAAGATTGGATAGAATGGCAAAATTGATGTGGTGTCACCAAAAGACAAGACGTTCTCATCCAAGTTGCGAATGGGAAACTAGAATCGCGTGGAGCGTAGGGACCTGAATCTCGCAAATAGAGCGATATATTCTGGCCATGTGGAAATGAAATGACAGGCAGGAATATCGTACAACTTGCCAGTACCTCCACCATCCAGCCAAGCGAGCTCCGAGCTTCTCGATCAGATAATTGTGGAACAACAGTTGTCGAAGAGTGATCTTGTGTAAATACATATATAAAGGTAAGAGAGTCGGCATGGCTTCTCTCCTAGTATGCCGATTGGTGACTTGTTGTGATTTGATTCCGTCACCGCTCTACTGCCTTCAAGTCAGAGAACCAACACATGTCGGATCGCCAGCTGCGATTATGGGAGGGTCGAGCCCTGAAACTGCCACATGATGACGAGTGCCTAGTTTGGCGACCACTGCCGCTGCCGTTGCCGCTGCCGGAGGACGTAGGGTTGGTCGGAGAGAAGGAGAACGGTGGATATCGGCTCACCGAGACGGACAACGACACCAAGATTGGCTTCGCTGCTGTTTGCTTTGCTTTCGGTGACGGTGCTGTTGAGCGGCCTCCCATGTGACACACAATGATGAAAGCCGATCCTGGCATTTTCCCCAATCTCAAGATTGTGTGGGAATTAGCTTGAACACACACACGACACACAACATAATTAGACTGTAGATTCCCCCGCCACCCCTGGCGTCCTTATAAGTCAGAGAACAGCCGCTCCTGTTCGGCACCCAGGTGTTCGGAGTGAGCTGCTATGTCCTTGGCTGTCCACTGTCCAAACTCGGTCATGTAGATATCAATAAGTTCGCCCGGGCACCACTCAAAAAAGATATTGCGGACAGCCACCTCAACCCCATCGGAGCTGTCGGGGCCACCCTCTTCGGGGTTCTCCGTCTCCGTCTCCGTGCGGGTTTCCCGTTCCTTGAGTAATTTGGCGATCACCTGCGCCCCCTTTCTCACCCGCGAGCTATTGTAGTCGGCATTCCAAGCCCGCACGAGCTGGGCCGGATCGTTCTCCTCAACGACATGTTCCTCGGGACTTCCCGGTGGCGCAACCTTATCCGACTCCCCGAGCACGATGACCTTGGCGGGAGCACCCCTCCCGCCCGTTACGTGTCTCGCGCTGAGTATAGCAGGCAGCGAGCCCGTCTTGTTGCTGACCGCCCCCGTCGATGCGATCCGGTCGGCCCCGATCAGCACGACGTCCACCCCCCGAGACGCCAGGACGGCCGCGGCATCTGAATATAGGGTGATGCTGACTTTGCGGGTTCGCTCGGCCCCGCCCTGCCCCTGGAGAGACGCGCGAGCGGAGACGAGGTCGTCGGCGAAGGATCCGGCCAGCGAGACGCCTTCGAAGAGCGGTCGGGATTCCAGGACTCGCAGGTCCAGGGAGAAGCCGGATTCCACCACCAGGTGCCGGAGGCTGTGTGAGATGGTGGAGCTCTCCGACAGCGTGAGTATGGATATCGGCTCCTGCGATGCCAACCTCGACGAGAAGTTAGCTTCTAGGTATGCAGCCAGCGCTTGCGATACCAGCCTCGACGAAGCCTTCTCTCGCGCCGCGATCTGACGCCCGAGGGCTTCTAGAACGGTGTCCTTGCACGCCGTCGACACCTCCGAATCAGGTCGTATCCCGTGCTCTTTCAGGGTGTCCTCGATGCTGCGCAGAGCTGAGAGCAGGACGCTCATAATTGCAGCTCCCATGCTCTCTCTCCCGTTCTTCCAGACGTGCCACGCCGCAAACCTGACCCTCGCCCACCAGGCCTCCGACGTCCCACGCGTATCCAACTTGGCAATAACATCGCGAAGGATCCGCAGCGCATCACCAGCAAGCTCCCTCGCACCACTCTGATAATCGCCCCTCAACCTCTCCAACCCAGCCGCAAGCACCCCGCCCGCATCCCCACCGAGGTCCCTCTCAACCCACACCCGCCGCAGACTCTCCGCCAGCCTCGGCACGCCCCCAAACTGGTCCGAGTCCTCGACCTCGAGCGGGTCGTGCCACCCCCACCCCTCGTGCTCCCAGTCGGTGTGGATCGCGTCCTCGCCGGCCAGGAGCAGGAACGCGAATGGGTGCACGGTCCACTCCCGGCCGGCGGACAAGTCGGCGAAGAAGAAGGGCTTGCCCTGCCGCAGCAGGGCTAGGGATGAGGGGGTCAGGGTTGTCTCCTCGTGGAGCTCGCGCCAGGCTGCTGCGAGGGGGGTGGCGTCTTCTTTGTCGATGCTGCCTGAGATGGGGGCTAGGTGGTGTCTTGGGGAGGGCGTTAATTTGGGTGAAAAGAGTCTGGGGATGAGGGTTGGGAAACGCCTTACTGGTATGTGTTGACCTTGTCGCTTCGGCGGAAGAGGGCGACGAGTGGTTTCCCGTTGTCGTACTTGAAGATGAAGGAGGAGACTACGGACCGTTTGGTGAGGGGCTTGTTGTCAGTGGCCATGGTGATGAAGCTGGAAACAGAGAGTGGAAATTACAGAAGGCGAGGTGGGAGGTTTCACAGAGCGATGAAGCGGGAGAACAGTTGGTGGCTTATCATAGGTTGTCTGAAGAGAAAGCAGCTTATCGAGTGTAAGTTGCTGGACTTGAATCACGAAATGGGAAAAAGCTGCTGACAATGAAATGACGTTATGTTCATGAGTTGAGGTATTGAGGTCAAAGGATCAGCTGGCAACAGCTGGCCGGGAGACGGGAGACGGGAGACGGGAGACGGGAACTGGTCGGATTTGCGACTGTGTGAAATATGCATATTTCAGAAAAGAATGGATGGACCGAGTTGGGCAACCAATCTGTCAGGGGAAGGAATGTCATCAAGATACCGTGGAGGCACAATGCAACGGAGGTTTCTTGAGACGACAATAGAGAGCTAATTAGAAGATAGAGGATGCCTGTCTGATAAGCCTGGCATACCTGCCTCTCGAGACAGGCAGCAGATAATTATAAGCTGGTCAAAGAGGGTTTGGGATTGTATTATCTCCCAAGGGGGGGGCGCTGTTGAAGCCAATTATTCAACCACACATCGAAGACCTCAAAAACACGATATTTTAGTGCGCAGGGTCCCTTTTCGTGACCTTGGAGTACGCGCCAACGAGGTCCATATTATGGGTGAGAGGTCTCAGTAAGTATCCTTGAACCCGCCGGAGAATGTACGGTCTTTGCCTTGGAAGAACCATGGCCCAGTATGCTGCCAAAGTTCAGGTCGGTCTGCGCGAGTCTTTTCTGGCTGCTGGGAAGTCATCTCGGTCGTCTGGGTCGGACAATGGGTCTGATTCGTTGATTGAATACGTTAGCCACTGAACAAATTTTCAAGGGGCCAGTGGGATCAAGTCACCTGTGTAGTAGGTGGCAGCGCCCGAGGTCTCATGGGAACTTGTTAGGCATCATCGAGCGAAGCCAACTGTGTTGGGTCTCCTGCTGTAAAACTGCGATCGTGCAAGTCAACGTCAAGGATTCGGCCAGCATCACGGATTCAGTCGTTCCTCGCGCCTCGAGGGCAGGTACTAGCTAACGGCCAAAGTCCGGACGTCGTTGGTTTGTCCTTTGCCAGGCAGGATGGTCCATGAGCCATTGACATTGTGGTAGACGAGAAAAGGGGTATGTTGGTACTTGGCAAGCGTCCTCCAGGGGTTCGAGATGCCAGCGAAAAACCTGACAGTAACACTGTTGGTAGCAATGCAGCATTCCTGCAGCTGTGGCCTAGAGTATCAAGGGGTCATGCACTTTAGATTGGGGTAACCCACCAACAGAGAGCCGCGGTATCGCCACTTCTCCTGGCCAGAACCCCCCGGGCCATCCCGCGCAATTTGCGAAGCTCAGGCAGAATTGCTCGAAGCCCCAACTGAACTGTGGAGAGAGAGATGAAGCAGCCAACACAACCAACAAGCTCTGCCCGCGCTTGGGGAGTCTAAGGGTCTGGCCTGTTAGATATTGTTCCATTTATATGGAGGGTTGTTTCGCCATTTGGCAAGGAGCGGCTGCTGATGCTTGCTTTCCCGGGCTTGAGGGAAGCTTGTGTTTTCGTGTTTGTGCTTGCACCACGCGCGCATGCATGTGCGCGTGCGTGCGTCTAAGAGTGTGTGTGTGTGTGTGTGTGTGTGTGTTGTGTGTGTCGTGTGTGTCTGTGAGTGTGCGGTGAGTGTGTTCATGTTAGTTCGCCTCTGCGTGTTTTGCCACATATTGGAAGGATTATACGGATCATGTTACAGGCTGCGGAGGTGCTTGGCAGGCCCAACTTGTGTGACTGGTGTATGCATTTGAGTGCTCTCTCGACTTGACCCGGACAAAGTGGGCTCACCAAGCATTCCGGACCACAGCGCGTGGGCCCGGTTCGCCGCCAACAGTGCAGAGCAGTCTTGCTCATACTCATTCTCGCTCGTGAGCACGAGCAAGCTGAGGAGCAAATACGGATAAGGTTACGCTAAAGGATCCACGGCCGTGTTACACCTACTTCCTATGCAGTAAACCTCGAAGTATTTCATCTTTTGCCCACATCCGTGGGCCGGGTTGGGTGGCATTCTGGTCAGACTTCCTGTCCCCCCGCAGACGCAGTCCCCGCAGACAATAAGATTCATTCCTACTCTATGTAGTACGGATACAGTGCTAATAGATAGAACCGGGCTCGACCACCCCTTTGGGTCAACATTATTATCCAGCGAATGACGCGAGACCAACAGCTGTTCCATTACCCCGGGTCTAACTCTCGCTAGCAGACGACTGGGGTTGGGTCTGGAGATGCCGGATTCCTGGCTTCATGTGGGATGAAGGATTTTGGCACAGACCCGAACGACTACTGAGGTTCGATGAACGCCTTCCAACGTTTTCATCTGATTGTTCGTTTCGCAGGATGGACACTACTGTGATTAGTTTTGCTAAAGCAGCCATGCCACGCGACGGTTAAGAGGCGGCTTTGCAATTTAGCCTGAACCCAACCCCTGTATCCCAGGCACCCCCCACTGGGTCCATCCCATTCCCGCTAGTCATATTTTCTGATTTATTTTGTATTTTATTTATTTAGTGTAGGTAATTATTACTTTCCCGCCCGCTGAAGCTATCTCGACGAGCAGCCGCCAAAAGCCGATCAACTCCCAGAATCAACCACCCAGAATTTTCGCGGACCATTTTTAGAAGAAAAAAAATGTTTTCACATGGTAGTCAGATTGTCGGCGCTGCGACTGACTGGCGGACGTTGTAATTGGTTCTCAGGTCCTGCTCCAGACTAGGGTGCTCGTCGGAATAGCTTCCCTACACTCCGGGCTGGTGGTGTTTGGTGTTAGGAAGCTGTTGCGACTCGTCAGGTGAAGAATAAATCCCAATCCACCTAATGTGGGAGTATGTCTCGAAGGATTTTGGGGGAAGGTCCAGCGGCCTGGCCCGCTTCTGCTTGCCCCGCACGTGCGTCGTTGTATGTAGGTACTGCGGTACTGCTCCAGTGTGCCTAATGTGTGGGCGTTTCCCACGGAGTTGATTTCTGCATGCCACATGCATGGCTGAAGCAATTGACTACTGATTAACTGCGATATTGCGGCCAGACCAACGGCCGGCGGAGAGACCCCGGATTGGTCCCTCTGCGGACTCGAAGGCCGTGCCGTTTGTTGCTGGAAATTAACCCTTTTGATGACTTCCTCCCAGGTGAACCAAGTTCAATGGCCCGAGTCTGATTGAGGCACTCACTCTCTGGCCCCTTCGCTTCCTCCTCCACACTTATCCCCCTTCCCCCTTCTTCCTTCCCCATTTCCCCTTCCTTCCTGTTCCCCCTTCCCCCAGATTGCTCTAGTGTACCGATGTAGGTATTGCATCGCACGGAGACCCCGCCAGCTGGTGTGAAAATCTGAGACGATGGAGATTGGGGCCCCATGGTCGGTCCCCAGGTTCTGGTTGAGCCCGTTGATTTAACCGGCCAGGGGGTTAGTGACCACTAACCACCCCTCTAAACTGAGCCAAACACTGACCTTGGCTGGGTACTTGGGTACAGCACCTCGTCCTCTGCATCTCGTAGGGCCGGTACATTGCAGTGAGTACCCCACCTCTAAAATAGGTAGGCCCCTGGTGACGCCTGCTCCTTCCTATTGGCCGGTTCCCCAGACAGGTGCCTTTTAACCGGCCTGCCCATCCGGCCCTATTCCAGCACGTCAAGACTTGTGACTGGTCAGTTCGGATCCTCCCAATTCCTTCACGATTGCCCGCCAGCTGGATTGGATCTGTCTTGCTCACTGGCAATGAGCCACTGAGCCGCCCACCCGCCAGGCTGCAGACGACTGCCCCCTGCCCCCGGTGTGTCGGCGGCCATCTAGTTATTGGCGGATCGGCTCCATCTCGCTCGTTTTCCGCATCGATGACAGATACCGTACATAGAGTACGATATCTAGCCCCTGTATTTTTCGCCACGTCCCCGCAAGTCTATTCCAAAGGATTGATCAGGAGTAGCCAACAGCCATAGCGCCCGCGACCCACCGGAGCCTGTTCCCGCTTGCTCCATGCGGCGCACCGAGGATCAGATGCTCCACGGCACCGTGGCTCCATCGGCCAGGAGCCAGATGGGCGGAGGTGAAATCCCAAAGCCTGCGCGAACCACCTCGCTTACAGGGGCACGTCCGTCAGCATTGTTCCTGCTTTTCGCCACGTCGGCCGCGGGAGACTGGACATGTGCCTCGACGGCCCTATCCAGGCCGTGGGCACCTGGGGACTCCGGAACTGGTGCCGTTGTATGAATCAAACCCCTCTAGATGATGGTGTCCAGGTATTCTATTTGGAGATAGCCCAGCCTGCCTGCGTATAGTAGTCTGGATCCACCACGGCTGCTCGTCTCACGCATGCGGCCCTAGCGAGTAGCGAGATCTGCTAATATTTTGGAGTTTTTTTCTCCTTCTCCTGCTTCTTTATTATCCGCAAACCCGGCTGATGCGACCCTGCTCGAACAAGGCCCCCCCCTGGTCCAACGGCCCCCGCTTTGACTGGGGTCCGGAATGGGGCAGCTCTCCTGGAGCTTCCTGGGTTCGACGCCGAACCCCAGCATCTCCAGACTCCACCATGGATGGCCCATTGGGTCCCAGGTAATAACGTCTCCTTCAAGCACGGAGAAGTGGAGTTGTCTCCTACCATCCCGCGTTCTTGATATATATATATCAAGAGACCCGTTCCACATCGCTTCCTCTCTCTTATTCCTCTTCCTTGTCCGACCGCCCCTCACCAAGCTTCCTTCCCCCTCCAACCACACAAGGCAAGAGAGGCCCGATCGCAACAAAGTGTCCTTGAGAGAGGAATAGCGGAAACAGTGAAACATCATCTACGATGGCGCCCAACATTGGCATCTCGAGCGCCCAGGCGGACGTCGATGTCGCCCAGGCTGAGGCCCCGCGCTTCGAGAAGGTTAGCTGGACCAAGGAGCCCCATCTGCGGAAGCTCTACATGTATGCCCTCGTCTTGATGGTCGCCTCGGCCACCACCGGTTACGATGGTATGCTCGTCAACGTCTCCCAGCAGATCACGAAATGGGGGCTGTACTTCGGCGACGATGTCAAGGACCCCAACAAGCTCGGCATCTTGGTCAACATGTTCAACATCGGTTCCATTATCTCCTTCTTCATCACCCCCTACATTGCCGATAACTTCGGCCGGAGAATTGCCATCATGATCGGCTGCTCCTTCATGATCGTCGGCGGCTGCTTGACTGCTTTCTGCAACGGTTACGGAAGTAAGTTCTCCGTCTTCCCCCCCCCGCTGATCGGCGGGCGGGGTTGATCTCACCCCGGGCCAAGTGTGCCGTTTGCTGACCTTCCGGCAGTGTACTTGGGTGGTCGTTTCGTCCTGGGTTTCGGCAACTCTCTCGCCCAAATGGCGTCTCCCCTTCTCCTCACTGAGATCTGCCACCCTCAGCACCGTGGTCCCGTCACGGCCATCTACAACTGCCTGTGGAACCTGGGTGCCCTGCTCGTGTCCTGCATCGGATGGGGAACTGCCAACATCAAGAGCGACTGGTCGTGGCGTTCCATCACCTTCATCCAGATCGTCCCCTCCCTCATCCAGCTCACCTTCATCTGGTTCATCCCCGAGTCCCCCCGTTTCCTCGTCAACAAGGACAGGCACGAGGAGGCCCTCAACGTGCTTGCCACCTGGCACGCTGGTGGCGACGCCAACAATGCTACCGTCCAGTTCGAGTTCCAGGAGATCAAGGAGACCATCCGCATCGAGAAGGAGTCCGACAGGGCCACCACCTACATGGACTTCTTCCGCACCAAGGGTAACCGCTGGAGGTTGGCCATCATCATCTCCCTCGGTGTCATCTCCCAGTACTCTGGTAACGCTCTGTTCTCCAACTACATGAACTCCATCTACGAGGGCGCCGGTATCACAGAGGAGAACCAGAAGCTCGGCATCTCCACTGGCAAGACCATCCTCGATCTGACTGTCACCATCATTGCCGCCATGCAGGTCGACAAGTTCGGCCGTCGTCCCCTCTTCCTGATCTCCGTCTTCGGCATGGTTGGCTCTTTCGTCTGCTGGACCATCACCGGTGCCGTCTATGACAACTCGCACCAGACCGACGCCGGCGCCGGCTACGCGCAGCTCGTCTTCATCTGGATCTTCGGTATCTTCTACGACATTGGCTTCTCCGGCCTGCTCGTTGCCTACGCTCTCGAGGTCTTGCCCTTCCACCTCCGCGCCAAGGGCATGATGATCATGAACATCACCGTCCAGGCCATCCTGGCCCTCGGCAAGTATGTTGCACTCGTCGCCCCAAGATCCCATCAACCCTTGCTAACCTTTGATGCAGCCAAACCAACAAGCTTGCGTGGGACACCCTTCCCCAGCACTGGAACTTCATGTTGTTCTACACCCTGTGGGACACGGTCGAGCTCGTCTTCGTCTGGTTCTTCTACGTCGAGACCAAGGGCCCCACCCTCGAGGAGATCTCGCGCATCTTCGACGGCGACGATGCCATCGCCCACATCGACATGCACCAGGTCGAGAAGGACATCCACGCCGCCGAGCACGACGAGGACATCACGGCCGCCCACATGGCCAGCGAGAAGAACGGTGTTTAAACACCTCGACTCGCGGCTGTTTTGCGTTGCATCCCGGGCGTGTTTTGGCGTGTCTTGTTGAAATTGTACGTACGGATAGGGGGACAACCAGCTCCTGGTGCGCATGCAATCAAGCTTCGAGTCTGGTAGATGGCGGTTGGAGACTAATAATACGGGCTGGCATTGAGGCTTCCTGTTGTGTCCTCTCCTTTGCTTCTGCTCCTTTTTTATTATTATTTAAACATAACCCTATATTATATGATACCATTGTTGCGTCTTGGTCAGTTGCCCTGTTGGCGATCTGTCTGGTCCAGCTCTAAAATATCCTTTCATCCATTTTGTCCATTACCTTGTCCCAACTCATGATATCTTATCTTGGCCACTGGTCCGTTGTTGGCACACCCTAATCGCTACACTAACCACCAGACTCAGAGTGTCCACTTAACGGTGGCCGGCAGTACCCGAACTTCCATGTGTCTGCCGACCGGCAGTTTACCTGGCGCGAAAAAAAACCGACAAGCAAAAAAAGGGGAGGGTGACGGAAAAAAATCTCGTGGGGCATCTTGGCGCCCACTCAGGGTGCCGGCGCCCAGCCCGCTAGCGGAAATTCGTGCCTGCGATTCGGCGATGTGGCGTTGCTTCTTTTCCACGCGGTGCTGCCGTTTTGGGGCACGCGCATCCTCCGTAACAGGCGATGCATGCACGCCATCAGATCTGGTTGCGCTAACGCGGCGTAGCCCGGAGTTGAGAAGCCTCGGTTCCGCCGCCTGTTGTCAATTTCTATCACGCTCCGTCTTTTCCCCACTCTTCCTCACTGGTGCAGAACCGAGGGGGGGGAAGGGGAAAGGAGGGTCACCACTGATTCAGCAAATTCAATTCAAACGCGGCTAGTTGCGGGTTTCGCGTGGAATCTCGGGTACAGTATTCGAAATCTGTGCTGTCAATCTTATCACACAGTATATCGCATTACCTTCGTGGCTGCTTTGGCCTCTTGCCCCTGAATACGCCCTTTCTCCCTTGCTCTGTCTGTCCCTTGCGAAACCCAACACCAAGAAAAAAAAGCAGGCCGAGTGAAGGAATACTACCCATTACAACAAAATAATCCAGTCCCAAAACCCCCTTGCTCCTCCCTTGTCTTCTCCTCTGTTTGTCTCTTATATTTCCAGTCTTGTGTTATCCACATTTTAAACAGAACTGATCCTAGCCGATATTGTACCATCAGTATGATGCTGCTGTTAGGCCTCTCTTTCATTGTCCCCGAAGGCAAGGCCAACAAGTGTTTTGGTCCTGGGTAGCAGTAGGGGGCGGCCTCATTTCGATCCTTCCTCTTCCCTGCCTCGCCCAACTTCCTCAACCGCCGGCGGGGGATCGTAGACCACCACCCACCACCCTGACATGTCGTATCTGTGAATCCCACTCCTGAACACACCCCCCCCCCCCCCACCCGTCCGCCCCTAGAAGCTGAACAAGGAATTGCTCCTCTTCCCAAGCGGGTACACAATCAGCGCACTGAGGAACAGCCCGACCGACAGGCCGATGGCGACCTGGATGACGCTGAACAGGACGTTGAAGGTGGTCCCGTCGAGCACGCCGACGACCTGGCTGCCGGCAAACGCCGACGCCGTCGCCTTGACCGTCGCGTTGCCCGTGATCACGTTCGCCGCCTTGATCCCCGCCAGCAGCGACCCGCCCGCCGCGATCCCCGAGGGGACCTGCACCCAGATCGCCGGCAGCATCGCCGCAGCCGCGAGGCTGTAGCCCACGTTGCGCGCCCGCTTTTTGGGCGGCTCGGGCGGCGACGACGACGACGACGACGACGACGACGACTCCGAGTCGGAGCTCTGCCCTGCCGTGGCCTCGGGGTCCGAGGACTTGGTACTCGTCGTCGTCGCGCGGCCGCGGCGCAGGAAGATGGCCGCGAGGCGCGGGCGGGCGCGCAGGGCCCACCAGTCCAGGACGTCGAGCCAGGCGTGCTGGCAGGTGTGGCCGGTGCGGGAGTAGAGGTTGGCGAGGATGCCGACGGTGAGGGCGCCGAAGAGGCTGGAGATGATCTGGTTGTTGCCCTCGAGGAAGTTGCTGGTGGAGTTGTTGACGACGTAGCCGGCGACGGCCATGACCACCATGACGGGGGTCTGGGGCCAGCGGGCCTGGTTGATGACGCACAGGCAGACGGCAAAGCCCGAGACGAAGACGGCGGGCCAGGGCCGCGGCAGCGGCTCGTGGCATGTGGTGGCGCTCGTGGCCTCGTGGTCCAGCATGCCGTAGAGGGAGGAGCCGATGGTGATGCCGCAGCCGAGGAAGAGGGTGTAGATGAGGGCGTGGATGATGCGGATGGAGCCGGCGGCGAGGTTCTGCGACTGCAGCTCGAGGCTGCCGCAGAGCACCATGTAGCCCGGCAGGATGAGGGCGATGCTGCTCTGCGACAGGGCGCTGAAGCAGAAGAGCTTGCCGCCGCGGACGGAGCCAAAGGCCCGCGCCAGGAAGGAGGTCACGACGGCGGCGCTGACCTCGAACACGTTGGCGTACAGCTTGTTGCTGGGCGCCACGACGAGCTGCAGCAGGCCCGTGATGCAGCCGAGCACGAAGGCGAGCGGGAGGTCGATGAAGCGGCCCTGGAAGGCGAAGGGGGCCACGCAGGCCGACGCGAGCCCGTAGACGGGCACCCGCATCCACCGGGCGTACATATTGTCGCGCCGCATCACCTCCTCTATCTGGGCGAGGGCCTCGTCGGCGTTGATGACGCAGTGGATGACGCCCTTGTAGATGTTGTACACGTCGCGCAGGCGGCCCAGGTCGATGCCCTCGCGCACGCGGACGAGCTTCACCTCGGCCGTGTGCGTGACGGGGTCGTCAAAGCTGACGATCATGCAGTTGGGCATGTATAGGAACTGGCCGTTGATCTCGAGTACCCGCGACGACGTCGCCATGTACTCCTCCAGCCGGTGCGTGGGGGCGCCGTACATCATCAGAGCCTTGCAGAGCTTGATCAGGTACCGGTGCCGGGTGATGACTCCATTGTGGACGGTGATGCGGAACCACTCCATCGAGTCGAGTCGTTTCTTTGGTCGCTTCATCTTGTTGTTGTTGTTGTCGTTGTTGTTCGGGCTCACGGTGAATTTCCCGTGGTCCCTGTGGTGGCCACAGGTGCCGACGGCTGTGAATATAGGAGGCAGTGCCATCGTGAATCGAGGACCACGAGCCTGGAAAGGTGACGGGGAGGGTGGAATTTAAGGCCATCCATATCTGGGATTCGATCGGCGGTTTTGTGTTTGGAGTTGAATTCCTGGGCGGCTCGTGGCCAGCGTTCCTATGTCATTGGCATGAACATCAACCTGCCCACACCTCCCTCCCTGTGGTACACATCGTCGAGCAAGCATCGTGAGAAACACAATCCTGGCCTCCCCTTCCCCCTCTTTCCCCCCTCGAATCACCCGTTCGCACGCAAATGAGGGGGAGCATTCTGGCAGCCGACCACATCGTGAAGCTGACAAAAAAAAAAGGCCCTTCTCCGTCCCTTGGTGGCTCTGTCCACGAATCTCCCCCCACGAGTCTAGATGCACTTCGACCTGATTCCATCGTGTGATCGTCAACTAATGCCGGGCGGCATGGCGATCGTCATCACGCTCTCCCAATCACTTGGCTCAACTGAAGAAATCATGACCATGACCATGACCATGACCAGCCCACACAAGGTAGGCTAGGTCCCTTTGTAGGGCTGATAGCCAAACGATCTAGCCACGCTCTCTGGGTCTTATCTCTCGATCTCAATTCCTATTACCGGGGCTAGTGGTGCCTCCTAGGGTTGGCAGCTCTTAGCTCTGATAAGGGCTAGGCGGCGATGGGAGGTGCTGCCTGGGATGTGCCATTGATAGTTGCATTCAACTGCCTGCATCTCGGTGGAGTTATCATCTTCCACTATGGCAAATGCTGGCCAGGAGACTGTTGAGCTCGTCAGATGTCTCGGCAAGGGTGGGAGGGGGCTGGTGCCGTGCGAGCAAGGAACAGGGAGACTTGGAGAGGCGAAAGACCAGCCCGGTTTTACGTCATCTCCATCATCTCAAGTTGCCGGCTGTGATGGGAGCCGGGACCTGTTTTCTTCCCTCTCTCCCTGTCCAGAGTCCAGATCCTCTCAGAGAGAGAGAGAGAAGAGCAAAACCCTGTTGTTGGGCGCCATTGCTAGCGTCCAGCCCCCCCAGGCATGTTTCAATGCCGAGAGAGGTCTCGCCGGGCCGTAAGACCCGCTGCTGATGGTGACCCTTTCACCTTGCTAGTGCCTCGAGACCCTGGTCAAGCCAAGAAGCAATCTTGATGGATGGTGCGGAAATGAGACATCTACCAGACGGGACGTTGGTGCTGCCTTCAAGGTGCTGCTATATGGTATATATTCCCACTCAGGACGCAAGTCCAACTGCTTCAATTTATGCCATTTCGAGTTTCTAACATGCACTGCGGTTGCTGGTAACAAAGAACCCAACCAGACCGGCACAAGATCATTCGGCTCCGTCTTGTTGCGACTTCGAAATTCGAAATGGGCGCCGAACAAGAAATGGGCATCCTCGCGTCTCGTTAGTCCCGGAATGTTATGCACGGCCCACTGCATCATTTCAACTCCACTCCAGTCGTCACGATCTTTTTGCTGAGTTGACTGAGTTTCACGATAATTGGAAAATGGGACGACACGATGGCAAAAGGACGGAGAAGACCATACGTGGTCGTGACGCCAAACCAAGCCGCACAGACGAAACCCTACCTAGTCTAGCGGCGGCGAAATGCAAGTAAGATCTAGGCCGAGACATTCCTCATCGCTCGGGGCTAGCCAATGACGAGAGGCTCCTGGGTAACAAGCATATAACGGCAGGTGACACATAGCCCGTTGAGGTCTCATCATATAGAGAGAGGCGGTGCAGGGCAGTGACCTGATGCTATACAATGGTACTGTACATCCTCAAAAGGAGGGTGAAACGTTTTTGGAGAAACCCGACGCTACGATGGTAATCAAACTACGTCTTTGACTACCTACCCTACACTCACGATGGTTCACGATGTGTCAGGTTGGGGCTGGGAATGGGTGAGGAGTTCCAAACTCTGAGGAAAACTAGAGAACGCTCCCGGCAGAGACGTCGACCACATGAACGGCCAGCGGCCCACGATGCAGATCTGCAGTGGGCAAGTGGGTTCGTGGCGTTCTCGCAGGAACGCTTCTCACCGTAGGAGAACCACCGGGTACCCCGGGACTGGACTCGGGGCTATCGTGAACTCCGTGGCGTAGTTGGGCGAGGGAGAATGGGCCGATGGCCTGCTTGGGCTGAGTCGCTTGGGGGGTCTGGCCATCGAATTGAAGATGACCGAGGGAGGACGGGGAGTTGGAGTCGTGGGCTCGTGGGCTCGTGGTCCATGTCGTCTTCCGGTTTGCTCGCTTTTGGGCTCCCGGGTGTCTAACAAGTTTTAGCAGGCAACGTCAGCTTGACCTGGCCATGTTACTGACAGCGTGGGGGGACATAAGAGCCGTCGCCAGGGGGGTACGGCACTTTTTTGCTGGTATGTAATAGCCCTTTGCATCGTGAATCATGCACCGCCATCGAGCAGCACATACTGCGTGCGGACCTTGTCCCAATCAGTTATTTGCAATCATCTATCTGGTCATCGTCTATTGGGTTTTCTCGGCATGGGGCCTTACGTCTGCTCTCCGTAGCATAAGCTGCCAGTTTTTGAAAGGCCGCTTCATCCCCATAGTCCCTAGCCCCGTATCGGACTTGAAATTTTAGATCTGCGGGACGGGATGTTCTCGGCTATAATATATGCCTAAGATGAGCCGTTTGCGAGATCTCTCAACAGCTCTCCCCAAACCTGGTCCACCCCGCGCCGTTAATAGCCGCCAGTTGGCTCATTCGCCAGGTCTATGAGCTAGATGAGCAAGGAAATATCGTATATATTCGCTGCTTGCGTCTCCATGAAAGTCGGCATCAACCCGAGCCGTGCCCGTCGTAGCAAAGGGGGTGCGCCCAATTATCGTGCGTTGCGAGATGGCAGGAACAAACGAGCTACGCGGCACTTGCTGCCCAAACACAGCAGCCGGGTTACCGGCACAGCTAGTATCTAAACCCGATATCAGAAATTTGAACACGGAGGAGGGAGGAGGAGGGGTGGCTGTTTAGAATAGCTGATACGGCTTACTTATAGAGACCGGGATGGGAAACCCGGCTCTTATCATCCACCGCCACCCGAAGACAGATCCAGACACTGGGCACGTTCTTGGCAGCACCGTAGATTGGTTGACGATGCCTTCTCTATTCCTTGGTGGATTTCTCGCCCTCGCCCCCTTGGTTAGCAGCATCAATTTCCCGTTCGAGGCAATCCAGCTCAACGACACGGACATTGGCAACTTCTCCGCCATCTCCTTCGGGGACAAGTCCGCTCTCGGCCCGGAATACAATGGGCCCGACTGCAAAGCCTACCCGGGAGCTGCCGACTGGCCAACGGACCAAGAATGGTCCCGGTTGAACAGTTCGCTCGATGGAGCCCTGTTGAAGCCCCTGCCACCTGCGGTTGTGTGTTACGAGGGCCCGCTGTACGACGAGACCCAGTGTCGGTGGCTCATGTTCAACACGGGGAATTCTCGATACTACATCGACGATCCCCTCACCGTCTTGACTACGTGGCCGGAAGGGAATTCTTGCCCTGCATCTCTCAGGCCTACCGGAAACTGTACTCAGGGCGGATTCCCCGAATATGTTGTCAACGTCACAACCGTGGCGCAGATACAGACTGCTGTCAACTTTGCGAGAAATAAGAATCTGCGACTCGTAATAAAGTTGGTTTTCTCCTTTCCTTCGTTTTTCGGCTTCTCGCCACAAAGGCAACATTCACTTGGCTCACTTGGCTCATTAGAAACACTGGTCATGACTTTGTCGGTAGATCCACGGGGGCTGGATCTCTTAGCGTATGGACCCACCATCTCAAGGACTTTGAGTTTCTACCTGAATACAGCCAAGGTGAGTATAGCGGCATGGCCGCAAGAGTAGGGGCTGGACTTGAAGCCTGGGAACTGTACGACTATATGGACCTCCATAACATGACCGTGGTTGTGCCCGGAGGCAGCACCGTTGGGGCGTATGGCGGTTGGATGGCCGGTGGCGGACACAGCACGCTGGCTTCATATTACGGCCTGGGATCCGATCAGCCCCTTTCGCTGGAAGTGGTTACTGCTGATGGGAGATTCGTCACTGCAAATACGACCACGAACAAGGAATTGTTCTATGCCTTACGGGGAGGGGGTCCAGGTTAGTTCTACGATCCTGGGTTCTAATTATCGCTTAGTAGCTGCTGACATTATTCGTCTGTAGGTACATATGGTATCGTGACTTCGGCTATTGTCAAGGCCTACCCGCCCATCAATGTCACCGAGAGCACCATCAACTTCATACTTTCGACGGCAAACTCCACTAACAGCTGGGGTAACTTCTCGGGCTGGGGTAACCTGACTGGAAACTGGAACTTCACCGTGCCTTCCAACTTTTCCCTGCCGCCTTCCAACTTCTCCATACCTTCCAACTTCACGAGGAACAGTCCCGTCACCATCAAGGACGCGGATACATTCTGGAGCGGTGTCAACGAATACCAGTATTTCGGCAAGGCCATCTGCGAGGCGGGCGGAACCGCGTACAGCTACATCACCTCTCGCGGCGCCGGGGGCTTCAGCTTCAGCACGACCATCGAGATCCCCGCCATGACCAAGCGGGAGGTCTTCGACTTTGTCCAGCCGCTCATCGACTCGCTGAACGACCTCGGCATCCCCGTCAACAACTCGCAGCCCGTCTCCTCCGCCAGCTGGGGCGACACCCGCAAGGGCCAGGGCGACTCCCCCGGCAGCAACCGGTTCGCCAGCCGCCTGTTCCCCGCCTCGAACTGGGAGGACGAGGCGGCGTTCGCCGACACCATGGCGGCGATCCGGCGCACCGTCGAGGCGGGCTACACCTTCCACGGGATCCACATGATGCCCACCGAGGAGACTGCCGGGTACCCCGGTGGCAGCGCCGTCAATCCGGCCTTTCGGGCGACGGTGATGCACGCTGACGTGTTCGATGTCGCGGGGGGCCCCAGGGCGTCGGTGCAGGCGCTCGTTGAGGCGCATGATAGGCTTAATCAGTACATGGATGGCATCCGCACCGCGACGCCCCTCGGGGGAGCGTACATTAATGAGTGCGACGCCCAGGAGCCAAACTGGCAGCAGAGCTTCTTCGGCGACAAGTATGACGCTTTGCTGAAGATTAAGCGGGAGACAGATCCTTGGAACCTGTTTTGGGCGCCGACGACGGTTGGAAGCGAGGACTGGGAGGTCAGGACGGCTGATGGGCTTCCCACGCAGAATGGGCAGCTGTGTAGGGTCAAGGCTTCGGCGGCCTGAGGTGGATATGCATAGGTATGGAAGGGCAGCTGCATCTAGGATATTCGCACTCGGCTTCTGCTCTTGTGTTAATACGAGATATTTCAAAGTACTCATTATATTCAGTCGCCATCTAAAGTAATATTATCTAATCGTCTTTAATCATTAAACAAGAGAGAGAGAGAGTCTGTGTATATCTATGTGAGTGAGCAACGCTTCGAAATCGCCAAACCAACAACACAAAAATCACGATCTCTGAACCGGCTCCCCATTCGGCATCCTATCCATCCGGCCATACTGGCTCCTCAGCGTCGGGACATCCGCATCCACAAGCGGGACGACAAACTCCGTCTCCCCGGTGCCCTCATTCGTCACGCGGACATTAGCAGCCCCGAGCAGCAGCGGCGGCATGTTGTGATAAATGGTCTCGTAGCCGCCGGGGGCCGACACAAACGTCTCGTGGAAGATGCCGATGTGCGAGTGGCCCGTCTCCCTCGCGAACCGCCCGATCCAGTCCCAGGCGGCCCGGTGCACGGCGTCGTGCGCGAACGCGTGCAAGCCCGCGACGTCGCGGAAGTAGAAGACCGTCATCAGCGTGTTGTTGCTGGCCCGCTCGGCTGCCCGCCACGTCGTCTGCCCCACGCACCCGAAGTCGGACGCCCGCCGCGCGAGCTCCACCGAGCACGCGATGAAGTGCTTGGTCGCCTCGGCAGCGCCGGGGGCGAGTGGGCCCAGCGGGTGGTTGAGTCGGACGCCGAGGTGGAGGACTACGATTGGCGAGGCGGCGGGGCGGGAGCCGAAGAGCGGGGAGGATGCGGCGGGGTCGGGGGAGTAGGTCGCCTCGGGGAGCACGGCGGAGGTCCGGGATTTGATGACGCCGTTGAGGAACGTGTTGCGGGCGGGGGAGGTGGCCTGGAGGGTGGTGGAGACGATGGAGTGGAGGAGCAGCAGGAGGGTGGGGAGAAGGGCGTAGCGGGCTGGTAGGATGGAGAAGATGGCGATCTGGCAGAGGGCTCCAAGGAGGAGCAGCTGCGGTAAGGTGAAGGCGTCTTTGGCCAGGAACTGTCATGGGCGTTAGGAAAAAAGAAAAAAAAAAAACCTGGCGAATTTCATGTCAAGTCGTAGAATATGGACCACTCACAGTGAGCATGTCTGGAACAACCCGGCGCGGGGTCTTGCTCGGCTCGAAGATACCTGTGTAGTCCTTTGCCGCCATTTTTTGGGATTTTTTTTTGCTGTCGCGGAAGATAAGAATGATTGGATTTAGTTGTGCTTGCTTTCAGTTGGGAATAATGAACTGGGCGAACTGCATCTATATACCCCTTCATGTTGTACCTTTTGTGCCCCGGCCTCCGTCGCCATCATTGCCTTCGCTTTCTCTCTCGCATTCCATTTGAGACATGCAGCTCGGCGAAACTGCAAGCCGAATGAGAATTACGCGAATGCGATCTGGGGTCCGAAAAGGTCCAGTGTGGGTCCATAACGGACCCACTATTCCCGGGAAACCGAATGCGAGGGAAGGAAACCCCGGCACAGGTCAGTTCAGACGCGAATCCGGGCCCACTGCTTTGAGCCTGTGGCACTCCTGTCTTCCCGTTGGCGCTCAATTTCTGGGTGCTGCTCGCATAAAACAAATCGAGTCGCACGGGGAAATTCACCAATTTCGCTGTCCTAATTAGTTCTGCAATTGCCCGGGCACCCCTGCTATTTCTCCTCTTTGAGCTCCCTGGTCGTCCAGATCGGCCTGATCTTGGGAAGTCCAGCCTGGTGATGACGCCCTCCACCACAAATGAGCTCTCCATCCGCAGAATGACGTGTCTTGCTCGGGCCAAGGGATTCCACCACAAGGTTCGGGACACGGCGAAGGGTCTTGATTGAACCCAGAACTGCGTCTTCGTTCCGCAAATGGGCAAAGGCAGGAACTGTTGCGATGGATATCCGGAGGGTCCCGAGGTCGGGAATCCGGCCGCATACGCCGTCCAGCAGTCTCAGCCCTATCTCCCACTGCTCTCGGGTCTTCTTGTGGCACCGCGGTAACCACGCACGAGATTTTATAACCTCCGACGACTCGTCGACGTGTTCGGGTTCGGTGGAATATAGCCGTGACGGCACGTATGTCATCAGCTGTACTGATCGGACGGGCAGCGAGGTGGGATTGCAAGCAAGAGAAACAAATTCCGCCAGGTGGTCGAGCCGATCAAAGCTGAAAGTCCAGAGGGGACAGAGTTCAAGATATCTTGGTACCTCATCAGCTCGAGGGTCATGGGTCAGGGAGTGGGAGAAGAGAAAAGAGAGGGGGGAAATTAAGAAAAATATGAGGGAAAAGAAAGATGGATGTAAGATGTATATTATACACGTACACTTGCTTGCACGTGCGCATCAATGACAGCGAATCATGATGGACTGGAAACCTGCCCAGAGACACACACTTCCAGAATGAATTACCGGTGTCGGAGCAGCAACTCCCTAGTCGGGCCGGGTATGTCGTGTCCAGGGCTACCGTTGCGGTGGGGAAATGCTGAAGATACCGCTGTGGCTCTGGCTCGTCGCCACTATGTCCTGCTCTTCCTGGTGCCCCACTGTGTCCCTGGTGGGCCGTCGAACTCCTCTTCGCTGCCCTCACCCACAATCTCCGCTCAGCCGGCAATACGTACGAGTATATATGGCACCTGACTTCCAATGGGAGTTTGGTGAAGAAGGTTGAGTCGAGCTGGTCGTCCACGTTCAAGCCGTTGGTCAAAGGGAGCATATCGAAAACCAGCCCTTCTGATGGCGAACTCTCTTCATCAGAGCCATGAAGGAGGGAAATTGATTGCGGCGTTGCGGAATCAGCGCTTTCCTGAGAGGGTTGCTGGCCATGGCTACATGCTCGCTGAAAGAGGTCGTCCATGATCTGTGGTTGTGGCTCAAGAGATAAAAAACAGAAACTTACAGTGTCACCGAGTATGAGAATACAAGTACTTGAACAGAAGAAACAGCTGGAGAGCTGCGAGGTTTCAGATCCTATATGATTTCGCAGTCTTAGGCAGCAGCAATTCAACAGTTACCTAGTGGCCAGCCCATTCACAGATGCCTAGGGAGGAAAATCGGTTACCCATGCAGGCAGCTAGATTCACGGCAATGCTATTGGAGAAAAGGGGATTGACCGGTGGACCTGTGGTGGTTTGCAGTGCATGGTCTACCCCGCTCTCCTTTTTCTGATCAAGAGTCGTTCCCCCGGATCGTGGATGAGAGAGGCCCCCCCACTCCATCGATCTCCTCTTCGAGTCGGCTAGTCATTTTCGAGGGCGGTTACCAGATTCGACCCAAACACGATGCCTCCCACGATCCTCTCGGAACTGACCCGCCGGGATCCAGAGAGCAACAACGCTGGCACCAAGGCTGGAGCTAATACTCAATCACCGACTTGGCCATTCGTGGGGTCCTTTTCGTGGGCTTGCGTGGGTGGAAGCTAATGAGACGGGAGGATGAGACGAAGAGCCGAACAAGAAACGTAGGAAAAAGTAGGAGGGTAGACTTAACTGGGTGCTCGTATTGGTTCGACCTACATGCTCAGAGACAGAGCCCTCATGTGGGGGCCGCGTCCGTTCTATTTGGGTATTCTAAATCATACATCTCGCTCTCTTTCTTGACCATCCTTCCGTAGCCGAATTGATGCCACTCAGGGAAGTGCGGTGATACCAAGTCCAAAAAGTCCACGAGAATGCCCGAACCCCGCCAATTGTCCAGCTTGACCGGCACGCAGATGAAGCCCGCCAAATAGAAGAAATCTAGGTGTGACTGAACCACATCTTCGTCGAGTGTTGCTTCTGGAACAAACGTGTATACAATGGCGAAGTACCACGGGAGCTGGGTTAGACCTGGACAAGGACCAGCCCTCATCTTATGAAGAAGTGACCAAACTCGGTCGCCATCTAGCTGTGTCCAGCCTAGACATTCGTTGATATGAACATCCGGGATGAAACGTTGAAAAGTCGGAGGAGGGCTTGCCCGGTATTTTCCCGAATATTCTGTCGAGAATGCTTTGAGGTTTCGAATGGAGTTTTCACGAGTCTTCGATCTCGGATGGAGGAAGAGAGGTCTGTCGGTCGAAGCGCCTTCTCGCAGGCTAGTCGAGATCATGTCAAGGATCGCACAGTTGTGGCATTCCCTTTAAAGGGCCAGTAACGGATCTCTCCCTATGGTTGCTCTGGTCGCTGACTGTGGTAAAACTACTCGAATAATCAGCAGGAGAAATTAAAGATGGCTCATCATTTATTATACAATCTTCACCGCAACGGGCTTGTTGTCGTCAATATTAGCTCGAAGGACGACGCCATCCTCACCGGCACCAATGAAGTTGCGGATCCGAAAGGACGAAGGCGGCTCTGGGAACTTTCGAAGCTTGGGAGCCTTGAAATTCTGCCATTCGCAGGACGGAAAGCCTTCTTTGGACTCGTGGGAGAGAAATGGGAGTGTTGTCTCCGGTATCTCGACCACGACTTCTCGGTGTGAGGTTTGGAAGCACAAGGAACTGTCCGCACCCTCGACAGCTACCTAACTAACTTGATAGGTAACCTTGTGGTATAACCTAAGAAACTGTAAGCTCGCACACTTCAATGTGTTTTCTATAGCTCTAATTATAGGTAGACAATCTTTTTGACGTCTTAGACTGATCAGGTATCACATGGTGATTAATTGCCAGGGAATCACAAGTGAACCTCTTCAAGATGGACGGACAGCTACCGAACAGTAGACTCACTTACATGCAATGTAACCTTATCGGGCTGAATTAAGTCTTCTAAGGCGACGTTTTGAGGCAGTGTTTCGGCCCAAGGCTACAGTCAAGTCCGGGTGCAAGACTCGGAAGAATAAGACTCGGAAAAACTGTGAGTGTTGAAGTACGCGTCTGTGCAGCAATGTCCACGTATGCATATCCCATAAATGCAACAGTGGCTTGTCCCTTAGCGGGGAGAATAGATAAATTGCAGACCTCGAGCCTCCAGCTCGCATTCGTGACCAATCAGATCGACCATTTGGAATGAGTTCGTCTTCGGGACGCATCGCCATCGTCCCTGGAGGCAAATGGCTGCCCGAAACGACGGGCCGACGCTCAAAGAGCGCTGAATAATATACGAAGCTCGAAAATCTAGGTTGCACGGCATTTCCGCGCTTGATAATCCCTTCTGGCAGCCCTATGGACATCCGTATAAATTGAGGAGATTCCTCGCCTTCCTCCTACCACATTTCCACAGCAGCAGTAGACGAGCGAGGCGGAACCTCTCAAGTCCCTAGTCCCTCTTAACCGGGCATACTCAACATCCCATCCCATATTCCGTTATCTGCCAGGCAGATTTGTCTTCTGCTGAACGGATCCTCCACACACGAAACAGGAAGAAAGGAAAGAGAAACATGAACCAACAGTCGAACGACACGCAAGCAGCCATGGTCACCCCCGGCAAGCCCCCGGCGAACGGCTTCGTCCGCGCCGCGAGCAAAGTCTACAGCACCGTCGGCTTCTCCAAGGGGCGCAACTTCGTCCTCTGGTTCGTCTTCGCCGGCGCCCTGATGGGGTTCAGCCTGGCCCGGCTGCCCTACCTCGACTTTGACGGCGTCTTCTGCGGCGGCAACCCGCACGCGGCGCCCGGCGAGTGCTTCTACTTCCGCAAGTACGCCCGCGACAGGGTCGGCATCGTGATGCACTTCGCCGCCATCCTCCCGGCCGGCATACTCGTGTGCTTCCAGTTCGTGCCCGCCATCCGCCACAAGTTCATCCTCGTCCACAGCATGAACGGCTACGTCGTCATCTTGCTGTCGGTCGTCGGCACGGTCGGTGGCCTGATGATCGCCAGGCATACCTTTGGCGGCGGCATGGCTAGCCAGTCGGCCCTGGGCTTCTTGTCCATCATTTTCCTCGGGGCCTTGGTGATGGCATATATCAACATCAAGCTCCTGCAGATCGATCAACATCGAGCCTGGATGCTAAGGGCCTGGTTCTACGTAGGCATACCCGCGCCCTTTGTCCCCTCCCTCCCTCCGCCCTCCTCCCCCCACCCTTTCCAGCCCCGACCGTCAACTCACCCTCGCCCCCAACAGGCCAGCGCAATCATCACGACGCGCGCCATCCAAATCCCCGCCGCCGTCATCATCAGCCTCCAGGGGGGCCACTTCGCCGCGCGGCCCTGCGACCAGATCGCCGACACCCTGGGCGGCGGCGCCAACGCCACGCTGCGCTCGTACCCGGAGTGCGCGGCCTTCTTCTCGGGCGAGGACCCGCACCGCTTCGCCGCCGTCAGGGCCAACATCGCCGGCGGCGGCAACGCCATCGAGGGGGGCGTGGCCCTGGGGATGGCCTTTGGCGCGGCCATGTGGCTTGCCGTGGCGATGCACTGTATTGGGATCGAGGTTTATGTGAGTTGGCCGCCCCCCTGCCTGCCTAACTGAGTACCTGTCTCCTCCCTTCAACCCCTTACAACAGAACCTACCCCCTTGCTGTTCTATTTCCCGAGGGGCTTGGGAAAAAGGGCAAAATGGAAAGAAAAGCTTCTGACTGGATGAAAATCAACAGCTCCGGCTCACGCCCGCCGAACACGAACGCCTGCGCAACGTCTCGTACGAGCGTCAGCTCGCGGCCGGGATGAGGGACCCGGGCCGGGCCGGACTCACGGCCGACCAGCTCGGCGACTCGGAGAGGTGGGTCCCCGCTGACCGGAGGGGTTACTAGGGATTTTGCTTTTTGGCAAGTTTGAGTTCGGGGTTGTCTGTGCTGTGCCATTGGGGATTTTTTTTTGGAGGGGTTTCTTCTCTTGGATTGGTTGGGAGCTCGTGGGGGGGCTGCTTTTTTGAGGGGGCGTTGGGAAAGTCATGACCGTCTTGGATCAGCGAGGTACAGTACCTAGAGCAAATTCTTCTAGAATGATAGGGATAGGATAATCCCAATTCAGGAGATTACCTTTCTTTTGACCGTCTTCTTCGTCCCTCTGAGGCTGGCGCGGAGGCGTTTGGTGAGGTACAGTACAAGCAAGGTGTTGCGCCCTGTGATCACTGCTGGGATGGGAAGACTGATTGCTCTCTGTTCTCCGAGATTGACTGACAGACTGACAACTGACAGGTTGGCTCAATGGCTAAATGCGTCAATTAAAATGCGATTACATTTAACAAGTCCATCTTCAGAATCCGTGATATCCAATCCAATCCGTCAAGCCATTTGAATCGCCGGTACGCCAAATTTGTCTGCTCCTTTCGTGTTTATTCCGCCCATCCATCAAAACAGAACATGCCAAATGCTCAAGAACATGTCACATTAGCGGTCGTCGTCTTTATATCCTCGTTGCACCAGATGTAGATCCTGGGGAAGGGGCCGGACGCCTTCTCGCGCTTCCGGGACTCGCACCGGTATCCCGTGGCGTTGAACTCGTCGGCGCAGAAGGTGACACAGCAGTTGGTTTTGTTGGGCAGCCAGACGTAGCTGTTGCAGTCCAGGCCAAGGTTGTGGAAGCCCTCCTGGTTGATGACCTTTGTGGCCTTGCCCTGGTAGCCGAATTCCGAGAAACCCTGGAAGGCGAAGTCGTCGGTGGTGGTCTCGTTGTTGAGGAAGGTCGGGCTTGCCCTGGCCGAGGAGCTGGTGCCGGTACTGGTGGCGGAGGAGGAGATCGATGATGGCTCGGTGGTTGAAGTTGGCGCAACCGAGCTGGATGGGGGAACACGGAAGGTCAGTCACACTTGAGACAGTAGAGAGAAGGGATACATAGTAGACGAGGTGGTGGCTCCGCGGCGCAAGCACAAGGAAGAAAAAGGGGGGGTGGGGAGGGGGGGGGGAGGAGGGGAAGGGGCAATGCTTACCTGCTTGAACCCGAATCGGAGTTCTTGCGAGACCGCGCCGCGGAGACGCCACCCCCGACGCCGCCGCCAATGGCTACGGCAAGGACCACGAGGGCCACGATGAGGACGATGAAAAAGATCTTGCGCCGCAGTCCGCATATCCTGCGCTCGTCCACGGGCCTCTCGGGCTCGCCGCCGTCTACGGCGCCGACTCCCCCGACCCCGGCATGGCCACCGCCGCCACCGCCGGTGGCGCCCCCGGCATGGCCGGCCTGAGTCTCCTCAATCGCGGAGAGCGGCTCCCACGGCAGTGAGCCGCCGGGGCTTGTCTCGGCCATGGCGGGGTATTGCTGCCCCTGGGCGTATGCCATGCCGCTCGGGATCTTGGGCGCATCGTCGTAGAGCACTGGGTACTTGTCGCGGTCGTCGTATTGGCGCTGCTTGTACTGTTCCTCGACGTAAGAGATGGCCTGCGGCGACGTGTCGGGCACCACCTCAGGGAGGTGCTCGTCTGGAGGTAGGCCCATGATTAATAATTCAACGAGTGAGCGAGCAAGCTAGCTAGCGCTGGATCTGGTTTCGACTCTGGATTCGAGTCTGGGCGTGGGTTGTTGGAAGCTTGGGGGCGTAATCGTGCAGTGATGGTGCACTCCCAACAAGTTTAAACCTAATTATCGGTAGCGCAAATATTCATGGATTCAGCAACCATTGGGATCGATATCGTTCGCCAAAAGGTCCAACTGGTGTGCCGTCCCCATGTTATTATTAGCCTTCTGGCGGTGGCTGTGGGAGATGGGGATATGCAAGCACTGAACAGGTAGGGATACAGATTAACTGCACAGTACACTGCCCAGCCCTTCCCCCTCCCAAGCCAATCTCGAGAGAGTAAGACGGTCCAATGTTCGATGGCCCTTTTAGCCACTGATCGCAGTGATCGACAACCATGCTGCTACCCTAGGTTTACCTGGGTTGCATCATTCGGCACCGCTGAATTGTCCCACCAGCACGGGAACTCGCGATTGGGCTGCTATTGAGAGAACCAGGGGACCAGATAAATTACCTGCAGCAAGGCAACCTCCTGTTCGGCGCTGTACGGATAGACTGGGGCCCCGAAGCATGGATTCCACAGCCTGCACTATGCCCAACATGGTAGGTGCTTCCGCGGCGGATCCCCGGCTGTTCGGCTGCGATGCATCTGATTTGCGAGTTGCCAGGTGGGAGAGTCGCCATTGAGTTGTATTTAGACCCTGAAATTCCGCTCTTCTTTCGCAATGGAATCCACATTCGTGGGCAAAGGAAAGGGAAGGGGAAATGGAAATGAGGGGAGATGGGCCAATTGAGCGCAAGCTTGGACAGGTTGGACAGGTTGTTCACTCTGTCGACTGTCGAAATGGGAGATGCTTAAAAACACCACGTCTTCTCTCGAGTTGAGGAGGTTGGGTGTCTTGCGCCGTTGCGCGCGTGGCTGGACGGGTCAGCCTTGGCGGTCCAGCGGCGCACTGCAGGGCAGGGTCGGGAGCGGGACTGGCTTTCCAGATCGGCGTGGTGTCCCGGAAGGTTGGTCCTGATTGGGAGCAACGCGGAAAAAAAGAAAGAAAAAGAAAAAACTCGACGCTTTAACGTTACCTGCTGCCGGTCGAACCCCGGCGATTGTCGATCGCGCAGGCTGTGTTGCCACCTCGCTGTGGCCGTATTTTTCCGGCGTTAACATGCTCCGTACCACGGAATACAGTGGAGCGGGTGGTAGGTGGTCCCGTCTCACCGCCTGTTCTTGGTACCGGTCCAACTGATGGGGCCGGGGCCGCCCTTGACCATCGGGGCCAGTAGAGCGCCAGGTGGGCCTGCCGGGGATGCGCCGGTTTCCCCTTTTAAGTCCTACCAACCAACCCCGCCTACGGTGCCCGGGTCTGATGGGCCAAGCCCACCCGGCCGTGACAAGTCCCGCCCCCATGTGGCACCAGGCACCGGCACCGAGACCATCGCATGTCAAGAGCCGCACCGGTTTCAAGCATCAAAGCCGGCCTTCCTTCTCTCCTTGGGCGAGCCCGTAAAGCTTAATCCTGTCGACGCCAAGTGCGAAGTGCGGATAGGTTGGTAGTTCTTAAATACCGATAGCATAGCCAAGACCTGATGGCATTTTAGCTTCTGCGCGTAGATCGGCAGGTTTAGCCCAATTGTCCAGATTGCGAAGCCGGCCGAGAGGGTACAGTACAACCCGGAATCTCGTCTCGTAGGTAACGATTGGTATCCATCTAGAGGATGATTCTGTAGGGAACTCTAGGTAATTTCTCTTCAAGAGGAAACTTCAGCAAGCTCCTCGACAATTGGCTCGCCTTTTGGCGGTTTGGCCAAAGACAGAAGGAGAGGGGAGGATGGGAAAAATTTTCTGCACTTACGGAGCAACCACCTCATCCTGGAAAGCCCCTGCAGAGCGACAACGTGGCGCCTTCCGAACTCGGACAATTCTTGGAAGGGATCATCTCTTGATCTGCCGCCATCATGGAAAATATCAATCTTATCAGATCATCAGATACGTGCTAGTGTAGGCTCTCACTACCACAATACTACCTTCCAGGTTATGTGCCTACCTTAGCCCTAATTTCTCACGAGAAAAGTCTGCGCAAAACTGGGCCTGGGATGGCGTCACTATTTGTCAATAGACCCGTGGTTTGTACTGCTACCTCAGCCAGGTCCAGCCTCTGCCATCCCGAGACGGACCCCTGAAGATTTAGCGGAGCACGCCGTGGGGGTTCGAAGGTTCCATCCCATCCTCATGGTCACGGTCGTTACAGACCAGGTAGCGAGCGGCTGGTTGCAGGCAGGGATGCGCAGATGGCATTCATTCATGCTATTTTTACGGGAGGCTTCAGGCTTGTGCTGGAGAAGTTTGCCCACAATAGGGAAATAATAACCTGAAGAAGCAGCACGATGCCATGGCATGCCAGTCTGCTAGCCTGTCAGCAACTTGGCCATAATTGTTCCTGTCCCGCCCGTTAGCCCATCCCTCCGATCACATGCAGACGCTCTTCGTCGCATGGCTAGGTACCTAGGTAGCTAAGGTATTTTCAGAATTCCAGGCCAAGACTTCCATGTCCGCTTGTCGGAGGCACCAGCGACGGCACCAAGACGAGCTAGCCAGTGATGCCCCACCGATCAATCTTATCAGATCCAAAGATAACTGGGCCCGGCCCCTGCCACCCCTCCCGATGTCGCGCCAGCCGCCTCAGTGCTGGGTCGATTCCCCACCCAAATGTTCCTGGAAGGAAGGGAGAGGGAAAAAAAAAAGAATGCGCCGACTTGTTTCCCACCCGGGTGCCGCCTGCATAGCCGATCAGTCGCATTATTTCTGTTCCCCCATTAATTTTTTCTTCTTCCTCGGTCTTGTTTCCCTTTCCTGCCCTCCACGAGCCCCATTGGATGGCTGCGGGAGGGAGGCGTCGCTGGGTCTCTGGGAGGGAGGGTATGGTCTAAAACAGTTTGAGCTGCGCTATCTAATTGCCTAGCTCGCCGGGCTGGCTGGGCCTTTGCCTCGGCCAGGACTATCAAGGACCATCGCGCCCACCGCCTTCTTCGTATCCTATCCGCTGGCTGATCCCAGCTCCACTTGGACAAGCAGCTCGCTTGTCCTTCCCGGTTACCTATCTGCGATGCGGGAACCATCGCGACGAAATATGCGGGCCCTTTCCGGGAGCAACCATCAATCACTCGCGCGCCAGCCCCGAGGTACCGGTACATGTGCATGGCTCTCCCGCTCCGTAGCATCGAGACCCTTAGCTCATTAACTCAAACTCATTAACCTGGCATGATTCTCGAAAGGGAAATCGAATGCCGGCCTGGGTAGCTCTGTTCCTGGAACTGCCCACCCTTTTTAATCAGCTCCAACCCCAGTCATTGAGCTGCCAGGACCCCTCCACGTCCCTCCTTCAAACTTCGACGACTTTTACGTCAAAGCATGACCCAAGCGTAACGCGGCAGCGCGGGAAACACGAAACGGTTCGTTGCAAGCACCCTCACAAAAAGCAAGCCAGCCCGCCACACCCCACGACGGCCATACTCTAACCTGTTGTGTTGTTAGCCCGTCGTCCAAGTTGCCGCCGCCGCCGCTCCTTTTCTTCTCCTGCTCTCGCCGTGCCGTCCCAGCCTCTTTTACTCTCTCCGACTTGAGATATCCCAGCTCGGAAGCCGGTAAACATGTCGCCGCACATCACCGTCGAGCATCAGCAACCCAACGGCATCGGGATCCATCCGGAGCCTGCCGCCTACAATGGTAACAATGGGGCATCCGTTGTCAACGGTATTAACGGTGTGGGTACACACGGTGTAAACGGCCTCGTGAACGGTGCGCCCCGCGTCAGTCACGTCAACGGCACCGCCAACGGCCTCCACCGTACACAGAGCCCACACCTGCGCGCCTCAGATCCAGACGCCGTACATGACCTCATCTGCGTCGGATTTGGCCCTGCAAGCTTGGCGGTCGCAGTGGCGCTTCACGATGCCCTCGAGGCCGGAACAATGAGCCAACGCCCAAATGTCTTGTTCCTCGAGAAACAGCCCAGCTTCGCATGGCATGCAGGCATGCTTCTGCCCGGTGCGAAGATGCAGATTTCATTCATCAAGGATCTGGCCAGCCTCCGAGACCCGCGCTCGAATTTCACTTTCCTCAACTACCTGCACAAGAACGACCGTCTGGTCGACTTCACCAATCTCGGCACATTCCTCCCCGCACGCGTCGAATACGAGGACTACCTGCGATGGTGCGCGGGCCACTTCGATGACGTGGTAAAATACCAGACACAGGTGCTCTCAGTTTCGCCCGTCCCGGACCAGGACGGGCCTTTCAAGGTTTTCACAGTCACGTCCCAGAACCTGAAGACTGGGGTAACAACCACTCACCGAGCGAGAAATGTTCTCCTGGCGATTGGCGGCCAGCCATCAATCCCAAAGAGCCTCCCGGCAAGCAGCCGGAGGGTCATCCACTCATCGCAATACGCCCAGATGGTCCCCAAGATCCTCAGCGACCGGGCCGCCCCTTATCGAGTTGCCGTTGTCGGCGCAGGACAGAGCGCCGCCGAGATATTCAACAACATCCAGACGCTATACCCCAAATCTCGCACATGCCTCATTATGCGGTCAGAATTCCTCAAGCCAAGCGACGACTCGCCATTGTAAGTTATCCCCCTTCCCTCCTTCAGCCCGGCCGCCAAAACCCCTCCCTCCCTCCCTCATTCTCCCTCTCACTCTCTCCCCAACCCCCCTTGACTAACGATCCGGAAGCGTCAACTCCATTTTCAACCCCTCTTTCGTTGACTCGATCTACCCGCGCTCCCCCGAATACCGTCGAAACCTGATCACAGAGGCCCGGGCAACCAACTACGGCGTCGTCAGACTCGAACTGATCGAACACCTCTACGAGACAATGTACGAGCAGCTGCGGAAGCTGGGCAGGGACGAGAGACAGTGGCCTCACCGGATCATGGGCGGCCGGCGGGTGCTGGGCGTCGAAGAGGCCGACGACACACTCCACGTCAAGGTCTGCGTGTCGCCTCCAGGCGAGATGGAGCTCGACGGGCCGGTCGGCGAGGAGGAGGTTCTCGAAGTGGACCTCATAATCTCCGCCACGGGGTACTGCAGGAGCGCTCATGTTGACATGCTCAAGGGCGCGTGGCCGCTCCTCCCGGAGGTTGCTGACAAGGGGGGGTACAAGGATCACGAGACCAGGGACCGGTGGCTTGTTGAGACGCCGGGCAGCAGTGAGGGCGAACCATCCAAGACCAGAGTCATCGAAGTTGGTCGCGATTACGGAGTACGATTTGAGCCCGGAACCGTCGCTGCTGGGTCGGGCATCTGGCTACAGGGCTGCTGTGAGGGTACACATGGGGTGAGTAGTTTTTCATGCTTCTATCCCACACCTCCCCTGCTCACCGCCTCACTGCTTCGAGGAGCTAACATGAGTGAAACTAATTAGTTGAGCGACACATTGCTCTCTGTCCTGGCAACCCGGTCTGGGGAGATTGTAGAATCGATTTTCGGAAAAGGGGTCGGTGCAGCTAAGTATTAAGTTTCTCGCAGCGATTCGGGGCATTTTTTTTTTTTACGACAGCATGTAATTGTGTGAATTAGCTAGCTTGTTGAGAACGTACAGTACATGGGATTCTTTGAATATGACAAGAATGGCGCATAAACCAGCAGACATTGGTATTGCCTAAGGTATGTACCTAGACAGCAGATTAAAAGGGGGTGTGGGCAGAAAAGTCGATCTCCGTTGAGTTCGGACGGAGTTAAACCTCGGCCGAATAAGAATTGCAGTAGCGAAGGTACCCGGTAGGTCAGTCAAGCAGCATCCGAGCATCGGATGTTTAGCACGCTCGGCGCCTGTGCTGCCACTGCAACAGATGCAGCACGCTGGTTCTGCCAGTCGCAGCCCTTGCTTCCCACGCACGCAGCAAAAGGGAAGAGAGCGGGGTCACACACTCACCGAGTCACTTGCAGAAGAAGAAGGGAAAATTATATGGGGAACTGCTCTGCGTGAGTGTTAGACCAAGTCTAGGTACCTATGTAGGGCCAATCCAGTTGCGTATCGTGACGCAATAGAGGGGAGCAACCTACCTACAGTAGTGGGTTTCTTTTTCCCCTCTCCGCCCAGAGACAAGGAACATGTGACGGAATTCGCGGACCCAGCTTTTTTTTTTTTTTGAGGTGTTAAAATGGAAGGCAGCGCCGCCCGACTGAGACACAGGCGTGACAGCTTATGGACAGGAACAGCCGGTACTGCCCGGCCGATGGGGGGCATTTGATACTTTTTTTCGCCCACCAAAAGTACCTAGTAACCATTACCTACTGAACTCGCAGAACATCCAATCTGCTGTAAATTTGGGAATAAGGTAGCTCACATCTCACTCACCGTCGACATTACCTACCTACCTAGAGGTATTAGGTATTAATTAGGTATTAGGTCTATCTGAACAGCGCGTCTCGACCTCGAGCTCAGCACGGGAACCCCCAACTTCCCCAACTTCCCCGTTTTTTGACACGCACCCCGTTGACATCGGTGACTTGCCCCCACACCGGCCCATCCTCCCTTGGTAGGTCAGGTATTCTATTACGGAAGCTTCTCGTCAGTTACTTCCCAGGTAGTTATAGCCTGGAAGGTGCCCCCCAAGTTACCGGGTTCAAGTGACTCAACCACCACCTGCCTTACCCCCCCTTCCACCCTCCCCCACCCCCGCCGTCGTCGTACAATCTATCAGCCTCCCACCAGAACCCCCCCTACACATCACCTTACATATAACCTAGAATAAGACGCATCTTGGATGCACCTTGCTAAAACCTGCCAAGGTGCGCCATCCCCCAGGAAAGACGAAAAAAAGCAACGAGCCCCTTCCCCCAATCACCGGGCTCGTCAAACAAATCCGACACCTCTGACTCGTCGCCTGCCGTGGGGTGTCACCCAATCTCCTTCTCCCTATTACGAGCTTATGGTCCTTGCAGATGCAACCCATCGAATCCGGTAACTGGCCCTCAAAGGGGGGTGTACTGATATATTGGTGGACATATTCAGGTTCTGGACTTGGGTCTGTGAGACATACAGGCCGATTGTTGGCCAACCATCACGACCTGATCTGAGATAAGCCTATCAAGCGAAAAAAAAAAAAAAAAAAAGGATGGAGTCTGCACACGAGGGAAACTTGCCGTCTCTGGCGATCCTGAATCACCCTCCGTCTCGGCTGCCCGGTCCCGAACTGCTCCACCAGCTGGTCCCGAAGTATGCCGAAAGGAACGGCGCATCGGCCATCGAGTACCGGTCGCCAGACGGGTCGAGGAGCTTGCTGTCTTATGAGAAGGTCCATGAGTATTCGGACTCGCTCGCAGCGAGCATCTCAGCAGCTGTGCAACCTCTTCCGACACATGAACCCTTTATTGTCCCTATTCTGGCACCTCAGGGTCCCCATCTTTATCTTGCCCTCCTCTCTGTCCTGAAGGCTGGAGGTGCATTCTGTCCGCTCAACCTGGATGCGCCCCCTGAACGAGTCAAGTTCATCCTCAAGGATGTATCAGCAAGGCTGGTACTCTGCACGTCGGAGATTGCCTCGAGAATCCCGCAGGATGGCCCACAAATCCCTATTCTCGTCCTTAACAAGGATGGGTTTCAGGCACAGACTCAGGCGCGGGCCGTTGAATTGGCACGGCTGCCACAGCCAGCAGATCTGGCATATGTCATGTACACGTCTGGGTCTACGGGAACGCCCAAGGGGGTCGGGGTCTCGCACTCTGCGGCGACCCAAAGCCTCCTCGCCCACGACCGTCACATCCCGGCCTTCTCCAGGTTTCTCCAATTCGCAGCACCCACATTTGACGTCTCCGTCTTTGAGATCTTCTTCCCCCTATTCCGGGGAAAGACTCTGGTCAGCTGCAGCAGGCCCGAAATGCTCAACGATCTCCCGGCTGTCATCAGGGACATGGATGTGGATGCCTGCGAACTCACCCCAACCGTGGCCGGGAGCCTCTTGCGGAAGCGCGAGAACGCCCCAGGGCTCCGCCTGCTCCTCACGATCGGTGAAATGCTGACAAACCCCGTCGTGGAGGAGTTTGGTGGCGGCGACGAGGACAAACCAAGCATGCTCTGGGCCATGTACGGGCCAACCGAGGCCGCGATACACTGTTCCCTCCAGCCGGCCTTTTCTCGGGCCTCGAGAGTGGGGAATATCGGCATCCCACTGGATACCGTCTCTGCGTTCATTCTCCGGATACCGGAAAGTGGCAATAGTGACGCCGAGCCTCCTCACGTACTCTCGGTCGGCGAGGTCGGAGAGCTCGCGGTTGGTGGCTTCCAGCTGGCAAGTGGCTACCTCAACCGCCCCGACCAAACTGCTGCCGCGTTCATTGACAGCCCCTACGGGCCCCTCTACCGGACCGGTGACAAGGCACGAATCCTTCCCGACGGTACAATGGAGTGCGTCGGCCGCATATCCGACGGCCAAGTCAAGCTCCGGGGCCAGCGCATCGAGCTAGGCGAGGTCGAACAGGCAGCCCTGCGGACTCCCGGATGCCACAGCGCCCTTGCAGCAGTTATTAGCAGCATACTTGTCCTCTTCTGCGGGGTGGATGGCGTTGACAATCTGCAAGCGCGGATCCAGGAGTCTTGCAGGTCGTGGCTTCCTGCGTTTATGGTCCCTGGAGATATCGTGCTGATGGACGAATTCCCACAACTACCCTCCGGAAAGGCCGACCGCAAACGGCTGGTTGCGGACTACGAGGAGGCCCGCGATAAGGACCAACAAAGCGTGGGTGCTGCGCAATTCGAGGATGACCTGGAGCGGGAACTGTGCCAGATTACGTCCCAGACGCTTGGCATCGAGGCTAATCCTTCCACGAATCTCCCGATGGCGGGCCTCGATTCTATCGCCGCGATCAAGCTTGCATCTTCCCTGCGCCAGGGGGGGTTTGGCATCTCGGCCGTGGATATCCTGGGTTCTCGGACAATCTCTCATCTTCGTGCGACTCTCAGGCACCGTGAACATGAGAAGGAGCTTTCACTGGAGGCCAACAACAGCAACAACAACAAGATGGAGGGAGTCATCGACCTTGACCAGGATTTAATCGGGACAATACCCGCACTTGAAGGCCGCTTCGGTGACGTCGAAGGAGTCTTCCTATGCACACCTCTCCAGATCTCAATGCTTGGCGAGACCATCTTAAATCCCAGAGCCTACTGTAACTCTGTTGAAATAGCGGTCCCTGGACACTTTCCAGAAGAGTCAATACGCTTGTGGATTTCCCAACTCGCAAAAATGAACGAGGTCTTGAGGACGGGCTTCGTCTATCACGGTGGCCAATTTGTCCAAGTGCTTTGGAAGGCTCTTGAGGCAACCCAGGTCTCCGTAGTGGATGAACTTGATTCACGGTTCGAAATCGAAGTAGAGAGTGGCCTGCTTCACCCCCTCCGAGTTCAAATTTCTCCGCCGCTGGAAAATGGCCAACGGCGCCTTTTGTTCCATATTCACCATGCCCTTTACGATGGGTGGACAGTTGACATGCTGCTGGCAGATATCAACAGACTCTCTAAGCTGGAAGACATCGAAACCAGACCGCAGTTCAGAGAGGTCCTCGCATATTTTGGTTCGGACGATTACTCGGAAAAGTGCGACGCCGCAAGGGGGTTCTGGGCAGAGAACCTCGCAGGATATCAACCGTCTCCCTTCCCACAATTGTCTGCAACAAGGCTCGAATCAGGCCTGACAGCGTCGGAGGAGATTGTCATCAGCGTCGACCCAGCAGAGGTGAGGACCATATTTCGAGAACTCGAGTTCGGCCCTCAAGTCCTTTTCCAAGCGGCTCTCGTGTGGCTATGGAGCTCGCTGGTAGGGAATGAGGACGTTGTAGTTGGCGCGGTTACCTCGGGCAGGACGATTCCAGTGTCGCGGATTGAAGAAATCATGGGGCCGTGTATCGCACCTGTGCCCCTACGCGCGGACATCTCGCGAGTCAGGACCGTCAAAGACCTTCTGGCGACAATACATGCGGCCAACAGATCCGCTCTCCCACACAGCGTGCTTCCCCTGTCGGAGATACAGAAAACGTGCGGGATTTTGCCTGGCCAGGCTCTGTACGACGTCTTGTTTGTCTACCAGGAATCCCTCTACAGCCAGAGCCGGCAGGAACAGGAGATCCGGGAAATCTGCCATCGAGATGTCATCGAGACGAAGCTCCTGCTTGAAGTAGAGCCAAGGGAAGGTTCGGTAGCCTGCCGACTCACTTACCGTCTCGATGCATTTCCAGAACAACATGCCAGGATCTTCATGGAACAGCTTCAGTGTGTGATGCACCATCTTCTCCAGAACTTGGATCAGGAATTGTCATCGATCCGTGCCGCATTCCCCACGAACCTCGTCTCTCTGTACAACACCAACCCCAAGACTCTGTCTGGGATTCCTGACCTCGCCATGGCGGTGGAAGCCGTGGTCCTTGCCAGTTCGGAAAAGACAGCCGTGTGTTTCGCCCATGCCATCTCGGAGGATTCAATGGACTCTGAGATGATTTCCTTCCAACACCTCAACCAACTCGGCAACCAAATCGCGAGGCAGCTCCAGGATAACGGTGCATCACTCGGGAGTGTGGTGGCGATTGTCATGGAGAAGTCAATCTTGCTCTATGCTGGTATCCTTGGTATAGTCAAGGCCGGGTGTTCTTACCTCCCGCTGCTTCCGAGTACCCCAGCGGCAAGAGTGGAAACGATATTCTCGCAGGCTGGTGTTGGTTTGTGTCTCACAGATACGGAAACTTACCCGAAGCTGAAGCAACTCCCCTCCTGCCGGCCCATTGACCTCCAAGAAAGGGGGTTTCGGGACCATGACAATTCTAACCTCAAGATCCCTGCCGATCCCTCACGCATCGCCAACATCATCTACACTTCAGGCAGCACAGGGGTTCCGAAAGGGGTCTGTGTCACGCAACTCAACATTACGAGCAACCTCGACGTCCTCTCTAGGATATACCCCGTACCTGGGGACTCAAGGCTCCTCCAGTCTTGTTCACAGGCATTCGACGTATCTGTCTTTGAGATATTCTTCGCGTGGACTCGAGGCATGTGCCTTTGTTCGGCGGTGAACGACACGCTGTTCGAGGACCTGGAGAGATCGATTCGAAAGCTGGAGATCACCCACTTGAGCATGACACCCACCGTTGCCTCCTTGGTAGAGCCTGCCAACATACCCTCCGTTGAGTTCCTGGTTACCTCCGGAGAGCCCATGACGGGGGCCGTGGCGCAGAGATGGTCCAAGCAGCTCTACCAGGGGTATGGCCCATCCGAGACGACCAACATCTGCACCGTCAAGAAGATGAGCCAGGCCGATATAATCCAGCATTTGGGATGGTCCTTCGAGAACACGTCTGCCATCGTTCTGCACAAAGACGCCTCTGATGCTGTCCCGTACGGCTGCGTTGGCGAGCTTTGTTTCGGCGGAGATCAGGTCGCCCAGGGGTATCTCAAGCTGCCAGAACTTACATCATCAAAGTTTATCGACCACCCAGAATTCGGCCGGTTGTACCGATCCGGTGATCTTGGACGAATGCTCCCGGACGGTTCCCTGGTAATCCTTGGCAGAGTTGACGACCAGATAAAGCTACGTGGCCAGCGGATCGAACTGGATGAGATCAGCGGGGCTGTCAGGCAGTCAGGCGAGGTCTCGGACTGCATCACACTGGTTGTCAATCGTGGAGATTCAACTGCTGACCAACTTGCCTCCTTTTACGTCTTCGACAGTGGCACTGAGGACCCTCCGCGATTGGAACCCCTTCAGCTAGATGACAGGCTGAAAGCCGTCAACGCGCGTTTATTCCAGCTCCTTTCGTCCAAAGTCCCCACATACATGGTTCCAGCTTTCCTGATTCCCATCTCCAAAGTACCTCTCACGGCAGCGGGCAAGCTGGATAGAGGCTGGCTCCGACGGACCTTCCGGCATCTCGAGCAAGCGTACCTCGAAGCAGCATCTTCCTCTGTCGATATGGCTCCTGCTGATGGGCAGTGGACGGAGTATGAGAGGCGAGTCGCGGATGCGGTATGCTCGAGCCTATCCGTGCGACAGGACGATATCCAGAGATGGACACCGTTCACAAGCCTGGGCCTCGATTCCATCTCTGCTATTGGCCTTTCTCGGCGGCTCCAACAACAGCTCAACAAACGCATCCCGGTTTCAGTCATCCTTCAAAATTCGTGCGTGACTCGGCTAGCGAAAACGCTCGAAATGACTGGGGAGCCAGACCGAGACTCTGTCGCTATTAACTTGAAGACATTCTCCGATGAGTTTGAAAGCGGGATTCGGTCGAGATGCGAGGGCCTGGGAAAGCGAGTCGAACGAATCCTCCCCTGCACGCCACTCCAAGAAGGAATGCTTGCGTCTTCGGCAAGCCGAGGCTCGTACCTCAATAAGATGCTCTTCAGTCTTCGTTCGGAGCCAGAGTTAATCAAGCGATGCTGGGGCCTGATGTGCGAGAGGCACGGGATCCTACGGACCTGTTTCGCATCAACGAATGATACCCGCCACGCTATTGCTCAAGTCGTCTTCGCAGATTGGCAGCCGCGGTGGCACTCCATCGACAGCTCGGGTGGTACGATAGACGACTGCGTGTCTCGCCACGCTGCAAGTATAGGCGAGGCCATTGACTCGATGGAACCCGCCGTTTCGTTTGCCATAATCACGCATGAAGCCCAGACCTACCTATCATTTATCTGCCATCATGCTTTGTACGACGCCGTGGCGGTTGAGCAACTACTGCTCGAGGTGGAAGAGCTTGTACACGGCCACACACTACCCCCAGCTCCCCCTCTTGAGCCATTCCTGAGAGAGGTTCTGACTCCGTCCTCTACTCGTGAGGGTTTCTGGAAGGAGCAGCTGGCTGGACTTGAGCCCCTCCAACTACCGCAGATTGAGAGCGGGAACACCGAGAATCGACAGGAAATCTTGTCGTGTCAAGTCGACATGCCCCTGAGCGAGGTCAATGAGAGATCCAGGGAAGTAGGCTTCTCCCTTCTGGCTCTATGCCAAGCTGCCTGGGCTTCTGTTCTCGGGGCCATTCTGCATTCGGACGACGTCTGCTTCGGCAATGTTGTCAGCGGTCGGTCGGTTCCTGTTGACGGCATCAACGAACTGGTCGCACCCTGCTTTAATACCATCCCTGTACGCATGAGGTTGTCGGAGACGAGGCGGAACATTGACCTCATGAAGGTCTTCCAGAAACTGAACCCGATGATCCTCGAGCATCAGTTCACCCCGTTGAGGTTTATCCAATCCCTCGTCCCGCGGCGCGGGAACCGGCGTTTGTTTGACACCATTCTGCTTTTGCAGCAGCATTCTAGACCGTTAGATGAGGAAATCTGGGCATTAGAGCGCGATGACGGCGAGATGGATGTAGGTTTGGCCGTTTCTGCATCCCCCCTTTGATGAGCACTGATTAATGGTAGTTACTGACTACGTTACAATAAGGTACCTCTTGTTTGCGAGTTCATCCCTGATACCCACAAAGACAAGCTGTCGATAAAGCTTCACTACGAACCGTACGTCTTTCTCCTCCTAGATTCTGGTTCCTGAGACTGACCTCGACCTGATTTAGGTGTAATGTCTCGAATACCATGATAATATTAATATCCGATCTTCTCCGTCACTCCGTCGACCTGTGTCTCAACTTTCCAGCATCGCACGTTCCCGTTGCGCCGAACCTCCCTACCGCATTTGTGTCCAGGCTGTCAGAATTCAAGCCGCAACGGGCGGAGTCGACAGAGGTCACAGCAACGCAGCAGATCGAGGGAGATAACTGGTCCGAGATGGAGTTGCAGGTCAGATTAATCCTTTCGAAGCTATCTTCCGTGCCGGAAAGCAGCATCCGCCACCAAACAACAATCTACCAGTTGGGCCTAGACAGCATCAACGCCGTCCAGATCGCATCTCTTCTCCGAGAACGGGGTCTGGCCATATCCGCCAGCGATGTGATCGAGCACAATACCAGCCAGCAACTTGCTCTCCACATGACCACGAAACAGGCAACACCCCCCCGGCAGACCTACGACCTCATCGACTTCCAGAATCGAGTGAGGCCACAGTTGGCCAGCTTCGAAATCCCGTCGGACGCGGTAGAGGCAGTCCTGCCCTGCACTTCCCTCCAGGCTGGCATGCTTGTGCAGTTCATCAGGTCCGGGGGTCAGGACTACTTCAATTTCATTGGCCTCCGTCTCAGCGGCAGTCATCGTCTGTCAAGCTTAGACGATGCCTGGGCTGTACTCACGCGCACCCACCCAATCCTTCGGACAGGCTTCGTCCCAATACACGATAAAGACGCTCCGTTTGCAATGCTACAATACAGTGCGGATTCAAAACCCCCTCCGGTACTCGCAGTGGAAGACGGACACCTTTCGAGTTTCAACCTCGAGAAATGGAGGCTTGACGCGGCAGCGGCGTGTATGCAGCAGTTGCACGAACCGCCGTGGCAGGCGGTGTGCATGGACGGCGAAGACGGCCTGCTTGTGCATCTGGCCATTCACCACGCTCTCTACGACGCACATGCCCTGCGTCGTTTGCTCGACGATCTCGCACGAGTATGGAGTGGAATCTCCCTTTCTGCCTCTCCACGAACCGAGGAGGTGGTGCTTGACATTCTTGAACAAGTACAATCTCAGGCAAGCAATCATGAGGGCTTCTGGAAGGAGCAGGCCAAGAACATGGTCGTCAACAAATTTCCAGTCCTAACGCCCCTACGAGAGGAAACACGGGCCATCCTGGTTGAGTCAATGACGAGTAATCTACCGTTCTCGGATATTGAGAAGTCGATCAGAGCTTCCGGCTCCACCATGCAAGCTGCCATCCAGGCTACCTGGACACGGATACTGTCGTCCTATCTGGGGGAGTCCTCCGTCACTTTCGGGACTGTGCTGTCCGGTAGGAACTCGGAGGCAACAAAGGACGCGGTATTCCCGTGCATTACGACGGTGCCAGTTATTGCACAGAACGATGCCTCCAATAGACGACTCCTGGACGCCATGCTGAGATGGAGCGCCGACCTCTATAAACAGCAGCATGTGCCCCTGACGCAGATCCAGCGGTGGGTTGGGCATCCCGATACACGACTATTCGATACCCTCCTTGTCTACCAGAGGTTCAGCCCCAGTACGGAGGTGTCTTCCTCGTGGAATATCGTGGATGACCTGTCCAACATTGACTATCCGGTCTCTATCGAGATCGAACCGGGCCAGGGGAACAGGCTTGAGTATCACATCACTTTTTTCAGCGATATCTTACCCCAGCCACAAGCAGGACTCCTTCTCGAGCAGTTTGACGCCACGCTGTGCTCCCTGGTTACTTTCCCCGATGGCCATGAAAGCGACCTCTTCGAGTCTGTGCCCAGGCTATTCTCGGTTACACCAGCACAAGAACCTAGTCTGCCTTCTGAGGAGAGATTCCTGCATCAGTTTGTCGAGTCTCAAGCGCGCAAGACGGCGAATAAGACAGCCCTCCGTTTCGTCCACGATTTTGACGGATTGCATCCCCTTGACAGGACGTGGGCCTACCGAGACTTGGACGAGAACGGCAATCGGGTAGCACAGATGTTGCTTCCTTACGTCAAGGTGGGAGATATCGTGGCTGTCTATTTCGACAAGTGCCCCGAGGCGTTCTTCGCTATTCTAGGCATCCTGAAGGCTGGCTGTGCCTTCGTCGCCCTCGATCCCAATGCTCCGGCCGCCAGAAAGGAGTTTATCCTGAGGGACTCAAGCGCGTCCGTCCTCCTGACGTCCGCGGAGAGAAGAGCCAGCATGGACTGGATTGCTAGCGCTCCGGTGCTCACTGTCGGCGAAGATACACTTCGATTGCAGTCCTGCCACTCCGTCCACCTGCAGCGGGAGCTATTGCCAAGTGATGTCTGTTACTGCCTCTACACCTCGGGCACCACGGGTACCCCGAAGGGCTGCGAGATCACGCATGAGAACGCGGTCCAAGCCATTCTAGCGTTCCAGGAGCTGTTCGCAGGTCGCTGGGACGAGACGTCTAATTGGCTTCAGTTCGCGTCCTTCCACTTCGACGTGGCCGTTCTCGAGCAGTACTGGAGCTGGTCGGTCGGGATAACGCTTGTGGCGGCCCCGCGCGACTTGATCCTCGGGGACCTTGCCGGCGTGATATCCAGGCTCGAAATCACACACATAGACCTCACTCCAAGCCTGGCTCGCCTTCTACACCCAGATGAAGTCCCCACACTCTGCAAGGGCGTCTTCATCACCGGCGGAGAGCAGCTGAAACAAGAGATCCTCGATAAATGGGGCGAGAAAGGGGCCATCTACAATGCCTATGGCCCTACCGAAGCAACGATCGGGGTCACAACGTATCCCCGCGTCCCCAAGAATGGCCGATCTTCCAACATCGGGAGGCAGTTTGTCAATGTTGGCTCATACGTCTTCAAGCCGGAGTCTGAGATGCCCGTCCTCCGAGGCGCTGTGGGAGAGCTGTGCGTCTCTGGCAAGCTGGTGGGTAAGGGGTATCTTAACCGAGGAGACCTCACCGCCGAGAGGTTTCCGACACTGGCCCGCTTCGGAGAACGGGTGTATCGTACTGGGGACCTGGTCCGCATCTTGCACGATGGCTGCTTCGACTTCCTCGGCCGTGCCGATGACCAAGTGAAACTCCGCGGCCAGCGGCTAGAAATAGGAGAGATCAACCACACTATCCGGTCCGGAGTGGGGGAGGTCACGGACGTGGCAACGCTGGTGGTGCGAAACGAGAAGCAGGAGAAAGACTTGCTTGTGTCCTTCGTTGTTGCTGTGGGACACCTCCAAAATGGCGAGAAGAGGGAGAAGAGCACTCTGCACGTCATCACCGGCCTGGGAGCCGTCGAGCTAGGCAAACGGGTCCAGGACTGTTGCCGGGAGAAGGTGCCGGGTTATATGGTTCCCACTTATGTACTGCAGTTGCCCTACATCCCGCTGTCGTCCAACAACAAGGCAGAGGTCAAGGAGTTGAAGAAACTGTTCAATTCCATGGACCCGGCACTGCTCATCTCGGCCGGATCCACAACACAAGCTGCTGCCTCGGGCGGCCGACTGAGCAGCACCGGAGAGAGGATTCTTAAAGTTCTGGCGTCGATGGAGTCCATTGATTTACATCATCATGCCGGCCCCTCGACGAGCATCTTCGAGCTGGGGATCGACTCAATCTCCGTCATGCGCTTCTCCATAGCTCTGAGGCGAGAAGGGCTGCCCCAGTCGACCCCTACGATCATCCTGAAGCATCCCAGACTGGGAGATTTGGCCGATGCCTTGGACTCTCACACAGCATCTGCCCACTCGAATTCCGAATCAGCTGCTCGCCAACTCATCCAAGCCTGCCACCATCGACACAGAGCGCACGTGCTGAAAGAACTCGGGCTCGAGCCCGGTCAGGTCGAATACATCGCTCCGTGCTCGCCGCTACAAGAAGGGATGATATCGCGCTCGAGAATGCCGGGTGTCGGGAGCGCATACTTCAATGCGTTCCGGTTCGAGCTGTCCGACGGGGCGTCCATTTCTAACCTCAGGATGGCCTGGCAGAGAGTGTCAGACGCCTGCGCGGTACTGAGAACCTGCTTTGTCGAGACGACCGATGGCCACGTCCAGGTTGCCTTGACACCCGCGCCTGTTTTGTGGACAGAGCTCAGTGTCAAACCTGACGAAGACCTGGAGAGCGTGCTTGGGGCATACAGGGAGTCATGGATTGAGACTAATCGGCACAACATCTCTCAGCCGTTTGACCTACTTTCCGTCGAGACCTCGGACAAGGTGCTCCTCGTTGTTCACATTTTCCACGGGCTGTACGATGCGAACAGCTTTGAACTCATGCTGGATCGGGTGATTGGCGAATACTATGACACGGAAAGAATTGATTACGGGCCAAGATTCCTCGACGGGCTTGTTCGCGGGCCATTGAGAAGCTATTCGTCGTGCAAAAGCTTCTGGGTCGACCACCTTCAAGGGGCATCATCTCAGCCGTTCCCTCAACTTTCTGCCAATCCAATCCCTCAGCCAACAAGCTGTGCAAGGGATATTCCGTTTGAGAAACTGGATGTCGTGCGACTTTCTCTTGGAGTCACCCACCAGTCAGTCATTCAAGCAATCTGGGTGTCCGTCATCCAGCAGATCTTGTCAAACAGCGGGAGTATTGGACTCATCACTTCTGGCCGCTCGATCGATCTCGAAGGCTCAGAGAATATTATCGGGCCACTTTTCAACACCGTGCCGTTCCGGGCTTCCGTGTCCGGGGACTCTGAAACCTGGTCCTCGTTGATCGGGAAGTGCCATGACTTCAACGTTGCCATTCTGCCATTCCAGCATGTTCCCCTGAGGGACATTCAGAAATGGTGCTCCGCCGGAAAGCCGCTGTTCGACACGCTGTTTTCATTCCAGAGGATGGCGGCTCGGACCGGGCACGAGAGGACGCTCTGGAAGGAGAAGGAGTCGACCGTTGATCCCGATTTCCCCCTGGCATTCGAAGCCACACTAACGTCCGACAACCGACTCCGGCTGCTCCTGGTCGCTCAAGGCGGAATTGCGGACTCGGATGTCCTGTCCAACCTGCTGGACCAAGTCGAGGAGGCTGCGGAGAATGTCGCCAATGATCCCAGCCGCCCGGTTACCCAAAACGGTAAAGAGATCCAAGTCGGCGTCCCATGTGAGGCAATTTCGGTGGGACAGAATCAGGAGGCGAAAGAGGATGTTGCTTTTGTGTGGACGCCCACGGCAGACCTGATACGCGAGCAGCTTGGTGTTCTTGCTCAGGTCCCCCCGGAAAACATCGCCGCTACGACGCCGCTGTTGGAACTCGGCCTCGACAGCATCGATTCCATTAAGCTGTCGACGAGATTGCGCAAAGCTGGCTTGAACTTGACCACCAGTCAGTTGATGAAAGGGCAGACAATCTCCGGCTTGGTGCGACAACTTCGAGAGCAGCCCCGGACAAGCACAAACGGACATGTGGTGACAAATGGAACTTCAAAATCCAGCAGATTGTCGACAGACCTTGAAGGATTTCTTTCTCGGATCGGATTCGACATGGGGGCGGTTGAGCGAGCCCTCCCTGTCACGCCGTTGCAGGATTCAATGGTTGCCGAAATGATACAGTCAGACTTCCACCACTACTTTAACCACGACATCCTCGAGCTGGAATCTGATGTCGACCTCGACCGACTCAAGGCCGCGTGGGAAACAGTGGTGGAAAACTCGCCAATCCTGCGCACCTCGTTCATCTCTATTGAGAGCTCCGATTTCAATACCGCCTTCTGCCAAGTGGTTGAAAAGACAGCATCTCTGCCTATCGGCGAGTTTCGGCTGACATCTGTGTCTGACCTGCCCGACGTGATTGATTACGCAAGGCGGCGGGCATGCAAGACTGCGGGGAGATCGAACTTGGTACAGCTCGCGTTCGCAACTGTTGATACCCAACGATATCTCGTCCTCTCCATTGCCCATGCGCTTTACGATGGCTGGTCCCTTAGTTTGCTACACGCCGATGTTCAGGCAGCCTACAACGGGTCTTATGTGTCCCGACCTTCTTACGAGGACCATCTGGGCGAGATCGTAGCGTCGTCAAGCCCCGAGGCGCAGGGTTTCTGGTCTGGCTTTCTGGGTGGTGCGCCTGCGACAGTCATTCCGAGTAAGACACCTGAATCTAAGGATCTGCGATCCGCCAACATCAACCGAGCCGAGGCGTCGTCTTCTATCCCGCTGTCACGCATTAAGGCATTCTGCAGGCAGATGGCCATCTCTCCGCACATCCTTGGGCAAGCATGTTGGGCCGCGCTTCTGGCGACGCGAGCGCGGTCTCTGGATGTGACATTTGGTGTCGTGCTCTCGGGTCGGGAGACGGAGCTGGCCGAGACGCTGATGTTCCCGACCATGAATACCGTTGCCATGCGGAGCGTCCTCCATGGCGACGTCTGCGGCTGGCTGCAATACATGCAGGAGAACATGGCGAGCATCGCGCAATTCCAACATTTTCCGCTCCGGACAGCTCAAAGGCTCGCCGGCGCTACCGGAGGACCGCTGTTTAACTCGCTCTTTATACATCAGAGACAACTGGATCCCGCAGCAAACGGCGGCAAGCAGTTGATGAAATCGGTTGACGGGTCCTCTGCCGTGGATTATCCTGTCTGTGTTGAGATGGAGGCGGGCGAGGCTTGTATGATCTGGAGGGTAGCTTGTGACTCTGACCATCTTGCGGAAGGTGACCCTGGTCTCCTGCTGCATCAATTGGATGCCGTCATGAAGCATCTCATTAGCTCTCCAACTGCCGACGTGCTTACCTTTGACGGGGACGAGATTTCGGTCTGCGGTCTGTCGCCCTTCCGTCTCATAATGAGCCCGAGTTCCCAGAATGGGGTGGCCGAGTCCAATAACGCAGACGGCGATGAGAGTCTCGAATGGTCAGAAAAAGAAGGGCAAATACGGGCGGTCCTGGCGGAGTTGTCGGCAATCCCGGCTCAGTCCATCAGGAGATGGCACAGCGTCTACCACCTGGGCCTCGACTCCATCAGCGCCATCAAGGCGAGCTTCCTCCTGCGGAAGAAAGGCATCTCCCTCAATGCTCGCCAGATCCTGGGGGCGAATTCAATTACCGAGATGTCCGAGCTGGCCTCCACCCCGCCTGCAGAGATAAATGGGAAGCACCACGGAGGAGACGGCGTTGGCTTCGCGCCGTCTGTGGGAGACGTCGATGTGGCGGCTGTCCTTGCCGCCAACGGCCTTGATGCGTCGCTGTTCGAAGGCGTCCTCCCGGCGACGCCGATGCAGGTTCACATGCTCAGCGCCTGGCAGAACACGTCCGGGCAGGTGTTCTATCCCGAGTTTCGCTATCTCCTGCGCGGCGTCGGGGACCTGGATACTATCTTCTCGGCCTGGCAGACCTTGGTCCGGGAGAATCCCATTCTCCGAACGAGCTTCGTGGCGACGGCGTCGCAGGGCTTGCCGTTCATCCAGATGGTGCACCGGCCAGGATCTGAGCCGACCAACAACGTTATGGAAGGAGCCAACGGAACGGGGCGGGGCCTGGGGCATTCGCGTCAGCCGTTCGTCTCACTGCAAGCCAAGTCCAGGGGTGGCTCACAGTGGGGCTTGAAGCTCGCGATTCATCATGCGCTTTACGATGGTGTCAGTCTCCCGATCATCATGGAACGGTTTAGGGTGCTGCTATGCCAGAGCAAGTACCCATCGAGAGACGCGAGTCATGATCAGACCTGGAAGCGTTTACTGTCTCTGCAGACGATGGATGCAGAACGCGAGAGAAGGAGAAGTTTCTGGGTTGAATACCTCCGAGGGGCGAGGACCACACCATTCCCGGCCATTCCAGCGTCTGCGCTGCCCAAACAGTCAAAAGCATCAGTGCGTCGTACCGCACAGCTGACGCGCTCAGCCATCGCAGACGTGTCGAATCTGCAATCCACCTGCCTGGACAAGGGGATCAGCCTCCAGGCCCTATTTTTCGCCGCATTCGCCAAGTTCCTCGCAGCCGAATCGGGGCCTGACGACGACGACGGCGACGTGGTTCTCGGCATCTACGTGGCGAACCGCCACCTCGTCGACGGCATGGACGACCTCCCCTACCCGACCCTCTGCATGGTGCCCCTCCGCGTCCGGCGGCCGCGCCGCGGGTCGTCGGACCTCGTCGCGGCGGCCGGGGAGGTGCACCGGGACGTCCGCCTCATCTCGTCGGATGCGCGCCTGCTGGTCGGGCTGTGGGAAATTGGGGCCTGGACGGGGGTCCGGGTCGACTGCTTTGTCAACTTTTTGAGTCTGCCGCCGGTGGAGCGGGCAGGTGGGGCGGTTGGGCTGGAGGTGGAGGAGGTGGATGGTGCTGGGATGGAAGGGGTTGACGGGCAGATGAACGGGGAGGGAGAAAGTATCGGGGTTGCTGGGGCGTTGGGGGAGCTCGCCATCTCTGAGAATAGAGTCCGGGGCGCTTATCCTGTGAGTTTGTCCATCGAGGTCAACATCGTCTTCTGAGAATTGCACGCTAACCAGGCAGCAGAATGCGGTCGATATCGAAGTGGCGATACGGGGCCTGTCTATGGACATTGGCGTGTTCGGTCCGGGGGAATTGGTGGGGCCGGAGGGGGCTGAGGCGATTGTGTCGGGGGTGACTGGTATCTTGAGGGGGTTGGGTTGATGAGTGGTGTATGAGACGGGACTGTAATGCTGCTGTGGGGGTGAGAGGGAGTTGATACGCTGAACGGAACATAGTGTGCAGGTGGAGATTTTTATAAAGGAAGATGGTAGTTTTTACGCGCAATTTTTTGTTTACAGCTGATAGACTTGTCCCCCTATTCAGTCTCAGACTTCTTCCACGCGGCATCGGCATCTAAACAGTCAATATCATCCTGGTAGTCAAGAACAAAGTGCAGCGCAGATCAGCAAACTCACCCGGATGGATCTCAGGCTCCCCAATATCCCCCCTAACCTCCTTCTTCCTCCTCCAGTCGGTCCCGAACCTCTCGTCCCGCTCCCCCACCACAGCATCAAAGTCAAACTGCCCGTCGGCCGTGTAGCTCGTCATCAGCTCAGGCCCGCCCAGCGGCAGCTCGTGGCCGCGGTCCACCTGCCACAGGTGGTACGCCTTGCCGTACAGGTGCACCACGTCGGCCATCTCGGCCGTCTCGGCGCGCTCCCACGCCGCCGAGGGGACCACGGAGGCGGGGAGCGGCATGATCAGCATGCCGGATTTCACCTCGTAGACGTGGCTGTGCCACAGGCGGCGCTCCGGGGCGGGGAGGGTGGAGTACAGGGTCGGGGTTATCATGTATTCTATGCCGATTAGGCGGGCGGTGGGGAGGGCGCTGTCGTAGAGGAGGCATTGGCGGACGTCTTGGGGGTTGACCGTTTAGTTCCATGTTTTTATGTTGTCCACTTTTGCAAGGGGGCTAAGAACCTTCTGTCAGGTGGCTGCAGTAGTGGTTGGCCTCGACGTGCCGGGTTGGGTCGGAGGCGTAGACGTGGAAGGCGTTGAGGTGGGCGCAGATGCTCTTTACTGGGGTGAAGTCCTTGGGATGGGGAGGGAGTTCAGCGGGCTGTTTTGGCCGACTATGGGGGTTTGGGGATACGGACCTGGGCCAGTGAGGCTCCTGTTTCGAGGACTTTGCTCTTGGTGGAGAGTGGCTCTCCGGGGAGCTTGGGTGTTTGTTCGGTGCTCATTATTGATGATTGAGAGGTGATTTACGCACAATGGCTTTGTTGCAGGATAGATGGACGTTTACGTCGTGAAACATCGATATATAGGTAGGATATGTCTATGGACCTTGCTTGAGGTTGACGTCATGGTGATGGTGATCTTAGGGTCATGACGAGGAGAGCAAGAGATGGCAAGATCACATAGTAAACACAAGACAACACTATACGACACACCACGACACACCACGACACACCATGCATATCATGAAGGCGCCTAAAGATCTGAGTCCTACAGAAGATGACCTTTCCGTAAGAGGGAAATAGTTCGCCCGGAACCAAGCCACTCTCTGCATTGCACCTTAACTCGTGACAAATACTGACTAAGCCCCAAATGCCAACGCGGGCTATAAGAAGCGGGCGGGCAGCCAAGCTCATGTTCTCGTTTCGATGAAAACGTGTAACTCACCGAGCGCCACGATTCCTCCGACCCATCGCCATCATCATCATCATATCCCACAATGAGCCCCGCCCTCTCCTTCCGCCAGATCGTCGGCGCCCCGCCCTCGACGGCGTCGACGGCCGACAGCACGCTGGTGATCATCGACGCGCAGAACGAGTACGCCGAGGGCGCGCTACGCGTCAGCAACGTGGCTGCGTCGCGGGCAGCGATTGCGGGTCTCCTGAACAGGTACCGCGCTGCCGGGGGTAGGGTCGTCCACGTCGTCCACGATACACCCGCTGGTGCGCCGGTCTTCACGCCCGGGACTAGACTGGCTGAGGAGTTTGAGGAGCTGGCTCCGCTTGAGGGGGAGAAGGTTGTCCGGAAGAATCATCCGGGGTCGTTTGCGGGGACGGATCTGCAGGAGTATTTGGATGCTGGGGAGGGAAAGAAGGTTGTCTTGACGGGGTATATGGTGGGTTATTTTTACTCAATTACTCTTAATTGTTTAGACATAGCACGGAGAACTCGTGGAGGGGAAGATAGTTGCTGACAGGAGTTACAGGCACACGTCTGCGTCTCCACCACTGCCCGACAGGCGGCTCAGAGAGGGTATGACGTTCTCGTGGTCGAAGACGCCGTTGGGGATAGAGATATTCCCGGCGTGGATGCTGCGCAGCTCGTTAAGGTTGCGCTGAGTGAGATTGGTGATGCGTTCGGGACCATTGTTCAGAGCAAGGACATCAATTGATTAGGAGCCATTCATCTTGAACGCGTCTGTAGCAGGGGGCCATGGGATTATTTATGAGTCACGTTGGTTCTATACTCTAGTTGAGGACGGGTTTCAAGATTCAAGATGGCATTCATTCATAGCTGCTCGCACCTACGCCTATTTGGCAAGTAATTGATCACACACAAGCCAGCCCAAAATCAGTCCAGATGCGTCGTGTTAAAGAGACGGTTCCCCGTGTCGGTGGTCCCTCGGCCCGTGAATTTGTTGTCAGAAAGACGGAGCGTGACAAGACTGAGATTCTCATCGCAGGCGAGTAACTCAGCCAAACGACCCTCAGAAACCGACTGGGCCTGGACGACTCCGGCAACGACGACAATGCGAACGGCGGCATGCAGACTGCGGACGCGCTGCACAAACTCCACCACCGTCTTGCCGCTGTTCACTACCGAGTCTACTAGCAACACGGCGCCCCGCCCGCTCAAGTGATGTGGACCAAGATCCTCCGCCTCGCGGGCGTGCACAAACGTCGCGAGAGGGAACGCGTCGTTGACCCCAAAGGCCATGGCCTCGCCGCCGCGCATCAGCGCCACGACCGACGTCTGCCGCTCGCGCAGCAGCCGGTGCCCGCTCGTCGTGCCGCCCTGCACGTGCGGGATCGGGTGCTCCTCCACACCGCCCGCCACGTCGGCCAGGAACTCCGTCGCCAGGTACCACCCGACGCGGCGGTGGGCCTCCCTCAGCGCCGGGCCGGCCACCCGGGCGTCGCGCATCGGCGTCATGAGAAGCTTGGCGGCGCTGCGGCCCGTCGCGTGGAGGATCCGGGGGGTAAGGTCCGGTGCGCGATGGCGGCGGAGGACGGAGCCGACGAAGTCGAAGTCCGCGAGCTTGAGGATGGGAAGCTTGGTGGCGTCGAGTCGCGGCGGCGCGTTCCACGGCAGTAGCACCTGGCGCGCCCGGAGGCCGTCGTGGTCGATCGCGTGAAGCAGGGCCGCGTCCATGGTCTTGCTCCTGGTATGCTCCTCGCCGACCACGACGATGGCCTCGTCCGCCTTGGCCAGCATGGGCAGGTCCAGGACGCTGTCTCCGAACGCCCAGACGTGCATGCCATGGACTTCCTGCAGGCGCGCGACGAGGGCGGCCTTGACCTCGGCGGTGACGATGAGGCCGCCGCCGCCGCCGCCATCGCCGCCATCGGCGATGTGGCCCCCGCCAATCACCTTGACCGTCTGGCGCAGGCCCTCCCGCGCCAGGACCGCCTCCCACACGCGCCGGAGCCCGCAGCTCACGACCACGGCCGCGACGTGCTCCTGGCCCGCCACGAGGCGCAGCAGCGCCGCAAAGTCCGGGTGCACCGCCACCGCCGAGGCCGCGGCGTCGCATGCGGCGTCGAACAGCTGCCTGTCGGCCGCGGCCGCGTCCCCGTACAGCAGCGCCGCCTGTTGGAACGCCGCGTACGAGTACCCCAGCGGGCTGCCGAACAGCTCCTTCAGCGGACAGGCGCCGCCGGAGGAGGGCTCCCCGCCGGCTAGGTTCTGCCAGAACAGCGTGCCCGTGTCCTCGGCCACCAGCGTCCGGTCGGCGTCCAGGACCAGCACTGTCTCGACCCGGTCGCGACCGCCCCAGGCCGCGAGGATCTCGTCCAGCCGGCCCTCGGCGCGGGCCAGGTTGCGCTCCTCGGTGTGGACGCGGAAGTCGCGCAGCAGCGCCGAGGCCGTGTCGGGGTGCGAGGTCGTCGTGGGCAGCAGCGAGAACAGGATGCCGTGCTCGCGGCAGAGGCGCCGGAGCTGCGCCGCCTCGGCGCGCTGCCACTTGCGCAGGTGGTCGATCGAGACCCCTGGACGGGTCCTCTGGGTGTCGCCGAGGCGGCGCTGCGAAATGAGCTCGGCGGGGAGGTCGAGGTAGAGCATGTGCGTGTATGTGTTGAGGTCGTTGGAGGTGTGTACCGGTTCGCCGGCCGCGTCGCCCTCGTCCCAGAACATGAAGTGTCCCGCCACGACGCCGACGCGTCCGCCTTCGGCGCATTCCTTGCGGATTGTGTCGATGGCGAGGTTGCGGAATTGCTCTTTGTCCGGGGGCGACAGCTTGTGGAAGGCCTCGAGGCCGCCGGGGACGAGGCTCGCGAGCATGTCTGAGCCCTCGTAGAAGGCGAAGTGCTCCTCCCCGAGTTGTTGCTTGAGTTGGTTCAGTAGGAATGACTTTCCGGACCCGGGGACCCCATAGAGGCCGATGACGATTGGTCTGACTTTGGACGGGGGTCTGGCAGAGGAGTCAGCGAGCTGGCTCGGCATTCCATCCGCAATTTGGGCAGACATGTTGCTGAGTAGGCTCTCGCTAGTGGCAGGCATAATAATAGACAACTCAATTCTTCTAAAAAATCTGGGCGAGAAGGTGTGAGAGTTGGTTAACGGCGAGATACTCCAAAGTCAGGTCGTTGTGGGATGCTTTGGAGGGTTGGTGCAACTGGCTGTTTTAAGATGCCTGGGGTCCTAGGGGAGGCTCATTAATAACTGGGCTCTAGATTTATTACTTTTGCGACTCACCAGATGGTTGGAGACCGGTCTGGCTACGAAATCATGCATGTGTCATCACGGTGTACATGCTTGTAGCCTCCTGTTTGTGGCCTGGGATACGGACGCCCGCAAGGGAGGCCAATGTCTTTGTCCCATCCAGCGGCAGCTAGCCAAGCAGGCTCTGGCCGGCACCAATAAACCGGTCCAGCTTTCGGTCAAACGAAATATCGCAAGGCAGCCGCTTGGGAAGGCATCCGGGCGGGACAGGTGGGAAACTGCACCTTTCATGTGCAAGGGTAAATTCGTGTGAGGCTCGCTATGGACCCCCAATGTCTGCCAATCATGAGGTCGGCGGAAGCGGAGTTCTCTAGGCATATCCGACGTATGGCTTGCTGGGTGGGTGATACAAGATGTTGGAGGCCCCCTACTTTGTCACGAGTTGTTAGTCCAGCATTGATTCTGATTCGTGAGCAGATGATGCGTTGCCATCGCCAGATTTCAGGATAATTACGCCATGGAATAGATGCAGCTTTTCATGAAAAGAATGGGGTGGGAATAGATCCAGACGTTGTAAGCAGCAAACAGGTGAGTGGGTTGAGAGGTGGCAAGGCTCCGGACCCCGTCTCGGAAGCACCAAATTTGGCTTATTTTGGCTATATTCATCGAGCCATTATTACAATCTGGGCCCTTATCTCTGCTACTCTCTGCACAGCTTTGACTTCAACAGATGTTGCAGGCAAAAGACGAAGACGAGGAGGGTTACGAGGACTAACGCTGGAGATGCGGATAGCGAAGACGGCGACGTAATCTGGGCTCAAACGAAGGACATGGTTCCCGTTGCGGCCAAAAGAAGGGAAGCCGTTTAGAGGATTGAGACGAGGCAGGGCCCAGGAGATTGTCGTGGAAGTAGGAAACAGTCAGATCAATCAAATCAACACCCAAACGAGGTTCTGCTAGAAATTGATGATCGATCTTGAGTTTAGGGGTTTGCCCCTTTTCATGGGGTGGTGGGTGGTTTTATTGAAGTTATGCTTTGGTTTATGTCGATGAGTCATCTCTATTACCTGTGCAACGCCTCTTGTTTGTTACACACCCAAGACGCGATGCAAGTCGCGGTCCAAGACACAACGCACAAACTCCGATCCTCAAGTCAAACCGGAAAAGAGAGCCAAAAGAAAAAAAAAAAGAGTTCCATGTTGAGCGGCCTTCTGAGACGGTGGCACAGAGTGCTGGGCCTTTCCCGGCAATCGCCCCCGTCGTGGTACCGAGACCGGCTGCGCGAGGAGCTTCGGGAACGCCGCGAGGCAACCGGCTTCTGGCCGAAGCTGAGCGAGACCTCAGACGTCTTCTTCTCCATCAGTCGCGCCCGCCACGACGGCTTTCCGGTCTGTCACCTGCCACCCTTCTCCGCCTCCCGCCACGGCCACGTGTATGCCTACATGCTGGCCAAGTTTTCCATGCGCTGGGCCTTTTACCGGACGGCGGCCTGGCTCTGCCGCTCGCCTGGGTACGCATCGGTGCGCGAGGTGGTCAACCCCGCCAAGGATGGCAAGCTGGATGAGGTTGCTGCCCGCCATGGAATCAACCAGGCAGAGTTTGCGCGGGTTGGTCGCCGGTTACGACGGGTGTGGCCTCTGCTCCCGTAGCTCCGCGCCGAAGAGCGGTCAGCAAGAAACCGGGTATGTGGATGCCTAACAGGCTTTGACATGCAAACAAGGGAACTAAGGATTATTGGCAGACGATTGAGTCTAACATGTACGAACGTCTGGTACACACGCGTGGAAGCGCTTGTTTGCACGCCGAAATAACATCGCTGGTTGGGTATGTACTTAAAATGAGGGTCCTTGGCTGCGACACATGCTCACAAACTGATCCAGGAAAGGGCATGATGGCTGTAACAGTTCAGCTACCCAGTCACTGTCGGCACTACCCAGTGAGATGAGATGGAACTGGCCGAAAGCCAGACCTGCCACAAGGTCAACGAGGCCCTCTGCGCTCTGCTCCAACTATCCCGCGGCATCAGGATGTGCTCCAGTCGCGAGGGCAGAAGGTCAAGGCCACGCCTCAGGACTACAAGCGCAAGAAGGATACACAGAATGGGGAGCATAGTGAGAATAGGAAGGATATGAAAAGGAGAGTTTTGATGTGTAATTAAACGCCAATTTCTACCCGAACCAGTTGGTCAACCACATGGCCTTGCGGTCGCCTTGCTGGCCTATTCTATCGGCTTGCCCATCCATCTATTAAAAGTTTACATAAACTCTGCCTTGCCACGGCCTCAGAGTTGTCCGACTTCCCTCCTTAGCAGACTCACAGCCAGTAACTGTGTCGATCAAAAGCGTCACCTGCGCCTGCTTGCAACCCAGTGTCTCAGCGGCATCAATGCAAGGCTGGTCCTCCTTGGAGAAGTTCAGTACCACGAGAGCCTTCCTCGTGGCGCCACCTGGCGCACTAGCACTCTCCTTCACATACGAGAACACGGCCTCATTATCAGGCTCGAGCAGCCTGAACGCGCCATGGATGAACACATCGCGCCACTGCTTCCTCATCCGAAGCACCCTCTTGTAGAACTCGAGCACCGACTCAGGGTCACCAGCCTGCTTCCTAGCGTTGATATCGCGATACTCGTCGTGCACCCTCATCCACGGCCGGGCCCCATCTGGCGCAAACCCGGCGTTGGCGGAGTCGTCCCACTGGAACGGGATGCGAGAGTGATCACGGGCGAGGATGCGCAGGCCGTCCATGGTGTCGCGGACGCGGCCGGCGTCGCCCGAGCGCACCGCCTCGGCGTAGAAGTTGCCGCTCTCGATGTCCCGGTACTCGCCGATGCCCCAGGAGGCCGGCATGTTCTTCATGCCGATCTCCTGCCCCTGGTACAGGAACAGCGTGCCCGTCAACGTGGCCTGCCAGAGCGCGAGCGTCTTGGCCGACGCGGCCCACAGCTCAGGCGTCGACGTGTCGCCGAAGCGCGACACGGCGCGCCCGTTGTCGTGGTTCTCGCAGAAGGCCGTCGTCCAGCCGTCGGTGCCCTCGATGAAGGTCTGCCACTTAGCCACGACGGCCTTCAGGGTCGACAGCGGGAAGGGGTGGTAGATGTACTTGGCCCCGAAGCCGCCGCCCGTGCCGAGGCGGATCATGGAGAACTCGAACACCATGTCGAGCTGCTCGGCGGCGGCGGACACGTAGGGTAGCACCTGCGAGGTGAGGGGAGTGTTGGAGAGTTCGCCCACCGATACGGCCCCGTACGGCGCCAGGGCCTTGGCCCGCATCTCGCGGATGAACTCGTGGATGCGCGGGCCGTTGCACCACATCTCCGGGGCGGGCTGGTCCGGCGACGTCGGGTCGGTCACCGGCGCGTCGACGTACTCGGTGCGCTTGGAGTACTTGTTGACTGTGTCGATCCGGAACCCGTCGACGCCTCGGTCCAGCCAGAAGCGCATCGTGTTCTCGTAGATGGCCTCGCGGCACTCTTTCGTCTCCCAGTTCAGGTCGGGCTGGTCGGGGTCGTAGAGGTGGAGGTAGTACTCTTGCGTGTGCTCGTCCCACGTCCACGTCGGGCACGCAAAGTAGCCGCGCCAGTTGGTGGGCGGCATCCTGTTGCCATCGGCGTCGTACCGCGCTGGCTTCCAGATGTACCAGTCGCGCTTGGGGTTCGTCTTGGACGAGCGCGACTCCTTGAACCACTCGTGCTCGACAGAGGTGTGGTTGACCACCAGGTCGAGGATGAGCTTCATTCCCCTGTCATGGCAGGCCCGGATGAGGGAGTCAACGTCCTCGACAGTTCCGTACGGGGCATAGACCTTCCTACGGCCGCATCGTCAGTCTAGACTCCGTGTAGTAATGCAGCATAGGATCCAATACTTACTGGTAATCCGAGACGTCGTAGCCCATGTCTTTTTGTGGGCTCTCGAATATGGGCGACAGCCAGACTACATCCACGCCGAGGTCATGGAGATAGTCTATCTCGGAGAGGACGCCCTGGAGATCACCCCAGCCATCCCCATTGGAGTCTTTGAAGCTCGCGGGGTAGACTTGGTAGAACGTGGCATCCTTCCACCAGGGCTCCTTGCCGAAGAGGCCGTTGTGATGGTGGTCTAGCGAGCCCATTGTCGGGGTAGCTTCATTGGTCGACCTTCAATATCCGCGGGAAAATGAGATGGGAGAAAGTGTTGGGCTTGGAAAGGGGCAGAGAGGTGAAGGAGGATGAATATGTTCTCATTGCTCCTCTGCCGATCCCACCCTTGCCTGCCTGCCGTGTGGCAAGCGGGCCCAGGAAAGTGGCACTCTCATCTGATCTCCGCCTTGTCGGAGTTGTCTCCGCCTTCGTGTTCCTGACCCGACAGAACTTTCTGCGTGCCGGAGCTTGTCTAGTCGGCGACGACGATGGGGATATACGTTAGCGAGGTTGGCGAGAATGGTCCTTTCGTGGGGTTTGAATCGGCCCATGCCTTTCAAGCCATGTGAAAAGGCTTTCTAGCGTCTTGGCGGAAGAGCTTCTGACGCTTTCTGACCCGGTTTTTGGGAGGTAAGCCCCTGCAACAACTCCGATCGACTCCGACACGGGCCATGTCATTGGCCGCCGTTTTCCAAATTCCAAGCCCGCGCCTCCAACTCCGCCATCAACTCCGACACCCCTGACCTTCCCCAGCTTCCCGACCATTGATTCTCCACAAATAATCCCGCCCATTCTCGCCCCGGATCTCCACCCCCTCAGATGAAAACTTGCGGGCTAACCGCATTGCTGGGTGCAATGGAATATTTCGACTTGGATCGAGGCTTCTCACCCGTCCACACGACCGGACATAAATATCCCATGATGCCGCCCTCTTGACGAGTCGGGACGCTGACCTTCTCTTCTTTCCCTCACTCACCACCTCCCTCAATCTCTCTGGGGCACCTTTCCCTCCCTCTTCATCATCTGGGCCATCATCGTTCTTCTCTCAAAACCCCCCCAAACGCCCAAAGCCACTACAATGGCTGACGACAAGGCCACCCACACCCCAGCCGGGGAGCTGGAAACCAAGCACGAGGATGTGCCCGCGGTGCTTCACGATGAGGACCTCATCCAAGAGGCGAAGCACGCCTCGGCCAAGGAGCAGCAGATGTCCCTGATGACGGCGATCAAGCTGTACCCCAAGGCCATCGGCTGGTCGATGCTGCTATCCAGCACGCTCATCATGGAGGGCTACGACCTCGCCCTGCTAGGCAGCCTCTACGCGTCCCCCGTCTTCAACCAGAAGTTCGGCGACCTCAACCCGGACACGGGCAAGTACGCCGTCTCGGCCGCCTGGCAGTCGGGCCTGTCCAACGGCGCACGCGCCGGCGAGATCATCGGCCTCGTCCTCGCCGGTTGGGCAGCCGACAGATACGGCTACAAGATGACCACTATTGGGTCGCTGGTCCTGATGATCGCCTTTGTCTTTGTCCTCTTCTTCGCGCCCAGTGCCCCCGTCCTGGTCGTTGGTGAAATCCTGTGTGGAATGCCGTGGGGTGCTTTCCAGAGCGTGACGCCAGCGTATGCGTCCGAAGTAGCACCAGTTGTTCTCAGGCCCTATCTCACGACTTTCATCAACATGTGCTGGGTTATTGGTAAGTCTGCCAGCTTCACCTTGATGCGGCCGATTTAAGATCACATCACTAACATGTGACATGCAATTAGGTCAATTCTTCGCTGCAGCTGTGAACCGGAGCTCTGTTACACGGGCAGACCATTGGGCGTACAGGATCCCCTTTGGAGTCCAATGGGTGTGGCCGATCCCCATTCTCGCCGGGCTGATCTTTGCTCCGGAGTAAGTTAATGCGGGCCCCCAAAGTCCGCGACGGACTGACTGCCCCGTCCATGGCTAGTCCAAGTGCTGACACCACACCCCAACCTCCAGATCGCCATGGTGGTATATCCGACACGGCGATAGGGAATCGGCGAAGAAGTCGCTCCTCCGCTTGACCTCCCGCAACCAGCCAGACTTTGACGCGGACGAGACCATCGCCATGATCGAGCACACGAACGAGCTGGAGAAGCAGATGAGCGAGGGCATCCGCTTCCGTGACTGCTTCAAGGGTGTCGACCTGCGCAGGACCGAGATCGTCGTCGGCATCTGGCTCGTCCAGACTCTCGGCGGGCAGAATCTGATGGGATACTTCGCCTACTTCCTGTGCGTGCTCTCCAAATATCTGATTCGCCGAGACAACTGCTAACGTACCACATGAAAACAGCACGCAAGCAGGCATGGACGCATCCAACTCGTTCTCCCTCTCCATGGGCCAATATGCCCTCGGCATGGTCGGCACGGCAGGTTCGTGGTTCCTCATGTCTCGCGTCGGGCGGCGCACGATCCACTTCAGCGGGCTCTGCGCGCAGTTCACTCTCCTGGTCATCGTGGGAAGCCTGTCGTTCGCGACGAGCAACGCCTCGGTCTGGGTCATCGGCGCCATGCTCATCGTCTTCACCTTTGTGTACGACTTCACCGTCGGGCCCGTCACCTACAGTCTCGTGTCGGAGCTGTCGTCCACCCGTCTCAAGGCCAAGACCATCGTGCTCGCCCGCGGCGCCTATAACGCCAGCAACATCTTCGTCAACGTCATGACCAACTACCAGCTCTCCAGCACCGCCTGGAACTGGGGACCCCGGACCGCCTACTTCTGGGCTGGAACGTGCCTGCTGAGCGCCGTCTGGGTCTACTTCAGACTCCCGGAGCCGAAGGGTAAGCCTCCTGTTTTCACCCCCCGCTAAATCCAAGGTTTCAGATGCTAACATGGCCCCTCCACAGGACGCACATACGCTGAACTGGATCTTCTCTTCGAGAGCGGGGTGTCGGCCAGGAAGTTTGCGACCACACAAGTCGACCCCTATTCGCACACTCTTGGGGCTGCGAAGAGGGTGTCGACGGAGAAGGAGCTGGAATGAAGCACTCGGCTGTAGCAGGACGTATCGGTACTCGCAGGTAGCATTAATCGTATCGCAATCCCATAATCGTAAATCACCATCACAACATTGCCCTATATCTCCATCCCCGGCAGAGTTAGCTGGATGTGCTTGAGCAACAAGTCATTGTAGACCGCATCCCCACCCGGCAGCAGCGCTATCATCCGCCGCAGATACCGGAGGTCATCCTCGGGCCGCCCGCCCACGTAAGGGGTCCCATCCTCCCGCTCCAGCGGCACGCGCGCGAGCACGTCGGCGACGGCGCAGGCGATGTCGAACAGCTTCTCGGTCAGCCCCACGCCGTGCACGCGGATGCACGACAGGGGTAGGTCCCGCGTCGACAGCGCCGCCTCGCGCGCCACCTCGAGCGGGTAGCGGTACGTCAGGCTGGCCGGGCGGGGCGGCCCCGTGGCCCCCGACGACGACGACGACAGGTGGCCCAGCCGCAGCCGCAGCTGCCACAGCACGATGCGCAGCCACAGCTGCGTCACGCGCAGGTTGGCCTTTTGCGTGTCGCGCAGACCCTCCTCGGCGGCGTCGTCGAACGCCGCGCCGACGGCCGCCTCGATGTGGTTGAGCGACGCGGCGGTCGCCGAGAGGGGCGCCGGGGCAAGGGTCTCGCGGTTCAGAAGCGCGATGAAGGCCGTGTCGAGGGGGCGGAACAGCGCCGCGAGGTTCCAGAACCCGGCCAGGGACGAGTCCGGGTGCGGGACGGGCGTGTCGGGCGTGATCTGCAGGGTCACGGGGCGGCGGTAGCGGATCGCGTGGGACCGCTCGGATATGAGCAGGACCCAGAAGAGGCGCTCGGAGAGGGCGCGGGCGCGGGCGTCCTCGTTCTCTGGTCGGAAGAGGAGGAGGAGGGTGGTCGCCTCGCGAAGGAAGATGAAGGCCCGGCTGTGGTGGAATAGGGAGGCGTGGCAGGCGTATATGAAGAAGGTGAGGAGGACGTGGTCGAAGCACGGGCTGGAGTTCTGGTGCACACGGTGGTATACCTCGGTCGCTTCATCGAAGAGTAGCCGCCCGTATTCGGAGTTGCTTTGCGGGATAATGCCCTCGAATGAGAATCGGTCCGGGGCTTCGACTTGGAGCAGAACCATGGCACAAAGTGCGATGATGGTCCCGTAGGATTCCCATCCCAACTCCGGCGACTCCGCCCTGAGTCTCAAACTCTGGACGTAGTCCTCGGTCAGGATCGGGATGGTGGGGCAAAGCTGAGCAAAGAAACGACCGACACAGAGATCGATCACCTCGGGTGGTGGCAGGCCGCGGTGGTGGGCCAAAGTGTGAGACCCCACTACCGTATCCGAGAGCGGCGGCATGTCACTGCACTCATCTGCTAAACCTGCCCTGATGCACCGCTGGCAAGGCCGATGCTCGCTGCAGCCCTTCTGCATCCTCTTGCAACGGCTGCATGCCCTCGACACCTGCATCCGCTTCAGTGGCGGCTGGCTGTCAGGCCCGGCGCTTGAGCCCCCGTCGTTTGAGGCTCTGCTCCTTGCTCTCTTGGTTTGAGAAGATGCGGCTGAATGCGGTGACAGGGAGCCACCCTGCAAACGCTGTGTTGCCATGTCGCTGGGCCTTGGACCTTATCAGACTGGCCGGTTGAAACTTGGGAAGCTGTTTTGCGACTGCGGAAGTGGGTATCCTGGTTGTTGGGAGCCAGTGGAGTGCGCCAATCATACCACCGACCTAGCGAGTCGACCATTCCGCTCTGGGCATAAATCCAAAACGGGCAAGGACTGCGCATGGCCAGGTGTTCCCGAGAAGCAGCTGCCTCTCTCCCTACAGATACCTACGTAAATGATATATCATGCTATGAATGCAGAATAGTGTACTACCTATGCAACAGTAGGGGGCTGAGACGCGGGTTCTGGCCAGATCCCAATCTCAGTGTTCATTTATTGTGGCTGTCACTCCAAAGTTCAATGGTGGCATCCAGCGGGACATCCAGCGGGAGGCAGCCGCAAGCCAACCAATGGCGGAGCCAGCTCTGGAATTAGCTGGTGGAACTCGATGCAAGCCAGCAGTGCGGCTGAACACTAGTGGATGCTCTACCCAGATTAGGGATGACGCGACGGAGGACCACGGCGACAAGACTGCCTCGTCTCGCCTAGCAAGGTTCTTTTCCACGCAGCTGTGCCCAGTTCCTACGATTCTAGGCCCGATCCGATATGATGGATCCCTCAAATCCTGCAGTCTCTTTTAAATACGTGGAGGGTCCCCTCATTTCCTCCCGCAAACTTCCAAGTTCAAACAAACCGGACAACCTAAGACGAGCCTCCGCGACGGCAATCGAAGCGAAAACATGTCTCAAGTCAATAGTTCGGCGGCATACACATCGGGGGGTGACGGTACAGGGCCCCTAATCGTCCACACCCCTCTGTGGGTTACCATCGTCCGCGGTTTCCAGGCATTCTTCGCCTTCCTCATCCTGATCCTCGCTGGTCTCCTCATCCACGGACTCGCCCTGGATGCGGTCGTCTTTGGTCTTGTCTGCGTATGTGCCCCACCTGCACGGGCCAGAAACCGTCGTCCTCGGCGCATCGCGGAAGGAGGCTGACATAGGGACCAGGCTCTCTTCACCTTCATCATAGTCACGTATGCGCTCGTCTCCGAGAAGGCGGCCAGCTGCCAGACCGCCTACAACATCTGGGCGATCCTCTCGCTCGACCTCTTCATAGCCATCTTCTGGCTGTCGTCCATGGGCGCCAACGCCGCCCTGCGCGCCGCCTTCACCGTCAGCGTGAACGCGAGCTGCTATAACGACGGGAGCGCCATCAATTCAGGCCACTGCATCGTGTCAAGGCAGGAGAACGGCCTGCAGAAGAGATATGCCGTCGCCAGCAAGGCGGGCTTGGCGGAAATGAGCGCCATCGCTGGGTTGAGCGCTCTCGAAATGTAGGATGATGTCCCACCATCAACTCCTGCCGATGTCGGCAGGATGTGTTTCCACCTCCAATGCTGACCCCCTTGGTGATAACAGGCTCCTCTTCATTGCGACACTTGTGTTCAACGGCCACGCCTTCCGCATGTACCACCAGGAGAAGAAGGGTCAGGTCGCCGACAACAGCACCGTTGAGATGAAGCCTCAGTACGACCCGGCGCAGCAGCCTGGCGCCCAGCAGTACCCGCAATATACCGACCAACAACAGTATCCATCGCAGGCCTACCCGCAACAGCAGGCCCAGCCTCAGCAACAGCAGCCGTACGATGACACGGCGTACGCCCAACAGCAGCAATATCCCCAGCAGCAATATCCCCAGCAACAATATCCCCAGCAGCAGTACGCCCCAACCACATACCAGGCCCCCGTCCAAGATCCGTCTCAAGGGTACTCGGGCGGGTATGCCCAGCAGACGCCGGATCCCTTCCAGCAGCACCCGTACAGCCCCCACGGCACGCCGGCGCAGCAACAACCGCCCTACCACCCGCCTCAGTGAGCGGCGGGGTTCCGGTAGGGGTATGCAGGGTGACGACTGCAAGGAGGTGCGATTTTCGTATGATAGAAACCTGCGTGTGTTAGCGAGCTTCCGGTTCGAGGGTTATTCTGGGTAATTAATACTACACGGGAGTTTTCGGGGATACATTAGAAGAAACGAGGTACCTAAGAGCTGTATTTTGGTCAAATTCATTGTCGTTCCATCTGCATCCCCGCCGTCATTGACATGCCATCCCAAGAACGATCGCTGTCCATGCTGATCTGATACCATCTCGCAGACGTCGGTGGGCAGTAGACTCTCAAGCCGCATGAACCATCCGCCGAAGAGGTAAGGGTGACGGGATGGGGGGGAAAAGAAACGGATGATGATGGGCTTCGGCTGCAGGTGGAAAGGTTACTTCGTCGGTCAGCGATTATCAGCAGCTTGGCTTCTTGCTTCCGCCCCGTTTCGTCCCATCGCATCCGAGTCGTCAGTCGAAAAAGTCATGTGCATGCATGTGCATCTGGTTTTACGTTTGTCCCAAATATGCCCCTCCGTCGGCATGCTTGCTCGTACATATGTTGCGACTGCGTTACTCTCGGAATGATGGGTTGGGGAAAAAGCAAGCTGGCACCCGGGTCCAATAAAGACCAAACGCCGTGCCGTGTTTGGTTGGATGGCGGAGGAGGAGGAAACGGGTGGGCCCGGTCACATGGCTCGACGGCGGGGAGCCGATGGGCGATCTGCCGGGCATCCTAGCCAGAGTCAGGAATCGTTCTCGACCTCCTTTTTCCAGTTCTAAATTCTTGGGGGCAGCCAATTTGTCCAGACAACAGAGAGATAATGAGAGCGTCCATATTTTCGTGCATTCCTGTGCTATTTTAGCCTCAAGGAAGCTTCTGGAGGGGGGTTGGAAGACGCCACCACAACGGACGTGAAACCAACCTGCAGAATAAAATAGCTCTTCATTCCACTGCAAGACTCTGGAATCTGACCCTTTAAGCTTTCCAGCTAGATTCAATTACCAGCTGAACCGCCAGCTCTCCACACATCCAGGGAAGCCTTGCATGTGAACTAGCCCTCCAGGGGCGTGCAAACAAGACAATGTGGCTGGCAGTTACCAAGTGAGACCTGCACGAACCTGCTGTTGGAATTTGGGGGGCAATAATTTCATGGCGAATGTCTCAGATCTCAAAGGTGCAGAAACACGGAGGGAGGAGACCTGTGATGATTGGGTGGGTCTCCTTCAGCATAGGGCCCGGATCGGAGTGGCAGGTCGGGCTTTGTCCGCGGGAAGGAGATCCAACCCCCCCTGTGCTCAGTCTTGAGTCATTCGCGCGTGTAACACCCGCGACCTCATGTGTGAAACCGGATAGTGCTGCTCTCATTCCTGACAGAGGCGCCCTGGCAACGATCCTCGTGGGCTATCGATGATGTATTCCAGTCATGGTGCCCGTGTCATCGAATGGCAGGCGGGTTCCAACCCCTTTCTGGCCCCCTCGGTAGTCTTCGTGATGATGTTTGCTGGTCTGCTGGTCTGCTAGTCTGCTAGTCTGCTACTCCCTTGGTCCCGCAAGTGCTCCAGCCATTGTCTCATCGCTTGTCACCAGTATCCCTGTGTGGGAGAGTTCGGCCTAGAGCAAACATGGACCGCCCAGGTGGATGATGTAGATTCCAACAGGAACCAGGGCACATATATGATGCCCATTCATCCTGCCATCAGTCCTCGGTGATCTCTTCCTCACACTTCCATCAACATCTGATATCCACACTACGCAGACTCAATACTACCCAATCATCAGCGTACTCTTAAGAGGCTGAGGAGAGAGAAGAAAAAGAAAAAAAGAGAAGCCGGCTTCTCCAGTCGATATCCATCAAAGACACCGACGTACTTCGCAATGAAGACCACCATACTCACTGCCCTCTCGGTGGTCGGCGCCACGGCCGCCCACGTGGTTGCCGTCAAGCTCGCACCAGAAGGCGCGCCGCCCGCGGGCTGCACCACCAACTTCGACGGAGAGTTTGAGATATCAGTTTCCGAAGGGTCATCCGAGAAGCGGGGTCTTTCCCTAGAGGTTCGACAGGCGTCCTCCCACCGCGCCTGGGACCGCCCTGGCAAGTTGCCTGCAGAAGCTGACGGTCATTCGCAAAAGCAGAAGCGGGCCGCCTGCTCCGCCGAAGGCATCCTCGTCGTCACCCTGACCGACGGCACCCTCCGGGACGCCCAGGGCCGGACGGGATACATCTCGTCCGATTTCCAGCTGCAGTTCGACGAGCCGCCGCAGGAAAACGCCATCTACACGTCGGGCTTCTCGGTCTGTCACGACAGCGGGCTGCTCGCACTCGGGCCCTCGACACAGTTCTTTAAGTGCCGGTCGAGCGAGTTCTGGAATCTCTACGACCGCCACTGGGCCGAGCAGTGCTCCCCCGTTGAGCTGACCGTCATGCCCTGTGGCGGCGAGTCCAAAGAAGGCGGACAGGTGGTCGGCACGGCAGTCGTGGCCACCACCATCGTCATCACCCTCAGCGACGGCCAGACACAGGTGGTCACGACGCAGGCACCAATTCCCATCTGCCAGATCGGAGACGGTGAGAACCCCCCTCCCCCTCCCCACCCTTCCACCAAGGGGCCGGTCCCAACGCAGATATTCCGACATATATACTAACCATCAAACAGGCCAAGTCCAAGCCCACACCACCCCCTGCGAGCTCCTCGGCCCCGGCGCCCCAGAGCCCACAAACCGCGGCCCGCCCGTCGGCGAGTCCTCGGACGGCCAGATCCAGCTGACCGGCACGGCCCCACCGCCACCAGAGGAGTCGGGCGCCACCGGCGGACCGCCCCCGGCCGAGTCGTCCGAGGCCGCGCTGCCGGTCGCTTCGTCGGGCTACGCCAACGGCACCTTCCCCGCCACCACGGCTACCGTCCCGCCGCCCGTCGAGGGCCCGACTAGCGCGCCGGGCGGGGGCGTCCCGCCTCCGGAGGCGTCGGTGCCGGTTAGTGGGGGGAGGCGGGTGGAGATGGGGTCTGTTGGTGCGTTTGTGTTGGGGGTTCTTGGGGCGGTGTGGTTCCTATAGGGGGTGGTGGCGACGGCTTTGCTAATGGCATCGTTTGTTGGAGGGACATATTGTAACGGGTGTACGCCATCCCTGGGATTAGGGATGGAGGGGGAACATAATCAGGGTCAGTCTGTCTTGGAAGGGAAGGATGCAGGGCGGAGGCGCGATGGAGGGTTTGCTCTAGGACCCATTGATTGGGGCCTTGACGAAAGGGAGGACTAATAGTCAGGTACTGTTAGAATGTACTGGGAATCCGGTACCTGAAGGGTGGTACACGAAAATAGAAGGTTTGGCATATCCATCAAAATTCAGATAATTTATCCACCAACAAGTTCATATCGATCAGTTCACGATTCCATTCGAAGTCCTCCGGCCTGCGGCCATGATCCTGGAAGGGTCACGTGATAGGGCGTCCCTACTTCCGAGGCCAGTCCGTGCGTCGATTTTCGGTCCAGGGTTCTTTCGCCATGTCCATGATTCTTCAACCTGTACTGCTGCATCCGAAGCTTCTATCTTGCGAGGCACCATCCATTCTCGCGTGCCAACGTCTGCCGAAATACAATTCAGCGGCTCTTCTCATCAATTAGCCAAGCCTGACCATCATAAACCACGTCTTTCGGCCACAGCCGCGTCCACGACTGCCTCCGAATCGCACCCCCCACACCCCGCCGAAATGTCCGAATACTGGAAGTCGACACCAAAATACTGGTGCAAGCAATGCGGCATCTACGTGCGCGACACGAAACTCGACCGCGCAAATCACGAGTCCACGGGCAAACACAAGAGCGCCCTGCAGCGATCCCTCCGCGACCTGCACCGCGGCCACGAGAGGGAAGAGCGCGAGAAGGACCGGGCGAAACGGGAGGTCGAACGCCTCAACGGCGTCGTCTCGGGCAAGCCATCCACATCATATACACCGGCATACGGCGGGCCGAAAGAAGGGGCATATGGCGGCGCCGCGCCTTTGAGGGCCGGGGCAGGACAGCCGGCGGAAGTGGGCCGGCAGGAACAGCTGGAACAGCTTGCCGAGCTGGGGGTCAACATCCCCACCGAGCTGAGGCGCGGCATGGCTATGGCGGGCGAGTGGACCGTGACTTCGACGCGCGTCATCAACGAGCCGGGGGAGGGCAAGGAATCGGCGGCGGTGGGGACTCGCGCCACTGGGGTGCGGAAACGAGAGAGGGAGCTGACCGAGGAGCAGAAGGAGGAGGAGAAGGCTATCAAGGGGCTCTTTAAGAAGCCCAGGAATTGGGGGAGGGATATGAGAGATATGCCCTCTGAGGGAGACGCCGAGCTGGATCAGCTCTTGAGTGGGCCCCTGGTGAAGGCCAAGAAAGAGGAAGGCGAGGGGAAGCCCGATGAGAAGGCCGGTGGGATAAAGAGCGAGGATGATCGTAAACCACCTGCACCATCTACAGCAGCGGAATCAGAGCCGCCGACGAAAGAGGCTCCACCTCTCATCAAGCGGGAGTCTGACGGAGGGGATGCCGAGGTGGGACAGCCGGCCCCAGCTGAGGAGGTCATACCTGCGGCTCCTGATTCGAAGAGCAACGACCTTGAACCTGCGGGAGCAGAGCCTACAGTGGTTTTCAAGAAACGAAAACCGAAGAATATCCGGCAGAAATGATGTGCCTGGCGACCCTATGGAGGTTCAAGAGAAAATGATACCCAGCCGTTTGCACCCAGCATATTGCCTTGCTCCCAGCCCAACCGTGATATGGAACACGAATTATCCCCCCAAGTTACCTAAGTATCGGGGCTCAAGGCGTATGGGCTCTTCGTCCTTAACTTTGAACCAACCCACCAGAACACGAGAGGCGCCGGGGCTAGAACAACGGCGATGGATCCCAGAAAAGTCATCGTCCACTGGACGCCGATGCCACTGTATAATGGCCGCGCGGCCATGACCATCCCCCCCGCGATCAAGTATCGCACCATTGTAATGCTCGCCAGCGCGATTGCCGCATGGTCCCCGTAGCTGTCGATGATGTACTCATAGCTGCTGACGTATATGGCGATCAGCGCCACCCCAAACACAAAACAAGCCCCGAGACTCGACCAGATAGAAACACTGCTGCGGTTGCCCCAGCCTAGCCAAAATAACGATATCGGGAGCAGCGGTGCGGCCACGATGGCGGGCCATAGCCTGAACTCGGGCTTGATCGGAGCTCCTCTGACGTGTTCCGTCTTCCGCCGTGCCCAAGCGTACATCCCCGGGGCTAGTAATGTGAAGGCCGTTGCTCCAGCTGCAATCGCCGCGAAACATGATCCCGTTTGGCCAACCGACAGACCGTAGGTTTGTTTGAAGATGTAATCGAATCCCGAGAGGAAGGTGAACAGAAGCACATAGAGCAGGACAAGGTAGCCGCCGAGTATCGATATAACGGGCTCTTTTGCGAAGAACTTGGCCGGGAGTGGGAGGACCTTCTTCATCCTCTCCGAGAATGACGCAGCCTCGGCGTGGTCCGACACGTAGCGATCATCGCCAGTAGCTCGGCGTAGGTGCCTGGCCCTCCAGTCGAGGAGGAGCGGCAGGTACGTCTCGGGAAGGAAGAAGAAGGCGACGAGAAAGGCAGCCCCGGATATGATCAGGGTCACCCACTCGGTCCAGCGCCATCCGAGCCGTTGGTTCTCGACGATCCAGCCGCCGGCGATGGGCGCAATCACGGGGGCTTTCCTCCAGTCAGCAGTAGCCCAACCGCTCGATTTCGATGTATAGTTGTTTACCTGCCACGTTCGCCCATGCAATGGCGGGGAAAACGAACGCCCTCTTCACCGGCCGGAACTGGTCCCCCACACTCGACCCATTGATGCTCAGCGTCGCGCTGGAGAACAGCCCGACGAAATACCGGCAGACGACCAGACCCCCGAATCCCGGCGTCAGCGCCGTGCCCGTGACAAAAAGCAGGTAGCAGAACGTCGAGACGAGGTACGTTGGGTTCCGGCCGACCGTCTCGGACACGGGCCCCGCGAACAGCGCGCCGGACCCGATCCCCAGAAGGTACACGGCCGTGGTCAGGCTCTCGACGACCTGGCTGACGCCGAACTCCCGGCTGGCCGCGGCGCTGCCCATGGACGACGCGGCGCCAGCCCACGCCTGGGCGAAGATCAGGAGGCACAGCACGGCGATGTTCTTGCACCGGTCGACCAGAGGCCAGTTGCGCGGGTCTAGGGGGTCGTCGTCGCCGGAGGTGCGGACGCGGATCTGGCCATGGTCACGGCCCGGCTGCCGGTCGTTGTCGGCTTCGTGGTGTGGCGAATCGGGATCCGGCTGCCGTCGCGCTGGTTTGTCGCGGGTTTGGATTTCCTCGTTGACTTGTCTCGCTATGCGCCGATACTGCACCAAAGACCACATTTGACGGGTTGTGATGAGGTCCGCCACGGGACATGTTGCTTGCAACCACGTATTGGGGAAGGGCGAGTTTTATTGAAGGGTGTGCTCACGCGGGCAAACACTCGATCTGCGGGTATGACGTAGGTCAGGCCCTGTCCGACTACCTACCTGAAGTACCTACGAAGTTGTGGGCTCTGATGTTCGAATTTAGGCGCCAGCTCATTTCGTTCAATTTACAAATTATCCCCGTCCACTAGAAATGGCCTCAAGTCCTCTGGCGGCGTCTCCAAGATCGTACGTGTGACGTCGCCAGAACTCGCTGCATGCCCACACCGACGCTCTACTAAACGTTTAATCTCGTTGTATTCCCTCGACAATGTTTCGGATTCCTCCGCCGTAAGACTCTGCTGAAGCCATACCAGCTCTCCCGCAGCCTCCTCTTGGAGATGGGGCTCCATATCGAGCCACACCGCCCTCAGCGAAGACATGCAGCTTTCTTCATCGGGGCGGAAATCCAACAGCCGTCGCAGCTTCTCCTTTATCTTTGTCGCCCACCGTCAGCCGGGCTGTAAAGGAATCAGACGCGGGGAAAGTAGAAAAAGAGACCCACGCTCTTATAATCCTTCCGAACCCTGTCCCGCGCGTCCTCACTCTCCGCCAATCTCGCCTCCAGTACGGGGGTTATCACGATCTCCTCGGCGATGAGGTGGCGCATCAGTTCCCCGACGAACTCCCCCGGGTCTCTCTCCTCGCGGCGGGCGGTAATGGTCTGTCTGTACGTCGCCTCGGTGCGCTCGAGGTCGCCCCTGATTATGTCTGATATGCTAGCCATCGTCGGAGTTGGGGGAAATTATTGCTTCACAGTTCGTCGTTCGTGGTAATTATTTGGGTCCTTTTGTCTGCCAAGGATACGCGCGGGGGATGATGATGGTATGACGCAACGGGCGTTCTGCCGCCCCAAGACGACGACCGGAAAGGGATTGATACACGCCGGTGTAGAGATCACAACTCAGATTTCGGGGGTATTACCTAGAAGGTACTGAATTGCATGCTCTTGGGAGGAATAAAAAGGCCATATGCCAGCATCATTTTGGCTTCAACGGTGCTTGGAGGTCTGCCCCTTTGTGTCTTCAGCATATGTCCGTTCCCGGGCCACAAAAATGGAGCTAGCTCTCGTTCCGCTGAACGCGGAATGGGGTGTCACTATGACCATAACCCAACCATAACCCTTTCGATGAGTTCAAAGAATAGGCGCATCACAACTATAAGAGGAGTGTTGCAGAGGAGAGGAGTAGTGATAGCACACGTGTACTGCAGGCATGGACCGGCCGCAGGGGTTGGAAATACTGGGAGTGCCCCTGCTGCATGGATCTGAATACCGACGACAGGGTGGGTACAATGGCTACCTAGGTACCTAGGTACCTAATGCGTAACCTAAGTCCTCCAACAGCCAGTCTGCAGATGCCTTCAGGGGATCCATGCCATCGGACCTGAAGGGTAAGGCCCAGATCAGCAAGGCAGGAGAGAGTGAAGTCGCTACTCACTTCCGGTTGCTTGACTTCCATGTTCCGTATCGTCACGTCCGGTATTATTGACTTCCGGCCCCGGCGCTCTTTCCATCGAAGAAATGTCGTTGTGGCTCCCCACTGCTTGTTGGCAGGTGCGCCTTCCCACGATGGGTTCGGGTTGCAGGGGTGTGCTCAGTTCAGTCCCGGGTGAGTGGAGGCTCGACCAGGCTTGCGATCATTAAGGAACAGGTTCCATTCCTGCGGCACCAGTGGAAAGGAAATCTAAACATTTTTCTTCCCGGCCGTCCAATTGGCGTTTGGATCTTCAAGCCACAGGGAGCGGATCGCATTGAAATATGCATTCGAGCCGGGTTTAAAATCAGGGGCAAGTGCAGGAGCTGTTAGACATTGGGTTGTTGGTAGGTAGAGGTATGATTGTGTGACGTGTGATAAAGGAAACGTGCGTGACCAACAGACAGCACAGCAAGCACCCCTACCTAATCTTGCATGCCTTAGCTTCCAGGCTCTGTGCCTAGGTATACCTTACCCACCTGGGCTATTTACTACGGCTTCTGGTTCCGGCCGTTGATAAAGGTGAATAGGTTCCTCAGCATGTCGGGTACTCCATATCTGACAGCCGTTGTCCATCCCAATCACGCTGGCAGCCAGCGCGGTCGATCGGCCGTCTCGGTGAATTGGTCCTTTGACAAACACAATCAAGGCAAAGTTCCTGTCTCGACCCGTCGTTTGTGGAACATCCCCCATTTCCCTCGCTGTTGATCCAGCAGCTTCGGGGTTCCCTCTCACTTTTCCCCCACAACCTGGAAGTCCTGCCCTCCTCCAAATCCAATTCAACTCCATCGCGCAAGCCCCGCGCATCGTCAAAAGTCACGAGCATGCGAAGATGACTTACAATCCATTCATCAGTAATGGCACCTGCTACTTCGAGGCCGGGGAGCGGTCAGCGGGAGTATTCTTCCCGTGCGGAAACGATGCCCTCGGGCACAAGCCCTGCTGCCAATCAGGCGACATGTGCCTTGCGAACAAGGCATGCTACAACGGCGAGTTTGGAGTCACGTATCTCGCCGGTTGCAGCGACCCTGACTATAACGACTCGAGCTGCCCAGACAAGCAATCATTCAAAGGTATGAAGACGTCGACTCAGTCAACTGGGAAGAAGGCCGAGGCTAATTCCCGCCATCAAGATACACCATGGACTGGGCTAGTACTATGCAACAATACAAACCAATGGTTGCAGTGCAGACAGTCAGAAAAACCCAAGGTATTGACCTCGCCGGACCCGTGCTCCTGCCCCGAACCCGCATCGAGGACCATCGCATTCCTCGACGCAACAAAGTTGGCAGACATCGGCCAGCTGCCGGCTACATCCGGGGGGAGCGTCCTCTGGCAGAGTGGATTTATCCCGACTGCTTCGGAGGAAACTCCGACATCGACCCCCAGCACCACCCGACCTTCTTCATCCGCCGTGCCCACGGCACCATCGTCGTCATCATCGGCATCGGCATCGCCCTTCTCGACATCGTCAGCTCTACCGACGAGCAACCCACCGGGAATGACCGCCGCCGCGAAAGCCGGCATTGGAGTTGGAGCGAGCCTCGGCGCCCTGCTGATCCTCGGCGCATTGCTGCTGTTGTTCCTTCGGCGGCGGGAGCATAGGAGAGAGTCTCATATGTTTGACTGTTCTCCCCGCGAGGTCGAGAGTAAGGGCAAGAGCGATGCCATGGACATGCCGGGATTTGCAGTGACGCCGGTGACGCCTGTAACCCCGGCACTCAGCGAGCTGGATCCTGGGGCGGTGCGGCGGTGGTCGGAACTCCAGGGTGATTACACGCCGAATCCAACCCTGTCGGGGCATTTTCTCCAAGAGTCAACCCCAAGACGGACTGATGGCACACATGGAAGGAGGATTGCGCAGTACGCAAAACACGTTGCGGAGTTGCCAGGTTAGCCTGCTATCTGCATCAGGGACTAGGTCCTGGTGCTCAACCCGGGCTCTGGCCCCCTGTCTGTCTCTAAGTTCCTGTACAATTATTACCTCCTGATTTCAGTGCAGCACCTGTTGCTGCAGGTTGTGCTTGGCTCGCTGGCACTCGGTCAGATTAACAGGGCGAGCACAGGGTAATGAGTCACCGTGGTAATAAAACGGCGAGCCATGTTGGTGGACCTCACATCTGGTGCCCGCCCCTTTAAGTTCATGTCTCCTGAGTGCTTAGAATTAAACCTTAACGATATGGAAGAATACTATATATTAGTAGCTTTGCAACGGGTAGTTATACGCAAAGTCTAAAATACTTGAAAATAATCTTCTTTTCTCTTCTCATCTTATCTTTTTCTGGGTTTTGCCACGCAACGGAATCCTATATAAAGGCGGACTGTTCTTCCGTCTTAGCTTACCTTTCGTCTTATCCTTCCTTCCACCTACACAAAACGTCCAGTCACCCCATCTCGATACCTTCACTAGTCGCAGAACCAACTTCGACTCGAACTCTGGACGTCTTTCTCGATGGAGACCAAGTCACGTCTTCTCGCACTCCCCACGGAGATGCGCCTCGCAATTTGGGCCGCCGTGGGTGAACAGGAGAACTTCTCCAACCTCCTCCAAGTCAGCAAGCAAATCCGGTCCGAGGTCCTGCATGGAATACCCGGCGGTTCCCTATCGTGCCGCTGCTCTTCCTTGGACATCGACTCTTCCTCCTTCAACAAGTGCCGGTATTCCTTCCCGGTAGACCAGTTGACCATCATCGTGGATTCATCCTGCTCAGAGCAGTCATGGCTCACATTCAGCGTGCGGGTATGCCATGGCCGGGGATCCTCAACATGGACCGTCAAGAACCTGCGCTCGAGCCTGGCCAGGAATCTCATCCACTACAAGCCCCGCGGGGTCGTGGTCGAGTTCCGTGCCCCAAAAAAGGGATACTATCTCGCGGCATTCATAATCCTCCGCGCGAAGCTGGATAACGTCGCCCTCGTGCTCGGATGGATCAGGCCGCAGGCGAACATGTCACTTCGGATACGATTTGCCGATCCGTGGTCCGAGAACGAGAAGCGACCGGCAAAGCCATTCTGGGAAAATTGCCCGCTCGGCCGGGAACGACATCGATACCCCAGGTGGGACAGACGTTTCCCCTACTTCTACGAGTTCCTCATGACACCCCTGATATGCAACTGGGCCTGGCGGAACGCCACGGTTGTGTTTGACCGAGAACCTCGACGGAAATCCACGTCCTTTGTCTCAGGCTACCTGGGCAACGGCCAGAAGAGGGTTCATTATCACGGCTACAAGGAGCTTATACTGGCGAATTGGGGCACCTGCCATGAATTGATCCCCGAAGAGAGGAGAATGGAGTCGCCACGGCAGAAGAAGCACCTCAAATTCGACAACTATGAAGTCTACTCCAGAGACTGGGCCAGTTATTCCTACGCTGATCATTCGACTTGGGCGTCGGCGTTTTCACACTATTACGACACGTTGGACAATGTCTACCGAGAAGCCCACTACATATTGGGCCGTGTTTCTGCGTCAGGCAGGGCGGAGGAACTTCTTTCCTTCATACCCCCTGAAAGGTACCGGAGAAACAAATATCTCATGTGGGGTGAGAACGTTGAGGACGAGTGGAATGAGTGGGCTTCTTGGCCATTTTTGCCTTGGCCTCACACTTGGGCGATTGGATTTTGGGATCACTTGTTCTGCTAAGAATGGATACCGAGCGCTTGAGGAGTAATTAATAATTATCATTACCCTTGGGTTCAATTCAATATCAAGTACAAAGCACCGTCAAACTTTGCACAAATCGTTCCAAAACAGTATGTGCTCAACATGTCTTCCGGCAGGTTGTATGAAGCAAAGACATGCACTTTGCTAGCCGTTTTCCAGGCCCAAAAGCCCAGCCATTCCGTCGAAGCCCACATGAGTTGCTAGAAGTATTGGGATGGAGTCAATAGCGGGCAGTATATCTCTTCGCCGTGATTTCTGAACTCGCATTGTCGACCCTGGGCGGGGAGGGAGGAGAGGGGGTCTCGGTCTTGCGAAGTCATGTTTGTGGTTGACCGACGAGTGCTGGGGCCGAGAAGAGTCTCAAAAAAAGTAGGATTTCTGGCGCCGTAGGACTTTGAGAAGATTACAGAGAAAGTTGACTCGAATAAGTGTACTTCGTACCTAAGAGGACGCCTAGGCAAATCCTGCCACAATAGGTAGGTAGATTGACAATTATCAACAGTCAAAGGCCAACCTCAAAGATTGGTAGCTCTATGCCTTGCACATCATCGGCACAAGTATGAGTTTTGGTCTGGTCCCATATGTCCACACCCCCGGCGGATCCCCTACCTATACCGTAAGCCCCCTGTCGCTGTAACACCCGCAGAAATGCCAGTCTTCTTCCTTCCTCGATAATCTTGTTTGTTTCCCTCCCTCCCCCATCTTCCACCCCTAGAAACCCCCCGGTCGTTAACATGGTGCTGCTCCTCAACGCGGCCGATACCTGTTCACTCGGAAATCGTCCAGGTCCGCCTGCACCTGGACGCCGAGCGCCCAGCCATGAATCGCGTTGACCCACTCGACCAGGCCCATCATCATTTCCCGCTCGGTCCCGACGCCCACGGCCAGGTTCCTGACGCGGTACTTGGGCTGTTTCGCCTGCTGATGCTTGATTGCGCCTCGTCGGTTCACGACGGCATCGTACGTGCTGCCAATGACGGCGGCGCTCGGGAGGATGGAATCCGGCGGACGCACCGGAGGCGGCGCGAGGAAGGATCGGGATGTGTCGGACGCGCTAATTATGCTTCTGGGCTGGCGGTCCGTGGTCGTGCTGGGGGCGTGCGAGGGCGGGCCTCCCGATCGGGGCGGATGCGTACCGCCGCCTTCTCCACCTTTGCATGAGTGAGTGAATTGTGGTTTTGCAAAAGCATGCGTCTCGGTCTTCTTTACGGTCGGAGCGCCCGCCGGTGCTGTCGCTCAAGCCGTCGATGCGACGCCGTCTTGGATGCGCCGTTCCGACTCCTGGATATACCAGACGCTGTACTTGTCGGGCGAGATGAGCACGAGGAAGTGCAACATGTCGCTGTGGCCGCTCTTTTCGGGCCTGCTGTTGCAGCCACCAGCAGCATCCTTGTCCTGCTGCCAGCCGTCCGGCCGAGGAAGCGGCCCATGGCGACTCATTCGGTTGGTCTTGTCGCGCAGCTCGATGCGCCGTTTGAGGGCGGCGCATCCGGCCGTGGCCAAACGCTCAATGTTGGCGATGGCGCACGTCGGGTTGCTTCTGGTCGTGTTGTCGTCGTCGCCGCCGCGTGGATAGTACTGAACCGTTAAGTAAGGACAGATGGAGTGCTTGCTGGGACACGTGGCGACCAGGGTAGTATATGCCAGTCGTGGCCGGCCGGAGAAACCTGCAGGCCGCAGCCAGAAGGTGTATGGGGAGCGGTGCGTAGAGGGCGGCGGCATCGCAAAACTCAGGGGAGCCGAGTCTGGGTGTTCCGCATGTCATTGCCCGTCCTTGCCACCACCACCCGCGCCAGCAATCTGCTTCTTGTTGTTGTTGCTGCTGTCGGAGGAGACATGTTCCTTCTGCGCATCCGCATCCTGGCGACACGCGACGAGCCAGTTGCACTTGGTCTTGTTGGGATCGACCGCGGCAGAGAGCATGTGGCCGCGCAGGAGGTGCCGGACGAGGTTGGCCTCGACCATGGCATCAGTTATGCCGGGCATCTTGCTGACCAAGTACACATGCTCCTCCACGAACCGGGACGCCAGATCCTCGGACACACATAGGTAATTCCTAGGACGCCAGCCGCATATACTGCATCCCAAGTTGACCCTTGGCTCCCCCATCCTGCTTCTGCAAATGATCATCCGTGTCGCCGTCCTGCCTCCCGACCGCAGCAGTAGTGGCGTCAATCGCGGCGAAGAAGAGCTCGGCGTCCTAGGCTTCGGTCTCTGGCTCCACCACAAACAGTCACTACTGGCCGCGAGCCACTTGGGAGTTATTTTCGGGTGAGCTCGAACTAGAAGGCGTCGTCGTCGACTCGACTGGATGGTCGAGGGAGAGATAAATAAGCGTTGAAGCGCGCAACGCAGGCCCAGAGATGCGAGATGAGGTCGGGGTCCGTTTCAGGTGGATGGTACGCGTCAGCTGGCAGAGTTTGCGATTGTTGCCGATGCTGGAGTGTTGTTGTTGGTGGTGCTGGGTTGGGTGTTCTTGATGAAGAAGTGGCCAGATCTGGGGATGCGGTCGCGATCAACGAGACCTGGTGAGGCGCCGAGGGGTTGTGGAAGGGCGACGAGGTTTCGGTAGCAGGGGATTTCGGGCTACAGAAGCGACCCCGAAACTGAGGCTGCCAGACAACGGCCATATTCTCTTGGTTTTGGTCACCAAGGTCCTGGGGAAGCGCACGGGGCTGAAATAGCTTCTGCCTGTCCGAGTCACCGGGCTTGTTTGCTAGCGGAGCTTGATTTGCACTGCGGATCTCCGCAAGCACATGGCGCGTAGAGCTCACTCTTGCAAGCTAGAGGCAAAGGCCGTGAATTTTGTGTTGTCGCGGTCTGAAAATTTAGTTCACGAAACCGATCAATTTGTAGGTGCCTGCTCTGCCGGGCTGTCGTTGATGTTGACATTGGCCAATCAGATCTTTCCCAGCCAGGGTCTGTGGTGAGTGGCACTGTTTACTACTTAGGAAATAGGGGGCTTAATTACATCTCAACATCAAACCCCTAACCTACCGTGCCTATCTACCAAGCATCCTCGATAAAGTGCGGATGGAGACAAAGGTCGAGATGGGGAATTGGGATGACAACGAATTATGGTATTTTCTCAAATGACTCTCACATTCCTTATCTTTTTCTCTATGCTTGTTCATCATGGAATCAAGTAACAGTGGAGCACATCAACAGCCATGCTTGTGGTCACGATGCCGCCAAGCCAAGAATCAGCCAAGCCTTGAGATTCGGGAGCCAAGACCCAAGAGCCGGTATGCAGCACCTTATTTTGAGGTTCCGTCACCCTACCCGCTTGGCAAGCCATGATCAGCAGGAATTACAACACTTGCCCTTTTAGTACATGCGGAACGGAGGAGTGTGTGTGGAAGGGTGAGAAGACTGCGACCTGGAGAATCGAGATATGTCTATCTAATACCAACAGGACAAATTGTTAGCACTGCATCTGTCTGTTGGCTCTAAATCTAGGATTCTAATCACAGATGATTCCAAATATCAACACACAGCAAGACATGTCGCACCGCACTCCTGCCGTTATTGCCGTCTCACACCGTTGCACAACATCCTCGCACGCAGTTTATAAGCGCAAACGATATATCACATTTCAAGTCCACCCCCCACTCTCCTCGCCATGATGGATGGAGACGGCGTGTCGACGACCCGCCACGGCCCAGCCGAGCTGATCACTCGAGAGGCCTGCAGCTTTGCACGTAAGCCGACAGGTTCAAACCCTGTCACCAGGGTTTTGTCCTGGAAGTGTCAGTGCCGGGTATCCGGACGACGGTCTGCCTGGATCCTTAATATCTCTGAACGACGACTTCCGTCCTGTCTATTGGGTGCTGACAGCCCTTCACCACTTTACCGTCGCGTTACACCGCCTCTGGCAAGAGTGCTTCTAGGAGCAGATTTTTCGATCCTCGAAATGATGACTGTTTTTGGTCGCATTGTAATAGCCCAGTATGCAATAGGCGTCAGATATTCCAATGGCAAGAAATATAACGAACTCAATCTAAAGAATTGTGGTTTCCTGGCTAAAAGGATCGTATATGCCGTGGATAGAGTGCAAAGTGTGGGGTTAGCATAAAGAGTCGGCCAATCATTTCTGACATGGCTGTCTTGTAATATCAATTGAACATCTTGTGACCTCGAGCTTGCTCCAGATTCATGTGCATTATAAACAATCAACGGAATATGCCAAGCCGAATACACCCCGCTATTTAACCCAAACTTGGTCCGAGCATGTTTATAAGGCATTGGCCTCCAGCCCGAGCAGCCCGCCAAGGTGTCGACGACTTACTTCCTAGGTTTGCAATTCTTCGGCAAAGTCCCTCAACACCACCATGCAGCTCGTCGCTTCCCTACTGGCATTTGGGGCTGTCGCCCAAGCCCACTGTGAGTCGCCCTCGATGCCCAACGCGCCATCTTCATCTCCGTCAATGACCCTGACATTTTATGGCTACCAGATACGCTCGTGGACGTCGGAGCCACCGGTACCGATTTCGCCTATGTTCGCACGCCTGTTAACCAATACAGCCATGCGCCCGTTGAGAACCTCAACAGCCCTCAAATGACATGCTACCAGCAGGGCTCGGCACCGGCACCGAAGACTTTCACCGTCGCCGCTGGTGCTCAACTTCCCATCTACTTCAGCCAGGCGCCATACCACCCGGGCCCGTATCAAGTGTACATGGCAAAGGTACCATCGGGCCAAACTGCCGCCACATGGCAGCCATCCGGAGCCGTATGGTTCAAGATCTACTCATCGGGGGCCACGTTTAAGGGCCCGGGAGAGGTGTTTCCTAATTCTTGTGAGTCTCATTCGCCGCTTCACAACCGAATAGAGCTCTGCTGAGGGTAACAACTGCAGGGCCGAATCCCCTCAGCGTAACAATCCCCAAGAACCTCCCTGCGGGCGACTACCTCGTCCGCCCCGAGCACATCGGTCTTCACGTCCCCGGATCGCCGCAGCTTTATTTGGGATGTGGTCAGGTGACTGTCACTGGCGGCGGCAGCGGCACACCTGGGCCCTTGGTTGCATTCCCCGGCGCATACAGCATGAGCGATCCGGGTCTCTCAGTCGACTTGGGCACTCATCCGACGACTTACAAGGCCCCTGGCCCTGCCGTTTGGACCGGTTAGAGTGGTAGATTCCCTCCCGAGAGAGTTCGTGAATCAGAGTTGTGCTGGGTATGTTAGGCTGGCTCACCCTTGCCCATACGGGGCGAACTCGAAGACTTCGCCCTGTTTCACTATAAGATGTATTATAACTAGGTAGACTCCAGCGAATCTGACACGTTAAATTCCGCTGCAGGACAGGTCTAACAGCCTCATTTTTTATGCGCGATTAACACTTCATGCCAGCCAGTCGGCAGCTGTTGTGCGTCGTATCCGGTGACTTACAGGAACGAAATGCCCTTGGCAGTGTGCCTCAAGGTGTGGCAACTGGCTATTGGTTGAGCTTTGAGAGCCTCCGCCAATCGCGGCAACTTGACGCATGAACAGTTGTGTTGCGAGCGAATTTGGCCAGATAAGCTGCATTAGTCTCGGTCTCTGATTAATACATGTGTATATTTACCTAGGTACTTAAAGCCCGTCGCTCTCGGCTGGGCACAGCCCGAAACCACCTTTCTCTTTTTGATCTCCTTTCTCCCTCGTTCTCTAAGGCTTTCCAAGTCAAGAGCCTGACTTCTTATTCATCTTGTGGGAGGCCATGGGTCATCGCAAGGGAGCCCCGTCCAGAAAGAGGGAACCGAAGGAATCCAGGCCGTATTCGGACCACGGATATGGCTACAGCGGCGACTACCAGCAGAACCCATGGGACGAGCACTACCCGGCCGTCTTCGCTACTCCTTGCCAAAGTGTAGAATCGAGACTTGAGCCCACATATCTGGAGAGCGCCGGTTACGAACAAGATTCGACTTATTGTGGCAGCGACTTGCAGCATGTGGAAGCCACGCCTCATTCCAAGGTGAAGAAGAAGAGCAAGCACTCTTCAAAAGAGTCGAAATCGGCCCCCTCAGTCCATCAATCGGGATTAGACTTCGGACATGCAGGATACCACCCACATTTTGAGCAACATACAGATGGTTATGCCACCTCGTCCACGCTCTCCGACAAGCTTGCTGACCCGTATTCATACGGTCAGGGAACGCTGAGCACCGAACCAGGGGAAGTCAAAGCTGATGGTCAAACCTACACCGCACATCTCGATTCATACCTAGAACCCACCTACTATGATGGTGAGCCCACGATGGACTACGCTGACCAAGATAAGACGGAACGGAACGGGTGCGGAACCCTTTTCTTTTCAACAATCCAAGTTGACGATCCTCGGATTCTAGAAGCTAACTCTGCAAACAGGCCAGAGAGGCACTACGATGTCCTTGTATTCCTTGTAACGTGGCAAGGACATGGTATCAGTGCTCTAGAGAGCAACGTTGGACGTCTAGAGCAGGTTTTCCGAGACTACGACTACCAGTTCGAGCACTACGAAATTCCTCGAACGAAGCCAGGCCCTCATCTGTCGGAGGCATTGGCGACATTGAAACACAGGTTGAGTCCCAGATCGCTACTGATATTCTACTACTACGGGCACGGCAGGCTTGAGGGCAAAAAGCTGGTCTTTTACAGGTGAGCCTCATCGGAGCAACTCACCAAATCAAGCTACGCTTGCTAACGAGCTACATGTCCAGATCCAATGAGGCTACGGAGCCGAGCATTCCCTGGCCAAGCATTCGAGACACCCTCGTGCCATACAAATATAACACCTTATTCATACTCGAATGTTGCCACGCTGGCGGGGCAAATATTGGCCCCTTGGGGCATCGCTTCACCAAGTTGGTTTTAGCCGCTTGCGGAGCCAGGACAACCGTTTCTTCACGCATATATGATTCCTTCGCGGCGGCTCTCTGTGAGATTCTAGAGGAGCGCAAGACCAGAAAGAGGCCTACCACAGTCAGGGAATTGACTGGTCTGGTCAGCGAATACTTGTACAGGCGCGGCACCCCCATCATGGGGTTTCCTAAGCTCATTGGCAAAGATGGCGACGACATTATCCTCAGCCCGGGACTTGGTAGTTGGTGAGAGAATTGCTTTAGTCGGTGAGAGAATTTCCCGCAGAATAGAGCCTGTCCTGATATTGCGGGATGCGGTTTATGGCGTTGTAATCTCGGATGTGAATGCATCAAGATAGGGGCTGGATGATAGCTTCGCGGGGCGCTTTTTTCATTTCCTTTGAGACTTGATTCCCGGTTTCTTCCAATGACAGTGCGCTTCATCTCTACAATCCAGGAGCTCTCTTGTCTGTTACCGAGTATTAAAATGTCGATTGCCTTTCCTAACACCGACGTCCCGCATTGCTTGAGATTTCGAAGCTTAAGTAATTACAGGCTATTTCTATCTAATTCTCTGCACAGAGAAGCAAACCACCGAATAATCTTATTTATTCAAAAGGGTTTGAAACAGTCAGATGGGGGGCAACTTTGACGATTACAGGTTTGACTTCTGCCGTGTAGTTAGATTTCTTCCCCCATCCCCTGTCAGCCTCATAATTGTCGCTTGGGCAAACTCATATTGCTAGCTAACGAGGGAAAAAACATGAGAGGATTGGGGAAAGGGAGAATCAAAAGATAATGAGAGACCTAAAGTGATTAAATTGCATAGCAAGTCCACAAGTCGCCAGCATTCTCCAACGCATCAGCTCATCCGCAACAAGACGACGGCTTCAAAGCTGCCTGGTAATACTTCGTACGCCTCTCGTACCAATAATTCCCAGACCTACCCACCGCTTTCCTAGAGTACTCTTCGTCACGCTAGAGAGCACACTATGCTGGCGGATCAAGACGTGGGGGCCGCGGTGGATCGGAAGGCCGTTCATTTTCGACACCCGGACCGAGTGTTCCCGTATCATGTGCAGAGTCAGGGTAGTCAGGGTAGTCAGGGTCATAGTATGGGTATGGGGTGCTCGCTTCCAAGGGCGTGTCCGAGTAACGTGCCGTTTTGGGCTGCTTAACCGACGACGAATGCAGCTCTTTGCGATTGCTTCTGGATGTGGTCGAGTGGTTCTTGTGGGCCGGTTGCCGACCTGATCGGGTTTTCCCATCCCGAGACAGTTGTGGAGTACGAGATTCGTAGCCATCCTGCTCCCAACGAGCAGTATATTCCTCTAGCGCAGGCTCTTCCGCCAGAAAACCTGAGTTGCGCGCCGTTCCACGCTGCCGAACCGAGGACGAATGCGGTCCCAAGGAGCCCTTTTTGGACTTCGTTGAGAGGGGCTTGTGAGCTTGCTTCTGATCTGACCAGTTTTCCTCTTCGTCCTGGGATTGGAGTTGAGCAGAAGCACCATGTGACCAGCCGGACCCCGAAGCAGGGTCATATCCTGTAGAAGGCGGCCAGCCCGAGGCAGGGTCATATCCTGTAGAAGGCGGCCAGTCCTCGCTGGAATCCCTCAGGGTGAATCCAGACTGCTGGGTGGAGGAAGCCGCAGTACCGAGGTCGTATAGGTCGGCCGAGGAATATGGGCCATCCTGAATGCGCTCGTCGAGATGAATATTGCTCATTAAATCGTCCAAGGTCGAGTTGGTGTGGGATATCATTGCATGTGGCTCTCGGCCGCCGCTCGACTTGGGCTTTTTCCCTGAGCGATGTTTCCTGGAGGAGCTGCGAGGCTCCCTCGCTATCGTCATCTCCTCTTCGATGGAAAAATGAAACATGTCGACTCTCAGATTCTCAGGCATCGGGACCAGAAATGGTAACCTATCGAGCGTGCAGTGTTGTGTCCCTGCCCCTCGATGGCGTTACGATCGCAGATGTCAAGAGTGTGGCGTCTAAAAAAAGGACGTAGGCAAGACGTGTCTCCTCTAGTAGGATGTACGGTATATTGGAGATCTGACCGAGAATGACGCACCGAGAATGCAGTGAACCGGTAAGTAGAGTTGGTGGGCTGTGACACGTCTTTGGGGCACGAGTTCTGGCACAAAACTGCGCTTTAGGCTGCAATAAGCCAGCCGAATACTTTGCACAGGCCCGTTGGGCTGAAGCATCAGCCAGTCATTTGCCAGATATTGCGAGCACCTCACCTGCGGGCAATGAGGGTCTAAAACTGCTTCTGCATGGAGCCTCTCGGATAATGATGGTCATCTGCTGTTATCACGCAACATCATTGGTGCCCGCTTCTCCTGCAGTTCTGCAGTTCTGCAGTTTTTTCATGACGTGGCCGACCGATATTATATCTCGAGAAGGCGGTTCCTTCATTGTTAAGAGCCTACATTTCAAGTCTCTAGTGTCGTTGCCGGGCATCTGGTGTCGCCTCGAAGTTCATTAGGCTGTCTCCCTCCTCCCTCCTCCCCTGCGGCTCTCGCCGCCGACGCCTTGTGAGATACGCCAGGCTGCTGATGGATCCAGAGATGAATTCGTTGAGCCAAGACGAACTCGACGAGAGACCTTGGTATTTAACGGGTAATCGGGTGGTCAAGGTGGACAGTGTAGCTAAAGATACGATGCAGGAAATACATCGGCTACAGAGGGTTTGCAGAGTTCGCATCCCAGTCTGACGACTTCTTCGCACTTCGTCGGTTCGATAGACTTCACACGAGAACGATTCTGGTTCTACAAGCAAAGCTGTCTGCCCTCGAGAAAGAACTTGACATTATCGACGGCGAACTCAGTAGGAAGGATGCCGACGATATTCATAACGGTAAAGCCGTTGGCGACAAGGACGAGCGAAGAGTCAAACTCCTCGGGGAAATCACCAAGGCTCTCGAGACATACGGTAAGTGAGTCTACTAGCCCCGAGTTTGCGATTATTAACTAACTCATGAGCAACTCTCAGATGCCACCGTATTTCGTTACTTGAAGCTTAAAAGTAAACCACAGGCTGCTCCTTCGACGCTTCGAAACATGACTCGGTGGCTCAAAAATCGAAATGAGCCAATTGACTTCGAAGAGACAGAGTTTTTGAAACAAAATGATCTCATATCAGTTTCGCCTGTCGAGAAGCCGCCTTTCAGGAAGTTCTTTGAAACGTCAATACTCCTTCCCGCGTCAAATCTCTTCAAGTTTCCTCGGAGGCAAGAGGAGGATACAACGCTCCTTGCACATCAAACAACAGTCTTCCTCCACAACGAACCAGACACACTAGTCTCACTAGGAGTATTTACTACGGCTGGGATCCTGTTGATTAGTCCTCTCTGGATTCTTTCCAAGACTACTGGGGCCGAACAGAAGCTGTCCGTGATAACAGCCTACCTATTGGCGTTCCTGACAGCACTCACTTGGGGTACTACTTCTTCGCCATTCGAGATCTTTGCAGCCACAGCTGGGTAAGTTCTAACTATCAGATATAGTGACGTACGTTATATTTCTTCTAATGATGGTCAGCTTAGCTATTCGGCAGTTCTACTCGTTTTCTTGCAACTTGGTCTTTCAAGCAACTAAAGGAGCGTCGACTCCACGACACTCTTGTGTAAGCCTCGTGTGGTAGATAGGTTCTTCAAAGGTTATAGTTGGTGCGAGCAAAGTACCGCAACAACTTCTCTTGTAGCCAAGATGAAATTTCGCCTAGATTAACTTCAAGGCTCTTCGCCGCCACCTAAGAGAGTCATAGGTTTCCTCCAGACTTCTATCCATCTTGAACTGGCCATCTACATTGCCAGGCCCACTTGGGATGGCGAACCTCGCCAAGCCTATCCGGCGGAATGTAGGCTCGCTCCCTGTCCCGCAAAGGAGCAACCCGCAGATGACAACCCGTCTCGCAGGGTCGAACTCCTTGGTTGTCCATTGCAGCTGCATCAAGACGATCTCTTCAGGGCCGTTATCGAATCCCGGCCTTCCGCTATACGACCCGCTATACCCTCCTCTCCCGTCAGGTTTGACTTCACAACAGGTCCCAAAGGACAAGGACTTCAACGTGCGGGCATCCATGCAGTTTCCCTCCAGGACGATGAAGGAGCCTTCTTCGACGCCCATGTAGGGGTTTGATCCACTCCCGAGAACCATGTGGTGATCTACTAGGCGAGGGTTATGCCGACTCGGCCACGGCGAGGACGCGACGGAGCTATGGAGGATGTGGTCCGCGCCTTCCCAGTCGTACCACACCTCGCCGTCTACCGAGGCCCAGCTCCACGAGGGCGCACGGTGGTAGACGGTGGTCCTTCTGTTTACCTGACACTGCCAGGCAAGACATCGTGCCACATGCCCGCTCCATAGGCCGGCCAGATAGCCCCCGGCGCCGCGCAGGCTGATGCTGAACATGGCGGCCAGGCCAGCGACGGCGGGAAGCTTGTCGGACGAATATGTCAGTCGTCGGGGCGAGAACTCCTGCAGGCAGTTGAACCACACGCGCAGGATTGCATCCGGCTCAGACCCAGCTTCGTCCTTTCGCGGTTCCGTCTGATGGTCATGCGCACGCCGCCATTGCGCAGCTGGTACCAGCATATCCGCCTTGTTCAAAACCATCCCCTGCCCGTGACGAGCGTCCGGACCCCCCTCCTCAACCTGCGGCCGCGTCGACTCGAATCGACAGCACCTAGCACACTCCCAAATCATCTCGAATGTCGTATAGTGTAGGATACGAGTAGCCAGGATGCGCTCCTGCGCCGCCCAGCCACGGGAACTCAGCACCGACCCACCGACCACGCTGAGCGGCGGCACCTTTCGCCACTCGTGCTCCCCCACGACGTGCACGTCGGCGACGAAGTACCGCTCGCGCGAGGCGCCGAGGAGAGGCGAGGTCAGCGCCGCACGCGGGACGAGGAAGCCCTGGTCGCTGTGCGCGGCCGACGCGGCCGACAGCACCAGCGCCGCCGTGCCGTAGATGGTCGTCATCTCGGGCGCCTGCTCGACCCAGTCGGCGGCCGAGTCCTGCACGATGCACAGCGCGTCGATCCAGACGTGCCGGAACCCGAGCCGGCGGGCGACCACCAGCGCGTCGACGAAGTTGCGCGATAGCGAGGACACGTCGATGCCGCCGTCGGACTGCCACGCGGCCTCGTTGGCGCTGAGGAGTTTGGTCATGTGAGCTGCTGCCGGGCCCCAGCAGTGCGTCAGGGCGACGAAGCGGCCAGTCGTCCCTGGTGGTGGCAGGAAGAGCCGCGGGGGGGCGCTCTCGTCGTCGGCGAGCTCGATCACCCGCTTCGGCAGAGGGGTGTCGACTTGCGGCGCGCAGCCGTGCTCGGTGCATTCGCGCAGCCATTCCCGGGCCCTCTGCCAGCAGGCCTCTTCGGTCGGGTTTTCGGGGATTAGAAAGGTCGGTTCGAATGCGTTGAACCAGCCGGGGAGGATCCTGGCTTCGATCGGGGCAGGGCTCGATTGCGGGTCCCAGCAGGACAAATTAACCCACCTCTGGCGCCATGCGGCACGGATGGAAACAGATGATTCCGGACTGGGCGCCTCTGCGCCACCGTCGAGGCGAATGCGCAATATTGCGTCCCGGAAGAAACGACAGCCCTCGCAACCCTGGGCAGCATTCCGCTCGAGTTGGCCGTAGGACGGGAGGGCGAGGGGCTTTTCGAGTAGGCTTGCAGGTTCTTGATACGCGTCACAATATGCGCAGAGAGCCATGACTGGGGGATGAAGGGCTTTCTTAGCTCGTCGAGACGAAATGACCGGCTGGAGATGCCCTAGTGTCTATTGTATGTCCTTTGATACAATACCTTTGTAATTACTCTGGGCGTTGGGTTCGACATTGGGTAGTAATGCGTTTAATTAGCTCCCAGATATGCCGTGACCCAGAGGCATCGGCCATCAACGCCATCCCAAAGCGGTTGTCTAACAGAGGGGCCAAGGAGTTTATAATGGTCTCCCGGAGACCTGAGAGGCAGTCGGTGCAAAGAAACACATGTCGGTGGCGGCCGGGTGGCGGGCCGGACAAGCTAGGATCCGGCTATATCCGTCGGTGAGGGGAAGATCGCCAACCATCTTCTTTCTTCTTTGGTGCTAAGGATGATGTGAATGATATGATCCTGAATACTGAAGCCAACTAAAATGCACCACGACACCGACATTCTCATCGTCGGGGCAGGCCCAACCGGCCTGACCCTAGCCCTAGAACTAGCCGCCCAAATCCGACAAGCCGACGACCCCATCGCCAGCCCCTCCCCCACCATCTCCTTCCGCATAATCGACAAAGAACCCACCCGGTCCGACAAGAGCCGCGCCCTCGCCATCCAGCCACGGACCCTGGAGCTGCTCAACCGCCACGGCAGCGCGGCGACCGACCTATCCGCCCGCGGCCGGCCCGCGTCGGGCGTCACCATGTTCGTCAGGGGTCGCAGGGCCGTCGACATCGATGTCACGGACCTCGGCTTCGACGACACGCGGTTCCCACTGCCGCTGATCGTGTCGCAGGCTGAGACGGAGAGGTTTCTGGAGGAGAGGCTGGCGGCGTGCGGGGTGGCGGTTGTCGAGAGGGGCGTCGCGGCGACGAAGGTTGAGCAGGCTGGGGACGGGGTCGTCGTCACGCTGGTGAAGGGTACGGCCGGAGAGAACGAGCAGCAGCAGGAGGAGGAGGAGGAGGAGATTGTTCGGTGCAGGTATGTAGTCGGCTGCGATGGGGCGCATAGCACCGTCCGGCACGCGTCGGGGCTGAAGTTCGATGGCGCACCGTATCCGCAGGACTTCATCCTCGCGGACACGCACATCGACTGGCCGCCGCTGGACGGGCTGCAGGGTCGCATGGTGGCATTCCTCGCCGGAGGGCTGATGGTCATGTTCCCGTTCCGGGACGACAGCTTGGTGCGTCTCGTAGTGTCCCGCCCGGGCAGCACGCACCCAACCGGATCCGCCTCCTCCTCGGCACCTGGCGGGCAGCAGCAGCAGCAGCAGGCCCCGGAACCCACGCTCGAGGACTTCCAGCAGGCGTTAGACTCGTTATACCCCGGGAAACCCCGCGGGAGGCTGCACTCGCCGGTGTGGATGACGCGGTTCCGCCTGCACCACCGCGGCGTCGACGCGTACCGCGACGGCCGCCTGCTCGTCGCCGGGGACGCCGCGCACATCCACAGCCCCGCCGGCGGACAGGGCATGAACGCGGGCATCCAGGACGCCGTCAACCTTGGGTGGAAGCTCGCGGCGGCGGTGCGCGGCGAGAAGGCGCGGCGACAAGGGGCTGGGGAGGAAGATGGGGAAGTGTCCGAGCTGGAGACCCTGCTGGATAGCTACCATGCTGAGAGGTACCCGGTCGGCAGAGCCCTACTGCGCGGCACGGACCGCCTCTTCAGCTGGGCGACGTGGACGAACCCCGTCTGGATTGCCTTGCGCAACGCGCTTGTCCCGCTGGTGGTGCCGTGGCTAGTGCGCGACCGCGGGCGGCGCAGGGAGGGGTTCCGCTTCATGTCCGAGTTTAGTATTGCGTACCGCGAGAGCGCCGTGGTCGGCACTGCGGCGGGGTTCCGAGGGCCGGTCCGGGGAGGTGATCGTCCCCCCGATGGGAAAATCCTGGGTGAGGATGGGGGGGAGGCATGGTTGATGGATCTGTGCCGAGGGGTGGTGCATCACCTTCTCCTCTTCTCTGGTACAGGGGCCAACGCTGCGAGTGCTGCGGAGCTTCAACGGGCGAGGGATGGGTTTCTTAACGGTGGCAAGCCTAAGACTGGTGTGCATGTGCACATTGTTTACGCCGTGGCTAAAGCGGATGGTGCCGAGGGCTGCGTTGACATCGGCGGACAACTTCACGAGCGCTATGGCTTTAAGGGGCCGGGATATGTCTACATTCGGCCTGATGCGTACATGGGCCACATCGGACCTCTGGACTCACTGGGAGCTGTCATGTCTGTTGCGACACGTCAATCTTGTGTGTGAAGACCAAGTGGCATTCCAGGCCTCGGCAGAGGCTGATCTACGGCAAATCAAGAGTGCTGCAAGATTTCACTGAGCAGAGACTTGCCAAGGCAGAAAGTGGTAATCGCAACTTGAATTAGTCTTGTTTACCAGCTGCTTGGGTTCAATTTGTAAGCGCATTGGGAATAAATTACCAACACTTCAAGCGAAGAGGTCGAAGTCCCAGACAATTGACTAATTACCCTCCATCCCTCCATCCTCGCCAACTAGCTGCATTGACGACTCGAGATGCACCTCGGAGGCTGAGGCAAGACTTGAGGCAGCAAAAAGAGAGCGGTGTCGGGCAGATCAGTCACGAAGGCCCGACATAAACAACCAACTGCATATTCGCTGAGGCGCAGCCTCCACCACATGAGACAGCAACCGCGATCGCTGATTGGACCGGCCCCGACGGATTCACATCCTGACTGCTGCGGGGTGCTATAAATGTATGTGATTGCTTGGCTTCCAACGACCACTGCAGTTACGGGGTAAAGATTGGTGGCCTCCAACAATTGCGTGCAGGAATTAGTGCTCGTTGTAAGCACCTTTTGGCAACTTAGTCACGGCGAAGCCAGGAGTACCACCCCCACATTTGCCGAGTCAGCCATATTGGCCGTGTATGTTAGCCGTGTCGCAGTTGTGCATCGCCTCTGACCCAGAATAGGCAGGCTGAGGCAGGAGGTTGCCTATCATTTCCAGGGATGGAGGTACAGTACAAAATGAGCAAGGATTTCCTCCTGTGATGGAGGTTTGTGGTCAGTAAGGGGCCTCGGAACAGCGCATCCGCCCGTTAATACATTCAACATGGCTTCTTTGTCTTCCTCCGTCCTGGTACCGTGCCACGATGGCTTCAAGTTCCACTCCCACAAACGTCTGTGCATGCTCCTTGGCATCTCGTCGCCCTACAGCACCTGCATCGCCTACGCGCCGTACGCTCGGGAAGCCCCTCATTGCTCGCGGCCCATCAACCGCGGCAAAAAGGCCCGAGTCCCGGGTTTGCTTTCCGATCTTCTTCAAGCCAGCGTCCCTTCTTCTCAAGCACGACGCATGCTGGAGGAGCTATCTACGCACGTTGTCTGCGGTATCACCGGTTGGCACCAGAACAAGGCAACTGAGGTTTACTATGAATGGTGCGACACCATCTGGGACGAATACCTCCGTGTGAATGGAGTGGATCCAAGAGGATGGAACGAACCCCCGCGTCAGCTCTCAAGGCATACTTGGGAAGCCGACCTCGAAGTAGCTCAACGGGAGCAACAGTGCGATTCTGACGAGGGAGATGACGATGATTCTCGCGACAATGAGAGCGACTCTGGAGAGAGTGTCGCTACTGCTGACACAACCACCTCTGACTTTGGCGAAAGTTCCTCCGACCGAGATATACCTTCACAATCTCAAAGTCTGCAGACTACCAGTTATTTCTCTGCACGGTCAGACTCGTCTGCTCCCTCTCGACAACCACCCAGTGGCTCATTCAGTGTATATCGGGATCCTGAAGTGCAGTCTGCCGACCCTGTGTCGTCGAATCCTGCGTCAGTGTGCAACCGCCCTGCTCTGAGGCCACTCGACCAGAATATTGCCATGTCCCGCGCCAGCAGTCAGACGTTGCCTGAGTGGAGCCATCCGGTCACCGACGCTGCTCCTTCCCCGTCAGCTGTATCTCACCCTGCCGAGTCACACAGCGTCGACTCGAGCAACGCAACACACCGACTCGGATCCGATACAGACCATACCTTAAGCGACGACGAAAGCCCAGTGATATCTGATGATGAGGCGTCTGGCGCCCCAGAAGAGACCGAGGACGAGAGCGAGGACCAGGATGAAAGCGAAGATGAGGAGGCAGAGAGTGACAGCCACCAATTAGGAAGTGATGGCGAGGAACAGACACTAGATGGCGCCGATGATCTGCAGGATCAGTCCGAGTATTCTGAAGGAACTGACACAGATTCTGCCCAAGACGACGCAGAGGAAGATTTTGTTCTCGTCGAAACGAGTGTCGCGGACCATGACGAGGAAAGTCAGTCCAGCCATACAAGTGCCGAGTACGAGATCACAGCCGAAGACACCGACGAAGACACCGACGAAGACACCGACGAAGACACCGACGAAGACAGCCTCCACGACGGAATCTTCGAAGACGCCGACGTAACCGAGGTTGCCTCAGTCCCAGCCCCAACAGACCTCTCTCCCCCACCGACACTCACCGCACCACACCCCGCCTTCCGTCTCTACCCTCAAGCACCAGGCCCCCTCCCACAACTCAAACAACTGCTCAACACCCTGACACAAACAGTCTCCCCCGGCCGGCGCCACACGGGCTTCATCTACGCCTTTGCGCGGCCCTCGCTACCCGGCCATCTCAAGATAGGCTACGTCAAGGACGTCACCGCGCCGCGGGGGCCGTATTCCGATCGCGTTGACTGCCGCCTGGCGAAATGGCAGGCCGACTGTGGACATCCTGTCGTGAATGTCTTCAGCGTGTGGATCGCTTGCAACGCGGTGGAGAGGATCGAGAGCCTTGTGCACTTGACGCTGAGGGAGTATCGGCGCGTGGAAGACCCGCCGTGTGGAAGGTGCGAGAGGAGGAAGAAGAGGGGGGGAAGTGGTGGGGGGAGTCATGATGAGTGGTTTGAGGTGGATGAGCGGACTGCGAGGCGGGTGGTGGGTCTGTGGGCTTTGTTCGCTGAGCAGTTGCCGTATGATCGGTTTGGGAGGCTGGTGGACTTTTGGTCGGAGAAGGTAGATGGCGAGAAGAGGCGGGTGGACCATGGTGACACGAGTGTGAACTGGCTGGAGGCGATGCCGAGGTTGGTGGAGGAGTTGACGAGGTGGGAGCTTCGTAACATCATTGGTCCTTTTAGGGAGTTGTCTTTATGATACTAGCAAGGTCAGGAGTTCTGGTCCAGGAGTTCAAGATCAAATCAGGGGTTGGCATAAGGTTAGAAAGAGAAAGGCGCTTGGAGTAGTTATTTGGTCAATCCATCCATCTTTTATTTTTGTTTATTATATTAACTCCATCATACATCCTTGATCGTGGATCTCCGGTTGGACATGTGTCAGAAATGATGTCCTGGTCCAAGACATTGCTGGGAGAAGAAACAGTAGGGCAGGCCTATAGCTTTGCGAATACACCGCTGCATGCACCCTTGCCCAGCTGAACCAGGGTGCTCTTCGTCCTGGTGTATGCGCGGATACCCTCGTGTCCGTTCTCCAGACCGATCCCACTCAACTTCCACCCGCCCACCGGCATTTCAGCCGGTGACTCCCCCCAGGTGTTGATCCAGGTGATGCCCGCATCCAGCTGTTGGATAACTTCCTCGGCAAAGCCCACATCGGACGAGACCACGCCCGCCGCCAGACCCATCGGCGTATCGTTCGCACGGCGGATCAGCTCGGGTAGCCACTCGTCTTGTTTCCTGCCTTCGGCCTTGTAGGGGAGAATGCACATGACGGGCCCGAATATCTCCTCACGAACCACGCGCATGTTGTCGGTGCAGTTGGTGAAGATGACAGGAGGCACCCAGTAGCCGTTTGCCGAAGGCTTCGTCTTCTGGGCATCCACGCCGCCGTCGTACAGCACCTTGGCCTTGTCGACCTCTCGCCCGTGCCGGATATACGAGCTTACCTTGTCCATCTGCGTGGCGCTCACCACAGGCCCAAAGTTCGTCTTCTCGTCCATGGGCGGGCCCATCCGGATACCCTCTCGACACCTCTGTACGAGGGCCTCCTCGACCTTGCCTAGCAGCGAATCCGGCACGAAGACCCGCGTCCCGTTGGTGCACACCTGACCAGTGGAGAAGAAATTGGCAACCATGGCGATATCAGCCGCCTCGCCGACGTCCGCATCCGGCAGGATTACCAGCGGGCTCTTCCCGCCGAGCTCCATGGTGATGCCCTTCATGCCCCGCGCCGCCTCGGCGGCGACCTTGCTCCCCGTGCTGACCTGCCCCGTGAAGCTGACCTTGGCGATTCCCTGGTGGGCGACCAGCGGTGCGCCGACGGCCGGTCCGTCCCCGTATACGACGTTGAACACGCCGGCGGGCAGGCCGGCCTCGAGGAAGATCTCGGCCAGAGCATTGGCGTGCAGCGGCGTCACCTCGCTCGGCTTGTAGACCATGCAGTTCCCCGCCGCCAGGCAGGGGGCCGACTTCCACAGGGCGATCTGCAGCGGGTAGTTCCAGGCGCCGATCCCGGCACACACGCCGAGGGGCTCGAGGGAGGTGCGCACGGACGCGTCGCCACGCAGCCGAGATACCCGGCCGTCGAGCCCGCCCGACGCGACGTGGTGCGCGTAGTACTCGAGCACGTCGGCGCCCGTGGCGACGTCGACGGTGGACGTCTCGGCAAGCGCCTTGCCTGTGTCGAGGGTCTCGGTGCGCGCGAGGGCGTCGTTGCGGGCGCGCAGGAGGGAGGCGGCGCGGAGGAGGATGCCGGCGCGCGAGGCCGGTGGGGTGCGCGACCACGAGGGGAAGGCGGCTTGGGCGGAGGACACGGCGGCGTCGAGCTGGGCGGGCGTGGTCGTGTGGATGGTCGCTAGGGGCTTGGCGGTGCTCGGATCCACGGATGTGAAGGTGGACGAGGGGGAGGATGACTCGGGCTGGGGGCGACCCGAGTGGAAGGTGTGGATCTCGGTTGAGAAGGTCATCCTGCTTGGTTATCCCTTGTCGGGGAAGGAGGGACGGGAGGGAGGACGGAAGCGGAAGAGGAGGAAGGAGAGCGGGAGACGCGGCTTAGAGAGAGAGACACGGGTGAGATAAGACGGAACCGGCAGCTCGTAAAGAACCATTCACCAAACGACAGGACTGGTGGAGATGGAATTGGGCGAAGCTCCATAGCTTCGGCTGGTTTTCTACTTATCTTATCTAGTACCACAGGATGCAGCAAACGCTGACTAGCGCTGCACGGTGCACGGCTACCTCACCGCTAGGACGATTGTGACGTCACTGGAAACCCCGCTATTGCGACATCTCCACTCAACTTGGAGGGGCAGAATGAACACGGCAGCCAATGGCCGGTGGCGTGACCGAGGACTGACAGAGACAGCCAGTAAGGATAGCAGAAAAATGCCGCTACTGTAGAACCCCGGATTTTCCAAATTCTCCTGCGTTACGCATCCGTACTCAGTACTCGTATGGAGTACTGTGTACGGCAACATTGAGCAATAATCATTGTCTGACAGCAGCAAATTCTTGACCCAAAATCCTCGACAGTCCTCGCTCCTTCTTTTTGGCTGCTCCAATGGCGCAAGACCAACAGTGGTTATAAGGAAGCACCGTCTTTGTGCCACTGCTTGGCGCCCCTGCCTAACGCTCCGTAAACATGACCTGTTACGTTGGTACGCTTTTCTGGTGGCTGCAATATCCCTGCGCATACCCACAAAAATCCTTGTGCAAGGTATCACACTAACAAATGAACAGTCTTTTCCGGCCACACCGAGGATGGGCCGTTACACTTCCTGCTGCAAAACTGGGAATGGAGTGAAGCCAAGAGTTGGCCAACCAAAGTTCCACCTTGTTTGACTTTCCATCTTGCGCATGATCTTACTGGCAAAGCCGAAATTTTTCCTCACCATTAAGCTCCACTTCGACATGCTAAAGTTCCCGCCCCTCACCGCATCTCTACTAGTCGACGGGATTTATATAATGTAGGTAGCTGGCAGCAAGTCATCTTGTGTGGCGTGTGTGTGTGTGTGTGTGTGTGTGTGTCCGTTGTCCGCGTGTGTGGTTGTATTTTCACCGTTTTCTCCCTCACTACTCCGCCCCCCTCCTCACAACCTACTTATCCGGCCGTACACGATCATAAGCCGTGTCTTCAAAGGATTCAACATCTAACGCATCATGACCACCCACACGCTCCCCAACTCGGCAGACCATGCCTTCGACTACATCATTGTCGGCGGCGGCACAGCTGGGTGCGTGCTCGCCTCTCGACTGTCAAGCTACCTGCCCGAGCACAAGATTCTGCTGATAGAGGCAGGACCCTCGGATTTCAACAACAATCAGGTACTCAACCTCCGTGAGTGGCTGTCCCTGCTGGGTGGTGATCTCGATTATGACTACGGCACGACGGAGCAGCACATGGGCAACAGCCATATCCGGCACTCCCGCGCAAAGGTCCTGGGCGGCTGCTCCTCCCACAACACCCTGATCTCCTTCCGCCCCTTCCGCCACGACATGGAGCGCTGGCTCTCCCATGGTTGCAAGGGCTGGGACTTTGAAACCATGACCCGCTTGGTCGACAAGCTCCGCAACACTATCCAGCCTGTGCACGCCCGCCATCGCAACCAGCTCTGCAAAGATTGGGTGCAGACATGCTCCACGGCCCTGGACATCCCCATCATCCGCGACTTCAACGCCGAGATCCGCGAGAAGGGCCAGTTGAACGAGGGCGTGGGCTTCTTCTCCGTCTCGTACAACCCCGACGACTGCAAGCGCAGTAGCGCGTCGGTGGCGTACATCCACCCCATCCTCCGCGGTGAGGAGAGGCGGCCAAACCTGACTGTCCTGACCGAGGCGTGGGTCTCCAAGGTTGTTGTCGAGAATAGTGTGGCGAAGGGTGTCGACATCACCTTGAAGTCCGGCGAGACGCGGACTCTCCAGCCCCGCCAGGAGATCATCCTCTGCGCCGGCGCCGTCAACACGCCGCAACTTATGCTGCACTCGGGCCTCGGCCCCCGGGCCCAGCTTGAGAGCCTGGGGATCCCTGTTGTGCAAGACATACCCGGCGTGGGTGAGAACTTGCTGGACCACGCGGAGACCATCGTCATCTGGGAGCTCACGCGCCCGGTGCCGGACAACCAGACGACCATGGACTCAGATGCCGGCATCTTCCTGCGCCGCCAGCCCATCAACGCGGCCGGCAAGGACGGCGACGCGGCCGACATCATGATGCACTGCTACCAGATCCCCTTCACGCTGAACACGGCGCGGCTCGGCTACCCGCTCGTCCGGGACCGCTACGCCTTCTGCATGACGCCCAACATCCCGCGCCCGCGGTCGCGCGGCCGCGTCTACCTGACCTCGGCCGACCCCTTGATCAAGCCAGCGCTCGACTTCCGGTACTTCACCGACGCCGAGGGCTACGACGCCGCGACGCTGGTGGCCGGCATCCGCGCCGCCCGCAAGGTCGCCACCCAGAGCCCGTTCAAGGACTGGATCAGCCACGAGGTGGCGCCCGGCCCGGACGCGCAGACGGACGAGCAGATAAGCGAGTACGCCCGCCGCGCCGCCCACACCGTTTACCACCCGGCCGGCACGACCAAGATGGGCGACCTCGCCGCCGACGAGAGCGCCGTCGTCGACCCGGAGCTGAGGGTCCGCGGGGTGCGCGGGCTGAGGATCGCCGACGCTGGCGTCTTCCCTGAGATGCCGTCCATCAACCCCATGCTCACCGTCCTGGCCATCGGCGAGCGGGCCGCGGAGCTGATTGCCGCTGAGCAGGGATGGAAGGGCGATGGGGTTACGCAGGCCAGGCTGTAGAGATGGGAGATTTCCCAGCTCGGAATTGCTGCTGCAGGGTGCTTGCCATATAGATCGGACATTGCGTAGCGGGCACAGTCTGATACCCGGCCTCTTTGGTTTCTCCAAGCAGTCACGCAATTTTAGATGCATAGTAGGATAGTATCGTTGTTCAGGCTGGATATGAATACAACTAAAACTGGGGACAGATTCCAATTGCATGTGGAGGGCCAAGATTCTGTCTGGCACGGCTTGACGTGACGATTGTTGACGGTCTTTCTTCGTAATTAGCTGTTGCACTTCCCGAGAGTTGCCCTCGCCAGCCACTGAAGACAGAGGTCCATGAGACAAAGCCTCGGGACAATGTTGATGATGCTCTCGGAGGCACCTTATATAATTATACAGCTAAGTAGGACGTAAGTTGCCTAGAGCACGGTAGACATGGGAAGAAATGAACCGGATTTTCACCCTGAAGGCATAATAAGCCAGGCTGCTGCGTCCATGTTCTTGTTCTGCCATATAACGCTGACTGCGTTTCCAAAAGCTTACAATGTTGTCAACAGCAAGCTTAACAGCTGTGTCCGTCTTGTCTGGGGACACGGGCGAATCTATATGCTCGAGATCTATAATATAATTAATGGTCGTACACCTTGTGATCAGCAACATAAACAATTACCCCGGTATACATACAAGGTTGAGATGAACTATAAATTTGTGCCTATCACCCCGAAGTGCGCGCACGAACTTATCTTTCTCAACACCTGGGGTGAGGTCACAGATGAGTCCCTGAACCATGGGCCCGAGCCCAACATCTCCTGGTTGAATAATCCCATGACCAGCTCCCAATAAATCAAATCACATCTAACGTCAAATGAATCGATCACCACCAGTCATGCTTCTTCTTGGAATTCTCGGGGAATCATTAATTGTCACAAGTTAGAGAACTGATCAACTTCCTGGTGATGCAGCCCTTGTGGGCGTTTGGCGCTTGACGAATATCAGAGCGCATCAAGAATATCACAATACCGTGATAGAAGACCAGAAAGGTCCTTAATAACTACACCTCTACATCCCAAAGTGCCATGTCACACCATCTCAGCGAAGTAATCACCTCCTATTGTCGTGAACCGGCTATGACACGGCAAGGAAACGAGCTTGAACCGGTGGCACTGCCTTATCACTCCGAATGTAGAGCCGTGTTTCCACTCTCCTTTGGACGGGGAACAAACAACCAGCTGATGGCGGTCGCGGCGAGAAGGGCACACAACACAGGCTGCAGTACGGCTACACCAGCATGGGAGGCGATGAGTCCCGTAATAATCGGAAACAGACACCCGCCGATCTGCGCAAAGACGAATACAAACGCAAGAGCCGTTGGCTGAATCTCGGGCGAGAAGAGTTTCGAGCCGATCGAGATGCCCTGGGATTTATCATTAATAAAACGAAGACAACGGCGTAAAGGTATCTGACTCATGTGATGACTTACAGTGGCAAAATAGGGACCCATGAAAAAGCCCAGTAAACTGATAGCAATAGACGCCGCTATGATATTGGGGACCCTGCATTGTCACCATCGTTAGTTAGCCTCTCCAACCAAAACATTCGCCGTGAGCTGTCAGAGCATGGGAACATACAGCCAAAACAACACCTGCAGACCGATGCTGAGGATGGCGTAGATGAATATCATCCTTCGCTCTCCCAGACGATGTGTGGGCTCTGCAAGGAGCAGCCTGCCCAGCAAAGTCCCTCCATTGAAGCCTGCTGGGATGTAACCCATCTGGGCCAGATCTCCATTTCGAACAACGACAAGGTACTCGACAACCCAGCCACTGGCGGTGAGCGCGGCCCCCAGGAAGAAAAAGAAGAACAGGCTCAGCAACCAGACACTCGGGTTCGCCAGTGTCTCTTTCATGAGCCTCAGGGCGCCCTTGTTTCGAGACGTCTCTGCGTCGCCGGAGATGTGTCCCGAACCAGCAGCAGGAGGATCTGGCTTCCTCCGATTAAACACCAGGCTATCCCGAAACGCATAGGACACGAGGCCCACATTTGCCACCCCGAGTCCCAGCGGGAACGAATAGAACAGGTACCACCTCGACGGCGTCCCAGCCGAAGCAATGGCCGTGGCGACGAATGGACCACAGAGGCATCCGGCCGCGTACATTGCGTGGATGAAGGCGAGCGAGCGGTGGGCCGCCTTGGTGCCGGCGACGAAGGTGTTGCCGTGGGTGTCTTGGTATGCCTGGCCCAGGCTGGCGAACCAGAATGTGATGACGTAGAGAGCGAAGGGCGGCTTCCAGGCTCGCAGGGCATGCGCGACCACCTGCAGTGCCGCGCCGAGCATGAGCATCGGGCCGAGGTTCAGGAATTGGCATAGGTGGGTGTTTGATACGGCGGCGAAGAACCAGCCCATGAAACTTGCGCCGTAACTTTTGTTGGTCGGCGCTGTTAGCTACGGGAGGAAGGGAGAAGGGTGGCTAGGTGGCCCCTTGACCTACACTGATGAGACAATGGCAGTGCTGACTCCATAGTCTCGGATCACGTAGGGGACCAAGGCTCCGATGCTGCCGTCGTTGACGCCCGCCACGAAGAAGGAGAAGCCGGCGCTGATGATCTTGAGGAATGTGGCTCGGTCGAGCTTCGGGTTTTCGGGCGGGGGCGCGTTTGAGGCATGTTCATGTTCATTGTCTGCCAGTTCAAATCTCTCCGATGTCTTGCCCTCCTCGAGCTGGGTCGCTGTGACTGACATTGTTGAAGGTGATTGTCGAGAGAGAGTGGTGAATTTACAGCACCTTGGGGATATTTATAACTGCCATTCCCCGCCCTTCGGGGGTTCGGAAGCCCGAGCCGCGGTGGCTAAACATCGGGACACGGTGGCTAAACGTCGGGACAGGGCCGCCGCTGCTCGGCTTGGCGGTTACTTCTTTAGCTCCGGCTTCACAATCCGGGGATCCTTCATTAATTAGTAGCTTTATGTTCGAGGAGAATCCGAGTGCATCGGTGTTGCCCAAGTTGAGGAGATATATTAGTTAGTGCATCAATGGAGTTGCAGTTATCCTCGCCATGCCAGGATACAAGCCTCGTGATCGCAACCGAGCCAAACCCCCGCCCCCACCCCCCGGCCCCATTTCCCGTGCGACTGCTTGGACAATCTTCCCTCATCAGTGTAGCCCCTGGGCTTCCCTGACGGTCCCCTTTCCCCGCTGCCTGCCTCAACCCCGACCGCCCCAAGGGAAAATGGATGTATACCGGCGATTGTCAGCAAAATGTGCCTTGTTGTACTCGCTAGCAAAAGTGAAAGTTAGCCATGTCACAATATATTAGAACCTGGGATGGTGGGGATTTGGAATTGCACATGGAATCGCCAACGACTTTGACCTGAAGACGACGAGCTCAACGTCCTTGAGCGCGGGTTTTGGCTCCGTTTTCTTGTTAACGTCGAGGAGTATCCATGCTTTCCCCTCGTCCCCATGTTCACCGGTGTGTACACGTAGTCTTGATCCCAGCTGAACTTGCGATGGAAGTTCCGCGTTAGGAAATCATTCGCGAGAGTTATCGAACGTGCCAATGGCACACAAGGGATGTCTTCGACTCGTAATCTGAAGCAGAACCGGGTAGCTACTGGGTTTCTTGTTGAGTCATCTTTCGGTTCTCCCTCAGGGTCCTCAACATTTGGTTGAATGGTGGTTGATTGCATTTGGGCCGACGACATTAGTTATTAGGTGACCTAGTTTGCTTGAGAGGGGAAGTGTAGGAGTGGCCCCGCTCGTGATTTGCACGCCACCTGACATGGATGGAATAACGACCATTCTATTCAGAGTGCTGGGTGTCGCTCATCCTCGGCACTGGCCGAGGCTCTGACAACAGTAATGGTATAGTACATGATTGCATTGGAGATGACGAGGCCCCTTCAAACGTTTATATGTCGCCCATTCCATCAGTTTCCGCCACCAGATGCTCGTTCCGTGCCTTTGAAGACTCGCTCCACCGGCCATGTCCCCAAGTCATGCTCCACCAACAAGCGAGCTACCCTGTCGTGCCCACGCTGCAGAGCGAGCACCAAAGCCGTCGTACGAGGGTCCAGCCTCACATCCGCGTCGATGGCTGGATGCTGCAACAGTCGCTCCACTATGCCTTCATGCCCATCGTTCGCGGCCATGAGCAACGGCGTCCACCCATCCTCGTTGGCAAAGTTCGGGTCCGTGTTGGCATGTTCCAACAGCAGTTCCACAACCTCATCATGGCCCTCGCTCACTGCCACAGACAACGGCGTCCAGCGTCTGTTGTCATGAAGGTTGGGGTCTATGCTGCGATGGCCCAGCAAGAGACTCACAATGCCAGTATTTCCTCCAAAGCTGGCCCACCACAGCGGCGACCGTCGACGGATGTCGGGCAAATTTGGTTTGACACGCCTGTCCTCTAGGAGCAACTCCACGACAGCCTCCTGGCCTCTCCATGAGGCGACGCAGAGGGGAGTGTCGAGCCCGGCAGACTGTACTGTCCACTCAAAACGATAGGTTTTGTCCAAATGTGCCTCCTTGTTCCTCACTGGTGAACGAGATATCCGTGAGTGGCCCTCTGATGCAACGTTGGGGTCTACGCCCACTCTCTCCAGCAATAGCCTCACAACATCGGGATATCCCAAGCGGGCTGCCTGCCATAGTGGTGTACCACCGTTGCCGCTCAAATTTGGGTCGATGTCGCTTCTGGTCAAGAGTAGCCGTACCATCGCCATATTTCCCTGGGAGGCCGCATAGCGCAACGGTCTCTCCTCCCCGTTCCAGGGGGCATTGGGATCCACGTCGTTCCGAGACAGGAGAAGCTGCACCACCGAGATATGGTCGTTGCATACCGCCTTCGACAGGGGGGTTAGGCCCCTCTCGTCCTCTGTGTTGAAGTCGACATCATGACGCACAAGTAATGGCAATACAACGCTCTCATGCCCTTTGATCGCCGCAATGGTTAGCAGCTTGCCGAGATGCTCGTCATACCCGTGCTCATTGAGCTGGGCGTCGTATCGTTTCAGGAGGTGCCTCACGACGTCCCCATAGCCTCTAAACGATGAAATGAACAGAGGGCACATGCCATTGCCAGATCTGAACCTGGGCTGCACACCACCCAGCTCGATCAACAGTCGCACGATCTCTCCGTATCCCCTGAAAACTGCCGTGGTGAGTGAAGTTTCGGCGCCCTTTGTCCTTGGATTCGGGTGTCGGACGCCTGGGCGCGCAAGGACGAGATGGACGATGTCAATCCATCCGTGAGATGTTGCCCACCACAATGGGGTATGGCCTTGGGCATCACTGGCATTGGCGTGGACATCATGCCGCGACAGGAGCAACCTCACCACTTCCCGGTGCCCGTTCCTGGCTGCGAGCAAGAGAGGAGTCTCTCCGGTGGAATTCGTGTTGATGTCAACGTCACTCAGTCTCAACAGCAGCTCCACGGCCTCCTCATATCCGGCCTCAGACGCAGTGACCAGGCACTTTGTGGGTATGTCGGTGTTATTCTTGTGGACTCCCCTCCGCAACAGAAATTCCATCGTGGCGACGTGCCCATGCCCTGTCGCTGCCTCCAGCGGTGTGATGCGTCCTCGCTCTTCTGGGTCGGCTCCGTGGTCGACCAAAAGGCGAGCGATGATTGTATGACCGTTGTAGCAAGCAGCAAGCAAGGCACATGGGAAATGGTCGCTCGGCTTGTTTGGATCGGCCCCGCTCGCCAGCAGCGTTTCCACGATCGACTTGTCTCCGTAGTACGCCGCCACCTGAAGACTGGAGGAGGACACCATGTCCTCTATTGCTCGGTGACGCAGCAGGCTCGACTCCTCGTCTCCATCTTCAGAACCCTCGGTCTTGGGGGGAGACTGAGCAATCAAATCGCGATCGGAACTCAGCAACTCCTGGCACACCCACTCCCGGCCGTGATATGTAACCAGCATGTCGCACGCGGCATTCAGGTATTCTTCCTCCCCAGTAGCCTCGGAATTGCATGCCTTCCAAAAGGCGATGGATTGTACCGACATCCAGAGATTTGCCGTGGGTCCCATATAGATTCCGCGGTCGATCTTGACTTTCGTAGCTAGGAACCATCCGAAACTCTCCTCTCTCACGCGGCTGAATCTCTCGCGCAAGTGAGCTTGGTCCAGCTTTTGGAATGCTTGGCGCGAGACAACATCGTCAAACCGGCCTGAGGAGATCCCAAGCTGTCAGTAAGACAGTCTGTCATTTGACTTGAGCAAAGGAGGGATTGCGCCACTTACTGCAAACAAGCCTCAGGTCAAGTAGCTTCGGGCGAGCGGTACTATTGTTCCAGCCGTCTGGGACAAGAGGATCGAGGATGTATGTCAAAAGCTCGACAGGAAGGTCGATGAGCAGCATGATTTGGGGATTTGGCATTCGGTACTTGAGGCTGGAGTCTTTCAATCCAGGCGTGGCCGAAATTTGCAGATGCGTTTGTCACAATCTTGGTGTCTCGTGGTAATTATCACAAGCACTGCAGTAATTACTGCCAATAAAGTCAAGTAGACAGACCAAAAGTATCGATATGAAAAAGAGAAAAGAACGTCTTTCCATGCCAGCCACGCCAACTTTATATTAGTGGTCAGCCTATATTCACATTGAGACTGCCTCTACCTCTAGAAACATATTCACTGACAGTGCCTTTAGAGTAGGCCAATTGTGTGTCATGGTCACTTTACTTCCTTTTGGGATGGCGAAGTCTGTGAAGAATGCAGAATAGTGAATTCCAGGGTATCAGACCTTGCAAGTGTTTAACAAAGATAGACAAGCAAGGCATGGTTTTGAAACTGCTGCTGGTGTGACGCTGTAAAGAAGACATCTCTCCTCTACGCAATGGAAATGCCGCCCAAAGTCTTGACATGAAGCCTTGATGCTTTAGATCAGACACACTGCTCCTTGCTACCAGCATCCTATTTTATTATTATTACTGGACTTCCCCCGCCCCAGTTATGCCGTATATCTAGCTAGGAGCTTGCATTGTACGTACGTAGAAGAAAATCGTGTATTTAGGAGCCCATGCTCGGGCTGGGAGTTGGATGAAAACCGAGTACAGTCAGTGCTTTACTAGTTAATTATAGTTAGACTGCAACGTGCCTGGCAAGCTACCTAGCTTCCAGTGTCTAGCAGAGGTCTGGACTTCTAGAGCAGAAGAGTCTTCGGTCTCTTCGTTGATGGCGGGCGAAGGCCTCAGCCCGGTTTCAAACAGTCACTCGAAGAGGGTGGAATTAGAGGCCGGTGTATTTCCAACCAAGGAACACCCCATCTTCAGCTTATCCAAGTCGATGGCGGCGTCCTGCCAGGATGGACTGTCGTGGCAGAAGATGTAATTATCGTCCTCAAGTATTCACAGAGGCGAGTAGTCTCTCTATATTTGTCGCATACGAGATGCGGAGAAATCACAAGTCCTGATGGCCTGCCCAATGAACCAGATGTACGTGTCTGAAGTTTGGCGACATCGGTCTCAAACTTATCATAAACAGGGAGTGTTGGGCGTTCAGGCAAGAGACCGTGGGCGCAAGAAAGAAAAGGCCGGGAAGTAATGACGCAATCTCTCTGGAGACGAGGGGAATTTGCGCGACAAACACATTGCCAGACACTTGGCAAGCTAACGTCACACGACAAGCAACCTAACGCGGAACCGGAGCTGAGCCCCTATCGAGCACAAGGGCACCCGAACACCCGGCCCAAAGCGGAGGGCTGTTGGCGTTGCTGTGGGCGACATGGAGGAGAGAACCGACTAGATTGGGCGCCTCAGGGGTATGTCTTATTAACTGCATGCCGACTGATTGTCTGGCACCACACGATAACTGCACGACAGAAGTATATCCAGTTCCTTCTTTTGTTCTTCGGGCGCAAGTGAGTCTCGGGACACTACCCCGAGGTGGACAAACTGGGCAGGCCTGCAAGGAAACAGATACTCCTCCTCGTCATGGTGGACCTACATTAGGGACCATCAACTTACCTAGACAGCCTGTGCGACACAAAACGTGCCGCTCGATCTGGAACACGCAGCCGGATGTCTCCCATCCGAGATATCAGTGAACACTTACCGAGAGACGTCGAATTTCGAAATCAGACACTTGGGACTCTGATCATTACCTCGATGCAGCTCGCTCATCTCCCAAAAAGCAATTTCAGCCCACGTGAGGGCCGGATGTTGATATTTCCCTTGCGCTAGGGCGTAAATGACGTTGACTGATGAGCGAAGCGCATTTCTGTACATTCCTGATCAAGCAAGGGAACGCCCCTGTCGGCCAATTAACATCGGCCCAAATCAAGGCAAAGCTTGTTATTCGTCCCAGCCTAGAGACCAACGCTTGCTGGTGGCTTGCCCCGGATAGCTGCCCTCCCGGCGCTAGTGCACGACCGATGCTTCGGGCAAATGAGATGCCAACGATGGAGGCTGGAGAAGCCATCCTGTTCCTGGAAAGGAGAGAGAAGGCCATCGTATCACGACTGAAGTCTCAAGTGTGGCGATGGGCTTTGTGATCGAGATAGGAGCAGAAATTGCTGATGCATCATATGTAATGCGTTCGATTCCCTCATTTTCCTCTCCAATGTTAATTAGTCCTCTTCCCCCTAAACTGTCGAGTCCATCAACTAAAGTGCAAATCCTTTAACGTCTGTTCCCCATCGAGCCAATATGCACTGCAAGAAGATTGTTGTTTCTCTCGCAGCAGCGAGCACAGCTGCTGCCCAGCGACCAGAGGACACCCCCATCTGCGACTACTACACCACCGCCCTGCTAAAGAACAACACTGCCGAGAACCAGTACACCCTGCTGACGCTGCTTGTCAATACTGTCGTTATCGGAAACTGTAAGCCGTGGACAACACATCCACCCCAAGAGACATAACTGACCTAACATTTGTCAGACACACAGCCCAATGTGGGAGTTGTGGTTCCAGGCATCCTGGCTGCGGGAAAGTACAATGGCACCGACGTGAACCTTATGCCGTACTTCAATGGCGAGCTCAAGTCATCCAACCGAGGCGGCAAGACCGGCGTCGCCGTCAACTTCCTCGACGGAGGTGGTGCAGCCCCTCTGCAGAAGAATATGCCGGCGGATGACCCCAAGTCCAACCAATAGTAGTTCCTCTCTCTTCATCCTTCCTCGATATCTTTCTTCCCTTGACTAACCCTCGTCTCCCTTCCCAGCTTCCTCCTCACCCATCTCTACCAATTCTTCGGCGCCCTCCTGAGCTGCTCCGAATACGGCATGGGCGCCTTCCCCGATTTTGGCGGCCACGCATCCATGTACGAGGTCCACAAGTTCATGGACCTCGGCCCCTCCGAGCTCGGCTACTTCATCGAACAAGTCGCCCTCGCCGCCTCCTCCTTCGGCGTCGCCGACTCGGACGTCGCCGTCGTCGGCAAGGCGCTCAGCGGCCTCTTCGGCATGCGCTGCTCCCCGCCCGCCACCGCCATCCCCGCACAGGGCCCCCAGCTGCAGGCTATCTGCATCGAGGATACCTGCCCGCTGTCGCCCGATGCCGTCTGCGCCAAGTACATGCCGGCTGTTGAGCCGCAGCCGAACTCGACGGGGGCCGCAGGAGGCACATTGAATCACTCTGTGACGCCGACCGTGACCATGAGCTCGCCCGCTACGACGACCATGGGTCCGACTGCTGTCTCGCAGGCTGGCGCTGCCGCTACTGGGCTGGGCATGGCTGCTATTGCTGGTGGGTTTGCAATGTTGATGCTGTAGGGATGGGGTCTGCAATCGGGGATGTTGAACCGAATCTGGAGGATTCGTAATGGGGTGTAATAAGGCAGTCTTGGTCGTTGTGTATATCTTTACTCGGGGGTTCCTAAGCTTTGGTAACGCGTCCTTCTGTTACAACCGTACTCGTTCTCTGGAACATTACTTTTCCCCCCCTGGGTAAGAACACGAGTTTCCAGTCAAGCCAGGTCCATTAATTAGATGTTTGTTATTGGCTTCCCGGTTTCGTAAGCTGTCGTCATATGCAACAGCAAATCTTTCCTATAAATAGCAACAGGTGATCAGATGCCAAGTTGTGTCACCAACTAATTCGGGTAGATCCGCCTTAGCGTTGAGCTTGATGGCGAATTGAGTGCCACAACTCATGGCATCGCGGCACGTAAGCACGGCCTGATTATTTGCGCCCTCGCCTGTCTTTTTCAGCTCCGTTACAATGGCGAGCCCATCTTCTGGTAAAGGACGACGGGGCTTCGTGTTGCTGCTGGTATTTAGAGTGGACGATGGCCCGGGAATTAGACTTCGCCTGAGACATCTATAATTTATTTATTTCAAGTTCCGTACATTTCTATCCGAGACACGTCCAAATGGTATGTGTAAAGTCCCTACTGGCGGCCGGTGCTGCCCTGGCCAACGTCTCTCTCACGCATGCGTGGATCTACGCCATCTCTGCCCCGGAGACAGCGGCTGTCGGCAGCATCTTCACGGTCACCATCACCAACGGGCTGCATATCCAAAACTACCAGAATTTCGGCATTATCTGGGGATTTCAGAGGCCACCGTATCAAGACAGGGTCACGGGGGAGTTTGAGCTGGGCTGGACAAATCTAGTGTATGCAATGCACCCCCCCTTCCCGAAATCAGACTGGCTTGCCCGAGTGACGGGGTTTTTTGCTGACGATTCTTCACGGCTGAAGTGGCCCTGGCGCAACGCCGATGCCGCCCTCGGGAAACTTCACTGTGGAGTTGACGATTCCCGATGGTTGGCCCACCGGAGACGTGCAGCTGATGGCTGTCACCCCTATTCGCGTTGGTGTAAGTACTTGACCGCTCCCATGGGAGAATAGTATGCGATCAACCGCGAGTACTAACATCGCCAGGCTTTGGGATCGACGGACTTGGTATATCTCAGTCAGAATATGACCTTGACTGCTGCAACCTGAGAGCAGAACCCTCTAATATTCCCACGCTACAATGCCTTGAGCTGCGTATGTCCTCGCCTCGAAATAGATACACGAAGTTGTTGGCTCGGTCGCATTGAGTCTGACAAAAACCTGATAGAGATCCTCCCCTGCCGGACACGCCATGAATGGTCGCCCCTGGAATCCCAATACAGTTGGCGCTCCCCCGCTGTCACTTATCTCTCTTTCCCAGCCAGAAACGATTGACCCTTCGGGTCTTGACGTTGAATGTGGAGGCGTGTAGCCAAGGGCACCATCGGGGCCAATGTAGACTGTATTGATCGGTCAGAACCAATCTTCCAATCCAATACGTGACTCTACTCTTCTTCCCCTAGTATCAATGTTCTTTCGAGGAACCTACCCTGCTGGCCGCCGGGAACGCCCACGTTCAAAGATACCGTGTCATTCCCTCCTGTAAATACCGTCTTGTCTCCCGGATAAGCAGTGCAGTCCAGTCCATCGATATCTGAAGGGCAGTAGGCGGATGGCTGCTTGCCGATCCAGAACCGCCCTCCATTGGCTTGGATTGCGTCACCGAGGAATAATACAGATCCGTCCCCGGTGGGCCGCCAGGCGCCAGCTGTCCAAGGCCCGGGAGGGGGTGGGTAGCCAGAGCTTGCGAGCGAGACGAGGGAGAGGAGACTGAAGAGGGAGGTCATCGCCAAGATCTCCCCATAATTACACGATAAGTTGACCCCGTGAGACGTGCTGGTATGTTGCATGGACCCGGTGAGGCTCGTGGGCAACAAGTTTATCTTATAATTATCTACCCGTTAAGATCGTACCCAATCAGCATTGGGGTTTACAGGTCGCGACAAAATAGATTTGCTCTTCTGCCCTGCAGATACAGGTAGCATTGGCATTTTGCCGGTTGGTGAAATCGCGACTCTTTAATTACCTATGGTAACAATACTACCTACCTCTGGTAACATGCCACCGCTTAGGGTTGAGTAAAGAGGCAGAAAAAAGAAACCAGTGAAAAGGAATAACAAGTAATACAAAATCCATCGTAATTCGAAATGTACGGCGGACACAAGAAAAAATACTGAGATCCCGGCAGGTAGGTTGGTAAAAAATGCCGAACTTGCATGAGTATGGATAAATGCATGCCAAAATTTCCGTGCGGGTAGTCATGCGTACAGACCATGTAAGAGGGTAGCGGGGGTGTTTGCGGTAGGCAAATTCTCTGATCGGCGGCCCTGTGGGGTTGCCACGCGGATCTTTTAGCTCTAAAACTAGGTGTAGCGTGAAATCTAGAAAATACCTGCTTCCACAACAACGGACGATGATCAGTGAACATCGCATTGCTCTGACGCGCGTTCTCATCGGGGCTCATCTTCTTCGAACCACCACCTACACCGTGTCCATACGCCAGGTTTCTGCTTTCTTTCTCATCAGTCCGTGCAACTCGTTCGACACATAGTATCATGTTGCCTTCCGAGGTCGGTAAATGGGAGGTATCTGCTTGAGGTTGTTTGTATGTAGGTACCACAGTAGTATGGATGCCCCATGGCCCCTGCCTACCTACTACCAAATAAGGTAGCTAGCTACCTAGTAGCAACTAGGTGCCTTAGCTAGGTACGCATTTGGGGGCAGGGTCGGGTCCAGTCCATGTCGAGTGTGTGGGGGTTGTCGGGTTAATAACGGACCGCAATAAGGAAAGTCACCTAGGTACCTGCAGAGCGCCTGATGGACGAATGATTTACCGTCATGGCCCTCCTTTCTTTTTTTTTTAAGCCCCTCATCTTTCGATCTGCATTCCTCGCCGTTTCTTTTCCCGAGTCTAGAGAGAAACTTACGTTGAAGAGTCTGCACCATCCCTCACTGCTTCTTATTCAGGCACCATTACTGTGCGCAAACCAAGCTAAGGCCGGTAATAGCTCCTCATTGAACCACGACTCAAGATGGCAAGTCGTGCCGAATTGATAGGGTGGTTTTAAATCTCCACCACTGAAGAATCGCAGGTGTGGGTCGCCAGCTAGCGCAAAATGGAGTGGGGGTGTGGTTATTGTGGCTTGAAAATGGTGAAATGAAAAGGAAGGAAAAGGAGAGGGTGAGGGGGGACAACAATGGCGAAATCCAAGAAAAACCACACAACACTGCAGTGAGAATGGTCAGATCATTGGAGGCGGTGGATTATTCTGGTATGTTTCTGGTACGATCCTAACAATCCTGCAGTAATTAGTACGATTCTGGTCAAGGGGCCAATCTCGCGGTGATGATAATCTTGGATCTTTGCAAGTGGACAATTGAACACGCACCCATTTGCCCCTTTTCAGGACAGGACCGAGGTCCAACGGGCACCAAAAAAAAAAAAAAAAAAAAAAAAAAAAAGGCGTTGAGGAAAGATACTCTGGTACTCCGTACCCGAGAAACGAACGATGATACGAAAGGACACGAAAGGGGGCACAAAGATTATGGTCCCTGCTAGCGACACGGCGAACTAACTGTTTAGGGATGGCGGAATCTCCACGTACGCAACCTTGGCAACACTGTTTTTTGCCCAGAGTGAGAAAGTGGAGGCGGGTGAGACGCGGCTGAGCGGGGCAAATATAAGCATATACGCATGTACTTGGTGCTCCAGATCCCGCGAGTAATTGGAGACAGAGAAAAACCAGTACTGTAGACGTGTCAAAAAACCTGTTACTCGCCACAGCCAGCAATGCACTGTGATGTCATTTTGTTCTTGGCAGGGGCCTAGTACCCCAATCCCCCGCAGGGGTTGCCAGTCCCCTAACGCGCGTTTGGCGATGGGCCCTTCGAGACTCTGGTTTCTTCACACGTGCAGAGTCGCTTCCTGTTTCAGCCCGTATAAGCTAGTACCTTTCATAGGCCAGGGCTTGGCCCAGCTAGCTTCGATATTGCGCTGCGCCTCTCTGCCGTGCGAGGCCTCCCCCACTTGTGGAATATCTTTTAACGAAATTAGGCTGGTCAGCTTCAGGAGGTTAGAGGGAGATGAGATGAAGAGATTTCCCGCCGCCCGCGTTGGGGGGAGGTACCTATTGAAATACTATGTACCACAGTAGGGGAACATGCGAGGCTGCTGCCAGTTGCCTTCGTCCATTCATTCATTCGCCCCATTCACTTCACTGATTGTCTTGTTTGAACAGGCCAGCGACGGGACACCTTCCTGTTCTGTCAGAAGCTGCGCCCATTTTCCCATTTGCCAGTTCCCAAGCTCTCCAATTCTCAAAGTTCTCTTCCTGGTACCTACATACCTACCTTAGGTACCGTGCCGTACCGTACCTAGTAATAATTTACGCATAACAAACACATATGCCCTTCTTGTCGACGCATCTTCTCATTCGACCTTTTTACATACTCCGCGCAACAATCTTTTTCGTCATCTGTCCGTCATCTGTCTTCTCGACCACCCCTACCTCCGCGGACCTCTCTGCCCTCGACGCTCGACATCATCGGAGCTCCTGATTGGGCCCGATTCTCAACCTCAATATGGACCGCGATGGAGTCCTCACGGCGAGGTCAGTCGAAGGCATGATCGCCAACGGCCAGACCATTGTCATCTTCGAGGACGTCGTCCTGCGGCTCGACTCGTGGCTCGAGAAGCATCCTGGAGGCCGCCTGGCAATTCTCCACATGGTAGGAAAGGACGCGACCGACGAGATGAAGGCGTATGTAAAATCATCCTGTTCTACGTCAATCTGATTTCCCCTGGCCGTGCCCAAGCAAAAACACCCCCCTCTTCTTGCCCCCTCCTCGAAAAGGAAAAAAGAAGAGGAGGAGAGCAAACAACCCAGGCACAACTCGGTTAAGCTTAATTCTAAATCGATAGGATTGCACTTAGCGCGGACTAGTGCAACTTTCTTTCATTCTGAGTGGAGTCGGCTGTCCCCAACCTACCATTCACACAGCACCATTATTTTTGGTGCTGCTGGAATAGAATTAAGGTGCTGACGTTATTCTGGTCCGGGATGCAGGTACCACTCGGCCCCCACTCTCAAAACCATGAAGGCCTACCGGATAGGCAAGAAGCCGACGGGTCCTTGGATCAACAGAACACCACCCATCAGGGGCGGCATCTATCGAGAATGCCGGGAAACAGCACCTGCGAGTACGGCCGACGATGACTCGGACACGGATACGGAGGAGGATACCGCCGATGACAGCCTCAGCTGTGTTTCCGACCACAGCTCGCCGACTTCCTTGACCACCGACTGCAGCAGCGAGGATGGCATCGAGGAGGACACCAAACCCGATCTGCAGGCCGGCATTCGAAGGCGAATCCCCTCTCTCAGGAAGGAGGCCGTTCGGGGTTCCCTGACAACAGAAGAGCTCGTGGCTGATGTATGTGCCTCGAAGAAGGCCACTCTGCCTCTAATGTCGCCAGCTACATACACGGAATGGGCTGTACTTCAGGAGATCGACCAGGACACTCAAGAGTACCCATCTGTGGACCCCGCCGTGCAGCAGGACATCATTCGCAGGTACCGGGCCATGCATCAAAGGGTACACGACGAGGGATTCTACGAATGCCGATATATCGAGTATGGAAAGGACCTCGTCCGTTTTGCCGCCCTCTTCATGGTGTTCCTAGTGGCGCTTCATTACAAGTGGTACATGACGTCAGCAGCCTTCTTGGGCATATTCTGGGTTCGTTGATCTGGTCCCAAATTAACATGGAGTGAAAAGCATGCGCTGACGGTTCCTTGTGTAAACAGCATCAGATTATGTTCACTGCGCACGATGCTGGACATCTTGCCATCACCCACAATTTCGTCGTGGACACACTCCTTGGCATGTTCGTCGCCGACTTCTGTTGCGGGCTGTCCATCGGCTGGTGGAAGAGCAGTCACAATGTCCATCACCTGATCACCAATCAACCAGTCAGTCCTCCGTCCCCTACTGTGCATCGTCTGATTATTCTGCTAACAAGCCTCCAGGAACATGACCCAGACATCCAGAACGTTCCCCTTTTCGCCACGTCTCCTGCTTTCTTTAAGTCGATTCGTTCCACCTACTACGACTTCACATTCGTTTGGGATAAGGTGGCGGAAATCATGGTTCCTTACCAGCGCTATACCTACTACCCGATCATGGGTATCGCCCGATTCAACCTCTACCTCCTGTCCTGGCTCCACGTCATGTCCAAGAAATCATCCTCGCTCGGTGGCAGCAAAGCGTGGTGGATTCGACCCACCGAGATCGCCTTCATGAGCTGCTACTGGTTCATCTTCGGATACTGCCTGCTCTGGCGCACGCTGCCGACCTGGACGATTCGCGTGCTCTTCGTGCTGCTGTCGCACATCATCACCATGCCGCTCCACGTCCAGATCACCCTGTCTCACTGGGGCATGTCCACGTCGGAGCTCGGCGAATCCGAATCCTTCCCCCAGCGCCAGCTGCGCACCACCATGGACGTCGACTGCCCGGAGTGGCTCGACTTCATCCATGGCGGTCTGCAGTTCCAGGCCGTCCACCATCTCTTCCCGCGGGTGCCGCGCCACAACCTCCGGAGACTTCAAGTGCTGGTCAAGGAGTTTTGCCAGGACACGGGGATCCCGTACTCGATTCTTTCGTTCGCCGACGGAAATCTTAAGGTCCTGGGTCGGCTGGAAGAAGTGGGCGATCAGGTCAAGATCCTGGTCAGTTGCCAGAAGTACATGGCCGAGACGGGAGAGAGCGGGTTGCATTGAGACTGTTTTCGCATTTTCTTATTTTTTTTTTGCATTTTTTTTTTTTGTCTAGCACGCGCATGGTCATTGGTTGGGCGTTACGCCGGGTAAAGCCTAGATAACCTCTTTCCGTCTGTTTAGCTTTATTTAATAAACGTGACGCTATTTTCGCCCCGGTACAAGATCCCCATCAACCAGGCGAGACAATACCGCTAAGCCCTGCACCAGTGATTAAATGATGGGGAAAACAAATTGCAAGTTTAATAGAAAGGCCAGAGGCTAAACACGGGGTAATTAAATGGTAGGGGGAAATCTGGAGGGCTTGGGAGGAAGATGTGATGCATCTGCCGCTACAAAATGCACGAGTTGCTCGCGTACAGTCCTTCCAAGCCGGTAAAATTTCCCATGGTTTCATGGCAGATCTATTTGCAAAAATTAAGCGAATGTCTTCAAGACGGCTTAATGCCAGTCCGCCAACTAAAGAGCAAAATTGATCACCGGTTCGCAGGCTTGCGCTTGGCTAAACCGGGCAAGCCAGAGAGCGGCTGTGGCTCCAAAGCGGCTCGCCTTCGAGGATAAAATATGCATATCCGTCATTCACGATTCATATACTTCACGTGTCGTACCTGCCAAAACAGCTTCGCATCGGGACACCCCATCGTGGCTGTGCCGCCGGTGTAGTTGCCGTCATGATACAGCATGCTCACCGGGGTAAGTGCGTTGGCGATATCCTCACTCCCGACGCTAAATCAGTCGCCAATCTGTAGTGTCAGCTTTTCTTTCGTTTCCGTGGTCGTAATTAGTCCTTGGAAACAGGAACGGCCCAAAAAAAAAAAAAAAAAAAAAAAAAAAAAATAGAGAGAGAGAGAAAGAACCTACACAGCCTCATCGTCCTTACCGTCCAACCGCCCAACGCACACCCCGCAGGTGCCGTTCGACCCGACCCGGCCGCACCCGTGGGTGCCACCCCAGTCACCGACGGTGTACCTGCGCGGGTTCAGCGAGAGCGAGATGCCCAGGTCCCAGCAGTCCTGGTACAGGGGCCTCTCGGCGTCGGAGGAGGCGCCGAAGTTGGCTGCCTCGTCCGCCGGCCGGTCGCAGTACATGGCCGGCCGGTCGGCGGTCTCCCAGCCAATGAACCAGCGGCGCGCGTTCTCTGGGCTGCGGGCCGGTGCGGGGGTCGCCACTGTGGGGGAGGGCGGTGAGTGTGGCGAGGAGGAGGAGGGGGGAGATTAGCATCTTGGCTTGGCGAACGGGGGATTTTGGGTGGGTAGGTTGTTGGCCTTGAGAGGGTGCCAGGGGGGAAATCTAAGCACGCCTAGTTCCGCGTCGGGTGTCCCCTTTTGAAGAGGTGGAACGCGGGAACGGCTTCCATCACAGGGTGGATGATACTTCAGCCATGCATGGTGCGGGTGTTGGTTCCGCAAAATACGACCTTTCCCTCGGACTTCGATACGAACTCAACGCGAAAGATCGACCGATTTTTGATGGCTTCCTCTCACCGTTGACGTATCTCGGGGTTTTGATTGGCTAGACCAACCTGTAAGATGACGCCCGCAAATGAGATGGGTTCCTCTGGACGGACACGGCACGTGCAAATCACGGTCCTATCGAAGGATTCGAAAGCCTCCATGTTTTCAGCCGCTCTGTGATCAGTGCGTGCTTCCATAACACAATCTGAATGTCTGTCCTTTGATGTCGCCCCTGATGATGCCAGGGGCCGGCTCGTGGTTCCGTGGGAGTATCCGTACCCCCACATTAAACCCTGCATATAACCCGAGATTACGCACGGAAGTGCACTACGAGTTTTACAACGCAGGACTTGGAACCCCCGCATAAACGGCACTCTTGCAACTCGAAGGGAGTCGTTCATTTGTGAGATTGCTCTTCCTATCTCAGCAGAAGCAGGTATAAGCACAGGGCTTCTCTCCAGGGATATCGACTCTTCCGCACCTTGTCAAGGACCTCTCCTTGTCTTGGCCTCGATTTCCTGGTTTGAAAACCTGATGAGCTTGAGATCCAAGGCCTGGGCCTTTGTGGAAATGTCATAGCCCATCCTCAGCAGCTGCAATATGGGAAGAAGTGTGCAGAGGATTGGAATGGCGAATTTGCAGGCAGAATCTGGTTGCAATTGAGGCGCTCTCCTATTCGCTGTAGATAAGATAGCAGTGTGGCTTGCGCAGTGCGGGGTTGCCACGTGTGCCACGGCTTCGCTGCCGTCTTCATCCTTCTCATATTATATCTAGGTATCTTGACTACCTTGTTAACCCATGAGGTCGCCAATGCGCTGGCTGTGCCACTCTTTTGCTGCATGGCAAGCTCCTCGCTAGCCGGCAAAATATGTTACAAGCACTCACTCAAGCCGCAAGGCTGAAGCCAGAAATTCGGCTAGCTCAGGCGATCAGCGAGTTTGGAGCCTTGCTCGATGGCAAGCATCTGGCAACATTCAAGACGTTTCGTACGCAAACTCCGCTGACGACGAATGGTGTGGTACGGCTTACCGAGGAAATCAATCGGGACGGATCGAGACTTCACCGTGCCTGGCGGCCGTATGGTACGCGGTTGTTGAAAGTTCTAGATCAACTACAAGTCCTCGTAAAGGCTGGAGACCTACTGGTCGGAGGGTCGCAAAACATGATCGCAAGTGGTGTGTGGGCTGCCGTTCGCGTTTCGCTTCAAGTGCGCGAGACCCAGTGCCTGCCGTTTCATCCAAGGTGCCTGCTGACGAGGAGCTTAGATCGCCACCGGTTACTTATCATTCTTCAAAGAAGTGTCGGGGCTTCTCTTGAGAATTGGCGTGTCGACAGCAATTAACAAGGAACTGGCTTCTCTATTTCCCCAGGACCGGGAGTTGCAGGACTACATGGCCGAATACATGATACTCATCGTGAAATTCTGCGGCGCCATTGTGACCTTTACTCGACGGTCAGTCATCGCTCAGATGGCATCTTCGTTTGTCGCCTCCGAAAAGGAAGCTAAAACACTTGAGACGGATCTCGGCTACTGGACTGGCCGGATGAACGACAAAATCCGTCTCTTGTCAACAAAGCTTCAGCTTGAGTCACGGTCCACGGTGTCGAAACTTTTCAAAACAGAGGACTTCAAACAACACACCAACGAAGAGAAGAAAATGCAGCTGATGCGACGTCTGTCTCCAGATCAGGACGAACTTGGGGGAATATGGAGAATGTTGCGGCGGAAAGGGTCAGTGTTATGGATCTTCAAAGAGCCAGCCTACGTCAGTTGGAGAGACAGCCCCAAGCAGTCGGTGTTGTGGATTTCAGGTTGCCTTGGGAGTGGGAAGTCCATCCTCATGGCGAATATGGCTTCAAACCTCCATATGGAGGAGCACTTGACGACATCACCTGCCGAGGTGACCATGCCGAAAACGCGAGCAATCGCGTCCTTCTTTTGCCAACGTCAAAGGAAGAAGACTTTGCTCGCCAACACGATTGTCGGCAGCCTGGTGTGGCAACTTGTCTATGCAACCAATACTGGTCTTCCCGGGATAGCTTATCCTCCTGGACTGCCGGATACAGACTATCACGCCGTTGCAATGCTGGCCATCCAGCTCCTACCTCCACATCTTGACTACTTTATTATTCTAGATGGCCTGGAAGAGTGCCCGCGACCAGAGGTTGAACAAGTTCTATCATGCTTGAGGATCCTACTGCGCAACATGGCAACTTTCAAGGTATGCTGTTCCAGCAGAGCGGAGTCCCAGATCTCGCGAGTTGCGTCCGCCTACTTCACCATCAGCAACTACATTTCGACGTCGAATGAGGGGAAAGATGCTGAAATTGCCACTTTCGTTGATGGCGAAATCGAGCGGCGCCGGGCAACTCGAATCCTCACCGAAGAGACTCTTCGAGGGATTAGGGACGCTCTCGTTAGCAACGCCAAAGGCATGTGGCTTTGGGTCTCGCTTCTGCTGGATCTTATCTTTCCGAGGTACCATGAGACGATCATGTCGGATCAAGATATCATCGATATGTTGGGCTGCCTTCCTCTCGAGCTTGATGAGACTTTTGCCAGAGCATTGTCTCGCATTGTTGACCGCAGATATGGCCGAAGGATATTCGAGATCGTCGCAGCAGCTTCTAGACCACTCACCACAGACGAACTCCGTGTTGCGCTTAATGTAGACACGGGAAACCCGGAGTGGAATCGCGCGACTCTCGTTACAAATGGCGAGGTCATGGTTGAAAGAACCTCTGGAGGTTTGCTGGAGGTCGACGAGGAAACGAAAACCGTACACTATATCCACCATAGTGTCTTGCAGTATCTGCTCGAAGACCGGAATGACAAAAATACTCGGTTCCTGAGACCGGAGGATGATCTCTTTCTGCTGAAGGACATGGAAGATGCCGAAGCCAAGCTTGGAGCCCTTTGCGTCACATATCTCAGCTACAGCTTTCACGACAGGCGCCTTGTGCTCTCAAAGCCTCTCGAGGTCGACGGAATGGAGACTACCAGGCGAATTTGCGATGCCGTCCTCCCCGCTGGAGGCTCATCACGGAAGCTAGTGGGCTTCATCGCGTCCAAGTCAAGACCAGCTCCCAATTTCAACATCGCGCGGACATTGCAACGGCAACTTAGAGACGACGGGCCCCAGGACCACCTTTTGGATTTCCTCCAATACGCAAAAGACAACTGGCTTAGTCACACAAAGCACCTGCGACGCGATGATTCATCCTACACAATGTTCTGGAACCTTGTGGCCGGCGATGTGTCCCATCTCGATCGACCCTGGAACCCGCTGCAATATGAGGAAATGGCGCTCTGGGCCCTCCAAAATGGTCACCTCACCATTCTAGGTTCGTCTCTGGCAAAATTGAAGCGGGAACAGGTGGATAAGTTTGCATTGGACTCCAGGCGGGAGATAGACAATGAGGGCATGATCAGCGACCAAGAATTATCGATGCTGCTCATCTATGCGGTATCCCATGATCGGCACAACGGAGTTCTCATCCAGACTCTCCTTCATCTTGGGGCTGATCTAAACTCTACCTGCGAACAAGGAGAGTGGGCCGATTTGGTACCATTGCAGATTGTCTTGTTGCAGATGCGCGAAGAGGAAAAACGTGACGTGAGAGTTCTCCGTACTCTCCTCAGGCATGGGTCAAGGCCGAATTATATGGTATCTGGCAGCAGTCCGCTGTCCATCGCCTGTCACGCTGGGTGGTCAGCTTGTGCCCAGCTGCTGCTTGCACACGGCGCCACTGTCTCCAAGGGTGTGCTATCCTGGCCACTGGAAGCTTTGACCGTTTTGCTTTCGGCGGGAGCCAATCCGAACGCCCCGTTGCTATGTGATCGGTCAACCGAGACTACGCTGCTAGTTGAGGCGATCCAACAGGGGAATCAACCAGCGGTGGAGTTACTTCTGCGGTTCAATGCCAATCCTAATGGTCGCAGTTGGCGAACGACAGCTCTTGGTCTCGCCCTCGAATTGCAGGACTCGGGCATTGCGGTGGCCCTTCTCACACGAGGTGCTTGCTGCCACGAGAGACATTTCCGCGATTTCGGAGGTATGGTCTGCCCCCTTCTGCTAGCGATCCGGAAACAATGGCTCGACGTCGTCAAGCTTCTCTTGGCCTATGGGTCTGGCTTTCCATGGTATGACAATACTACTCAGCATAGTACCCATCTTGGCGTCGCCATCGAAATGGGAAACTCCGGGATCGTGGAGGCCCTGCTAGAAGCCGGGTTCTCTGTCCAACGGCTTTCTGAGGCGCGGTCGGGCCTCTCACTGTCGTCTGAGATGTCGGTGACTCCACTAGAGTCAGCCACTCGGCCAGGAAACGAAGACGTGCAGGACGCGCTGCTTCGCGGTAGCCTGGAGCAGGCTAGATTAGGAGAGCGGCAAACTGCGATCGACCCCCTCCTCGTTCCAATTGACTACCATGATGCGGTCACGGCAATGAACATTCTCAACAATTGGGAAGCGACCACGGCGAAGCTCGAACATGAATGGAAATCCTTCGTTCTGACGAGGGCATTAGTCAAGGTCTTGTCTTGGCCCGACGACTCAGATGTCACTGGCCTAGTCGGCAAGTTGCTGGAATGTGGTGCCAATCCCGATGGCCAGTTCGCTTGCATGCCGCCGCCTCTCATTGCTGCGCTCATAAGACGGTGGAGAGAACTACTGGTCGCGCATGAGTCCCGATATAGCAAGGAGGTTGCAGACCAGCTCCCGGTGAAGGAACCCCCAGAGAAAATAGACCACTCATCAGGAGACTCATCCGAGAACCTTATATTGAAACGGGCGCGGGCATTATTTGGGAGGCAAGGGTGGCGCCCTTATGTCGAGCCACAGCTAGGCGGTGCTGAGACGACTGGATGGCCCACGCAGAGACAAGTCACCTGGTCGAGCCGGGTGAGCGAAGACGGAAGCTGTGACGATAACAACACAGACAACCTGGGTTCTGAACGAGATGCGCACAAAACCCTGGAAGGTAACGACGAGACCATTGGCATGGTTGTACTCATGTTGCTGAAGTACGGAGCCGATCCAGAAAAGCCATGCGGAGTCGTGATGCAGGGATTGGGCTTCTCCGTTTCGCCAGACGACACCGCCTTGTCAATTGTCGAAAGATTTCAGATCGTGAACACCGAAGTGATCAAAGAGCGACGGGTTCGCAAGTTCCCAAAATGGCCTCCGTTGGACCAGTGACGACCCTTAGAATCTACAACCGTTCATGGTATGTTTGGTACACGATTCATGGGGACGGTATGAGAATAAAGCGCAGAATCAAGCGACATTAGAAATACAATTGGCTTAATCGTATAGCAAGTAAGCAAGTATAGATGCTGTGCTGTGGAAATAGCACCGTTCGTTAAGATGCGTGTAAAGAGAACCGGTCTTGAATGTTGTAGCGGTCTTTTCATAGTGAATAAACAAACTCAGCGTTCTCCTTATCCGTTAGATCGAGAAATTCATGGTTCTCAAGCTTGGTATACGACGGTTCGGCTCGGATCAGCGCCTTCTTGCTGTTCTGCCGGCGGTAGTACCACCAGATGAAGAGTATGTCTACCAGACAAGCCGCCCAGCACACGAGAATCGTAATCTCAGCTGGTCTATACTGTGGAGCGTCTTTAGGTCGGAAAGTTTGTGGACCTGGACGAAGTCAGCGTATGGCCCGAACTCATCACGACACAGGTAGTTATCCCTACCGATTATATTTCCAACGCAATATGCAACAAGATACATCGCTGCGACAGTAGTTTTCTTGGTCCAGCCTTTCGAGCCGTTAGATAATGGTGCAGGGGCTGGAGGAGAGGAGGCAAGTACCCACCAGCAATATTTGTGGAGATGAGTGACAAGAGCGCGACGAACGGGGTCGGGCCAGCCTGGTTCGGTCCGGTCCGGGTTAGCAAATATCATTCGGCGCTCGCCATGTCTTTTGTACAACCCGTACCTGTGTGAGGTAGTAGCCTACCAACCGGCCAGCCGGCATATCCAGCGGAACCGCAACAATCAAGATCACGCCGAGGATAGCAAGCATAAGACCAGACGTACTTATCAACAACCGATTTCCGAAGCGATCGCCCAGATATCCACAAACCAATAGTGAGACGATCTCGACAGCCCCACCAGGAGTCCCATACAGGAGACTCTGCTCTGGAGTATAGCCAAAGGAAACGATGAGCTGGCTGAAGAAGTTTGTGATGCCGCCATTGGGAATATCAGCTACCAGCGCGAAGAAAACAAAGGCCCAGACCATGGGGTCCAGAAAAGCCTCCTTCATCTGGTACCACTTGAAATGCTTGTTGCCGATCCCCTGCTCGTTGATCTTGATTCTTTGCACGGCCAGGACGCGTTCCTCTTTGGTGAGAAACCGGGCGTTGAGCTGGTTGTCCGGCATGACAATGAGGAAGACGATACCAGCGATGCTCGTCAGGACGCCGGTGAAGACGAAGATTGCTTTCCAAGGGGCGATTGAGAAGCCGTAAGTGGAAGCACCGTGAGCAAAGCCATATGCAACCAAGCCGCCGAATATCTGCGCCTGATTTGGGAGGTCAGTCTTGCCTGCAGCACAAGTGTCGTGACGCTTACAAAGCCGTTGAAGCAGAACCAAATGCTCGTACGGAAGCCCTGTTCTGACTTTGTGTACCACTGTGGCACATTAATACCAGAGTTCGCCTCGTTGATAATTATGGCTTACTAAATCTCTTGGCTTGCATATCAGAGTAAGGACAACGTACCTGCGAGGTGAACAGGGCAAAGCTAGGAGTGACGGCTGCCTCGAAGATCCCCAGAAAGAGACGAATGACAACGGCGCCGCCAAAGTTCTCCGTCACAGCGAAGAGGGCTAGGACGAGGCCCCACATGATGACATTGAAGGCCGAATACTTGCCAAGAGGAAGTCGCTGCATAAGCCGAGTCGTCGGGAACTCCCAGCCGAGGTATCCTACGAGGAAGAACGGTTCAGCCAAAAGAAATCACATAATGGCATGACGGCAATACGTAATTAAACGATGCTTACCGAAGTAAAACAAGCTCCCCAGCCATTGATAGTTGTCACCAACAAGATTGAGGTCCTCCTTCAGACCCATGATGCTGGCGTATGAGATGGTCGTCTCTGCCAATTGTGAGCCGTTTTCTCTCTCTCAAAGGGGGGACCCAGGTTCATTACTGTCAAGAAAGTTGAGCCCATAGATGAGACACATCATCTAAGGAGCTTCAATGAGTTTCCGGGTGAGCTTTCAGGCAAACATGGGCCGTAACAATACCGGCATGAGATTCCGGTCGATCTTGCGCAGCAGACGGCGCTCCGTCTCCGCATCGAGCTGAATGGCGTCAGCATTGTAGCCGGTCACGACTTGGAGAGCCTCGTCGGCATCAATTTCACGCTGGAGAATCTCCTCTTTCCCGGCCGCCCAGTTCATTGGGGCTGGCTCGCTACGGTTCTGCTCTATTTTGTCGTCCGACATTTGGGCCTCTGTATGTAAAATTGTGGTGGTGAGATGGCGACAAAGAGGGAAAATGGGAAGAAGAAAGTTGCGAGGTCGAAAAACAAATGATGCAGGGTAGGCGTTATCAGGAGAGTTCGCTTTGATTGGCAGTATATTGCTATCAAACCTGGTTTACTCCCACCATGCCACCTTCCCCTTGGGGTGTTCCCCCCCACCACCAAAGTCATCATCGCACGGGATCAAGAACTCCGATTCGACATCCACTTGCAGATCCACACATTCCATGTTTGGCATGTTCAATTTGCACTGAAGGTACTTGGGGGTTGTTGCTGGTGCCTCGTTTCACAAGTGCTTGGAAGGATCTTATGTGAGATAAAAACTAATCACCACGCGACTTTCACAGCCCTTCTTTGTCAATATCATACACCAGATGCTTTTGCTCCAAACCCCATTTGACTAATTCCAAAGCCGAAGAACCATGAATATACATCCAGGCCCTGATCTCCCTTGAGCCACAGGCCCCAAGACCCGGTTTTCTTCCTCGTTTTCCCGTTCCGTGATGGATGCGTGAGAATCCCATATACTCGAAGTCTCCTGGTCTCGTCAAACCTCTTAAATGTCCCCATTCACCAGAAGCCCGAGTAGAGCTGACCTGAGTCCCTCCGCCTCCCCCTCCTCGCGACGTACTTCCCATCCGTCTGTCGAATCGCCCGACTGCGGCAGCGGGACTTATTTGGAGAAGGCCCAGTCGACCTCATTGTCCGGTGCTGTGCACGTCATGGCAAAGAACATGCCCTCCTGTGTCATTGTGACATTCATTCCGTGGATGCACGATGCTGTGGAATCTGATAGGGTCGAGGCGGGAATGATCGAGCCTAGTCCGGCGATCCCCGTGGGGCCTGGGGCGGGTCGACACGAAGCCGCCGTACAGAGGAATGAATGCCATCGCATCCGAGTAAGAGGTCCGACCTGTCGATCGTGCCATCGGAGAGCGTCACCTCCACTCCGTTTTGTTTGTATTTGATGGCAGTGAGTGCTTGTTGTAGCGGACAGGGATCTCCGACTTGTGAACTGCTTCAAGTACGCAAACCAGCGCTACGCACAAATCAAATAAAGAAAATCTGACTCTATTTTTAATTTGAGGCGACCCTGATTTGAATGATTTTCTAATTATAAGGTTCCAGATACGAAAGCCAGAGTCAAAATACTAAGCAGCTTCTACTCTGGTCGCACCTACTCCTTTAGTCATTCCTGGTCCCAGGCTTCGATAGCAGGGGTTCGTACGACCCGGATAAATGGGCAACAAATTGCAATATCCAGAGTTGTTATATGGGTAATTCTAGATCGTTCTTAAACATTTTGTGCGGGGTATGGCAGTGCGTTGTCACCATGAAGCATTGGGCATGGTTTGGGCAACGACTTCGTAGCAACCTTCGATCTATATAGAGAGAAGTCCATTTCGAAACTGGAGATATCACTAGGAAGGCCTCTATCTCGGCGCGATGGCATACTCGTTGCGCGGTGCCCTCCCTTCTGTCTTGGCCCTACTTGCAACTGTTTCAAGAGCTGAGAACCTACCCACATCCCTCTGGCCGGCCGAAGCATGCACCGACAAATCTTTCAGTATCCCCAGCTGGACAATTCGAGACTTTGCGAGCAACGCCTCGGTGTCTTTCACACTGACAAATCGGGTGACCGAGGAGTCGTCGTCACTCAGCTGCCCAATAAGCGCAGGCGAATGCGCCGGTATCAAGGGAGATGAGCTTAAAGTGACCGTACAGATCAATGACGGATCTGCCCAAATATCTGTTGAAGATGTTTGGACATGTAACGACAAGAAGACACTCCACGATGAGCCAAAGACGTGCGTGTTTTACTGGAGGGGGTGATGCTGCTCTTCAGCCAGGACCAACTGACATGTTGACAAACCCCCAGGATCCAGTTCAAAGCCACCGGCAACGCAACGCTATCACTAAACTGCATATCCGGAGACGATGCACGAACCTGTGCCTCAGCACACGACGTAGACCTCGTCAAAGGTTCTTTGACCGAGCCCATCCAACTGGAGATGTCACCACCCGCCGACGGGGCCGCATCCAGCAAGGCCCCGACATGTCAGGCTATGGTCGCTCCTCCCTCCTGGGAGCTGAAAAGCATCGACTACTGGAATAACACGTACGGCAACATGTGGACCGGGCCGCAAATCGGACGGGGCATGGACATGGACATTGTGAACTCGGCGTCCGGTGACACCGTCCAGTGTAGAATCCTCTTCAGCATCAACCCTTACGAGGCGCCGGCGACGAAAACGGGCCAATGCTGGAGAGAGGCATACGCGTCATGGCAAGAACCAGCGGGAACGGGACAGATATGGACCGAGTTCGCTTTCGATGAGGAGACACACAACATCCAGCTGGAGCAGACGTGGTTCTGTGAGGATCAATTGTCCATGAAGGCGTGAGAATCCTTGTCGCAGTGAGCCCTACTCCCTCAGTGCGAAATCGCTAAGTAACTCTGGCAGATCTGCTGTCAAAGCAACAGTGGCCACAAGGCTTCCACTGAACTGCACAGTCAACGACTTCGGTAACGTAACAGTCTCGTCCCCATTTCCTGGAGCCGCACAGGTCCACTATGTGCGGACGCACTGCACCAATGACGGTGTAACAATAACCGGAGAGGTCGCCTCGCGGGAGGATCTGCCCCCGTTCTCCATCCAGGACCCGTACCCAACCGTGGGCGGCTGCACCGTCGACTCCATCGTTGCCCCGTACTTCACGGTCAGCGATCTGCAACTAAACATTACGAACAGCAACGAGGACCCCTCCGACGCTGAGATTTCATTCCTCCTCGGTACACTCTCCGACTATCTCGCGGCTGTGACACAGCCGATCAACATCTCTAGCACTCCTGGCTCTCCGCCTGCCGGCGACTGGCATGCTTGCTCTACCTATCTGGGATGGCGGATTCCGGAGTGCGATTTTAGGTACGACTTTGGGGCAAACAGGATCGAGGTACACCAGGAGTGGATATGCTCAGATAAGGGCGATTATAGAGAGTAAGTCTCCCCTCTCCTATGCTCTGCTCTTCTTAATTCGGTTTCATGTTGTTGTGTTCGTGTTTAATAGCGACGAATCTTTGGAATGGACACCAAAGCGCTAACTACTTGTGTGTCCTTCTGCCTCAGGATTGAATTTAATGGCACAGGCTGGGCCACTTTGCCTCTCTCCAACTGTTCTGCAGAGGGTGATGGGAGTGTGTGTACATTCGAGGACCCTTCAGCAACAGTGATGATTGAGCCAGGCACGGTTGAGTTTTATAATCTATGATCAAGACTACGGATCGAATTTAATGTTAGTCGGCTTCAATTGGATTATATCTTGATTGGAATGCAACAGTACCCAAATAATTCGACCTTTGCTTCATCCAAGAGGGTCGCTGAATCGGAGCGGTGGACGGGGTCACGCCTGATTGAGCCGTGTGTCGCACCCATATTGGTTCGGTTTGCTGCTCTCAAAGGTTGGGGTTGACCTCTGGCGGACTTTCAAACTCCAGCCTACCGGGGGATTTTCGATAATTAAACTTGGACGGTCTTCGGTATAGCTTACGGCAAAGTTGTGTCGTCGTTCCGCCATCTTTCTCCAGCATCATTAAGCGTCAACCAAGTCTGGTAAGGAGAGCTATCGTCAGTATATAAGCTTATAGCGCCGCAACTCGAGTCTAATGTATGCGTGTTTCTACCTTCTATGAAGAAGATAAATAACACAACTCTTTATGGCTCACATATTTCCAAAGGGATGACGGTGCGTAGACGTCGGTTATCTAGAGGTTGAACTGGTGGCATTGGTCGCCAGAATGATGGGAATTGAATGTAAGAGAGAACTGTGCAGTACTAGATGAAGGCGTCTGAAGTAGGAAGGGGGAGAGGGGATGGCTCGTCGCTTGTGCTTCCCGTGAAAGTTACTGCCTCCTGAGGGAGGTAATAGGGGTGACCCAACGCCACAAGTTGAAAGCCGGGCTGCTATGCCCCTGGTGGCTTGAACCGGAAAATCATGCTGCCGTAAAAAAGGTGGATACCTAGGTCCGGGTACGTCGGCTTCCGGTCCCGTCACTTGCTCCATTTGGACTCTCACTCTCGGAAGGCTCGGAAATACAACGAGACAACAACAGTTGATTTTTTCAACCGTGACCCAATCGCCTACGAATCAGCTGTGCGCCATGAGGACAACATCATCAACAAAATCGGCTGGGTTCCGGCGACACAGGAACTGTACAAATGCCTGTGCTACCCGCCACAGCGACGTGGAATTGCAGAGCTGACATCGCTGCACCTCAGTCTCAACGGCGATTCGCACCGCAACTTCCGCTGCATCGTCCCGAAGCCAATAACCTGGATCCGAGGGAGCCTCAGCGTCTATCTCCCAATCCACGAGGAGGACGAAGTTGGCAAGACTGTGCGGAAGGTCTTAGACTGTGCGAAGGTCCTGATGCGATGTCCCATGGCCCACAAAGTTGGCCGAGGATCGCTACCCGGGCACGGTCGACGAGAAGCTCAGCTGCTCAGCTGTCACCTACATCTAGATGCAAAGAAACTGTCCGGACATACCTACCTATCCCGCAATTGCTTGGCTTTGGGTTTTCAGATGGCCGACATGTAAGTACCTATCTGACCATAACAAACATAAATATTGGTGGGACTGCCTACCTAGGTAGTCAGGCGCGCAAGTTTACCCATGTCAACCAAGTCTCGACCGCTCTACATCCGCTGGGTCACGGCGATACGGCAATATATTGCTGCCTTGCTCCGACGTCCAATCCCGTCACAGTATGTCCAACATCCGTCGAACCACTTCCGCAAGACAGGATACACCCTGCTCGATTACGTCGAACCAGCGACAGGCCAGATGCTATCTGTTACATGAAGCAAGCAGTGCAAGGACGACACGATGCGTCGGAACCTAACCTCTTCCGCGGCATTGCACGCTTGATGCTGTCCGTTTCACGCGTTCCGTTGCCTCGCCTCGAATTCCAGCACGATGGAACTATCTCGTTGACAAACCGCCCGTTGAGGTGCGGCATGGCGATCCTGGAGAACGACGGCGCGCCGCGGGTGATGCACAGGAACGACACTTATACATGCGTGGAGCCCTACGTGTCGGATATGTTGACTTTCCACGATGGCCGTTTTCTTGCCCAGCCGAATGCGGCAAACCATGAGAGGGATGTCGTTATCAGATGGCTGTGCGGGCTCTCCTGAGAGCCATCTGTTTTCGTTACGAGGACAGAGACTTACGACATAGTCCCTTTGTGATACAGTTCACCGATCTCCATGCAAGCAACATACTGTGGAATATTACCAGTGTCATCGATCTCGAGTGGATATGCGCCCAGCCGCCTGAGATGCTCGACTTACCGTACTGGATTGCTGGGCAAGGTATCGATGAGGTTGGTGATGGTGAGAACTTGGAGACCTATGTTAAGACACGGGAGGAACTCATACAGCTTCCCGAGGACGAAGAGCGGAAGCTGGCGCTGGATCGGGAGTTCAGCGTCCCGGTCCCGGTCTCCAAGATCATGCGACGTGCGTGGAGCTGCAAGGCTTCCTGGTTCACTCATTGCCTAGACTCTGACAACGGCATGTACGCACCTTTTGACCAGCATCTGCGACCGAAGTTCATCCCGTTTTACTTGACGGAAAAGATGGAAGCCTTGATATCGAAGTTCTGGCGCGAGGGTGCTCACGGGGTGGTTGCACAGAAATTGAAAGAGACGGAGGACTATGTCCAGACGCTTCGAAAGCTCTTTGGCAAGGATATGGAGATCCCAAATGGGAAGGAAATATTAGGTAAAGCAACTCAGGGCGACTGGCTGGTTATTGGAGCGAGACTCTTTGCTAGACTCGGCATTTACCTTGTCGAAGTGCTCTTTAGCCTCTTGTGGCTCTCCAGAGGAGTGACTCCATCGACCAGGGTCTTTTCCATGGTCGGCCGACGGAACGAACCAACGAGACCGAAGCCCCGGCCGGTTGAGATCACGAGACTGGAAGGAAGCTATTGTCCACCGCTTTCACGACGCGCTAGCTGAGACTGTCGGGATACCAAGAGTATGTTGCGGTTGCTGATCCACCTACGTCGACGGGCTGGGAGAGAACAACCGAAACTTCAACTTACACAACCATGCTGACCGTATCGAGACCATCCATATCCAATAACTGGAACTCACGTCATTACTGGTAGTCGGCTACACAAGGTTAGCTGCGCCCTAAGTCAACTGCAAGTCAACTGCACCGCAGTCAATCAGCCAGTCGCATCACCTTCTACATAAGGGTTAAGTACATGTAGTTTCCCCTTGAAGGATAAATCCCACGTGGCCTTCTCTTTCCACACAAGAAAATAACAACTTCGCAAAAGCCTGGAGTAGATAAGCGGTAACTTCCCGCCTGCTCACAATGTCGAGCAAACCCTCAATTCATTACGGAGTCATCCCCTCCACCAACCCATCCACATGACCAAGTCCCAACCCGGGATCGGGGAACATTGACGTCAGCAATGTCGATGTTATCTAGGTACATCAATACCCATGCCGCCTCCGACTTCGGCATTTTTTTCACGGGCATCAACGAATCTGTCCATCATGCAGTCAAGCAAGTGACCAAGCATGTGGCCAGAGATCTTTGTCGCACTGTGAGCTTGAACGCCGGCGAGTGCTCGTGCGTGGTGGTCATGTCGACGGAGAAGCCGAGGACGAGTTGATGTGGAAGAACGACTTTCCGTGTCACACTGAGGAGGATCTGCAAGCGGAAATTGTATTGAAGTATTGGAGGAAAGGTTTCTGGGAGACGGCAAGGGTTCACATGTTGAAGTATCAGTCAGATCAAACACCCAGTTCGGCCCTTTTTCTACCGACATGGTTGTATTGTTGTATGGGAAGTGATACTTCAGGGCCAAAGGCTCTTGAGGCACCGTTTTAGCTGCTGTGATGCAGCAGCGTTGGTTTCTATTCGCTAGAATACGTGGCAGTTTGGTTGTGTGACCGATGGGTAGTTCCTTGTGACGTGCTGTGTGTATAAGTAGGATGGATGAGGTTTGCAAAAGAAGGGATTGATGCCGCTCCATTGCCTTGAGCATTCACATTCAAAGCTACGATCTCATTATCCTATTTACACTATCTTTAAGTGCCACATGGTAATTACATATATCTTCTCGTCCTCTCGTTTTAGCAATCACCTTCTAGTACCTCTGACGAGACGAGACTCTCTGGAGTTTTGGCCAACATCATGCCAGTGGCTGCCAAAGGTAACTGACCAATATCTCGTCCGAGTCATGATCCGTCCAACATCACTCACACCCCCATAGTATTCCTGCTCTCACTGAGCATCCTGCAACTGACCACCGCAAATCCACTCCTCGAAGGCGAGGACACGGGCGTCTCTCCCGCCGTCACCATCGTCTTCGTCTGCAACGACAGCGATCTCGGCAACAAGTGCAGGCACGCACCGTACAACTTCCGTTGCACCAGCGAGAGCTATATAACATACGATGTGCCGTACGATCTGTGTAGCGACAGAACGAGGTGCTCTTGCGAGGCTATTTGTACCAACCCGAGGACTTGCTAAGGATGCACTGCTGTGTGGCAGCCCTAGAGGCTCTGGTCGAGACATGATTTCTTTTTCGTTGGATGTGACTCGGCCGGTATTTTATTGGGCTCGGTCGAGACCGTGCTGGTCGTTGAGAAGGTCTAAGGTCCGATTCCGGGAAGAGCGGATTAGAAAGTCACAGCCTCTGGGAACAGCCAAATCCAAATAGGTAGATGGAAATTGTGCGCGGATAGAAGGGCTGCGCGGGAAAGTTATAAAACTACATCAACCAAACTATCATGGTTGCGATAATTCGCCTTTCAAGTCTCCTACGGAGTGCCGCCAAACCCACCGCCAAACCCGCCGCCGAGTCCCCCGCCACCACCACCGGGGAACCCGCCGCCGCCCAGGCCGTTGCTGTTCGCCTTGCCGCCTTCCTTGTATACCGTCGCCGCGGCGGACACGGTACGCGTGTACGACGTGTTGACGCCGATGCTGAGCCACGCCAGCAGTCCGTCTTCCAGTCGATCACCCAGCAGTGTGTATTCCATCAGCGGATCGGCTGTCGCAGCTTCCCCGGCCAGGATGAAGTCTTGTGCATTCGTAGTCAGGGCCTGTCGGTTGGTATTGTACGGCGCCAGCTTCTCGATCTCGGTAATCAGGTCCTGGTCGAAGTACATCTGCCCCACGTGGGAGGCCGACGTGTCAATGACGCTGCCGTTCTCGTGGGCCGTCGCGCTTGGATGGACCATGACGTGGATGTGTATGCTAAGCAATGCAGCGTTCCAGTCAACTCATTTCTCCACGTCACACAAAAGGGTGGCCTTACGTTCTGCCAATGTAGTGCCCCGGGAAGATGGTCTGGAACTGGACCGCGCCGTCCTCGTCTGTTTTCTGGAAGCCGCGGAGAAATGTGCTGTCGAGATTGCTTGGGTCTGCGGCCCAGACACCATTGCCGCTGGCGGTGACTCCGCCATAATACCGGTCGAGTTGCAATCTAGGTAAACAGAAGTTCACGGTCAGCTTTGTCCTTGGCGTATTTGTCTGCGGGCACGGTTGAATCCAAAGAGAGTCATTTTGAGATCGGGACAATAGTGGGTTTTGCTTACGCCAGATCTCGAGCAGCTTGGCCGTCACCGGCTCGCATGTCTCCACATCGACGACTTGTACATCTATCGTTAGAGGAACGCCGACTTGATCCTCGACGACGTCCTGGCGAACAGACTCGCCAGCGACATCTGTTGAAGAGGTAGTTAGCGACTGTGTCAACCTAAGTGTCTCCCCCAAGAGGTCTGAGGAAGGCTCTCATGCTTACAGTAGGGACCCTCAGTAGCCTCGGGGTTGAGAACGCACGACTTGTTGCCCGAGAATACAACCGCCGCATCGGTGTCTATGGTATAGTTCTTGGTTGACTTGTGTGGTTTCTTGAGGGATGAGATCTGTCGGACTGCGGTCTGTGAGCCTTTGGTTTTCTCGTCGAGTTCCTCGGGCCAACCACGGCCATTTTCTCACCTTGAAGGCCATCCCTTTTGAAGAGCTTGGTGGCCAGGGTAGCTCGGCGCTCGATAGAACGCTGCTCGAGTCCGCGAGATCTCATGCGATTGGTACAGTGGCTTAGATCGTTCCTATTGCGGGAGAGGAAATCACGGCGGACAGCTACTTCTTCAGCAATGTTGTGGCCGGGATGGCCAGAGACGCCGGCGATCACCAGAACGCCGGAGAGGACCGAAACAAGGCGCATACTGACTTTTGTCGAGTTTTGAGGCAAGACCAATGGAGAGAAGGTTGCAGGAATCCGATGACGAACCGGTGTTGCACCGGAAGTAGGTACCAGATGAGGGTTTTATATCTAAAAGCCATTTTCGGGAGGATGGCACGTTGGCCTTTGGTATCACTTCCTGTCTTGTACGCAACAAGCCGAGACGAGTTGTCCGACAGGGCAATAGCTTTGATTGTAACAATGTCGTCCTCAGATCATCCCCCGCAAACAGAGGCCACCAATCATGGTGGAGCCATTAGAAACAGACAATTTATTCTCGGGAGTCCCCTCTATTGTTCCTGCAGCAGTCCAGACTTTTGGAACAGAAAATGCATTTTGGCCAATTTCCTATAATGAAAGTTGTCGTCAGGTTCTGAGAAAGATGCCGCAGAGGGACGAGTCGGCCAATAGGGTATTTGTACAGACGGCTTGGCGACTCGTCACGATGCATAAATGGGTTGCCAAGACTACCCAGAACCGCCGAAAATATCCTGGGTGACGACCTGCAAAGAGCAACCACTTCTTTAGTTGAAAACACACATAAGAAGCTTACGACGCCGCAATATGGACCGCAGCGCTCTGGCTCGTCCCAAACGCCCCTCTGACCAGCTGTCCCTTGTCGGTTCAAGCCATAGACATTGCGATTTCAGGAAACGTTACGCATGGTAGCGACATACTGAAGAAGTAGCACAAACACTGCATGGTGGTTGAGCTAACATCCAGTTCTTTCAGAGTTAGTCATATCCCTGCGGACAAGCCAAGTCAAGCGAGGTATAGCCATCCCCCCACAGCTAACTAACCTGAACGACACACATCAGTCCTCTTAGCAAACAAAGTGAGTTTTTGGAAAAGATGTTGAGAGAAAAAGTGCGGCACGTTAGGGCTTGCATCAGGCAAGAAACAACGACGAGATAGACAATAGAGAGGAAGAGCGACCACGTTGATACAGGCATTTGGTGTTAGGGCTTGGAATTAGAACGATCAATGAACACTAGCTCAGCATTAATACAGGCGTTTGTTTGGGCTGGCTACCCAACTGCAACTCAAAGCAAAGGCATCAGTGCATCAGCCCGTCTCCTGACTAGCAAGGACCTACCTTTCCTAGAGTGGGGCGAATGAGGATGGGACGTTGCCGTGGAGACAAGGGGAAGCCAATAAGCAACGCGCTTGCACTTTCGAAGTACGCAAATTTAGATACAAGCGATACGGTTTCTCAGCATCCCGTAGAAGCCATACTCGGCCAAGAAGGATTTACTGCAAGCTGAGTCATAGAGGTAGGCAGGGGGGGAAAAAGAAGGGAGAAGAAGGAACAGCTCCACAGGGTCAGTGCGCACAGGCCACCCCCTTTTTACCCCTTTTCACGATATGCCTCCATGGATCCCAAGTCGATAGAACGACCATCCTACCAAATATTTTGAGTTTGGGGACTGCGAATGCGGTGGAGGTCCCGCCTCGATTAAATGGGGTCGTCACGGAATGCCCAGGAATACTCGAAAGGCGCTGGAGAAGCGCATCAATGTAGTCCAGGATGCAGTCATCCTCGGGACTTTGTTGGACTGTTTTTTGCTCGACAATGGGAAGGTGGGTTTCGGTCAGGTTGCCTTGAAGGCACTCCCGAAGTTTCTGACTTATCGGATCCATTTGGTGAGAGGGAATGAGCTGCCATATAGAGATTAGGATGGTTTCCTGTGATAGAACGCAAAGGGGAATGGAACAAAAGAAGATTGGTCATGGATGGCGTATTCAAACTTGTGGTATCAGTTGCCATCATTCTTGGTTCTGTTCAGCAAACGCAGTAAGACTGAGCCGCATTGTGTTTAGATCAACTCCATGGGAAGTGCGTTAAGACGCCTTGGTTCTTGTAGAGTGGTATATACTTATAGCAAGAATTTTCCCCCGCCACTACTCGTCTTTACGATATTACTTCCATACGCAGTTCACCACGCTGAAACCAATATCTGATGACTCTTCTCCATTAGTCTTCGAGAGCCCGCTACCCGCAAATCGCTTTACCCGGTGGGATATATGCGAGGCTTCGTTCTCATACTAGCCACGGGGTTCGTTAGACTATGGTCTCTGCAAGACACTAAGATCTTTGGGTGATGGCCTTACCCTCTCGGGATTCGTCAGGCGGTAGTACTGAACATTCACGTCGAAAGTTCCGTCACCATGGTCCTTCAAAACCATGCCCTTGGCCTCGACGTCTTCAGCTTATGCATTAGACATGGAATGTGGCGAGCATATTTGGAAACCTAGAACTTACAATCTCCTCCAACTAAGCAGAGTTGCTTGTCAGTAATCATTGGCTTTACCGTACGGCGGGAAGACGGACGAGGAGTAATTACACATGATAAGAAACTTAACATCGTCGCCCTCCTTCAAACTGGCTGCCATGATGCAGTGTTTAGAGTCGGTCCAGACAGGAGAGAGCTTGAGATATCGCGTAATTTGCTAAGTCGGGAGGGAGTGATCGGTGCTTGACAGACGTGCCTTAGAATTACAGGCACATCTAGAATAAGTCAGAGGTTTCAGATATATGTACAGTTTTCGATCCGTGTGCTTGAAAACCCAGTTCTGTAATTACTCGATAGGCGTCACCATCTGCCCTGTTGATTCACCTGTGAATTGTTAACAGTGTATGTTGTCGGTGAACAAGTAATTATCCTAAGAGAACCCGCCGAGAAATTGCGGTTGCAACTGCTATTCACCTCTAACTGCAATGCCAGCCCTCCTCTAGGGTGCAAAGGTGACCATGACCAGATAGATCGACAGCTCTCGGATCTGATTAGCCCCTGGCAAAAGTCTCCATGTTATTACAAACGGCCCCGAATGTCTGGCCATGGTTAACAATTGTTTGGGACAAAGGTAAGAAAGGTACCTACTGTTCGGTGGCCCAATTGGCCAATTAATTACTAATCATCCTATGGTGACTAATAAAGAGGGAAGAGGCAGAAGTGAGAATCGCCCCGCCCCTCAGTCATTCCCATTGTGTCCGCCGCTCCGCTTCCCGGCCCCACCCAATCCCCGTCCCTCCGTCCCTCCGACAGCGCGGTTCCGAGTTTGGGCTCCGGGAGCAAAGATACAGGAGGTAGGTTTAGATAGGTATACGCAACATCAACCCCTCCGCGTCAGACACTCCTCACTCGCTTATCATCAGATTAACGAGGGTGGAACCAGAGTTCGGCAGTTTGTAAGTTACTTGGCGTCTCTGATTGTTAGGTACTTATGACGTAAATCTACCTCCACCCAAGACTCCCCCTCACGAAGGCCCAGTCTCGGCGGCCCAATCGAATGACAAATACGTAGGTAGTTGCATTTGATGCTGCGCAGACCAAGCATTATATAAAGAGTCCAGCTGCGGGCCGTGGTAAATTTATAACGAAGTCCTGCCCATACATACAACAGCACCACACATCATCGCCATGGATCAGGTTCAACGCATCGGCTCGAAAGGCATCTACTACGGCCTCCCTGTCTTTCCAGACAATGTGGAGGGTCTTACGGCCATCGTGACTGGAGCAAATGGAATCTCGGGCGATCATATGGTAAGCAAGGCCTCCGAATCTCACCTGCCGACCAATTGTGCTGGGGCAGAAAACTCACACTTCGGTGTCTTACCTTGTCTTGATGTTTAGCTCCGTGTCCTTTGCGAGTCCCCCAAGCGATGGACCAAGATCTACGCCGTCTCCCGGCGACCACCAAACGGGGTGTGGCCTAGTCAAGTCGAACACGTCTCAATGGATCTTCTCCGACCACCCGAAGAATTAGCAGTTCAGATGACGGAACGCGGGATGAAGGCTGACTACGCCTTCTTCTTCGCTTATATCCAACCGAAGCCAAAGGAAGGGGGGAATATCTGGAGCGCTGCTGATGAGCTTGTGAAGATCAATAGTAAGTTTAATTTCAAATGCAGACTCAATTAACTGTGACTGATGGGAGCGTTTCCTTCAACTACAGCCCAACTTCTGAGCAACTTTTTGGAGTCGCTGGCCCTCTCCAAGAGTCTGCCAAAGAGGGTCCTTCTCCAGCTAGGCGCCAAGTACTACGGTATCCATCTAGGGCCAGCTGCCGTCCCCCAAGAGGAGACGGACCCGCGTGTGAACCTGGAACCGAACTTCTACTACGCACAGGAAGACTGCCTCCGTAACTTCGCCGAGAAGCACGGCATCGGGTGGAACACCACCCGTCCATCCTGGGTCCCCGGAGCTGTCCCTGACGCAGCAATGAACGTGTGCTTGCCGTTAGCAATTTACGCTGCTGTCCAGAAACATGTCGGAAAACCCTTGGAATATCCTGCAGATCTGGCTGCCTGGGAAACAAATCAGACCATGTCGTCTGCTCTGCTAAACTGCTACCTCTCCGAGTGGGCCGTGCTAACGGACAAGGCCGAGAATCAGAGTTTCAACGCATCTGACGACTGTGCCTTCACGTGGGGCAAGTTCTGGCCGAAGCTGGCGGCACGATTCAACATTCCATGGACTGGCCCTGCCGACGACCTTTCGCTGTACACCGAGCTTGAGACTCCTTATAATCCGCCACCCCGCGGGTTTGGTCCGCCGGGGAAGATGCGGTTCCGGTTCACTCTTGTCGAGTGGGCGAAGCGGCCCGAAGTGCAAAAGGCCTGGGAAGAGATCGCGAAGAAGCATCAGCTGCGTGATAGGACTCTTGGAGATGTGGATAGGATTTTCGGATTCACTGATTTGGCCCTCGCTTCTCCGTCTCAGATCAACTTCAGGTGCGTTTCAAACTCGGTAGACCTCTTTTTTCGCACGTAATCGCTGACATATTTATGATATCAAAGTACCATCAAGGCCAAGAAACTGGGGTTCTTCGGCGGTGTCGATAGTACGGAATCCATTTTCCAGGTTTTCCGGGAATTTGGCGATTTGAAGATGATCCCTCCCCTTCCTTGAAGAGTGATCAGCTAGCCAGGGGCCTTTCTCAGGAAGCGTCAGTTCGAGAATTTGCAAAAGTCTATAATAGTTATCCCCCCCCCCCCCCCCTCCTCCAATAACCTTCATTTCAGTAGCACAGAAAATTGCAAATTGGCCACTACAAGTAATAATTATCGGTTATAAGAAGCTGAGAGTTTCCTCCGAATAGCAGCAGAGCAGCCCAAGAATTAAGAAGACGAGCTTCGCGCTCTCTCAAAGCGTTGGTATCTCTCCTCCCTCCACTTGGGACCCCATTTCCGCACAATGAATACGCACGAGCTTCCTGCCAAGACGATTAATCCCATGAAGAGATACGTGAAACCGTAGCCCCACGCGTCGATGATGTACTGCACAACGGCCGTTCCCACGGCACTCAGTGTCGCCCTGGTCAGGTTGAAGGTCGACGAGACCCGTCCCGGATTCATGGGATAGAGATCGACCAGTAATGTCGTCAAGATGGATACGGGCCCGCTGAGCCCAACGCCAGCCAGGAACAGGATCACGAGCGGCGCCGCGAGATTCACTCCCGAATCGACAACCCAGCCCCAGGCGATAATCATGGCCACGGCCAGCAGAGTCCAAGGCCACATCAGGTCCAGCCTCGCCCGCTCGATCGGGAACTTCCTCAGATCGTCGCCACGCTTGCGGTCGGGCGCTATCCCGATGCTCTTCGCCACCCTCGCGTAGTTCCAGTTTAGTAGCCGACCCACGGTGGCGGAACCCACGACCGAGCCCACGGCAAAGGGGATATAGCAGAGGCCGACTTGCAGGTCGTTGAAGTCGTACCGTCGCCGGATGACGTCCTGAAGAGGCACAAGCATGGTGTAGTTGGCCATGACGAACAGGGACATGAACAGCATGAGCAGCCCCACGTCTTTCTCGAACATGATGAGGACTGCCGCCCAGATGTTGGGGATGGGGAACTTCCTCGTCTTGGGCTTCTTAGGTTCGACCTGGGCCTGGCCGTTTGGATCTGATTCGAGATCGCGGCGCCTCTTGCGTCTTTGCAATATGGATACCAGGGAATCATTGAGTTTCGGCGGCGGAATCGATCCGTTACCAACGATATTGCGGGCGGTCTGGAACGGTCAACATTAATTGTCAGGCAATCGGTTTTGCGGAGAGCTTCTACGACTCATGACTTGCCTCAGGTACGAACGGTAAATATATGGCTAGAAAGACGCCCGCGGCAATGACCAAGAACCAAAACGTCGAACGCCAGCCCAAGAACTGGGTGAGAATCCCACCCAGCACCGGTGCTAGAGCCGGCGCGAACATGACGCTGGCCTGCACGGTGGTGATGTATCCGCCCCTATCGGCACTGGTCGTGAAGTCGGCCATGACGGCACTGCCGATGGCCACGGTCGCGCTAGAGCCTGTACTCTGCAGGGCCCGCAGCACCATCAGCGCCGCGTAGTTGTTCTGCAAGGCTAGGCCGATGTTGGCGCCTAGATAGATGGCAAAGGTGAGGGCATAGACCGGCCGCCGGCCGATCTGGTCGCTGAGGTCGCCAAAGAACACGGGCGCCACGGCCTGCATGACTTGATAGACTGTGACGGTGAGGTTGATCTCGCTAAGGGAGCGGTGGTAGGCCGCGGCGATGGGCGTGATGGCTGGCAAGTAGATGAAAGAGGAGAACGGGGAGAAGAGGGTGCTGAAGACGGTCATGAGCACGAGGAAGAGTTTGGTCCGCGACGAGAAGACGGAGTGCACGGGCCGCGTCGATTGCTCATCGGTGTTGAGAGTCTGAGTCTCGCCCACGTTGCGGACAGTCCCATCGTCGGCGTCATCGGTGTTGTTCCCTGGGATAGTCGTCGCCGCAGCCTCAGGCTCGACGTTTGTAGTAGCATGGCGGCGGTCTTCAGATGCACCAAGCCCACCGCCCAGCTCAACCTCCTTCTCGTTAGCTGAGCTAGACATTTTCGACATCCTGTTTATTCTGGAATTCAGAAGAAAAATGGGGTTTATGTACATAATTTGGCCTCCTGCCGATTCGGCACCGAGGGGGACCCATTTCGGTGGCTGTTAGGTGGTCAGTGCGCTGTAGGTGTCAGCGGCCCGCTCTAACTGCCCGCAGGTGCTAAATATTATCTACAGGCCGTCAACATCTACAGTCTACCTCCAGGCAGGAGTTACGAACATTGGGCCCACCAAGGAATGTCAAATAACGCCGTTTGGGGGCAGGGCTGCGAATTGGTCTAGCAGACCCCAGTCTCCGGAGCCGCTGGAGCCGGTCAGCCGGTTAGAACTCTTGCAGAGCTGGGGGAGCGCAAGCCAGTCGGTGATGTTGTCGGCGGGAGAGAGGTGTTGAACGCCGGAAATTCTCACGAGGGCGCGTACTCTTCCAGTTGGAGAGGGGTTGGGTTTGACTTGCTGACCACGTAGGAATGACCAATCAACAGCTTTGGATGGCTCAGTCCAGCGCACCGCCCATTGCTGAGCAGCACCGCAGAATGGAGATGAGTAATTATGGGGCCAATACAGGAAATGGCATGATGGCACGGAACGACAACAAGAAGAGGACTCTTGTAATGCTTACGTAGCGATGCTGCGCGAGAGCATGTATTTGCATGCTGCTATCAACCCAACATCCGTCTGCATTAGAAAAGGGCCCTTCCCGGTCGAATGAGACGTTGGCAACAGCCCTCTTTCTGCAGGAACCCCCCACGCACCTAACCGTTTCAATATCAACTGAAGCCAACTGTGTGTCCAATATTAGTGGCTCGGGCCCCCTTGCCTGCATTCCCGACCCTTGTATCGACGCCACTTCAAGACATCATAACATCCGATGTACGGATTACTGTGGTACCTAAACCATAGCGACTACTGATGTAGAATCTAGGCGTACCCCAGCATTTGATCTTTCCGAATTTAAACTCCCGCCCCCTCCACATCCCCGGTATTTCTATCGAGCTTCATCGACATAATTCTGCCGGCCTAGCCCGACGTGATAAAACCTTCGCGAACAATGGCCGACCAGTCCGCGCCAGCAGCTCCAATTCCTGGCAGCACAGACCAGAACCCTGCGTCACCTGTTCATCCGCTCCAGGCGGAGCTTATTCCCGCTGAACTACCAGAGGTAAGTGTGGTGTGGTACGAGAGTAGCCTGGGCGTCTGATGTCGAGGTTACGTCCTGAGCTAATGCCAACTGCTTCCTTGCTTACAGGATAACGAGGACGACGACAATGACTCGGCTCTTGGTGTCAATGACGCGCAAGTGCTCCTGACGCTGAGGAATCTTTGTATGTTTCTGTGTGGAAGCATGGGCTAACCTGGCATCTCCCCGCAGTTTGAGTTCGACCGCGTCTGTTGCATCAAGCGTCCTCCATTACCGAACCATCCAGGGCCGTACCTATCACAGCGAGAGATACAACACAGAGTATATCATGCCCAACGACGATCGGCAGAGCGAGTCCATCGACATCACGTAAGTCAAAACTATGAGATGATAACCCTACCAACGTTTAGTATCGTCGGCCACGATTGCTAACGACGCCCCTCTATCCCAGACATCATTATCTCACGCTTCTCCTTGGCGGCAAGCTCTTCCTTGCACCCATCAAAGACGACATTCAGGTTGGAGGACGCCTTGTTGCAGGGACCTAACTTCTTCTAGCTGACATTCGAATAGAAAGCTCTTGATGTTGGGACTGGGACAGGTAAGTCGCAGCACACCAGTTATTATTGGCAGAGCCGAGAGAATTGTTGCTAACACTTGGTTGGGGTCAGGAATATGGGCAATGTAATTAAAGACCAGACCAAATTCACTAGTCGCTAACCTTGCCAGAAACTGGATCTGCTAATGGGACGAATCCTCCTAGTGATTTTGCCGATCAGTTTACCAACACTGAAGTCATCGGCATGGACCTCTCTCCAACCCAGCCGACCTGGGTCCCGCCGAACCTCAAGTTTGAGCTCGACGACGCGACGCAAACGTGGAGCTGGCCTGATAGCACGTTCGACTTTGTGCACATTCGGTACCTCTTTGGTGGCATCGCCGACTGGAACGCGCTTTTCAAGCAGGCCTACCGCTGCTGCAAGCCGGGAGGCTGGGTCCAGTCCTGCGAGGCCGATGCCTCTGTCTCCAGTGATGATGGTACTGCCGATGGAATCCCTGCGATAAAGACGCTGAACACGCTCATAAAAGAGGGCGGGAAGAAGTTTGGCCGGAGTCTTTGCGTGCTTGAGGAAGACTTGCAGAAGAAAGGGTTTGAGGCGGCTGGTTTTGTCGATATCCAAGAGGTGAACTTCAAGGTATGGTCCTTTTCGCTCTCTTTACCCCAAATGATGAACTTGGGCCTGTCCATGTTCACGTGTTGATTTTTGCTTGCCTGCATAGGTCCCTGCCAGCGGGTGGCCCCAAGACCCCAAGATTCGAGAGGTTGGGCAGTTTGTCAAGTTGGCGTTGGAGAATGATCTTGAGGGTAGGTTTTCAAGGCTTGACGTTGGCTATTCTCGAGCCACAGCTATTCTCCTTTCCTTCTTTGGCGTTCCCTACATTGCTTCTTAGATGACAGGTGCTAACATGGATTAGGATACACGCTGATGCTATGGAAAAACGTCCTGAACTGGCCCGAAGAGGAGTTCCAAGTTTTCCTCATGGGCATGCGCAATGTCTTGAAAAACAAGCGTATCCATGGATATTTCAAGGTGCGCTATGTGTACGGGCGTAAGCCTGCGGATGGGATGGCTTAAAGCCTTTGCGTCCAGTGGTCTTCATTCTTCCGTTCGTTTCGGTTCCTTCCTCCCTCCCCTACGATACGCATGTTTTCCTCTTTCCTAGTACCTTAATTAGCTCTCCAATCTCATCCTTCTTCCGCACCGTGCGCTTTGGACGTGCCCTTGATCGGGTCCACACCCACGCGCTTTGCCTCCTGATTTAGAGCATCTATCCCCGCCTGCCCGAGTTGTGTCTCCCGCCTCCTCCAAGGTTGGGGGAACTCGGGGAAGTCGGGATTAGGGTTACGGCTCGTGTGGATGCCGCGAGGAGGCTGTCGGCTTGGCATTTTGCTTCTATGTTGGTTGGAGAGCTTTGGAGAGGACATCAGGGCGGTGATGATGTGAGGAAACATGTCTGCTACGCGTCGAGAGAGTTTTAGGTGATGGGAATTCTCTGCGGGCATGCGCCATTTGCTCTGCAGTTTGGAGGTCGCTTTCACTTATCTCCCCTGAATCAATCTCCACGGGTGTGGGCTGCCCAGCATCCCCCTTCCCCCCATAGCCTCGCAGAATAGGATCTTCGCGCATCCGATGGAGGAACTCTTTGGACAGCGGCATATACTGATCAGACCCGATCCATCGCGAGAACAACCACTCCCTGTCCCTGTACTTAGCCTCAAGCCAGCCCTGCGGAACCTACCCGCCGAGTTTCCTGATGATCCCGCTGTTCCACCACCGATGAACAGGAGAGATGGGCTTAGGACACGAGCCTTAGCGCTCCAGAAACTTATGACCCCATTCGCAGCGCCTGAACACAAGCGCAGTCTGGAAGTCGAGGAGGACGATGCGTCTGGGCGACGAGTGCGACACCAGCACATCCCATGGCCCTGTGGACTTGTGCACCATCCCGGCATGGAAGAGCGCGCGACCTTGGTCTCGATCACGGTGGCAAGAACATCAAGGCGCTCAGGCTCTGGGGGAAGCAGCTGGTAGTCAATCTCAGAGATGTCGATACTGCCGTCCCGCTCGGGGTAGGCGCCTGCGTGGAAGATCATGTCTTGCAGAGTTTCGCCGCTGATGAATTCGAGGAGGATCATGCGCACCGGGCGGAAAGCAGAGGGTGATGCACTGCATTCCACCAAGGAGGTCCACGAGCCGAAGTATTTGGGGACCACAGCTCCCTGGAAATTGGCCGGGATGACTTCGTAAGCGGCGGCCTCGCGGCTGTAGCTTTGGTCGGCAAGGTACATGCAGTCAAGGCCTTCATAGTCAGATAGGGGATAGTAAATGGCGTCGTAGATCTTAGCCACGTAATGGACCGACTGGTCAGAGTCCATATAGCAGCGCAGCAAACGTGGACCGCCAGTCTTGCCACGTCGTCGTTGGCTCAGATCGCCGATTATAGTGAGCACATGGGATTCGGCTTGTTTGTTCAAGGCCAGGGCATTCCGTCTCAACTGGAGGGTGCGAGATGACGGACGTCATATGGTCGACCGAAGGATCATTGCGGAGGCCACGAACTGGCTTTCGGATGGATTCCGCGTTCTTGTAGGCGCGCCCAAACGGCTCTGGGGGAACATGCCTATCAGTAGCGAGCTGTACGCCCGGCTGGTACAGCGCCGACGGATGCTGCTGTTCGGCCATTATGCTTGGGTTCGTTCGCGGAGTGGTTGCGAGAGGTGCGTGAACGAGGAATGGTGCACTGGCGGCGGAAAAAGGCAAAGCCGGAAGAGGCTGGTGGAAAAAGCCTAGGTAGCCGCCCATTCAAAGTTAAGTACGTGAAAAGGCGCAGAAGGTTTCAAAGTCAAACTTTGAAGGTTGGTAGGTTTGGTCACTCCGAGATAGGTACATACGGGTAGGTACTGAACAATACATGGGTATGACGAAATTCGCTGCGGGCCTGGCCCACCTTGACGACTTCTGGGCTGGTTCGTTGCTGGACCAGTTCAACGTATCCAACTCTGTCAGCGCGGACTCTTTGAATTCCGAGGACATTATGCGTAACCTAGCTACCTAGCTAGGACCTGCTGCGGTAAGGAAACCAAAATCTGCACCTTCGTGTGCCTGCGCCACCTCACGCATGTATAATCCGCGATAACCCCGGATCGTCTTCCGCGCGGCCCAGGGGGTAGCACCCCCGACCCCATTGCCTTCCGCCTGTGCCTCGTCCCGCCTCCTCCTCTCCTCCACACGTCCAGCGATCTCCTCATCGGCAATCTCGACCCTCAAGATCCGCGCCTCGACGTCACAGGTAATCTCGTCGCCGTTCCTCACTATCCCCAGAACCGACAGCGGATCCGCCGCCTCAGGCGAGATGTGCAGCCCGATGGTGCCACCCGCCGTACCACTCATGCGCCCGTCCGACAGCCGCAGCATGTCCTGCACCCCCTGCGCCGCCAGCTTGCGCGGAATCGGGATCAACCCGGCCTCCGGCATGCCCGGGTTGCCCACGGGGCCAATGTTCTGCAGCACTAGCACGCTGTCCGCGTCCACCACCAGCTCCGGATCGTCGATCCGCCGCGCCATGTCCTCCGACCCGGCAAATACCACCGCCCGCCCCCGGTGCCGCAGCAGGCGCCGGTCCTTTGACGCGCTCGCCTTCATGATCGCGCCTCCGGGCGCAAGGTTGCCGCGCAGCACCACCAGCGACGACGCCGGGTACAGCGGCTCGTCTAACGGGCGCAGGCAGGACACGGGACTGTCGCGTGGCACGGCAATAAACGGCGCGGCGGCCATCTCCTCGCCGAGGGTGCGGCCCGTCACGGTCATGGCGTCCAGGTGCAAGAGGGGTTTCAGCTCGCGCAGCAGTGCCAGCATGCCGCCGCTGTTGTGGAAATCGGTCATGTAGTTCTCGCCGCTGGGCTTGAGGTCGACGAGCAGCGGGGTGCGGCGACCGATCTCGTCAAAGGTGTCGAGCGTGATTGTCCCTGCCACGGCTGGGTGGCGGCCGATGATGGCCATCAGGTGTACCACGGCGTTGGTCGAGCCTCCGATGGCCTGCAGCACCGTGATGGCGTTGAGGAATGATTCGCGCGTCAGCACCTGCTGTGGTCGTAGGTGCTCCTGCGAGGCGTTGACTGCATTGGCACCCGTCTCCTCGGCGATGCGCAGTCGTGCCGATGACACGGCGGGAGCTGTCGCGCCTTTGAACGGCATCATGCCCAGGGCTACAAGGATGCATGCCATTGTGCTGGCCGTGCCCATCACTCCACAAGTTCCGGCCTAATTAATAGGGGGCAGTCAGTCAGCGACCATGCTGGAAGAAGCTATGTGGGGTTGGACATGTGGGAGAACACAGGGGGTTTGCATTGCAACCTTACCGTTGGGGCAAGTTCATCATTAATGGCAAATATATCCTCCATATCAATGGTGCCGGCCCTGAACTTGGCCCAGTTGTTCCTACAGTCAGTACAAGCACCTATCCTAACGCCCTTGTGGCTGCCGGGCATCATGGGCCCAGTGACCAGATGTAGAATGGGTTTGTTGGCCGAGATACCACCCATGAGCTGCGCCGGCGTGGTCTTGTCGCAACCTTTTCCCTCGGGAACGGCACATGTGAGTAACAGGAACATGGGATTTATCTTGAGAGGATTTCAGCGACAAACTCACCTCCAATCAGAACCACAGCATCGCATGGCTGGGCCCGGATCATCTCCTCCGTGTCCATGCTCATCAGATTCCGCAAGTACATGCTGGTGGGCGAGGCGAAAGACTCGTGCAGGCTGATGGTGGGGAAATCAATGGCGAGGCCGCCCTTGAGGTGCACGCCACGTTTGACGGCCTCGATGAGTTGTGGGATGTTGGCATGGCACGGGTTGAAGCTCGAGTACGTGTTGACAATACCGATTATCGGCCTCGACAAGGCGTCTTCGCTGTAGCCCAGTGCCTTGATGAAGACCTTGCGCAGAAAAAGAGAGAAGTGAGCGTCGCCGTACGAGGTCAGACCCTGTCGCAACCCCCCAGCATTGGGATCTAGCGGCCTGGATAGGTCGTAGTCTGGGTTAGACATGGGATTGGCGTGTTGCTGGGGCTGCAGCTTCTGTTCTCCGCTTTTGTCCATTGGACACTTATGTGTCGGTGTGTAAGAGAAGGCGGAAGGAATAGGGGCGGGGACGGAGACTCTGTGTCTAATATGTGGGAGGCTTTAAGAGTTGGCGTGAGAGGACTTCCTTTCTCGTCTCGTATAGGATTGCCTAGCTCTGGTTGGATGGTTTTCTCAAGGAAAAAAAACATAAACCAAGTTCCGAGGTCCACGGGGAGTTGCCGGCTGCTGGAGTCTATCGAAAGATGCTTGACTTCAGCTTGGTGCATGTTGAAAGCGAGGAGGGGTAATTGGGAGAGTATTGGGATATTTGCTAGTCGATTGCGACATGGCCAAAACCCATCGGGAACCAGTCGGAGCCAGTCAATTGGCGATCTCTTGAACCACCCTACATACATGTAAGTGCGGCAAAAGTCCGTCATCCCGCTTTGGGTTAGAAACGGGGTTACCCCGACAGGTGGTGCTTCTCCACTGCCGATCTATATTGTTCGAGCTTGGAAACCGTAAACACGAGACGACGCAGAGAAGACAAGCTCTCCATCATAATCACTTTCTTTTCTTCAGTGACCATGGGTATCTTTTACATATGTCATAGTTACTTGGGTGACCCTGTTTCCTCCATCCTCTGCATGCCATCTCACTTCCGGCCCATGTTAGAGCGCCCATCACCACAGACATATCACCACCCTTATCACAGAAGAAGTCGACAACAACGGAAATGCTCAGTCTACAAGGAGTTGAAGAAATTCAGGGACGCGCAGGTGCCTATGGCAAAAATGGATGACACCTGGTCTCGGCCGAGGCGAGATACATCACAGGGCAGAAGATTGTGGTTGACGGAGGGATCACCTCCTCGACCGGACATACATGGACTGAATAGACCTCAAGACATCCTCTTTGAAGGGCCACAAACAAATACGTGCTTGTCACCCAAGTCCGCCAATATCAGTTTAGCGAGTCTTTGGGAAGAGAACTGTCAACGGGTTTAGGCAGTCTGTTGGTCCCTTATATATTATATATTATTTCGTCTATGCTGAGTAGTGTTCTGGTGGTATCATACACGTTTCTTACCGTTGTACCGCAATGCACGCTTCAAAATTCAGAATCCAAACCACTGCTCTAGGGCAGTCTTCGCCGCGTCTACATCGGGGTCCACGTTGTCTTCTGCAGCCCAGGCAACGACTCCGTCTGGTCGAACCAACAAGGCGCGGAGGTCGCGCCTGTCCTTCGCACCCACGCCAAGATACTCAACTCTGGCCTCGTACTTGCCACCAATGACCAGTTCCTTGAGCACCGTGCTGTCCTCGAAATCGACAAGCAAACCTCGGCCCCCCTCCAACTTGGGTCCCAGTCTCGAGCCATCAAGCAGCTCGAAATCGGGCGCGCTGCAGCCGACGACAGGGTGTGCGTGCGCCTCGTCATCGCCGAGCTTGTACCGTAGCGACAGGCCCCAGAAGCGGTCGATGAACAGGTTGGTCCCGTCGGTAGTGTCAATAAGGTCGCGAATGAGCGCCCGGACGGCCGCGCCGTACAGGTCGGGCTGCAGCGCCGAGACCTGCGCACGCGTCCACCCAAGTACCCAGGCTGCGACGGGGTGACGCTCACTGTCGTACGTATCGAGCAGCGCCAGGTCTGCAGAAGACCCGTCCAACCCAGACTCCAGTCGGAGCGTCGCGGCCAGCTTCCATCCAAGGTTCATGGCGTCGCCCAGCCCGAGGTTCAGGCCCTGGGCCCCGAGTGGCGAGTGGATGTGCGCGGCGTCGCCGGCGAGGAGGACGCGACCCTTACGGTAGCTTGTGGCTTGCTTAGACCGGTCTGTGAACGAGGAGGCGCGATGCATCGTCGTGATCTTCACGTCCGTGGTGCCCGTGACGCGGCTCAGCACATCTTGAACGTGCTCCCGCGTGATCTCCTGTGTGCGATCAAAGGCGGCGCCGTCAAAGTCCACCAGGTGCACAAAGCCCGCTGGTCCGCCGAAGACGTACATTCCAGTATTCGTGGCGTTGAAACCCGGCTTCAACTTCTCGGAGTGGTCCAATTCGCACTCGACCGCGTAGCCGGTGAACTTGGCCTCTGTTCCGACAAAGTCGAATCCCGCGGCCTTGCGAACCGTACTTCGCCCGCCGTCGCACCCCACGAGCCACTTGCCGCGGAAAGACTGGTTCTCCCCAGCTTCGACCGTGACGCTGTCGTCGTCCTGTGCCGCGATTTCCGTAACGCCATGACCCCTGAGGATTGTGACGCCCAAGCTCTCAGCTCGCTCAGTCAACGCCGTCTCAATGCGCTCGATAGTCGTAGGGCCGGGAAGCAGGGCTGGCCCCTGGAGGCGGTACTTCCACCGATCCAACTCGAGCTTGTTGGCGTTGAACATCATGCCGGCGAAATGGCCGCCGAACTTGAACCCGGGCTGCTTCTGGAAGAACGAGGACCGCTCGCTGGGGTCGAAGACCTTGTTCAGTAGCCCGCGCCGGTAGAAACCCTCAATCGACACCGTGTTGATGCCTCGGAATCCCAGCGGCTCAACCTTGAAGGGCGACTCGGGCCTGGGGTCGCGCTCTAGGACTAGCACTGAGGCGCCCGCTAGGCGCAGCTCACAGGCTAGGAAGAGGCCGATGGGCCCTGCGCCGGCAATGATGACATCGTATGGCTGGCTCATGGTGGTGAGCACCCAAGATACTTCTCAGGGTTTTGCAGAGAAACGATTGCCAGACGGGAAGGTTGATAATAGCTGTGTCTGTTGGGTATAGAACTTGCTCGCTTTAACTTTTGAGTTACTGAGTTGTATGTATTGTACATACAACAAAATATAGTCGCTGGGGCAGCACTGCCATATATATATATAGGTGTATACAGGACCTACTCCGTAAATAGGTGTCTACATATCTGTCAAGTCCCGGGCTTTTCTACTTCCCGAATACACCAGTAAGCAACACATAACCGGATCGGGTTTTACTAAAGCCCGAGACAATTGCGCCCAGGTGGTCTGTGCATGCCAGGTGCCAACCCAATCCTTCCGCACTAAAAGAGCGACTCCCGATATAAAGCGAGACTCTCTCCCATAATGTTTATAAACGGCCACTGCGCGTTACTCTTGAAGAAATGCGCCCAGATCTGCAGTACAGCCATGCCCAGACTAGCAGGATCAGCGTGAAACTCAGCCTCGTCGTCGTCGAGGTCGACGACCGCACAAGCTTCTTCGACGATACAGCGCACCCAATGCAAGATGCGGTCTTCGCTGTCTTGATGGATGGCGGTTCTGTGTTAGCATGGCTGTCGAGCATATTACTGACAGACAAGGGATCCTAATTACCGGTCAACGGCGACGAATCCACCGAGGCTGCAAGTGATTGTAGCCATTTGCTCAGCAAGACGGCACACTCGAGTCCCGAGAGCGAGTGTCGGACGCTCCAGAAGAACGCCTGGCTTCGAGCAACGCGGTCGACGCCCAGTCGCACAGGAATGCTGAGCGCATGGGTGGCATAGAGCAGGGCGGAGATGACACCGTCGCTCCTCTCCACCCGGGGCGATCGACTCAGCGCTTTTGCGATCCGTACGGGGTCTCGCGTCTCCAATTGTCGATACGGACCGAGATTAATGTAAATTCGAACGTAGGCGAGTCCGAGAAGGGCGCTAGACGTGAAAGGGATCGGCCCATTTTCATTGTTGGGGTCAAGGCTGGATTCAGGGGCTTGTTGCCAGCCTGATGTCCAGGAACGGAGCGCACGTCTTTGGAAATGGTTAGCCACTTGGAAGTTCTTCTGCATTTAGGCCGCCTTGACTCACTCGAGCTTGTCTACCTCCTCCGCCGGGAGCGAGGCTCTCTGGTCCATGATGGGCAGAGACAAGTCCCGGACAATGTAGATTCTCTGCAACAGCCCATGCAAGAGGATGTAGTTTCCAAAGGGGGTTGGTATAGGATCAAGAGGAGCAGTGCCGTCTAAATTCCTCAGCAGCAGGGACAAGGCGTCCTGGAAGTTGAGTTGCTGACTCCTGATCTCGCCCCTTGCAAGCTGCCACTGTGATGCCGAAGGGGCATTCCACTCCTTTGTGGAGCAGGGCAGCCGCAGGTGTATCTCGTTGCTTCGAAGCACGGGGTAAACATTGTATGCGATGCTGTGAGTGTGCAGAAACGTGAAAGCAGTCAACTTGGCCCGTCTGGTTGACTCGTGGCAAATCCAGGATGCCCATGTTGCCTGCAACGGACCGGACTCTGGTACTTCGTCGATTTCTTGATCTTCTTCGAGATTGACATCTCGGAGAACTTGCACAAGCAGGCTCTGCAGACCAAGTGCTTCCTGGAGGAGGGATTTCTCGGGCTCCCAGGTGGCATATCCCATTAGCAATATCAGAGTTCGGACCGTGTCAATCGGTTCCCATGCGCCCCAGCTCCTTGTAGATGATGCATATTTCTGGCGTGAGTCTCGGGATGAAGACTCTTTAGCATGCAGGCCGAGAAAAGTATCCGTCTTGAAACCAAACTTGTCTTTATCATGGAGCAGCCGCTCGATCAGAATGGCTTTACCGGCGGAAAAGAGGCGCTCCGAGTTCCTTTTCTCAAAACAATACTGCGCCCCGATGGCACAGATTGCCAAGACAAGTTCAAGAGGTGTATCAACGGCCCGCCATGTGTGATGGATAAACGGCATGTGCTGGTGAAACCCCTCGAAGAATGAAGTTATGTATCGTGTCAGGGCATGCCGCGAGGGCATCCTGAACCTTCCATCAATGACGTCTCGAAAGGTCTCCAAAGTGAAATACAGCCGGGCGTGTTCCTCGCCGGTAACATGGAATGGTGGACATTCTATCCCGATCTCGCGGGGCCCTTGTATCAATACTCTTTAGCAACGCCCGTCACGATAAAGTTTGGCAATTAAGGGCTCACATACGGTCCTCTGCTAGGTTTTCGGCAATGTTGTTTCCGACAGGGGCTGAAGGGAGCCATGAGCTGAAAGGCGTCCCCAGTCGCATCCCGGGTTGATCAGTGGGCGTCACAGCCCCAGCCCTCGAGTCTCTCAACACAGGGTCTAACCCATGGTCTTCTCGATCAGGCCCATTGAAAAAGGGGCTCCACTGGGCAGGCAGGCCTACTCCGTCGAGGAAGTTGGCAAACTCCTTGAAGTGGTCGAACCATGTGTCCGGTTCTTATCTCTATGTCAGCCAGCCGGCACTGGTGCATTGACAAGCCCCTGACAAAAAGAAAAAAAAAAAAAGACAAGGCGTACAAGGAAGGGCAAACATACCATTCTCCAACAAGGCTGGGGATAGGACGGACTGCTGCGGATACGGCGGAGGGGCGAAATCCTGAAAGCCATCCACTCGTTGATTGCCTCCTGAGTAGATAGCACTCGATTGCGATGCCGGTTGGACCCATTGGCCTTCGCTCATCCCAGATAACGATGCGGCGGCAGCGGCGGCGGCAAGGTCCGGGTCTACCGTCGTGTCCTCGCTCGGGTGTGATGATGGAATCCCCGGCGACTTGGGCGCCGCTTCCGCCGCATGATTGGAGATGCGTTGATGCCGGGTCAACAGGTCTCTTCGTGTGAAGGCAGCCCCACACTGGCATATGAAAGGCTTCTCCTTGGTGTCTGGTATAAGGGTTGTCAGTTATAAAATGGAAAATGTGGTCCTCTACCAACTGACATGCCCGATCAAAAGAGGCCAGGAATCAAGTGGGGACACAAAGGGGGTGTGACAGGAGAAGAGGGCAACCCACGAGTTCGCACGTGACGTTCCAGGTGCTCCGTCCGCTTGAAAACGCGCAGACAATGAGGACAGGAGCGGCGGCTGGCGCTGCCATCGGTTCTACGACGCTGACGTCGGATGGGTTGGGGCTGCTGGGGCCCCGCGTGGGCGCCATTCACTTGCATCTCCCCATGGGGACGCATTCCAAGCGCGGTTTCATTGGGGATTGGAGGTTGTGAAGATCAAGTTGGAGAGGAAAGGTTTGGAGCATGGAGCATGGAGCATGGAGCAAATTTACCATTTGGAGGCGTACGGAAACTTCGAAGTGGAGCCATCAATGCCGAACTCGACGCCGCTCGTGACTTACTAGTCATGCTAGTTGGCTCCATAATTGCCACCATCCCCAGACTTAGCTCCAATCATGCGTCGGCCATCTACATAGCATGCACTGGGGTAGGCGGGGTCAGATCCCGGCCGCAAGGAGACTTGGATTTGGGGTCGAATAACGAGAATATCCCTGCATGGAGATACAGACAGCACTCAGCAACGAACCGATGACCTTACCGAGCCTCTTGAAATATTGGGATGATCAGCTGGGGCCTGGACAAGGGCTGACATTCGACAAACCGACCACTTGTAATCAATTACGCAATGGCCTCCTCATTGTACAGATTTCCGGGAGTGGCTCTCGTCACCGGCGCCGGAGGGACAGGTACGCAATTTGGTGATGAGACTTGCTGGAAGGACAACAGATTACTTGAGACAAAGATGGCTCATTATTTTCGGTTGAGCAGGTATTGGTGCCGCCATTGCGAGGGCCTTCGCTGCGTCACGCTGTCCTTCGATCGCCATCACAGATATCAACAAGGACACACTCGGCCAGACACGGGATGCCCTGCTGAAACTAAACCCCGACGCCGAGGTGTTGAGTGTAGCAGGGGATATATCAGACGAATCTTTCACCAGGTCACTTGTTGAGGATGTCTCTCGGAAGTTCTCACGGCTGGACTACCTGGTGAACTGCGCCGGAATCCTCGGGCCTTCGATGAGGACACACGAGACACCGTTGTCCACTTTCGAGGCCATCACTAATATCAACTACAAGGGCACGTGGCTGTCCTCTCGCTCTGCCCTTGCCTTGATGGTGAAACAGGCTTTCCATCCCGATCATCCCAAACAGAGGGGGTCCATCGTCAACGTGGCAAGCCAGCTCGGCATCGTCGGACGGCCAGCAGCCGGTGAGTTGGCGATTGCGAACGGCCCCGAAGAAGGTAATCAGGTATTAGTGCCAAGCCGAGCTGACATGGACACATGTAGCGCCCTACTGTGCTACGAAAGCCGCAATAATCAACCTGACCCGCTGCGACGCTATCGACTACTCGCGCGATAGTATCAGGGTCAATTGCGTGTGTCCGGGAGTCATTGAGACACCCCTCACAACCGGATCTGAGGAGGTTACTGAACGCCTGAGGCCCGCCATAGATATTGCCCCAATGCGCAGGATGGGGACACCCGAGGAGGTTGCTGACGCTGTCCTGTTTTTGTGCTCGAACCAGGCGTCGTTTGTCCAGGGACACGCACTGGTTGTTGACGGAGGGTACACGATAAATTAGGCAGTTCATAATACTGAATGATAGCTTGTCAAGTTCACAGTTCCCTTTCCTTCTTTACTAATAATTAATTACACGATAGATATGATTGATCAGGAAACATAGCATAACATAATCTTGGGTCAGTTCTCAAATAACGATCATGACTGTCTATGTATTCTCTCGTCTATTCATAATTATATCAAACGCTATGTATGCAGTATCCCATTCACCTTGGCTTGCCCATTTGATTTCCAGTCGAAATTCGCTTCCCAGGCATGACCAACTCTTAGAATCTTCTTTTCCTGCCATAGCCCAGCGACGATCTGCATACCAACGGGCAGGTGGACTGCTGAATCCTCTTTCGCGGGGGCAAATCCAACAGGGAGTGTCATTGCCGGATGCCCGGTGGTGTTGAAGACGGCCGTGTTTGTCGTCAAGCCTATGCTGGGCTCGAAAGACTTACAGGGGGAGTCCGGGCTGCCGTGCCGGGGGGCGACAAACGGAGTCGTAGGCATAATCAGTACATCAACCTCGTCGTTGAAAACTGTCTCGTACGCGTCCCGGATTTGTCGGATGATATTGACCGTCTTTCCGTAGAGTCCCGGGAACTTATCCATGAGGTAGAGCCCGTTGATTATCGTGTTCTTGGTTGAAGGGAACAGCTTCTGGAAATTCTCACTCGTCCAAGGCAAACGCGCCTTCTCGAATTCTGTCAGGTACAACCCCCGTCTCCCGTGCGATTGGCCGAGGATTCCCAAGGTGCCGGAGACTCGCTGTTGGATGGTCCAGACAGCTGGCCCTTCTAGATGTAAGGGCACCGACACTTCGACAACAGTCGCTCCAAGCTGCTCGAACTTCTTTGCGGCGTCCCGCACAAGGTCCTTCACCCCCTGTTGGACGACACCCTGCTCGAAGCCCTGGACCAGCAGTCCGATCCTGACACCATCCAACCTGGCACTCTGACCTGATCTCAAAGATTGGGCAAACCTAAATGATCCGGGAGCTCCCACCCCTTGTGACCGGTCGTCGATTCCGTCATCCCCCGCAATGGCATCCAGACAAGCGGCTGCATCAATAACGGTCCTTGTGAGCGGCCCGGCGTGGTCGTCGATGGCATCACCGCTTGTGATACCCGTGTATGGGATCAGCCCATGAGTTGGTTTAAGTCCGACACCTAGAGCAGCACCACTCAGTATTAAAAATCGATTTCTCAGCATGGACAATGGTTGGAGCAACGCTTGAGAACTGACATCCGCAGAGGGCCGACGGTACCCTTATGCTCCCCCCCTGGTCCGACCCGATGGCGATATCCGTGATGCCCGAGGCAACCAAGGCTGCACCACCCGAGGTACTCCCACCGGCCGAGTAGCCTTCTTGGTGAGGATTCTCAACGGTACCCTGCGCACTGGTGAAGGACGCTGTGGAGTTGCAGAAACTTTCGCAGGTGGCAGTGCCATGGATGTCGGCCCCTGCGTCCAGAAGCCGTGTTACCACGGTAGCGTCAGTCACGGGCGTCCAAGCCGGGAAGGCATCGGAGCCGTAGAACTGAGGGACCCCAGCCACGGCGATGCAGTCCTTGATACAGCACGTCTTGCCCTCCAAGATGCCCCCATCGGGGTTGCCGCTGATCAGGAACTTGTGTGCCCAGGCATGGCCGAGAACCTGTTCTGCGTCCGACGGGAGGTGGACGTTTTGCCGCGGGTATTTGCCGAGATGGACAGGTGGTTGGTAGTCGGGCAAGCCGGATATGTGCTCGGCGCAGTCGTGGACGGCAGCGAGCAGGAGGTTGTAGTCATCCGAGTCCTTGGGATCAATGCTTACTCCGATCTTCTTGAGGTATGCCTCCGCATCGCCCTTCTTCACGGGGTTGCCTCTGGAAATGTCACCGCGTCAGAAGCCAAGCAAGGCGCAATGCGGGGTGCCGGGGAACGTACGCGGAGATGTCTTTGAAGAAGACTGACATTGTCGAATGGCCCTTGAGGGGGAATCAAGTACACCTAAGTCGTGACCAAAGGCAGTCTGCGCACTTCACCATCAGAGAAGGCAGGCGTGTTTGTGTGTGTGGTTCTAGAATAAGGGAATTTGAAGACGTGGAATTTGGGGTTCTGAGCAGTTGCTGGAAAATAATAACAATGACGCTAATTCGCAGTGGAAACAGATTGCCACCATTTCATCGCCCCCAAATTGCCGGTGCGCTTATAGTACTGTACCTAGTTGGGGTTACCTCCACAACCTCCACCTGGGGGGACACTTGGGCCCGTTAGCACAATTGGGGTTCCTGTATGTAAAGTACGGATTAGGCCCCCCACCCCCCTCAGTACTCGTCCTCAGGCGCTGTAATTGTTATGCCGTGGCGGGAGGAAGGAATGGACTCGCGCCCTGAAGCACCGGTCGCACAGGGGGCTCTGACAAATATTACTGTAGCTTTAAGTTTCTGATCACGGCAAAAAAAGGGCAAGCCAATAAATTAGGTGGCACACTGGCTGTCCTCGTGAGGCAAACTGCGTGGGGTGAAAGCGTGCCCATTGCGTTCTCGTGCTTGGCTATGACGTTATTCCTCATCGGAGATCTGTACCACGAGTCTGCCGCTGAAAGACTTCTCCTGGTACAGATCAACAATTCCGGGGACAGATGTAAACGGCACAACTGTGAGTCGAGACTTGATGCCGCTGCCCTCTACTACTTGCATCATTCTCCTAGTTGACTCTACGCCCGCGACATAGCTGCCACGTATTACCAGCTCCCTGAACACCAGGACGCCAGCATCGAACTGCCATCTCTCTGGTGGTAGCCCTAGAGCCACCAACACTCCTCCGATGCGCAGTAGTCTCAGCGTCCACGCGTTCGCCGCGAGAGAATCCGTACAGACCACTGCAGCAGCGATGCCCTCGTCGTTGGTGAACTCGGAGATTTGCTCCTCGGCGTCTGGTGCAGTTGAGTCCACCACAAGATCTGCCATTAGCCCCGGACTTGGGACGTCGGTCGCGAGTTGTCTTCCTTCGGGTCGGCTGTCAATGGCGATTGTTCGGTATCCCAGGGCCTTGGCAAACTGAACGCCAAGGTGCCCGAGTCCCCCTATTCCTACGATGGCCACTGGGTCTCCTTCCTGTAGCTCGGCAGTGGCCTTCTCTAACGCGCCCCACACCGTTGCCTGCAGGAGCCTGGTTAGCACATTCTTCGAGTCCCGATGCCCAGATCCCAGGGGGAGCCAAGGGGTTGCCCGGGGAAAGCTCACCCCGGCACACATCATGGGTGCTGCTTGTTGGAACGAAACAGATGGCGGTATCAAAACCGTGGTTTCTGGGTCGGCAACCATATACTCGGCAAAGGCGCCGTCGTGTTTGAAGCCTGCCATCTCTCTGTTTTCGCAGAACCTCGGGTCCAAACCACCGTATATTCGAGTGGACACATTGCAACCGGCACAGGCAGAGCATGAATTCTTGAAATTCAGCACCCCGACTCTGTCGCCCACCTTCCAGCCGCCCTTACACTTATCACCAATGCGAACAATGACGCCTGCGGGCTCATGCGATGGAATAAGGGGCAGTTCTGAGCCAAACTGCCCATGCATCACCTGCAGATCCGAGTGACAAAATCCGGCCGCGTAGATCTTGACGAGGAGTTCATTGTCTCTGATCGTGGGCACGGATTTGTCTTTGATTTCATACGGAGAATTGTACTGCAGATATCTCAGCCGGTCTTTGTCTAGCCCAGGGTAATGAACTTGATGGCTCAGGGGGATATACCTTGACTAGTTGTGCCACCTTCATCTGCTCTGGGACCTGTTGCTCTTGCTCCATCTTTTGGGGATACGACGTGATTAATTAGTAGATAATTAATTAGCAAACGAGTTGGTTATCTCGTTGGATTTCCTTCCCCATTGAAGAGGAGTAATAAATTCCTGATTAGAAGCGATAACTCGATAATTGCAAGCTGCCCAATTACGTCGTCTTTCCAGAAGCATTGATAGAGTACTCTAATTTGTGGGTGTCTACTTGTCATCTCCACACTGATAAGTCTCCGTCTCCATGGAGCCCAAGTCGTCTCCAACTGTGGACCCCCGAGTGAATGCCTCCAACGCAATGACCCCAACACTCAATCCACCCCGAGCTAGTCTCCAATTCTTAATCTCTAGCTCCAGTCCTACGCGTACCCCGCCTTTCGTCGCCCAATGACACAGCGAGATATTCGCCTTGTCTTCCTCCCTCCATTGTCGACAGCTACCGTGATTAAGGAGACAGCCAAGTCAAAGCAGATACCGGAGCCACAAATTATCACACCGCATTCGAAAGACCCCCAAGACCCCCACCCACAGCTTTGCACCACCATCACCGACTGTTCAACCATTTTCGCAGCCAGACAACAACTCTCACTACCTCAGCATCCGATACGTCATCATGGGCAAGAAGAGAGTTCTCATCAGTTACGGCGTGGACGTGGATGCCGTGGCAGGTTGGCTTGGCTCCTATGGCGGGCAAGACTCATCAAATGACATTAGCAGAGGTGAGGTTCCTTAGCCCAGGGGGTTGCCAAGCACCAAATATTCTAATCAACATTGTGTGGCACGTAAATCAGGCCTCTTTGCAGGCACCGTGGGTGTTCGGCGGCTACTAAAGTTGTTTGACAAATATGACATGAAGACGACGTGGTTCATCCCAGGCCACAGTCTCGAGACCTTCCCTGAGGAGATGGCCGCCGTGAGAGACGCTGGACATGAGATTGGTCTCCATGGATACTCGCACGAGAACCCCACCGACATGTCGATGGAACAGCAGAGAGACGTGCTAGACAAGACGTACCGGATGCTGACCGAGTTCATGGGCAAGCCGCCTCGTGGGAGCGTGGCGCCATGGTGAGTTCAGTTTCATTATCCAGCAGAACTCATCATCGCTCATCCCAACGTCCCGGAGCTCATATCATTGCCCTCCATCTCTAGGTGGGAAACGAGCAAGGAAGGTGCCCAACTGCTTCTTGACTACGGCATCGAGTATGATCACAGTATGAGCCATCACGACTGCCAGGCGTACTATCTCAGGACAGGAGACTCTTGGACCAACATCGACTACACCAAGAAGGCGGACGAGTGGATGAAACCTCTGGTGAAAGGCGAGGAGACCGGTCTCGTCGAGGTCCCGGCCAGCTGGTACCTAGACGATTTGCCGCCCATGATGTTCATCAAGGCCGCGCCAAACAGCCATGGTTTCGTCAACCCGAGAGACATTGAAGACCTTTGGCGGGACCAGTTCGACTACTGCTACCGGGAGTACGACGAGTTCATATTTCCCATTACCGTCCACCCGGACGTCTCTGGCAGGCCACAGGTTCTTTTGATGCACGAGAGGTGAGTGTATCCCCCTGTCGGACGATACCCCTGAGACTCCGCACACACCCCCCCCCCCCCTCTTTTTTCCTTTTTTTTTTTTTTTTGCTTACAACAGCGGTTGCATTAGACTCATCGAGCACTTTAAGAAGCACGAAGGAGTCGAGTTCGTGACGATGGCAGAGATTGTAGATGACTTCAAGAGCAAGAACGCGCCCGCACCTGGTGCCATGCTTCCCGCAGAACCGGGAGCAATACTGCGGAAGTGATGCAGGCGAAGATGGATCATGTCAAGGGCAGCGGAGGTGGGGTTATTGCGACGCCATCTACGAGTCTAGTGTCGGTCATGTCAATTAGGGTGCGTAGCCAAGATCCGTTACTGGAGCCTAGTAATCGCGCGTTGCCCATGAAGAAGTGTGTGGATGACAAGATACAGTGATGTTGCTCTACACAGTAATGGAATGTGCCGAAATCGATTAATGCATGTAATAACTGTCCTCCAACCCATTATCTTTTAGTCTCCAACGTGGTACGTGTACCATTTGGGTCCCTGATTACCCCAAGTGGATACTTCGGGGGGCGATTTACGATACGGCAACAACCGGCTTTCAAGACCTCCAACTCTTCAACGTTATCTATCATACCCCGATTATGTTGGAGCAAAGCCCCCTGGCTATTAGTTCTGACGCTAATTCCGCGCCAAGATTTCCCCAGAAAGGCTTCTACAGCGTCGTCTAGGATCGCCGCTTGCTTTCCTCTTTACCTTGATATCTTGGGGTTCCTTGACGTTTCGATGGCTGATTATCTCCAAGCGTCAGACATAAAGGCAGTAACCCACCTGCGATCTGCGACCTTCTGAAAAGTCTGAATGAAGAGTCTGCCAATCTCCAATGCAACGAAAATCTCTTCCTCGCTAGCACAAGCACACGCACGTTCTACTTTTATTTCCCCTTTGGGTCCCCAACGACCATGCCACACGACTCCCTTCAAGAGAAAGGCGAAGACATCACGCCGGCCGCTGAATGGAGCAGTTCAAGCGCGGATGCCGTCAAGTTGGAAGATGCCGAAGATGCATTTGAGGTGTTCAAGAAAGGAGATGGTTCGGTTGATTTCCGAACCGTCAGTTGGATACACGCTTCTGTTATATTCTTGAAGGGTAAGTCGAGTCGCTCGAAACCATGGAACCCACTATCTGGCGTATCTCATTAACGACGTTTCAGTCATCTTCGCCACAGGTGTCCTAACCATCCCGTCGGCTATGTATGTCTTAGGTGCCTTACCAGGGGCCATCAACGTGCTGGGCTGGCAGTTCTTGAACACGTACTGCGCAATCATCCAGGGAAACTTCAGAAACTCACACGCTGGGTGCCACTCGATCGCCGACATGGCCAATGTCGTCGGGGGTGCCTGGTTAAGGGAAGTCGTTGGTGTGCTCTTCCTCGTCACCTACGCCATCGTGGGGGCCTCGGGCATCTTCGGAGCGTCTGTCGGTCTCAACGCCTTGTCGAATCACGCCATCTGCACAAACTACTTCATGCTCGTCGCCACCGTCGCCGTCTGCATGCTTGCCAGCGCCCGCAAGTTCGAGAAGATTGCATGGCTGACATGGGCCGGATTCTCGTCTGTCTTCATCGCCGTCCTCATCGTCGTGTAAGTTGAAGCCTCTCCTCTCCCCCATCTCCCCCCCCCGCCGCGGCGCCATTTTAGGTTTGGCAACCCGGAACAAGAGTCGAGCTAACTGTTCTTTTCTTTCAAGTGTCGGTGTTACAACTCGAGCCCGTCCGGCAGCAGCACCCCAGACAGGCGACTTCGAACTAGGATACTATGTCATCGGTAACCCTACCTTTGTAGCTGGCATCACCTCGGCGGCCACAATCTTCTGTTCGGGCGCTGGCACATCGGCTTTTCTCCCCGTTATTTCCGAGATGAAGCGGCCGCGCGACTACAACAAGGCCGTCTACCTATGCATGGGCATCGTGACGGCTTCGTACCTGTCCTTCAGCCTTGTCGTGTACCGCTGGTGCGGCAAGTGGGTTGCCTCACCGTCTCTCGGCAGCGCAGGCGACGTCGTCAAGAAGGTGGCCTACGGTATTGGCATGATTGGCCTGCTCGTGAGCGCCTGCCTCTACGTCCATGTCGCCGCCAAGTACATGTTTGTGCGCTTCCTGCGCAACTCGCCCCACCTCCAGAAGAACTCGGTCGTTCACTGGGCTGTCTGGCTGTCCTGCACATTCACCATGTCCGTCGTCTCGTTCCTGCTCGCGTCCGGCATCCCCATCTTCAACTACCTCCTCGCACTCGCTGGTAGCCTGACATTCTCGCCGCTCGCTCTGGGTCTTCCGGGCTACCTCTGGATATACGATCACCAACATTACCGCCGCGGCAGCCTGCTTCAGAGGACAGCATACTGGCTGAACTGGCTGATGATCCTTCTGGCGGTTTTCCTGACCATCGGTGGAACTTATGGCGTTATCCAGCAGATCATTGACGCGTATGCCAATGGCGAGATCGCCTCGGCCTTCTCCTGTGCCGACAATAGCAATTCTTCATGATTAACTTGTACAGTACATATGTTTTTGCAATTCAGATTAGCTTGCGGCAGTCAGTTTGGGATCAAGGCGGACTGGGAGGAAATGAAATATTGATGTGTTAGAAACAGCACTATCTTGATCGTCAGTGATGTCTGTAGTGGAAGGCAAAAGAGATTTTAAGCCACTGATCTCGCTGCTAATCCTGCTGCCTTCACGGTAGTTTTGCTTGTTAAAGACGTCGAGTTTATCAAGGGTCGTAATAAGGAGGTTACCGTTGTCTCGGTTACATTGGCAAGTTAGCCCCTGAACACCAGTCAGTCACGGTGGATCGAGTCATGACCCACGCCAACTTTGAGGGCACCAATAAAAGCCAAGCAGATTATGCACCCTCCGACCTGAGTCCAAACCATCCCCGCTCCTGGCCTGGATGCCGACTTCGTCTAATTACCACAGCCGTCAGATCCCCTTCATTAATGTCTCAAGCTAACGCGCCGCGAGAGTTTAAGTTTGTCGGAGGCCCAAGCAGGAAACGACGTCGTCGGAATTTCCCAAGGGCGGCTGCAGCCTCGCCAAAGCAAACGCTGGTGCCAACTTCCCGGGTGGCAGATGGAGACCAGGGGCGCCCCGGAGGGGATCAATCCTGCTTGCACGTCTCCGCTGCCCACGCAGACCTTGTCTCACGTGTTAGACGAGTATATTGGCGACGAGACCGTTAACCGCCCCGGCCCACAGTCACCCTCGACTGATGCAGCCGTGAGTGGCGTTCTCTTTGACTGGCTAGATGCGAGCTCGATGAAACCGTTCTTCGAACTTGGAGTGCCATTCACCAACTCTTTCGATCAAACCAGCGGGCAATCCCAAACCCAACCCCAACTCCCTTTCTATTTCGGTCCTGACATTCTATTCGGCCAATTGTGGGACTCCCCCCCAACAGACGGCTCTTCCCATGACTTCACAGCCGCGGCACCGCCCGTGGCCGAGGACGATGATTCAGCAAGAAACAGTCCGAGTGAGGATGCAACGGTCACAGCGGCTGGCTACATAATGCAGCCGTCATTAAGCCTGCCTCATGCGCCAGGCAATATCAGCAAGACGATATCACAGCTACGGACTCGATGTGCGTGGTCAGCCCAAAGACCCTTGTATCGATATTGATTTCCGGAGATACCGATAATTAAGTCCCAAATAGATGATCGAGAGTTCTGCTGTGTCATGCCCCCGACCCATGACTTCGAGGCCAACCCTTTTCGTTTCAACGCCGAGACAGGACGGGGTTCACAGCTTCTCCTTCACTGCATCCTGGCCCTCTCATACAAGCACATTCTCCGTGACACCGGTGCCTGTTCTAACGAAGCGAAAATTCACAAGAAAAAGGCTCTTCAGATGCTGCGGGAGATGGACAGTGGTTCGCCAGAGAGTGATCCGCAGAGCTTCTGCCTCGACGCGAATTTTCTCGATGCGGTGTTGATACTGATGACTCTAGACGTGAGTTCCCTTGCAGAACAACCAGTGGGGCTGGCGTTGCGCTCTTTATACCAATCCCCTCCTCTCCCCCCTCTCTACGATCGTTGTAGCTGTTACTGGGGCTAACGGCCTGTGCAGTGAGCAACGTCGGCTCATGGGCCTTGGATATGGTACCTGAAGCGTGCGCTCAAGATGATCCAAGCGACCGAGTCTCTTCACGTCCAACAAACTCCACGAATGCAAGCAAGGATAGAAATGCTTGTTTGGTGAGTCAGGCCCCCTGCTCTTACACAAGTCCAGCAACAACGATCTTCACGATACTAACTGTGACACCAATCGAGTCTAGGTGGGACGTCACCTTAGCACTGACGAGTCGACGGGGCTGCGTATTGTCCGAGGCCACGCAATCAGCCTTTTCAACCCGAATGGCACAGATGGCACGACCTTTTACAGCGTCTCTGGCTGTCCGTAAGATCTCTTCAAATATATGATCCGCCTTGGGGCATATGCGCGGGAATTGGAGCTCGTGGCTACCATGACCTGCGTGACATTCGACATGGAGCCAGTTCTTGCGGTGGAGAAGGGCATCAGAGAATGGTCAGATCCGAAGCATTACGATATACACCCCCAACACATTCCTCGTGATCTTCTAGGAGACGACGGAGACCCGGGGGCCTTGGAGCATTTCAAGGAGGATCTACACCACTGCGTCGAAGCCTGGCGATATGGGCTGCTCATTTACATCGAACGAGTCTTCAAGTGGAAGATGGACGGAGCTGTGTCATCGATGCTCGGTTTCCTGGCACGCAAGACACTGAACCACGTTTCATCCTGTCGGCGAACCACCATGCTTCAAAAACAGCTCCTGCTTCCCGTCTTTCTAGCGGGCTGTGAAACCAAAGACGAGCACCTCAGGCAAGAGGCGCGCTCGTATTACACTTGGTGGAATGAGAAGACACGTTACGACATGTTTCTCACAGCGACAGCCTTGCTCGAGGAGGTCTGGACAAACCAAGACCCCCATTGCTGGTGGGGTTCAGTCATCGACCAGAAGACCCAATTCAGCACCAGTGGACGAACCGAGAGGCAGTATCTTTTTGGTTAATTGTATCTTTCGAGGGAACACTTGGATACACAGGTGCACATAGCTGGCGTCGACGCAAAGCCTTGTCTTGTTGTCGTGATATTATTATCTGCCCTGCCACCATACAGCTGGCGATTCCAACCGTTAGATCGCCAGCATTCGTATCCGCCCCATGAGAGTCCGGCCGCTGCAAGATATACGCGAGTGTCCAATATCCTCGATTCTTTGTGAAAGCAAAAGGGGGTTGTCAACTTTGTTCAGAGCGACGGCTTCTGCTGGAGGAGATATCTGACTAGGCCGAAAGAAGTATTGCCGAGTCTGTATCCATAGATTTGGGGTGGAGCCCTCCGCCACCGGACCCCAAGCCCGTCCGCCCGTCCGGGCAGGTGGTCTGTGCTTCGGCCGAAGCCAGATTGGGTGATGTTAACATTGCCACATTGGGCAATTACCGTATTAGGAAATATGATGTTGCGGGTATGAGTGCCATTCCTCCTCAACCTGCAGATGCAGACGAAGAGGACAGGATGGATGGCTTAGATGCCCCGGCGCGGCATCTACATAAGCAAATCCGGCATGCTATGTATGGTGTCGAACGAATCCCGCACTCCAAACCTCCACGCTACCCTTCAAAACGACAGACATCGACATAATCAGAATGGCGACCATGGACGAAATCTTTGCGGGTTATGCAGCATGACAGGTTATCCTAGAGGCAAGCAAAAGGCCATTTTCTAAGGGATTCGGCGTGATCTCGTTTGTACACGAGTGAGCCCGGAAATAACCAGGTGCAGGCAAACCTCACCGTGGAAGCTTCTTTAATTATTTCATGGTATGGCCTCGGACTACGTGGGATGCTGCGAGAAGGCATTTGATTGTGAATGGGTCAGTTTCGAGTGTGCAATTGGGAATTCGGTAATCCGTAGACCTCCAACCTCAGACTGGTCGTTGATCAGGCTTGCACTTTACCCAGAATGGCAGTATAACCTAAACCCCACTGATGCACATTGCCTTTTTGGGATATCCATACTGCGATTGACACAGAAGAATTGGGTGGGTCAAGTGATGCCACTAATCCTGTCGAAGTATGCTCCACTTTGAGTCAGTCAGCGACTCGGATTTCATTGACGGAACATCTCGTACGATCTGCATGGGAGATCTCCACGTTGCGGAGCAGCGTTCCAGAAAAATTAAAATATACCAGTTTCAGCCAGAGTATTTATTTCTTGTATCATTGCACTTACCATTCCGCGGAGTCTCCTAGAGTCAGAAATCCATCTACCTGCTGGTAAAATCGCCGCCATGGCTTCGTTGAACTCGAGGGACAGCATTGTCATTGTTGGGTCAGTAGCTTCGTCTGGTCCTATTCTAGGCAAGCGAGTCTACCACCGGAGACTGACCCTTTGACAGCGCGGGCATCATCGGCCTTGACGTCGCCTTGGTTCTTGCCGAGAAAGGGTACGGAAGGCGGATAACCGTTGTTGCCGAGCACCTGCCGGGGGATACGTCGGTCAATTACACATCGCCATGGTGAGCCTTTGAGTTATCTATGAAACCGAACGATATCCTGGCTGTACTGACGTCCCCCACAGGGCCGGTTGCAATTTCTCCGCCATATCTGGGAGCGACGCCAACGCTCTGAGGTGGGATCGATTGGGTTACTCTCACTTGGCCAAACTTGCCTCGGATAACCCAGAAGAGGCATTTGTGGAATGGACAGCATCGACTGAGCTCTGGGATGAGGCTGTTCCGCACGCCAAGATCAAGGCTATGTCTGACTATCTCAAGAATGTAGGTTGAGCAATAACCTTGACCAACCCTAAGCAGCCCGGGCCACGCTAATTGAGTCAAGTTCCGTGTCCTACCTGCCGCGGAACTGCCAAATGGTGTCAAGTTTGCCGTCTCCTTTACCACTCTGACCGTCAATGCACCCATGCACATGGATTACATCTATCGCAGGCTGAAGGATCAGTACGGTGTTCGCTTCATACGGCAGAAGATCCCGAATATCAAGTCGGCATTCTCCAGCCCAACCACGAGAGTCGTTTTCAACTGTATTGGCAATGCAGCAAAGATCTTACCAGGTGTCGAGGATGCCAAATGCTACCCGACTCGAGGCCAGGTCATTTTGGCGAGAGCTCCCCAGGTCAAACGCAACGTCATGCGACATGGAAAGGATTATGAGACATATGTGATCCCTCGGCCGGGGTCCAACGGCAACGTCATTCTAGGGGGGTACATGCAGAAGAGAGTTGGGTGAGTCTATCCAATGCCTTCCCAATTGACATGATTAATTTACGCATTGCTATCTGTACTGACGAACGGGTTCAAGTGATGGAGCTACTTATTCATACGAAACCGAGTCCATTCTTAATCGCACCAAAAGTCTCAGTTCTGAGCTCTCTCAGAGTGAACCAGAGATTTTGGCAGCCTTTGCGGGACTTCGGCCTTCGCGGGAAGGTGGTGCTAGAGTGGAAAGAGACGAGCTCCTCATCGGGGGAGAGAAGCGAGCGATTGTTCACAACTATGGCGCGGGCGGTACTGGTTTCCAGGCTGGTTATGGAATGGCTCTAGATGCTGTCAGGACTGTCGAGGACATTCTTCGGGAGATTCGAGATGACACGGTACGAGCTCGGATATAGTGAGCATGTATTGAAGCCTGGTATCAAGACAGCTAAACAACGCGTTGAATTGTGCTTCCAGCAACTCTGCCACGGCATTACATGCTGCAGAAGATGGAGCCATCTGCCCTCAGCGTCGGGGTCAAATCTCTGTCGATTTCATAATACGTTGCTATCTATGAAGTACGTCACCATGCCATCAAGATTTACTACGCAGTAATTATCTTAGTAATTCATATGTGGACGCTCCGTGCAGCGCTGATCAATATGCGGCTTCCTTATGGGGCCTTGGTTTGTCGGCCGGTGAGCAACAGAGCTGCTGCACGTCTTGGCTCCTGCATGTGAGTGGCTTACGTCGAGTAACCACTCTTGCACGAACCTAATTGCAAATCGAGTGCGATCTCGTTCGTCAGTGGTCAAGCAAGGTTTTGGGCGAGCTGAAGGTGAGTTGCACTAGCACCAAATAGGCGAAGGAAGACGCTCGATTAGTTAGCAGGACGAGGAGGCGGTCGGATAACAGGCCGCACTTCAGTTTCCTCTGAGACAGCTAACTATTCCGATGCATGCTTTCCGCTCACGATGTAAGCTGCCACTGGCTATTAGGTTCTGGGGGTTGGGGTTGTGTGGGGCGGTTGGGATACTCTTTGTCTGCTCTGCGGCAACGTGGACGGCAGAGTGGAGTGGAGTCACGCTGTAAGTCTAGATCTTTTGGCTTTTGACTCGTCAGGTTGTGCGTCTTGATACATCGAAGCCACTCTCCTGCCGTTTGGCAAGTTTGCAGCAGGATAGTACTGATAAAAGATCCTCAGACCCCCAATATTGATTATCGTGCAGACCCAGTTCTCCATTCTTTCCTTCTCTGCCTTAGGTCTGCATGCTTATCCTATCCGGAAGATTTGCCTGACTTTGTCTTGACTCCAACTTGCTCACAATGTCTGTCCGCCACTCGATCCAGTACATCCAGCAGCTATATGATAGCGGCCAGGATCGGTCTCTCTTGGAGGACCTGATCAGAGCCTGGCGAGGCATTCAGAAGCTGGACCCCAAGGACCCTGACTCGTACTGGATGATCGCTGGCTTCCATGGAGAGCCATTCCGCGGACCAGGTGCTACAGACCAAGACTGGTGGGGTGGCTACTGCAACCATGCCAACATCCTATTCCCCACATGGCATCGGGCCTATCTCCTTCGCCTCGAGAACGCCCTACAAAAGATCCCAGGATGTGGGCATGTCACGCTTCCATTCTGGGATGAACTTTTGGATCCCGTGCAGCCCATCCCGTCCATCTTCACGTCGCCGACCTTCGACCTCGATGGCGACACGTGCAATCCTCTATACTCGTACAAACTGCAAGAGGATCTCGACGAGATGGTCATTGGTGCAGACAACCGGTACACCAAGCCTGCCGGGTATGAAACCGTCCGGTTCCCGCTGTCTGGCCTAGTTGGCACTGAGGAAGACCGAGACCACACGGCGGCTTGGAACCAGGATTTCGCCGACCCCGACTCGAGGAACACTCTCCTCAACAACAACGTCCGCCAGTGGCTGGAGGGCACAATCGTCATCGAGAAGGACCCGGGAGGCAGGATCCCCGACACGTACTCAGTGCGGAGCCGGTACGAGCGGTGCCTCCAGGCGCCCAACTACACCGTTTTCTCCAACACGGTATCACAGGGCCAGTGGACCGAGGACAATGGACTCGAACAAGACGTTGTAGTGTCGCTCGAGAGCCCGCACAATGCCATCCACCTCGCCGTGGGTGGCTTCTACCAGGCGGGCGTGTACAACGCTAACCCCACGCCAATCCTCTACGCCAACGGGGACATGGGCGATAACGAGACGGCCGGCTTCGACCCCATCTTTTTCTTCCACCACGCCTTCATCGACTACGCCTTCTGGACCTGGCAGAAGTTGCACAACCGCACCAAGCCGGGCTCCCTCGACGTCATTGAAGACTACCCTGGCACCGTCCTAACCGAGGGCCAAGCCGGCGAGCCGCCTCTACCGGCGGGAACGAAGCTGAGCACGAGCACTCCACTGTACCCGTTCAGGACCGCCTCGGGGGAGTTCTTCACCTCGGACGACGTGACCAACATCGAGGACCAGCTGGGATACCGCTACGGGCCGGGGTCCCTTGACCCACAGCTGCGACTCACGCCGGGCCCGGTCCGACCCCCCGCCAAGATCAAGCGCGTCAGCGGCATCAACCGCGGCGACTACGCAGGCTCCTTCGTGATCCGCCTGTTTGCTACGAGGGCCAGCGACGGGGAGCGCGTCGAGGTCGGCCGTGAAGCCGTGTTGAGCCGCCTCAGCGTCGCCGGCTGCCGGAACTGTCAGAGCTCACTCGCCATCAGGACGCACGTGCCGTTGCCCCGGGAGCTGCTGGCCGCTCTGGCAGGCCGGGGAAAAGTCGAGGACATTACCTATGACTGCGAGATCCAGACGCATCTTCTGCCTGGGTTAAGGAATGTGCAGCCGGGCCAGATGCCAGTGACAGCCCCCCCACATGTTGTGATTGACGATGTGTGAAAATGTTCGCAGGTTGGAGAAAGTGAGGACTAGTCGTCGTCCTCTACGCGATCGCTCGTCTGCTCGTCTGGCTGAAAAGGGTATTAACAGTGGTTCCATTCGACATGGAAGCAAGTATGCATTGAATGATGGTGAGTAGGTTGATGGAGAGCTCTTCGGTTTTAAATTAGTTTACAAATGAATTCAGAATGTCTACTCTCACAGAATTAATCCTCGCCCTCCGTTCTATTGACGCATCCCGCTGTGTCTGACAAGACTAATTATAACCACATGCTGCCGTTGAGCTCCAACTAACAACAGCGCGCCTCTACTCACTCCTCTAGGACCGTTTCGTGAAAACCAACTGGCACCCATCCTATGTTGAGAATTAGCACAAGCCTCAAGCCACAAGCCGCAACCCGGAGCAGAACGGCAGAAGACGAGTCAATAGATAGTAATAAGTAGTTATTACTTACCATCGGAAACAGCGTGGCAAACACCCGGATCTCTTCCGACTTCTGGGTAGCATGATGCTTCCAATCAAGCTCCAGCGCGGCTTTGCCAATCATACCAGCCATAGATAGTGGCACATATCTCTTTGCGAGGCATTCATGCGGCCCCGCACCGAAGACGAGCCAGTTTTTGGTCTTGGACTCGGCATCCCCGGATATCCAGCGGTTGGGGTCGAAGACATCAGGGTTGGGGTAAACATCCGGGTTGTGCAGGGCTGGGTAGCAGGACGGGATGATCATGGAGCCCTTGGGCACCGTGTAGTTGGGCGTGACAGGGAAGTTTTTTGTTGCAAGGTAGGGAACGAAGATGACGGGTGGTCTGTGTCGGAGTAGTTCCTTGATCACGGCGTTGGTGTAGGTGAGAGACTCCAACATGGGGAGATCGCAAGGTCTGCTCTTGTCACCGCCCCGCGCAGCCAAGTTCTCTTCTCGCAATCGATCGAGAACATCGGGCCGCTGGGCGAGGACCTGGAATAGCCAGGTTGTGGCACTGCTGGACGCATCCTGAGACGCAAAGAGGAAGGTGAACAGCGTCTCTCCGATCTCCTCGTTCGTGAATTCGCGGATCAGATTCAATGGCTTCTCCGCGTCCGTCTCTCCCGCGGCGATTCTCTCGCGATACCGATTGGACTCCATCATGTGGAGGACCCAATGGTCCACGATGCACGTGGGCGTCGCGCCGGTGGCCATGTTTGTCTTGCACGCAGCCGCACATTTCGCGAACTCGACATGGACAGCATCGGCCGTCCGCTTCCCCAGCCAGGTCTTGGTGAACGGAATGTACATGGATAGGGGAATGTTGACCAGCTCAAGGGCGGCAGTAGCAAGGTAGAAGTCGTCGGCGATCTTCTTGACCGCGTCCTGGGATATGTAGTCCCCAAAGAAGGTGCGGCACGAAAGCGCACAGTTGATCTCGCGGAACATGGTCATGAATGCCATTGGCCGCCCCTGATTCGTCTTGCTGGCGGCAACGAACTTGTCGAAGTAGTCGGTCAACACCTTCTCTTGCACCGGGAGGTAGGTTGCCATGGCCTTGTTGGTGAACAGAGGAGTCAATCCCCTCCGGTACTCGGCGTGTGCTTTACCCTGAAGAAAAACCCATGATTTGTGGCCTATGATGTCCTTTGCGATGGGCACTATACATGGCTCGGTGTATGAGGGCGACTTGAACACCTTGTGGGCTATGTCTCGGTCGGAGGCGAGGACGACGAATCTGCAAAGTAAAGGTGTGAGTGAGTAGGGGCGCTTGCTGGGCTTGTTTGTTGAGTTCTGACGAGGCGACAATGGACGAGAGCACATACTTGTGGAAGACGGATACACAGCTGAGGGGGCCACTCGCCCACTGTGCAAGATAGGCTTCGAACCTTGGATGGAGTGCTTGGAGAAACGGGCCCATGAGTGGAATCTTGAACGGAGGTCCAGCGATGGGACCCTTTCGTTTGATGTACATGACTAGAGGGAGACGGCGTCAGCTGAATCAAGTATTCAAGGCCATGCATGCATGGACTCGAGATTCCTCGGTTAATTACCTTGATCATAAACCACCACGCCAAGCAGAAAAGTCACGACGACTTGCCAGGTGGACCAGCCCGTCAGAAAGCCCGGAAGAGCGCCGTCTTGGAACTGGGAAGTGCTGAAAGGCCATGTCTGCAGCAGCTCAGGCTGAGCGCTGGAGGTGTTGATTTCCTCAGCAGCCATGTTGGAGTCCTTCGTGGTAATTAGAGGCAAGCTTGTCAACTTCTGGCAAACAAGAAACGGGTACTACTCCATGCCCTTCTTATATGGAGAGGGGTCGGTCTTCTGGCCTCCCTCTTCATCCGAGGGTTTCTGTTTGGGCCACATTGCGATCCGTTCCCCTTGCAAACAAAGGGAGACCCGGAGAAGTAGACAGGCGTAAAGTGACAAGGTTACCGAATTAGGACTAGACTCCGAAAAGTCGCACAGACGCCAAGACGGGAGGAAGCAGGCGGCGGCGTCTAGTCCTCTTCGGTCATTGCTTGGTGCAAAACCTAGTCTAATTACCGACTCCTCCTGTCTCCACCAACACTCTCCCTCCTCTGGTTGCTCAATTCCACACAACAAACGCGCCCTGAACCCGACTTCTCTCTCCCAAAAATGCGCCAAACTCTTCGCCGGTCCTGTGCTGCATGTGCCAAATCCAAACACAGTTGCGACCTTGGCACACCGCGCTGTTCTCGCTGCATTAAACGCAAAGTCCATTGCGTCTATGCGAACGTGCCCCTGACAGCGCCGCCGGCAGCTCCGGGCCGGGAGAATGGCGGATCAATACGACCTCTCGATGGATCCGGCACTTTGACTGGCTACAGATTCGGGTCTCTCGATCCTTTTGATTCGTACCCGCAGACGAGACTGCCCCGGGAACATGTCCAACGTCTCATCCACAGCTGTACGTAATTACGTCTTGTCGATCGACGTCGTCCATCAGCGCCACTTAACTTAACTTACCCAATTCAGTTCTCCACAAGATCGCTTTCCAATACTACCCTCTCGACCTGAGCACAACCTCAAATCCGTTTCTCATCTCTTGGTGGCCACTTGCCCTGGGCGACCCAGCACTCTTTCACGTCTCACTGCAGACAGCATGTCTTGATGAGGAGTTGCTGGCCCAGAAGGGATTTCAAAGCTCAGAACTACTCATGGCCGACTCGGTGGCTTTACTCCGACGCAAAGTTGAAGACACGTCACTGGCTGTACAAGACGGGACTATGAACTCTGTCATCACCTTGGCAGCTATCGAAGTGAGATGCTTTCTTGAATTTCCACTGTCTCTATCTATTATCGTCATCTTTCGAACCCATCACTGATATTTCCCCACCCTCAGTTTGGCAAGGGCAATATCAAGGTTAGCGAAATGCATATCGACGGGGTGAAAAGACTGGTCACTATGAGAGGTGGCATCAATTCAGTAAGGCAGACCAGCCCGCTTACCGCGAGAATGGTCAGCTGGTAAGTCGCCCCTCCCTTAAACAGCTAGAGGGTATGGTATTTACATGACTCAAAAGGGTATCCATGCTCGTCATGGGCCATCCTCAATTCGAGACCCAGAATGACATGGGCATTGGAGATGGCATACCTCCCATTCCGGAATGGCAGTTGGGCTCGACCGCCCTTCACCGTGATTTCTCCGATCTAAGCAGCATCATTGATGTCGACCATGCAGTCCAAAATGTCTTCATCCGTCTCCGCAGCGTCTTCCAGCGGGCGCAACGGATACCCTTTCCAACCACACGACTTCATGACCTCACATGTTTTGTCGTACACCGGCTCCTACTCTCAGCTTCGGACACGGCAAACGATCAGTCTTCACCGATCACCGAATGCATTCGCTACGCAATCATACTCTACATGTTCATCGTTCACGGGACAACGTATTACTCGCACACAGTCATATTGAATACGATTGTCACCCGGTTTATGGAGCATCTCAAGCGTCTCGAATCCACACCTCGTGTGTACGATTCACTTAATGTCTGGCTTCTTGGAATCGGAATGGTGTCCTCGACTGGCACAATCCATTACCAGTGGTTTAAGGAGAGAGCACGGGATATGGCTGCTTCTCTGCAGCTGAGTAATTGGAACGATGCACTTATCTGCGTCAAGAGCGTCCTGTGGTTGGAGACATTGCAGGGCGAAGATATCTTTCGATCTCACTGGGACGCTATTCTTAGTGCCCCGAGTCAACCAGAGCCGCTAGACTTTCCCGTGGGTATCTCACCAAACGGCGGCTCTACTAGCATAGGATTTCTATAATATGATTGCAACTGCAGTAGTAGTTTGGTTAATTGTTGTATTCTAACAAATAATAGCTAGCCTGCTTACTTAACAAGGCAATAATGCTCGGGTCTTCTCCACAAACATGACGTTTGGGAGGTCAGAATTACGGCATGCATACGCAATCCCGATCAAGCTACTGTCGGTGTGGTTTCCAATAGTAAGAAGATAATTAGCGTCATCCTGGACTCCCAGATCAATACTTATCAATGACCAATCTCCTCTTAACATCTCCTCTAGTGTTGTGTACGTCGTTTTTCACATATTTCCCAAACCATGGCAAACAAGAATCCCCCAGACGAGAGGGTAGTTTATCTGGCGCTGAAGAATGTCTTCAAAGGAGACAAGACTTGGGTACGCCAGCTGAAGACGATTCGCAAACTCATCAAGGACCAAGAGAACGGGGAGGTTGCAGATTTGATCAATTCGCATGACTTAGACACAATATGTAAAACGGCGCGGACCCTGCTCACGGAACAAGTATTCGAGTCGACACTTAAAGCAAAGATCCGCTTTCCCGAGGTGTTCGATGTGTCGCCGGCCCAGAGCGCAGAGAGGGAGGCCTCCGAGGCTGAGGCTGCCAAGAACGAGGCAAACGCAATTAGAGACGTTGTGCGGCGACACCAGGATGATGTTCGAGATGTGGCTCGGGTTGAAGGAGCGGTTGAAACGGAGAGTGGTGAGCAATGACATTCTGCACAGTCCGTGTTAGCCGCTAAATTAACACATTGTCTGTTCAGTCGAGACTTTCCGGGATCCTAGACCACGGACTTTGAAGGGAAATTGCCATATCCCATCGCTGTTTCCTATTTATCTACCCTTAAGAGCGCAGCACAGCATTCTGGTCAAGGTACAAACCATTTTGGAACAGGCATGCTTTGAGTACGGGCAGCACGCCATGCCGGATGTTCTGCAAAAGAATCGATGGGATTGTCCTGAAGCAGCTGAGCTTAATCTCTGGGTAGCAGAATTCCTACAAAGCCAGAGTAAGTTTGCCGACAAGGAGGGCGAGGTTGGAAAGCCGCTTGAGAAGCTATTCCGCTCGGTGGCCGACATCCGACATACTGCCGTGCACCGCATCCGCATCAGCGGGAGGGGATTAGAGCAGTTTTTACTCGACGCCGAGACCCTAGCCACACTTTTGGGAGACGCGGTACAACTGGGGTTGCTGACGAAGCTTCGGCGAGACATGCATTTGGCGATCGAGGAGCTGGAACGCAACAAGCACGTCCTAAGCTTGAAACTCCAGGAGACGCTAAAGGAGATAGCCGCCAAGCGGGCTGAGCTAGACCGCGTCGAGGAGGCGGCCATTGCCGAGATGTTGAAAGAGGACGACGAGTACGGGGTGTTAGCTGGCACGAACCTGGAGCATGCCATCGTGGTCTCGGAAGCGACCGCTCTGACTGCTGCCGAAACGGAGAACAAGGCAAGTTCCGCGGATGACCTAGACAGTGTCGAAGACTATGGCGAATCTAGATGGCATGATATATGGAATCCTTGCAGAATCTAGCACCATGATATCGCCAAGTTCCACCTTGGAGGCTCCAAGCAAGCAGATTTGAGAGTTTTTGGCATGCATTACCTAAGGCACCCCAAGGCCGCCGAGTTTCTGAGAGCTTAGTATCGCACGTATTCCTTTCTCCCCTGACATTGTAGTATCAAACTTGGAGGCCTCCGCAACAGTTTAACAGACTAACTAACCTTGTAGCGTTCCGATGATTTGATTAATCTAACTCTCAACAGCATATCAAAGCCGGACGCTGTAGAGAGGGTGTTGTGAATTAGCAGATTGGAAACAAGGAAATTGGCTGGAAATTGGCGGTTTTATCGCCAGGATAATCTCTTAGGATCCATGGTTAATACAGTGACTCTTTGGGGTGGGGTAAAGGTTGCACTCCTTTGGAGTGAGGGAGTATTCATGCACGCTTCTTCTCCAAAACCTACATTATTCTACATTATTCTACATTAACAACGCTCTACCCACCATCTCCACCCAACTCTAGCTTGCTGCTCAGCATCATTTCGAACCCAAAATCGATGGCCTTCACATTATTCACTAGGCTGCCTCTCGAGCTCCGGCAGTGCATCTGGCAATTCTCCATGCCGGCCGACGAGCCCGAAGTATGCACGCCGGGACCTCAAAACCTACGAGTGCGCAAAGACGACGCCCCTGGGGAGCCCATGGTTGTCGACACGGCCTTCCCAGTGCTGATGCACATGTGCCGCGAGTGGCGCGACTACATCCTGCACCACAGCAAGGCGCGCTTCCGCTTTTCCGCCGCCGCGGGCTGCAGCGTGCCCTTCCGCCCATTCCAGCCCGAGCTGGACACCATGTATTGGACCGCGGAGGTGCAGCAGGCCATCTTCGCGCCTATGTATGGCAATGTCTTCGACGACTGGCTGCCGCAGGTGCAGAATCTGGCTCTCCCGGCGTCGACAGTCTTCAGTGGGCTGAACATAACCGACTGCATCATATCATTTGCCCAGAAGCTCCAGAGCGTCTCAGTGGTGTTTGCCGACTCGTCCGACGACAACTGGGTGCAGACGAAGTTCCAAGAACCGACGCGGCGGTGCAAGCTCCGACCTATCGAGGGCGATCGTGCTCGCAACATGACGGTTGTGCTCGACACCTGGGGTGGTGGTGACCCAGAGGACCGAGTGCCGTTGGAGGAGTTATTTTCCGTGTATCGCGAGGAACTTGACAGGAGCGGCACTAGTAGCATAGAATGGGCACAGAACTACGCCGGCCAAGCGTGGAGCATCGAGCTAGGATCCTTTGCGCCCTTGCGCTGCTTTTCCAGTACATTTCTCGAGTGGCGCGAAGGGGAATGGGTCGAGTTATGTGGTCAGACAAGGTTGCCGCGGGAAAATAAACCACCTTGGCTTCCATTGCCGGCCCCGTCGGAGTTGCCCTAACAGCAGGCAGACAGACACTTGGGAAGGATTCGAAGTCGGCCTGCTAGCAGGCAGGGATGCGCAGGTGGGTAGATGGAATGGACAGCAATGACTCTGTACCGATGGGGATTGCAACGGAGGGAGGAAGTGAATATGGAGAACATGAGCAAGAAGCTGCTGTGCTTAGTACGTCAATTGTTAGGGAATTAAAGAGCTGATTAGCCGGTTTCTCTGCAACATCAAATCGATTCCCCTGCCCCTATCACTATCACCATATAGCCTCTGATATCTTGTATACAGGGTATGGCCAAAATAGTACCACACCAGCTACAGGAACGTATCTACACAAATGGTGTTTAGAACGACTGCCAATGATCCTATCACAGAGGTCTCATGGTGGACTCACAGCTGCAGTGCTCGGCCAATGTGTCTCAACGGTTGTCCCCAGTCTGCGGGGGCGTGGTGGGCAGGGCGCCCACCGAAGGCCTGGCGGGCTCCTGTGGAGGCATACCGCTGTAGGGATAGATTTGGTGAAACCGACGTGGGGCTGGTAAGACGGCTGAGATGGCGGCTTCCGCGGAGCAACTGGTTACGCATTTTCTCTGGTAATTACCAAGCTATGGGACAGACGATGGCAGGCCCAAGAATCGCCTCGCTCAAAGACTGAAATAGAAGTCTGACAAGATGAGAGCAGTAATAAGATTCCAGAATCACATTGTGCAAAAAGTTAAACCACTTCTCCTTCTCTTATAGGACGCGAGTGGTGCCACTGCGGTGTCAGAGGCCGAATCAGAGGCCGAGTCAGAGGCCGAGTCAGAGGCCGGGAGAAACTAGTGACCGAAGCAAATCCCGGAGCAAATACCGGCATTGTCTGATGATTCCAGCCCATAGACCGGGATAGATAGGCAGTGTAACGGATGACTAAAAACATTCCATTGTTATTTTGTCTACCTGGGTATTTCCGCGGAGACGTCTTGTCTTGTGTGTACGAACAACTCCTACCCCGCAGTAACTGATGCGAGGCTAAGGTTATGTCGAGCGAGGCGACCACCTCTCACATAATTGGACACATTAGTCAGCCTCCTCCCCTCCCAAGTCCCACACATCGCGAAGGTGTAGGAAGAGGAAGTAGCCAACCTCTATCGGTCTGTCTAGCGCCGGATAAAGGTCGCGGAGCCCAGAGTTGTATTCCGTCCAACAATTCCCATGTTGAATGCCAAATGCTCGCCATCAATAATACTCATCATCCACACGACCTCGCTTTCTGCTGCCTGACTGAGATGCATCTCCTCCAACCTCGCTCTCTGCCAAAGGGGCTGTGACATTTATGCCGACCTTCAAGGCATGGGCTGTCACATCCATCTTTTTTATGAAGCACCACTTGGTGGCGTTCTTGACTGAATTCTTGATCTCTCGTCCGTTCAGTCGCCACGTCGCCAAATCGTCAAGATCTTTGTCGGACAGCATGACTCGCAGACCAGCCTGGAACAGAGTATCTTCATGAAGTTGGAGAAGGTTCTGCCATAGCCGTCTTCTGTTATCAAACGTCAAGCCTGAGTACTTCAAGTGGATGTCAAGACGAGAGATGAAGGCGTTGTCAAGCTCTTGCGGGAGGTTGGTAGTGAGAAAGATGATGCCGGTGTAGTATTCGAGCGACGAAAGCATGACTATTGTAGCAAGGTTCAGCAACTGAATCCCAAGTCAGCTCTTAAATCCTAGGAATCATCTTACCACAACTCAGGTCTCGTGCCGTCTGGCTAGGCTCTAACCTAGACCTAAGGAGAGCATCTGCCTCTACATTCTGTTAGGAAAGATCCAAAGGTAGAAGAAGGTGTGGTTACTTGCCGTCAAGAAGAATGATCGCATTCCACTCTGAGCAAAGGTCAAACGCCGTTCTCAAGGCTCTCTTCACTGACGACTGATCAGAGCCCAGTTCACCAGCATGCAGGTGATATAGGGGCTGCTGGGACTTGTCGGCAACTGCGACGATAAGCTTATGATCTGAAAAATGGAGAAGGTGTTGGTTTGGTCTTGCCTGCTTCGGCTGTGAGTGTTTTACCGGTTCCAGAGCTGCCACTCAGCAATGCCACCAGACCCTGACCTGTTGAGAGTCTTTGTCAGTAACCCTAAGTCGTCTTCGTCTTCATCATCAACTCCCTCGTCCGTGGCTTCGGTATACAGCCCTTGCTTCTTCAGAGGTTTGACTTCAATAGCCGATCCGGGGCCGAATTTCCCATACGCGAACGCGTCTATGATGACCCGCCCAGTGATCTAGGAAAACTTAGTCCTCCAGTGCTCATTTCTGAAGAGACCCGAGGTGCAAAAGTGCATAGCAGGACCACATGGTGTTCGGGGTATTCTAGTACTCACATTGATGGATGGCCTTCCAGCCCTTATATTTTCGCATGCACAGTTCTCGTCTTCATCGTCTTCATTGCCATATCCGTAATTGTCGAAGATATCGCCGGCAAGGCATTTTCGGGAGGTTCCGACGTGTTCTTGGTAAGACATGTTGTTGAATTCCAAGAGTCTGCGGCCGCGTTTCCCAAATCTCTGCTCGAGTTTGGCGGCATCCGGATGGAAACTGAGCGGGTAAACATTGAGGTTCGTAATGAGCCGAGTACCATGGAACTGATTCACTCGGAGTCGGGCCTTTGCTATCCCAAACCTTCTACCATCGAATCGTAGAAAGCGGCCGTGGATGGTTCATGCCGTTGGATCACGGTCGACAGAGTCAACGTGAAAGACATGGTCCTGCCCAGCGATGCAGCTGTAAACAATTATCCCACGGGGGAATATGGTCCAGAGGTGTGCGCAGTCGATCAGCTTCTTCTCGTGAAGCTCAGCAACCCTCGGAGAGGTCCGGTGGAACAGCTGCCCCATGACGTCAACCAGGAGCTTCAGGTGTTTCTTCTCTTGGCTTCCAGCAGCGTGGCTGTGGTACAACTGGACGATTTGGGGGTGAGCGAAGAACAGCTCCTTGAATGGGGTGTGGATGGTGAGTTTGTGTTTGCCGAGAGGCGTGCCCAGCATCCCACCCTTCTCCAAGATTGGCGCAATCTCATTGCGGATTACAGAGCTCTGTATCGTAATGTGTCGCGGATTGATCTCCTTAAGACCGCCGAGGGTGTCGGCCATGTGATCTTTGCCGTTGTAGATACAGATGGCCGCCCCGTCGTACTTTTCCTTTGCCACTTCGGGTACGAGATTAGGGAGCCTTTCGACCCAGTTCGTGCAGCATTTACACGCCGGAGGTCCTTCATAGAATGTCTGAACAGTTATTTCTTCCCCGACGGTTGGCTCATCCACCTTGATGTCGGGCATAGGAGGGATCGTGAAGAAATCGTATAGGTCATCTCCACCTGTACTGAAAGTGGATCCCATTCACCTTCTGGAGGCGCGACAGCCCAAGCATCGTTGAAGTCCGGCGTATCGGATGTATCAGCATCTGGAACAATACAGTATGTTGTCAATTATCGCCCCACGCGACTATGGATTCAGGAAGACTGCAGTCGCAAGTAAGACTCACCCATTGTGTTGTTCTCTTCAGCGATTTGGATTGGATGGTTCCCTGGCTTGTTTTTCAGTTGGCTTCGAAGCTCTTTAAAGCGGGGGGCGGGCGCAGGTTAATTATATGCGAATTAGATCGACCCGTGGTTCGCCTATGAGCCGCCTGTTTCTCCAAGCCAAACCGCAAGCCTCAGCTGAGCTTCGACCCCTGTTGTGCTAATATTGTTCAGCGTGGAGCCCTGTGTGGTTGCCTTGGCGGCAAACCCCCCCCCAGCGCCCCCCCCCTCCTGAATCAAACTAGCCCATAGGGTGACTTTCCAGCGTGATGTTCCAATTGGTATGTAAGATGGGCTACAAGGCGGTGCCTGCCTGCCTGTGCCAAAAAAAAAAAAAAAAAAAAAAAAAAAAAAAAAGTGAACCTGGCCTAGGCCAAGTCCTTGCAGAAGATGACATTTCAATTGAAGCAGTCTAATAATCGGAAAGTGTCTTGTTCCAAATCCTCCCCATCATATACAATATCATCTAGGCCATCTGGGTCCCATTGCCTTTCAATAAGGTTAGGTGTGGGATCAAACCGCTCCTCACTTGGCTTCAGGAGACGACCAGATTGGTCACGGTTGCAGCACACATGAAATTTATCGTGGTCTCGATGCTGATACAACGGAGACGGCTGGAAGGTGTCGCCATGATCTGTTTCCCCCATTGGATCCCACACGCGTCTATCAGCGACCAGACCCCCACGGGGAAAGCAAGATTCCATTGGGTAATACCCGTGCCGCGTCCGCCTGCGACATGGCAAGAACCGTTCCCATCCCTCAAGTCGATCTAGGCGATCAGTCCATCGGGCATTCTCAGTGGTCTGCCGAGCGAAGAAGTCTCCAAAGCCGTTGTCTTTGTTTTTGAGTGGCACATTGATCTTAGCGTCCCTGCCTAATAAACTGCCTGTTCTTGAAGCGCTCCAGGCACTCGACTGCCAGGGGCTGACCGTTGAGAAAGAAGGTGGTCTTCTTGCCCATCCGGGCCATGCGAGCATCACCCTTGGCGACGAGAATCTTCATGTCATTCTGCCTGATGTTTTTCTGCAGCCCCCACAGATTGAACTTGTTGAGATATTGGCGCCGGCTGCGAGACGGTCAATGGAGGAACTCGGATGACGACCGGCGTGACAGCTGCAGGGCGTCGGCCCACCTTGCTATGAATCCATCGCGGGCGAGGATAGCGACAATTTCGTCCACGCTCTTATCTTCATCGTGGTACAATGTGCTGATAGTCGCTCTGCGCAATTCCCATTCTTCATTCTTGTGGCGATAGCGGCGCTGCTTGGTGGTCGGAGCTGCTCGGGAAGGGGCCTGTGTCTCCTGGGAAGCCGGTGGTGGCCCCCCCTTTGCCGCCAGCGGTCGGAAGCGCTTCATGGCGGTTGAAGAACTGTCACAGATGACAGCAACATGAGTAACGCGAGGAAGTAGCAGCTGAAAAACTGTCACTGTATCGGCTTCAAGACGATAGAAACGATATGACGGCGGGAAAGGAAACAGAGAGAGAAAAAGAGAAAAAAAAAGGCGACTGGCAGATGGATGTGGCTGGTTATTCGGTCATCTCCCCCCCACACTCGCCCCCTCCTCCCCCGGTCACTACAGCCAATCAGCAAAAGTGCACACTAGACAGCTGCCAAATAAGTAGCCAGAACAAAGGTGCACTCCAAGCTTGCGAACCAGCCCAGTCAAAACGCCGCCGACGCCCCCCTTGGTTGCCTTAAGCATCGGCTGGTTCGGCAGCCCGCCCTCTGTCCCCCAAACCAGTAAAACTGAAGTGCAATGCATGCAAATGCAGGGGGTCATCAGTTGAACTTCATTGAGACAGGCCGAGACCCGCCACTGAAATACCCAATCGCATGGGCTAGCAAAAGTGCAGTACAATAGGTTTCAGTGTCATACCGTGCCAGGGCAATGAAGTTGGGCCCTGGCTGTCGGGGTTCGAAAGGGAAGATGTGGCAAACCAGGCCAAGGTGGCCCAATAGAGAGCTAGACCCCTAGGTTAGTCTCTGTTCCAAGTTAGCCAAGTGGAAGCAACGACGAACTGCCATAGCCTCCACAAATCAAAAGTCGTGGCAGAGTGTAGTGCACTTCTGTCTGTTTGCCCTCGCTGACGAGGTCAATATCAAAATGATGGCAGGGTAGAAAGCACCCTTCATACGTGTAAGCTGGCCAGGGCAGTGCGCCGCACCTATGTCTACCCGATTCTTGTCTGGATATAAATCGCTGCTCTTGGTACCTACCTAAACTTGAAATTTCACCTTGGATTCACTCGTCTTCTCAGCTTTCTGCCGCTTATACATACCTCTTCCAACCGCAACCTATCTAGTCTCCCGCGTCTTCAGATACTAGAAGTCGACCCACTTGGACTTGGACACACCCTTCACGAACCGACACTCCCGTTATCAACCGTCGACCAAGCCTTGAAGAGGAACCTGGGAGCCTCGCAGCAACACCAATAATGTGAGAGTCAAGAGTGGCCCTTGGCAACATGAATCTAGTGTTAACTGGACTAGGGACTGCACGAAGAACAACGACCTTCGAGGCGTTGGTAGCTGGGCCGTATCACAGGAACACGCTAACACCCATGCTGGCAAGAAGAGCTCCAAGCCCTCGAAGACCCATAGAGCTACGTCGGCCACTCGACCCGTTAATATCGACATCCCGCCAACTCTGTTGGCACGATGGGTCAGCAACGGGGAAGACGATCCTTGGAGCACAGTGGCATCTGGGGCCAAGTAAGGTAGGGATGAAAGCCTGGAGTGGAGACGGATGCATAGGTATCTTAGGTGCGTTGGGTGTCATGGAAGAGGTCGGCTTGTTATTTTGGCAGATAGTATTCTTGTTGCTAGAGATCTCCTGGCCGTGTCTTGGCATTATTTGAATACGACATCGTTCAGAACAACTTGATACCAGCAATTCCCTGGCGGCGGGCTTGTCGGGGAGCTTGTAGGCGACACGGTCGGCCTTCCAAATCCAGAAGGCGTCCATGTCAGGGCACTCATGCCTCTAGAGGCTATCGTCGCGTTAAACCAAGCCACAACAAAGTTGGCGGCATCCGTCGTATAATTAGCGAAGTAGCTACGGCCGACTGCCGAGTTGATCGCACTGTCGCAGAACACATTGAAAAAGGGGGAGAAGTTGCGGCACGTGCAAGGTCACGTGGAGAGAGAGAGTATCAAAGCCGGAACGGCTTTCAAGGTGACTTTGGGAAGGCATGCAAGCACGTACTTTTCCAATATACGGTCGGAGACCGCCCTCACTTCCTTACAGGGCCGCTGATCTTTATTGTGTTTGCTTTGTTGTTTTGCCCTGTTTCAACACCACTTGTATCGCACCAGGACCGCGTCAGGTTGGCGTACGGTTTGCAGGCTGCGGAGTTGTTCTAGGGGAAGCTCTGTATCATAATGTTGGATCAGCGTAGTCATCTTAACTCTAAATGGGCTAATCTGCGTGCATGCGAGCTTCTTGAATTATCCGCTTATGGCGTTCCACCTCTCTCCGACGTTGGCACATTATTTTTGTCGTAATTAGCTCCATGATGATTTGGTGGTGCGGATTGCCTTCCTGATTTAGACTTTTAGGTATGTATCTGGGGTAATACTCAAGCACCCACCTAGAATTAGCCTTCGTCTTTCGACAGTCGTCATCTGGGAACTTCTGCTTCGCAACGATGTAGTCGAAAAGCTGGCCCTTCGTGGAAAGCTCTTTTGTTAATGAGGTAGATATTGGCATCTTGGTTGACGTAGAGAAAGCAGGCTTGGAGGGCAAGAACTCATCAAAAGTGCAACGTCCTCACCAAGTTCCCAACACGGCAGCGATCCGAGGGAATATTATCTTGAGTTTCGACCGGACATCTTAGAATACACGGCACGCATCGACCGACACGACACCTTAAAAATACACGGCGCGCTTCGACCGATACGACACCTTAAAAATACAAGGCGCGCTTCGACCGACACGACACCTTAAAATTACTCGGTGCTCTTCGACCGACGTTTTGAAATCCACGGCGCCCAACTGGCTGGACGCTGTAGGTGACGTCGTCCTGTTCTTGCAACCTTATCTTCGGTAATTTCGCCGACCAGCTCGCCGTTAATTAATGTCCCGCTGGCTGGCAGGTTCCGAAAGCTTATCTGTCGTAGGTCTTTGATAGGCCAGGTATGTAGGGTATGGCCCATCCCATGATGTAGGATATCAGCCGGGAGTGCGGAGTGTATGTAGCACGAAGGCGGGGATCCAATCAGGTTGGAAAGGGATCGCTTGAAAAAGAAGGTGGTCTCAGGCTTAAATAACCTTCCCAATCTAGCTGATAGTAACACCAACTTCATGTCTGATAATATGGCACTTCTGCGTCTAACCCCGCGTTCTCCCCCGAAGGGTTGTGGGTATCTGGTTTATATCAACCCATTGGGGACGCTTGGCAGTTTTGCGAGTCCTAGGAATCCTTGTTCTTCTTGGCACCTCTTGACTTAACTAACCTAGCCAGCCAGCAACAACTCAGCATGGTTTCCTGGTTCCGCAAGCGCCCGGGGTCGCTAACGGTCGCCGAGGTTGCCGACTCGGGAGGCAATGCCGAGCCCGAGATTACACGAGCTACCGGCAGCGACACCGATTCGGCCCTGGAACAGCTGAAGAAGTTCAAGAAGACCCACCAATGGGATTTCAACTTGGACTATGACCAGATCGAACAGGTAAACAAGGCCGTCGACAGCGGCGATACGGAGAAGGGGGCAAGTGTCGAGCACACGTTGCTTGAAGAAGATTCTCCCTACTTTGAGGTTCGCACAGCCGTGCGCAATTACGACATGTACGCCAAGCAACCTGCTCCTTGATTGTCTGTCCATTTGCTGCCATTGCTCACATCGTCGCGTGTCAACCAACAGAGATGTGCCTGCGAATACCATCAGGGCGTGGGTTATTGGCATGTTTGCAACCACTGTCGTCTCGGCCGTGAACTTGCTCTTCTCCCTCCGCAATCCGTCCATCAACATCTACGTCTATGTCGTCCAACTTCTGGCCTACCCCGTTGGAGTTGGGTTGGCACGGGTAAGTTCCCTCTTAATTATTTCAGCGCTTGATAAAATCTGCGTGCCGATGGCATTTCTAACGTGTCTCTGCGTCTAGATCCTTCCCAACCACCAGTTCAATACCTTTGGCCTGAAGTGGAACCTCAACCCCGGTCCTTTCAACATCAAGGAACATGCCGTCATTGTCATGATGTCCAATGTCTCCATCCAGGGCGGTGTAGCGTACGCGACCGATGTTCTCCTCGCACAGGAGGTTTTCTACAAGCAGAAGTTCGGTTGGGGATTCCAGATGCTCCTGGTCATTACCACTCAGTGCTTGGGCTTCGGTATGGCCGGCATCGTCCGTCGTTTCTTGATCTGGCCCGCCGCCATGATCTGGCCCCAAACACTTGCCAACACAACGCTGATGTACACCCTCCACGACCACACGCCGTCGGACCCTGCCGAGACCAACGGCTGGAAAATTGGCAGGTACCGCTTCTTCCTATACGTCATGCTCGGAAGTTTCCTTTGGTACTGGTTCCCCGGCTGGATTGCCCAGGGCCTCAGTTACTTTGACTGGATCGTGTGGATCGCGCCCACGAACCTGATCATCAACCAGATCTTCGGGAACCAGACTGGCTTTGGCATCATCCCCATCACCTTCGACTGGACCCTGATGACTGCTTTCATCGGCAGCCCGCTGCCTTACCCCATGTTCGCCATCGTCAATACAACAATCGGCGTAATCATCTTCTTCTTGATAGCCGGGCTGGGTGTCAAGTACACGGGCACGTGGCACCAAGACTACCTCCCCATCTCGAGCACCTCGTCCTACGACAACACGGGCCACCGCTACAATGTCAGTCGCATCCTAACTGAGGACCTTCGTCTCGACGTCGACGCCTACAAAAAGTATTCGCCACTGTTCCTCGGCACTTTCTTCAGCCTCTGCTACGGTGTGTCGTTTGGAGCCCTGTCGGCAGTCATTGTCCACACAGTCCTCTTTCATGGCAGGGAGATCTACGAGCGCGCTCGCCTTGCAAGGAACCAGGACGCCGACGTCCATCTCAAGATGATGAAGAAGTACCGCGACACCCCCGATTGGTGGTACTATGTCTGGTTTGCTGTTCTGTTCGCACTTTCTCTCGTCACCGTCCTGTACTGGGACACCCATCTTACATGTGAGTTTGCACCGACGACCATCGTTTCTTGGCCGAGTTTCTTGGTAATTGTCAAACTGATAGCGCGCGCGCGTAGGGTGGGCCATGATCATCGCAATGATCCTCTCTATTGTCTTCCTGGTCCCGATCGGCATGGTTCAGGGTATCACCAACACTCAGTACGTCCGCGCCGTCTCGGAGAGACGCGCGTATTAGAGAGACCCTGGCCTTTCTCAGTGGCGCTAACCCGACCATAGACTTGGGCTGAACGTCTTGACCGAGTTCATGATCGGCTATATGCTTCCCGGCCGACCCATCGCCATGATGTTATTCAAGACTTATGTGAGCGCCAAAAAGAGCTAACTCTCCATGTACATCCCTTCAGACAGGAGGAGGTGGAATAATCTGACCTTGTCCTCGTAGGGATACATTACCATGGCCCAAGCCTTGTACTTCCTGCAAGACATGAAGCTCGGTCACTACCTCAAGGTGCCTGTAAGTGCATCCGGGCTTCAACGCTATGAATTACTCGATATCCGTGTGCCAATCTCACCTGATTTCTACAGCCTCGTGTAACCTTTATGTGCCAAGTGTCGGCATGCGTGTGGTCATGCATCGTCCAGGTCGCCGTTTTCAACTGGGCACTTGGCAGCATCGACAACGTCTGCAGCCCGGACCAGGTGGACGGCTACTCGTGCCCCGGCGCCGGTGTCTTTTACACTGCCTCTGGTACGTCGCATTTATCCTATCCCCCCATCCTCGTCTAACCAACCCTTCCTTTCTTGGGAGTTTTGCCCCTTGACCGGCCCCCGTGCTGATATTGGCATTAATTCCGTCTCGCAGTCGTGTGGGGTGTGGTCGGACCTGCCCGTATCTTCGGCGCTGGGGCCTTGTATGCTAAGCTACACTGGTTCTGGCTCGTTGGCGCAGCCACACCTGTCATCACCTACTTCGCGGCCAAGAGATGGCCCCGGAGTCCTATTCGGTATCTGCACTGGCCGGTTATTTTCGGCGGGAACGGGCAGATTCCGCCTGCGACTGTCTATATTTACCTCTGCTGTGAGTCAATACCCCTTTCACATTTGCTTCTCTTCTCTGTTATCTTCCCCATGCTAACAGGGGCTCGCTCGCCCATCTAGGGGGGGCCATCGGAATGTTCTTCAACGGCTTCATCAAGCGCAGATTCAAGGGCTGGTGGGGCAAGTACAACTACATCACCTCGGCTGGTCTCGACACGGGCCTGTACATCAGCACCTTGGTTATCTTCTTCGCTCTCATCCTACCCCAGAAGGTCAACCCTCCCCAGTGGTTCATGAACCCTCGCGCCGATGGGAACACCCAAGTCAACAATGCCTTCAACAACCTCGACTCTAACGGTGCTGCCATCAAGGCCACTGTGGCTCCTGGCGAGACCTTTGGCCCTTCGACTTGGTAGGGTTATTTCTCTCGACAGCAAGTGGGTGGGATTCATGATGGAGCTGCTGTACCTATGTGATGTGGCAGTGGATATCAGGTCAAAGTGTTCACTCCCAATGCGGTCAGATTGATTATGTGATAATTAATGTGCAATACTATGACACCCCGGCCCAACGAATGGCTAGAAATCCCAACGTGAAGAGTTAGAGACCTATGACCCTGCGCAATGACGAGGACCAGAGCCATTTCTTTTGCTATGGAGGACGCATCGAATTGGCACTGGAGCAGCCATGATGGTCCCGGCAATCTCTGCCGCCTCCCATATATATCGACTAGAAACCATGTTCCTTCATTTTGACCATTATTGGTTGATAGAAATGACCTTACAGATTGCAAGCTAATTAATTGCAGCTCAAAAACCCTTTCCTCGTCCAGTCCAAGCCGCTACGGACAGGCACGCTGAACGCCTTGTCACTGTCCACGAATGCGCCTCTCAACATCTCCCAGACGCTCAGCCCCCTCCTTGTATCCGACGCCTGCCCATCAAGTTCGGGGTTCCAAGTTCGCCAACCACCTGCCTGCGCTATCTTCCACCTCAGCACGACTGGTGGACTCACAAGACTCGGCTCGCCGGTACGACCGTCTTCTGTGTCACTGGTTAGGGGCGGCGGAGCGTTCGAACCAGAACGCAAAGTTCCTACCCTTTGCCCCAGCGCCTTCGACGCTTTGTCGGGAGCAAGCGTGTCGAGAGCAAGGTAGATGTAGCTGCTGTCCTCTGCCTTCTGGCCTCCTCCCCCATCCCTATAGCTCAAGCGCGGATTCCGCCGTGGCGACGATGTCGGGAAATAAATGGCTTCCCTTAGCGTCAGTATGGAATTCGCATCTTCGCAGTCGGTACCCTGCCCATTTGATGCTGGCCTCTGCGGCAAGCTGATTTTCAGGATTTTCGGATCGCATGTCAGCGGCGGCAGCGCGATGACCACCTCGGCGTCGCTCCAGTAGGTGAGAGCCAGCGGCAGCGGCATACCATCGAATGTGTACGTGCATCGTCGAGCCTGGCCCTCGCGCAGGAGCGTGTCGTCGCTGCCGCCCTCGTGATTGAAATTAAAGGTCGAGACTGTGACGCGTGCAGTTGTTGTGCTGGCTTTATCGGGGACGAAGGAGATGGAGAGGAAATGCAGGAAGGTGCCGCAGGCGGAGAAGCGAAGTTCTGAGGGTAAGCTATCAGTAATAATTATTACTCATCGGGGGGCGGGCGGTTGGGGGGTAGCCTGGGCGGATATTGGGTGTTGATCCTTGGACAGATAAATTACCTCGTAGACTCGCAAGCGGCGCCTCTTGGAGATCTGCTTGCTCAGGAAGATGTTTCTTCCTCTGGGTATGCTCGGCGGTGTTGATGACCTCTAGCTGGCGTGCGGTGTGGGAGACGACCACCAGGGGTAGCAGCGGATGCACGGCGCAAGTGACTCTAGACCAGACGCGAGGCTGACCACACCAGGCATGCCACACTGGGCGGCTGTTGAGTGGCACCACTATCAAGCAGTCGCTGACAAGTTCATCCGAATCGGATTCGTAATCCGTCTCGGATGGCGTCTCGTGAGCAGCCTCGGCTTTGGTGTCACTGAGCGACTTCGTCGACTCTGCGTCTGGCTCTGTGTCAGAGTCCGAGTCATCGTCACTTTCATCCTCGGATTCCGACGAGTGCGAGTCGTCCTTGTCATCCTCTCTGTCCTCCCCTTGGGACTGGCAGACACCGGTCTGCAGGACGGGTTTATACTTCTGCCAGGTTGCGTGTAATATCCGCATAGACGAATCCCTGCTCGTGTCAGGTCCGACATCCTGGGTAGACACAACTTCCCAAGTTCCTCTCCTACCGACATTCTCCTTAGAAAACGGGATTGGTGGGTTGTGCTCTTCGCTATGATCCTGCATCGTCAGTCTCACGCCTAGAGTCTCTGGATTTATCCTCAGTACTTGGACAGAGTCTGGGCTCTTGGTCCGCTGGGCGATAAATATTGTCCCACCAGCTTCGTCGCCTCGAATAATCGGTAACCTATGCGTGCTTGACGTCGGGTTCTTTTTGGAGAAAAGCGGTATCCGCATCCTCTTGAACTGCCCGACGTTGCCGCCGCTCTCGTCCCCCCGACATAGCACGTCGGCCCAAAGCGTCCTTCCGACAAACGTGGTATCGACTAGACGCACATCGGCGAAGGAAGAAATACCGTCAATCGATTCTTCAAGTTGTGCAACCCTCACCACCTTGGATTTTTCAAGCGGGATAAGGTGGCAGCTCGCATCGAAGTGCCTCAGCGGAAGGCACAGCTCGAGACCTGCAGGGCTCGTGGTCAGGACCTCTCGCCACTCATTCACGAAGCAGCAGAGTGACCGGTCTAGCAGCATGCCCTCTTCCGAGCAACAATCTAGCCAAGTCGGAAGAGGGAGGCCGGAGAAGTCCTCGTCGCGCCACTGCAAGCCCCTAACGCCCATCGTGTACGATCCACCTCCCCGGCGTGCGAATCGGCCAAACAGGTAAGGCACGACACGGGACTGGACAGCGATACACGTCCAAAACGCGGGACTCTTGAGGAATGCCCTGACCATCTCGGTTATGGGCGGAGACGGGCGGATATCCATCAGATGTTGGGCCCAGAAGGTGGCCGCGTACGGCAGGAAGGCGTGGTTCCGGGGCGTCGGCACTTGAGCGAGGATGGAAGGGAGATCCAACCCAGGCTTCTGGTATCGCTCGTACTGCAGGTAGGTGAGGCAGTCGAGCCCGAGCTCTTGGTTTGCGCTGTCTTGCGTCACGAAGTACTTGCGCAGGTGCTGACGGCCTTCTGCGCTGATGCTGTCTTGGTCCTGCATGAAGAAGTCCTCCACTGTTTTGTGGCAAAGCTTGAGGCGTGGGTTGTCCAGATTGGATTCTTGGTTCGGCCTATCGAAGACGACGAGGGGACTGCAGAGGTCTTCGATGACCCCGGCCGAGGAAACCCGTGAAGCTTTATGGTCCTTGGCTCCCCGGCGGACGGCCAATGCTTCCAGCAACTCGTTGAGGGAGACAGACTGAGCCGCTGCTATCAGGATCAGGAATGTGCGTCTAATTAGTATTCCATGTTAGCATATCTGAGAGGTGCCAGGTGATTGGAACCAGTAGCTAATTGGCTAGACAAAGCGTAAAAAAATCATACCGGGCGAGTTCCTGCTCCTCCTCAGTTTTCTCGGAGAGCTTTTCGAGCGACCGCATGTAGTAGCCGTTCAAGTCCTTGGGAAACTTGCGCAGGGCCATGTCGATTTCCTCTTCGCAAGTGAGCCCCTCACCGCGTAGGGTCTCACAGACTAGCCTTGCGTATAAAAAGTTGTCCTCGTCTTCTGTCCAGTTGTCGACACAGTCGTGGCAGGTGATATGGCTTGAGAAATACGCGTGGATGTCCTTTGAGATGAAGCTTCGCTCTGGCTGGATTTCTACGGCGTTGAGCCCCTCCATGACAGATCGTATGCTTGTGTGGTTGCGACTAGTAAAGAGCCACTTGACTGTGCCGTAAGTCGGCATCTGGATGAGGTGTTCTAGACTGAGCAGGATTGTGCTCTCCTGGATGCACTCGTCGAGGCCGTCAACAACAATATAGACGTGCTCGCATTGCGTGGCGAGCTCGTGAACAGCGTGTATGGCATCGTGAAGAGCGTTGAGGGTGATGGCGTGGTTCTTCATCTCGGTCTGGTACATGTCCACCAGCTTATCTGGCAGGGTCGTGACCAGCGTCAATAGCTGCAGGGCCAAGGAGCGCAGACCGTTTATTCCGTGCCTCCGTACGGAGTCGCTGAAGGAGTAGAAGAAGTACACCACCTTCTCGCCCCGCTTGACAAGGTGGTCTACTATCGTGGCTGCAAACACGCTCTTTCCAGAGCCTGGGGGTGCGTTGTACCACAGCGCTGCATTCTCGGTGGCATCCCGCCAGTCCCTGAACCGTTGGTCCTCAAACATCCATTGGCACGTGCCCTCGTGGCGACGGTCAAGCTGGTCTTTCAGGTCGATTCGCGCGTCGACATGCTTGTCGCCCATGATCCACTTGACGATGGCACCTCTTTGAGCGGCCTCCCTGTCCTGCCGTGTCTGCTGCGCCGCCGTCGCCTGCGCAAGGGTCAGCACCTTGATGCTGTCCCGCCTCAAGCCGTCAAGTGCAGTCTTGATGTCCTTGTCCAGGGGCTTCGCGACGCTCTTCAAAACCGTCTTGAACATGTTCTGCGACAGCGTGTGAGAAACGTCGTACCAAAACTTGAGAATCTGCTTGTACGAGCTGGCGAGCAGGTCCTGCATGTCCGCGGACGAGTCGTGTGCCTCGGCGAACTTCCCGTAGCACTTGAGGCTGACCCCGATCTCGTCCAAAGCATCCACCACGGCCTCGAGGTAGTTGTTCATCTTGATGGCGAGCTCCAGGACGATGCGGGCGCCCGAAAACGCCACGCTCACGCCAAACGGTGCTGCTTGTGCGAGATTTTCACACGCCATCATGAGCTTCTGAAGACCATCGATGAAGGGGCCGACGCGCGTGAGCATCTGGTGGCTGCGTCCAGTCCGCTTTTGAGCCTGGAGTCGGCTCACGAAATCCCTCAGTTCCGCCGCCGAAACTTGGCTCTGTGTCGCGCCGCTGCCCGCCTGCACCAAATGTTGGTTGTGAAGTTCTCTCACGAAAGGGTTCTTCGCATCGTCCCTCTTTTTTAGTTCCGCCAGAAACTCAACGGCTGCTCTTGAGAAGGGGCTAGCTTTTGATGCGTCATTGTTCACGAGCGTCGCCGTACTCGAAACGGCCGGAGAGTCCGTGATTAGGAATGGCGCCATGGCCGCGATCACGCGATGCCAAGAAGTCGAGAGAGTTGCGATTTACCAATCTGTCGCTAGGCTGCTCGCGCTTTGCACTGGGGCATCGTGGAGCCAGATCGGTGGAGGTTTGTTTGGAGTCTGTCAGCCTAACCCCCCCAAAAACCTGGGGCTTGGTCAGTCAGACGCAACGCCATGTAACATTGCTGGCATGGCATGGCCGACCAAAGCAGCCAATCGTGTTCGCGCCTCGGGAATTTACCATCCTTCTAAAATGGGCTATGCCTTTACGAGATGCTGACAGACATAGCATCCAAGCCGCCACTTCCGGTCCAGGCTGGTCCAATCATCACGCAGTGTGGATGCATTTGCGCCTTGCCGTTTTGTGCCCCAGCCACCCAACCGAAGGATCCCAGCCCTGCTACTGAGGGAGCGGGGCGATCCGCCGACATGGAAGGGATGGGAGAAAACGAAAACAGTTGCACCCACTAATTACAGCCCAAGAACAAATTTTACATTGCGAGGAAATCCCATACCAATACGGTCTGATCCTTTAGTGAGTCGGCCACCATGTCGACTTTGGATCCAGATACCGGCTCCCGATGCGAGTTCAAGACGTATCATACAGTACCCAAGAAGGATGGGAAGCTCGCAACAGAGACCCTCATCGAGCCCTTCGGCAAGGTGCGGGTCACCGACGACGACGCTCCCTATGCCCTCGTCGTTAAGCGTACCTTCACCAAAAAGTACGACCTCAAGTCTGTGACGCTCACTGTCAACTCTGCGCACATCCTCAGAGCTTTCCGTGACGTTATCGGGGACAAGTACCCCGCCGTGGCAGCGGACTTTACCACTCCCTTCACCCTCCAGAGTCCGTTCCAGATGTTCATGCACTACTGGGACAAGCTGGAACAGCATCGCAAAGAGACAACAGACAACTCGGTTCGCCAACACCTGAACCTGCTGCTGGAATTCATGCGCAACGAGATCGGCGCCGACCGGGACACTGTCATGACTATGATTCAGAAGAATCAGATCACGTATTCGCGCGCATGGGTCCTCTTCAGGCCCGGCGACCTGCAATACACCACCGTGATGGGCCACCCGTGGCTCCTGCGCTGCGACAAGACGGCCTACGAGACCAGTACCACCGCCGGGCCGTACATGGAGGTGCACTGCACGTACACCGACCACGACGGCAAGCTAGCAGGCCAGGCAAGCCACGTAATCCGCATCTACCAGAAGCGCAGCTTCGGCGGGGAGAACCCGGCCTTCATCACCGACCTACCCATCTACCCGAGACGCTTCGTCAAAGGCGCAGACGACCTCGAGGCGACGCTAGAAATCCGCGGCCGCAAGTTCCTCGACCACAGAGGCGTCTCGGTCGAGGCGTACGATGGCCTCGCGCAGTTCCTCAAGGAGCCTCCGTACTCGTTCTACCACCCTGAAATGGCCGACTTTGAAAGTGTCTGGCTGCCGTTCAGCGAGACCGGAAGGATCGTCCTGGACAGGAAGTCCTTCCAGGAGGACCAATACTCCAGTGGGGTAGAGGTCAAGGTCGCAGAGCAGGAGCCCCTGTTGTGTCCCCCGTATGCGCTAGGGTATTCGCTGAGTCGCAAGGACTGGTGTCGCTTTTTCGTCGACGGCATCAGGAAAATTGAGTGGGAGCACGACATATGGGATTCGCTAATCCTGAACGAGGAGGAGAAGTTGGTCTTGCAGGCCCTGGTGACCTGTCACCACTTCCCCGAAAATGCACGAGATCAACCGGAGCAAAAGGGAAAAGGCTTGGTGATCCTCCTCCACGGAACACCTGGCTCGGGTAAGTCACATTGCTCCTGCGCCAATGGAAGTCGTTGGGTTTCTGCTAGGACTGGTTCGCTGGGACTTGAGAAAATACTGTTTTCTTGCGAACCGTACTTCGTTGATAGGGCGCTAATCAACTCTCGATAATGTAGGCAAGACTCTGACAGCCGAAACGGCAGCAGAAGGGTCACAGAAGGCCCTCATCTCAACCTCTCTCGCAGAACTGAACAAGGATCGCTCGTAAGTACAGCAGCACCTCGTCGTCAGATGCCATCAGCCAAACCAAACCCGCCTCCCGCAAGGAATAATTAATTAGACACATACTGACATGAAACGCCTCAAATTTCAGCCCCTGGATGTTCGAGTACAATCTAAAGCGCATCCTGCAGTACGCCACCCTGTGGAAGGCTATCGTCCTGCTCGACGAGGCCGACGTCTTCCTCGAGGCTCGCAACCCCACCGCCGACGGGAGCAGCAACCGAAACTCGCTCGTGGCAATCTTCTTGAAGGAGCTCGAGTACTTCTCCGGCATCGTCTTCCTGACAACCAACCGGCTCGCGTCGCTCGACCCGGCCATGAAGTCCCGCATCCACCTAGCCCTGGGGTACGCGCCCCCAGACCTGGACAGTCGACGACGGATCTGGACCCGCTATCTGTCGAGCGTCCCCGAAGATGAGACGGACATTGACGACGTGGACGACACGGTCGACTTCCTTGTGAGGGAGAAGTTGAACGGGAGGGAGATCTCTAACGCGGTGAACACGGCGCGCACAATCGCGAGGTTCCGGAAGGAGAAGCTGCAGTTGGCTCATGTCGAGAGCGTGCTTAGAGTGAGGCATGAATTCGACAGGAGCCTGCGGGACGAGGCTAGGCGGTTGACATCCTCAGCAACAGGCAGCGGCGGCCTGCTGAAGCGGGATTCCATTGTGACGGCTGAACCTGAATACAAGTCTTGACTAAAGGGGGTTGTTAGGGTGTTTAGCTGTAGACCTCTTGCGCCACGAAGATAGACATAGCTTTCATCATATGCTTTATGGCTTGCCCTATGGGTAGCGCTAGGCACAGGCTTGTCTGTATTAGACTGCTGTAATTAAAATTCGCTTCACCATGCAGCTCTCTGCGCCGCAACTCGATAACTGACTGTCAACCAAGATAACAAATGGTTAAGCCTGACTAGGTTGCTGCTGTGGATGATTACTGCCAAGCGCTTGAACCACAGTATCGTCATCACTATTGCAATTGTCGCTTGGGAGTCTGCACGCTTCCGACGATGGCAGCCACGACTTCGGCAGCACGATGGTGATGAATAAGTAGCAGTAGTAGTAGAAGCAGTAGTAGTAGAAGCAGTAGTAGACGAGCCGACAGCACATCTCAATCCATCTAACACTAACCTTACTCGCAGACTCAAGCACGCTTCTACACGCTAAATCATGGCGATCAAATACAGAGGGAAAGCATCACGAACGACATCATGTTAGGGCTTCTCATCCAGGCCAGCCTCGAAAGGGTCATCCATGGTCAAGAGTCCCCGAGCGGTCTCGTTTCGCTTCCATGGCATCAATTAGCGGCGGCGATTTCGGGAGGTGCAAGTGATGATATATTTCAAGGACGAGATGGAAGCCCAGGAGCGGCCTTGGCAGTCCGAGCTGCTGCTTATATAGTACTAGAAATAGTAGTCAAAGTACTGATGTACCACATATCCTCCATGCACCGCGCTAGCGCGAGTCTCAACCAAGCCTCGTCGTCGTTCATCCCCAGCACATTGAAAGGCGCCCCGGGAAGGTCAAGCTCTTGCACAGCCAACAGCTTCGGCGCCGCGGCGGGTCCATCGGGGGTGCACCGATTTAGAGCACCCGGTCAGACCTTTGCTGACAATAACCACGCTTACAGCCCTCGCAAAGTTCACGCTCATGTGGTGGGCCTTCTTTCTTGTTGTAGGGCTGCACCTCCATCCAAACACCTCCCCATTTGTTCAGCCGATATGCCACTCGTTCGACGTACGAGTTCTTGTCAAGTGTCAAGGTGCCCAGCTTGTTGCAGGACCTGCAGCGTTGGTTGAATACGACTGCGTGATACCCATTGTCGGGATATCCCTTGATAAGTATTGCCACCGTCTTGCTGCTCCAGCCACGCGTGGAGCAGCCATCGTTGTCGCATCTGAACGCGCCCATCACATTCGTCGAGTATTCGTTGTTGGCGTCTTTCTTGGTGCCTTTGTTGTTGAACCACGTCGAGCCGATTTCATCAGAGACTGCCTTTGAGACGTCCCGATGAAGCCACGGAAACGTATAGGAGGCCCTCGGCTCTTGCTTGGGCTTTTGCTTGGGCTTGTTCTTTCTCGCCATTTTCGATAGGGGGTGCAACTGTCGTTCCCGAAGCTGGCGATGCGTGTTCGAGGTCAAGCAGGTTGGGCGAGTCAAGCAGAGCGACGAGCGGTGCGGCGCTGTGCGCAGGTTTGGCCTTGTGGTGACGCGGGACGCTCATCTCAGTCTCGTCGCGGTACCCAATGTGATGCCTAAATCACGAGATCTCCAGGTTAGCCAATTGGGACAGACGCAGGTTGTGGAACTTGTGGCTTGCTATCGACGGTCCAATCATGTAATCCTTCTTCTAGATTCATGGATAAGTGTGGCTTCGGAAATTACCCTATCCGACAACTGTCCCAAGTGTGATGTCTATCGAGTCGATTGCCCTCCTGGTATGTCAGTGGTCACTGATTCTAGTTCTTACACAGGAAGAGGCAGCCTTCGACCCTGTGATACAGCTCTCAGGAACTCGTGCTCTTGGGATCCCAATCACCATTTCCGCCCAAAGTCTCGACCACGACGGCGACTTTGACCGTCACGGGTGGCGAGACCGCTCTGTCTTACTTGTTGATATGCGTCGTGTGCCCGTGATGCTTCATTTAACTCCTGAGCTGCCACATTTCGATTCTGATAAGTCGTCTTATAAGTGTTCTGGGTCTTGGTGATCCGCGCGAACAGTTTAGCCTTCGTTGACGCTATGTCCTCATCATCCTTCCTTAGGATTCTGCTCAACCTGTCCTTGAAACATTGATGGGCTAGTTCGACTTTCTAGGGATCCTCTAGGACGCGGCTAGTTGTCCACTCCGTTAGTGTCGAATTCCTTCAGCAGGTAATGAATAATTGGACAGTGGTAGAACATTGGGCAGTCGCCTACAGATGGTCTTCAACCTCCCCGTTCTTCTCGAACTCAACACGCTCATTGGAGTCCGCTGTGGGCTCATTATTGTCCGTTGCAGACTTGTTGGTGTCCGTCATTGGACTGCAGGTCTCCATCGTGATCTCCACGTCAACAGTCTCCATTACTGGCAGCAATGAGATCTCGGTCTTCTTTGGTGGCTAAAGCAAATCAACTGAGGCCTCTTTTTGGGCAGTTTAACGTCGGATCTCTAGGTACTGATCCGAATTATCTCATTCCCAATGACGGCCAGTCTTTGATACAAGCCAGTTGTCACTAGATACAAGCCAGTTGTCACTAGAGACAACGCGAGGTTTCGCTGTGAATCCTTCAAATCCGGGGAGACACTATCCCTCCCGACTCGAGAGTGTTAAGCACTCTTCAACGAAGGACTAGAAGAACACTATAATTGGGCGCGACGAAGCACACTCGTCCTGCCAAAATGCTGGTGCCAACCACTGATTCTCGCCAGACCTATCAGCGGTGGCCAAGGGTGTTCAGCTGAGAAGAAACATGTGTTTGATGGAAGCTAATGATTCTGGTTGGAGTTATCAGTGGCGGCGAAGCGCTTTCAGCTCCGGACATCCGTGTGTGCCATCATCCCGTTGATTCATGGCCTTGACCGCAGCTATTTGTCTACAAAACTCATCACAAGCTCTGAGCGCATTGCCATTGGACATACTTCCGTGGGGGTTGCGTTTTACAACGCGGGGGCCAACGGTGATTCGCGAACAATTTGCAATATTATCTGCAGCCTCCCACTTTTCCTACACCGGCCGAACTCTTTTCTATACCGACTGATGGAACCCGCGAATTCTAATCCTGCATTCTATGCGATCCATTCTGACTGACAATTAGATTGCTCTGTGTTACGTCGGTTGTTAGCCAAGCAACACGCGGGATGTAGGAGCTGTGTTGAGACAAAGCAGAAACCCTGCCATTAAAGCATGGTAAGGCGCTTGAGCCACTCGCAAGCTCGCAGCCCCTGCTCCAACCCCCTGCTCTAGCTAAATACGTCACCGAGCGCATAGTACTACGCAGTACATACACCTCCTCCAGGATTTTAAACGTTGGCGCGAGTACCTGGTAGGGCCATATTGCCACCGCCTTCTAAAATTGTATATCACCCCTTACTAACGTTTGAAATCCTAGAGGAGGTGTACACCTCTACCAGGGTTTCAAGTGTTAATGCGAGTAACCTATGTAGTGGGGCCATACAGGCACTAGTACTATTTTTAGTAGTACGTTGGTAAAACTAGAAGCAACCTAGTGCGAAAGACATTCTGTAGATTCTGACTGGAATAAATCACGTGAGTTTCACGACGTTTCATTTCTTTTAATTATAACAAACATCTGCTTTACTTCCGTAGGTAGGTAGGAAGACGATAAAGAGAATGATAGAGAGCGTAAGAAAGGTATTCCCAAGAATAATAGAGAGCGTAAAGAAAGGTATCCCCGAGAATGATAGAGAGCGTAAGAAAGGTATCCCCGAGAATGATAGAGAGCGTAAGAAAGGTATTCCCGAGAATGATAGAGAGCGTAAGAAAGGTATCCCCTGCTCCGCAGAGCATGACAAAGGGTGTTCAACATGATCGATTACTTGCAGCAGTTTGACCCCTCATAGCAGTAAAGCATGCAGCCAATAAAACCCCCAGTGTCGTGGATGTTCGCTGCCGAATGGAGATAGACATTAGCATTTGCACACAGGTTAAACTTGATCAAACCCACAGCAGGTAGCATTGCACTGGATGCACGTGTCCTTGCCATGATATAGACAGCCGCTGATAGCCCTCTCCTTGAGCTGGCCGGCAGCCATGTTGTTGAAGCTCGCTTTGGCGCCAGGGAACAGTTTTTCCACCTCATCAATTTTAGGGAAGGGGTGGTCTGCCTTCGGAGCAGCCATTGCAACGGAGGCGAAGGCGGCAAGGGCGAGGACAACAGCGTTGAACTGCATAGTGGTTGATGTTGGGTGGATTTGTTGGTGGATTTGTAAAGATGAGTGTTTTGAGAGAGAGTTATCTTCGTGCTTGAGCTGTTTAAATGTAAAGCTTGTTGGGTTGAGGAGTAATAGGTGGGAAAAGAGAGAGATCTTGCTGCCCCTTTATACTGGAGGATCTTGCCAGTCTGAAGAAACTTCGCTTGACACAGTGTTTCTGTATCGTTCTATGATTATGCCTGCTCTATACACCTTGTTAGGTATGCCTTTGTAGGTTGTACAGGGCGGGCGAGGAGTTGGTTGGCTAGGGCAGCCTGAATCCTGCAATCCTTCCGAAGCCCAACAGCAGATACGAGGCTATGATGTGGTATCAAACCACCACTAGCGGGCCGTGCCTATCTTTTCCAGCCCGTGTGTCAGGCGTTACAAGCCGTATAGCCTCACATGGGACATCATAGCCCGGAGGATGCGCTCTGAAGGTTGCGCCATACACGGCATGATTGGACTCCAGGAGTTGGCAACCGCCGGTTTGGGGACACAGCCCATGCAGCGTGTGTGGTATGCTCATAACGGTGAATATAGTATAGCAACACCACCGGCTACCACGCTGCCAAACCGATATGGTAATGGATTTAAAGGCTTCGCGGCCCTCAATCCCGGCATCGCTATTTCCGATGCAGCCAAGAGCGAGGGCGGAGCTGATCAAGCAACTGTTAATTACCTGCCGCTTTGGAGTTGAGATAGACGAATGGGGAGATTACTGTAAGAATCTTGGGGGAGTTGCATAGGTTGGAGCGAATAGCGGAATCTTACAATATAAGGCGCAGGGCGCGAAGGTTTCGGTACATGGTGCCGAAACTGCTGAATCTTTTGGTTCATTGTGACTCAGTCGATTCGCACGCTGGTTCTTACAATTGTTTCGGCACCACGTGAGTCTACTGGTGTGCGGGGTTTGAGTCGCCAAGGGCGCTTGAATTGCCAATGTGGTTTTTTCCAGCCCCGCATTCAATTGCCGTGAGGAAGTCATGCCGAGAGGCTTTGAACTTGGCAGGATCTTACAATACAAGGCGCGGAGCGCGAAGGTTTTGGTACAGGGTGCCGAAACTGCTGAATCTTTTGGTTTATTGTGACTTAGTCGATTCGCGCGCTAGTTCTTACAGTTATGTGGTGTGAGGGAATCAGGTTGATCAATTTGACTAGCCAAATCTGGGCTTTATTGAATACAAGAAGGATCTATTGAAGAAGGAAAAGAAGGAAGAGGTGCAGCGCGCTTCTTACGCTTTTTTATGGATCCCAATCCGTAAGCGACGGTGCCGCGAAGGGGCCGGGTCTCGGCGGTCCTCGCGGTGGATTGATTTTCCACCCTCCATTCGGTTCCAAGCGGTCTTCGGTTGCCGGGGGTCCCTGACCGAGGTGGTCCCCTAGACCGAGGTCCCCACACGGGTGTAACCTGTCACATATGCAGGAAGATATTACCAGGGTAAATAATGCTCTAAATACCTCTCAGCGATGTGAAATTAGCCGCCTTGACTGCGTGTGGTTTTCAGCTGTCGTGCATCCGCCTCAAAGACAGCGTGCTAGCTAATTAGATAAGACGCCTCTAATATTGCACCTAGGTCCAGCTGCTAGGTTATTAGCAAGACAGTAGGGACTTGTGAGAGGGGTGCGATCTAACCTTTTGTTGATAATCCCTTTTTGGTAAAAAAAAAAAGAAGAAAAAAAAAAACCAACATGCTAGTGCCTTAACAACAGGCATGGCATGGGTTCCGAGTCTAACCAAATCAACTGCATCCCACAACTCTTAGATACCGTCGTTGCGGAAAGCGAATTCATATTGAGATTTGGGGAGGCTGGCTGCTACTATCTCATAATGTGGGGGGGAAAAAAAAGAAACAAAGGATATACTTGACGAAGAGGCGCCGCAAATTAAAGGCATGATGGGACAACACCGCCTCTCTGTGGTCGATGACATGTTCAATTTGCGTTCTGAAGGATCAGCACGGGACGCCGCCAAGCTCAGGGATGAAAATAATTATTTTCCTGATCCTCGCTTAGGCGATCTGAAATAGACGGACAACCCAATCACGTCAAGGACCAATCTGCATGGTCTTATTCAACGCCCCGTCATCCTTCCTAACTAACCGAAATCTAGATTCATCCCTGCCTGTTTAACAGACGAACAAGCCAATGGCGATGGTTGTTATCACGACGTTGTTAGTTTTTGGTTAACGTTGATAGTAACGTGTGCGACCCTCTTGAATTCAGACGGTGGTTTGAAGTCCAAGGGGGAACATAGGTTTCTATATATCGTAACAGTCCCGTTCTACACATATACTAGACCCTGACAGTTTGTTTCTTTTGGGGCCATGCGTCTCTCCCATATCCTCGCCTCCACGGCAACCATGGCCGCCGTTGCCTCAGGGGAGGTTTTGCAGCTACACCGTCGGGAAGGCGGGCCGAACCCTGCGCAATGACAGGCACCGAGTACGGCCTGATCTACGACGTCGAAGTCCAGTTCGGCAACCAGTCATTCATCCTACTGGCAGACACCGGGAGCAGCGACACATGGGTTGTCCGTGCCGGCTTCCGCTGCATCGACAAGGCCGACAGCTCGGAGCTGAAGCCCGAAGACTGCCAGTACGGCACCACCTACGACCCACCCGACAACCTCGCTCCCGTGGACAACCAGACATTCAGTTTGCAGTACGGCACCGGCATTGCCATGGGCGTTGTCGGCTTCAAGGACGTCACCCTAGCCAGCATCACGGTGCACAACCAGACCGTCGGCGTCGTCGACAGCACCACGGACGTCGGCGACGGCCTTATCAGCGGCATCCCGGGATTGGGCTACCCGCCCCTGACGTCGGCACACCCAGGCACCAACTACCCCAACGACTCACTGCTGCTCGACCGCGCGCGCTACGACCTGCTTGTCACCACCATGCTCAAGCGCGGCCTCGTCGAGCCGTGATTCAGCCTAGCCGTCGAGCGGCTCGACGCCGACGCCGCCACGGCAGCTAACACGACGTCGTTCCAGGCCGTCGTCGACAGCGGCAACCTGTGGAACATGGTTCCTCTCTAGGTGGCCGCCTCGATCAAAGCGGCGTTCGAACCCCCTGGCGAGTTTGACAAGGCAAGCTAGACGTACAATGTGGGGTGCAATGCGCAGACGCTGAGGGGTTGGCCTACCCCCAAATACAGCAACGAATACAGGCTATGCTTATAGAAAACGCTATATAATTTGAAATAGCGCTAGTAAAGACAGGGGGCAAAGCTTGTAGAAAAACAGAAGACAAAGCTTGTAGACATTTTTAGCAGTAAAATTGACAAAATCGGTATGCGTATAAAGCTTAAATGTAGGCAAAATCTTTAGTGTTATTTTTAAGTTGGTAAAATGCTTATAGGTAGAAAAGGCTGTAGGTTTTGTTTGTTAGCATTACCTAAGCTAATATAGCATTATAAAATGCTAACAATACATTAGCCTGTTGTTTAAGGTAAATAAAAGTAAATAGTAGTATAAAACTATAGTTATAGCTATTTAATAGTTAACTAAAATGTATATCTAAATTACTATAAAGCTATTTGTTTGTTTGCTTAAATACTTGTTTCTAATATGCAAGTATAGAATTAAATGCATAGCAAGCAAAGTTATTAGTTATTTGCAAGCAAAGTATAAGTTTATTAAGCCTAGCAAATAGTTAAAGATTGTAAAATTGATAAGCTAAATCTTAGACATTGAGAAGGAGAGACACAAAACTACCTACCTACTTACCTCTCAACGTAGTTTACTGCTGCTAAGGCGTAGGCCTTAACAGCAGTAGCTACGTGATTAGCTAGCAGGCAGATAGAATCGTGCTTTTTCCTTACTATAACGAGTCGCAAGACCCAGGTTGGCAGCAAGACAGAGGCACACAGGTGATCAGTCCGACTAACTTATACAAGGTAGCTAATTGGCACAGGTTCCAAGAGAGAAGGCAGTCGCGACAGTATCGCTAGTAAATCAGGTAGAAAACTGTCTCAAGTAGCTTCTCAGCCAGAACGTATATTAAAGCCTGCCCTCATAAACCTTCAGGCAGGTCCATCACAGTCTTTAACTCAGGGCTGCCCAGCAGTCCCTACGCAAGCCTCCCGCAAGAACCCCGTAAAACCGTCAGCCAGGCCAGCTAGACCTTCCTACCCCGCAAGGTAGGACTATACTAATTACAAAGCCTTCCAATTGAAGGCCACGCTCGCGCTAATCACTCAAAGCCACTTTATGTGGCAGACCAAGCCACCTCAGCCACTAGGCTTTCCCAGGCCCCGCGCGTGAGGGCAGAGGCAATATTGACCTAGGCCTTCAAGGCATAACAACTATCCTCCCTCCAAGGAAACGTCTGCGTCCTCAGCGCCCTACCCAATTACTCGCCAGTAAGTAGGCGCCTTCTGCCTAACTAGCTAGCGCCAAATCCTTGTTAAAAAACCTTCTGCAACCTCTTTTTTAGCCAGGTAAGGAAAAAGAGTAACCGACTTAGCAGGAACCTCACTTCCAAACCCTTTTCAACCGTCTAATCTGCTTGCCTACTGTCAAGGCCTTGCAGGCTAGGACCTAGAGAACCGGTAGAGACCTCACAAAGTCCTTGCCACTACCGTCGTCGCTGTCGCTGTCATTGCCAGCCTTTGTAAGCGCAAGCCTCTTCCTTCCGCAAGCCTTTTCGTACGCGCAGACTGCCTTCAAGGCGTTTTCTAGATGCTCTAGCGATTCCCAAGTGTTATATTCTGACAGCCAATTTGCCTACTTGACAAGGTAGTGCTTCACGCTGTCAAATTCAACGTCATTGCAGATTTCTTCAACCTCCCATTCTTCCTCAGGGTTGTCAAAGTCTAGGCAAGGTAGTAGACCTTTGCTAAGGCAAAGGCAGTAGTCTTCTAATAGCTAGATTAGAAAGACGTTATAAAGGCAGCTATATTTATCAGACAATGCAAGTCAGTACGCCTAACCACCTACCTATTCAATTACCTAGAAAGGCCTAATCTATCGCAGGCTAAGCTTTAAAGTCTTCAACTGTAGGTTCTTAGTTAATAACTTGACCAAATCGTTAACCTTAAACTGCTTAGGCATGTGAGTATAGTTGTAATACTTAGCTATATGCTTGGCAGCTTGCGCTAACTTAACCTATAAGTTGTCTCTAAAAGCTTTCAACTTCTGCAGTCAGGCTTAAATCTTAGGCATTAGCAAGTATTTTCTTAGGCGCTTTCTGCCTAGTATAGCACTAGCAGATGCTAACAAAGGCATGCTATTAGTGGTTTGATTAGTTAGGTAATTCCCTTTTAAAACTACGCTATCTGCAGCATAAAACCTAACTTTGCAATTAAAGCTATATAATAGGTAATTTGGTAATTTTCTTGTCATGTAGCTCTAACTATTATTGTAAGCAAACTGCGCTAGCAAGAAAAGGTTTACCTAATTTGCCTAGTTGTCTGCTATATAAGCCTTTAAGTAGTTTTCTACTACTTAATTAAAAGCCTCTAACTGCCTATTAGTCTGCAGGTAGTAAGCTGTAGAAAGCTGCCTTTTGATTAAAATCTACGCATAGACTTTGATGCGTAAGGCTTGGTAGGGTAGAAAGGATGGTTTCTACTAAGGAGGAGAGACACAAAACCACCTACTTACCTACCTCTCAACGTAGTATACTGCTTCTAAGGCGTAGGCCTCAACGGCAGTAGCTACTGACGTGGTGAATGGAAAAGGCACGGGCTGCTTTAGGCTAGGATGAGTCAGCTTTGGACTGGATTTTCTGCGCTTCTATATAAGAGTGTGATTAGGGCCTCAAATTGTAAGATCATTATCAATTACGCAGACTTACACAGATTTACAAGCAGCACTCTTTACACCTTAGTTATTTCCAAGCTTTCTACGCAATAATACTTGATTTACTGCATTCTATTCCTTCTTTACGCCTTTAATTTAATTGATTACGCTGCTAGCGTTTTCCTACCTTACTTACACGACTAGATTTGGGCACTACTGTGAGATGTATTGGGGCTGATTAGGGTTACCTGACTAGTCATATGCGCTAGAGGTAAAGAAGAAGCACGATTCTATCTGCCTGCTAGCTAATCATGTAGCTACTGCTGTTGGGGCTTATGCCTTAGCAGCAGTATACTACGTTAAAAGGTAGGTAGGTAGGTGGTTTTGTATCTCTCCTCCTTATATTTGAGAGGCAATCTAGGATTGATTCAAAAGGCTTACTAGAAGGCTGCAGTCTAATTAGACTGCGTGACTATGAGAAAAGCTGAGGCACTTGCTTGACTTTAAAGGCTCCTAGTTAGTACATTCCTTTCTTTTGTCACAAACTAAATACAAAGATGCCTCAAAAGCAGTAGCTTTCTTATTTCGCAAAGCAACTAGCTTCTTGCGTTGCTGAGGCAACCAAGCGTTAAGCAAAGAAAACCTCTGATTATGCTAAAGTAGCATTGAAACCCTTTTCCCCTTTCCTTTTCCTTTTCTAGAAGATTATAGGATGAGATAATATAAACCTAGAGTTACTTAATTGGCCAAAAAGAGTGGCATGTTGAGAAAGAGAGTATAATTAGACAAGTGCTAGGATTAGAAAGAGAGAAAGGACAAGGATTGAAGCTAAAAGCTATAATAAAAAGATTAGGAAAGCTAAAGGCTAGTAAAGCCTAGACTAGACAACCTGTCCTAAAGCTTGAAAACCAGCTAGTATAAACTGATTAGTTGGTTGCCAAGAAGGCTAATGTATGCGCAAAGAGGTGCTAGAATGTTAAGATAGGAAAGAATTGCCTAAAAGAGAAACCTAAAAAGGAAGACTCTCTGGTTTAAAAAGCAGTAAAGAAAAGACCTATGATTAGTGATGACGCAGAAGTCTACATTTAGGCTAGAGTGGTAATGATATTGCTATAGTTTATATTCCTTGGCGTAGAAAGCCTAAAAAGCATCCTGGTATTTGTTAAAGACTTAGAATTGTAGAGATAGGCTATTGCAAAAAACCTAAAGCCTCTGATTAGATATCTAGAAGAGGCAAGCTACTCTTATAAAGACTAGGAAAGCGAGAATTAGACAATAAGCTTCCTGCAAGCAAAGGAAATCAGACCAAATTACAAAAAGAGAAAGTCTAAGCAGTTATCTACCTTGCAAGTTATATAGGCTTTTACTAAAGATTCCAATTCTTTAAGGCAGCTTACTTCCCTTTTGTCATGTCAACCTACCTTTAGCCTGCTACAAGATTAGACTCCAATACCCTTAAGAATAGCAATGCCTTTCTCTATAGCAAAACCTTCCCCTATAGCAAAACCTTTCCTAATGGCAAGCTTCTAATATTAGGTCAAGTTAGTGCTTTTAATGCCTTTGCAAGAGGAAATCACAATCTTTAATAGCAAAAATGTTTTGGAATTCCTAGAAATCTTTAGCTTACATGCTAATCAAAGCTAGCTTATAGACAAGCAGAAAAAGAGATAGACTAAGCATTATATAAAGAAAAAGCTGCATACTATTGTAAAGATAGTCCTAAAGCACAAGACTTGGAAAAAGAATGTAAAGGCAATAAAGTTGCAATAGGGTAGTTAAAACCTCAAGTTAAACTTTAATCTCTAGACTAAGCTTTTTGACTTTTACTAGAAAAAGATTAAATTAAGCGCCTACAAATTGTTGGCAGCAATTGCAAAGCACAACTATCTTATCACAAAGGCTAGCAAGACTCAAGACAAAAAGCTAGTAAAGCGCTTGGCAAAGAAAGAGAAGAAGGTTGCTTTTAAAAAGTCAACTTTGAAGACTAAGATAGAAAAACCAGCTCCTATAAAAGCCTAGAAGCTACAAGAGGACCTTTATATAGACAATATAATCAAAGAGTTTGAAAAATTTAAGATTAACAACTTTTAGACTTACAAGAAAAACAACTAGCTGCTTAGCTAGCTAATTAGCAAGCTTGACATTTAAACTAAGCTAATAGAAAGGTATTAGTAGGCTAACAC